TGAAAAGTCATCAATATATCTTCTCGAAGGCACCGTCTCATGTTCCGACCACCTCTTCCTTCGAGCCCACAATGTTCTCTCGAGCTCGTTCATAATCTCGTTGACTTTTCACCCTAAGGCGGTGGCGATGGAGTCAGTAAGTACATCATTTGTTTACTCAATGCCGTGCCTTGATGAACACATTCCAGAAGGTGGTGGTGGCGGTGGGCAAGTTCATGGCGGAGAAAGTTGTGCCGCTGGAGGTGATGTGAGTGGGAGACTTCAGCTTGGGGGCCAGCACTGTGGTTCGTTCTCCTTTTTTTGGGCTGCAGCAGGACCAAACTGACCTGGCCTTCGACAAACAGAATGTTTTGAGGGGGCAATTTGCACTCTACGCGAGGTTGTGAAAGGTATGCCCTGCCATCACAGCTGGCATGACTTGTGTGATTGGTACTGACGCCTCACCACCCCGGATTCGGATATTTTTTCATTGACATCTGCAGCACAACTTGCATACACGGTTGCCAGGATATTTTTCTGTTATGTAATTAGACATATTGTGTAATTGAGGCAACAAATATATTTCGGTGCAAATTATTTTTTCTGTATGTTTTGAAGTCACCGCCAGGCCTGGGCGAATTCGGCAAGCACAAAACCAGTCGACCCGAACAAACAGTTGCGAACAGCCTGCTTAATTGGCAGTTAACAATTATTCGGCTGCATGGAATTCAAGATCCGTGAGCTGGCTGGTGTGGTGCTGAATGGTCAGCTTAGGTAGACCCCTTTGATTGCCTGCCCATCAGAGGTGGGCCTCGAGAGGGTTCCGGGATATGCATATTCACTCTCTGACTAAGGTCATCCGGACGTTTCCGCAGCATCCTCTGGCACCACCCATCATCTTATCGGTTTTAGCTGATTGCCAGCCCTCCAAGGGACGGCCGTGTAGTATACAGAGCAGCATAGACATTTTTGAACTAGTCTGACAATGTTTCACCGGCATCACTTCTCATCTTTACCTTCAGTATCTATGTAAGCTCTGAGAATTCAGGCATCAGTGGAGTGTCACCAACAGCCCATTGCCATTGAATTTTGATGCTTTGAATGTCTGCAAAGACATATTGTGCTGCATGAAAATTTCAGGTGGGAAATCTCCAGTGGGGATGATAATGCTATTGTTCACTATTAGAGGACTATACATTCAAGACTTAGTATGTATGATATCAAGAGGGTATAAACAAGTGCTACAACAAGAGGAGACAGAGTCAGCAGAAAGTATAGCAAAAACTGTGGATAAAACCGTCTATCCGCCCTATTCATGAGAAAAGATTCGCATCTGTATCCACATCTGTGCCCATCAGCAAAAACGGGAATTTTCTCCAAAGAGATTATAAAGGCATAATTCCATGTAACTTGCGGAATTTTTTCACCAAGGAATACATTGCATCGTAAACCTGAGCCAAATTGCAGAGTTGCCAACTTGGTATAATTAGTTATAAACTCTCGAAGAATTTTCCAGATTATGAAGCTCATATAACTTCCTACAAAATTTAGTGTACCACGTAGGCGCAGACCATCCTAAACAGACCAAAACCAATTCATCCAGATCAGTCTCACAATTCTCAATAGTGGGAGTATTTTAAATTATGTCACAATATATTATTGTTACTGCTACAATATTTACAAGACATACAGAGTACTCTACATTAGACCTAATTAGGCCGACTCACCACACCAAAACCCGTGTGCCCATCAAAGTGCAATAATGAACAACACTAAAAATCAACATGCTTCAGCCGTGGACATATAATAATAGAGCTTGACATAGAATGCACTGCATGTCGCCGCTCCGCTTCGGCGGCGACGAGTGGCCAACCAAGCCCAACAAACCCAGTAGATCTGTACAATATAGATACCAAGTTAGCCGCATGTAAAGGCACTCACCTGGGAGGAGCACTGGCAGAGGCTGTAAATTTATATGCAAGTGAGGGTGGCGAGAATTGTCAGCGGACGGTAGTCACGGTGTGTCGAGATTGGCCTCAGACTTGCCTCAGACATGTCTCGAAACGGCTTCGGATCTTTTCGCTGTGAGGGCCTGGATGAAAGCTTTTTGTTAATGCATACATTTGGTGCGGTATTCAGGGGCCTGAAATGACAGAAGAGCAAAGTTCGCAAAGCGCGAGTAGGCGCCCAACAGGCGCCCCTTACAATGTCCTATGTAGGCTTATATAGGTGTCTAGAAATTCTTCCGACTTCACAACTCGGTGAGCAACCATTTCCTTAGGTTACATTGCACGACAACTCTCCCACAATGTGTATTTTAATTGTAACTTGTGTATCAATTTCTGTACTATGTAATCCTCTTTATAGACCTCTACTACCTTTATTTTGACTACTAATCAGCGTAAACTTTACTAGTCCGTTGTAACTTACACAACATCTACTAACCCGATGTATTTGGTGTAACCTTATATAATATTTTCCCGTTTTTGCTGATGCCAGTGCTATCCGTGGATCATTCATCCGGTTGACCGGTATCCATGCTAGTCCCTAACCTTCAAGCTTGCTGCCTCACCGGCCTCTCCTCGCCAGCAGCTGCTTCCACTACGGTATTCGAGGTAACGAGTTCACAGCAAGATGGAATGCTTCATACTCAGTTCAGATCCTGTCCCGATTGGCAAAATATGTAGAACAGCGCTCGTACCACGAGAGTTGAGTGAAAATGCGTCTCAAAGTTCTGATCAAGGACCCCGGCTACCAGTTTGGGGAGGACGACCATGAAGATACCTTCACCGGCTGCTCGGCTGAACGCCCCTCGAGCTTACCGAACCCTCTGTTGGGGGTCCAACGTTTATCCACTGCAGGGAGGTAAGTAAATCTGTGATTGCTAAACGGCGGTAGGACAAACCAGTGGCTCCACCACTCTCTTGTCTGGCCTGGTTGCTGCGGGATATCAATTTATCGTCCACTCCGATTCCAGCAAGTTGCTTCCTTTTGGCGTGTCTCTCTTCTAGATTGATTGCTGTCTAACGAAGTTGCAGTTGACATTGCCGTCACCAAAATACTCTTGCGCGGGTGCTGTTGGTTGGCCTTCTCGACCTAGGTATGCGTGTATCAACCTGCGTTGGTTTGAGCGTGTGTGCTTTTCGGTCCCCCTCGAGCTGTGACAAAACCTGTATACGACTAAAGATGCGGCTCAAGACGTCACACATGACCTAGAAGTCCTTCCATACTACTCCACCTGGGCAAAGCCCTGGGATACTGAGACACGTCGAATTCTTCCTGCATATCTCCACCTGCAGCACGGGACTCCCGGGCCCTCAGACGCGACGCACACGAAGTCTTCTCTGTGGATTGCGTCGTGGTGAACTACCTGTTCCACCTCCTTCGGCTCTCCGTTTTTTTCACTGCGGTGCTTGAGGGAGATGCATTCGGAGTCAGTGTCAGGTAAATATAAGACTTGGGATCCTTTCACGGGTCATTCAGCTTCCTTCCAGCTGCGATATTTTCTCGCTGTCTTTACCTTCCTTGCTGAACGACTTGTGGCTTGAGACATGGCTGTGCTTACGAACCGCCGAGCAATTTTGCTTGCGACCTTCATTGCATTCGGTAACTTCCTTCAGTGTAAGTGCGCGAATGTGGTGTCTCATTCAGTTGGGCCTCTGCAGGAGGTGATCATTTAATGCGACATCCTCTGTTTTTTTCCTATGCGGGTCAGTACCGATCATGCTAATCATCGTGTGGAGTAAAAATTCTAACCATTCCTGTAGATTGACTTGCCTCCCAGGATTTCTGTTCGGTTATGACATGGGTGTGATTTCGGTGTGTTCGCATCATAGTGGTATAGGATATTGGGATTTACTACTGAAATATTATCTGCAGGGGTGTCTGATCATGCCAGACTTCGCTGCCCGCTTCGGCCAGATTGGATCCGACGGAAGACCGTATCTCTCGAGCTCGCGCCAGTCCATCATAACGTCTATGCTATCGGCGGGGTCAGTGAATCCGGGTATAATCCCTTTCTATGTACATTAAACTCTCACAGAACGTTCATCGGCTCCCTGGCTCAAGCGTTCACTTCCGACCGGTTTGGCCGTCGAGGCTCTATCCTCATATGGTCAGCGGTCTTCACCGTCGGCACTGCGATACAGACCAGTACTGTGCACTCAATCGTGCAGATCACCGTTGGTCGGTTCATTGCTGGGCTTGGTGTCGGTGCCTTGTCAGGTACGTGAGAGGTGTTTTGTTACGCTCTGAGTTTGTTCCGAGCCTGTCCCCAAGCCATCGTACCGCTTTACAATGGGGAGACGTCACCGAAAGTGCTGCGGGGAATGCTCCTGGCGTTCTACCAAGTTCAGATCATCTCGGGGTGGGCATCGTCATGCTCTTGCGTGACTTCATCGTCTTACCACAGTGTTTCGCAGAATCTTTATAAGCTATCTTATCGCACTTGGGACACATGCCATCAATGGCCCTGCTTCGTGGCGCATTCCAGTGGGCCTTCAGATGTTGTGGGGCTGCATCCTTCTCTCCGGGGTCTTCTTCCTCCCTGAATCACCGTGCGCTTCCTGTCCACATGAATCTGTTGTACTTGCTCATCACCTTCGTCTCAACAATAGGCGTCACCTGTTGGGAAGCGGCATGGAAGCAGAAGCACGCGTGGTAATAGCGGAGCTGAATAGTGTATCCCAAGACGATCCTGTTGTCGCGGAGATTCTCGAGGAGCTCATATTTGGCATCAAGGCAGAGAATGAGGGCGGGAAGGCGACATGGCTGGAGTGTTTCTCAACACGGAACCTGCTGTGGAAGCGGACGATGAATGGCATGATGCTGCAGTTCATTCAGCAGCTGAATGGGCAGAACTTTTACTGTGAGTGTTGGGCGTACAATCCCTACATTCTCGTCTCAAACCTGTTGTATCATTACAGATTATTACGGCGATACATTCTTCTCCGTGGGTCTCTTCGTTTATCCGCTATTCATGGCTCACACATAGAAAAACTTCCTCGGTCTTATTCCTACAGAGCGCAGGCACTCAGTGAGTCCATGTAGATTATGGGGTGCTCGTAGGCACTTACTGGTACCTTCGTAGACTATCACCATATGCCATTCAGACCATCCTTGGGGCAGTGTCCGTTGCAGGCACTTTACCTTCGCTATACCTCATTGAGACTTGGGGCCGTCGGAAAGTATGTCTACTCTTCCTCTACTCTTCCTCCGAGGCTTTCTAAATTTACGCAATTATCGGCTACTCGCAGTCGCTGCTCGTAGGCGCCGCCCTTGAGGCACCCTGTGCTATCATCGCTGCGCTTGTGGGCCATTACATGCTCGCCTCGTCTGGTACTCCCAGTGACCAACTTTCGGCTCGCAACCGGCAAGGCGGTGACGTCGTCATCACTTTCGCAATTTTACACGTATTTGCGTTTGGGTTATCTTGGGGCCCGACACCGTGGTAGGTCTTCAGAACGGCCGCGATCCTGAACAAGAGGAAGGCTTATCAGTAATCTTGCGCAGGGTCTACCTCGGTGAAAGTTTCCCTTTGCGCGTCAGGTCGAAGTGCATTGCTCTAGGGAGTGCAACAGGTAGGTCATCGGCGTTGAGGATAACTGGTCGCTGTTGCTGAACTTGACACAGACTGGATGTGTAACTTCTTCCTCACTTTCTTCTCCCCGCGGATAGCTGCACGAATCGGCCCGCTGATCTTGCTCATCTTCTTCGGAATGCTGGTGTTCGGCTTCATTTACGTGTACTTCTTCATTCCTGAAACTTTGGGACTGAGCTTGGAGGAGGTGCGGTAAATTTGTGCCTTTGCACTGGATCAGACTGACACGAAGTGGCATGTCGTCCATAGGTTGACGAGATGTACCGCTCTGGGGTCAAGCCGTGGAACTCATCGAATTGGCGGCCATCGGAGAAACATATACATGACAAGGTCGAAATGGTCGAAGTCAGAGAGATCAAGAACAAAGACGACGATAATGACACCAGTGCGGCTGGTGCATCAGCCACATGAACTCAATCCCGTAAATATTTTCTTCTTCCTTGTCCTCTGAACTGTACGTACCCATGTATCCCTTCTCCAACGTACTTTTCGACAAACACACTTACGAGATGTATTTGTTTCCCAGTGAGGGGATAGATTTTCCGAATTCGTGTGCCGGTCATGCGCATCGCGTAGACGCGTCTCGCGACCCGGCGCTTAAAAGATCACAGTTTCTTCCCTCCTTCACGATTCCTCCGACACTGAAATCCATCGAGCCCAATGCTCGACGATGGGAACCAGCGGCAGCTCCAAATGTTCCCGGGCTGGACACCACAGCTCTGGTGTACGACCAGATTGAGCAAATTGAGCAGTTCATCACGATCAGGTTGCGGGTCCATCTCGCATTGCGATACTCTCAGCCCATTCGTTGACATGTGCCGATAGAACATTGATGCAAACTTCTCGAAAATGCAGCAGATTATGGCTAACAGGATCTTACCCAGTGCTGTGAAGCAGTATGCCGTAGGGACGGAGCCCGTACGAGAGGTGGCGAAGGTGGGTGTATTTGACCATTGCAGGTTATTACCACCGCGTTAATGGTTTCACCGAGCGCGTTCACACCAGACATTTAGTTCTGAAGGCTCGTCGTCGGAGGTCTCGTTCATGCCCGGGCAAGCTGCTATCTCATCGACACCCGCGACGACTTCCCGGTTTCGGACGGTGCGTGAGAACTGCAGCTCGACGAGCCAGGATTCGGACCCACTCCCTCGTGGTCTGCGTCTCTCGAGTCGCCACTTGTGAGGCTTGACAGGGACAGCTTCGACGACAACTCGTTTGAGGGTACAGCACGTGCGGGAGAACCTGAGGAGGAGACAGTGTTTGGCGTTGCTCCTGCGCAGCGCTTTCACACTCAGAATCTACGGGATGGGGCAGGGATTGTTTGAGGAGACCATTGGGATAGCGAACCAGATGGCTGCTGTAGGGCGGGTGAACGAAACTCCTACCCCGTTTCCTCGATGATGGAATTTTGCGCAGCTCGGTTCATGATATTTTATCGCTGCTGCGCTAGAAGTTTATGTGTGCTTGAACAAAATATCGAATCGGACGTCATTTATGACTTTGAGTACGGTAGAGTCAAGATCTCAGATCTCAGCGGCCAGTTTTCGGTCACGGTACCGGTGCAGTAGTGCTTATAAGATCTTCACCTACTTTCACCTGCAAGCCAACTGGCCAGGCTATATCACTGGGCCGACATTCAGATTCGCGCAGGAAGTTGCATTGCATGTCTATAGCGCTTTCAGTGCTCAAGAAACGAAGTTTTCTCTCCACTATCATGTCTCGGCGGCCAAGTTCATCATCTCCGACTTCCTCTCCTCGACTGGCCAAACGACCACGGCTGGAATACGAGCCTTTGACTCCTGATGATTATAAAAATGGGGTCATGCTCGCTCCTATGGTCAGATCAGGCAGCTGTGCGTTCGCTAACTTGCGTCTAATGTCTCTGTCTCGATGTCCATGTCTTATATCCCCACAGTACCCACCCGACTATATGCGCTGAAGCACGGTGCGTCTCTCGTATGGAGCCCTGAGGTCGTCGACAAGGCGATATTGCACTCCGAGAGGGTAGTCGATCGTACGTGCACTCCTACTGAACAAACGTTATACTCACCTCACACTACGTCCATTCGATCCAGCCGTCACCGGGGTAGTCTCGTACAATGGCAAGTCAAAAGCCATCTTCACCACCCACCCCATCGAGAAGCCCTACCTCATCTACCAGATCGGATCCTCCGACCCCGAGACCGCCATACAGGCGGCCAAGATCGTCATGCAGGATGTCGCGGGCTTCGACCTCAACTGCGGGTGCCCGAAGCCCTTCTCCACACATGCAGGCATGGGCGCTGCGCTCCTCACGAATCCGGACCTCCTCTGCGCGATCCTTACCGCCCTGCGGCAGGCCATGCCGCCTGAGATATCGATATCCGCGAAGATCCGCCTGCTGCCAACCCAGGAGGACACGCTGAAGCTGGTAGAGCGCATCGTGAATACTGGCGTGAGTGCGCTCACCGTGCATTGCCGCACACGCAACATGCGCCAGAAGGAGAAGGCCGTCATTGGTAGGCTGCGCGAGATCGTAGAGTTTGTGGAGGGCATGGGCCGGGGCATTGCTGTGATCGAGAATGGGGATTGTGAGGGATATGAGCACTCGCATAAAATTCGTGAGATGACTGGTGAGTGGTATGCCCCCATGATTAGTTACGGCCGTAACGTTTGGGTGTTATCTCCAGGTGCGCATTCGACGATGATCGCAACTGCCGCAGAGGCAAATCCTACATGTTTCTCACCGGCGCCGCTGGTAGACCTTGAGAATACGTTCATCCCATCATACATGAGACTAGTGAGTCACTGAGCCCTAGAACTCGGCAAGCTTCAATTCTGACGCGCTCAACGTCCAGGCGAGATACCTCGGCAACCACTGGTCGAACACCAAATTCTGCACCACCCAATTCAAAGGCATACACGTCGCTGGCTCACGAGCAGGCCTCAAGACGTTCAGGGAAACCATCGTGCATGCAAAATCGTACGAGGACATGGACCCACACATCGCGCCTTGGACAGGTGAGGAGGTGTTCGCGCAGATCGTCAGGGCACTAGAGAAGCGCAGTGGGCGGCGCCACCTGCAGGCCCTGCCCGAGGTTGTTTTAGATGCGCAGCAAGAAGAGGCGAAGGAGAACGCGTCCGCACGCAATGTTCTGGAGCAGACGATTGAGAAGACCCCCCTTGTCGGTGAGGTGGATCCCACCATTCTTAGAGCACCTCTTTGGCCCGCAAACGAGCTTCGTATACCGCTGCCTGCTTTTGTCACCGGTGAAGACGTACCTACACCGTCACCGACACCCGCGCCCACAGCACCAAGGAATAGCATCTTGTTTCTTGCCTCTGCGACGTAATTTGTTTGCAGTAGACTCTTCCTGCATCTATGTTTATTCTTCTCGTTGCTGAGTCCGTTCCATCGTCACGAGTGCACATAAGATTTCAAACTATGCATGAAATTCGAGATTAAATACAAGACGTTGCCGTTAAACCTAGCGGTCGTGAAAGCGTATCAAATTGTAAGATGTACATGTACTTGCCCGAATCCTGTATGGGGTCGTAGGCCATAAGTGTGGCGGTATTTTAAGACGACGTGCGTCGTCTCACAGCACGACAAGCGCACCCGCGCAGATACTACCCAGCATAGCTGCCGCGCTCACGAGCATCGGTTTCGAGACCGCGAAGCCCTGCAGGCTCGAGGCGGAGTTGACGGCAAACGTGTGTCCTGCAAATGTAGTGGTCTTCGCGTGGCTCGCACTACCTGTCGCGAGGGTGATGGCCTTGCCGCCGACAGAGGTCACTTCCACTACGGGGGTCCCGCTGATGGCTGATGGCGAGTTCAGCTGCGGGAGCGTTTAATAAGAGAGGTTGTTGACTCACTCGTTATGGTAGCATAAACCTTGCTCGTGCTAGGCCCGAGGACTTCTGTAGCGGACTCGTACAGCTCAGTCGCTGATGATCAGGCAAGCATTAGAATTGATTTGCGGGAGTGCTGCATAACATATTGCACCTGATTCTTCCATCCCTGAGTAAACAACCGGTCAATAATGATGATTACAACTGAAATGACACGAGACTCACTGACGCTCGAAGCTGCACTGACAACTTTGGAATCCGTATCGTTAGTCAAGTCCAAAAAGCCAACGAATATGCCGTCATCTTACCAGCCCTGGTTGCTGCACCCCATCCAGACGCAACTAGGTGATCCTGTAAGCCACAACGTGGACTGGCGCAAACAATGGGCACTGACCTTCAGAAGTGGCCTCGTTCCAGTAAGAGGATACGTCGTTGTAGACTGCAACGAGCATCAGAATTCACGGTTTCACCAAACCCGACCGCGGCGCACGTACGACCACGGGGGGGCAACGCATTCACCGCAACAAGGGGCAGGAGCGCATATACAAAGACTTTGGCCAACATCTTGCAAATTATCAGACCGAACTGACAGCACCAGGCTGATCGAAGAAGAGCAGAAAAAGTAGAAGTGGATTAGACCCGGGAAAGCGAAGGGTGAAATCGACTGACCCCATCAGCTCTCTGCGCCTTATATGCTGGTCATCCTGGGCTCGCGATGCGTGGATTGCGCTGCGTACAGCCTTGCGACGCTCTAGTGATCGCTTGCTGACGGGGATCTGATGCTGGTCAACCTTGTTGACCGGGACACCACGACCGGCGCAGTCCCGGGCGCCCTGCTGTGTCTGCCAGCGAAGTGTAAGCATACGCACACCCGACGGCCGCAAGTTCCGTCGGCGTAAGACTGCAATGCTCACCAGCTCATAGGCCATTGTAGTATTCCTGGAGAAGATATATGTTTCACTCTGTCAGTAGCAACCACAGATGATCATGTCAGCGCAGCTAGCCACGCTGCGTTGAACTGTCAAGAATGCCAGGCAGGCCAGTAAAGTGATCGACTGGGGTGGACGACCGTGACATAGCTGCGGCCGCGCTGCTGCTTGGGTGATTGATGGTTATGATGCATGATGGTTTCGGAATACGCCATGCGGCGAGGCCTCTGAGCAGCCAACCACCCCCCAAGTACTCTGTCCATGCACGACATTGCGAGAATATTGCTCCAACGACACGGTTTGTGTCAAGCTCCAATTCAGCGTAGAAGACAATTCGGACTCGGACTCGAAAGTGAGCAGCCGCCCATCACAAACGCCGATCAGATCGCAATCTGAGTGGTTCGTGGTCAGTAACGTGTAGCTATGCGATGAATTACTGGACGAATGCGCCCCGCCGTACGTGCGCGGGCTTATACTACGCAGATGCGGTACTCGGTACATTGTGAAGAAGAAAGATACTGCACACGAGAACCACACGAAAGTGAGTCCAGTAATGGATGGTGAGTAGGATGATTAGCGCGATGTGCTGCGTGAGGAGAGCAATGTGTAGTAGGGAGCACTAAGTACAGAAGCTGAAGTGATGGTCATGAACGTCATGAGGATACGATGTGCGCGTATGCATTCGAAAATGTCCATGAGATGGAGATGAAAGATACGGGTGAATACAGGCGTCCACTACGTGAAGGCAGATGAACTTGGCGGTACACATGCAGCGAAAATGCACCTATTAGAGGAGAGGAATCCTCAAGTAACATAATCCTAGTGTGGAAATCATGCCGTCAAAGATACTCACACGCTGAACAGGGTACATCAGCTCCGACTTCAATACAACGTAGACGAAAAGACCATACCAGTCATGGCGCGGAAAGTTCGGATGTCACGCGTGATTTTCAGCTCGACACCCCGCAGAGCACACGCGATCCGTAAGGACGGAAGAAGAGGGTGGCGCTCTCCACCATGCCAGATGTGCACGGTCACACTCTTCATCACCCCGCTGCGCTTGATGTTCTGCAAAACTGGCTGCAGAGACGTGTCCATATCCACCCCAATGGCAATGTGTTCCAGCGTGCACGGCAGGGATCGGTGCACCGCCGACGGCGACCACGCACTTTCAATCCTGAGCTCGCGCAGTGCCTGGCACTGCTGCAAGCTGACGCTCTCCTGTGCAGCACATGCAGGAAGGGAGAGCGACTGCAATGTGGGACCGTGTTCAGAAACAAGGTACTCGAATAGGTCAGGCGAGGGCATGCGATCGAAACGAAGTGAGCGCAGTGTCGATTCTGAGTTATGGAGGAGCCATTTCATGAAGTCGGCGGAAGGCGATGTCTGGAAATTCATGCGGAGCTCCTCGAGGGTGCACGAGAAGGATGCAGCGGACCCGCTCGGAAGCTTGGGCGGTGTCCCGCTGATGGAGAGGGACTTCAGCGACGGCCAGATGTCGAGCAGTTGGGGCAGGGATGAGGAATTGTCGGACCAATTGCTGAACTGCAGCGAAGAGATGCGCGGGCCAGAACGGAGGATTGCGACCGTGTGGTCGTCAAAGGCGGGGGCAGGGCGCTGCATACGAGGGACATCTGCAGAACAAACGACGTCTTGTACGCCTGAACCTTGGCCGTACAGAGCGAGATCCAGCTCGCGCAGGTTTGGACAAAGCGTGACAGCCCAAGCAAACGACCGCTCTGAGATGCGGTACGGCTGGTTGTGGTCCAAGACGACGTGCATGCGAACAACAGTATCGCCGAGCATACGACCTCGGGCGGTAGAACGTTCAACTGCTTGCTGGAAAGATATGTAGGCAGTCTGGGAATGAAGAGTGACCTGGCGGAAGAGCAGCTTCTGGGACAGGAAGGACCAATCTCTGCAGACCTGCGAACAGTTCGCGAAGAGTCCTAGGTTAGCTTGAAGGTCATCCTCGTCGTACGCGACTTCCAGGATGTTCATGACAATCTCGATGGGTACATGGACCACATGCTTGGCTCGTCGGAGAACAGGTTTACGAGGGGGGTAAGTAGTCGTCAGGTCGGACGTAAGATCGTGAGTTATAGTCTAGATTGTACGCGTCGGTGAGATACAGACGACGTCGACTGGCTGCACTCACTGGAGAAGGGAAGAGCACATCGAGCAAGCTGAACAAACCCATCGTTGGCAGGACCTTGCCAATGGCGCCCTGGAAGTACGGCGGGGTGAAGAACGTAGAGGTCGTCGACGGAGGAGGAGACGGGACGAATGGCTGACATGCGAACGCGCAGTATAAGTACCTCGGCGGCTGGTAACATTAGTTGCCCGGCCATGCGGAAAATGAACGCAAGCAGAACGCCGTTTGAGTTGGTGGACCGTCGCCATTTATCTAATTGTTCTTGCGCGCCGTTGCGGTTACTAAATCCAGGTTCGCTTACGTGCGACTGCGTCCCTTGCCGTCACGATCCCGTCCAGTAGTGTCACATTTCCCACTGCGAGTCTGTCGTCCCGTTTCTGTCAGAAAGGCCTTGGAAGTGGCTGGGGATCGTAGGCTGCCAGGCAGCTCCACCGTAATCAGGTACCTCCTCTCAGGAAAAGGTAGAAGATTTCGCGCCATGTTGCCACAGGTCGATGAAACAAAGTTCGCCACCGCGGCGCGGCACAACATGACCCTCCATTTCTCCCATGTCACTCTTACTTGACAATAGGAATGCTGCCAGATAGTGGTCGCCGGATCGATGCTTCAGATCCGCCGTCCGCACGCACATTGTAGATTGAGTCAATTCTCTACGCGTTGACTCAATATTTTGCGTGCACCTTTGGCCCGCCGTGGCATTCGCGATTGATTCTAGACAACTTAGAGCGCATCGCCCAATTGCGGACATACGAAGGCTATGTTACGTAAGGCGGCTGCTGTCTTTTCATTCTTTTTTTTGCTGGCCATTTCGCAGCCGGCGGCGCAGTCCAGGGAAAAAAGTGCCGTACAAGCACCACGTGTGCAAACACGGAGATCAAGATTTCTGGTGTGTCAGCATATTACCTTCCCGAGTCCACCGAGTCATCGAGCACATCCATATGATTATCCTCAGCTGGAAACAGTGCTACGTTATCACCAACGAGAATAGAGTCGGTTCTTCAGACTCCAAGGCTGTGTTGTGTTGTAACGTCGATATCCCTCCCCCGCACGACGTATTGGATATCTCGGCCTGCAAATTGTACCGAACTGCCCATGAAGCTTTGCTCCAATGGCTGAAGGCCCTCCGTTGTCAGCTATTTCCGCCGAGATGAAGCGGTGTAAGTCACCCTCGCATCCAGTACACGCGAATTATCGGACTAATTAGAACCATATTACATATACCAGAATAGTTTTATGCTCGAATTCTTATGTTCGACATTCTGACGAGCATAAAACGTAGTCTGGAGGCATTCTCGAAGCATTCCCAAATTCCTTCAGGCGGGACGCAACCATACGGTCGTTGATGTAACTTCCTCTGTTGGCTGCTATATAGGGACTGGTCTTCGAAGCAAGGCTCGAATGAAATGTCGGAGAACAGTGGATCAAGAACGATTGTGGCATCCCGAACTTACTCGCATGCCTTATTTGGACGGAATCCGATCAGATCTCACCTGTTGCCGATGCGAAACGCCCACTGGCAACGCTTTGACCACTCTGACAGTTTATCTTAAGCAACGAGACCTACGTTTTCATCGTTGCTACTGCTTGCATGGGTTTTGTGTCGAGGAAAGAGTAGCAATCTCTCCGTACACTACGCCGTGCGGGCCGCTGTATGTATGTCCTCGTGAGTTGCCGTTAGTAGAGTTTAGTATATATCGAGTCTTATCGACGTCATCACGGTCGTCCACTCCATCCTGCAGCGCTCAGTTCCCGAGCTGAACTGAGGTGAACACAAGAATTCTACCGCCATGGTCGTATCCGACAACGAGCAATTCCGTGTCGCCTTACGCGGCGAAGCCATCCTCACCCATCCGAGATGGAACAAGGGGACTGCCTTCACTCGCAAAGAGCGCAAGGCCCTTGGGCTCACTGGACGCCTTCCTGACCGCGTCAACTCTCTCGACGAGCAGTGTGACAGAGCCTACGACCAGTATCTGTCCCGCGATGCGCCCCTCAGAAAGAACACGTTCCTGCAGAGCATGCGCGACCAGAACTGGGTGCTGTACTATTCGTTAATCTCGAGGCATCTGAGGGAGATGATACCGATTATCTATACCCCGACCGAGGTGAGATGCTCAGTCCGCACTCGGGCCACGACCATACTCATTTGTGCTGTTCGCATGCGTGAATCAACCAGGCCGAAGCAATCTCGAATTACTCTCACCTGTTTCGCAGGAGCGAGGGTCTCTACCTCACCTTTTCGCACCAAGACTCCATGGAAGAAGACTTCCTGGAGCAGACAAGAGGACGTCATATTGACTTGGTCGTTTGTTCTGATGCCGAAGCGATCTTGGGCATTGGCGATCAGGGTGTCGGGGTGACCCCTCTCGCCGTTATATTCGTTGGAGACGATCTCACTTTTCTATGTAATGATCTAGGGCATAGGCGTAAGTGGCTTGACGTAGAATTGTATTCCTGTAATTAACACGTCTTGGAAGATCTCGACTGCGAAAGCGGCTATATACACGTAAGACATGCCGCCGTCACATACCCTATAGAATGCTAATTGATCTGAAGCTTACTCGCAGGCATGGATCCTTCCAAGACCCTAAGCGTGACACTGGATGTCGGGACGGACAATAAGGACCTGCTCAACGATCGTCTGTACGTTGTGAGTAGGGTGGTTCCTCGTTCCCAGGTCCACCTTCTGAACACATCGGCAGGGATGGCCCCACAACCGCGTCCGTGGAGAGGAGTATGACAAATTCCTTGACAAGTATGTTCTCCGCCAGTTCGGTGTTCCAGGTACATTCAGGAAATATCAGATTCGTACAGCTAGTCCGCAAGTATCATCCCCATAGCCTGCTCCATTTCGAGGACTTCGGCGTGTCCAATGCGGAGAGGCTGCTCGACATCTACCGTGACCAACACGCAGTCTTTAACGATGACGTGTCAGTATCCTGTTCTCTTCTGTGGTCCCGACGCTCCATTGACATCGTAACTATAGCCAAGGGACTGGAGCGGTGACGCTCGCATGTGTCATGTCTGCCGCCGGCGTGACCAAGTCCACTCTGGCCGACCAGCGGATCGTCATTTACGGTGCAGGCACCGCGGGGCTGGGTATCGCGCGGCAGCTGCGGGACGGCATGGTCACGCTCGACGATCTCCCCCGCGAGGAGGCAAACAAGCGCTTCTATCTGCTCGACCGCTTCGGGCTGATCAAGGACTCCCTCGGGCCGGACAAGATTCGCGAGGACCTGCGGGAGTTCGTCCGGGCAGATGCGGAGTGGGAGGACGTCCCCACGAACGTGCGGGGCGAGATCGGCTTGCTGGAGGTGGTGCGCAAGCTCAGGCCGACGGTGCTCATTGGGTGCTCCACACAAGCAGGAGCTTTTACGGAGGAAGTCGTGAAGGAGATGGCGAAGGGCACCGAGAGGCCGATCATTCTCCCGCTTTCGAACCCGAGCAGGCTGCATGAGGTCACGCCGCAGCAGGCGAACGACTGGACGAACGGGAAGGCGCTGCTGGCGACGGGGAGCCCGTTCCCTCCGTGCAAGATGCCGAATGGGAAGGACTACGTGTGAGTGTGTCTTCCGTGTCCACAGGGCCGTGCTCATCGTGCCGTGAATACCCTTTTGGCAGCATCGCAGAGTGCAATAGTATGACTTGCTTGTGTGAACCGATCTTGCTGAAACTTACCTATTGACTTCTAGATGCACTAATATATCCAGGCCTGGGATTCGGGGCTATGCTTGCGCAATCCCGCACACTCACGGACACGATGATCATCGCGGGCACCCGGCGACTCGCGTCCCTCGCCCCTGCTTTGAAAGACCCCGACGACGCGTTGCTTCCTGACTTCGGCGATGCGCCCGAGGTAAACTTTGAAGTTGCTATAGCGGTAGCCGAGCAAGCAATCGAAGAGGGCAGTGCAGGTGTGGATTGGAAGAAAGAGGAGGTGCGCGACAAGGTGAGGGAAAGGCAGTGGAAGCCAATCTATGGCGAGTATGTCTACGACCCGCAAGGCGATTCCTGAACAAAGCATATGCATGTCTCAATATAATGGTGTAAGAATGGGTGTACGATACAACTGTAATGCCAATTATTTCATGACACATTGGTTCGTGCGCGGGGATTCTAATACATGTGCTGGACTGGCCAGTCGAAGTTGCGACTCATGATGGACAGATACCTCCTCACAACTTCCGATGAGATTCTGACAAACGCGACACACGTACACATGTTGTCTGAAAAGATACACACTGTCCATAGCTACATCCACAATACTCACATCCTGACGACCATGCACGGCTCTAAAAAATTTAGTGGAATCGACTAGCTCAGGCAGCAGTAGCAACGCTGTCAAGGGTCTTGAGGTAATCAAGCCTATAGGGACTCGCATCTGTAGTGGCGCCACGGTTATATGCCAGCCACTTAGGCTCGTCCTTTAGACGGGTGAATCGATGCCGGATACTGAACCACGACACGAGATACGAACCTTGAAGAGACGCATGGTACGCGACTTGTTGCCCATGTCAAGCGAAAAGCGATGGTAGATACCGGCGGGAAGAACGAGGAGGTCGCCGGGACCGAGGTGGCAGCGAATCCAGGAATCGCTGGAGTGCTCTGGACGAGCATCATGAAACCTGAACTCTGCGAAGGAAGTAGGGGGTGGACATACCGCGGACGTCGAAATAGCCACCACCCTCGAGAATGTACCGGATCTCCTCATCCTCGTGCATGTGCCTGTACACGACAGTGTTCAGCGCTAACCTCTCCCAAGGCCAGTCCTTAAAATTGAAACATTGCGCACGACTTACTCATGGTAGAAGGCCTTCGTCTTAGTCTCGAACTCAGCGCCCATCGCCTCTTTGTTGACGACGACGATGTCGCGGTTCTTGTAATCACGCTCAGCAGCGATGGCGTTGATCTCGTTCTCCCACTCGCCAGCAGCATCAAGGGGAACGTGCCAGTGAAGAACGCCGATGTTACTCAGGATCTCGTCAGTCGCAGGGCGTCCAGAGTCGTGGAGCAGACGCTGGTCGCCCGGGAGCTCGTCCATGAAGTATGCGCGCATGACGAAGTGGGTAGGATGAAGCTGGTGGTGAAGTCAAAGTTACTAGAGAAGTGCGGAGTTGCTGCTTATATGTTGTGTCTGGAGAGTTATTCCGAGTGACGGCCGGCCGAGTGATAACTGTGATATAAATATTGCTTCATCACATAAGTAGGTGGACCTCGGAGAACAGACGGCGCAGGAGATGGTCATCAGCTAGTATCACGGGAAACAGATTTGTTTTTGTGTCTGGATTGACAAAACTTCCCGTGGCAGGGGAAACATCAGAACTGGGAGGACGGATGTCCGATACCTTCTTCCACTGAATTGGAGAAATCAAGCTTGTCCGAGCTTCGGGATTCTGAACCTGAACACATGTTCAGATGCTGAGACAGTATTGCGCCCGATTGCAAAGTACTGACATGTCGCCGGAGACTTCCCTTTTCCAGATGACACGCCACCAGACCAAATATCCTGCAACAAGGTTCGCCACATGTTACCCTTTCTGGCAGCACCGCCTGTTATTCTTGCATTCACCTGCCAACGTCCTGGACGCTCCAGGAGCGGTGCCGCAGACTCTCACAATGTCCAAGTCCTCCTTGTCTTCTGTGGTATCCAATCTGGTGCGCGCATCAATGGGAGCGTCGGTGTCAGGCACAGTGACCGACGAAGACCTTGACCGGCATGTCGCCGAGCTCATCCTCAAAGAAGCAAAGCAGAAGGCGGAACGATACAGCAAGGACGGGATCCGAGCGTATCTTCCCAGCGTGTAAGTATACTGTTAGATCTTTCATATATCATGTTTACGAGCAAACGGGCTTGTCAGGTCGGACGCCAACGTCCCGAGAGCGAACAAACGCTTCTTGTCGTCCATCATACGAAGCACGGATGACCACAACAAGACTATCCTGCGTGCACAAGCCTTGGCGGCACAAGAGGTCAGGATGGAACGAGAAGAACAGGAGCGGCGCGAACGGCGCGCTCGTGCGGAGGAGGCAGTGGCGGCGGAACGTATGAGGAGGCTGATGGGCGGTGGCGGGATGGAGTGGGCGCACAATTGGGATTATGGAGAAGGGCATCGTCACAGGAAACGACGTGAGAGGAGTGAGGGTCGGCAGGACAAATATGACAGCGGGGATGAAAGCGAGTCCACGGACCGGGAAAGGAGGCTAGACAGGCGAGAGCGGCACCATCATCATCGGACAAGGTCTACAGATAGACATCGGCACAGGAAGGAGGAGCAGGCATCAAGACACAGCAGAAGACATTCGCGTTCTGCCGACGAGGACGACGATCACGAACGGAGACGGGCCAGGCGGGATAGGCACACGAGCCACCCACTGGACGACAAAGACAGAGATAGGCATCGTCGTAAACGCCGCAGATATAGCCCTGATCATTCTCATGGAAGAAATCGTTCTAGCAGGTCACCTTCGGACAGAGCGCGTTCTCGTTCTCAGACGTCAGACACTCCCCCTACTCAGTCTCATAGACACAGGGGTCGGCGTTCACCCTCACTCTCTCATAGTCGGGACGATAGGCGTGACGATGACAACTCTCGACCTCCCCGTTCCACAGAAGGGGAGTCAGAAATGGATATTTTATCACGGGAGGACCAGCTGCGTCTGCAGCTCAAACGCAAGCGCAAAGGCAAGGCGAGAGAATACTCAGAAACTCGTTCGAGCCCGAGTCCCAATCCTCGCAGCCGTTCTCGTAGCCGTCCCAGAGAGCATTCCAGATTACAATCACCATGCCGAGAGCCATCCAAGCCCGGATCGTCTTCCTCGCACACTCTTCGCTCATCCCGCAGTCCCTCTAGCTCACCGCCAGCATCACCCTCCATCGCCGCCGCCCAGCTCCCGTCCAAGATGGACAAGTACTTCCAGTCCTCGTACGACCCGCGCCTGGACGTTGCACCGCTTACTATGCCCGCAGTGCCAAAGACTGGTCTGATTAACGACGCAGAGTTCGCGGGGTGGGATGCGATGCTCGAGCTCATCCGCCAGCGGAGGGAGGACAAGGAGGAGAAGAAGCGGCTCGAGCGATGGGGCGTGAGCAAGGACAAAGGCAAGGACAAGAAGAAGAGCGGCGATACCGCCGACGGCCGGTGGTCCGAGGGTGGGCTCAATATCATGGACATCGAGTATAAGAAGAGAGGGTCTGTGCGGGAGTGGGATCTAGGCAAGGAGGGTTTCTGATCTGTCTGTCATTGATACCCAGTTGTGATGCTCAGGGATGCGGCGTAGGTATTTGTAGATTATACACGTGTATTGTTTTTTTTAATTCCTTGGATCATTCCTCTGCCCAAAGTGACTAAAAAGCTGGATATTAATCTGTACTGTACATCTCTAACCATTCCTACCATAGAACATGCTACCCGGAATTATCACTGCTCACTCACAGCTTTGTGGACGACCAGCGTCTCCTCCGCGGTGAGTTGATCCACTGCAACGGAGAAGTTGCTCGTGTTGCGGCTGGCGCATTCACGGAAGAACGAGAGAAGGTGTGCCTGAACGACCGTCAGAATAGACACCTAAGGTTGAGAGAGGCGGCCAGATAACGATGCACGCACCCGCATGTCCATCTGAGAGATAGGATCGTTCCTCAGGTCCTCGTCGTCTCCATCAGACAAGGTATCGTCGATGTCGAAATTCGTGCCACGAGGCCCAAGCATCTCCGATAGGAACGCAAATTCGTCGGCCTTGAAACCTTGGTGTAACTTCTCCTCTTCAGTCCATTCATCGTCCTACGAAGCCCAAACCCGAGCTGTATTCAGCAAAAGGCGCGACCGAGAGAGAGATCGTTCACCTCGTCATCAGAGTCGATTTCGGGGACGGCACCGAGGTTCATAGTTGCTGCCTCCCCGCCCGATTGCAGGTCGTGCAGCAGGAGCTTCAAAGCCTTCACAGGGAATGCGATAGACGTGAACTCCGTTGGTACTACACAAATGGTGCGAACGTCAGAAAAGGAACGTAGTGATGTGTAGCAAGGTTACCCTCTGTAGGCTCACTTTTCTTTGTTTTCGACCGGGTCATGATCACTATCGTAAAGATCAGCTGAATTTTTTGCATCGCTGATGCACCAACTACGTACCATCCTTGGTCTCGGGTTTGATGATGAGATCGCCCTTGACCATGAGATGCTGCAGACTCGGCCGCTCCGATGCGTACAACGAGCACAGCCCGAGTGTGCTGATGCGCGTCGCCCAGAAGCCTTGGAACGTCTCGGCATTTTCGCACCACGTCTGGATCAGGATGTCCAGTCCCGAGCGGCCGTCAATGTTGGTCGACTCCAGAAGAGTGAGTACAGTGTCGCGTTGGCTGTGGATAAGGAACGCGAACGGAATGACCAAGCTCTGCGGGCGACATCGCATGAGTGCACCGAACAAACTCGGAGTCACGTACCTGAAGGAATGTCGCGGTCTTCGCCGTGGTCATACGGCGCACCATCGCCTGCAGCAACTCGGGCAGTACTGGCCCGACGGCCTCACCCGCTCTGCGCAGGAGATGGATGATGAGGTCGCCAATAGCAAGCCCGCCGGACTCGTCATCGCTCTGCAGCCGCCTCGCGATCACTGTGAGCACGCTCTCAAGACCTGACTGACCGGTCGACGGGTCTGACCACGACACCAGCTGGTTGAAGTCTTTGCGAATGACCGATGTCAGGCAACTGATGCCACTCTGAAAACCGTTCAGTGGTCAATTCCGGGGCCGTTAGTGCAAGACCTTTCCTCACCTGGATGACATCGCGGTCCTCGACAGTCCTCATGCAGAGGAACAAGCTAGGGCCCAGGTGTGCGAAGAAACCCTCGCCAAGTCCCGACTCCGGTGCCCCTTGCACAAGACTGCCGACGAGATCAATAGCAGCACCTGTGATCCACGGCTCATCTGCGCTGGACGCCATGATCGCATTGCACAGCCCAGGCAGCGCATGCTTCACGACGCTCTCATAAACGCCAGGCGCAGGAGACTTCGCCAGATTTTCGAGTATGTCTGACAAGATGGAGATGAAGATAGGATCTGCACAGAAATGATCTGTTAAGATATGTCGCAGTATGAGGCAGTGTGACCAACCTTTGTTGTTCTTCATCCATACTCCTAGGACAGCCAGCACGAGATTCCCGGCCAGCTCGCGGTCAAGCCACTTGCCATCATCGAGCTCAACGATGACAGACAGCGTCTCGAGAACCAAACTCAACGTGTCCTCGGTGGTAGCTGACAGGAACGGTCCGAGATCCTTGGCTATCCGAGGCGCCATCGGCGCAATGACGGCATCGTCCACATCTTTTTGGCAGAAGCTGAATAAAGCCAATTTCCAGTAAAGAAACAGCGGTAAAGTCTTGTGGTACGCACTTGAGAATGGCCTTCACGGCAGAAAGCTTGATCGGAATGCCTGCAGATTCCGTCTCCAACACCTGCACAGCAGCCTCAACATATTGTCCAGCCATATGTGCGGGAAGGAGCCTCGCGAACTGACTAGCAAAGACAAACGCACGACCCTGAAGGAATGGGCACTCTGCCATCCGCAACAACCAATCGTTTCAGTGTAAACTCAGCTAATGAACAAAGAGGAATCAATCCACCTGAAATACTGACGAGCGACGGAACGACGTTCGTCAGCAGAGCCTGGATATCAATCGGCTTGGGACGCCCTGCGAGCTCTTCGTCCTCGAGACAGTCGAGCAGCGCATCTGACTGCGAGCCGACCGCCGCCAGAGCGGCCTCCAGAGGTCTCCACCTGCAAAATTTAGTCTACTGTCATACAATAGACATCGCTGGACACACCAGTCATGCCTGCCTGCGCTGCGTGCTTCCTCAGACTGAACCGCAAGTTGTTGAACGACTGCCTGGCACGACGATGCGGTCGTCGCGGCAGAGCGCGAAAAGATGCTCTGGAAATGCTTATCAGATCGGAGTACCCTGAAGCATGAGTACAGACAATACCCACAGCGAGTAGGTCGAAGCCGGCTATCCGTACGCTATATGTATTGGTCTCGTCCGACTCTTGCGCAACGAATGCGTTGGCATCGGTCGCCCATTCGTCCTCCTGAGAATGATCAGGAATGGCAGTTCAGGACGTCGATGAACTGATCTCACATCGTCTTGCGTCATCTGTGCCCAGCCGAAGATGGCACCAATCAGCGCGTTGAGGTTCGCCGGCTCAAACCACTCCTTCGCCTTCCCGCCGCGCGTCACATTCGACACGAAGTCAAGCAGAGGGCACATCAGGTGTGGGATCTCGATTGGCTGGTCCTCGGACGAGGTTGGCTTCACATGCTCGCCAGACAGGTAGTACTGCGTGAACGCGGGGAAAAGCGCATTAAGATGGTTAAGCGATACTGTCAGCAGCTCTTGGAGGTGGGGTATCAACGCGCGCGCGAAAGAGACATAGATGATGTCCAAAGTCTGCAGACGTCGGTGTGAGGTCAAAAATTGTGTACGGCCTCGATGCACCCACTTTGTATATTTGAATCCGAATAGCAAGGCCGTCCCAATTAGCGGTGTTTTCGACGTCGGTGCGCGGGTCGATTTTCAGCAGCATTTTGAACGCCTCGATCCAGACCGGGAGGATCGAACCCGTGGCCTCTTTTACAGATTGTGGGAACTGCTCCTTCACCATGAAGAGGGTCTCGACGCATTGTCTGAACACGGATATCGTCCGCGCACGTGTGAGGGCCGTATGTTGCTGGATTTCACTATTCGAGACCTGCATCCTCATGGGATGTGATGAGGTGACGTACCTCTGAAGCGCCCAGGATGGAGAGCAAGACGGGTAGGAGCTGACGGAGAACAGGTAAGATCTGGTCTTCTGTGAGTTCCTTCCCTACGAACTCCGTGAAGACTTGCATAGCACCATGAACAGATGCTGGTGAGTTAGATGACAAGAGGACGATTAGTGAGTTCAAAAGATCTGGGTATTCCTCTGGCCAATCGCTGCTTGCGATTAGGGAAAGTGTTTGGGCCTACATAGATTAATAAATAGATAAGTTCAGTCATAAACACATCGAGTGGCCGACGTACGCATAGCGACCTTATTTTGCTGTTTGGGTCTGATAGACCCTGGAAGACCGCCTGTCGTATGTTCGCCTTCACCTGCTTGAATACGCATCAGCTCAAATGCCATTAGTGTGCGAAAAACCCTTCTTAAAAGGGGTTCACGGCCGTGATAATGCAGTAAGGTACATTGCAACAGCCCAGATCAATAACACCTCCAGGCCTGAGCATGCGCCGAGTGTTGTGAAATAACGTCCACACAAGATCTCCAGTCATTCCCAAGCGCGATAAATGAATAGGTGCTACGAATCAATCAGATATAGACCGCCGGGTCACAATAGATAGAATCGTGAAGCCTTCGACGAACACGCTCCTAAACAAGAAACATACCTCCAGAGGTGGCGGCATGGCCCTAAACTGCGAAAATTGTGGCGACCAGTGTTCGCTCACGTACTTGCGAAGCATAATGGACGCCGAGTGCTGGAAGGAAACACATAGCCATCAAGCCACGGCCTGAGCGCACGAAACGCGACACACTCATCTGGCGTAGTGCCAGGGTGGCATCCTGGGTGAGTACAAGTTGCGAGAGCGCGATCCCCGCCTCTGCCGACGCGTCCCAACGCGCAGCGCACAACACGAGGTCAGCACGCGTCCCAAATGAAGCGAGAGCGGTGCGAACCTGGGGTTTTGAGGAGCTCAGTAAGCTTGAGCTCGGCAGTGATGCGAATGTTGGTGTCGGGGGAAAGGGTAGCTGAGAGGCATTGTGCGATCTCTGCTGAAGCCATGGAAGTTTGAGTCTGAGGACGGGATGCTGCAGCCTGTCACGGTCACACACTGTAAGTCTGACGCGACCATCACGATCACGCGACGCGGTTATCGATCTCGTTATTTTATTTTATTTGACTCCCATCCTCAGTGACTGACGTTCAGGACAAGCTTGGCAGAATAAACCTGTGACTATAAATGTCGCGCTGGGTTCTGACAGAGGCTGCACCTGATCCACGACAAGATAGCAAGGAACTTCCAAAAACATACCCGATATGACAAGTCAGCTTCCTCATTCGGCGTCAGGGGAGTTCAGGCTCACGCCTATGTACTACAGGGGGTTCTTCACTCAAAACTGGCGCAAGGCCTATAGCTCCGTCGTCTCATCCCGTACCCTCGTAGTTTTTGACCAATCTATGCAACCTCATCTTCTAAGTGCGTGCTAATTTTGGAATAAATACTGTAATAGAGGTTGAATCGGCACGAAAATACTGAAATGATGGCGCAGTTGCTTACACTGGTTGGTCTTCTTCAAACAACAACAACAACAACAACCATGTTGTCGTCCCGGCCTCGATGAATTTGGGATTTTATCGTCGCCGATAGCTCATCCAACCCTCTATACCCGCCCCATGATAGGCATCCAGTGTACGGAGTTAGCGTTCCCGACGTTGGGCAAACGCAGCCACACACACCCTCACCATCATCCACCAGTCCAATCGCACATCCATCCCCGCAGCACGCCAACCAGCTCATCGTCACTTCCTCTACCACTCGGTCTGTCGCATTCATGAACCATCATCGTTTGTCCTAGGATGGACGACTGCCGTTCACAGCGGACTTCATGCTCGCTCACGTTCCCGCTGGGCAACCGGGTTGGATTATGTAAGGGGTTGGTACAGAGGGTCCTTGGTTGATGCTTTCCCCTCCTTTCAAGGAGTCCTTTCTTCCGGCGTAACCCCCATCCACCTACATGGTCTTATCACCGGTGATCCTGTACTCCAGGTAGCGGAGTGCTAGTCCGGCCAACGTCCCGCTCATGCCATTGTAGATCCGCTGCTCCATACATACTTGGTTCGTCGAGGCCTGTCGTAGACATGTCCTAAGCCCACTGGGGCGAAGGCGGATATCGTATTGTAAACATTGTAAACAGTGGCACGCAGCCACGGCATTCCGGATTTGGGTAGGTTGTTTCAAAGCCCGAGCGGACGAGCGCCTTTTGTCACGGCTGTGGCAGGCACGTTGAACGCAAACCGTTATCCCTCCTCGGAAATTCGCTGTGCTGGTCCGCATCCCTATCGGGCATACGAATCATTTATATTTATGGTGTTCATGGATGGTTACACCTTAGTTAGGTTTTTCCGGAGCTAGTGAGTCTCGAGATCTGCCAAATACCCACACGGCAGCTCTGTGGTACGGTGAGCATTTGCTCTCCTGTGCTTCACACACTTCATATAATTTTATTCCGAGTATCTGAGGACATCAAATAGGTCCTTGATAGTGTACATAAAAATGCCGGGAGGGATCCAATGTGGAAGGAGCTGGAAACTAATTTCTATATTTTGAAAGCAAACCCGCTTTGAAGAACCCCCTTCGTGATAGTAGTTCTTGTTTCTGAAACTTGAGGCTAGCTGGCACGCTGCAAACACAACTACAATTCACGTTATGAACGGTCGTAGCGGACACGACTCAAGGTCGATCGACACCACGCAGTGCAAGTGAAGTAAACAAACAACATCATTAACCGATCGACGACGCTACAAACACCTTCGTTCATTAGAGTCCCGTTCAATATCGTAGCGTCCAAACGAGGCTCGGTTGAGAACGGACACGCGAAATGAAGCACACGAAGAGACAAGGAACACTCCGGGACACCGATCGCGGACGACGGAGGAAGCGACTCGGACGCGATCACGCAATGAGCTGACCGCGCAGCCCGTCGCCACGACGCGTGGCAGAGATACCACGTAGGAAGACGATGAACAGGGCAAAGAATGTCACGATACTGGGAGTAGCAAAATTTCAACTTCAGGAGGATGGTACGGACTAATTTCGCACGCACAAAAGTACCCAGGCGAAACCTTCCAGGGCGTTCAACTGACCACAGTATGTGACATGGTCAAATTTCCTATGTTCACACGGTGGGTGAGCAACCACGACAGCACTAAGGGCAAACGGTGTACCCACCCGCAGCTCAGTCCACCACCCAGGGCCTGTGTGATCGCAGCTGCTCCCGCAAGCCAGAAGACCCACGTCATGAACAGGCTGAAAAGTGAAATACGTGTCAGCCGCACACATTGCAACGGGACATCGGAGTACCCACAAGATCGCATGGCTGAGCACGCTCGTGAGGATGGAGCCCGACGGGGAGTGCAAGAAGAGGATGAGGTAGAGCGACGAGAACAGCACGGTCCAGGACGACGCAAAGAGAATGAAGCGTGTGCGGTCACGAATGGCAGAAGTGGGGAAGTTGTGGTGCGAGTTGTACCGGGCGGTCAGCCAAGCCGAGATGGAGAGCTGCTGGGCTATCAGTTGACACAAGCCTAATCTGAAGCTTGCTACGCACCTCGATGATGGCAAACACAATGATGAAGGCGAACACGACTGTTCAAAGCGAGAAAGGTTCAGTTGTGATGCGCATGTTCGTTCTGGCGCGGGAGACTGACTAGTGTGTCCCCGGCGAATATGAGGGTCGAAGTCAAATGCCATGATGGAGTAAATAGGCGTTGAGGGGAGTGCTTCACAGTACTGACGTGGTTGATAACGAGGTCGTGAGCGTGAAGTCGTGAGCTAGGAGAGGGGAGGTGCACGGCGGCTGGCGCAAAGTTAAAAACGGAGTCGCACTCCAAACCGCGTCGGCTCTCGAACGCGGTTCCATAAAGTGGGTCGACCCGCCCCGTGACGTCATCGGATTTTGTTTTCCGACGCCTTGCTGACTCTCCCAGCACAGTCAGCACGAGAGCAACGATATTACTCGGACACGTCTCGTAAAATACAATTGCACGCTCATTAGCAACAACGTATGCACCAGCCTCTACTATATCCGTAAAATCGTAAAATCTGTTAGCGTCAGTTCTAGCTCGCAGAAGACGGTACATTGTCAGGCAAGCATATCGTCTGCCCTGGCATCAGCTTGTCACAGTCCAGTCCGGGATTTTCCTCCAACAGTTTGTCGACGGAGACGCCCCTCGCCTGCGACAGTCCCCAACATGTGTCGCCCGCCCGAACGCGGAACGCATCGCTGCTGCCGGGGCAGAGCTTCACCTCTGGGGGATCAGGTTCAGGAGCCGATGGCGAATGAACTAGGCGGATAACCAAGAGCAGCACAACTGCCACAAGAAGAATAAAGGGGAATAGCATCCGATAGGCACTTGTATTGAGGCCTTGCCCAGCTGATGCGGCTTGATCCTGCGTGAGCAGTAAAGGTAGATGAAAGATCATCGTCGGGAGAGTTTCATAACGTACTGGACTCGTGGACAGCGGTAGGTACCCGTCTCCGCGTCCCGGCGCAGCTTCGAGGTCGTTTTCGTCGTCCTCACTTCCGCTGGGAGCCGCTATTGCGATTGGTGCGTTTGAGACTATTTGAACACCACGCGAAGTTTAGCGACTCTGTGGTCCCGCGGTCATATATGCCTTCCTCGGGAACAAGGAAAGCATAAGTCCATGAGATAACTCACCCCTCTTCATTTCCCCATACTCTGCGCCTTCTGCGCCCTCCCAGAGCGTGCCATCCTGGTCACGAAAGTAGTATTTCCCAGAGTCAGCGTCGTAGCCTACCCGTTTCATGCCCTCAGGCAAGCGGTAGTCGTCCTGAAGCCGAAAAAAGTCATGAGCATGGGGGGGCAGGCGAACGAAAGGGAAACTACTTCGTCGTACTGGGTCCAACGGCCCATGGTGTGACAGTTTCAGGAAGAAAAGAGCGAGTTGCTGTGTCGACGTTGAGTCGCAACCGTTGTTGATCTGGGTCTCGATCACTGACAATCATCTAATCTTATCTACCCTTCAGTGCAAGTGTGCAAACGGACTTGGAGGCTTGTTCGAAGCACCGGCCAGCAATCAGGAAGTCTACATAGAGGAGTGGAAAAATATCGTAGACTGTATTTCTAATGGCAAACTTTGTGCTGCTGGTGCAATAAATGCCGAACGAAGATTGTTAAGTCAGGGACGTCGCAAAACGACAGTTCCCTGCAGTCTCTAACCGGGCTGCGTGCTACCTAGAAATAGGTCCAGGTTGATCCAGAGGGAGCAGAAAGCCCTAGAAATGCCATCGAACCACAGACAACATTGTGAGGCTGTTCCGCTGCCTTGCACCGGTCTGCATGGAGAGCATCAAGATATTGCCGACGAGTTTCAACGGAAATAACAACCAGTAGCGAACGAAGGGCAGGAAGGACTCGGAAGGCGCAAGAAAGATCCGTCCTCCGAGCGGTCGTTGGCTGTGAGCCGACGGGGAGCATGACGTCCAGCCTGTGGTCGAGAGCTGCTTTGCACAAGGCCTGGAAGGCGTCTGCATCGTCTCCCTGCACTACCACACGGATACGTCGACGACGCCCACCACGACCCACTCGCGACGTGCATCTCTGTCGAATCTGCTCGATATTCTTGTTGCACAAGATATGTCCAGACCTCCGGGCTGCATGTGGTTGTGGCGGAAATGATATCTTCGTGTGTCAGCACCGTGATCTGTACGGCTCACACCCTCTAGCAATAGGTGCATATCCTATGGCCGTAAAAGCTCTCAGGTCTGCAAGAAAACAGCAGGAGATAGTGCACACCTTCTCGTATGGAAAACAGAGACCACGGAGTGGTGGTTGCAAGACGTATGATGGTTTGCAGGAAGCCTGCCTGCCCGGCGCTGCCGTCCGACAAGCTCGAGTGCCGAGCTGTCCTAGGGTAACTCCGGCAAGCAGGGTTTTATTTACGTCCGGGCTCTGACGACACTGGCCAGAAAACTGTCATGTATAAGAGTGCACGACCCATCATGCATCACGGCGCTCCATCTTTCCATTCGCAACCCACTCGCTCGAAAACCAATTCTCTGGCTCATACATGGCAACAGCAGCGACGAAGGCTCTGCGCGTCGCGCTGCGTGGCGGCGGCATTCTAAGCCATCCGCGCTTTAACAAGGGCACCGCGTTTCCTGCCGCCGAACGCAAGGCGTTCGGTTTGACGGGGCGTCTCCCGTACCGGGTCAACACTCTCGAAGAGCAGTGTCATCGCGCGTACGACCAGCTCTGCACCCGCGACACCCCCATCCGGAAGAACACCTTCCTGCAGAGCTTGAAGGACCAGAATTGGGTCTTGTACTATGCGCTCCTCAGCAGGCATCTGAAAGAGCTCATCCCGATTATCTATACACCGACTCAAGTGAGTATCTGTGGTGCAGTCGGTGTGTTGCAGGCTTCTGTGCACATCTTCTCTCTCGATCGCACTCGACCAGGGAGAACATGTACATAGCAGGTCGTTCACCTCGCTCTTTTCTGCTCCGATGGGCAGTCTAGGTTTCGAAAATGATACTGATGACCTCTTTCATAGGCGGATGCAATCGCCAACTATTCTCATCTTTTCCGACGTAGCGAAGGGATGTACCTCACATTCCCGAACCAAGATAGTATGGAAGGAGACTTTCTCGAATTGACCAAAGGTCGTGATATTCAACTGTTCGTTATCTCGGATGCCGAAGCTATTCTGGGTATTGGAGATCAGGGTGTTGGGGCAAGTGTTGCGTCTTGTTTGTTCTTCAATTAAATCATTAATTTCAGTCTACAGGGTATTGGGGTAAGAGTAGTGAAAGTATGTGTCGACTGGCGTTTGACTGTCTGTTAGATTGCTACTGCGAAATCAGCCATTTATACGTGAGTACGATCTTGTGTTTCTTTTTCAGAGTCCCTAAAGTTACTGTATAAGACTACTTGCTGGGATCGATCCATCGAAAGCCATCAGTGTCACTCTGGATCTAGGTACGGATAATGACGACTTATTGAATGACGATCTCTACGTTGTGAGTTCAGGCGTACATACCGATTTCACCAATCTCATGTCTCTTCAGGGTTGGCAGAACAACCGTGTCCGTGGTCTGGCGTATGACAAGTTTGTTGACAAGTGCGTATCTAGCCACGCCCACTCCGACGGTGCCTGCTGACCACGTCGTAATGTACAGATTCATGCAACTCGTTCGCAAATATTATCCGCACAGTCTGGTGCACTTCGAGGACTTTGGCGTTAGCAACGCAAAACGACTTTTGGACAAGTACCGCGACCAGCATGCTGTTTTCAACGACGACGTGTATGTCTGCACACAATACAATGTGCTGAGCATACGGCTGACCTGCTAACAGACAAGGCACCGGCGCAGTCACTCTGGCAGCGATGATGTCGGCCGTCGGCGTGACCAAGTCCAGACTTGCAGACCAGCGATTTGTCGTCTACGGAGCGGGCACTGCGGGGCTTGGCATCACGCGCCAGCTACGCGACGGCATCGTTACAATCGACAAGCTCTCTGAGGCAGACGCGAACAAGCGCTTTTTCCTCATGGACCGCTACGGCCTCATCAAGGAGTCGCTCGGTTCCAACAAGATCCGCGACGAGGTGCGCGACTTTGTGCGCCCCGATGCGGAGTGGGTAGGCGTGCCTACGAATGCTCAAGGCGAGGTTGAGCTACTGGAGGTCGTCAAGAAGGTCAAGCCGACGGTGCTCATTGGCTGCTCGACTCGCGGCGGCGCGTTCACAGAGCAGGTTGTGAAGGAGATGGCGAAAGGCACAGAACGCCCTATCATCCTGCCGCTTTCGAACCCGAGCAGGCTGGCCGAAGTCAACCCCTCGGATGCCAACGACTGGACTGAGGGCAAGGCGCTCATGGCCTCCGGGAGCCCCTTCCCTCCGTGTAAGAATCCGAAAGGCGGCAAGGACTACATGTGAGCGCGCCTGATGTCAGCGTGGTACACGTTTTCGAGAGTCACTGATGTATTCCCATCACGCAGCATCGCGGAATGCAACAGTAAGTTTCACGAATTTGAGTCAGATGGTACTTACATTTCTGACCACTGCGGTTCAATAGATGCGTTGATCTATCCAGGATTGGGCTACGGCGCTCTGATCACACAAGCGCGCTCTCTCACCGACACCATGATCATTGCTGGCGCACAACGCCTTGCATTGCTGTCTCCGGCCTTGAAGGATCCTGACAATGCACTGCTCCCTGACTTCACCGATGCACGAGAAGTTAACTTCGAGGTGGCTGTGGCCGTCGTGGAGCAAGCTATCGACGAAGGCAGTGCAAATGTGACCTGGAAGAAGGAAGATGTGCGCGAGAAGATACACGCGGATATGTGGCTTCCGGTTTACCCGGAGTTCATTTACGACGAGGCCGGGGAGCGTTGAGGGGGATGATACACCTGGGTGTCACGATGTTTATGATAGAAGCCCAACGCTGGTTGAGCGTGCGTTCGAGTTCAGACATGCTAGAACTACTGGTAGACTTTCAGAACCACACCTTGGCCGTACACGTTATTGCTCATAGACTTGCACATCACATAGCACAAGCTACAGTAGAATAATAGTATTTACATTGCACTTCGAATTCAAGTTCACGTCGATATCGGAAATAGCCGAGAAACGCGAGCTGACAGCCTGAGTGAGGCTCCGGATTCAATACGAAGTCTATCGCTAACCACCTTTGACTTCGCATTCGTCGAATTTTCACGTCTACCATGGCCGAACTTTCTGCACCTGCGATGCCTGCAGACGCCATGCACGGTGTCGCCCCAGATATCGCCGCGCCTGCACCTATCCCAGCGGGAGAATCTGCGTCTACTCCTCCGCAAGAGCCAGAATACATATCTGAGACCCTTTACATCCAGAACTTGAACGAGAAGATTAAAATTCCAGGTATAACTCAGTGTTTTCCCATTCCATATGTCCTTCGTGATGACGGTATCATACCAGTTCTCAAGGCGTCGCTAAAGGGTCTGTTCAAGTCCTATGGTGAAGTACTTGACGTGGTCGCGCATGGCAATCTTCGCATGCGGGGGCAGGCGTTTGTATCATTCGAATCTCCTGAGATCGCGAAGAGGGCTCTGAAGGAGGTCAGGGGCTTCCCTCTGTATTCGAAACCAATGGTGCGCTCTCCTTTTATGCCCGGCGTACCCGTGTACTGATCTTCTGTTGTAAACTAGCAAATTTCCTTCGCGAGGACACGTTCGGACGCGGTTGTCAGGAAGTTGGATTCAGGCAATTATGAGGCGCACAAAGCGCGGCGGCTAGAACACAAGAGTACGCAGATTATAACTTGACAACTCAGTGATGTGCTTGATGACCTTATCACTCAGAGGACACCCGCTACACCAATCCTCTGAAGCAGAAGTACCGAACTAGGAGACTGGCTGCTGCTAGTAAGTCTCACGTCTTACTTTGTTGGGAATTGTACTCACTCTGCTGTGCTCAGTGGACGGCGCAGGCGCTGCGCCCGTCTCGAAGCGTCCCAATGTCCAGATGCCCGACGAGTACTTACCGCCCAACAAGATTCTGTTCTTGCAGAATCTCCCAGAGAGTGTCAGCAAGGATCAGCTCATGGCTCTCTTCTCCCAGTGTGTATCATGATTATGATGAGCGCGGAACGAGTGCTCACGCGCCCCCCTTCTTCAGATATCCAAATCTGTACGAGGTCCGTCTCATCCCCACGAAGAAGGACATCGCGTTCGTGGAATATATGGACGAGGGAAGCGCGACTGTGGCCAAAGATGCGTTGCATAACTACAAGCTGGATGGGGAGAACAAAATCAAGGTACGTCATACGGTCCCGCTCTCTTTTGCAAATCCTGATACGCTTTGTGTCAGATCACGTTCGCCAGAAAATGATTATCAGCCCGTTTCATCCATCTTTTGAGAAGACGATTGACCGAGGTTTGTCGATGCCCGTCAGGGCGGCCCCATTACTGATGTAATTCTTCTTGTAATGTGTATTGTATCCGCATGGTCAGAGTGCCCATAGCGTCACTATTGTAATGATGTTCGATTTATGCTGTGCATTCCATATCCAGTCCGGAGAACAACGTGGGAGGGTACATGATACAAGGATCCGACAAATCGTATCAATCGCCTGCAATTTAGTGAAGGGATTATCCTATGGCATGCTAGAGGACACAAGTGGAGGATCGTACAAGAAGGATGACAAGTAGCAGTACACAGTTCACACAGGTGACCATCTCAAACACGTAAATCACCCTTGCTCACACCTATCCCTGAGTAGTCAGTAGCGGTAGTAGTGAGCACGATAGAGGCGAGGAAAGAAGACATACCGGCAGTACTGAAGGTAATTTTCGGCGGTACCAGATCGTCGTACGTACCTACTCGACTGGTGTACAAGGTGGGCGTAGGCCCGCGTTTCTCTGTGACATCGCTCAGCTCAACCTCGTCTTCCTCGCGAGGCCCGATCTCCACAATTAGCTCGCCGTCGTGTGCGCCCTTCCTCCACTGCACGCGACTGAGTTCTGCGTTGTTCAAGAGCCAGTTGGGATCTATGGAGAGATTGGCAGCGAGCGACCGGATGCTCAGCATGAGGTGAGATGTGGCGATCGATATGAGACCAAGCAAGGCACTGCGGAGGTTGTCAGTCAGTGTGTCACTCCATGCAAGCGGGACGTACTTGGAATATATGGCCGGAAACATGATCTACGAGGAATGTCAGGGCTGTGCATAAATTATGAAGGACTCATCTGATCATACCTCAAGATGATGATGCTGCAGGGCTCCGATTGTTGAGACAAGTGCAACAACTACCGTAGTCCAAGAAGACATTGAGAAATGTCATTTGTTGACTATCAGGAGGGAGAACGCACTAAATACTACTATGTAGAACGTGCCGCCGCTATGAAGAATTCAATATGCATGGAAGGGCATCGTAGAATGTACGACGTACTCCCGAATAAGACGAAGCATCAGCGGAGAGCGTCTGCCATCGCCATTGGGTTTCAGAGCAGGGATCGTGGTTCCGATAAATAGAATTGTATGTATGATCAGATTTGGAAGGAACATTCTCCATGCATCGGTTGCGGGAGGAGCGCCACACCCAAGGAAATTGTAACCAGGAATGTCTATGTGGATAGCGGCGAATTGGTGCCACAGGGATGCAAACACCACTGCAGTGGCGACAGTGCATCCGACATATGCTACGACCACGAGTAGCCTCAGAGTACGCCTGCTGGAGAATATATACCAAATCCGAAGGACGATGATTCCTATCATCCTTTTCAGGACAGTATACAGTGAAGAGTACGCGACCGCTGACGAACCTTGCACGATGCAGATACCAATTATGTTCAGAATGTACGTAGCCGGTATGGCCCCGGTGCAACTGAACGATGAGATATTCAATACCTTTCACGAGCAAGGATGTTACTCAACCCACAACTATAAAACACGACAGATCAATCGATAGGGGAACAGATGAAGGTACCACGATAGCTTACTTCGAATGAAAGGCCAGGGGCAAACAAACCTGCATAGAAAGCATGAGAAACACAGCAACCTGACGATCTACCCTCTGCGCTTACTGATCAACCCCAAACTGACGGAGATGTCAGACACAACGCAGAAAAGCCAAATGTTAACTCACATAATGACGATCGGAGCAAAATATCTGTTCTAAGGTTGCGGGAGATGAGAAAGTAGGGACAGTCAGATCTCTGTACCGACGCTCACCGTAATAAATAAAATCTTCGTCAAGTCCCAGTCCCCTTTCCAAAAGTATTCGATCTGGAGCGAACATCAATTTGTGTACGCGAAACCGTAAGGCGAAGTTCCTCACCTCCTCATCGACAGTCAAGAAATAATCGTACGAATAGGCGATGAAGGTTGCCAATGCTAGATAACGCGTATTTTGAGCGCCTTCTAACGATGGCACCAACGCCGCAATCTCATTTGGAATGGTTGCGGATATCGTGTCTGCCATCACCGCATACCAACGAAACGAAGGACTGGAAGATGGATGTGGGGAATAGGCCAAAGAAGGCTTCCAACGATGTGATAGACATTTTGTACAGCTCACCTGTAAGGTTCCATCACTGACAGTCACACCTGCGGAGTGATGTGATGATCCCCCGAGCGGAGGATGCGATCATGCCCGTGATCCATCAGATCAAGGCGCCGTGTCTGCCCAAGTGCACTTCGGCGTCGGCCAAACTCTTCTTCACACCGACTGCCTGTCTGAAAGAAAGGCAGCGGAGGAGGCGAGAAGGTCTCAGCCTCTGGCTGCGCTCGGACCGCGGTGCACAGTGCACAGCCTGGCAGAAGCGGTTCTGTGTCGGAGCTTATCCATCAAGTGGCGTGAATAGGACACAACGATTTCAATTTACATTATTTCGAAACAGGTTCTCGGAGTTTCTGACAGGGTGCATTCTGATGTGGATTCTTGCGAATCTGCTGGCAGTATTAGCGAATCGCCGTTGGTGGTTAACATATGCTTACTACCGGTTAAACGAGCAGGCTACGGTTTCTAGCTCATTCATGCATCTTGTGAGTCAAGACCTGGTATTTGAGATAGAAAGCTGCGGAAGGGTGGCATCTGAAGCGACAGCTGGAACGCTCACTGCTCACGGAGGCCTCCCAGCCTCATTTAGGTAAAGCCGCTGTTAGTAAGGATTAAGGTCCGCTGAAGGAATTGTAGCCGTTCAGTGATCAAAGGAGCCATAACTACGTATGGCCATGGTTGATTGTAGATTCACGCAATGGGGAACCAACGAGAGACTAGGGAAGCTCATGGATGACCGGCGCATGGATTAAACGGTTGGAAATTGTCACACGTCAGCGTTGTACTGGTGACCGTGACCAGGCACGGAGAGGAGGAGGTACGGTGTCGCATTCCTTCGTCTCAAGATCTCAAGTCTCCAACACTGGTCGCCCGCCATACCTACACTATTCTGAAAATCTGAAACTGTTGGAAAAGGGGCGCATCAGTTCCACAGTTCATGGAGGATCACATCGTGTTGAATGAGCATGGCGTGACTGAATCCTCCGACAAGTCAGATTGTAGCGCCCGGCAAACCACGACACCTGCCAAAATGAGCGCCACCCCCGCGAACCGGTTATCGAGACGCGACACGCCTGCCAAAGCCCTGGGAGCCTGAAGTCCCTTTCTGAACTTCTCTCCCGACACTACCACCTGCAATCGTCAACACAAGATGTTATCTGTCAGTCATCCCAATCTTGTGTTGCTCACGCACTAACTGCACAATAGAGCGATTCAGAGAACGAATTTTGGGAAAATGACACTTCGCAGGATCGCATTCAGTGGTTCATCGCTGCAGCTGAGGCCGAGGCTGCATCGTCTGCGCATCCAACGAGTTCAAGAGGCGGCACGATAGGAGCTAGTAATAGTTCTGTCAAGAAGAAGCCTCGAGTGCAGACGTCCCGGACCGAAGAGTTTGGGAGATCTAATCCTTGTGAGTCCCAACACAATGTGACAATGAGTCTCTGCACTCTGGTGTGGCCGGGAATATTTTCCAATCCATCGTATCGACATGAATTACTTTTCGAGCTGTTCAACCCGTCTGCTGACTTCAGCAGCCATCACTCCTCGAGCTCAGCAGACCTCGTCGGGAGAGTTGGACACGAGCACGCCGACGTTATGCTTCTGTGATCCGACGATTCGATGTTATACCACATCTTATCAACATATTTCAGCGCCGGTTAGACTGGCGTATGGTTTCCGAAATGGACGATGATGCAAAGAACCGGAATGCTGATCCATCCTGATTTTATCGAATAGCGTCGACGGTGAACTCCCGAACTGAATCAAAGAGATCGCCATCAAAGGTAAGTTCCCCCTGACGCGGTGAATGCCCAACGCATTAAAATCTCCCGTAGCAGCCTGATCGTCAGGCAGGGTACGACACGGACATGGCAGATGTGGAAGAGGGTATGTGCTCTCACATTGGCCACTTACTTATCTGACACGCCACAGTTGAAAACAGTGCGTGTATATACTCTTGTGAAGGAATTTGATCATGAGTTCGCTGTCTTGGTAGTGGTGGAGACGGATACTGAAGCGTCGTTGTCTTCTGATACTTCCTTCAAATTCTCGCAGTTCGACTCTCGAACGACGTCAATGACGTCTGTTCTTTCAACCCCATCCTCTAGCACGAGATCACCCCGAAAGCGCACATTAGAGTATATGGACACTTTCGGACGTCCGTCCCCTCCTGGCACTCCCTCACCTAAAGCGCGCAAAATGACAGTACAGCTGGCTGCTCGCGCAAGCACTATGCAGACTGAGGGGCCACAGATATTCCGTCGTCCGACCAAAGCAGGAGATCAGCTCAGCCCTGGTCAACCTTCGCCGATGAAGAAGTCCATCTCAGCAATGGATTCATCAACGCCACGCGCCTTAGAGGGTCGGAAGTTCCTTCGTCGTTCTGATTCTGATTCTTCTGCTGCGCGAGCGATCGCTAACTCTCCTCTCACTCCCACTCAATCCACGGGTAGGAAATCACCGTCGAAGGCATCAACCTCCGGTTCATCATCCACACTGAGCAAAAGCCCTGAATTCGCCTCGGCGCCACCGAAATCAGGGTTTGTTATCGTAGCTCATTCCAGAGCAATTCAGAAGATCTTGGACGACAAGAGGATTGCATGGGGTGTGCAGTACGAACTTGCTCGTGGGGTCTCACAAGGGTTGTGGAGCTGGGACGATGTGACAGAATCGAAGCTAGAAATTCTGCAAGGTCCAAACAGGACCGCGGCACCTCTCGTAGCGCAAGTGATGTCGTCGGGCAACTTCGTAACAAGGGAAACCGAAGCGGATGCCCAGCTTTGGTATGTCGATTATATTGTTGTAGTCTCCGAACTGCTCTTTATTGACTTTTATGAAGGCAAGAGCTCGATCGTGAAGAGAAAGCGATTATTGAGAATCGTAGTCGCGGACTTGGGCTGCAGGGGGAATGGGACGAGAAGACGAACTGGTATGGTGGGAAGCTACAGCAGGTCGCAAGTCTTGTCAAAACGGGGGACGGCCGAGCGGCGATTTATATCCTCAAGCTTGAGAAGATACGCATGCGGAAGTCCACCCGCTTTGCGCGATTTCTGGGTTCCCGCCGAGTTCTCCAGGTCAATATACCCTCGTCCCTCAAATATGCCGACCTACCGTTCATCCGCAAGTTCATGTGTCAGCAATTCATAGTCTGTGGCAGGATTTACGTCCCCTTCTGCTCAAAAGAGGGCAAGGTGTACATGATGGAGATCAATCAAGACTACGAACGGACGCGCAATACTGATGGCGATCAATATCGTATATCTCTCTCAGCATTTGTGGGATGGCACAACAACCTGGCATTGAACACGGGGCAGGTGAGTGCACATGGTCTTTAGTGAACCATCTGCTCATCAAACCAATTCTATAGCCCACAACTAAGTGGACTACACGTTTCGAGTTAGGCCTTTCGACATCGGTCCCTGCCATACAGTTCCAGGACAATGGTGATATCATTTACCTCGATGATAAAGGTCTGTGTCACCGATGATGTGTGGCCAGAGTCTTCCAATTTCTGACTGAATTCGATCGACAGTGGCTCCGTACGATAAGGCTCTGAAAAAGGCACCGCCAGAGAATATATTCACGGACGGCTGCGGTTTCATGAATGGCGCGGCGTTGATGCAGATCGGAAGACAAATGGGATACTCTGAACGACCAACTGCACTGCAGGGTCGCGTTGCGGGCGCAAAGGGCGTCTGGCTTTTACACCCAGACGACCAAGCACCAGACAACGAACCGAAGATATGGATTCGGCCATCGCAGCTAAAGATCAAGCATCCCAAGCTGAGTCCCGAGCTGAGTCCCGCCCAACTAATTTTCGATCTCGTCGCACCTCCACGTGTAGTCGTCCCATCCAGACTCAATAGGTACGCGATAATGAATCTAGCGCACAACGGGGTCCCAACCAAAGTCTTTGTTGAACTCATGGAAGATGGCATCATGGAAATCATGACTTCCTTGACGAACTGGACTGGTCCTGAGTCCATGCGCCTGCTCTGGGCTGCCGTGTGCAAGGCTGGTCGGGTCACAGGCATGCAGCTTCAAAGATTGGGGTCTGTCTCGTCGAGGGCACTAGGTCTCTCGGGAAGATTTGAGAGGGATTTGGACGGCCAGGGCGTGGATCTTGAAGATGCAGATGATGATTCCGACAACCTTTTTGAGTCCACAACTGGTCGCGATCCATACAGCGGGAGACCGATCAGTATTCATGAGAAGGTGATGGAACTCCTCCAATCGGGTTTCAGTCCGCTGGAACTCCCTTTGCTTTTCACCGAGCTTCGGCGGGTCATCACTTTCAAGATAGATGAGTTCTTGAAGGAGTATCATATTGCTGTTCCCAAGTCTGCCGAAGCGTTCATTGTCCCAGGTATGTTGATATTAAATGGAGCTTGCTTATGCACCTCTAACCAACATTCAAGACCCCTATGGTATTTTGGACGAGGGTGAAATACATTTCAGGTCCTCGCAAGACTTAAAACATGGTAATGAAGACTTACATCCCAAAATCATCTTGGGCGATGTTTTGGTTCGTACGGCCATTTGATTGCAGTAAGGAGTTACTAAGTGTTGCGATAGATCTACAGAAACCCTGCCAGAGTGCCTTCGGATATCCAGAAGGTGTGTTGTATCTTCATGGTTTGCAAGGATAATTAATGGATTGAACCGATGAATATCAGGTCACAGCTGTTGCCTGTTCTAAACTATCTGAATATTTGGATGTTATTGTATTGCCCACGAAGGGTACCCGTTCGTTAGCAAGTGTTCTCGCAGGCGGAGGTAAGATATGCACCTTTTTGATTTTGATGTATCTGAATACCAGATGCAGATGTGGACGGAGGTGAGAATTAAGGTGAACCTGACATCGGTAATCGATGACACAGTCCTCTTTCGCAGACACTTGTGTCTGTATATTTGATCCAGCGCTTGTCCAACACTTCACGAATCCGCCTTTAACGACTCATGCGGCTGACTTTATCTCCGAAAATTTCAAACCGGAAGGCACAATTGAGACGGTTGGTCACTTGCACAGTCGATTAGAAGGTCTTCCTCCTGTCGAACGACAGCTAGAATTGCAGAAGACCTTGCTCTCCGGTCTTGCAGACAAGCCGGTAGGGATCTACTCGAAGTTCCATGAGATTGCGGCATACACCCTGGGCTATGATCACCCCGACACGATCCGCAATGCTTTCATGTGCGTCATCGAGTCATCAGTCTTAGATAAACCAGCCTTGTTCTTCCTCTGATCATGGTTGCAGGTTTACAACAGTTCTTGATTCCGGTAAAACGGGTCATAAAGTCAAGGACGATGTCCTGAAGTTGGATAAGCAGCGGTTCGATCGTGGTCCCCCAGTATGCATGAAACTGGGCAACAACCAGGATTCCGATTCCGGTGTAATTCGTGTAGTTCGCAAGGACCTACCACCGTTCATTCTGGACCAGTTACTTGATGCTGGAAAGCAAATCCATGACAACTGCATGAAGGATTACGACATGCTGGGGGAACAGCATAACATAGCTGGCAGTCGTAGGAAGGTAGACAATGACCTCTTGAAGCCCCTCAGGAATGCCGAAAGCCTTGCGGAGGAGATGAGAGGCCGAGGCGACGATGTCTTCTCCAAGGAGCTCAAACTTATCAAGGAGCATGTCAAGACGCATGTGGCACTTTGGCAAAGCGCATGTCACCAATTGCGGCCGAAATCTACCTTTTCTCCTGCGAAGTCGCGTTTTCCGAAGAAGAAGACCCGAGAACTGCACGAAGTGATGAAGTCTTTCGCAGAGGGACCTCGGGCGCTGCCGTTCTTCTCCAGGGGAGGGAATTTGGACTGGATTAAAGCTTCTTGTGCCTACGCAGAGCAGTCTAACTTTGCATTCACCGTCGCTTTCCAAGATCTCTGCGACATCAAGGCCAAAGCAGTTGGTTGCGCCCCCGTAACTCAAACGTTCTTGAATGCTATGACAATGCCCTCATCTTTTGTCAAAGTACTTACGCAGAACAGCTGTGCGTGACCGGGATCTGCGAGATATACCCTCGATTTGTTCTAGCATACGGATCTGTTGTTCCGATCTTCACGCTGCTCTGCATATATACTTGACTTTTGCTTACTTAGATTCGTGATACCATGATTTGCTTCACAAGAATCCGCAAATTGATGGAACTGTAACATCCTGGACACTCACAGACAGTCAGACTGGCCTTTCGAGGGCTCTTTTCCTCGAATACTGAAGATCTCAACTCGAACCTTCTGCAGTGATTCATTGATGTCTGCGAGCTCAGGCTCTCTATCTTGCTGCGCCTGAGGATCTGCTTGCCGTCAGATGGCCTTGTCAACGAATTGCCGTGCAAATGCCTCAGTACTCCACTACACAACTTGTCGGGTTTCTAGCAATTTCGGCGAAAAGGGCCATCTAAGTCAACACTCTTTAGCAGGATGACCACAACTGAATATTTGAACGGCTGTTCTCAATGCAAATGAACTATCGACAGACGGGCGAGCTCGTGAATAGGCCCAGTCGAGTTCCTGGCAGGAGCGGGTGCGACAAACGCTCTATTTTCCAAGTGAAGCCATCCATGGTCATGAACGACTAATTTACACGAGCAACGACGGTTATAGATGGTAAGCAGGGTATGAGACTATACGGTATAGATATCCGAGATTACAACGTGCGGCACAAAGGACCCAATAAGCCGCTAGAATATGCAAGGAGCGTGAGTCCGATGGGGACGATAAAGCGCTGCGACTCTGTGAACAATGAAGTCCATAGAAGTCCATAGGTGATATGCGACAGCGAGCGCTCCGTGGCCCCTCAAACGCGCTTCCTATATGCCTGTCGACGACGAACGAGCGATGCGAACAGAACGCGGTCGAGTCAGACACAATCGCACGTGAAGGCTGACGACACCCACCCGCTTGACCTTCTTCCGCATCAAGCGCTTGTCGACATAGTGCGCCATCTTCTTCAGGTCCGACCACATGAACATGGTGATCACGATCGTCATGAGCGGGAGGGCAATGATCCAGAATCTGGCGAGCGAAACACGGATTTGAGTCGGACGTCGGAGTAGTAAATAAAAAGCGTACGCACATAACGTCGGTATGATTGTGGTGGATGGACCACATGTTCTCAAAGTTCATACCCTGCCAAGCGAGCCAACATGTGAACGGAGCCGAAATGGAGTGGAAAAGGACGTACAAAGTAACCCGTCAACAGGGTGAGCGGAAGGAAAATGATTGTCGCCATCGTAAGCCGACGCCTGGGCGAACCCTCAGTCAATCACAAACAGGACAAGATAACAAGTGTAGACATACATCACGTCGTTCATCTCATACGAGGCCATCTAATGGGAGCCCAAATCGTCAGACCCCACTCAGAGGACGCTTTTAATGATCGCGACGGACGTTGAACGTGTAGTTGATCAGATTATCGCAGACCCCAGCAAACATGTCCAGGTTTGTCAGAATGTACTCCATATGGTCGTGCACATCTGCCTACGCCAGCTACGCATCAGCGAATTACTACGAGACACATGTGACAGGCGACACCTACGAGATATATCTTTGCCTTGTGGCTCATGTAACCTTCAATCTTCATGTGAGGGTCGACACGCTCCAAAAGCGCGGCGGCACGATCGTCATCATATCGCCGCAAGCCGTAGATGACTGTCTTAATAGGCTCAAGGGTACGCTGCATTACCTAGGTTAGTCACACCGAATTCGCAATGCCACAGTACGAACCTTGTGCAAAATCAGGTCACCCTGCAAGATGTGCACTAAGTATAGTCGTCAGAACCACCACTATGAGGAAGGAAGGGGAACACCTACAACGCCGAACTGTCCGCACGTTTGGCTTGATCAACACCGCTTGCTCGATGTTCAGGATCTTACTCTGGTACTCCTCGACAACCTCCAGAGCCTGATCGACAACTGCGGACATCTTAGCTGGTGCCATAAACCGATGCGGAACAGGATATATTCACTGAGATCGAGCAAACTTTGTACGAGAAGTGAAGGATCGGCCGTTGTTCGCAAACCTGAATCCCGCAGGCGAATACGTTCCATGATCGGTGCCGTGTAGTCCAAGTTAGGATCTTCATCAGGCAAGTTAGACAAAGAAATGATAATACAATTGAATAGACCTGGAGGTCTCCTCACCTTCGCAGATGGATATAACTGTCCCTATAAACGAGAAACCCAGTGAACATTCACATATGGGTAGCACAGAATGACCTTACCATCGCGGAACAAAAATATGCATACAGGTTGGATCCGGACGTTGACACGGTCGCCCTTTTTCAGTTCACGGATCAACTTCCTGTTTCGTGCGTTGGTCACCTGTATCCGCAGTTCGTCAAGCTTACAGGCATACGACTATCGCGAACGACTTGCCTTCTTGTCGTCGCCGTCGCCGTAAAGCTCACTAAAGCGTGATAGCTTCATGGGTAAGCTCTCCACGTCCTTTGTGGTGACATCTACTTTCCGACGTTTCATGGTATCCCGCTTTGTTGAGAAGCGCGACCCGCTCGCACTCTCGTACATCGTGCGCTCGTCGTCTTCCTTCCCTGCGCCGTCGTCGTCCAAGTCCTCATCAGAGAGAGGGTCGGGAGACGCCGACCGTGGCAGCGTAGTCACGGAAGAATTTGGCGTGGAACCGTCGGCAGAGCGGAGCGAGTGACATGAGACACGGATGAAGAGGTGCTTCGGGTAGTAGTCCACCTTTGAGCGGGAGCTCCCGTGTTGATGAAGGACGTCCTCCAGCGCCAAGGGGTGTATGTCTGCGCACTTTCTCAGTCGCACGCACCGAAATATAACATATCCGGTACCGACCGTACTTGAGTGCCAGCGCGCTCACGACGTCGTAACTAATACCCCCAACGTTGGAGCTGTCCCTTCGCGTTTATACTTCGCCCAATGGCGTCTATGATGTATTGCCGGCTAATGACGCTACGGAAAGACATGCAGCATTGCCTGCAAGTCTTCGTCCGGAATTGCGTAGATTTCACATCGCGTGCATTTTCCGTAACGAGGAGGATCTTCATGATATGCGTGGTCTCGTCAGAAACATATCGCCCAAGATCACCCATTTCCGCGTATCGATGTTGGCGTCAGCAGTAGATGCAGCGTTCCACGATGGGACGGTGAACATGCTCTATTCAGAGGCGGTGAAACACCACCTCGTCGTCCCCCGAGACTATTGGGTGAATTCGTACGACTTCACTCCCAGCGCAGTCACGTGGCCTTCCATCCTTCCCAACGCCATCCAGATGCTGGCGTTCCAGCCTCCGCCGCCGTTGCTCGTAGCATCCCGGGATGCGGGCACCCATTGCCGAAAAATCGTGAAATTCTACAGCTCAATGGAAAGGGCATCTAGTGGACACTTTATTCACATCCCGAGGACGCTATACAGCTACTGGGATGCGCGTAACGATTGGTTGGATCGGATCACAGGTGGACCTGGTTGTTGGAAGCAACCAGCCGAGGCTCAACCATGTTCTACATACTCAAGCAGTGGTGGTGTCGTCGCACATCGACTACCTCTCAGCCCTTCGAAGAGTAATGTTGGGGCTCGCCGCTTCTTATTCGTATTCGCTTCTTGCGCTGTTTTCGGTGGTTTGTTGTATTTATCCACCAGACCTGCCAAAAGATAGTGTTCTTGTTCGTAGTTTATCTTCCTATGTCCTCATGTCACAGGCTTATGTTGTGCTTGAATAATATTCCATCTTTGTTCTTGGTATTTCTAATCTCAGAGTCTGACATTATAACTTTGGAGATGTCTTCTACTCGAGCATCCCCAATCGTTCAGTGTGTGATAAATTTTCAAGGTCAATTTCACCAGTCTAATCGACAAAATCTGGACGCTACCTAGTAGCTAGTTAGCCAGACGGTTATCAAATACTCACCTCCTCGATGTCGGAAGGCAACTCAGCGAATCTCTGAATCAGCCAGGAATGCAGTTGCCCAGAATGCACTAGAATGCAGTCACCAGATTGGTACTCAGGCTCCTGGGAGCGCTCATCCTCTTCTCGTTCTGAACAAACTTAAGTATGTTGTGACCACTATTGCCTATTGAGTTGCTACACCCGGCTACTGTTGGACGCTGTATCGCGACCGACACACCGGACTTAATGCAAGTTATTCGTATTGACGACTCAAAAGGATGACTTTCCGACTGTTCTTACACAAGTCTCAAACAAACACCTAGTTGCCATATATATTCGAAAGGGCTCAGGTCGATCACTCACGGAACTCGGACTCACCTTGACCACGGTGACAGAAAAGCTGGAATCTAGTCTGCCAGAACACCTTTTTGGCACTATCCGTTTTGTCACCGGAGTCGCTGGTCCATATTCATCCCATCGAGAAATGCCGAATTGGATATAAAAACATCGCAAGTTTTGACCGTCGTGAGTATGTAACATCTATGTACACGTTAAAGGATCCGGACACATTGAGCGCGTCGATGCGTATCCAGTTCAGCTACATCGCCCACACATACAGGATTCGTCATGTCTATTTCTGTCGCACCTCTACCGCTTTACCCGTCTACTCGGGCACGAGGCTCTCTCTCTCCCTCGCAGTTGGCGATACTCAACCAAGCTATTTCTTCGTCTCTCGCTCAGACTCTGGCTCTTCCGCCCGCTAAACGTGACACTCCGGCCACTCTCGCCTTCGCGTCATCGTATGCAAAGGATATCGCCCAACAACTGTTACAGTCTTTGATCTGGGAGGACCAAGAGGGCCGTTCCAAATTATTATCAAAACTTTCTCAAGCGGAACGATCGACCCGCCAGCGCGTATTCCTTCTGGTTGAGCGGTTCGCTGCTGCTGGCTTGCTAGATCTGCAGGCATTGCTCGATCTGAGCGTCGCGTACTCGTCGACGAACCCTACACGCCTGCGCTCCCTCTTCAAGTCAGCACTCTCGAGCAATGCATCTTTACTGACGTCTCAGGTGGAGGCCGAGGCGATACCCGCCTTCACAGCTCTCCTCGGATCGCCTTCTCAGGGTCTCTACGGCCTCCGGAAGGCTGCACACATTCTGCTTTCCTTCCTCCGTCCAGCGCCGCTAGAACTCTCGCGCCCGATCGGGCGCGACAAGGCGTTCATGCTGGCTTTGGGAAAGGCCTACGACCACGGTCTCTCTGCTGTGTCCCAATCATACGGTGGCATCCACATCCCCCCCGAAGGCTCAAGCACACCATTGGATCAGTGGGAGCGCCTCTTCCTCGAGACCAAGGTAGCACTCATCGACAGCTTCCACATCCTCCTCGGCACACTCCTCAGTGACATCGCTTCCGTCCCAACAGCAGGTAGCGCCCTCGCTGCGCAGTGTGAGCCCGCATTTGAAGTTGTCTTCGCGCTGCTGGAGCTGCCGCTGTCTCAGGCGAGCGGCACCCCCACGCCGTTCCTCAACCAACCGCTCCTGGCGGACTACCAGCATGCGTATGATCTCTCGCGCACACTCATGCAGGCACTGCGGAGCGCGGACGACGCACGGACGGAGTTGCTCGAGTCGGCGCTGCGCGCTTTGGACGTTTCCTCTGGACCTGGTGGACAGGGCGATGCCGGGCCCGGGGTGTTGAAGCTGCTGATCCGCTCCTCAGGAGTGCCTCCGGGAATCGACAACCTTGGAAGGGGCCCGTCGAAGGCAATAAGCACGAAAGGCAAGGAGAAAGCGCTCGGTGCGGCATCGGTCGTGGAGGACGAGGTCCTTGACGCTGCCATGTCGCAAGTGCTCGACATCCTCCCAGATCAGGCGCCTGCGTATGTCCGCTTCTTGCTGTCCCACCCCGACTATCCTTACCGCGGGAACGCGGAGAGGCTCATCGAGGCGCTGTTGGAAGGGACTGCGCCTGGGGTTGGCGAGGTGGAGGCTGCGATGGCCGACGACAGTGCTGTCCCTCAGCCTCCACCAGAGGAGTTCGTGTATACGAAGGACAGGCGGAACGTTTTTGATGAGGAGAGAATGGATGTGAGCCATGTCAGGATCGGGAAGAAGACGTACGTGCTATCGTTACCGTTGTAACTTCATACACGGAGCTGACCGGGTCTGTGCAGTGAAGATGCCTCTACTGTGTTGCAAGATCGTGCATTCATTGAGCAGATGAAGGCTGACATCCTGCGGCGCGCGGAGATGATCGATTCCGATGAGGAAGACGGGTATCTTTCAGACCGTGTCGCAGGGGCGCAGGAGAAGGGCCAGGGCCGGGACCTCGCGTTCGAGGATGATCTGGACGATGACGGCGTTGTCAGAGTCCGAGATGGTGATTCGGACGAGGAAGGTGATAGTGATGGACCCGACACTGGCGAGGTGACTTCTCAATCTCACAGCACCTACGTCAATCTGGCTAACTTACTTTTGCAGGAGGCAACGCAGATTCAGCCGGAGACAATCCTGGAGCTGGCTTATCTCCGCGATCCCAAACTGTTCGACAGAGACGGGCAAACGCGGAGAAGCAAAAGCAGGGCCGACCTCAAAGCGCAGACAGGTGTCTATATCACTCCGCCGCTCATCCTCATCGATCTGACAGCGACGCTCTCTTCTCAGGCTGGTCAGATGAGCAGATCGAGGGATGGAAGATCATGCTGGAGAGGGATGTAAGAGACGGTCGTTGTTTTCCTGAATTTCTGACGCTGACTTGAATCCCGAAATTCCCAGCCCAAAAAAGATAAGATACTCGCCAAACATGAATTCTCGGGAAACAGACCAGGTACTCCCGTCAGCGGCCCTTCCCGTCCGTCTCGTCGCGGCGGAGGCGATCGCGGTGGACGAGGGCGCGGGGATGGTGGACGGGGCAGGGGTGGACGCGGAAGAGGGGGCACACAAGATCATGGTCCTGGTGGTGGGGGCGGAGAGGGTAGTAGTGGCCGGGGTGGGGATAGAGGAAGTACGAGAGACAGAGCGTGGAAAGACAAAAATAAAGCCAGCCGAGGTAATCACAACAGGAAAAGAGGACATGACAAGAAGATGGCTAGAGGGGGAGGGCCAAGTTGAGAGAGGTTCGTATTTGGTTCCAGCCGATGCCATTACTGTGTGCACGTTTGATTGCGTGGTGTCGAAGTTCCAGATCTCACCGTGTACCAGTTATAATATTTATCGGCTTAGCTTTCAAATTTGCATAAATTTTCAGAGGGTGACACCAAAAAAATTGGAGGATATGGGGTATGTAGAAGCCGCGCTCACGGCGACGCGTCACGGTCGGTGAGACGCGTCCGGAAACCATCACGTGTACGCGTTCCATCACTGACAATATTAATGAGTGCCCTACACTGAAATAGACGGTGAGAATGAGAGCATTAAAGTTCCCGTGCGCGTGTACGTCCTTGCGGCCTAACTATTCCGCTGTGTACAAGTCACTCATCTGATTACTCTTCGACACTCCGCTGCTCGTGGACCACTCATTGATCGCGACATGTATCGGGGCTTTCAAGGATTCAAAAATACAAACAACAGGATCGTTGAACGGTGGAACGACGTCTAAATAGTTCGAATGGTATGTATTATCGGTACAACGGCTCCATCTGTTGGTACAAGATGCTTGGCGCATGCGGAACATATAGTTTGTACTGATAACGATACGAGGGGAGAAGAAGAGGCATCAAATCCATTAGCACCACGCGTGCTCACTGCGAAGGGGTGGTGACGGAAGAGATGAGCGTCTGCGACGGTAAAATGACGATAAGGCGAGAGACGGACGTATAGTATTGCACAGGGTGCTTACCTGAAGTCCACTAGGGTTGGCACCGACAACCTCCTTCACCTTCTGGCCGTTCTTGAACGCCATAAAGGTGGGCATCTGTGCAACATGATTAGTAATCCAATAAAAGGCGGAGCCGGAGAGGCGACGCACCGCACGAACGCTGACCTCCTGAGCGATCTCGTTCTGCTCGTCAACGTCGACCTTGTAGTAACCCGCGTCGGGGAACTGCTCCGCGAGCTTTTCGAAGATGGGCGAGATGACCTTACACGGGCCGCACCACGTTGCCCAAAAGTCAATGATAACGGGCTTGTCGCCATTGATCTAGCGAGGATGTACGACCGCGATCAGAGCCCGTCTGTGCGCAACGAACGGGAGCTACAACTCACCACTTCGTGGAACTGTTCAAGGGAGCTGATGACGGTGACGGTCATGGCTGATGGTGGAGGTGAGGAAGATAGAAAGGCGAATGGAGTTGGAGGTAGTGGTTGAGAGATTTTATCAGCCGCGCTGTGAAGAGGGACCGTGACCTGCTCCTTGCGCCATACGGCACGTGATATTCTTGACAAATGTCAAGCGCCCCTCTTCCTCAACGCTTACACCCCGGACGCGTTGCTGACCCACCCCGCTCGCCAGCGACGCAGTCTGACCGAAGGCTGATTCCCGACGGTTGCCGAGGATGCCTTGACAATAATATTGGTATGTCTTTTCAGTGTCTGTGCTCGGTGTTCACCTCAGCAGGTCCCGCCCATATTACAAATTGTGCGACAGATCGTTATCACTATATGCTCTGAGGACTGGTCTGGCTTCAGTGTTTCTGTGCTCGTCCAAAGTCTGATTGAGGAAAGATGTCCCGCGGGTGGATCGGAGCCGTGCCCTGTTCTGTAAGAGAAACGTTGTCTGTGCCTCTGCCCGAATGCCTCTGTCGCTAGCCCGGCTATGCTCGCCCGGCTATCCTCTCGTGGCGAGTTGTTGACGAATCTGGTTGCGCATTGGCTGCGAACTGTCTGAGATTCTCTGGAGAACATTCATCGTCACAAGAACCATTGCCGGCCTCGAGATGGCCTCGGTTCATGTCTTACAGTGCGGGATGAGCATCGTACGTTACTCCTTAGCTTAATTATCTCTACTCAACCGAGAAGTGGGATGTGTTAGTGTTTTCGCAACCACTTTTGTGCCAGCTGCGGCCGCCAAAGTGGGGCCTCTGACCGTCCAAAGTCTGCTGAGATCCAAGTGGTGCGAAGCCCCTGTACCCTGGCTATGTAGGCGAGGGCTTACTGGCCAGATGGGTAAGAGGAGGTATCGAGGTGAAGTGACGCTCCGCTCGTTGTCGGCAAAGTTTGGCCGTCAAAATGGGGCAGCGCTATGTCCAATTTTATTGGGTGCAAAAGCGGTTGCAAAACACCTCTGTAGTACCTCGTAGGACAGTCCCGACTTCCAAGCATGTCAGAGAATATCTATGTGAAATGCATTTGGTGTGTTGAACATGCATGTCTGCATGACATATGGGGCCCCGTGCTCTGTACTACCTGGTATTTCATGACGAGCAAACAAGTCAATATCTTGCATGACTAGATGGTGTTCCGACTCATAACGTGAGATGTAGTGTCTGCGGAGATCGACCGTGAATACCAGCTGCAGATCTTTGATTGCAAAACATAAATATGTATGCGTGTATGCATACACCTGCACCTCGGAAAGAGACCCATCGACGGCTCCTACGTTTCCCACTTTAAAAGCAAAGTCGTTGGATTGCCTAAAGATCAGATGCCGCCGAACGCGTCCGCGATCCTCAGACAAATACGCAGCTGCGCGGTGTCTGCGCCGAGCTTGGCGGTCGCAGTACTCAGTAGTCTGACTGCCCATCCTTCCGGCAACGCCTCCTGTTCTTTGCACCCACACGTTCCCTTCTTTCATTTCTCTTACGCTTCTCCAATCTAGCGCACACTGAATCGTCTAGCCACGCCAGGACGTCTAATATCGCGGACGCCTAATATTGCAAGTTCTCCCACCCCTCGCAACACGAGGTCCTTCGACAGTGCTAAACTCTGCACTGGCGCGTCAAGATAAGGATCGTTCCGTTCTCCTTTCCTCTGTGGTGGATTAAGCTTGCGGCGATTGCCACATAGCGTACACCCAGGTGGTTTAGCTGTAGTGTTTATTCGGTGAGTGACTCTGCACTCGAATCTATCGTTCAATCTGAATCCAATTGGCAGGTAGCATGCCCTCCAATTTCTTCTCGAAGCTCGTCAAGAATGCGTCCTCTCAGTATGCACCAGAGCATCCTCGCTCTCCTTCTCCTTCTCCGAAACGCCAGCTCCCCTCCAACGGCGTAAACTCCGCCTCTTCAACCGCCAGCACCAGTCGCTCGAGAAGTTACTCTGAGAGTAAACCGAGACAACCTTCATCCGAAGACGAAAGCTCGGACAACCCCAACGTCACCGTCGTCCCCCCCTCTCCGCGCAGCGCGAGCCAGGGCTCCGATCTCACCGACGAGGATGCCACCCCGCGGGCAGAGGTTCCTCCTACACTTGGAAAGCATTACGGCAATGGGACTATCGACAGTAGGAAGAGGAGACCATCGTCATTGGCCCAGGTTACTACCAACGCTCCACCGTCGCAGACCACAACCTCCGCGCCGACCGACGAGGAGGGTCTTGCAACACCCACCCCCGCCAGTCGCACCACATTCCACGAGCAGCCCGCTCCGGAGCACACGATCTCCCCAGTCCGCTCCTTTGGCAATCTCAGGAAAAAGAGCCCCTCGCCCAACCACCCACGCTCTTCGACCATCGCGACGGACCAGTCGCGCACTCCGCAGTCCCCGCTCGAGGTCTCGCATGTACCATCCGCCGCCACCCAGAAGTCATCGAGCCAGGGCAAGTCCAGCCGGAGCAAAAAGTCCAAGGCTAAGGACGTGCAGCTCCCGTCTCGACATGAACGCTCTGCATCCGTGCCCTCCACCTTCTCTTCCTCATCTCTCCCACAACCGCCCAACATTTCCGTCATGGAGGATGGCACGATCACATCGCCCACGGTCTCCGAGTCACCCACGGAGGAGATGCCGTCCATGCGCCTCCTCAGCAGCAACACCTTACCTAACTTCAGCTCGTCCCTCACCGTCCCGGACAACGCGGATGCAGTCTCCATCCGCTCCAACAGCAGCACCGTGACCACGTCGAAGAAGATGCGCTGGCGCCGGCGGTCGACCCATTCAGGGAATGCTCCCGCGCCCGGCCAGTCCCCTTCGGCCAACGTGTCGTCCACGTCCCTGTCTCCCACAAAACGTAAGGGCACGGGCAGCAGCCTCGCGTCGGCCCTTGCCGTTCCGGGCGGCCTCGTCATGTCGTCTGCTGGTATGTCTATCCCTCCCATCTCAGTTGACACACCCTCCTCGCCCGGCAACTCCAGCCTCTCCTCGCGCAAGCGGCGTGACTCTGACTTCCCCAGGACGCCGCCCTCCGGACGCTCTCGGCGGACGTCGCTGAGCTACCCGACGAGCGAGCTGTCTGATCGTGACTCGTTCCACTCCGGGGAGGACATCATTGGGCTATCGGAGGACGACGATGACGATCTTGACCTAGATCCAGACGACATCCCCGTCACCGGCTTCGCTGTCGCGAGCAACAAGCGCAACCAGGACTTCCACGAGCAGTTCCCCACAATTCCGGAGGGGGACTATCTTATCGAGGGTAAGCTTTCACTTCGGCGTCCGTAGTGCGCATATTAACTATATCGTACGACACGTAGACTACGGATGTGCGCTGCAGCGCGAGATACTCATCCAAGGCCGCCTCTATATATCCGAGAACCACATGTGTTTCCACGCTAATATTTTTGGTTGGATCACCGACGTGAGCGCCGCTCGCTTCGCCGTCGTACGATCACGTGCTAACATTTGACACACGCGCAGTTGTGCATCCCGATGTACGACGTCACCGCGCTCGACAAGCGCATGACCGCCTTCGTGATCCCGAACGCGATCCAGGTCACGACGCACACCGCGAAATACACGTTCACGTCGTTCCTTTCGCGTGATACAGCGTTTGACGTAATTTTCAACGTCTGGCGGCTCGCGCGCCCCGAGACTTCGTCGATCGGCTCGCTGGCACAGAGCCCCAGGGGTTCCCTGGACGGTCCGAGTGGCGTTATGGAAGCCGGCGTGGCGACGCGCAACGGCAACGGCCTAGCTACCCCGCCGGGTGAGGTGGTGAGCGGCAAGGGCCTTCGGGGCAAGGTAACGCGCTGTGCATGTGGGAGGGCGGGCGAGCACTTCAACGAGGTCGCAATGGAGAGCGTGTTGCCCGGCACTCCGGAGAAGATATACAACCTGATGTTCACGAGCGGGTTCATCAAGGACTTCATGCGGGACGACCAGAAGCTCACCGGTGCGTGCATCCCCTGCCAGCGCAGGGTTACGTTGTGTCGCCCGTCGCCCTGACTGACGGTAGTGTTTACCTGCAGATATTCAGATCTCGGACTGGATGCCTACCGCGGACAACCCGAAGCTGCTCGCGCGCGTGATGTCGTACATCAAACCGCTGAACGGGAGCATCGGCCCACGGTCAACCAAGTGCGAGCTGCGCGACGAGACGATCCACTGTGACTTTGACCAGTACGTCGCGATGATGACCACGACGCGGACGCCCGACGTACCCAGCGGCGGTGTATTCTCGGTCAAGACGCGCACCTGCATCACCTGGGCGTCGAGCATATCGACGAAGGTGCTCGTCACCACACAGGTCGAGTGGACGGGGCGCAGCTTTATTAAAGGTACGTGCCCTTGGCTGTGCCTACTCCCAGTGGGCTAACCACATCAGACACAGGTATCATCGAAAAGAACGCGCTTGATGGGCAAAGAATGTACCACGCGGACCTCGACAAGGCGATGCGCGACTACATCCACGCGCATCAGTCCGAATTCATCCCCGAGGGCGTCGATGCGGCTGCCGTCGAGGAGTCGACAGAAGCGCAAGCGCCCGAGGTTCCCGTACTTGCCGAGCGCCCGCAGCCGAGCGAGGAGGAAGTCCGCAAATCGCGCGAATACGAGCGCAACCAGCGCGGCCTCCAGTGGGCGTACGAAACGTTCGAGGGCACCGCCAAGGTCGCGCGGCAGTCCACCGAGGGCGCGCTGGAGCTCCTCAGGGACGCCTGGGATCAGTCGTCCACCACCACTATCTTATACTTTGTTATCATTTTCTTGGCCATCAGTAATATCTGGACATTGGGCATGGTCGGGCGGAAGGAGGAGGTCGGCAGGAGAAAGGAGATGAAGCGCACGGACGAGAGGGAGAAGTGGGTACAGGGCATCGTCCAGGCGTTGTGGGAGGAGCTGATCGCGAACAGAAACACGCCTGGAGCCGCACCGTGGCTGCGCTCAACCGGCGATTGGAAAGAAGAGGTCGCTGAGATCAATGTGGTGCTTGATGCCATTGACCAGAGAGTGGAGAGTATCAGAGAGAGCTTGAAGGACCTTGATTAGAAGAAGTCTTTTGTTAAGTTATCACCATCGGTCGGTTCTCCCGGCTTTGTGGGTTCTGTACACTCTGTATAATCAACTTTTCTAGCCGGCATTCGCAATTCAGACTCGAGTAAAAGATAGACAATCCGAAGCAATACTGCATTAGAAGTGAGCGATCTAGGACGAGTCTGAGTAACGTGCGTTTGGATGCGATTACTAGATGAAACACTGGTGTTGGACGAGGACGTTAGGAAATACTGGAAAAAATTAATAACGAAGGTGCACCGAGCCTATCCTGCTCGCCATGACTAAAGAAAAGTCCAAACGAGTGTACTGTGATTCAAAATAATAGCTATAGATGAGACATACGAGCGGAGATCAACAAGACAGCATGCGTAGATTGCGATGAAGAAACACGAAGAAACCCTCAATTGTACACATTCGACCCGAGTCGTGTCCGTTGGCTGCCATTACTTGGGAGACTGGAAGATCGACAAGACCTTCTCGGCTCCTTCCTTGTACTTCTTCAGGACCTTGTTCTTTTGCTTCTCTTCCTCCACGGATGCCCCTTTAACAGTGTCTCCACCGTAATTTCTCGCCTCGCCGTTGACAGACTGGTCTGACGACTCGCTAGGAGAGCCCACCGACATTGCTGACTCCTTGGACTTGAGTGACGGAGGTAACGTGGAGCTCTGCGATTGAGACGGCGTGAGCAATCCGGCACTGGACGTCGTGGAGGCAGATAACGTTGCTGAGGCAGAGTGTGTCAGCGTTTTCGCCGTCGCTGTACTTGACCGAGACAGTGGAGGAGGAGTTCGTTGGCGAAGGAACTGCTTAGGATGCTTGCGGAAAGTAAGCCCAGGATTCCTGCCTCGGCGATGCTTTTCTGACGGTGTGGGCGATTCGGATGCCTCTGAACCAGCGAGGTCCGATTCGGTGGACAAGCCAGAGAAATTACGAGAACCAGCAGATCGGCGAGGTGTCGACTTCCGGAAGACAGCCAGCTTATACCGATCGACCACCCCACGCGCGAACAAGCTCGTGCCCTTGGCGCCATTTCGCTCTTCAACAACATTGGTTTCGACGAAGTCCCAGTCGTCCTCGTCTTCGCGTTCCGTTGCAGCTTCGTCCTCGTCAATGACGTCCGCAAAGTCACGGTCCAGAGCGGGTATGCCCGACTTCTCCCTACGACGCTGTCGAGATGGAGGAATACGGACAGGGTGGATCTTCGGCGCCTGTTTCGCATGAGGCTTGACGTCCTCATGTACAGGAACCGCCGTCGAGGGTGTAGATTCGACAGGAGAAGCTGTGACAGTCTCAGTGCCCACAATCTCTTCGCTAGGCATTGGCGCGACCTCGGGATTCTTCTCGACAGCTTGCGGCTCTTCTGCAACAGTCGCCAGCGGAATAGGCTCTGGAAGAACGGTTGGCCGTGCCTCTGGTGTCTTTGGTTCTGCTGCTTCCTCGACTGTTGTACTCTCTTCTTCAGCCTCAGCAGCAGCAGGAGGCGCAAGCTCTGACAGCTCTTCTTGCAACAGACTGTCGACGCTAGCACTGACAGACTCTTCCTCCTCTTCTTCCTCTTCCTCCTCCTCCTCATCTTCCCCATCTTCGGCTTCGGCATCTTCATCAATGATGACAGAGTGTCGGCCCTTGAAGGAATACCCATCGAATACATCCATGGAGCCATCCTCCAACGGGTGCACTGACGGACTACGGGATTGTGACGGTGTGGTGATGGAGTCTTCGCCATCAGTACGGTCAGCATCGGTTTGACGATCCTGGTCGGTGTCAGTCTGCTCGTTGTCGTCTTCGTCATTGATTATAGGCTCCATGCCAAGGAAGGTATCGTCAAAGTTTTGGGTATCACTAGCGTTCGACGGGTCGATAGGAGGAACATATGGGGCTGTCGACTGAGATATAAGTTTCATGTACATGATGACAGAAAGCAGAGGACTGACGTATGTAGCGTTTATAATACACATGAGACCAATCTCTGAGCAGCATAATTGAAACATTAGATCTGCTGACGGTGAAGGGATGTGGGATACGCACATCATTGAGAAATAAGGATGTTTCTTAATCCGAGGTTCCTTCATCCTGAGTGCAGGGTTACGTTGAAGCAGCTACCAACGAACAATCGTGTCAGAGCGTTTTGTCTCATGGCTGGATAGAGACACGACGAACCCCGCGAATCAAGCTTTTGGTATCGTGGTCCATTGTCCTGTCCTCTGGGAACTGCAACTCGTCCTGCAAAACCCTGTAGTACATGTCTGAATGGTTGTCAGCCCAGAACGGAGTCTACGCATGAATGTGATCAGTCTTGACATGACACGGACATGAAGGTCGAAACGGTTACGTACGATACCGGTCAGCATCTCATACAACATCGTTCCGAAGCTCCACCAGTCGACTTCGTAACTGTAGGGCAGCCCTTGGATGACTTCAGGAGCGAGATACTCCGCAGTGCCACAGAATGTGTTGGTAGAATCTACTGGTCCTGCGGGTGCCCAGCCATCTGCCAGCGCCTGACCATTCTCGCGCTTCATCCAATGTGGAACTGCTGCCGTAGGTGTTCCGGCAGTAAAGTCACCTCTGAACTCAGAAGGCGTTGGCGGAGCCGTGGTCGCGGATGTGCGGCGAGCGAACTCTTTTGAGAGACCGAAATCGGTGAGCACGATGTGGCCTTCTGCACCGATTAGGATATTCTCTGGCTTCAGGTCACGATAGATCACGCCCGCAGCGTGAAGACCCTCGACGCCCTCCACAATTTCGCAAGCATAGAATCGAGCTCGATCGCGGCCTAACCGCCCCCACCGAGCGAGTTGTGTTGCAAGATCTCCACCAGGATGGAAGTCCTGCAAATATAACAAATGAAGAACATATCGTATCCGCATTGAATTCAATATTCACCATAACCAAGAATAGGTTTTCCTTGTCATGGAAGCTCCACCACAATTTGACAACGAATGGGTCAGAGCCTTCAGCAGCCATGCGCTTCAGGACGGCCTGCTCCGTTAACGTATGCTGCAGCTCCTGGTGAGCAAGCACATGCCGCTTCGTGATAGCCTTCAGCGCAAACACGTCTAGCGTCGGTTTATGCCGCACGAGCAAGACCTTGCCCGCACAACCCTTCCCAAGCACACGCATCATCTCGAAGTCGTCGATGGCGACCTTGCGCTGTGACTTCTTCTTCTCGCTGTTCGGGTCCATCGACTTCGACCGCTTCTTGCGCGCGACGCGCCGGCCGGTCGTTGAGATCGACGAGTCGTCGCCCGCCTGGGACGTCTCCGAAGACTCGGGCTCGCGCGGCAAGGGCGACGAGATGAATATTCGTGACGCGCGTGAGGTGGGGTCTGCAGACTGAGACCGAGGTATCCACGAATTGTGCAGCAGTAAGCCGTCCGAGGACGTTGGAGTCGCGGGAACGTCGTCAAGCTCATTGACAACATCGTCGACGGCAGGCATTTCTGCACCATGGGGGACACCATTGGGAACTATCTCTTGTGGGAGGATGGACGGGGGTTTCGGCGACCTTGGAGTCGGCGCTCGATCGATCTCGTCCGCGCCATCCTCCACATCAGCTTCAACAGCGTCTTCCACCATCTCTCCTTCGTCCTCTTCCTTGATATCGAGCTGAAGCCCTCCGTCAAGTCCATTTTCCACATTTTCCGCATGCACACCGTTGATGACAGGCGCCATTGGCGCTTCCACGGGAGGCGCAGCAGCCTTAGCATTGCCGTTCATAACGACCTGGCTGATCGACCGATGGACCTCCGTAGCGCCGCTGGGGCTGACATGCGCCGCAAGATCCGAGCGCACCCGTTTGATCGCACGCTCAACGCGCACGCTCTGCAGATCGTCGGTGCGCACGCGGACGAAGCGCCTCCACACGCGGGTCTGGCGCAGAGTCGGTTCGTTCGCGATCGATGTCAGATACGCCGCGAGGCTCGTGATCGCCCCATTTGTGACCGTCGCCGTCGACGGCACGTCCATATCGCTGTCGCCGTCGTCGGAGAATGGGTCCCCGATCTCGCTCACCGGCGTCACGAGCGGCGTCGTGCGGCTCGACGAGACCGAGGTCACGCTCGAAGTGGCGCTGCTCGGCGGCTGCCCCGGACGAGACTGGCGGCCTGAGACATGGCGCATCCCTGCAGATTTGTTGCTGGACGGCGACGCCAGGCGCGAGAGGGTGTTCAGGAAGGCGGATTTGCGCTTGGGGGGAGTGGGGATCATGGAGGCGTTGATTGGTAGCTTGGGCAGCTTGACTGCAGGAAATGAGTCCCGGAGCTTACCATGTAGCTCGAGCATCTCCAAGGCGGTGCGGGTGAGAGTTAGATTATGTGTTGGTGCTTTAGAGAGAAGAGAGACATCAGCAGAGTGACACTTGACGTAATGAAGTCCCGTAACATTGTGTCGCATGACGAACAACCCGGGAGAAGACGCACGAGGGTGGGGTAATAGCGAAGACATACTCACTTTTAATGTAAAGAGAGTAAGAACTGGGATCGTTCTCAGCGACACTGACCGTCCACGGGCCATCCTGGCCATCTACACGGAAGGGGATTCTTCGGGTGGTCATAGGTGACTGCTGAGCAACACGGCTTTTCATGTCCGCAGAAGTAGAAGAGTCCGGTTGAGAACCAGAGGTAACTTGTGGGTCAAAGAAGGAGACGTCTGTGACGTTGGAGCGATCTCTGCGGTGCTTCCTCCTGAAGCTGTGGCTAGTGACTGCGTCGACGCTGCGTCTTGGGAGGTTTCCCTTGTCGTCTGGCTGAGCTTTGGAGTGTGGGCCAGAGCGGGAAGGAAGATCCCTGTGCACAGCACTAAAGCCCAGGACGGTACTGAACTTGACTCGCTGGGAATCGTTGTTGAGCGAGAGCTGCTGCGGTGCAACGGAGCGGAGGACGCCGAGCATACGAGAGGAAGGGTCGGGCAAGGCAACGACGGCGAGCAAAGCCGAGCTGGTCAAGGGGAAAGGCGAAGGGTGACTACAGGCTAAAAATTAAAAGTAAACGGACGGTGGACGGAGTGTGCGTGGACGGAAAGCGTGCAGGCCACGAGTTGGGATAGCCGAAATAAGCTCAACTGCCTCGAGGCTCTTGAGACCGTCTATCAGCTGGCTCTCTGTGCTGTGCGGTCTGTCAAGCACGACGAGGAGAACGATGGCGAAGGGAGAGATGGGAGTTGAGCGGTGCGAATAAGATATGGAGTGAGTGGACGCTGAATAAGAACGAGCTCCGTATGTTGCGTTCTCTGCTCTTTTTCGGCTCGTCGTTCCAAGTAACTCGCATCCATTGTCTGTTCAAACACATGGCTTCTGACCATCTATCTTGTTCTCTTCCCGAGCACTACATCCGAATTGTACCAACAAAGTATAGAACATCGCTGAGTAGAATCCAAACTTTCACCGCAGCGACCCACAGTGTGCTAAACGGGGCGATGAACCGGGTAACGGGAACCAAGCGTACGCTGAGATAACGCTGAGATACATTTCCCAAACAGCACACAGAAATGATGTGAATCAAGGAACCGTCGTGAACTAGAACAGCCCATCCAGGACCAGCAAACGTACCACCCTTGATTCAGAGGCTATATATGACGGAGATGACATACACACACCCGGAGCGCTCGACAGTGAGATGTCAGACTCACCCTAGAAACACACTCTTATCTGATCCTCGTGACGCTCAGAGCTCATGAATCATTGGCGGCGACCTGCACCTTCGCGGATTCGACCGTTAACGTTAAGCTTCGAGGTTGCTGCGCAGAAATCCCGGCTGATGTCCACGTTGAAAAGAATTTGCCGCCGAGGTTGGGTTTTGCCAACAGGAAGACGTTAATTGCCAACCAGGAAGAAATTTGCAACTACCACCAAGCATATCTTTAGAGCCATCACTTGACAACAGCACGTTCAACTTGTTGAAGGGTACAGTGATAGCGTTTACGCTCGCGATCGAAGATTCTCCGCGCAGCAGAGATCCAGCAAGTGTTCACACTATGTGTTGACCTCAGGGCAAAAACCAGCGGCAGCAGAGGACTATAGAAACGGACACCAGACAGATCAAGTGTTCTGTAGCTCAGCTAGTATAGAGACCCATGTTTCACCCCAGGGTATTTTGTGATCAAAGCCTCAGCGGGGATGCGGAAAATTGAAACATGCTCGGATCAAGACACGAGGAGATATTCATCTCAGCAGGATCCGGAGCTCCTTCACCATTGGTATTAAAAATTGTATCTACACTGGAGATGAAGGAGCTCCTGGTGCGGATATCGATGAATGCAGTTCGGGCCTACCAAGCCTACCAAGCTGTTGCCGCAGATGGAGGAACTGACCCAGCGTGCGCAACGCTTGTGAAAGTGAAGAGGGTGAAGCTTTTCCAGAACTCAGCAAAGCCCAAGGAGAGTTCAGACCGAGACATACTGCTCAGACTGCGGCGATCATGATATCATCGTGAGCGCATGAGCAGCGAGACCAAATTCGCGCAGACGAACCATGCAGAGATTCACTTCCAGGTTCCAGCCTCGATGCGCAATTCGGCTTTCGAGAAGCATTGGCGTGCGTATGCCCGGTCGCAGAGAGATCACCGCGGTCATCGCAGCGTCCGATGGTAGTCGACGTCGTTTTCTCGGAGACGGGGGTAAAGCTGGACCCAGGTAAGAAAGCACTTACCTTTAGTCAATTATTTACGCACGCGCTCGCGGCGACTAGCTATGCGATAAGCGGCGATTTGTACGCGAGAAAGATCCACTCGATAAGGCGAGCGAGCGCGAGGACATACCGGTCGCAGGAGAAGCAGAGGACGAGTGGAGAGCCGAGTGCCATACTATACCCCAGACTGCCAGCCCCCATCCTCCTTCCACCTTACTCTCGTCCACCACCGCCGTTCTCGCGTTCCCCTCTGTCTACTATGGCGTCCTCGTACTCCCTCTTCTGCATGGGCAACCCCCTCCTCGACATTCAGGTCAATAACGGCGAGGAGGTCCTCAAGAAGTACGACCTCAAGGCCAACGACGCCATCCTCGCCGAGGAAAAGCATTTGTCCATGTGCGCCAATTCTTACGTTCACTACTTTGCGACCTCTGATCGGCGCATTATCTCTCTATTTCTCCAGATATGAGGAACTGCCCCAGAAGTACAAGGTCACCTACGTCGCGGGCGGCGCTGCACAAAACGCAGCGAGGGGGGCTGCGGTATGCCGCTCGCACCCGTGGAAAAATACGTGTGAACTTACGGTAAAATTTTACAGTACGTGCTCCCACCACACTCCGTGGTTTACACGGGGTGCGTCGGCGATGACAGCCTCGCCGAGCAGCTCAAGGCTGCGAACAAGCGCGAGGGGCTCGACCAGGTCTACCTCGTCAAGAAGGGCGAGAAGACCGGCGCGTGCGCCGTCATCATCACCGGGCACCATCGGTGCGTTCCTGACGCGTGTCCACGCGAGGCCGACTAAGCGCTCCCGCAGATCCCTGGTCACCACGCTGCGCGTGGCGGAGAAGTTCGAAAAAGCGCACCTCGCGTCGCCCGAAGTCGCGCCGCTCATCGACGCCGCCAAGGTGTTCTACCTCGAGGGCTTTTTCCTCACCCACGGTGTAGAGTCCGCGCTGGAGCTGAGTAAGAAGGCGTCGGAAGCGTCCAAGGTACGCCGGTCCCCCCGTCACTCTAGCGGCCTCACCGACCTCACTGTTCCCCAAGGTGTTCGTGCTCAACCTCTCCGCTCCCTTTATCCCCAAATTCTTCGCCGTGCAACTGCAGCAGCTCATCCCGTACTGCGACGTCATCATCGGCAACGAGACCGAGGCAGAGGAATGGGCTAGCGCGAGCGGGCACGCCGACAAGGACCTGGCGTCGATCGCCCGCGCGCTCGCGACGCAGCCCAAGGCGAACCCCGCGCGCCCGCGCATCGTGATCATCACGCACGGGTCCAAGTCCACCACGCTCGTCTCCTCCGCGGACCCGGACAACGCGAAGGTGTACGACGTGCACCCTCTCACTGACGCAGAGATCGTCGACACCAATGGCGCGGGCGACGCGTTCGCCGGCGGCTTCCTCGGCGCGTTCGTCGCCGGCAAGGACCTCGAGGAATGCGTCGAGGCCGGACACAAGCTAGGCGCGATGTGTGTGCAGCAGATCGGCCCCCAGTTCAAGTGGCCCAAGGTCAACATCCTGTAAAAGTACATGATCCCCGCATGATTCGCACACAACTACCCGCTCTCAACAGCATCATTCGCTCTCAACAGCACGCATTTTAGCCGCCCTGGCAACCGCAACCGCATTACATGTAGAATACGAGTCAACCGTCGTTATTTTGTATCTATCGTAGCGTTAACATATCCGCCATCCGATAACATTAAGCATGAAGATTACAGTATAGTAACGACACAGCCAGCATAAGAACGAAGAAAGAGCAATTGTGGCTTAAAATAAAATACTAGGGATGTCCGAGAAGCATTATGAAGGCGGCGGCGACGCTAGCGATTCCTGCGAGGAACGAGGATAAGTCAACTACCTTCAGACTGAGTGGATGATTACGGACCTGCGTTAATAACTCGGCTTTGCAATCGCCAGATACACACTGTCAGTACACACCCTCAACGCAGCACGTCAACGCACAAACCTGGATTCAGCATCGGTTCGCCATCTTCCGTCAACATATGCTCCAGCTCCGCCCGCGAGGGTACCGACCGGGCTGCTGTGTTACCAGTCTTGGACTTAACGCCACCGGCAACGTTGTCACCCTCGCTGTCTACCTCGGCTTCCCCATCTGCGTCTGCATCGCCATCTGTAGATGTCTGGCGACTCCGACCCATTAGTGCAGGTGACATCCGCGGTGGGACCGCCGCCGTTTTGGAAGGCTTAAGAGAACCAGACGGGTGACCCAAGGCTTCGTTGTCAGTATGGTCCTTAGGAGCTACCGAAGCTCTCCTGCTCCCTTCCGCGCGACTCTCCTCGTCCTTCTTATAGCTCAGCACCGCTTCCACAGCCGCCTGTGCGATTCGTAGCATGTTCTTCGTATCGTCTTCCGCGGCGCGCTGCGACTGCTCTTCGCCTTCATGCGTCGGTGCATATGACGACTCCTTGGGCCCATCGAGCGAGGGGTCGATAGCAGGAGTGGCCTCTGGAGCCTGAGATGTGCGGTCCTCCATCTCCACGTCACCCTCTCCTTCATGGGCACTTGCGGGACTCGAGTGTCCGTCCGAGGGTGATCGGCTGCCCGAATACTGGGGGGAGGTGCCATTCTGTTGCATCGATGCGTCATTCCCTGAATTGATTTGAGGAGGTACGGGCTGAGAGGGGTGGGACATCGGAGCCATCATCGTCCCTGGGTGACGGTAGTACGGTGAGGGCTGATAGTATGGTGAGGGCACGAGGTAGGCGCTGCTCGGAGGGAGGGGCTGACCGTCAGGGCCCCATGGTGGGGAGACATGCCAGTTCGCTTGATGTAACCGTGTCGCAGACGTGGGCAGCCCGATAGGCTGGTAGTGCGGGTCGATGATCAAGGCAGGGTGTGGTCGAGGGGGATAACCAGCTAGTGACAGTGAGACTTGGTGTCTATGATGAGGAGAGACGTCAACATACCAGCCAATGTATGCTGTCGGTAGTAACTCGAGCGTCCACCACTTGGTCCCGAACTACCTGACCCAGCAGCGGCACTAGGAGGTGATCCCTTAGAACTGCCATCACCTTGACTTCTTGCAGGGGTCCCGCTTCGGCTGGGGGACTTCGAGCCAGATGAGTCGTCACCGTCCGTCAACCTCCTGCCCTTGTCGTGGTCTGTTGGCTCGATGACCACGCCGTTGTGACTGAGATTACGTGAGGGAATAAGGGAAGAAATCATTAGATTGCGAATTAAATAACGTACCGAGATTTCTGGTGCCGACGGAGAGCATCGGTCTGCAGAGAGTCGTCAGAATAGACACACATAGATCACCTTCACACACGTACCCGGGTGAATGTAGCATCACACTGTGGGCAGGCACTAGGTGCGAGAGGGAATATCAATACGCTATATGCATAATCATCAACAAGACTGCAGCTTACAAGCCGGGCTGCGAGTGCAGCTTCGTCGTCCTCTGATGTCTCTTCAGATCGGCCTCGCGAGCAAATACCTTGTTGCACCCATTGATTTTGCATGGCCATGAACCAGTCTCCACTTTCTTCTTAGAGGGAGTTTTCTTCTTATGTGTCTCCTTCTTCTCCTCCGGCTGAATATGGCAGGATCATCAGCCACACGCAAAGTGGCAGAGGTGGCTGAAGGCCTGAAAGCATGATATTGCTCACCGTTTGCTTCACATGGGATCTCACCATATTGAAGTGTGATCTTTCAGTAGACTGTCCCCCTATCACGATGTCTGTGCAAACGATTTTTTTCCCCGGGCGAATTGTCGGCGCGGTATGAGCGTTTGTTGTGGCAGTGAACCGGGTGGCGAGCGGAGAAAGTTGGGTGGGAATTTGCCGTGGCGGCGACAAGTGTGACCGTGACATCACAAATAATAATGTCACACTGAGCTGGAATACAGGTTGTTCTGTAGCAATGGTCCATTCGAATATACAGGAGGATAGAATATGAATAGTAGAGGTACAACGTATGTGTAACCAATGCAGATGAGAGTCAGATGCGCAGAGCTGAGCAGCAAGCAGAGAGCAAATAATGAGACGACAGTGCACTGACAATTCTATGACGGTAACTTGCAACCCATGATGCGCACTGAATACAAGAACAGTTAATTCCACACATTAGATGATGAAAATAAGGTCACGTACCAGCACCATCCCAGAAACCAGCGGCATAAACCATCTCCCGTGGATGGAAGACCAAGCTACTTGAACGCGTCACGAATGGCAGCGACGGCTCCCGTGGAGGCGGGAGCGTGAGTTGAGTAGCGAGCGCCGTAAGTGGTGTCGCTCGCGTAAACGAGTGAACCTCGGTACGTTGTGCCCGCCAATTGGTGGTCGTCGGAGATGATGTCCTACTTCTTGTTAGACGAAAGTCGGGAGCGATATGGTGTTTAACTTACGCAGCAAACACGTCCGTCTGTTCATGAACATCGAAGGCCGACAAGCCTTGCGGGAACATGTCCCACGTCTGCATGGAGCGCTCGCCTCCCCGCATATCCCAAAGTTTCACTTCACCGTCCATACTGTGTGACTCGATGTCAGTGTATACAAACTATGAAGTCATTAGAGATCTCACCTTCCAGATAGGAACTGCCCACTAAAGGACGGGTGCCACTTGATGTTCTGCACCCAAGAAGTATGCTCATTATATGATCGAACAACGGCATCCTCTTCTTCAAGACGGCGATCATAGACCTTCACCGTGCCATCGGCGAAGCTCGCCAGGAACGTATGTGATGACCCGACATCACATACCAGTGCGGTAACAGGACTGTCCGAATTTGTATCCAAATCCTACCATCTTGTTTAAGTTCGTCCATGCAAGATGAGAGGCAAAACGAACATACCACGACTTGACTTTCTGTGTGCGCATCCCACACCCGGACGATACGGGAACTGCCGCTCACGAGTAGATTGCCACCATTTTGCTTCCACTCCGTGACAACCCCGCTACTCCGTGGCATCTGGATGATCTCGTTCAGACCACGGAACGAGCTGACCATCTGAACGTGGCCATTACAGACAGCTGGATCATAATTGCGGTACAGACGAATCACGCCATCCGCTATTGGAAAACAGTAAATCACTTCGCTGAGCTGGGCAACGGAGCTTTCACGCACCGGCACCAGTCAATATAATACCACCCACGTCTTGGTTGATGAGATGCAGCGATGTGATGCTCGTCCCCCGGGGATTGCCGTTGAAGAAATAATTCAAACGCTTCCGTTGCAACCAATCCCAAACCCTACAGACCAAAATTGAGCGCGAAGGCATTCGATGAAAGGGTTTGAACATACGTAATAACATCCGTCTCGCTGGCGATAACGAGATGAGGATCAAACGCGTGGAATGCCATGGTCAGAGGCAGGCCAGCTACTTGGATAGTTGATACCGGTCTATCCCATTTACAACTGCCTGGAACGTTTTGATGAGACATTGAACCCCTGACCGAAGGTCACCTTAGTATTCACCTGCTGTCTCAGCCTGTGTCCGGGTTTGTGCGATAACGTGCTCATTCCGTTGCTGTCGCCAAACCTGGTAATTATACTGCAAACTACCAGGTTCATCAACCTCCGGTTGCTGACTTAAAGTCAGCAGTCACTCAAAGCCATCTGAAAGTGAAGACAACATACTCTCATCTGCGGCTCTTTGAAGTACTCACAGCACCAGTCATAGAACCTGCTCTTGAGCGGGAGCACATCCCTGATGCCAACGCCTGTGCCAAGGCCCAAAATGATGTTCGAGTCCATTGAGAATGTGCTTCCCGAAGGGCTGCTCATGGCGCCCAAGGCGTAAGATCCCTGCTGGTGATTACCGTGACCCTGGTGACCCTGCCGATGTCGCGTTTCTGTCCTTCGACGAGCCCTTAATCGCTCCCAATCCTCCTCCATCAAGGCCTCCATAACATCTGAGGGTAGGTAGTCGTTGTGCTGACTATCAAGCGACGAGCGTGGTGAGGGGTTCGGGGAAGATTTCTGCGGATAGTGCGTTTGCTGAGGAGTAGAAGGACGCGAGTACGGCGAAGTATACTGGGCGTAATTCAAGTTGGGCGAAGGCGGCCTTGAAACAGCATTCACATCGGAGATAGTTACGCCGGTAGATGTGAGCTTGGGCGATGAATGACCATCTTCCATCGTCGGGAATGCGATATTGCCTGCGAGACTCTTCAATGCGTTGGCGAATGATGAAGTTCGTCGCAGAGTGCTAGTGACCCCGTTCGAGATGGTACTCGCCATCGTGTCACTGCGAGTCATGCCTGGTCGGCTAATGGTTGGAGAGGGTGGCCGGTGTAGGCCTTGTGATGACAGAGAAGGTGCTCGTGTTCTTGTACCAGAGAGATGTGACGAGGATGAAGGAGGACGGTTGAGTGTGGTGCTGTCGAGACGGGAGAAAGGTGATTCAAGGAGTAAAGCCAATATGTAATCTATCACCGTTTGTGCATTGGTTGCTACCTCTTGGTAAGAGTCTACCGAAAGCTCCAGCAGGATGCAGAAGATTGTCAGGAAGGATGAGAAGAATACGCGATTTTCCTCGCGGAATGCTTCATCGTCCCCGAAACCATCTAACCACTCCGCTACCGCCTGCGAGGCGACATCGTCGTGATGTGGATGTCCCTCTCTTTCCCTCCATCGTCGATCTTCTTCCCAATAGATCCACGCACACACAATGAAATACCCTCTCCACTCCTTCACCAGGCAACTGATGAGTACAAGCAGCTCCTTTCGGCACATTGGACTCGCATCATCCCTAATGGCGAGCGCTGCACCCGTGACAACTGCTACCTCCATCCGGAAGTGGATCCGTTCGTCAAACTGATACATCGTCCCGCTACCTCCTCCTCCAAGCTTCTGCATGTCTGCAGAGCCGGAAGCACCCAGGAAGGTTCCTAGAGCGTATAATGCCGCACACCGGACTTCTGCCGAATCGTCTGACAGCATCGCGATCAACTTGTCCTGAGCTCCTCGGTCGACACCATAGACCTTGATGTCCGCATTCGCGTCCCATATTTGCGCAATGCACAAAGCCGACCATTGCCGCAGTAAGAAATCATCGTCACTGAGCTTCTCGTAGCATGAGTCAAACACCTGCTCGCGCCAGCATGCATCTTGCCCTTGCGGGTAGTCACGCGAGATCGCAGACAGTATAAATGCGCACATAGCCTTGTGCTCCGACCGGTTAGGGAACGCCAGATGTCTCGGATCGTCCATGGAGAGGACGTTCGCAAAATATTTGTATCCCTGGTTCGTGTACAAGTCAATCTGGCAGGTGGGGTCGACGGCGAATATGCGCGTCCAAATGAAGATAAGGACAGGGCGTAAATCGTGACTTGCGGCTTGCAAGAGACGCGCAATATATGGGAAAATTCCAATGGTGAGAGCAAGATAGACCGCCCAAGGGCCCAAATCAACGAATTGAGATAGAAGGATGAGTGCACGCAGACGGTGAGGCTGTGAGAGAAGGACCTGAAGAACGATGGGAAGTTGATCTGGAGGTCTGCGAGGGACCAGATGATGTTGTGCCAAATCCTGGGGCAGATTTGTAGAATCTGCGATGTCTGCCATTTCAAAACTCGCATCTCCATTCGTTTCCGGCAAGGACAATGGTCCACGTTTCGTCAGCGCAGACCCGCCGCGAGAAATCCACACCTCGAATGCTGTAAGCTGATCAGCAAAGAACCGACTGGGAGTGTACGTGTACGGCTGCTCGCCAACTGACGTCTTCTCGCCAGATTGAGTTGTTTGTCGTCGCGCATGGACTGTGAGCGAAGCGTCTGTGTCCGCCCTGGGCTTCGCATGCTTGAGCAACTCGGGAAGCTGTCTAAGGCATGAATCTACAGCCAAATCCCACGAAGCCCACAACGGATGAGTATTCGTCGGCGGCAGCGGAGGATAAGTGTGTGGAGTGCAGTGATAATTCTTCATGATCCGTTCTGCCAGCAAGAAGTTGCGGAACAATGAAGCAACAAGTAGATCTGACCTGTACAATCGGGTAAAGATATCGCGCGAGAAAGTTGTCCATGCAATGGTGTCCGTGATGGCAGTGAAGATCCAGTTAAGTTCACCCAGAGGCGTCCGACGATCTTTAAGGTCACCAGGAAGCTGCATCACCATGTCGGCCGTAATATCGTTGGGCAGCTGGTGGGTCATGATGAAGTAACGCAAGGCGATGTCAATTGGCGAAGTCAGACATGATGTGAAAAGATCGGCCGGTAGTTCAGGACAAGAGGGCAATTGCTCATCAGCAGTACAAGCAGCCAGCTGTATACTTTCCGAGAATGGAGGTGTACCCTCCGGGTACCCACCACGGTTCATAGCGACATCGGTGTCACGTTTCCGTGCGAAGTTTATGAAGTTCTGCAACAAGTGGCCCGCTGCTGAACAATCCCAGATGTAAACACATGGTGAGAGAAGCCAGCCTTGTAGCTCCTGAAGCGACACAGGAATGTACTGCGTGTAGTTCTTGTTAAAGCACCACATTTCGCCACTGGGGGTAGGCTTGGGCACACCGTGGCCATTGTAGTAAAACAAGATCGCATCGTCCTTAGCCTGCTTGCGCATCGCTTGGCACAACTTGCGCAGGTCATCGAATGCGGGATCCAGTAGGGGTTTATAATACATCTTCTGGCTTAGTCCTTCGAACTGGTGGTGCAAGTTGGCCCCAATTATCTGCAGTGCCTTCTGCGAGGGCATCGTGTGTGGGTCCACCCAACATTCCAATACCGCACATGGCGACGTCTTGACAACATCCGGTGGATCGACATCGATATTCAGACACAAGACAAGGATAGCGTTGGTCGTCTTGAGCTTGCCAGGAGTTGGACGCCAAGGGGTCATTTTTGGTGCCCAGGACGGAGGAGGTGTCGGATTTCCGCATGTTAGATGGCGTTTCGCGGACCAGTGTGGAAGAATGGGAGTATTGTCAGGGAGGGTAGCAACAGATCCTGCGAGTCGCGCGTCCTGATCGTACGCGCTGTTCACTGCCCTCGTCTGAGCGGATGAAGGGTCAGAACGAGATGTAGAGCGAAAATCGCGTTCAGTAGAGGAATCCATGTCCGAACCATGTCGTGCAGCACCGTCAGATCGCCGCCCATTGGCACCTGAAAGCAGAACGTAAAAATAAGTACGAACTGAAGAGCAGGAGCTTATTACCTTCGGTACCGTGGATCCCAAACATCTCGCGAAGACTGTTGGCTTCCCCTACCACTCAATACTATGATTCCACCGCACTCCCCGTATAGTTCGTAGCCTTCAACTCGTTAGACGCTTGGACTGCGTGGATGCAGAATAGCGGACTCGGAACGAGGTCTCATTTGGTCACCTTGGCGCATTGTTTGGACTTACAAATAGTAATCAAGTGACTGTTACTGTGAGAACAGGCTTGCAAATGTTGTCAACAACCCTTGTAACCAACCCTGCTAGTAAGCAGTAACGACGGCCACGCGTCGTGAACTTCCGTGCGCGGCAGCTGCGATTCTATGGCCTTCAACGCGTTTGAAGTCATGAAGCGCGACTTGCTGTGATAATTTGTGTCCTCGGTTACTTCGCGTCAGGAAAGGTCTCCTTTTGTTTGAGGTGCTGTTGGTTACTGTTGGCTACTGCACAATCGCGTACGGAGTGTCTATCCAGCGGTAGAAGCCATGCCACCGACGGAGCCTCCAGTTGGTGCTCTCGTCGAGGTCCCTGCTGGTCGCGGCTATGTCAAGTTTTCTGGGACAACCTCGTTCTCTCCTGGAAAGTGGGTTGGCATCGAATTGGCTGAACCGAATGGTAAAAACGATGGCACCGTTCAGGGTATCAGGTACTTTGCTTGCAAACCGAATTACGGTGTTTTCGTTAGACCCAGTCAAGTAAAGACGCTCGCTCTTGAACCAGAGCCCGCACCACCACTACCAGCACCCGTCGTGAGTACCCTCTGATTTTCTTCCACACATCGTCTTACCCCGGCTTGTCTCAGGCCTCCGTAGCTCGTACCGTCCTCAGTCATCAAAGATCGGGGAGCATTGGCGCGGCTCGCGTCCCATCTGTGCGTGTTCCGCCCTCTCCCCGTGCTGGCAGTCCAGCGAGGGCTTCCAATAGTATCGTCACGTCTCCCACTGCTTCCCGCTCATCGCGACTTGGCTCTCCTACTAAGCGCACGCCACTGCAATCTCGAACTCCACTTCCCCGCAAGTCTTCTTTTGGCTCTGATGTCGCTCCGAGTCCGACTGTTTCGCGCCAACGCAGTTTCGACACAGGACCCCACGATGCTCTTCCCAAATCGCTGGCCAAGCCGTACTCCATGACGCCCGCGTCGACTGCAGGTTCTCCTCACGTGTCGCCTCAACCATCGGGTCTTCGACAGGTGACCTCCCCAGAGCCAGAGCCCTCTCGGTCTCCAATAGTATCCAAGGAACCACCGCGACTTGCTGCCCCGGTTGTAAGTATCGATGAGCAATTCTGTTCTAACCCTCCATAACTTCACTACGTTAGGTACCCCCGGTTGTCCAGGATGACCAAGAGCTTCAAGAGTTGCGCGCAAAGATCCGTGTACTGGAAGCCAAGCGCGCAGATGACGCGCGACACGTCCGTGAGCTCGAGACGCGGCTGTCGGAAGCGGAGTCGTTCGTCGCCCTCCGTCCGAAGCTGCAAGCGAAGCTGAGCTCGCAGCAGACGGAGCTGATCGCGACGCGTCGCGAGCTCGCAGACGCCCAGCAACTAGCCCAGCTCTCTGAGGGCCGCATCGTCGACGCGCAGGAGCAATTAGAGATGGCCATGTTGGACAAGGAAATGGCAGAAGAGCGCGCAGAGGTCGCGGAGGCAGACCTGGAAGAACTTCGCGAGAAACTTGCAACAGTAGAAGTGGAGTTACAGGTGCTGAAGGAGGGCGGTGGTGTGTATCTTACATTTCGTTCCCAACATGAATGCATCACTGATGCGAGTACCTCCGAAGGAGGCGAGGATGATGGTGAGAACATGGTGAAGCAGTCGTTGGCGTATGTCCAACTGGAGAAACAGAACGAACGGCTCAAGGAGGCTCTTATCCGGTTAGTTGGCATTCTCTTAGTTTTACACGTAACCTCATCGAGTCTGTACAGGCTTCGTGACATTTCCCAAGAGACCGACCACGAACAGCGCAGACGCATCGCCGAGATGGAGAAAGACGTGACCAGTCTCGACGACATCCAGAGTATGTTCAATACGACGGTGTTTTCGTTTTCACGAAGCTGAGAGGTATCTTCATTAGCTCAGTACGAGTCAACCTTGATCAAGCTTGCAAACGCGGAAGTACAGATCGAAGACCTCAAAGTGCAGCTCGACGACGCCTTGGGAGCGGAAGATTTGCTCGTCCAGCTGACCGAACGCAATCTCATGCTTGGCGAGGTAAGCAAATCGCTTCCGGATTCGGTGACACTCATAGGTCTGATGCATCCCGCCGTTTGTAGAAAATCGAGGAAATGCGCATCACTATTGAAGATCTGGAAGCTCTCAAGGAACTCAACGATGAACTTGAAGAGAACCATGTTGAGACTGAGAAAGCAATGCAAGAGGACCTTGGTATTTCTGAGCCCTTTCTTTGTCGAGACGAAGCGCTTAGTTGTGTGCTCAACCGCCAGATGCCAGGGACATCCAGATCCGCGAGCGAACGCGCAAGATAGAGTCTCTGGAAGAGTCGTGCCAGGACCTAGAAGGCACAATCGTCCAGTTCCGAGACCTCGTCATGCAATTACAGAGGTGAGTTTTGCCCGGAATATGCTACACTCGTAGTGTTAACATCCCTCTCAGTGAACTCGACGCGCTGCGCACAGAGACCCAAACTGCGCAACACGAATCAGCCACTGCTGCTTCCCAAACTGCTGCCATGATGTCGTTGAACCTCAAGCTGCAATCTTCGGCGTCCAAGAACCAAGCGCGCAACATCGATCTAGAGGTCAAACGGATTGAAGCACGGGAGGCCAAGGAGCTCCTGAACATTGTCCAGGTGTGTCCGTTCTGATGCCTCCCATAGTGCTGCAATGCTCTGAACACGTTCTTGAATAGCCTTATCTGCCTCAACTCTACGTGGAGTCTGACATGGATCCTACGAACTGCTACATGTTCTTCCAGCGGCTGGCGCTGAAAGTTGAGTTGATCAATAACGTCGTTGCTCAGACGCACAACTTGCCAGAATCTCTGAACGGTCCGGTATCCGATCTGTTGGTTGGGGTGTGCGAGGTCGGTTATCCATTCTGAAGGTATTGCCCTCAAACCCTCACAAATTATTTCCCAACGTAGATGAGAGGTCGCCTGGCCCACCTATCCACAACATGCAAACGCTTTGCTGCGATCCTGCGCAAGTGCGATGCTGAGTCGTTCCTCAACATTGGCCGCATCTATCCAGAGATTGCACCCATGGAGAAGCGTATTGACATGCACGTTGATTTGCTCCGCAGGGATGAGTTCCGTGAAGTCGAATGTGTCAGCGATGCTGCGAAGTGAGTCATGACTTTCTCGGGGATGGATCTGGTGAGCTTACGCGATATGCGTGCAGGATGCAGTCGCAGTTCGATCATCTGGCAGAAACGTACTTCAAAGGGTTCGACTTTGATCTGGGCGAACGCGAGCTGGGACACGTGCTCTCGTTTGACAACGACCTGGATATGTTCGCCGCGTCCATTGGGCTCATCAAGACTTCCGTTGCTGCTCTTATGAAGGACGAAGGTTAGCTTGTGATGTCGCGCGGTTGACGTGGTGTCATGCTCATACCCGCACAGATGCCCAATTGGATATGGGAGGGCTCAATTCCGATTCTGATTTCTTTGAACCGTTGCAGCGGCTATTGGATCAATGTCGAAGTGCGAAATTGCTGTCCAGGTACGCGTTTCGCTTTCTTGCAACTCGTAACTGCTGACGAGGAGTCGTGTCACCAGGAAGCTCACGAAGCGGCTGGAGGATCTGACGCAAGACTCTTCAGCCCTGAAGTCTCAACTTGTCCCCCAACTCCAAGCCTTCGGCAACACAGTTCCCGAGCTCGTCAATTTCGGTATCTCGGTGAGAAACTTAGTTGTAGCTGGTGCAGACCGTGAAGTCTGACCGATGGTCGGTACGCAGCTGGCCCAACAAGTCATGCCCCATCTCACCGATGTGCGCGGTGCCAAGGCAGCGTTCCAGCTTCCTACTGTTCTCTCGTTCGTTAAGCAGACGGCTGCGTCAACTGTTGGAAAGCAGAGGCAGGACGAAGTGACGTCATGGGAGTCTGTCGGCGACTTCTTGTCTCAGGTTATTCAAGAAGCGAGCCGACTACTGCCACTAACCATGGAGGCCGAGAATACCGTAAAGAGTAAACACCAAGCCATATATTGTGTACATGTTCTGACATATTCCGTATGGTAGTTTCCGGCACGGCACCTTGGATCGTCCGCATTGACGAGGTCAAAGCCGCAACTGCTATCAACCTCGAAGCCGAGCGTAAGGTCGCGCAGCTCAACGACGAGATGCAGGCGCTCGTGCGGACCCTGAAAACCAAAGATCAGAGCATTCAGGAGTCGACAGTAAAGATCGAGCTGATGGAGCGCCGCATGGAGACAGTCAAGAAGCAGGCGGATGCCATCACCGACCTGGAGGTCGAGCTGGCGAAGGCGCGCAAACAGGAGCATGCATACGAGGAGGCGATGGAACAGCTGCAAGCCGATCTAGATTCTCTCGAGCAGGATAATGCCAAGCTCAAGACCGTGGCTAACAACCCTGAGCGGCAACGTAGGTGTCACATATCCTCTGCAGTGAAAGTCACTAACCCCTCGTAGCTTCAGGAGCTCAAGTTCCCGAACCTGAAAGTGTTCCTGTTGAGGGTAGTCTTGAGACGTCGTACCTCTTGGAACAGGTGTGTCATGCCCTGCTCCGTGATTGGGTTGTTTTCTAACACTGAGTAGATTGATGCTCTCCGGGGCACTGTCCGCTTCCTGCACACCGAGAACTCGTATCTCAAAGGCCAGGATCTGCTCAACGAAATCGAATCATTGCCACCTCTGCACGTGTCAACCAGCCGAGAGCCTACACCTCCTCTTGTTCCCTCAGGTCCATCCGACTCAGAAGACTCAGACTCAGACGAGCCACCCTCGCCACCTACGTTGCGCACGCTCGCCGTGGAGTCGAAGCTTCTTTACCGCGATGTCATTAAGTACGCGTCCTCTCCCCGGATTGTGGACCTCTCAGTGTTGAGGGCGAAGCGAGCAGAGGGTGGTGACAAGGGTGTGAAGCCCTGGATGCCAAAAAAGAAGACACCCGCATTTCAGGTATGGGAACGCAAGATGGAGGGAGAGCGTCTTGGAAGAAGGGTGCAAGGTCTGATGGAGCGGACGAATGCTTTCGCTGGTTCGAGATAACGGATGGTCACTAGAGTTTTACTGCATTACAGATACCCTAGATAATTCATTATTGCTATGTCCTGATGTCACTTACATGTATATGTTCCTATTGTACTGTATGTCATCACACCGTTTTGTTTTCCGCGTCTCCTTCATTACAACGGTTTCCATATTGGGTGCCAAGTGAAAATATAGACGCCCATAACGCCACTGTGGCGGCTCATCATGATCCTGCGCGCAGCCGCCGCCTCATCGTGTATTTCCATCTCTCCCATCTCCCCTCGCTTCAATACGATTGCCCACATCTCCTGAAATACATGGTTTGTTCACATTCTCAAGTGCAAATAACGATGTGGCTTACGCACGCGATCGTCGGTTTCAGGATAGTTTCATTGGTCTCGCCAAGGAAGGCTTCGCCGCCTACCAGCACTGTATGTACGATCCCCTTTTCTCATGCGGTTCGATCATGTCGATATTTTATGTCAACATTATCAACATACATGTCTAACGTATCCCTCATGCAGCGCAGAGTTCTGGCCAACAACAAGAACAAGGTCAAAGTCAGAGCACTCCCCACCATGCAGGTGGGGGCAATCAGCCCTCGCTTGACCATCCAGCAGAATATGGTGGACAGGACCAAGGCTATCAAGGCCAAGGTGGACAGCAAGAGTATGGCCGCCAACAAGAGTATGGTGGACAGGACCAAGGCTATCAAGGCCAGGGTGGACAGCAAGGATATGGCCGCCAACAAGAGTATGGTGGACAGGACCAAGGCTATCAAGGCCAGGGTGGACAGCAGAGACACGGCCACCAGCAAGAATATGGTGGGCAAGACCAAGGCTATCAAGGCCAAGGTGGACAGCAGAGACACGGCCACCAGCAAGAGTATGGCGCCCAGCAAGGCTATGATCAGGATCAGCCGCAGCATTCTCGTCCCCAAGGTGTTTACGAACGTCCCCAATGTACCCATCTTCGCAGTCTTTGTGACTACCTAAGAACCTGAATTTGACTGACACTTCTATGTATAGCTGACTATTCTAGGACTGGGGGACAGGAGTGGAACTCGCCCGACAATAATCGTTCTGGAGGGGGCTCAGCGCAGGAGTACTACAACCGCCCACAGTGTACGTTGTCATGGTTTCGGGATGCGATCTGATCTGAAACAGAAACGTCTGCAGTTAACGCATCCCAAGTGGCGAGCAACACTGCCAATCAGTATGGGAGCAACGGGGACAATCAGATGTATTCGAACGCGATCAATCACGTCCAGAACCACCCGGTCAGTACACCAGGTCTATTAGGGAGGTATCTTTGAACTGATCATATCATATAGGGAGAACATGAGCAAACCGTGAACGAACAGCATGTCCAGGACGCGCACAGGGTTGCGTACAGTGAGGGCAATGCTAGCAACCTCAGCGCTGGTTCTATGGGTAGTGCAGCTGCCATGCAGGTATATCAAGCGACCGTGTCATGTCCTAATATTTATTCACTCGTTTTCTAGGCCTTGAAAAAGTTCACCGGTGGCAGTTCTGGCGGCAGCGGGTCTTCCTCTGATCTTATCAGCCTAGCCATGTCGGAGGCTTCGAAGCTCTTTGACCAGTCCGGCGGTGCAGCCTCCGGAGGCAAGCAGGATGCTATCACTGGGGCGGCTACGACCGCCATGAAGCTTCTTGTTCAGTCCAAGATGAGCGGTGCTGTCGGCGGCGGCAACAGCGGGGGCTTGGGCGGCTTGATGGGATTAGTATGTCTCACGAACACGTAATTGGATGATTGGGTCTAACAACTATAACCCTAGGCTTCTAAGTTCTTATGATCGCTTATCGAATCCACGTTGGACAGAAGCATCAGGAGAAGTTGGAATGTTGTGTACTGAACACGCAGTAAACCAGACAATTTGTGTAACCTGTGATATCAATGGCAATGTAATTGTAGACTGTTCAGAACAAACGAATAACAAAAGAATAAAAAATCTGTAATACCCCGTCAGGTAGGTCAAGCTTCCTCCCCCGATGTCTTCGCCCTTTTCGTCCCTACCTTACTGTTATCCTCGAACTCACCATAATCCCCTTCAAGACCGTCGTCCCCCACATCATCTTCCTCCCTTCCTCGCTTTGTGCCTGAGACGGTAGCGGAGGGGGAGATGCCATTCTTCGCGGGCTCTTCGGTGTACTCTTCATCTTCTTCCTCCTCTTCTTCCCCATCGTCAGCAGCATCTCCCTGAGAAACATGTATTAGCAGGCTCTGAGTTAGTATCAAGAAGGTAGTTTGTGTGGTTACCCACCTCTCCAAGTAGGAGCGCTGTCAAAGAACCTTGCCTGCCACTCTGTACATGAGATCAGAAGTGTCATCAGAAGATGAACACGTTGAGCGACGGCAATTCAACGTACAGGACGAGCTCCATCGTCATCGTCCTCGTCTTCGTCGTCTTCGTACTCAACACCATCTTCCTCCTGTGACAACAAAAACCATTGTCTTGTCTCACTCACCAGGCATTAGATCTCGAGCACGCACCTCAACATCCTCTACGTCATCATACTCGTCTGAGTCCTCTAAACCGGTGAGAATGCGGTCAACATGAGCCCTATGACATGAAAACTGGCATTGCCCACCATCCTCCACTGGCTCCTCGACGGGATCGGCCGGTTTTTGGGACATGTTTGGATAACTGAATTAGTCTCGGTGATGAACTGCGTGGAGGTCGCGCAGGTGGTGAGCCCCGGGCTCAGCTGGGAGTGCTGAGTGAGAAAGGCGGTCAGAAGCAGACGAACGTTGCTGGCGTGATTGGTGGAGTCGGAGTATTCCCATCCGCTGCCACTGCTTTGCGGGCAAAGCGCCATGCCCGAGGTTTGACCAGGGCCATGAACAAGAAGAGTCTCCGTATTTGCGGAGAGCAGGGAACAACGGCATGAATAATGGGAAGCTTGAGAGGTTAGGAAGAGATAGGTATTCGTATACTTTTATCTTCTGGTCACCGTCAAAACGTGGATAGCTGACATCCTACGTATACGTAGGTTCTTCGTGTTCTACTTTTTGAACTATTTATTATACAGGTGAATCTACCATACAGTATCCAACTCCAACAGGTTTCTACAGTACTTATGAGGTATGAATGTGATATTGAGAGTGTGCCCAATGTCCAGGTGCTGAGGTCCGTATTAGGCTGTCCACCATAGTCTTTTACTCTCCCCGTCCTCTTCCCGCACGGCATTCTCACGAATGACCTTCAAGAATACGCTCTCCAGCGTCGCCCTCTCCACAGTGTACTCAGAAAACGTGCTCTGAGACGAGAGCACAGCAAACAGCTCGGCCAGCGACATGTCGTTCCCGATCGGAATCTCGAAGCGCGTCGCGACGTCGTCCGCCATGCGCGCGCCAGGTATTTGCGCCATGAGTTCTTGCGCGAGCATAATCTCTTCACGTGTCCGACATGAAAAATGCACTTCGTATGTGGCATACCGAGCGGCCAGCGATTCGGTGGTTCCGATGGCTAAGAGCACTCATCAGTGTTTGCACGGCAGTACCTATCATGGCAAGAAACCGACCAAGCATCTTCTTCGCCAATATACCGACCTTCGTGGCCAACGCTGACGCCTCCTCCATAGAGTCTGTGATAGTAATGTTAGGACATGTATGCTTCCCTTAGGATGGGGACCATTTACGAGTCGTAATCACGATAGCCTTGCCAACCGCCACCTTCCTCAAGGTCGCCCACATGTCCCGCTTCATCTTCGCGTCGACTCCTGTTGAGAACTCGTCGATGAGGACAACCGATGGGTTACCTGAAGGACTGGTGTCAAACCAGTATCAAGTGATTACAAGCGTCGCACATACCGATGAGGGCGATCGCCAGCGCCAGCTTCCGCTGGTTCCCACCAGAAAGTTTGCTTGCTAGCCGGTCGGCATACATATGCAAGGATGTCGCCTGAAGGAGGCAGTCGACGTTCCACCTCAGCTCGTCGCCTCGGTACAGCCCCTTGAGACGCCCATAGTGCTGCAGATGCTCTTCCACAGTCAACTGGGAATCGATGGCGGTGAATTGTGGGCAAACGCCCAGCGACATCCGCGCCTCTCGCGGATGACTGCAAGACGGAGGTGCCATTGATTCTGATGTCGCCCATGTCAGGCCTCACGTCACCGCCTAATCAATCAGCGCTGAAGTCACCAGCTTCTGAAGGAGAAAAATGGACGTACGGATCATGTTGAACGTCGTAGTCTTGCCGGCGCCGTTCGGACCAAGCAGAGCAAAAATCGTGTCCTTCGGCACACCCATACTGACATCATCAACGACTTTGCTCGTGCCGTACGTCTTCGAGACGTTTAACACCCGCAGCGGGTCCGCAGACGAGGCGACAAAATTCGCCTCTTCTTGCACATCGTTGTCGTCGAGAAGGCCTTCTGGCATTGACCGATTTCTCTTGTCCTTGCGCTTGACTAGCGACCCAGAGTCGACGAAGACCAGTATGGCGAAGAGAACGAAGGTGTAGATGATGAGGTACAGGATTGGCCCGCCGTAATGCAAAATATCGCCCATAGAGGATGTAGTGACCGGGGTATTTCCGTTGCACAGAAGAGAGAAGAGATTCACAGAAACGAAGGACGCCCGAAGCTAACGGCCAGGTAAGCACCGAGCTGGGCTCGAGAAAAGACGTCACAACGTACGAGGCTTGTGATTGGTGCCAAAACAGACATAGTAAAATCTATGAAGCATTAGTACAGCTACAGCAGGGTCACCCGTACCAGACTCACGAACGATTGTCAGATCTTCGCTGCCTCGTGATGTTGGTGCATAAGTTAGGGATAAGAGGTTCGCAGCAAAGTACAACTACACCGAGGATGGGGATGATATCTCGATTTTCAGCGTCACTGGCACGTAAATCAGACTTACCAGAAAAGCGACGACTTGATAACCAGCTGAGAGAGCGAATGCAGCCAAGGGCGAAGCTACAAGGAGTGAGGTGCAGTACGAAAACAACACTGCAGCAATTCCATAAAGAACGAATACAAGCCACTGCGAAGGTCGAATTAGAAGGGAGCAGATTAGTAGAGATCTCAGCGACTCACGAGAAATCCTAGCCCATTGAACTGGTTCGATGCAGTAGCGAAGACGACGGTGATGATAGACACTGCTAGGACAGCAAAGATGGCGTCGAAGAGAAGATGGCCCAGCCACAGACCGACGGGATTGGACAAACCGTTTGAGAATTGCATAGCCTGAACGGATGAACGGCGCTCGTTTGACACGTACAACGAGAAGAACGCAGGGAAGGCCGCCTGCAAGCCTATACTCAGCGGAGTTTGACAGAAAATGACAAAAAGATCATACCATAGAAGCGCCGAAGAACGCGACCCACTTCAGCACGATGAACGTCCCTGTATTGAAGTTTGGGCCAGGGAGGCTCTCATACTGGGGCGCGATGAGCACCGGCACGCCATAGCTGACTCCCGTGGTCTTCGCTGCATTGTTAAATAATAGGTTGGACGCCAAATTCAGCATGACGAGGCCCATGAAGCCGGGCTCCGTCGCCTCCCAGGCCACCGTCACGGAGCCATTCTGTAAGTCCGCAGACACGCCACCAAGCGACATATTGAGATAGTTACGATTGATGTGGTCGATGAATGTTGCATTGTCTGGGATATTGAGCATCGGGATCTGTGCAGTGGACGGACCAACGACAGAAAGAATGTCTGGAGGTGAAACTAACAATTGCTCTCCAGGAAGTGTTGAACTTTCTACGCTGTAGGGGATAGGGGAGTGGGGGAAATAGAGAGGAACCTGATACGTCGAGCGATATTGAGTGAGACACGTCTCCGTGCGATCGGCAAGAAACAGTAGGGGAATACAGGAGCCTGCGGCAGCGACAGCGACCGCGAGCAAGGGAGTCAACCAGCTCCGACGTGCAATGATTGTACGCTTGTGGAAGACAGTGAAGGCTTGCGAGATTGCCGATCTTTGCCGGCCGTCGGTCAGGTCAAGAATTGGAGGCGGCTTGAGCGTGAACACGAACGACGACGAGCGACTGTCCAAGAAAGTTTCCTTTTCCATGTCTTCGGAACGCATATCATCGTACATAAGCCCAAGGAAGATGTCCTCAAGGGACGTCCCGTGGACCGAATAAGACTTGATCCCGAACTCGCTGCTCTCCTCTTCCACCAACTCTAGCACCTGCTGAACGACCTTGACATCTTTGGACCTAAGATGGTAGGAGGTTTCGTTTGGTACGGACGAGGTGGTGTACGTCAGCGGTGCCAGAGGGCGAATGCGGTCCAAAAGATCGTCGAGTGCGGGATACTTAGTGAAGTCCAAAGACGCTGTGGAGTGATTCTGGGCAAACTGCACCTGCATGGTGTAACCTTCACCCAGCGTAGACTTGAGCGACACCGGCGTCCCGTGCGCGACCAGCCTGCCAGGGGCCTTGAGGATGGCAATTGTATCCGCAAGGAGGTTGGCTTCGTCGAGAAACTGGAACAACTGAATCGTTAACCACCGTTCGGCAAATTGGATCAATAAACGACTCGCATGTGTAGTAAAAACAATTGTTCGGTCATGGCGCACAGCATTCAGGATCTTCCAAATGGCACGGCGGGACAACGGGTCGACACCAGATGTGCACTAGACAAGGGTCAGAAGGCCGTCTTCACCTGACGTAAGAACGTAGGAGCTTACTTCGTCAATCAACACAGCTATGCAAGTTAAATACGCCGTAAGCACTACTGCCGGAGAAGCCAAAAAAACTCTCACTCTGAGACCCGCCGATCAGCCCAATCGCCAACTGCAGCCTTCTCTTCTGACCTCCGCTCAGTGAATCCGCGTTATAATGTATTTTCTTCTCGAGGTCGCAATCGCGCAGCAACCACTCGATGCTGTCCTGTCGGCACGCCGACCCGCTGGGCGTTTTAACGGCCTGCCAGACACGCAAGGTCTGGAGGCACGTCAGCTCAGGGAACAGCACATTCTTCTGCGGCACGATTCCAATCGTTCCGCGGGGCGGCAGTGAGACGCCGCCGTCGAACAGCACTGTGCCGCGGGTGCGGCCTAGGAGGCCTGCTAGGATGGACATGGTCGTCGACTTGCCCGCACTGATGTTGCACAGTCAGCAATTCTTGTCTCGTGGTGCAATTAATTGAGTGACGTGAGGATGCTCACCCATTTGACCCCAGCAACACATGTATGCCATACCTCGGAATGTCGAGGCTCAGGTCTGCTACTGCAGTGACCACGTCCTTCTTCCACGTGAAGATGGATGAGTGAAAGTCTTTCCCGAGGTTCCTGATGGAAATAGCTGTGTCTGGATGCATGCCATATGCAAACGACCGCTTGCTTTGAGAAGACCAGCCATGCGCATCGTAGAGCAGTCTCTCGAAGAGAACTGCGAGACAAGGCCACAGAAAGATGTTCACCTGTCACATCACTGAACATCAATAGTCCAGATTTCGTGGGACGGCAGTGCTCACACTGGCTGCGATGATGAGCGGATAAAGCAGTATCTGGTTGTCCGGGTCCGCATGCAGCAAGGTCGCTGCCATGTTGTGATTCTCAAAACCGCAGAGTGCGTATATGGCGAAGACATAGAACCCCGGTGGGAACACGACCGAGAAGACGACAGTTCCAAGGATGCTGTTCGTAGTCACTCGCGCAAAGACGAGGGCGACAACCGCGAGGCCGATCGCGGAAAAGGTAGAGGCGACGGCTGCGAGCTGTGGGCTCTTCCCGAATGGCACGGCGACGAACAGAGACCAGCCAGCGAGAGAGAGTCCGATGAGGAGGTGAATGGCAATCACCAGCCCAGGATTGGTCGCCTTGAATATGCAAAAATGCCAGATTACTGCGACGGCAATCCACGCAGGGAGGTATGCGAGCACGACACTGAAGTACCAGGAGCTAGCAGGGAATGCTGATCAGTAGCATGCAAGCCTTGTAAGTGCAATGACTGACATGATGCGAGCCGAATCGAGCAAACCCATCGCTTTCAGATGGCTTGTCAGCAAATTAGCGCGCTCTCCCATGAAGGAGCCTGGGAGATGGTAGGCAACGGGGACATAACAGATGAATCTAGAAGGCTGTGAGCACTCGATAGCGGCAAGGAAATGGGAGCACGTACAATGCCAAAACGAGCAATTCTCGTATGCCTCTGATGTAACCTGTTCGCAAAAGATACATCAAGATCGGCACAATCCGAGCCTTGCATGGACATACTTAGACGAATATTAGTGGACTGTTGCGTGTTCGTAATTTGTGAAAACGGCCACTCCATGGGAGTCAATGGCTGGACACCGGTCGTAAGTTCGATGATTGCCTGCATCCACCGGGGTTAGTCGATTTCGAGGAGAAGCACACCAAACTGACACTATCAACCGCCCATTGTAACGGGAAGAGTTTCTTCTCGAAATCACTGGTATGCTTGTCGACGTTGATATAAAACAACCCCCCGTCGGCGCGGATTGTGTAGTTGAAAGGCGGAGCTTGTTCAGGGTCAGTTGTTGCAGTTGTCCCATTGGGCATACCGGGAAGAGCATTGAATACGACGGCACCAAAACATTGAGAATACAGACGGAAATTCTCGGGGCAAGCCTTTGGAATCTCTGATGGTGAGTCCAACTGCTGCACGGCATCTAGCTGTTTGGGAGAGAAACCTCGTGTGACATGCGACATGATGTCAACTGCTGAGGGTGTTCCAGTGCCATTTGTGCTGTCAACCCAGATGAGCGAGAGTGACCCGTCGAACACGTCGGTGAGGTTATGGACTGGTGCCAGGGTGCCCAGACCATACTTGGAGAGAGTTCTCAGATCGCGCAAGTCGAGACAAAGCGAGTAGTATACTCACGTTGTTAACCTTCGCCAGGAGCAACTGAGCCAAAGCCATGAAAACACCATATCCTACCGGCAGCAGAAGGCACCGTACAAGGTTTAACTGGACTCCTGGTGAGAATGCAGGAAGACCTGTATAAACAGTGAGCACGTACAAATGGGTGCTTTGACAAAACTATCCAATTCTTCCACACCAGCGCGCTTAGCTGCCTGAAAAATAATGGAGGCATCTCAGCCTTCACCGCGAAACTGGCTGCCAGTAGGAGTCGAGGTCGTGTGCTTGCAAACGAACGGCTGCGGAAACGGGCAAAAATATGGGGGCGCTACATGACTCCGGATGGCTATAAGGTTGGAGCAGATAGACGCGGCCTTCCCGCTGCTGTATCAAATACCGAGTAGCATGGAGAAATTTGGATTCCAAGGGCGGGTAAATTAGACCGCGCTGGGTGGTGGCAAAGACCGACAGGTGGTGATGATGACAACAATGACGCTACTTAGATCACTGCGCAGACGTGCAAAGATGACCATCGAGGGAGACATATAAAGCGGTGTTCTCCACTGCAAATTTCGAACAGCGTCCATCACCCACGACCGATGGCAATGGGTTGCCCCTAATTACAGCTAAATTCAGAACGTTAGACGTTTCTCGTTAAACTCACCTCCCGATTTCTGCTCGCGTTTTAGTGAGACCACACAGTCCTAGGCCGAATATGGTAAGTTGTCTGTACTGACTTGGCCTGAGGCTCTGAGAGAATGTAAGTAGCCAGTGTCACTGGATTGCCGCCGGATCTCCAACGAGGTGAGTTTCAACGAGAAACGTCTAACGTTCTGAGTTTAGTTGTAGTGTGAGTATTCTCTGTGTTTTCTACCGACTCAGTTCAGCCGAGGTCTGACTTGACGAGCATAGGACCGATCGTACGCACCAAGCGATTTACGCTTGTCGTTGGAGTTGCTGTGCGACACCCGCCTGTGCATCATTTTGTCCCTTGACAGATGACTCCAAAATTTGATTTCCTCGTAAACAACGCGTAAATAACGCGCCTTCCTTTCCGCGGCACATCACGTGCACGTAATCCGATGTTCGGTAGTTTTGTTACTTTCCCGGTGAATGACTTGACGGAAAGTTTCCGTCAAGTCATTCACCGGACACAATCCGCTATGGCATCTCCTCGTTGGTTGAATGCGCTCACTAAAGCGGCGAGTCTGCCGGAGAACAAGGGTCAGAACGGTAGGCTTCAACAGGTTGTCGTAGCACAAAACGCTCATCTGACAGCACTCACCGAGTCAGTATATCAACTCGCCACCGTGGACGCCAACGTCATGCCTCATGTACGCACCGTCGTCCATCGTGACATCCTCCACCCGAGTGGGTTCCCAAATCTCCCCATCATGCTCACCACAACCGACATCCGCACGTCGAAGGTGACCCAGCTTCGCGCCAACGCCCACGCCGAGCTAGCCTGGTGGATGGCCGGCTCCCAGGACCAGTTTCGCGTGTCCGGGCCAGCGCGCGTCATCTCATCCCCTATGCCCGATGCGAAATCCGGGGACACAAGCGAGGACACTCCGGCGTTCGACAAGATGCGGGAGCAGGGCTTTGACTGGGAGCAGAAGCGCCTTGCCGTCTTCGACTCCATGAGTGCCCACATGAAGGCGACCTGGTGTCGGCCCCCACCAGGCAGCGCAATGGACTCGTACGACGACGCGAAGAAGTGGCCGAAGACAGTGCCGAAGCTCGGTGAGGCGGTGAGCGACGAGGACAAGCGGAACCAAGCGCAAGCCCTCGGCAACTTTGCCCTCGTGCTCGTCGAGGCGGTCGAGGTGGACTGGGTGCAGCTTGGCGTAAAACCGAATCAGCGCACGAGGTTTACTCGGAAGGATGAGGAATGGGTCGAGCAGATCGTTGTGCCGTGAGTTTCGTGTCTGTCTTCAGTGAAACGTGAAACTTTGAAGGCGAGGAGGTTCTGCATTTTGTACCACTTGACAACGTAGATTATAGATCTGTATTACCGGTGTACTCAGGACTGTATGAATAGGAACGGAATACGCTATCGATGTAGCGTCGGTTCGAACTAGACTCGAGGCACGCTGATACACCACTGGTAGTACATCCCAGAGGCTGACTCAAGTCTACACGGTCTCAGGCGTGTACTGCACGCGTGATGTGTTACCTCCCTCGACGCGTCGCGTCGCGATCCAGATGCTCGGCGAACGCGCTGCGCAGAGCGTTCTGGACGTCCGGACTGCCAGTGAAATACTCCTGCTCGCTGCTCGCTGCTGCATCACAGCACATTTTATGATGACATCCCCACGCTGGCTCGACACACTCACGAAGGCCCTGAGCCTGCCAGAAAATAAAGGCCAAATCAGTACGCACAAATTCTCCACCTGTAATGCTCATCTGACCGTACGAGAACGTCAGCATACCAACTCGGAACGGTTGACGCTAACGGCAGGCCTCATGTCCGCATCGTCGGCCATCGCGAGGTTCTCCAACCCTCCGGATTCCCGAACCTCCCCATCCTCTGCGCCACGACCGACGTGCGCAGCCCCAAAGTCACCGAGCTCCGCGCGAACGCGTACGCCGAGCTGTCTTGGTGGATCTCCGGCAGCAGAGACCAGTACCGCATCAGCGGGCCCGTGCGCATCATATCCTCCCTCAAATCCGATGCCGAATCCGCCAGCACGAGCGACGAGACGCTGGCGCTGGATAAGATGCGCGAACAGGGCTTCGATTGGGAGCAGAAGCGCCGCGACGCTTTCGACGCCCTGGGCGAGCGCTGGAAGGCGACGTGGTGCTGCCCCCCGCCCGGAAGCCCCATGAAGTCGTACGAGGTTGCGTCGACGTGGCCGCAGATCGTGCCAAAACTCGGCGAGGCGGCGAGCGACGAGGACAAACGGATCCACGAGGAGGCCCTCGGCAACTTTGCCTTGTTGCTCATTGAGGCCGTCGAGGTGGACTGGGTGCAAGTCGGCGAGAAGCCGAATCGACGGACGAGGTTCACGCGGAAGGGCGAGGAGTGGGTCGAGCAGATCGTGGTGCCGTGAGCTCTGAATCCGCGCTCTGTCTCCTGTATTTGTTTCTGTATCAGAGATGTACCCAAGCTCATTTGGATAGGGACGGATTGTTGTACTGTAGCTTCGGATTCCACGAAAGGGCCGGAAAGGCTTGGTTGTCCCGTTGAGTCCTCGGCATGCCAGTACTTGAGCGTACGAAGTAAGGCAGCAATTAGATGACGAGTTATGAGCGTTCTTCGTTCTTCGATGCTGGTGTGTTCAACCACTAGCTGTGCAACATCGTTTCTTGGGGGTGCCGTGTCAAAGTTGGAAAGTGTCACTGAGCTGCGGATAACGAAGGTTCAAACAGAGCTCGAGTGTCTGAGCGCTGCCGCTGCGTTCGGTGGTAAGAGAGTGAAGAATTGGATAGAGCGGACCGCGCCATTGACCCGCGCCGGTCCGCGTCAGTCCGCGCCGCCATTTTCTCTTGGCCTGTGCAGCTGAGCGCCTTTTGCTAGCATCTTGTGTTCGGCGTCCTCATCGATGGTTGAGTGTCTGCTTTACACCTCTGACTTTCGTACGCATCCCGTGTCACCCTAATGAGCAATGCCATCACTTTCTCTCTTCTCAGCTGGCTCTAACGCCCAAGGGCAGCTAGCAACAGGTAGCGTCGCCGACGCGTACTCCTTCGCCCCAGCAATCTTTCTCAGAGCTCAACAGGCAGGCGCACTACCACCCGGAAGCTTAGGGATCTCACAAATCGCATGCGGTGCCAATCACACTCTGGTTCTCATCGCGTGCGAAGACTCTGCGGAGAGGGAGCTCTGGGGAAGCGGGGACGGGCGCAGAGGCCAGCTCGGACCCTCCTTCTGTGCCGCTTCGAAGACAGTACAGGGGGAGCAGACAGAGGTGGATATGGGCCCACTCCCGGTCTTCCGACGGCTGGACCTGCAGCTCGAGGGCGGTGCGCGCGACCTGCGCGGGTACACACCGCGACTTATCGCGGCGGGTTGGGAGACGTCGTACATCGTACTCGCTCGTGCAGGGCAGAGCGATGTGCTCCTGGCCATGGGGGCGGATGATTTCGGTAACCGCGGCGTAGGCGGAAGGGGGAAAGGGAAAGAGAGAGAGGAGCCATGGCACATTGTAGAGCTGGAGCGGTTCGTAAACGCTTCGCAAGGCAAGACGATCCTCACCGTAAAGTCTCTGACGACGGGGCCGCACACCGTTATTGCTCAAATCCTGGTCTCATCCCGGGATAACGATTGTCAGGCGCAAGAACTGATGTTCGGCTGGGGTGCCTCGCGACACGGGCAGCTGGGCGGGGCCGAGCATAAGCCACCGTCGTTCTACGCCTCTCCTCATCCTGTCGTCCTTCCTGAAGGTGCTCAGGAACGCGGGAAAGTAGCCGCCTGCGCACTCGGGACGCAGCACACGGTTTTCCTGCACGGGTCCGGACGCCTCTCAGGCATAGGTTCTAATCGCAAGGCCCAGCTGCGCGGGATTGGGACGCTGGAAGGAGTCACTGCCATCGGGTGCACATGGAACGGCACATATGCTGTAATGCATGACGGCTCCTTCGTGGCGACTGGGAGTCATGTACGGGGCCTATTAGGTGCAGGCGAGGAGGGCGTGTCAGCGTTGGCCATGGTGCGATTCCCGTTCGAGTCGGGCTCGCGTGAACTTCTGAAGATGGCATGTGGGAGCGAGCATGTACTCTGCCTTTTTGCACTGCGTGATACCGCGACAGAGGTGTGGGGGTGGGGCTGGAATGAGCACGGCACACTTGGGATTGGATCCACGGGGGATGTCGAAGCGCCTGTGAGGGTATGGCCGCCCGCTTCCGAGGGTTTGCATTTAGGTAAGGCGGTAGATGTATGGGCTGGCTGCGGGACAAGCTGGATACTGGTCGAACGATAGCTACAATCTGATTCCGTGCGCAAAGCCTGGTGGATACAGCGATGATGATACAGGAGAGCGAGAGCGAAGACAGAGCGTTCAAGAACTTGGATATCAAAATCCAGGAGACTAATCGTCGTCCGCAAGGTCGTACTCGACATGGATCTGCCTGATGGTGGTCTGACGGTGTTCGGCCAGCTGCAAACTGGCTCATGTTACCACCACAAAGAATCAGCAAGGAAACGTACCCTTCCGATGAGGATCTACGTCCCCAATCATGACTCATTTTCATGCCGGATGGCAGACGACAAAAGATACTCACCTGAGCAGCGTCCTTTGCTTCGTTGTATTGATGCAACAGTTTGATGTGTCTTTTGACTATCTCCTCGGCATTGATACCTTCCCTGGAATAGGATGCTCGAGTTCTACAAGACACTTGCCTGCAAGCATAAAGGCGAACCCGAGCTCATGCTGCAAGTCTTGAATTTCTGCTTGCAGAGCACCGATGCGGGCTTCTTTTTTCTGATGACGAGCTCAATTCAGCAATCCATGATCTCTAGTAGCAGTATATAGAGGATTTTAGCTTATTCACCTTGACAGACGTTGAGGCGTGCATGTCGTCGTCGATGTTAGTAGTCGGGTGGTAATGCTAAGAGGGTTGTTCAGGTTGCGGCGACGCGTCAGTCACGGTCACGTTTATTTACGCGTTGTTTGGCGACGCATAGAATAGCGCCAGTCTGGCGACGCGAAGGCATAACAATCACGAATTTGAAGCAATATTGAAACAACCACACTGCAGTATACACACATCTATCTATCGCGCAGCGAGCGTCCTTACAAGAGGAATCATGCTGTAATCCCATGCGCACTTCAAGACTTCAACTTCTTCAGCATTGCCTTCATGTACAAAAACTTCCTCCTGAGCCAGTGCCTCGGTATGTCCTCTTCCTGCGGACGCTGTTCACGCATATCCAAACTAAGACGCGTCTTGCCGTCCTCCCGATCCTTCCAGCACCCCGGTCTCCCACAAATGCGATCCAACCAATCAGCCTCGGCATCACAAGGCCCCCAGTTATGACTGGGGATGTAAACAAAATGCCCACCAGCCGCTTGCTCCATGGCAGAGTATAGTTCCGATAATTCCTGCTCCTCCAAACAGGTTCGTTGCACAGGTTCGTTGCGGCCGGACACGAAAGGCGGAGGCTGGAGCGCAAACACTTGGAGGGAGTCCGGTAAGATACGCGGCATCGGGAGTTCCTCGGGGCCTGCGTTCGGATAGACACCGGATGACCAAGTGACACACTCTCTGAGACGATCTTCGAGAAACTCAAGTTCTACGCAGTCATCGAAAACGGTCTTCGCGACATGCATGTGCCACAAGGGTGGGAGGACAGTGATGCGGAGGTGTGTCACGTTGGACGATGCAACTTGAAGGAACTTCTGCAGATTCTGTGTGCTGCCTGTCGCACTGAAAAACGGAAGCTTACATGCGAGGTGTATGCGGCGAAGACGGGGGCGGTGACTCGGAGGTGCATATTGGGCGCGGGCGCCAAGCATGTCCCGATGCACGGAGCCACGCTCAATGCGCATGCAGATTGTCAACTCCTCCAACTGCGGGCACGATTTCTGGAGGTAAGGCAACAACCTGCTGAAGGTCTCCTGTTATAGGAACACGAGAGTGAACGTCACGAGTGTTGCCGCTGCGGCATCCATAACTACGGATTGAAAGTACCTCTAGGGCAAGAACGGCCAGTCCCGCGTTTGAGAATCGGAATCGTTTTTGTGCCGAGTGCAGAGAAAGAGGTGGTAGACAGGAGGATGTGAATCAATCTCGTCGAGTGAAAGAAATACACGATGAAGTCCCTCCAGCTGTTTGATGCCCTAGATACAGAGCGATTGCCATTTGAATGGCGTGGACACCCCGCGTGTGTACCGAGAGACCAGCGATAGGGAACGGCCGGTCGTACCGTCATCTGTGCAGGCAAAGGAGAAAATCATCTCGTGGATCTCGGGTGGACAAGTCATCAAGCTGCAATGCCGACGACGCGTGCTATTCGCACCGGGGGTAACGGACAACAGTAATAATACCCTCGACCCGCCGCAGCTAGGAAAACGGCTGCGCTACGCGCCAGTCCGCTAGAGTATGAGCTGCCTCAAATCGGGCAAGCCGCAGGGCCATACGAAGAACACCGCGCGAACGAACGAATTTCTCAGGTGGAAGGATTCGGCTTGAATGACGTTGATGAGGTCTCGGTTTTCCCTTTTTCCTATGCTCTCCATTATTATACACATCACAGACTCCCACTGTTGACACCACTTCCCCACACCCGAACAACGCAGTACTCATGAGACACCGCTGCTTTCATGGCAGCAAGGACAATTTTTCATTTCGACAACCCCTTACCAGCACGTATTTACCTACGTTAGAGACTGTTCCTTGGCGCACTTGATCGCCTGCTTGCAGTATAAATACACAGATTTTCATCATCATCATCATCGCACCGGGGGTAGAAATTAATCTGGAGTAAACGACCATTGAAACCAGATGATGCAGACGCCTGCTAGACAAAGCTGGACTTACAAAGAATTGGTGAACATGCTGGGGGGTCAGTCACTGGCATGAATTGTGGTCTTGGGCTTGAACTCGGGAGAGTAGACATGGACTGAACCAAAAGCCAAACAGCTGGGAAGAATCAAGCGAAGACGGCGGTTGCCGCAAGTCGAGGCGGGACGAATTTTAAGGCTGTGGGCCAATCAAAGTCGAGGAGTCGATTCGGTGCGAGTTGGCCAGCTCGACAGGCGAGCCAAGTCGAGTTACCGAGTTGAAACCAACTGGTCGTCAACACTAACCAGCTGTGTATACTATCGCGAGTCTCTTCCAAAGGTCGGTGTTCGCAAACGCGGAGAGAACAGGAAGACCATATCAACACAGACAGCGTGCGGATATGTTCACAGAATGTCAAAGTCAAAATTAGAGCCGCAGCCGTTCTCACACCCAGGTGATAAGCAAGAGAGTTCGCAGAATGTTTTGACCGCAGTTTCCAAGATGCAGGCCGGACCGAAGTGGGGACTTCGCTGGCATCTTCCGTAAGAGCGGGAACTTTCAAAATTTAATAAGCTAAGTATATGTCGGCATTGGCCTGCACGATACATCGAGAGCGCGCAAGGGCCCGAATGCATACCAGGAGCCTTTTCGATGCGGCTGTCGAATATTGCACTATTTTGTCCGGATGGCTGAACAACGGCCCATCGAAGCAGTGCCAGCTGAGAAATCATGCAGATGAGTCGTCTCCGGGGTTCAATGATGCGACCAATCAGAATGACGCTCGACCTGACACAGTGATGCGAATGGTGGCACGGAAGTCGCTCGTAGTGCGGTATGCAAGTCGCGCCTTTCTCCACGCCTTGGTAAAGTAGTCTCGGCTGACGAACCTGGAGTCCCCTAGATGCATCTTCGAATAAGAAGTCGGTGGTTCTACTGACTATGGCTATCTTGGCCGGTGCATGCCCAGCTTTGGAATGGATTCAAGCTCGCTCCGATTGTCCGAAGCAGAACCGGACATAATACAGTTGAGATCGAGTTTGAGTTGGATTTCTCCGGAGAGCTCCCAGCCAATGCCCGGGGTCTTTGTACAGTTTCATGTCACCATCGTATCGATGCCAAGATAGCGGGTTGCACCAAGCTCCGACCTTGAGGCGGGACAGTCAAACACGCGTGAGCGCGTGAGCTGCTGAACGTGCGTCTGATGACGCGTGAAATGAATGCGTTTGCGGCGTTATTGCGCGAGCTGCAAGGTAAGGAGCGGGAGGATACGGATGGCCTGTCTCGCGCGGGGCCCGCAAATGGGTGCGAGACTGCGCGGACGTAGGCACAGGGACGTTGAGTTTTGATGTTCATACAACAATCAAGTTCTTGGTTGTTGTAGGAAGTTGTGAGAAACGCGGACCACGTGATTCGCGCAGCAAAGATAGAACCGATACAGGACCATGCGCTGGAAGCTATTCGCCATCAGCACCGTGGCTGGTACAAGGGAGTTGTGGCGAGTTAGCGGGAGAGCGAAAAGGTGGGCGCATGGCAGGCTGACCGCAAATAGCGCACTTTTCGAGCAACGTGCACGCGTCTGCTCGAATTGAGTGACTGGAGCAAATCCGGGGAGAGCAAGAGGGTTCGTTTCGCCCACGGTGTCCTCACCGACAGACTCAACACGTTGTTGTGGAGGATATCGAGAAGCAGCACGTACCGAGAAGGTTATTTCCGATGGACGGCCGCAGATCAGGCTGCCTAAGTATATCGCGGGTAAAGATGGGGCCCTGTGTGAACAGCAGCATTCCGTCCTCGCTGTTTGCGACGTTGAGCTCGAGCCTCTGCGGAGTGGGTAGTACGCCTCGGTGGATCTGGGCGACAAGGCGAGGGACTAGTGACTAGTCTGCTAGCAGCCCAGGCGTCAGCGACGAGCGCCAAACAAAGACTGTCGTTGGCTGAGGGGCGACCGCAAGCCTCTCCTCTCTTTCGTCTCTCTCCTCTCTCCCTTCACTTCCATGGCCATCCTCGGCCTTTTTGGCAGACGCGACAAGCACAAGGCCCCGTCCGACGCCGCAAAGTCCACCACCGCGTCCTCTGGCTCCGTCGACACCGACGACCTTGCCACCGTCCCATCTCTCCACCAGAATGCTGTATATGCTAGCTCACCCACCGCCTCCTCGAGCAAACTGATGCTGGCCTTTCGTCACAAAAAGTCTCCTCGTTCGCCCCCCGCTGCTTCCGACGGTCTTCTCCGTCCACCTGCACCACACGCTTACCTCTCCAGTGCGAGATCGGAGCCGGGACATGGTCCGCTAGATCCTCCACCTACCAGGTCAAATTTATTCTCTGATTCAGACGGTGGACGGTCGGTCAGATCTCTCCCCGCTCATACCTTCTCCCGCTCTAGGGAGGGCATCGTACTCGATGACCCCAACACCTCCCCGCCTCCCAAGAAATCCAAGGGTATCTTCGCCTGGGCCCACAGAGAACGCAAACAGTCAAAACCTCTTCCCGCTACCCCTGACATCAATCTCGACACCGACTCCTTCAACCTGCGCTCCTTCCGTCATGTCGGCCCAGAGTCTCCTCACGAGAGCCCCCGTCCACCGTCGTCCCTGTCTACGAGCCCATACCTCATTCCACGCCCGCGTGGGGACAGCATCGCTTCAGATTCATCACAGCGCATATCTGTCGCCGCGTTTCGTGAGATGGCCGCACGGCGCAGCATGACGAATTCCCCTTCACCGTCTTCTGTGGACATGTCACGAATGGAGCCTTCACCCTCTCTTCGGCCCCCGCCTTCTCATGTTGTGAGCTCAGCCTCTCCCTCTACCGGCACACCTTCTCTCTCAGTCAGTGCGCCTCTCGCTGTGAGCCCGCCGTCTTTCACTGTGAAGACGTCACCGCTCCTCGCAGCGCGTCGTACTACGGTGCCACTTTCAGGATCCTCGGATTCGAGCGAAGAACCGGAGGAGTCGGAGTCCGGTGAGGACTCCGCTGACTCTTCGACGCTGCGTCCGAAACGCGACGCGACGATCACCAGAAGGACCGCTGGAAAGGCATCTACCGAGCTTGGCCATCTCATGCGTCCCATACCTCGAATAGCGCCCTCCGCGTCTGCACAGTCGGGAAGTAGCAGCAGGGAAAGTGTAATTACTCGCCAAAGGGCCTCTGCCTCGACTTCTGCGTTGCAACCCAATGCTGCAGCTCAGCGTGCGTCCATACTTGCTGCCGAGAAAGCTCCCGTCGTGAAAGGTCAGGAGACCCTCTTCCATGCTCCATGCTCTTCTAATTCAATTTGTTACGTGGATACTCATGATCAGGGTCTCATATTCATTCGAGGAAGAAGCTCGCGGGAAAGGAACTCGACGACACCTCAGCCAGCTCCGATTCCGACACTGATTCTGACAACGCACCGCTGTCGAAGTACGTGATACCAAAGCGGCCGGGGAGCGCCGCTTCACATGCCACTTCCCGGAGTCGAGTGCCTACGAAGCCTCTCATTGACATCTCGTCCATGACCGTGAACGCACCACCCCTCATGTTCTCACAGGAGACAGTCGAATCCCCCGTTTCGCCGAAACAAGCCGAAAGGGGGAAAGAGAAGGAGTCTCCTGTGTCGCCTACGCCAGAACAGGTTCCTACGCCCATCGAAAAGCCCACTCTCAACGATCGTCTTAGTCGTCTCACCCAAGGGGTCGCGGGTCGATCCGCTGAAAATTTGCTCAAGTTCCCGCAAGTGGATGAGGATAAAGGTTCGCGCGAACGTTCGATGCCGCCTGCTCCAACGCGAAGCCAAACAGCACCCATGGACATGTTCGCCCCCAGTCCGCCGTCGCCGTCGTCTCCTCCGGATCCGCCAACCCCGTCGTCGAAGAAGATCAACGGACGATCGATGTCTTCGCCCAGCGCGACCTTCGAGGGCATCAAGGACCTTTCGGACCCCTCCCCTATCGTACCCACTCTGATACGCGAACGTTCCCCTCCGCCTGCATTCAGCGTCACATCCCGCCCAACCTCGCAGCTTTCTGTTGCATCGCAGTCGCAGCCTCCGCCGCCTACCGTGCGCATAGTCCAATCTCCCCCTGAGCGGCAGCCGTCGCCTCTCTCTCCATCTCTGCGTTCCACCCCTGAGGAGCCCGTTCGATCGCTGCCGGCTCCTCTCATTACCTTACCGCCCTCGAATGCATTCACCGGAGGAGGCCTCCTCGCAGGCGGTGCCCCCATTCCGCACCCGCACGGGTCCCGACCACCTCCCAGCTCGCCCACGAAACGCCCGGGGCGCCCTCGCGCACCAAGCAGCAATGCATATCCTCCGAGGGAGGACTCACTGCCTCCCACCTTACGGCCGTTCGCCGAGGTCAACGGGCGGCGCGGCAGCCCCGCGCGCACGGACGCCAGCAGCCAGATCACCTCCGCTTCGTCTTCCGCGTCTTCCGTCCTGCCGGCCGCCCCTGCCCCGGTGCAGTCCAAAGCGCCGCCGCCGCGAACAGCGAAGCCAGCCCGCCCACGCTCGAGCACGCTCACGGTCGTGCCGCCGCTCGGTGCCGCGCCTCCGCCGAAGCCGTTCGCGGCGGGCCCGCGGGGATACAGCCCTGCGAGCTCGACGGGTGACTCGAGCAGCGGGCGCACGCCGGTCACGCCGCAGGATGACGGGGAGTTTAACTATAGTCGTCGTAAAAAGGATGCGGGCCAGGGTCAGGCGACTTCCAACCACAGTCAGTCCACGCTTGGACAGCCGCCGCGGAGAGGACAACGGAGAGGGGCGAGTGTTACATTCGATGAGACAGTGCGTGAGCGCGGGAGGTCTTCGGCGAGGGAGCGGGAGCGGGAGAAAGAGAAGGAGGAGCGGGAGACAAGGGAGATGGAGGAGAGCAGGCGGAAGGAGAGGCGCCTTACTGAGGCGAAAGCTGCTCTTGAGGTGAGCTTTATCCTTCGGCAGTTTTATTAGTACTGAGGACGTTTGTCTCTTGTGTAGCTCGGAAAAATCGTCAATGGGAAGGCGCCCCTCGTCGATGACGATGACGAAGAGGCTCCTACTCTCGATAACATGGGCCCGCGGATGAGCATGATGAACCCGATGATGGGCATGGGCTCTATGGGCGGGATGAACATGACGCTCACTCCGCCGTCGCCGATGGCCTGGCAGCAGCAAAACATGTTAAGCCAGCAACAGTACATGATGCCGATGCAGCAGCCGAATGCGGACGTCGCGTTCCTCGCCGCGCACCAGCAGGCGATGCTCGCCGCGAAGCACGCGTACCAGATGGCCGTGGCGCAGCAGGCGATGGCGGTCGCCGAGGAGGAATGGGAGCGCGGGTCCGTCGGCGCCGCGAGCGCGCTCAGCTTCACGCCCCGGCCCACGATGGGCGGGATGTTCCCCGGCAGTGGGTACGGCATGGGCGTGGGCATGGGCGGGATGGGCATGAACGCATGGGGCGGGAACATGATGGTGCCCCCCAGCTCGCAGTCGATGTATGCGGGCAGCGTGATTGGCAGCGAGCTCGGCGTTGGCACCAGGGGATCTGGGTGGGCCACGCGTAGTGCGTATGGCGAACCGACTGGACCGTCGAACATGTTCCGCACGACGGGGTATGCGTTCCCTGCGCCACCACCGCTCCCCACCGGTCGCTCGGACTCAGGGCAGCTTGGGCCACAGTCGCGTCCAGGCCCCCGGCCCCGTACCCGCACTGCACCGTCGTCCGAGAATCCGCGCCGCGCGCCCCCGCCATCGAGTTGGAAAACAAGCGCACAGCGCCCGGCGTGATCTCCCCTGCGTCCATACGCTCATCTACCCATTTTCTTATCGTTCTCTATAGTGTCCCTCCCACCACCCACCCCCGCTAGATACTGGTTCCCCTCCGTCGTTCTGATCCGTATTCGCTCATTGTGATTGATACTTGTCGCATGTTTCTTTCCTCTGTCGCTGGCTATACGGAAGGTTATGCCGCACGCACCTGCGCATGTTTGTTCCTGTCTCTGTTCGCATTCGCGTTCTATACCCGCACTGTCCCTCCCACTCACGCATATGTTTGACGTCTGCATACGATCACTATTGGTTTAATATATTCTCTCGTGTACAAAGTCGGCTTCTGCGCCCATGTGTAGCTGAGTGTTTCTTAGGTGTCTCCCTCAGTTGAGAAATAGATGAATAAGTCAAGTCTATTGTGCCGACACCGACACTGACACTTGTACTACCCCGCAACAGCTACCTCTTCAGCGCCGACGCCTGCCACCGTCTCAAGCTTGACGCGCTTTGCAACCTCCGGTTCCAACGTCCTTTCAGGATGTCCCCGCTTTGACCCTGCTGGTCCGTCCTTGCTGAGCTCCGCCGCTTCCTCGTCGCTCTCCGTCGCAGCTGCCGCTGGTGGCAGCGGGCGGAAATAGGGTTGGGCCAGCCAATGTGGCAGGAGGGGCAGGCCGGTCGCCTCATCTATCGTCACCAGGGCTTCCAACGGCCGGCCTTCCGCCACCAGCGCGTCTCTCTGTAAAAGAACCATGAAGCCTAGAGTGTCTTTTACATGCACGGGGAACACCAGCTACGCACCTCGGTCCTCTCCTCGAGCAGCGCGAGGATCTCCTCGTAAGGCGCCCACACTTCCGGGCTGTTAGTGCGCGGGATCTGTGCGCGGCCTAGTTGTGCGCGCAGGTCCGTCTCTTTAGCTAGCGCGGGGCGCAGTAACTTGAAGAGGTGCCCCTTGACAGCACTCAGCACCGTCGGCGTGCGCTGCCTCTTCACGATCTCGAGGTACTCGCGTGCGAGCGCCGTGAGCGGTGGGTGATGGCCAGACGAAGCCATCGCGATAGCGGTGGATGTCGAAGCCCCTGGGGTGGACGATTCGTCGTCGGCGGCTGGAAGAGAGTGGAAGGGGCCGGGGTAGAAGAGCGCGGGGTTGTAGAGGTTGCCCTCAGCAGACATGACGGCGTCCGCGCCCGTCGCGGCGAGACACCGCTCGATGTCGCTGTGGAAGAGGATGTTGCCGTTCGCAAATACCGGGATTGACACGGCCTCTTTCACAGCGCGGATCTTGTCCCAATCTGCTAGACCCTGCGAGAGGAGAGGTGAGCGTGGAGTTGACACGGGTCGGATAGGAACGCACGCTTTGGTGCCCGCGCTGCTCGCGCACGCGGCCGTGGCAGGTCAGGATCTGTGCACCTGCACGCTCGAGCATGCGGGCATACTCCACTGTCTTCTCCACCGTCGGGAACACACGGAATTTTGCTGTGACGGGTATCGACAGGTTTCGGTGTAGCATGTTGACTGCGCGCACATTGTCAGACTTCGAATTCGCCGCAGCACGAAGTGATTGATATGCGAGGCTTACTGATGTCGTAGATGAGGTCCCACTCGTCCTGTAGGAAGGATCCGTAGTGTCCCCTCCGGGCGATGTCCTGCGGACAGCCCAGGTTGATGTCGACCGCGTCACAGTACGGCTCAACGACGCGTGCGGAGGCGAGGAGCTGCGCGGGGTTGTTTCCGCAAAACTGTACAATCAATGGCCGATCCTCCGGCCCGCCCTCCTCCCCGTGGGTTATGTTGAATTGTTGCTCGCGGAAGCCCCTACGTGCACCTTCTGCGAACATCTGCAGAGTGATCATATCAAATTTACTGAGAAGAGTTGTTAATGTGCAGTTGCGACAGACCTTCGCGTTGATCATGGGCGTGTACGCCAGCTGAACACTATGTCAGAATAGTTCTGAAAGTCTAAGAGACGGGGGATGCTTACTTGCGCCCCGTATCTCCTGGAGAGCTTTCTCCATGCCTAAGAGCAGATTTTGGCACAAGGCTGGCACTGGTACACAAAGATGGAACTTACCAACTCGCTCTGGTCGACCATTGGCGCGACCACATATTTAGGGCTACCGAGTACCTTGCGGTAGAAATCGTACCCACCGAGCTTGCTCGGATGGTCCGAGGATGTCACGCCCGGCATTATGGGAAAGAAGTAGTCTATGAATCTGCACGGGAGGCGCTGCAGCGCCCTGGAGAGGTGGAGAATGTCGACAGCACCCCGAGGGCGGGTACGGAAGTGTGTAAACTTCGTGTCGAGCAGTGCGAGCTGGACGCAGACGCCGGGGAAAGTGACGCAGTGGTCTCACAGCCACCTGCTCTTAGTGCTCGTCCTAATCCAGTAATTTTCGATAAAAAGGGTAAGCTTAAAACATATATCACATGACTTTTTAAAACATAAATGTGGGATACAGGAGCGAGAACGCTGTGACGACGGATGGTTTTAGGAGGTTCGACAGGAGGCAGTCCTCGCTGAGCTGGCTCCACGGGCCAAGAGCACCACTTAACTATAAAAGGGTGCCCTTCGCTCTCCCTCGTCACTGAACGACTCAACCAACTCGCTCAGCCAACTCTCTTAGCGCAATCTCTCGAGCTATCACAAGCGAGTTCTTTTGCGTTCTACTACTATTCTTCTATACTGACCCGCTCGTCTACTCGTTTAGTGATTTCTCCGGAATTCGTCACTGCGTGTATCGTCTATGCTCGGGAGCATGTCCAGTGCTCTGCCATCTCCCCCTACGAGAGCGTGTCCTCCCAGCTCAGCCTCTTGAATGACTACAGGTCCAGCACTTCCTCCAACACCCCTCCCTACGTTCTCTCCAAGCTCGAGGCAATGTTCTACTATTCGGGCATCTCTCCGACTCCCCCGAAGCTTGTCTACCGTACGGGGCGCTCGAAAACGCCCTGGGTCAAGCCTACGGGACCCGAGGCCTATCGCAAGCTGAAGCAGGTGCGTGGGGTGTTCGGCCACAAGCTCAACGACGTCTGGAAGGTCGTGGGTCCCCTGGTTCGGGACCTGCTGAACACCCAGAGGGTCGCTTGGACGTCCATCGACGTCGCTCGCTTCATCACTGACGGAGACGGAGACGAGAAGATCCGCGGTCCTGTCGTGCTCTAGGTCGGTGTTCGTCCCGATTCGCTCCAGGGCAAGGACGCCTTCAGCTCGGGCAACGAGATCCTCCACCTTCTTGAGAGCTTCGAAATCGTCGACGTCGAGGTCGAATACCGCGAGTCCATCTACAAGCGGTCGGCCGGCCCAGCGCTTCTTCGCTCCGTCTCCGACCTCAACTCTACCGTGGACGTTCGCGGTCCCCTTACTCCCGCTCTCGGACTCCCCATTGCTGCCTCTGACAGGCCTGGCGACGAGGGCACCATGGCCCTCTACTTCGCCGAGGGTGGCGACAGCGACAAGGTGTTGGGTCTTACCTGTCACCACGTCCTCTTCAAGACGGACGGGGCAACCAACGACGACTACGTCTTCGCGGGCGCTGGTGCGCCTCGCAAGTTCGTCCAACTGCTCGGCACTCCCGCCTTCGACAAGCTTCTCGGCGCCGTCAAGACGCGTATCGCTGGTCACGCTATCATGGTCGAGTTTTACGAGAGGCAGATCAAGAGGTTGGAGGCGAGGGTGGGTGGTGACGACGAGGACAACGTTGCGAAGGCGAAGGAGCTGAGGAAGACTCGGGACCTGTTGGACGAGGCGAACGAGGCGATCGAGGACCTTGAGAAGTTCTACGAGAAGGTCAAGAAGGAGTGGGGCAAGCCCAACCAGCGCACCATCGGCTACATCCGCTCTTCCCCCGCCATCGCCTTCAACGTCGGTCCCGAAGGCTTCACCGAGGACTGGGGCGCATTTGAGCTCGACGGTCCCAAGTTCAAGGAAGCGTTCAAGGGCAATTTCATCGATCTTGGTGCATTTCGATTTATCTCACTCCAGGTCGTCTAGTCTAACGGTTACACTCAGGTACGGAGATCTCACCCGGCCACTTCACCTTGAAGATGTATCCCCGCGACGACGGCAAGGCGACCTTCGAGTACCCCTACGACCGTCTCCTTCCACTCCGCGACATGATCACCGAAGAGCGCATGCGCGAGCCCGACATGCTCGATCACGACAACGAGGCCTGCTTGTTCGTCATCAAGAATGGCAATGCTACCGACATCACCATCGGACGCGCAACGGGAATCTTCTCGTTCGTTCGCGATGACGACACCGCTCAGGAGTCGATGGAGTGGGCCATCTACAACTACGACAATAAGTCCGACGTGTTCTCAGCCCCCGGTGACTCTGGGTCAATCATCGTCGATGGACTTGGTCGTATCGGTGGCCTTCTTACCGGCGGTACTGGCAAGACGGAGACCTCAGACGTTACCTACGCCACCCCCATGTGGTGGCTCTGGCCCCGCATCAAGCAGCACTTCCCCAACGCCCACCTGGACCTTCAACCCGCCCAGAGATGAGCGGAGTTTCAACACGATGTTTTCCTTTTTTAGTCATTCCCGACGCGTCGCGCTATTCCCCGTTCCCCGTTGTATTTCTGTCTTTCCTGTCGTTTTCCCCATCATGTTCCCCGTGTTGTTCCCCTGTATTACCTTTCCTCTTGCTCATATACCCGTGACGCTGGTCTACTTGGCGCGAGTGATACGTCTACAGAGGACAAGTTGCAGCTATGTGAAGCAGGACGGAACGCGGTATCGGATATGTGACCGCGGGTCGCGATCGGGCGGATAGCCATCCCGCCGGAAAGCAACCCAGTGGCCATACTTCCGCGAGCCGTGCACTGACGGAAAGACCTTGAGAGCTTCTGCTCTTGGTACATAAAAGCATCAAAGGTTAGGTTAATTCATTCCCTCCCTGACTCTACTAGATCAACAACCATGTCTCCTATTGAAATATTCGTCGATCACTCCTCTATCCGCGGGATTACAGAGAATTTGTCGAGTCCGGAATGGAGTTCTATCATCACTCTTTTCAATGATGTGCAGTCACATCTCATACAATCAAAAGCAACCCGCTCTGCCTACCTCGAAATTCTTGTGGACTTCTACAATCTCAATGATGAGGCAGAGCACTGCTTCCCAAGCCTACGGATGAAGATGTACTACACTACTTCCAAGACAATTTCCCTCATGTACATGTCCGCAGCAGTCTTCATCCAAATGGTACCTTAGTTGGCCCAGACTGGCAATGTCGTTCGCGTCCAGAGAGTGAGCCAAGAAATGACATTCGGATAGTTCATGAAGTCATTATGTCAATGCGAATCTTGGTGAGTGTGGTACCGACTTTTCGCTTCACTCATTTGGCTGACAGTGATTACAGAACATGGGCGCTGATCGTGCACAGGAATTCCACCTTGGTTATGACACGTTCGCTATGTGCACCGTGATCATGTTCCTGCATGCCCTGCGCTACTCGCTTATCGAGCACGTCTTTGCGAGTCTTCCTAACCCCCCCAATGGTATCAAGATGGACGGCTCAGCTTATGCCTACCAAGGTTGATACGATTGGGGCCTAGAAGAGGCGCTGCTCGGTTTCCACATCTTGGTGACTGGAATAGGGGGGCACACAGTGTGTGCGAGGAAATGGCAGATTTGACTGTACAGGTCGAACGCCCGTACAAGAAGGCTTATTCGCTCAGTACGCCTTGCACATTCTTCTTCTGCATGTAAATATGCACCTGATTCAATGCACCATACTGCGGGTCCGGAAGGTGCCCTCGAGGTGGAACGGTTTCTCGAATCTCCCAAGACAGATTCGTTGTACAGAATGCGCCTGGCCGACAACATGCTAGTCCGCGCTGGGCTTCCACGGGGCGGCATTCGCGAGCGTGTTCAGACGGCATTCTACATACACTCTGCGATCAAATCAGCTATCGAGAATGAATGTGAAAGGAGAATAGATACAGGCACTAATTTTGTGACAGTGCCTATCGGTGGCAATTGCAGGGGAGATGAACCTTTAATGGACGATATTGTGTAGTCTCTTCTTGTAACTTTGGCATTCGTGTAATTACTTCGTGACAATAGCTATTAGTGTGACAATGACTTGTCCCGCGTTTTCTACTCTCGTCGGCGATTCCTTGGTCTGCATGAGAGGTAAGCAGCAGCTGCACCTCTCATTCAGATAATATCGCTCAATATTACCCATTTCCGCCTTACGGCGCTCGACGTGCAGTGGCACATACATGTAGCGAAGATGAGTGCGTCTCATAGATTTCTCAGGACTTCATGTGCGAGTCGAGCACCGATCTAGACTGGTTCATTTCTAAATGCATCCTCCCTGAGTCCGTTCAGGTGTCTTTCCTTCCTACCGCTATTTAGACGTATTATCGATTGGCGTCCTTTGACCCTATCGGCCGCCGAGACAGTGTCAGATCTGTACAGGACTACGGAGAAGAGCTAGGCGGGCGATTTGTGCACAAATCTGCAGAGAAATGTGAGTACTGAGGTATGAAGGCTGACTGGTCAGATCGTATCTGTGGGATGCCGGGGGCTAGAGGTTTCAGAGGGACGGCAAGAGACGTTTGGAGGTGGACCACGACACGTGTGAACGATGTTTGGAGGTGGAAGAATTACCAGGTTGGCTGAGAAGGAGGCTCTTCTGGGTGCAGAAGGTCTTGGAGAAGCTGAAGCTGTGATTTCCAAGTGCGCATGTCAGGTTGAGTCCGTAGTATAATCTATCGATTTTCTCAGTATCACTGATGGAATCGTGGAATGTTTTTACAGCTATATGGTAGTGGGTGTATGCATCAGCTCGAAGATGCCAATTAGACATACCTTGGCTTGCTGCAAAGTTCTTACTGGGGATTTTGGTGATTATCTCTCCAACACCGTGCGCTATCGTCCTTCTGACAGTCCGTCCTATCTACTATATATATGTCAATCTGCTGGCTCTCTTAGCAGCTGAGTTCTTAATTCAGATAACAGACTTTCTCATGGTGTATAAGAAGCAGCAGCCATGTCGCTCCCAGCACGATAGCGGCTCCTAGCAGAGGCAGCGAGCTACAATCATGGCCCCGCAGACGAAGCTCCTCCAAGCCACCGGTGATGCAGCCTATACCGCGAAGGCGCAGTCGCTTATTGCCAGTCTGGATGCAGAGATTCCAGCCTCGCTTCGCCTGCCCGCTTCAATCCTTGAAAATCTACCGCTCGACGTGACAGGAATTCCCAGGTCGTGTGGGCTCTTGACCCCCGCTGAACTGACGATCACGGAGCTCGACGCCACGGAGGTGTGTGCGCGGATCGCTAGGGGCGAGCTCACTGCGGTCGAGACGGTCACCGCGTTCGGGAGGCGCGCGGCCATCGCGCACCAGCTGACGGCGTGTTTGACGAACTACTTCTTGGATGAGGGCATCGCGCGCGCCAAGGAGCTAGATGAGTACTTTCAACGCGAGGGTAAGGTCGTCGGGCCGCTGCATGGCCTGCCTGTTTCTATCAAGGTAGATCCTGCCGTTTACCTTGATCTGATGGCCTTAAGGTGATGGTCTTCTGTAGAACCATTTTCCTATCAAAGGTAGGACAGGTTTTGCGGGCTTCCTCTCCACGTTCGAGGTCTCGCCGGACGACTGCGACATGACCCGTATCCTGCGCAGTCTTGGTGCCGGTACGTCTCTTTGATTATACTACAGAATGTCGGTGAATCATGATGTCTCAGTGTTCTACGTGAAGACAAACCAGCCTCAGACGCTGATGCACCTCGAGTCGCACTCGTTCTACGGCCGGACAGTGAGCAATGCTACTCTTCTTGTTCATAAGTAAGACCGATATCTCTCATAGCTCAATCCTTACAACACGAATCTGTCCTCAGGTGGCTCCTCTGGTGGTGAGGGGGCACTCATTGCATTGAGAGGGTCGTGTATAGGAGTTGGCAGGTGAAAATGCACCAATAATACATTTTTCTGGTGCAGAAGTATTGACCTCCACCCCCAGCGATGGAGGAGGATCCATTCGAAACCCATCCGCCAACTGTTCGATCTATGGAATTCGTCCAACGACGAAGACTATGCCCGCGGATGGGTTCTTGTGGTAGTGAGTGACCGCATCTGCCAGTATAACACGTTGCTCTATAACAGTACTTGCAGCCAGGATGGTCAGAGCTTCGCCTCGTCCACAGGCCCAATGTGCCGCTCTGCACGTGACATCCAGACGTTCCTCTACGCGATCCACTCCGCGAAGCCCTCTCTAATCAACCCGTTGCTCATCCCCCTGCCGCTCGTGGTGCCCTCCCTTGAAGGGCAGAAGCTGCGCGTAGGGTTCATGATGCATGACGATGTCGTTCTGCCTCACCCGCCGATGCTGCGGGCGCTACAAATGGCACGCGAGAAACTGCTGGCTGCGCTGGATGTCGAACTGGTCGAGTACAAGCCGTATGACCACGATCGGGGATACAGCCTCATCGTATGTGTTCTGCGAGACAGTGTTAACTTTGACTAATATTCCGGCAGCGCGAGTGGTACTTCGAGGACGGTGGGGAGACTGTCCGGAGGCTCTTGAAGGAGGGCGGCGAGGACAGCCTGCCGCTCACAGATTGGGTGATCAGCCCACCATACACGAAGAACCATACCCCCGCCGAAATGTGGGCGGTGAGTTATTCTGCGTGGCTCAGATTCGCGGTTATGGACTGAGGAGTGTGCGCGGGGCAGCTTGGTGATAAAGTGGACAAGTACCGCCGGGAATATTCAGACCACTGGCGGGCTTCCGGGATCGACGTTCTTCTGTGTGCGCCGTTCCCCGGTACGGCGAACCCACACGACAATGCGCGATACTGGGGGTGCGCGTACATACACGATCAGACACGGATATTCATTCTCTGACTGTGTCCACAGATACACGGCAGTTTGGAACCTGCTCGACTATCCGGGAGTCGTGTTCCCCAGCGGGCTGAAAGCCGATCCAGCTATTGACCTAGCTCAGGAACAAATCAACCCGATGAGCCCATCTGATTCATACAACCATTCGTTGTGTAAGTCTCCTCCGATGAATATGGGTGAAGATCGTGCGACGCTGACATTTCGCTGTTATATGTAGATGTTCCCGAAGTATTCGTCGGTGCTCCCATCTCATTGCAGCTGCTCGCGCGGCGGTTCAATGACGGCTTGCTCCTTGCCGCGCAGAATATTATCGAGGGCGTTTTGAGGGCGTGAACGACGAAGTTTGATACTGTGTACAAATAGTCCAAATTAGCAATTCGATGCGTGCAAGCGAGCTGGCAGTCAGATGTCCGATTCGATCCACAGAACGCCCGATTGAGCTGGCGGGAGTCAAGGCCATCCTCGCCTCGTATAACCGTTCATCGTCGTCTTTTCCCTCGTACTCGTTGTCAACAACGACGACGACGACAACGGCACCACTGCTTGCATCCGAATCGCGGTCACATGTGGCAGACACGCTCGGTCTGTGATGACTAAGCTGAGGTCATAGTGAGCTGAGTTCACGAGAGGGCTAGACGAGTCGTTCTCGTCCTCGTTGACAGCCACGGCGACCAACGCCCTTCCTCCAATGGAGCACCCAGAGAGGCAGCTGATCCCGAAGTGGGCTCCGGAGGTACGCATCCTTCCGTTGTCGTTGCTGTCGCCAACAATGCTCAGCTAAATCCCCCAGCTGGTCGCCCTCTCGTACTGCATCTCCTGGCTGGGTGCATACACGAGCACCCAGATCGTCATTCACGCCAAGTACACCAAAAGGCTCGTCGTCCGTTCCATGTGGACCCTCCTTGCCAGCCTTGCCTTTGGTCTCTGCGCCATCTGGTCCATGCATTTTGGTGCGCGCTGTCGGTGTTTTGTGCGTGCTATGCACTCACCACATGTTCCCCAGTTGGTATGCTTGCGTGCGGTCTCGATGTGCGCGTTGCCTTCGACCTCAAGCTTACTATTCTTTCCGCCGTGGTCGCTGTTGTGTTCACTTTTGCTGCACTCTTCAGCGCATATACTAACGAGATTGTCGAGAAGTCCGTGCCCCTCTCCCGCATTCTGGCTATTCTTCAGTCATTACAGGCACGTGCCATCTCTTCGCTCACGTTTAGTAACAGGGTAGACCCAGACTCGGGCTACCAAGCATTGTCCGGGACGGAACCCCACGAGGAGGAACGGCGGAGCGGCGCGTCGATCGAGAGGCCAGACGATGTTGAGTCTACCGCAGCGGCAGAACCCACTGTCGATGACGCGTGCGACGAGGCTGACGACGAGAATGAGGCTGTCTTGGACCCTCCACGAGATCACACGCGCACGTCGCCCGCCGAACAGCTGCCACCGGTGCATCCCACGCGCGGCCGCACGCGTAGGGTCTCTCTATATGCCATCGGTCACAGCAGGACCGTCCGCACCCCGCCACCCGTGCGGCAGCGCTCGCTCCCACCCCTGGGCCCAGTCTCGGAGGACTCCAACTCAGCGAGCACCACCGGTTCGACGCTGTCCAGCTCGTCCTCTTCCGGGCGCGCGCGGCGCATGCGCTCAGGCACCGGCTCCGGAAGCGACTCGTCAGGCACGACACTCACATCTACGTCATGGGCCGAATCGATGCATGTAGGGTTGAGCCGCGAGACCCGGATGCGCATCAAAGCTCGCGCTCGCGAGCAGCCACTACCCACGTTTGGCTGGAAATACTGGATTATGCGTTACTATGCCACGATGACCGTGCTTCTGTTCCTACGTGCTGTGATATGGAGCATGGCCCTTGTGCTCATGCACTATTGCGGTACGTGCTCGCTTGGCTTGCTGAGCTCGCGGTGTTTGCATACTGACTCTATGAGGCGCTAGGTATGTGGGCGATGGACATCCCCGGCGGACGGATATCGTGGGATCTGGGGATCGTCGTTCTGTCGTATATCGTTGCCTTTATAGCCTGCTTGGTGGCGTGCACGACCATGGAGCACATGGAGGTGCACTTCGGCCGCCAAGTGGCATTCAGCACCCTCGCTTCCCTTGGCGTTTGTTCTATGCACTATACAGGTGCATATATATTGTCGTGTTCGTGTCATACGATGAGCTTATCATGCACTGCAGGCATGGCCGCCGTGACATTCTACACGTACATGCCGCCCGCCCCGGAAAACGCAGGCTACCCCACCTACCTTCCAGTGACGATCATCTGCGTGGCGGTGTTCGTGTGCGTCGTGTCAAACGTGGTGCTCGCACACAGCGCCATCACAGCGCGAAATCGCATGGCGGAGATGATCCTTACGAAGCGTCGCCTCTGGCGCATCATGGCGGAGAAGGAGGCTGCAGAGCAGGCAATCGACCTCAGGCAGCAGTTCATCTCGGTTGCAAGCCATGAGGTTTGTCCTGCTCGCGTACGAAGTTTGCGTCCGCTGACACTTTTGCGGAGATTCGGACGCCGCTCCATACCGTCAATGGCTACTGTGAGCTGTTAGCCCGTACAGACCTTACGGATGAACAGACGCTGTATGTCTCGAGTGTACAGCAGGCTTGCCATGCGATTAACGTTGTTGCTGGGAATGTTCTTGGTAAGCTACGCAGGAGTTGTCCGCTAAGCCAAATCCTAATCCGTGCTTGAAATACCGTCCCTCCGAGACTTCAGCAAGGTACGCATCGTTCATCAGCTGATATCATGAAATTTTCAGACATTTTCCCTGCTAGTTGGATCGCGAAAATTCCGAGCTATCTGCCCGACCGGTCCTAATGTATATTCGGAAAATGGTAGAGGACCTGGCGAAAATCACCAATGCGAAGGGAATCCAGCTCGGTGAACAGGGCGTAGATGTCATCATGTCTGTCTCGAGCGACGTCCCAAAGGCTATCTACCTAGATGAGACATACACTTTCCGCGTATGTTTGCATTCTGTATTGTCCGCACTTGTGTTGACCAAAACCCTGTAACAGGTGTTCATGAATGTAAGTATCTACTGTTCTCAAATCCCCAAATGTTGGCCCTTAAACATCCTCTTCCCAGCTCCTCTCAAATGCTCAGAAGTTCTGTGATCAGGGATACATCTGTGTTGCAGTGTCCATGGGTGTGCCCGATCAGCTCCTTATCCACGTGAGCGACACGGGCTGTGGTATACCCAAAAGTTTCCGAGCAGAGCTCTTCCAGCCGTTCACTCAGGCAGATACCTCACTCACACGGCCGAGACAGGGCACGGGTCTGGGGCTGAATATAGTCAAGCACCTTGTGCAGCGTATGAACGGATCCATCGACGTAGAGTCCACGGAGGGCGAAGGGACGACGTTCATCGTGAAACTGCCCATCACGCCGCACACGCCGACGCATTCCGAGTCTCCACCCTCTGGTGCAGCGGAGCTCCCCGCCGCGCTGCCCAGACGGCTGAGGGTTGTCAACCATGACGGGCGCACGCAGGACCTGCTCGTTCATCTGTGGATGCAGCATGGGTTCGTGGTCACCGCGGGCGTCGAGGAGACGTCGGTGCAGGAGCTGGTGCGGGACGTGGACGCGGTGTGGACGGATTTAGAGAGTGCCGCAGGATCGCCGGTGCTCCGGGAGCTGATGCACACCGTGATGGCGAGGACGTTCCCCGTGTATGTGCTGTACACGGACTCGCACGAGCTCAGCGCTCTCGAGCCTGAGCTGTCCGAGGCGCGCAACGTCGTGCTCGTGAAGCGCCCGCTGGTCATGCACACGGTGTTAGGGATGATGGCTAATCCGCAGGCGCACATGGGTACGCATGTGCTGCAGGACGCGCAGAAGGTCCGCTTTGCGATACCGGTGGACCACCTTGTGGCGGAGGCGCGGTCGAAGGAGAAGTTTAGAGAACGGGGCGGGGATGTGCCGCTGGACGAGCTGGTTGTAGAGATGAGCGAGAAGGAGAAGATCCTTCTGGTTGAAGACAACGTGGTGGGCTTGGCTGCTTACTCTTTTCGGGGAAGCAATCGTGCACTTATCCCATGACGGTCCAGATCAACCAGAAGCTCGGACGCCGTGTGCTGGAAAGGTTAGGGTACGAAGTGGTCGCAGCCAATGACGGCAAGCAGGCGATTGAGGCTGCTAGGCGGACACTCTTCTTCTGCTGTCTCATGGACTGCCAGGTGAGTCGTCCTCGTTTCGCCTCCCACTTACACGTGGTTTATTCTATCTGGATGGCCAGATGCCAGTGCTTGATGGCTTCGCGGCCACCCGTCGTATTCGTGACCTGGAAGCGGAGGGGGTGCTCCCTGGACGCGTGCCGATTATTGCGCTCACGGCGAACGTGACGCCTGACGGTGAAGTCCAGTGCCGGCAGGCGGGGATGGACCACTTCTTGCCTAAGCCATTGAAAATGGACGGTGCGTAGTTCGCTCCTTCCTTGATATGGGCGGCACCGTGACATTGTTCGGACTGTTGCAGATCTTGACGCTGCACTGAAGAAATTCGGACGTAGTCTGCCACACCGCTGAATGCTGCAATATATATGCGCATCTTTTTCATCTAGCTTTCTCTGCTTGGATATAGACCGCGTGTTATATGCCACATCTCCGTCACATATCTGCTTTGTTATTCGCATCTCCCGACATATCCTTTACCGTTGCATCACATCCTCACATATTTTATCGCAGTGTACTGACCTATAGTATTAATCATGTCTGTATTCGTATCCACACTCAAAAAGTCTGGATTCTCGAACTTTGAGGTAATAATCTACCTGACGGTGATACTGCGGCAAGCAGATGGGAGATGTTCTAGGGCGATCGATTAGATACATTCAGAGACGGCGAGATGTCTCCAGGCATCTACTAGCTTCACGGTCGACGACAAAACGCCCTCCCTCCCTCCCACCAGGTCCCACAATCTTTTTACCACCTGCGCCATGGTTGAGGTCAAGAACAAAGTCTGTCTGATGTGAGCTGTTGTCTCTCAGCTGGTGGAATCGTCGCTCACCCCCTCAAGATAGTGTGCACGACGGCTGGGGTATCGCCCCCGAGAAGAACATGAAGGGCGATGCCATCTCCGCCGGGGACACGCCCAACATGGACGCCCTCGCCAAGGAGCACAACTACCGCACGTTGCACGCCCACGGGATCTCCGTCGGGCTCAACGACGGGCTCATGGGCAACTCGGAAGTCGGGTAAGTGCTCGTCCACTCTGCACAGTCGTAGCCGTCTTACGCGCGCTACCCAGACACCTGAACATCGGCGCGGGCCGTATTGTATGGCAGGACATCGTCAGGATCGATGTGTCCATCAAGAAGCGGCAGTTCCACAAGAACGAGACCATTGTCGCGAGCTGTAAACACGCGAAAGAGGGCAATGGCCGTCTGCACCTCCTCGGATTGGTGAGTCCCGCGTCTTTCGCTGCAGCGCCCCAGCATATTGATGGAATTCGATCTGCCATTGCTAGGTTTCTGACGGGGGTGTTCACTCGCACATTCGCCACCTATATGCGCTCCTCGAGACCGCGAAAGAGCAGGGCGTTCCGCACGCATACATCCACTTTTTCGGTGATGGTCGCGACACCGCACCGCGCTCCGCGGCGGGCTACGCCAAGGAACTGCTCGAGTTCATCGAGAAGGAGAAGTACGGCGAGATCGCGACCGTCGTCGGGCGGTACTACGCGATGGACCGCGACAAGCGCTGGGAGCGAATCAAGATCGCCGTAGACGGGCTTGTGAAGGGTGTGGGCGGGAAGGGTGAGGATGCCGTCAAGGCCATCGAGGAGCGCTATGCGAAGGACGAGACGGACGAGTTCTTGAAGCCTATTATCGTCAATGGCGACGAGGGCCGCATTAAAGGTATGTTGATGTCCCTCCAATCATACGAATTTGCCTTGTCTCATGAATGCTGCAGATGGCGATACCCTGTTCTTCTTCAACTACCGGTCTGACCGTATGCGCGAGATCGCCACGGTTCTTGGCCTCCCTGACAAGCCCATGGAGGTAGACGTGCCCAAGGATCTCGTGCGTGCATGTTTTCGGCGCATATATTGACCTTCCTGTGTTTATTCATGCCTCATACGCAGCACATATCTACGATGTCGAGGTACAACGCCGACTTCCCCTTCCCAGTCGCCTTCCCGCCGCAGGCCATGACGAACGTGCTCGCCGAGTGGCTCTCCAAGCAGGGCATCAAGCAGGCGCACGTAGCCGGTACGTGTTACTCCCTCTTCCCTTTGGTTATATCACACTAACAACGCCTTTTTTCCGGTACAGAGACGGAGAAGTATGCGCACGTCACGTTTTTCTTCAACGGCGGCGTCGAGAAGCAGTTCACGGCAGAAGAGCGGCACATGATCCCGTCGCCCAAGGTCGCGACGTATGACAAGCAACCAAAGATGAGCGTGCAGGGCGTCGCGGACAAGGTCGCGGAGCTCGTCAAGCAGGGCAAGCATGAGTTCGTCATGTGCAACTTCGCGCCGCCGGACATGGTCAGCGTCCTCCCTTTGCACTACGCTAACTGCCGGATGCTGGTCTACTCTAACCTTGTTCGGGATATTCCTACAGGTTGGGCACACAGGCGTTTACGACGCCGCGGTCGAGGCAATCGGCTTCACAGACAAGGCAGTCGCGACGGTATATAAGGCCTGCGAGGCGGCGGGGTACGTTCTGCTCGTGACCGCGGACCACGGGAACGCGGAGCAGATGATCAACCCGGAGACGGGCGCGCCGCACACCGCGCACACGACGAACGCCGTGCCCTTCATCATGACCGGCCCCAAGGAGCTGAAGTTCGCAGAGGATAAGAAGGATGGTGAGGAAGAAGAGGGTGCGCTGTGCGACGTCGCGCCGACCGTGCTTGCTGTTATGGTACGTGTGCCTGCGCGTGCACGCTGGTTGATGCTGATACTGCTCCACGTTTTCGTAGGGACTACCCCAGCCAGAAGGTAACTGCCGTCATCGCGCTGCATAGTCAGTACTGACATTTGTCTGTAGAAATGACCGGCCGTTCCCTACTTGCGAAGGCGTCTTAGATGAGAAGAATAAACTTACGCGAACTGTACAGTAGAAATGTATGCTCCGTTTAGACGCATTGTACTTATCCAATAGAATTTGTAATCTGTACTCCGTCGGGACGCGTTTGAGCTTGACCGGGAGTCTTGCACATTGTCAAATCACAACAAGGCATGCACGTCGGATGCAGGAGAATTACTCGTCGAGCTATATAGTACGGATCGCCAAGCGCGTGCCCTGAGAATGCATATTCAATGCGATGGTCCATTGCGGGGTAAATGTATATGCAGATGGTAATGATAAAACGAGGGAGTCGAAAGCGGATCTAGGAGACGAATGCACAGGTACAAGAGACCTTACTTGCCGCCGTAGAACGAGGAAGTAGAGGAGGACGGGACATCAAGCTTGAGGCTTGAACCCGAGCGGTTGATCAACTCGGACGCCGTGTCGCCACCGTATTGCTCTGCCAATTGGCTGCGGGGAGAAGACATCAGATCATCAGCGCCGGAGCGGGTCAGCGGGCTCACGCACTTGGCATAGTTTTCCATGATGACGGCCATGCTGTTCATGTCGAGGCGATACGCCTTGGGCATCATGCCCTTACCAAACCGGTACGTGATGTGGTTCGAGCAGAGGAGCGCGACGACCATCACCAGGATCTGGAAGGGGACAAGGATGAAGACAGCCTCGTACCAGCGCTTCAGGATGGTGCGCTCGTAATTTAGATACGGCGACTTGCAGCCAGGGAGAATGGAGCGGGCGTAACACGTCTGGCTGACCGTCGCCTCTACGAAGGGGGAAAAGAACCCGCAGCAACCGAGCTGGTTCTGGATGCGGAGGCGGCCGTCCATTCCGAGGTCGCGCGACCACTGGGCGTTAAGTTTGGCCTGGAGATTGAAGGTACGCTGCTTGTAGGTGATGTAACCCGGGGTGACGAGGAGGGCGAAGACGACCCAGAGGAGGACGGAGTAGACTGCAAGGAAGGAGCGGTTATTGAGCACTATACCAGACCAGCCGACAACGGCGGTAAACACGCCGACGGCGGCAGCGACAGTGGAGATGATCAGCTCGGTGGTGTTGCCCACGCGGATGATATCGGTCTTATCCCAGCCGTTAAACCAGATGAATAGGCAAGAGATCAGCCCCGCGAACGCGTACACAGTGAACTGCTCAAAGATTTAGCGCTTGACGAACATGAGGCTCATGTAGGTGGGCACGCACGATGGTGTTGGAGATGAAAAGGATCCATTTGAACCTGTTCCAGCGCATGCGTGGACGTGTGCGACCGCCGGGGAGAGGTACAACATCGTCGTCATCTTCGCCCTCGGCGGCCATGCGGGGCTCATTGCTGCGGAAAGCCTCGCGCCCGCCACCGAGCTTGGGGAGGTGCACATCCTCAACACCAACTTTCCAGTTCTTCCTACGCTTAGGGCCACCTGAGAGCACAGCAGAGGAGAACCTGGAAGGGACGTAGTTGATGCTAAGGGAGTGGGCGCTATCGTCGTTGGAGATGAATGATGAGGAGTCACGTAGCGTGGGGATGCGTCCCTCGGGGAAGTTCATCGTTGACGGGCTGTAGGGGACGGCGGAGGATAAGAGCGGAGAATTGTGCGAGTTGGCGGAGAGGGTCCGAGCGTAGCTGCCCACCGGTATCAGCGTCCCGCTTGCACAGCATGCAACCTGCCGCTCGCCAGCAGGGAAAGATAAACAGAGTGTCTCTCACCTATCGAAGTCCTCCTCAGCCTACATGTACGCAAGTGAATATCAATAGCGAAACTGACCGTCAGTACAACGGTGATGAAGACAGAGCAGCCAACGCACCGCTGTCAGCCGCACCTCTGGAAGCGTTGGCGACGTAGCCCGCGCCCGTTCGTACCTTGTCGACCACATCTTCCAAGTTATGCCTTGGTTTCAACACTTCTACTAGTCGGACGACGTGGAGCACCCTGCTGGCGGTGTTCTGAAGTAGGGCGCTCTCTCTTGGGTTGATCGCTCTGATCCCGACTCGTTAGTGCCAATGTCTGGCCCGGGGTCACGCAACCGACGCCCGACTCTTCGCTGGTCCCTAAATTTTCCCGCTTCATGCACCCATGAAACATACGCTCCAACCATCATTTGCAGCACGGTACAGACTTTGGATGCAGCGCGATCGAAATTACTTTCACCCTCAAGGCAAGTTAGGCGCTCGCCAAGCGCCTTGGCGGTGGCATAGATGCCAACAAGTAGCCAGCACAAGCAAAGTACAGCTACTGACCTCAAAATGGGTACAGCAGGAACAGAAAACAGGTGGCGCAAGGGAGGGCGAGCAGTGCAACGAGACAAGAAGCATCGGAGGGAAATTGGGTACTGCAAGGAATTTCTTTGGTCTCTTTCTTTCGGAGGTTCAAGTCGACTCCACTGCGGCCAGAAATTACTTACACGAATATGAATCAATCAAATATGACGCCTTTTGTTCAATCGGATAACTCTTTGGATTCGCGACTATAGCTACAATATCTATTATCATGTCCAGGGTATATCACCGAGCCTGCGAAGTTCGAGCAGAAAGACATTGCCACAATAAGAAAGGAAATCGACCGTCCCAAGAATGGAGCAAGAATCTAAATACTATGAGCTTGGTGGGAGGCCAGCAGCTCGTGGTGGAAAATAGGGAAGAGGGCAGACCAATGCTATCACGTACAATTCTGCGAAGCCATAGCGCATCGCGCGAGCTCCTCCACCGCCTTAGCGAGCTGCACGTTGGTCTCCTGCTGCTTCTGCACACGCGCTTCCTTCCCTGCGCGCTTGAACAGTTCTACAACAAAAGAATCTTCAGCATTGGCGCCGAGTGAACTCAAGTGGCTCCTCCACGTACCCAAGAACCGCTGACCGACCCACAGGCCCAGTGGGGCGTTCCCCACAGCAACGGCAGGCTGGCCCTTCACTGGCTTCGTCGGCGGAGCGCCCAGTCCGGCCACGAGCTGCTCGCACGTCTGCAGCATCTGCAATGCGTGGTCCCCTGCGGTGTGCAGGTAGTGCGACGCGATAAGCGCGAGTACGAGAGCGCGTAAATGGTTATCCTGCGCCTTCGTCACGACGCTGAGCGCCTGCTTCAAATGTTGTCTGAGAAATGCACGATGTGAGCTCTCGCACACTAATGTTAATTCGTGGGAAGGGACATACTTGGCTCTGAGAATCTCCGAAGTGAGACACGCCTCGAGAATCCGCCCAACAGCCTCCAGAGCACCCCCCATCCCGCGGCACGCTCGCGCGACATCCATTCCCATCTTCCGCTCGAGCATGGTATCTCCGTCTTCGTCGCCATCTTCCAATTCATCGCTAGCTGTCCTCATCCCGCGCCGCAGCCCGATCTGTAGCGCGACCTCTCCTGCGCGCGCCGCGATCTCCACGAAGCTACCGCGCTCTGCATGGTGGACGGCCGCACGGTAACACTGGAGCGCGCGGGAGCTTTGCCCGAGCGCGTGTGCGAGGTGAGCATGGTGCAGCGCGATGCGTGCCGCGTACCGCGGGAAGAGCTCGTATGTGCGCGTGTGGGCGATGAGCGCGTCAAGGTTCTGCATAAATCATGTGAGTCTGAGTTTACTACCGAACTGAGGGATACAGGGCTGCAGACCTGTTCTGCCGTGTCGAACTCGCTGCGCATGATGGATACCTGCAGGAGAACCGTCTAGAATGCGCATATACGAGGATGGAAGAACGCACCGCTATCAGTTCGCACAGAAGGTCAGCCTTGATTCTCGCGAGGTGCTGTTCTACTTCCTCCACGTCGCCCATTCCAGCCCAAGGAGTAACTGCCCGCACGAACTTCCTTAGTCCCTTAATTTATTTACTGCGATTTAGAACACACGCACACAGTATCTCCTGGGTGAGATTGTTCTCCCAGGCTGCTAAACCTTCTATGGCGAATACCTTGCGCTTGGGCTTCCGCCCGACTGCATCGCGCTTCGCGGTGCTGCTTACCAGGAAAGCGAGGAGAAATAGTACGCGTGGGTGTGTCGTGGAGATCGTGAGTGGGGGGCCGTTCGGGAGGACGATCTACCGGAGCGAGCGCAAAAATGGAGCTCCCGTCAGCTCCATGCGCACAGCACAGAATGCGAGGAAATAAATATACTCACCTCCACCGTACCGTCTGGAAACTTATCCAGCGCCCCCGAGTCGAGCAGTGCATGCAGATGTGAGAGCCTCGGCGACGCCTCTGCCGCATTACCCACATGCGTGAAAAACACCACCGCCACCATGAGTATATGCACAACCATCGCGGCCTCAAATGGGTCTTCGAAAGCGATGAACGTTGCCTCGGGCTTCTGCGGCTCCTCGGACGACTTGCGCGAGCGTGGTGTCGCAGCAGGACTGTACGAAAGTCCGAGTACGGCTTCACAGCGCTCGAGCGCGTCAGGGATATCTTCCCAGTGCTCTGCAGCAATGAGGATGCGCAGCCGTAGGACGTGTGCTAGTAGAGCGACGGGCTTGTGGCCATGGGTCCCCGCGAGCGCCTCCAGATCCCGTACGGCGGCGAGTGCGGCGTGAACATCCTGCGCGTTCTGGGTAAGCGTGCCTGGGAAGAGGTGAGCAGCTACGGGGCTATGGGTGCCGGTGGGTGCGGAGGGCGTGGTGAAGAGAGTGATCGAGGCAAGGTAGGCGCTGTAGACGAGATAGAGCGGGTCGGTGGGTAGGAAGGAGGCGAGGATATTGCGGATCTGTGTACGTGCGAATTTGGTCTTGTGTTGCCACTGGGAAAGCTCGACTTGAAGGAGTGAAAGATGTAGCATGTATGCGCGAAGGGAAGGATGCTAGATAGGGAGAGGTGAGTATGTAGAACTAAATAGAACGATGAGGTACCAGAAACTTACCTTCTGGGCTATAATTGACTGTACGGGTAGAGATGGTCAGTATATGCTATCCTGACACTTGGGTCTGATCTCCCGTCTAGACAGGGCTACTCGATCAAGGTACTTACACCTTTACTGATAGCTTTCTCCACCTGGACGCAGTTGTTGTGAGTAATTTTTAGTCGAATATGCATATAAACATACCTCTGACTCTATACCTTTCGCCCACGGGTAATTTTTGTCCTGGCTGAACCCTCCACCAATGACCTTCATACCAATCTCCGCAAGACCGGTCCATGCGCGACACTCGATGTCAGGCGGCAACGCGTGGAGGCCCAGACACTTCCTAAGTGCGTCAAGCGACAAACACAGAGAGTGAACATAAAAGCGGTGGTTGGGAGGATGCGCTAGCAGCGCTGGCAGGGAGACGAGGAGGACGGCAGGAGGAAGTGGCGCGAGTGAGACGGACGCAGGCGCTGGACTCGAAGTCAATGGTGACGAGGAAACGAGTTTTTGCCGCTTGAAGGGGCGGGGGTTGTCGTCGGACTTGGCGGTGAGATTCATGGAGGGTGGTGGAGACTCGTATAGTAGACGACTGGAGCTGTGACAATTCGTCGCGTGCTGTCACTTGTGACACCCGCGTACCTGTGACCACTTGAACCTAGCTCCCAGTCTGAGTCTATCCATCGCAACGACGTCAAGTTCGAGTTCGGATGCGCAAACACTACTGAGCAGAAAACGAAACAGGGGTTCGTTAAACATATTTTTACTGATGGAATTCATGCTTTCTTTCAAGGGTGGATTATGTCGAATGCAACTCTAGCTGAAAAATGTAAAGAACCGTTGCAGCGTTCAGAAGAGCCAAGTCAAATAACCATTTCTCCCGGATAGCCTATGGCCTCTGCAACCAGTGCGTATGTATTATGCTCTGTGTGAGATGAACGGTCTGATCTTTGCATTTTCCTCCCAACCTCTCCTAATAAGTGGCTGAGCTCTGACCTACCGGCGGCCTCGAGTATTCCTGTTCCTTCACAATCTCTCCGCCATCCCGCCCTCAGATAATTATTGCGACAACACTATGATGTGATCCATGCCTGTCCATCGTACACGGCACATGCTTCGGAACATGTCCGAGTAGGTGAGTACCTTTAGGTGTCGCCCACCCCACTGTTGCACCAACTCGCGGCACCTCTGGCTCGGTCTGTTCAGCATCGAATATCCGCTGACGTCAAGTGCATGCAACCAGCCTTCTGCGTGACAATTGGATTTTGGCAGGGTGTTTTCAGGTGCCGATGTCCCTGGCTAGGAAACTTATCTCGGAAAATACCGAACTGTGCACTATGTTCCATTCTGCGTCCTTGGTTATCTATCATCGATCCCGGGTGCCTCAGGGTATCTCGCCATTGCCTTTATCGAGTCCCTACCTTCAGGCAGAATACATGGTGTGTTCTTGAAGTACGACGACTAGTTCCATAATACTTACCCTACTTGGTTCAGACAGGGTCCTGGTACATCCCGAATAGCTTATGAATACTTACAGCCATTCACCCCCGATTAATGCTGATTAACCTGTTTCTTCAACTAAGCCTCCTTGGGCTCGGGCATCGTGACTGTTCTCCATACGGACACCGAGTTTGGCCTCGTTGCTGTGAGTATGGAGTGCGAGTCGACCAGGAAGTTTTTTAATTGGGCTCGATCAGGTGCCGAGCGGATCCGTTGCGGCAACTTCAATTATAGCGGGCACAATGGCACACAACTGGACGCCCGAGGATGGCTGGAAGGCACCTACATCTCTTGTCAGATCATGTTGTGCAGCCGATGTAAGTGGCTTGCGATGCGGTTCAGAGACTTGTACTCAACTGATATGCTTAGAACTCGATTTTTTTTTTTCTCAAGGTGATGTTGCAACACGTATGGTCGGTGTTCGGTTATACTGCTTCTCAGTCGAAACTTGATTGATAACTCATGGAACCTACGGTGGCGCTCTCGGCGCGCTCAGCGTCGCTCGGTAGCTGAGTCGTTTACGACACGGGTTTACAACTGCGAACGGGCTCATTGCCGACGACTTGGCTTGGGTCCTTGCCGACATTCTTGCTCTAGCAGTCGGCAAATATCTTGCATCTATCACTTGCTGCTTTGGTTATTCACTTTCGAACTTTGTCGACTCAGGCTTCTTGTGAAGGCTGCTCTTCGATGTGGTACAGGGCTCTGGCGGCAATGTAGACGCTTGACATTTCAATTCTAGCTAAGGTGCCTTAGTCGCACCGCCTGGCTGCGAGGTCATGATGTCGTGACAGCTGCGCAAGTTCAAGTACTCTCAAAAGGCTTAATGCCCAACACTTATTCGTGGCCGTCAAATTTCCTTGTTGTAGTCTGCTATCATTTTCAGTTGAACTCTCGTACTGACTCGATAGTGCCGTGACCATTTGCCCACCATGGACACATGCTCACCGGAAATTCACACCTACGTCTTCTCCTTTGCCTGCACAGACAGCGGCGCCACCGGACGATCGCTTTCCCTCGTCTCTCGATACGTCCGGCAGGTGTCCGCATCATTCAAATGGTATTCACCGTCGATTTCCGGGAAAAGGCAGGCCCGCCAGTTCGTCGACGTGCTGCACAAGACCGCGATACAGCCTCGCATCTCTCACCTTTTCCTCTCCACACGATGCTCGTGCCAGACAGCAGACGCCTGGTGGGAGGAACCAGAGGTCTGCCAACAATGGAGCGAGTTGCAAGATACCATCCTGCACTTCGCAGCGCTGACACTGATCACGCTCACTTTCGCGTCCTTCGACTCGCCCTACTTCGGCGCCGAGTGCATATATAGGCTCCTCAAGGTCCCCTTCCACATACTGACCGAGCTGTCAATCCGGGTCCATAGTATGCCCAACCGTATCAAGTCAATATTGGACGATGCGTACGGTCTCTATGGCAGGAAGTCGCCCTCTGGGGTCTTGCAGACGACCGCGCGTACGACCATACGTCGTCTGCACATCGCCTGCCTCTTCAGCGAAGAGTGTGACACGGAGGGGATCCGCGACATCGTCCAGATAATCGCACCCAACCTTACGCACCTGCGCCTGTCTGCACTTGAGCAGGTAACGTGCAGTTGGCGCATACCACGCTGCGAGATGTATGCACCGCGACTTCCTCAGCGCCCCTTCAGGCGAAGTCCCGCCTTTTTGCCGTTTCCCGAGCTCTTTTGGCAATACATGGCCACAGATCGCCCCTGAATACGTCGAACTGTTCGTCATTCAACTACCGCCGTCGACCACAGGCATTCATCTGCCAGAAAGCATTCCTGTTATACGAGAGCACAGAATCCAGCGTAACCTCACTGCGCTAACGCGTGAAGCTCCCACCGTTTTGTATACATTCCAAAGGAGTGTTACAGTTTTGGGCTGCCAAAGCAGACTGGTTGGACCGCATGGTAGGGAATTCGGGATGTTGGGAAGATAGAGAGGCTTCGATGGATTCCAGACGCGACATGGGGTGGCACGAACATTCTTATAAGCCGGTACAATGCGAATCGGCGCTCCCGATGACCAAGTTTCCACTGGTGTATAGATTCTTGTAACATACGGAGCCCCCTATGGGCCACGGCTACGTGCTGCCACCTCGGACCTCCTCTCAGTACTCCAGGTAATTGGTATGTCATAGGAATGTGGCCTCATTATGCTGATTATGTGCATAGCTGATGCCTGTTCAAGTCTTTCTCTACCTCCTTTACCTATTTCGATACATACCTTTGGGTTCCAAGTCACACTGGTGTTTCCCTCTGCCCTCAAATGGCCTGCGGTCTTCATACTGTATGATGCGTATTCAGTGCACGTAAGGCTCGAAGGCGCAGCGTGTCGCGCACGACGTACTCATGTCGTTCATGAGTTATCGGTATCAGCGTACACCAACTGTAAAGGGATAGATACCACAAGTATTGAAGTAAGGCTTGTCGCCAGGTATTAGCTTGGTGCTCGCAGGCTCGTAATGACCATTCAGTGCCGCTCCCGGTAGTCTTCCCAGGCAGGTATAACCTAATTTCAACCTTCAATCTTCATGCCTCAAAATATCCGTAGTCTGACGCTCCCGTGGCATCGCTTATCATCGACATCGAGGTACCTTTTGCTACCCTTTCTGAGCGGTCATCGTTATATGCGCACAATTGGTGTTCCGTCGTCGATCGTGAGTGTTACAATACGCATTCTCTGCTTGTTCCCAACCTACATCTCGATGAATAACTTCTCCAGGAATTCTGGGGCAACCGTGGAAGTGAACTCAGCGCTACTTAGCGGACGATCTGAGCTGTCCTGTGCACGCCACCTCTGTGAAAATGGATACGTGTCCTGTCGAGATACACTCCGTCATCTTTTCCCTTGCCTGTACAGATGATGGTACAACCGGACGTTCGCTGTCTCTGGTTTCCCGCCACGTTCGTCGGGTGTCTGAACCCTTCAGGTGGCAGTCACTCTCCCTGTTGGGATTACAGCAGGCCCGGCATTTCGTTAAACTTCTCAAACAGACTCCAGGATATCATCCTGTCTACCATCTCTTTCTGTCCACGCAGTCCCCACTGCTCATGTCAAATGATCAATATAACATGCCTCGGGAGAATCCTGACAAAGAGTGGTATGACTTGCTGGACATTATCTTGCGATACACAGCACCAACGCTGCAAACACTGTCTCTTTACGTGACATCGAAATCGCATTTTCTCGGCGCAGCATGCATACCCCTACTCCTGACGATTGCATTCCCCTACTTGGTCGAGCTCACGATTTGGATCCTTGGCACACCCCAAATCATATCATGGTGGATCAATACATCCCCTCAGTCCTCAAAGAAAGCAGCTATCTTACCCCCTACCGCTCGTCCAAAGTTGCGCCGTCTACACCTCGCCTGCTTCTTCTACTTCCGTGACGCAGTTCAGAGCCGCGATCTCCATCACATTATCCAGTCCCTATCATCTTGCATCACGCACCTGCGATTGACCATGTTGGACTTCATGTGTCTGCAGACTGCACGCATAGCGTTCGCCGAATGTCTCGATATTGGTTTTGTCGATCCTGGAGTCAATCTTCTTGATCCAGGAGGAACACCTATCTCTTTCCGGGAGAACACAAACGTAGCAGTGACGTGGCCGCGTATTCTCCCCGATTCTATCCAAGTATTCGTCATCCAGATGCCACCACCATCGACGGCACGGCTTCCGAGAGGGTTGGAGGAGCAGGAGATCCAACAGTACTTCAAGGCATTAGCCAGAGCGGCACCAGCACACGTTGTGTGTATCTCAACGCAACGAGACTATCTTTGGGAGGATGCGAAGGCCGATTGGTTGGATCGGATCGAAGAAGGACCTGGGTGTTGGAAAGAGCGAGATAAGAGTTGGATAAGTCTGAGAGAAGATGGACATTCTTTTACACAGGCCCGAACTGAAGGTAAAAGCTTGCGGCTCTCAGCCATGATTGCTCGGGTTTGGCAGAAGATACTGACGAAGTCGTGATCACTCGGTGTGTATCCACGAGCTGTCATATACCTCGAACACTGCATTGATCTCATCCTCGGGTCTCAGGTGTTGAAGCCAGATTCCTAACCAATTTGGTTGGATGTGCCCTCACGTCCCAGCATGCGTGTGCCCGCAGAAAGAATATGAGACTGTACTCACTACTTATGTTCAGCAGGTAAGCTTGCGTCGCGAGTTTAAAGTCATACAGATCGTTCTGTGTGAGTTGCCGAAGCAAAGTGCGCCTTTAACTATAAGTTACGCACACGGGGTACTACAGTAGTGGTACAATCACAAAAAAAAGAAAAGCCAACCAAATCTGAAACGCGACAAGGGAGAGTCCGCCTGCTGTGAGCCAAGCCGAAGAAACGCATTCCAGGATTCAAATTGAGAACTTCCCAGTCTCATCGTGAAACTCCTGCTCCACGTCGATCTGTACTTGAACGACCACATCTCCTTTTGAGTTTACCTTTCCGCTCATTGGGATGTCTTCACTTGTCTGGATGGCACATGTCAGCCATAGACGACCTCGCACGCATTCAACTTACCTGGTGCTGATTCCTGCGAGTGTTGTTTGAGTTGCTGCTGAATTCGTTCACCATCATCGTGGGGAACCTATCCACGGACAATTGCTGCGTTCGTAGAGACCGTCTTGCATTCAGGCTAGGCATGAGTATAGCATTCAATGTTGTGTCCAGATAAAGAGAGAGAGATGAGTGCACGTACGTAGCCATGAAAGAGGCCGCGTAAACTGGCGTGTACGAATGAGGTCTTGAGATGCGAAGAAGATATAGCATGAGCTTACGTTTAGCGATGGCCAGGTGGGATCCAAGGAATATTAAGTTTGACATTGAAACCCACTGCCAATGCAGGATCGTTGAAGCTAGTTCAGTGGAAGGAGATAAACACGTACGCATGCCAAGGAGACGACGGCAGTCACGCTGGCGCTCAGATCAATACGCAAAGCTGTAAAGATATGACAGTTAGCATACCCGGTAAGCATCCCATTTTGTATGGCGTAGAACGTCAGGGTGTTCACGATGGTGTCCATGCTAACAGGACGTGAACCCGTCAGCCTGGTGCCAGTGTCATAATCGGGCTTCATACGATTTGAACCCTGTCCGTCCCTGCCTCAGGTAGTAGCACAACGAGAACGTGACAAGAATATCGACCGCAGCGGAAAGTGAGAGGCCGAATGTAAAAACCCACTATGAAACATCAGCCAGGATCGCAGTGATCGCAGAGATTGGACTCACGCCATAACGCTGGCGAAATAAATCAAAATCCTTCAGCATGATCCTATAACGACAGTGTCAGGTATTTCGTATTGTCACGCTGTTTTTTGCACACACATTTCGGCGGTGGACACTGTCAACCGAGACAGAATAAGTCAAATATCATCAAATCAACAGGAAATGGAGACCAAACACACCTAGAGCAGCGACTGTCAAAGCGCAAAAAGGTCAGTTGAGACCATGAATGGGCAAACGAACTTACCAAGACGCATGAGAGCAAGAAGAGCCTACAGATTTGCGCTTAAATTGTGCGGTCAAAACCCAGACAATACCACTTACCATTGGTATAGCAATATAGCCGTTGTGCCGGCTGACTGTGACGCAGAAAATCTAAACCTAAACGCCATCACATAGAGACACGCTAGCTTACCCTTGAAAACTCGGTACGAGAAGAAACTATATAGTGACTTTGATCAGGAATTAGACTGAATGAATTTACGAGAATGATTACCATTGCACAAAAAAAGTCATTAGAGCCTGACGGAGTTCATTGAAGAGACGGCTATTGTGGGATCACGAAGACATACCGTGACAGCTACTGTGGCCTACGCACTGTGTGAGATCTAGTGTTACTATATGAAGTCATGGATAGACGCACTGCAATTGGCCTATGCTGAAACGTCAATATACACGCACAAAATCGACGATTCAGGGCGATATTCACCATGGAATGTGTAGCAACGTGGACCGTTCACCCCAACCTGTAATCAAATAGTCCCAGTTGGCGATACAGATAAAAATTGTATGGAGCACATCCAGGAACCTGCAAGAGCGCCGAATGCGTGAGCATATGTAAACATGACGGCGAAATGTACGTACCAAATCACGACGACCTGTATTTCGAGAGTCGTTCAGCCATCGTAGCCAAAACGCTGATGGGAATGTACTAACTGCGGCCTTGATCTTCGCTGGATCATCCGAATAATATGTTTGGTAAGTGACCACCTGCATGGACACCACTCCTGAGAGGCTGCATAACGGCATCGTTGGTTAGTAACGAACGCGCGTTCGTGGAAATTAGGATTTACAAAATGGAAACCAGGCTGCCCACGAGAATAGAGCCCACAGTCGAATGGACGCTGGAGGTAGACATGACGCGCAGGCTCGGATGGGGTAGAAGGTGGGAGATGCAGACGACCTTCAAGAGAAGCTGCCCACATAATAACGTGCCCATGAGACATATTTCAACCTGCCAGTGGAAGTCCGTGAGCTTCCGACGTGGGACCGCCGAAGGGGCGGGACCGCTGAATCAGGAGAAGGCAAGAAGACCTGAACCGTGGACATCCTGTACTTGTCGGGGGGTTTCCACGGTCTGGCTGACTCTATTGAAGCTTCACTGCGCACACAGACGCGTCAGGGCGGGTTTAAGGAAGGTGCCTACGTATCCAGACATAATGGCTCCGTGACAAGGATTTGGGTCTGCAGATGGATGTGATGTCCCTGCCAGCTCGGTCTGACTGCAGAGCTGCTCTAAAGGTCAGTCGTGTCAATCAGTTGCGCTCGTTCTTGGAACCCAAGGTCTGCTGACGCACAGGTTGCTGTCTTCTGCATCTTGTTTTTCCTGGGAACAAATTTCCACGAACACGGAATCACGCGGAGGGGGTGGAAAAGCGGGGAAAAGGAAGTACACATTGGCTCCGACCGTTGCAGATCCATTGGCGGCTTTCGGCTTCCATCGTATTTGACTTGGCAGCCTCCGCATACGACTTGTCGAACCTTGAGCTTGAAGCTTGAAGGGCAGCTGCTCTCCAGCCGTGCGTCAGTTATCTGCATGGTTGCCACAGCTCTGGGAGACTTTGAGTGCAAGGTTCGACAGATACGCGCTCAATTTACAGTACATATATAATATAGCTGCCCCTGCTTTGGGGATACAAGATTCCGTTTACAGTACTCACCCGATGAGTCTCCCTGACGAGCTCCAAAGCTGCAGTATTCTGCTCCGGTTGAACATTAAACACTGAACCGGGGAGTACATGTACAAACCTCAGGCTGGGAGCGCCGGTCTACATGACGGTAGTCTGCTTGAATCGGCGGGGGTCACACCGTAGTACACGCTTTCGGGAATTGCCGTTCGCTTCGACGCGTCCTGACCGTGACGCGTCCCATTGGCTTCCTCTTGAACCTGATCTTTCTATGTGCATCTCGAAATTTTTGCATGGTAGTCGAAGCGAACGTGGGCGACGAATAAGCAAAATGCTTTCCGGGCTCAGCATCTTCCGGGAGAAATCGTGTCAGGGAGCGCGTAATCAAGCAGACCTTTATAACCCGTCCTCCCCCCACTTAATAAAGATTATATTGTAATCTGCCTACGGGAGACTAACATGACCGTATGTTCTACATCCTCAAGCTGGTGTCTACAGAATGCGGTCCAGCGGTACAAAGAACCTGACGGGGTGGTGATAGAAAGGTGATAGGTGACAGAGATGAACCTTGAACCTTGAACTGACTCTGCATCAGAATTGTATCAGAGACCCGTCTCGTCGTACGACTCGCACCATGTGCAGTCATTCCGAGCCTCCGTCAATGTTTGGGATAACAAACGTTCAGCATAGCGGTGACCGTGATAGGTAAAATTGAATACATTGGCAGGTGCTCTCTGCAAGCTGTCCGACTCATCACAATCATGATGAAGTATTTGTTGAATCTATACTCCAGTAGAGGATGCGGACGGAGTCTCCAAGACTCTCACTATTGCGCCTCGGCGGAGCTCTACCACACGGGCAGGTGATGCAGAACAAAAATCCGTCGGCGGAAAGGGTCAAGAGCGGGCCTTGAGTACCATGACAGCTGCACATGCAGGTCTGAATGTGTGGCAGGGTGTGCATGATGGTCCAAGTGAAGGGTAAGTAGACCCCTGCCACATCATCGAATGCGCCACCACGTCCAAGCAGCGCCGCCTACTAGGCAGTCTAGGGTCAGATACGGATATCCGAGGTACGAGGTTGAAGCAGAGTATCTACCATCTGCCTTCAGGAGACTGAGTCTAGGCAAGGTGAGGACAATTTCCGGCAGAAATACAGTCCAAATGGCATCTCCCAACATTGATATAAGGATCTCTCACCATCTACAATGTAGTGAAAGCACGAGCCAGTCAAGACTGCAGAGTCCACTGTTCAAGGTTGAATTTTTGTGCAGACGAGACTCAGAGTCTGGCTGTTCCAACTTCTGGTCAGAACATCGTATCACGGCGTCGTGCAGGGCGGTCGGGAAGCACGCGAAAGGGGACTATTAGCGGTCTGCTGCTTGTAGTAAGGGCACACTGCCAGCAATTTCGTTGAAGAAAAAACACTTACTAGTCTCCGTCGCGTTATCTCACGGTAGTTTTCCAGAAGGCCTCTAGAAACGCACTGGATATGATGCAAAAATGTCTGAAGTATGTAAGTCATTGCAGGGGGTCGGGGTATTCGCAGTACGATCCTTCCGAATAAACGCAACCCCGTACTCTATGTAGACCTCGAGCTGTGTCTACTTACCAGTGTATACGGTGGCTCTCAAGCTTATAGAAATTGGATGCTGCACGGTGGGAGGCAGTAGTCCATACCTCCTGCATGAATCCTCATTCACATGTCTCGCTTTTGTCCTTCCGGGGTTTGGTAGCCTGAGTGGATGGCTGTGTACGTTACTCGGGAGAGTCTCATCTGACTTCGCGCGATGCCGCTGATGAACTTGCTTAGGTTGTGCATCTGCATTCATTCACATCAGTGAATGCAGATGAATGCAGATGAATGTGCATGGTAATGGATGAATGCAGGTGAATCCCAAGTGCACTGATTTTTGTCCAGGATGGGCCACCATATAGTAGCCATCTTTCTTTCTTCGTTTCGCCACGGTAAGTGCGCACAGTTCTGTGATTGTTGCGGCACCATCTGATTTATTGCTGTTTTCAGAAGTCTTGTCGCGCGGCCAAATACACACAAATTTCCGCTTGGACGACCTCTAACTTCGAACGCGGATATCTCTTCAACGGCTGGGCCGTTTCTCTCGATTCTTGCATTTTCGGACTCTCCTGGTCAGCGCGCAGGGCATGGTATCAAGAAACATACATATTCGGACCGTTCAATACTCGCGGATCTGGTGGTCGTCGCACTAGCTCAGAACCGACTTCCCGTGCAGCAGACAGTCCCAGTACTGGAGAAATTGTTCTGAGATGACTTCTTAGGACCATAGAGAGGGCATGGTATGCAATTTGAAGGTAAGCATGTCCTGATTCTCACTGTGGGATCCAATCTGTGATCACAGCACTAGGACCCCATTACCAGATGGTCAAAAACATTCCCCGGTTTGCATTTTTCATGTCTTACATGTTTTATGTTGATATCTGGATGGTTTTAAGTGAGCAGCAGATGGTAGAAGGCACTCAGAATGATGGAGGTCATGCTGCAGTTGGTATGATACTCAAGCCCTTGAATCCATTATTCCCCATATTTAGCACTGTCATCCTTCATTCCTGATGCACACATGAATCCTATATGTAGTCTATACACAAAATACACTGGAATCTTTGACAGTAGCATGAGTTCTGTAACCCCCTGGTATGTGCTATGCAGTCTGAGATAAATCACATACAATCCAGATCCTCTCAGACCACAAATGCATATCCCTGCCCTGCCTAGCATACTACCAGAGAGCCTCCACCACCTCCTGATGTTCTCCAACCCATCCAGCAATGACAAACTCAGTTCTGAGCCAGAAGGAAGCTGCCGAAAACAGTGAACAGATATAGCAGAGAAAGGGAACATCTGTTGGTACCATGCCCTGCGCGCTGATGAGAAGAGTCCGAAAATGCAAGAATCGAGAGAAACGGCCCAGCCGTTGAGGAGATATCTGCGTTCGAAGTTAGAGGTCGCTCAGGCGGAAATTTGTGTGTATTTGGCCGCGCGACAAGACTTCTGAAAACAGCAATAATTCGTATTCTCTGGCACCATGACGTTGATACTCGTTTCATTGGCTAGATTTTAGTAACCCACGACCTCATCATGGTGTTCGTCTCGTTTGTCGTGATGGCTTGAGCGGTCGACTCGGCGGAGAATGGGCACTTGTGCCTTTGGTGTCATTGATTCTTTGATATGTCATGGTGACGGGCGGGACCATGAACAAGCTTGTGTCGGAGTACAGAAATATGTTCTGTTGTCTGCCCATGGGTGTTTTTGACGATAGCAAGACGCAGACTTTTGCGTACAGGAAATGCTCCGGGAAAGGAACGATTTGTACCAATCGTGGGATCCCGACGCGATCGTCTACGGCTGAGCGCTGAAGCTTTGAAAGCCTGAGGTCTCGCAATACTTCTCTGCAATTTATGGCGAATATGCTCTTGGTGAGTTATTGCTATTGGTGTTTGTACGCGGGTTGTATCACTTAATCACGTTCGTAACTTAGAGAGGGTCTGAGCAGCGTGTTCAAATATCTGAAAATATGTTTCTTCCCATCTACTAGATTATTGGTACAACCGCTGGACACTGGCGCAAGTACTGCACCTTAATTCTCCATCATCTCTTCTGGAGGGGGGCCGCCCGATTCTCTGTCCCTATCTTTCCGCGCTGCTTGAACGACATCATCGACGCGCAAAAGCACCCGCGCGGCCTCAATAGCGGTTTTCAGAATTTGGATCTACGGGGCCAATATGAGGCGATGCGTTTTAGTTGGAATCCAGGAATGTACCTTCACGCTGGCAGACTCATACAGTCCGTACGACTTCATGTCGACGATCTTCCCAGTTTCACCGTTGATGCCCCACGAATTTTCGCCGTTCGCATGCTTCGCCTGATTGTACATCCTCGTGAGATCGAAGAAGCAGCGTTGGCAAAGCAACGGCACTCACCCTCAGCTCAGTCAACACCCTGATCGCATTCCCGCCACTGTTCTGCACCAGTGTCCGCGGAATAACTTCCATCGCGTCGGCGACAGCACGGAACGGTCCACCCTCCACGCCTGTAATGGTGCGTGCTTTTGCTTGAAGGCCCACGCTGATCGCCATTTCGGTCGCCCCGCCTCCTGGTGCCAGGAGGGGATTGAAGACAACGTTACGCGCCACGGACATGGCATCAGCGAGATTGCGGTCAATTTCGTTCAAAATATCTTTTGACGGGCCGCGGAGAAGGATCGTGCATGCCTTGGGATCAGAACATTCCGTGAGGAAGGTAAAGTACCTTTGAATAGCATTAGGAAAGATGCATTCTCAGCATCGTAGGATCACGACTCACTCGTCGCCCATCTTCTCTATGTGGAAGAGACCACATTTTGTACCGATGTCTGACTCACGTAGATCTTCCAGACGATTCACAATTGTCGCACCAACAGCGCGAGCAATCCGGTTGTTGTCGGACTTGCGTACTCGTCGGATAGCAGAGACATTTGCCTTGTGCAAGAAATGTTGGGCGTAGTCTGGAGCCGTGTGAGGAACTGCACCCAACGAAGACTGTCGTAAGACGCACCAGAGATGCCTTTTTCTGTGATCACAAGATCAGGCTTGAATTCAAGGATTTTGGCAACCATCGCTTTGACCTGCTCCTCCTCGAGCTCCTGAATTCTTGCCCAGTCGGCTTCCTTGGAAATCTCGATATTTGTCTGAGACTCTCCCTTCTTGTACTCTAGCGGGCAATCCAGGAGAACGATGCGCGGTTTCACGATTCGTCTGCGCATTTTGGGGTGTGTGATGTCCTTGTTAAGCATGATGCCTCTGAGCACCTTGCTGTCTTCGATCTCCCCACCGGGTACTTTCTCTACACGCGCGTAGCGCTTGATGTCTACAGTTTTGTTTACACCTTCCTCTTGCGCGACAGTGCGGACCGCTTGCAGCGCGAGGTTGCACATCAGGTCAGACCAGCGCGAAACGAACTTCGTGCCGATAGAAGTTTTAATAAGCGAGAGCATCTCCTCATCATTCGACGTGTCGATGGGAATGGAGATGCGCTTGATGATCTCAAGTGCCTCTTTCAGGGCTTTGTTGTACGCCGAAATGATGACTACCGGATGGATGTCGCGTTCGAGCTGAGAGAGAGACTGGGCAAGGATTTCGCCAGCTGCAACAATTGCAAGCGACGATGAAAACAGTTACTTCTCGCCAGAGTGTGAACGGCATACCAAGAATGATCACGCTCGTCGTCCCGTCACCGCACTCCTCATCCTGTGTCCGGCTCAGCTCGATCATGTTTTTCGCCGCAGGGTGTGCGACATCGATTTCTCGCAAAATAGCATTTCCGTCGTTCGTCAACCTTCGTTTTTGCAGAAAGTCAATGGTACTCGAAAGATTGGAAAATACTATGAAGGCAACGTACAGAATACCACCCATTGGATCCAGAATCATCTTCAACATCGCCTTTGGGCCCAAACATGTCCGAATCACGTCTGCTACAGTCTGTAAAACATGTCCTTGGTGCGCATGATGAGTGGACTTGGACAGACGCGGTACGAACCTTCGCAGCGGTAATGTTAGAGATCTGTGCTTTTCGTCCGGACTGCCTCTCTGGGGCCGTGTCTTTCGAACAAATCAGCCAGTGTCACTTGGTCGTTCAGATAGTTCCACGTACTCATAACAAACACTGGGGTCTGTCCACCGGCCTGCATTTTAGGTGGATTATGTTTGGATAATGTCTCGGAATGCGAGGGCGAGCAGAAGGGTACATGAGACGCCCACACTTCACCTTCTTCTACGGGAAATCTGCTTACGTCACTACGAGTCGCGCCAGTCTCAGGATATGTTTGAGGGTCTCTCTCTCGACAGCCATGAACCAAACGTACCCCACCATAACTATTGACCTGGTAAGCTCTGATATCTGATTTGACTAGGTCTTGTTCTGATACGTGGACAGTCAGGTCCTCGATCGGCACACCACCAAAGAGGTCCTGCGTGCAGTCCTGCATTCTATTCTCTTTCACCGTTTGTTCGGCACGGTGAAGCCACAAATATTTGAGCTTTTGGATGTCACGATGGTGCGAGATATCCTTATGGGTGTGTCACTTGATCTTGTCTCATTTACGCGCATATAGCCAGGTGTGGATGATCCAGACATGAAGGAACTAGTAGAGAATAAGGTGGAGGCATTCTGGAAAGGTATTGAAGGTGTTGCGAATAAACGTGGTCAAGTGGGTTCTTTGAGCACTCGCAAGCCTGTGTTGCCTGATGAACGGTTATTTCTCCGCCAGATTATTGTTATTTTCTCTGAGAAACGACCCCGCAAGACATGGTTCATGATGGGTGAGGTGCGTTGAGTATCCTGGACATTGTACAGTAATATTTATTAGTTCGATAGGAGGAGGTCCCTTGGGAGCAATGGTACGCGATACTGATACTACACTGTGCCGATGTATCTTAACTGGACTTCTCCAGGATTATCAACGCGGAGATCAGGCAACCCACAACTGACAAAGGTATTTCTCGCACGCTGTTCGATTTTCTGAGAAACATACGTGATATATGAACAGACCGTCAAACGTTTAATGCCAATCTGACATCGACTCTGACCAAGAGCCTAAAGACGATGCTGACGCATGCATCGTCTGACCGTGGTCGTTCGGCGGTTCCATTAATAACTAACGCGGAGGGAATTTCTCCGTTTCCTACGAAGATCGTTGTGAAAGTGGGTGGTGTGGAAGTGAGTTGAGTCCGAGCAGATGACATCGGCGAAATCGTTGGCGTTGATCCCTTTGCCGGAATGTTTTCGGCTTGGTTACATGGCCTTTGGACTACCGATAGGTCGAATGAGGTATTCCGTTCTGCATGCTCTATGTTCGTGATTTTGCAGACATGCATCGAGGTATCTACAACCCCCTGGACTACATCTACATGAAATAGGCATGATACGATCCATATTTGCAGTACGTGGATTTACTGGTCTGCTTTTCGATGAGGTGCTCAAGTAACTCGGATTGAGTCCTGTGCGCAATATGGATGTGAGCAACGAAAAGCCGCGGTTTTTCCACGATGCGCTTCGTGCGACGTCGCCATACGCATATGATGCTTACGGACATCCAATGGCCATACACCCAACGGTTGGACAAATTATAATCACAATCGATTGTACCTTTTTGCTCTACATCTCACTTGCAATAATATGCCACGCAAGCGCGAAGAAGTGAACTCCTCAGTATATTCGCTTCTCCACATCATCGTCAACTAACTGTACACGACTCTCCTACTCAATAATATTATCCTAATCCAACACCTTAGTCCAACTCGTCGATGGCCCAGCGCGCGACGTGAGTAGCGTGCGCCTCAGAAGGGTGCTCCGCGGGGTGTGCGCCTGCACCGGGGTGCGCTGCGATGTCGGACTGCGCGTGCGCGCCCTTGTTGTGCGAGTGTGCGTGTCCACTCTTGTAGTCCTTGTGGTACTTGCGTCCCTTCAGGTGCCCGTGAGCGTAGGCGTGACCCGCGGCTTGTTCGTGAGCGTCGGCGTGCGGGTGAGAAGCGGGCACCTGCGAAATGTCATCGTACTCGCGAGCCATGATATCGTCGTACTCGCGGGCCATGATATCGTCGTATTCACGGGCCATGATATCGTCGTACTCGCGGGCCAACATGTCGTCGTACTCGCGAGCTAGGATCTCGTCGAGATCACGAGCCATCAACTCGTCAAAGTCGCGAGCGAGGAGCTCATCGTATTCGCTGAACACGACATCAGATGATATCCAGAGAAAAAACTACAGCAGACACTCACCGAGACTTCTGCTGGTTGTTGTTGCTGTTACCGTTACCGTGGAACAGGCCACCGAGTGCCTTCACGCCCTTCCAGGCCGAGCTGATGCCCAGAGCTTCGCTGCCGTCCTCGCGCGCCACCAGGTCCTCAATCTCGCGCGCTGCATGAGCCACCTGTGCCTTGTGGGTACCCTGGTGGTGCTTGTGGCCGTGACCCTTGTGGAGGTGCTTGTGGCCGTGACCCTTGTGGAGATGCTTGTGGCCCGCGAGGTGCTCGTGCGCGTGGGCGTGGCTTGCAAGGTGTTCATGAACGTGTGGTATGGGGTGTACAGAGGGTCCGTCCCCACGCGCGGCGTGCACGGCAGAGGCCGCAGCGGGATACGCCGCGGTAGGGTGTGCGGCGGCAGGGTTCGCAGCGGAGTGGTGCTCAGCGACGTGCGCGCCCTTGTGGCCCTTGTGGAGGTGCTTGTGGCCCGCCAGCTGCTGGTGCGCGTGCTGGGAGCCAGGGGCGTGCTCCTGGCTCGCGAAGTGCTGAGCCTGAACGTGAGCAGTATGGACCTGGCGCGCTGCGTGGATGGCGGCGGCGGCGGCAGAGGAGACCGCAGAGGGGGCGACATGAGATGCTTGCGAGGGGTGCGCCTGCTTGTACGCGGCGTGAGAGGGCTGCACTGCATGCGTGGGGTGTGCGTTGTGCGCGCCGTGCTCCTCCTTGTGAGCGCCCTTGTGGTGCTTGTGGCCCTTAGCGTGCTTATGCGCGTGCTCGTTGTGCGCTTGCGCATGCTCACGGGAAGGCTTGTGGTCGTGGTCGTTTGCCTGGGCATTCTCGTGGTCGTGTGGCTGCTGAGTCTCTGCGCGCGCCATGAATTCCACGAACTCGCGAGCGATGATTTCGCCAAAATCACTGACGGTCACATTAGTACGGCGCGTAAGACGGATTGATAGATTTCAATACTCACCGAGACTTCTGCTTGTGCTTGTGGCTGTTGCTGTGGCTGTGGAAGATACTAGATACACCTTTGCCGATCTTCAGGGCATCTCCAAAACCAATGGCCTCGGAACCGTCAGCGGGAGCCGGAGCAGCACTGCAAGAGAACCCGTTAATAACTGTGGGACGATGACCGCGAGTACGGCACTCACGCAACCAGTGCGGGGGCAACGACGACGGTAGCAATAGCAAGAACAGTGGAAGAACGCATCTTGACTAATTAAAAGGTGGAGTTGGAGAATAAGGTGAAGGTCGTAAGGAAGTAGGGGGTCGTGAAAAAAGTTAATTAACGAAGGTGTCGTGATGAAAAAAAGCGAAAGAAAGAAGCGAGACAAGCTAGGAGAGAAATGCGTCAGCACATCCCTAAAGTCGAAGTCCAGGGATGGTACTCACTATCCAGTACCTGAACTCGAAAGAAGCTTGGCTCGAACAACTGAGGAGCTGGAGAATAGACGTCGTTCCAGGGGGTCCTTTATACGTTGCGGTGCGCCTATCCAAGGGATGCCGACACGGCCGGATACGTGCTTTCCCTCGCAACATAGGTTTATTTGGCGTCGGCCAACAGAGTTGATGTGATGGCCGAGGGGCAGTCTCCAGTGGCATCTATTGCGCGAGCGGCAAGCGACACCGCTATGTACAGCATATACGTCAGAACACTCGGGCGAGGCTGCAGGTGCGGGCCTCCGGCCGTACTGAGCCACACCATTGGTGACCGTGGATGGTGTTCATCGCTGATGTCGCATACACGCGAAACAAATGCAGGGGCTGCATCAGTTGTTTCGGCTGAACTGGGCGGGAGAGAGATGATGAATGGAGTTAAGTAACAGTTCGAGGGTGTTACGATGAAACATACACAGACTTTCCATCAAATTTGAGTCAGGTCTCGGCGGTAGTCAACATCATGGTGGGCGCCCATCATATGATTCACAGCACTTGTCATTTTGGGACCGCTACCTGTGAGCGCTTATTGGAGCGCCAGTCTCTGCACGCCGCGTCGGACCGTCTGCTCGCCGTCTGCACCGATGTCGGCGCGGTCAATTCTTGCGCGTCCACCGCGGATACCCATACAAAGTTTTGCTCGACGAGCCTATTCTGTTTCCCTACAACCCTCGTTGGTCTATCCACACAAGTCCGTTCCTCGTGTCTACAGCGAGCGCAAAACGTACCTCTACAACCAGTACACCCGCCTTCTCCAGTCCACAAAAACCTCTCCGCTTATCCTCCTCCAACACACCGACTTTTCCGTTAATCGTCTCATCCATCTCCGTCGCGAAATTGCAGCAGCAGCGACAAAGCATGCGAGCACCGCCCCCTCGCTCTCCGGCCCATCCCCAACGCCCGTGCACGCGCCCGAGCTGCCGACGCTGACCTTCATGCGCACCTCGCTCTTTGGCATAGCCTTGCGTGACTTCGCACCCATGGACGAGCAGATCTCAAAAGAGATCGCGCAACTGGTCACCGGCGGGTTCACGGTGCTCTCCTTCCCCACACTCAACCCACCGCTGCTCAGTGCGATCCTCAAGGCGATGTCGAAGGCCGTTCCGCCTCGCAAACCGAAGACGGAGGAAGAGCTCGAGCAGGAGCGCAAGGACAAGGAGGCCGCGTTCGTCCCGGGTCGTCGCCCGAAGCGCGTGCGCCTCCCGCCCACGCCGGAGCTCAAGGTCGTAGGAGCACTGATTGAGGGTCGTGTTTTCAAAGCAGAGGGCGTGCAGACTGTCGCTGGGCTCCCGACCCTGGACACACTCCGGGCGCAGCTGGTGGGGTTGTTGAGTGCGCCGGCGACACAGTTGGCGATGGTACTCAGCGAGGCGAGTGGTGGGAAGCTGGCGCGGACGCTGGAGGGCCTAAAAAAGAGTTTGGAGGAGGCGGAGAAACAAGACGCTCAATCTGCATCTCCATAGCGTTGAGATATCATGCATACACTTATTATTGGTATTCGCTGCGAAGGATGCGGCTGGCCCAACAGACAGTTGTTTGCCCGAATGACCCCAGTATCGCGAAAACAGCAGCAGGCTCTGTTGCTGCTCACTATTTCAGTCTGCGAGCGGATGAGCAGGGACAAAGTGAAAAGTCATAGGTACAGCCAGTCATTAAATGGTACAGAGTATACCGCTATCGCCGTTTTGACCCTCGTCCCTCATCCAATCCAGGCGAGCTTCTCCGCTTCCTGCTATTGAGAAACCAGTGAGCATCGTCGTCAATATAGAGGATATAGCTGAAACGAACCTGCTACTCCTCTCATCCTGGTCTGGCGTGCCTCTGGTTGCTTCCTTCATGCCTCCCGCTCCCCCTCCGTAATCCAGCCCGTCTACCGCGGGCGCGCTGCCGTCAATGTCCTTGTATTTGTTCTTGTTCCGCGGGCCAGTGGGCACGTTGGGCGGGAGCGGAGACGCTGGTCGAACGGGCACTGCTATATACCTCTCTGTGAATATACGATCATACAGAGTATCAAGAAGCGTACCTCGACCACGGGCGGCAAATCCTCCGCGTCCACGCATGCCGCCCAATCCTGCTTGCATCGCTCGTCCTCTGAACTGGCCAGGCGCAGGCGCATTAACGCCGCGGGTAGGTGTCGGCGCAGCTGGGACGGGCGTAGCACTACCCTCCATGCCGGGATACATCTGCTGTCCCATCTGCTGCCCCATTTGTTGGCCCATCTGTTGACCCATCTGCTGGCCCATAGCATTCTGGTCCTGTGAGATAGATCAGCACTCACCACACGCGCATCACCCTCATCATACTTACCTGCATAGTATACTCCCCGCCCATCCCGATCCCGATCATGCCCTGCCCAGCACCGGACACTCCAGGGCCGAACCCATCGCCCATCGCCATCTGCTGCTCGGGCGTGCCCTGCCCTCCACTCTGGCCCCCGCCCATCCCGCCCTGGCTTGTGCCGTCCTGCATCATGCCTCCACCCGGCCCGCCGCCCATTCCCTGAGCAGGCATGCCCTGGCCCCCGCCCATCTGCATGCCGGGGCCGCCCATGCCCATACCCATGTCGCCGTTCATGCCCATCCCGGGGCCCACGACGCCGCCCATCTCGTGCATCATGGGATTCATCATCCCTCCCATGTTCATCATCTGGTTCATCATCGCGCCCCCATTCATGTTCATGCCCCCGCCCGGCGCCATCATTCCCCCACCGCCGGGTGCGCCGCCCCCGGCCATCATCGCGCCCGCCATCACCATCGTGCGGATCTCTGGCGGGAGCGCGGTGAGTTGATCCTCGGCCATGCCAGAAAAGCTCTGGAAAAAAGTAAGCGGACATAGACGCGTCAGGACGCGCCATATCAGAATAACAGGACACGCACGAGCATGTTGTTCTTCAATACGCTTGCAACATCTCCTATCTCTCGCCTGCGGTAGCAATAAGCCTCCCACGAGATCTCGTCGAATCCATAGTTGAACCAGTCGCTGATGTCAGAGCCGGGTCGCCGCCAGGGCTTATCAGCCAATGCGCTCAAGTCCACCTCGAGTATGGAACGCCCATCGAGAGTACCGGGTAACTCAGGGTTTATGGAAGGATGCGAAGGTGGCGCTTTAGCCACCGGCAGCGTAGAGGTGTCAGGTCCTGACTCGGCTTGCTGCGTGCCTTCGGGCGTCTTCTGCACGGCGCTTGGTGTTTCCCCAATATCCCCCAGCACAGGCGTAGTTCCTGTGGGTTGTGGTGTAGACGAGATCTTGGTTACGCCCCCTCGTTCACGAGGAGTGTATTCTGTCGTGAGCGACAGCTGTGGCTGTTGCGGTCCTGTACATGAGAGTTAGTATGGATGCAGTCCGCGTGTGACTGGGAGAACACACCTCGTGTAGGAGTACCTTGAGGAGCGTTCGTGGGGCGGTTTCCTGGACGATGTTGTTGCCTGCAGGGGGTTAGCTATACAGTGTCTCCCTCCTAAAGGTACGTACCGAAGATCAAGGGAGCGCGACGGCTGGTCCATGATGATCTCAATATCCTTCGAGACGTCGTCAGACACGCAGTCGAGAAAGTGAAATAGAGCGTACATCATCACTCTCTTCTTCCTCCTCAGCCTCGCCCTCAACCTCCCCTCCGCCTTCAGCCTCACCCTCGGCGTCTTCGCCATTTGCGTTCGCAGCGACCTCTGGTGTGCCATTAGATGAGCTAGCAGCCTTCTCTTCCAACGTCGCGACGAGGCCTTGGGCCGTCGAGCGTGTCTCTTCAAGGGATATTCTAACTCGTCCGTCAGAGCGCGTTAACTAGAGCAAGACGCAGAGTGGACTCACGGTTGCGGGACTGAGTATCACACATATAAGGGCAACCGCAACAAAGCAAGCAACGTCAGAGTAGTGTCTTAATGCCCACGAGTAAACTAGTCGTCCTCACCAGAAGTCGCCACCGGCGTTTTCACCTCTGGGATATCCGCGGAGTTTCCGTAGAGGAACTCGTCGTCGTCGTCTACAATCCTATGTCACACCACGTATGAGAACTTGAACCTGTACCGTGCAGCTCAACATACATGTTGCTCAAATGCTGCGAACCAATGCAAAATACAGGTACAGTGGTGGTCGTCAACTGGTGCACCAGTTAGAACGGAGGGGATACATGGCAGTCACGTGCACCCTTCAAAACTTCTTGTTTCCCGACTTTGAGTAGCCTCGAGGCTGCAGCAGGAACACACTTCTCTCAGCTGCCGGTTCGCCTGCTGGATCATCTCAGTAGCTTTGTGTTGTAGGCCAATCTGCGACGTATCTGCTTTGTTTTTGCCCTCTGTGTTCTGAACTAGGAGATATACCGCTTTACTAGGCTCCACTCGCTCACTTTGACGCGATGGGTAAGTCACAGAAAAAACGCCAGATGAGGCGACACAACCCGATGCGAGTACCAGACTCGCACTTGCCCAAAGGCCTCGCGTCCGCGTCCGCGTCGTCCTCCAAGAACGACGCGATACTGCCTATAATCCAGAAGGTCTTGATTTTGCACTGTTTCCGGTACCCGCACTCTGTCTGAGCTGTGTTATTGTCGTGTGCAACAGATGGAAAATATCGATCCGTCCGAGCGCAAGTGGGCGTGCGTCGCGGTCTCGAATATTATCCAGAACGACCCTGCTAGTAGAAGATTGCTGCAGGGCAAAAATGTTGTCGGTGCGCTGATCACGCGTCTAACAGACAGTGAAGAAGAGGTTGTCGTGGAAGCTGCGGGGGCGTTACGGTTAGTGTACGCGTGCATTGCACGGGATTTGTCTCTGAACGTGCAGACAATTGTTTGGAGCAGAAATCTATGTATCGACGGCGGTTTCGATATATGCGCTGAAATGTATAACAAGAATATCCTTGCATCTCTCAAGACATTTGTACCCAAGGTATCTAACCCGGATCGTCTCACGGCGAACTCGTTTTTGATATTTGCCTGGTCTGTATAAGATCTCCAATACTCTGTCTCAATACCTATCTTCACCCAAAAGCGCTCCAGAGAACGCCCAAAACTTGGTATATGAATTCGCCGACAATGTCATCACCATCCTTTGGTGTCTTTCGTGAGTTAAGCATTCTGCTTCAGTGTTACCCAGCTAAGGAAGCCCAGAGAGACTTCTAACAAAGCCATGAATGCTATCAACGAGATTTCACTCGTCCCCTTCTTGATGTCATTCCTTGCGTCAAGGGACAGGCTGCCAATATCGACTATTACTTCCGCCGGTAGGTTTATGTTTACTGCCTACTCTTGCGTGAGGCTCATTTGGCCGCCGTTACACCGATTCCTAGCTCAGTGCTTGTACGTACTGACGGACGAAAACCAGCCGGTCATCGAGGAAGTCCGCTCGAACGCCGGCTACACATCCTGCCTGCTTTCCATCGTACGACCAGACGAACCTTCTCTAAATGTGAATGGAAAGAGCGAAGAAATATCGGATGATCGCCAGCTGATGTTCCGCATTTTATGCTGTGGTATGTCTTTTCTCCTCAGCAATCTTGGACTATAACGATAATAATTCGCGCGAAGGAATCATGAGGAACATATCACCTATCCCGCCACCATCTATTGCGGCGACGGTAGATCTCGATCGCGACATCGTCCTCCCCATGCTTGAGCCAGTGCTTTCGCTGGTTTCGCTGCCCGAGGCTGCCCATCTCGCCCAAGAGTTGGTAGAGAAAGAGGTAGGCGATCTTGTGTAATTATCGGAGACGTGGAGCAGCATGACCTTCTCTGAATGTAGGATTCCATACCACAATTGGAGAAGCTTTCATTGAAAAATACGCCAAAGTCCGACCACAAGACTCCTTCGGAGATCGAGCTCGAGTGTCTAGAGGTTAAACTGCGCACTGTGCAGATGACGCTCGAGATCCTGACGGGCGTGTGCGCGACACTGCCTGACCCGGAGATCGACTTGGCAAGTGTAAATGCAGATGGCGAAAACGAAAATGAAGGCAAGTCGACTTTCGCGACTCGATCAATTTCCCGATGGGAAGTGTAACTCTGTAACTCTGATGTCACAGACGAGGACATGGACAATGAAGCTGACCTGGATGCGGCGCCTCAGGACGAACCGACAGCCAATCCTACGCCGTCATCGAATCCGACTTTATTCAACACCCTGGTCTCACCGCTCCTTACGCTCGTACAGCCGACCGCGCTCTCCTTCCCTCCACCTAACGGGCCGTCCCCGCACCCACCAACGACATCGGTACTCAGTGCGATCCATATCAGTGCGCTCGAGTGTCTCAACAACATCTTTCTCTCTCTTGCGCAAGCGTCCTCTCGGGGCGTGAATCTCGGCCTAGACGCCGTGCGTGGTAAGACGGTGTGGGATGCGGTATGGCGCGCACTGTGTGTTGTGGGCACGGAGGTCGGCCACGCGGGGCAGGAGCGGCGGCGGGACATGTGGGAGGTTGGCGTAGGCGTTCTGTGGGGTGCGGGGATCGTGTGGAAGGGCACGCTCGTGCCCGAGGAGGAGCAGGTGAACGCGCTAATGCAGCTTTGCAACGCCGCAGCGGACCAGGGCGTCAAGGTGAAGTGCATCGGTGCCCTCGAGTGCCTCGCGCAGCACCCATCGTCCGTCGATGCTAATCGGGTACGTCGGAGAAGAGCCGCTATCCTCGCATTTTTGCTGATGACTCATTGTTTGTGGATCAGGTTATCTTGACGTACTTGCTTTCCCTCCTCCCGCCTTCGTCGTCATCGCCTACCCCGACAGAACCGCTCCTGCAGGCCGTCTCTGCCCTTATCGACATCTACTCGGACGAAACGCTGCCGTACGACGTCAACTTCCGGCAGGGGCACTTTGTGGACGCGCTCGCAGCGAGTGTCGATGGCGTGCGGAAGGTCGTACGGGGGATCGACCGGAAAAAACAGCGCGCACTGCGGGTGCGGGGCGAGGAGGTACGCGACAACCTCATCGCGTTCATCGGGTACCGGCGCGGGCTGGGGATCTGAGTGCATAGTAGGTTGCTGACACCTCTGGGACAAGAGAGATATGCGCAGTATCTGGCAAGATCTTCTATCGCGAGATGTGCCGGCGTACGAGGTTCTGGCGGCAGGGCGCTGCGGTCATATGTTCGTATACTTCAGACAAGGATATATTTGCGTGGCGCGTGTTATGGGGCTACTTGTGTCCGAGGTTCGAGCAATGGCAATTAGTACATGGCATGCTCCGGGCCACATCAGAGCGTGCTGCGGGCCACATACCAGAGCGCGCTGGGGGGCACACCGCTGTTATCACTGGCCCCGCGGCGGCGCTACGAGCAGGAACGCAATCCGGGGTCGCATGGGGAAGAGGGGGCTCAGTGCTACAATCGCTACGCGTTGTCAGACTTGTCAGGCATGCGGCACTAGAAGGCGCAGAGCCGACCGCGTCATGAGATCGTGTCAGCAATACGTCGTGAGAAGCGAGGGTGATAGCGCAGTTGCTTCCTGACAGGGCCCCCTGGACGTCGGACACTGCAAGGGACGAGCACGGCAGGATGACCGCATCAGAGCGCGGCCGGACTCCGTGCGAGTGACGTGCGGCGGTACGAGGGGTCCACCGGCACGCAGCGCAAGTAATATGCCGCAGACTTTTGATTAGTTCGCCCCATCAGCCATACAGAAGTGCCGGGAATGGCGAAGCAGACCCAGGGTGGTAGGGAGACGCCAAGTCCCTTCACAGCAACCACTGCACTCTTCGGCGGGGCCACGTTACTGAGTTTGCCGGATGGCGAGATGAATAGATGGATGAATGAAATTCGTGACGGTGACGGGAGATAATGCGAGGCCCCATTCCGTGGTACGTGCACGAAACTGTTCGGTATGGTATGGTGTGGCGTGGTGTGGTGCTGTTGGCTGAGGTGGGCAAACATTGGACAACTTAGGACAGCAATGACATGGGTTCTCCCTGTATCATGAGAGTATGATACAGAACGCGGGACAAGGTATGCACTTACTTGAATCAAACAGAAGCAGATGAGGCGCGCACGGTTAGAATGGGAGAAGCGCGTGAAAGAATTCGAGGGGGCAAGATTGGCTCGCTTGGGGCACTGCGACAAAGCCAGGATGCGCATGTTCAGATCTGCACAGCATGCTAATACGCTGAAAAAATGTAAAATGGGGCCAGAGACAATATATCAGATACCGACGGGGATAATTAGGCCGTAGGGAATTGTAGGGTTGAGGGCCAGATTCCAACACCGGGCGCTCTGCGGTCTCGTGTGCCCATAGGTTCGACCTTCGATTGAGACGGTTTGTGCTACCCCCGAGGACCTGTGAGCACGAAGACATGCTCGGACAAGGTTTAGGACGCCAGCTCGGGCAGAAGCGACCCTGTACCATGTAATCCGTCTCAGACCGATGTTTCCGGTAAGATGGAGACTAAGGGTGCGTCCGGTGGAAGAGCTTCAAGGAAGTCCTATTGACTCTAAGTAAATGTTGTGATTGTCGCGATTCGTGGGAGAAAAAGTCGGAATTGGCGTGAGTGGCGTTCCTCGCTATACAAGAGATGACGAAGCAGGATGCATACAAGAATGAGTGGAAGACCGACCGATCGGATGTGGTCGTGCACAGCCCGTGTCTGCGTGTCTGCGGTCTGAATGCGCATCAAAAAATGTATTCACGATACCAGCCATGTTTTCGACATCCAATCAACACTCAATGCGCGGGAACGATCAAACTGAGAGGGTGGGGAGAAGATAGGACAATCGCTGCCCTTCAATGCCCTGACCTTTGTGACATCAGCAAGTAGTGTTGAATGTAATAGTTACTCACAGTAGAAGACAGAGACTTTCTTCCCCAAATAGGTCGGCCGCCGAGTAAGTTTCGGACGAAGAGAAATCGTCATTGATGAGTCTGAATTAAATGTCCCGGGGGGGGGGGGGGGGGGATCGCAAACAGCCTACCAATACGATCCCGTCAGTTTCTGATAACATAAAATTAATTGAGATCCAGTATTTGATGAGGACCTGTGCAAAGTGAGGGTAAGCTTGATGAGCAGTTGGTGGGTTGAAGGAATGCGACGTGGTTCAGTAGAAGGTGTTGCCAGAAGAGGAAGGTAGCTCGATCACGTGGCCAGCGCGCTGAACGCATCGCAATCCCACGGTTCCGCTCACCGAACCACCTCGACCCCACAACATATTTTGACGATTTGACCGCTAACTCTTCTTGAAAGTAGTTATCCATGGCACCCTCTGCAGAACTCAGTCTGCGATATCTCCCTGACCTTTCGACACCGCTCTCCGATGGCGATACCACCGCGCAAGCCAACTTCTCCGACTCGTCATTCCAGATCCCGACGGGCACCACCAACGACCTCTTAGCAGACACCACCATCAACTTCCTGGGTAATGATACTCTCAGTACACCCGTGCTGTCCACCGTGCAACGATCAACCGCAAGGGCCGCGATCCCCGACATTCATACCAGCACAAACACGAAGCCACTCACGCTTGCAGAGCTCACCCCGAGACGCGAAAAATTGCGCCAGCCCGTGCGCTCGTCGCTGCGACTTCGCCAGAAGGCAGAGGTGTCGATCCCGACAACGCTACGGACGGCGGTGATAAATGACCTGACGGCGGCGCTCGAGGAGGATCTCTCGCCCCTGCGGCCGCGTATGCGCTCTCAGGCTCCCACTCTCGCGCTGCCGCAGGAAGAATCGTTTCAGATACCGTTGGGATCAAAGCTCGGGGCTCTGTTAGCGGACGAGAGCAATTTTCTCGCTGGGAAGGATTTGAGCCTAGGTGGCCTATCAAAACAGGAACCGCTGACGCTGAGCGAACTGACTCCGAGGCGGCCTAAGGTACCAGTGACGGACGAACACGCCAATGTTCCTAGATTGGATACCGTGGACGATATGCTCCACTTTCTGAGGGCGGAGTCTGGGAAGCTGGAAGACGGTAAGTGCAAGTCCGTCTTTTCCGGTGGAACAGTGAAGTCAACAGGGTCAAATTCGCAAGACAACTCACATACAGTGGTCCCAGAAATTCCAGGCGGAACTTTGCTCGCCGGCGGTACGGACTCTGATCATTGTAGTGAGTGTGTTCTCAGGATTCAAGAGTGTGTGACTCATGTGAGCAGAGCCTTCCGCACAACCCACGTCTAAACCAGAACCCCCACTTCAGGCAGATGTGCCGATGGGGAAAATAGATAAGGCGAAGGATCATATCACCCCTCCAGAACCTTCAAGTTCTCGCACAACGACAAGCTCCGAGATACCGGCTAATCAACGAAAAAACGGGAAAAAGACGAGACGCAAAGGGGCAAGTACCTTGGTTGTACTAACATCTCGGATGCTGATAAAGTCTCCTCCCGATTGTAGAGCGTCATAGGCGGAGGCATCTCAAAGACGGGGAAGGCCAAGGTGGCCCAGACGACTCTGGCACGGGTCCTCACGCGAAATGTCGGGAAGGGGGGTGTGCGCCAGAACCCTAAGGGCGTAGAACTTCCCTTGCAGTCAAAGACATCAAGTAGTTCGAATTTCGTCGACCATGAGCCAGGACAAAGGACAAGGGGAGCGACGATCGCAAGTGCAAGCTCCGGGTCTGCTTCTGAGACGCGCCCCGCAGCAGGGGGGCTGGCAGCCACGCTAATGGCGTACGGAGCAAAGATAGTATACGGGTAAGTACACCACTACGGGATATATCGGGACGGGGAGGGTGCCTGGGGCCGTCCCTGTATTGTATTCTGGTGTACTGGACTGACGACATTAAACGACAGGGCGGGCGAGACCGTCCTGGATGACGATCAGGACGCATCTGCGGGGATGCCAGGGATTCGCGAACCTGGTGAAAAGACGGAGCTGGGCGTGGACGTGGGGAAGGGACCAGTTCCTGGGCCCTCCCTCTCTCAGCCTCTGGCCTCAGATCGGGTGCTAGGTCGCCACAGCCCACTTGCGGCGCCGCAGCTGTCCCCGGCGCCGACAACTGCGGCGACGGGGACGGGGGATCCACCGGTGCAGGACAAGAAAACCCTAAATTCGGGTTGGGGTACGTCCAGTGGCCCAGGCAGATCCGCTTCCTCTCTCCGCTCGTCCATCAAACGCCCGACATCAGATGTCTCTGATCCTCCTTCTCCCCGGCACAAGCGGAGTAGGCTCGCGCCAGCGTCCGGTCCCTCGGAACCCGCCTCCTTGAATGAGCTCCCAAAAAGGACCCGCCCTCTCCGCGCGTCCAGGCTGAAGAACACAGCGCCTGGCGCCGCTACTTCTCTTGCCTCTTCCGCATCCGCGCCTCTTCTTGCTCGCGTGCCAAGTGCTCCTCCTGCTCCTCAGCCCCATGCGGATCACCCTTCGAAGATCAAGGCCAGCGACCATACTGCAAAGACAAGATTGTTCACGTCTTCTCGGAATCTAGCGGTGCACAGACCGGTCGAAGCTGTACATGCCCACACGACCACCGGGCAGCTGACGACCTCAAGTTCGGCTAGCAGTACTGCTTTTCGGGCGTCCAGCCGATCAGGGGACCTCCACCGGCCGCTGGGCGAAAATGTCCCAGATGCTGCGTCAGCGCCACGCTCTCAGGGTGAAGGCTTTATGCGCAAGCCCGGGGAAATGCCCGTGTTCGATAAGCCCGTGCGTAGTTTTTGTTTTTCTCTTTCTCTTTCGTTTCATTTGTGGCGTTCGACCGGCGGCATATATGTGATTGCATCTTCTCTTCGTTCATATGCGAATGGATCACGATACCGTGCACCTGAGCGTGGCGTGTGCGTGTACTCATGGGCTTAATTTTCCGTTGTGCTTCGTCTCCATGTGTTTTGCGCCACAGGACGTTCATCGAGGGGTCGTGCCGGCAATTAATTTTTGGTGCTGGATCCGGCGGTAATTCCTGGGATTCATTCGCGCGTTGCTATATCGCTCACATGAATGGGTCGTGTTGTGTGCCTGTCCTAAATTTCGCGGTCACTTTTGAGTCTATCACTCACGAATCACGTATCGGACCATGGTCACGAGAATCATCTTGTTCCTGTATTCTAATTTTCGGTTCTTCCTCAACTGATCGACTGAAATATCTTCCATGTCAAATGTCCTTCCTTTCCAGGCTGTCTCGCTGCCCGCCGCGAAGCCCACACGACCAGTTGAGTTCCACTTCCAATCCGATGCACGCCTCGAGGCCCGACTTGGGAAGAGCGAGGCCAGCGAACGTGCAGCGAGCGCGTCGAGCACGGGGCGCCCACATGCGCCCACCCACCATCCGGTCCCAGACTTCAAGGCCATGCACGCGTTGCAGGAGTCGCAGACGCTCGCGAGGAAGGAGCAGATTGCACCGGTAATACCGGTGCCGATCGAATTCGCGACAGACGTCCGAGCGCGGGAGCGCGAAAAATTCGAGGAGGGCAGGCGCGAGCGCGAGCGCGCGCTGGAGGCGCTGATGGAGGAGCGGCGTCGGGAAAAGGAACTCGAGGAGGAGCTGGAGGTCAAGGAGATGCGGCGGCGGGCAATCCCGAGAGCGAACGAGGTCCCGGAGTGGTATGCGACAGCGCCGAAGCGAACGAAAAATACCTAGGAAGATCGGAGCGGTGTGGGAGGTAGAAGGGCTTCTCTGCTGCGATGCCAGGGAGGGAATCTGGATACGTGGTGCGCAAGCTGACTTTGTTGTACGTTATTCACGGCATGATCGTGTCCTTCTATTCGTTGTTATGTTATGAATTAAATTGCAGTGTCCCTGGCGAGCTTCGATCTCGCCTTCTCTTCCTGTCTATCAGGCCAATTCACTTTGTCAGCACCCACACCTCCTTCTCGGCGAGTTTGACCGTGTAGCTCAGCAGGTACGATCCCGCAGCGCGAGCCCCGGCGTTTGCGATACTGACCTAACCGGCCGATATTACCGCGCAACATTTTGTCTCCTCGTTCACTTCGATTTCGCTCTACGTTCCACACAATCGCGATTCAACCCTCCGGGACATCACACGACCTGGCCCGCCCTCGGTGCCTCGCGCCCATCGAACGTGCGCCCGACGGCGATAATTCTGCTGCCGTGTCTTTGCTTCCGCGCCTGAGCTCAGCAGCTTATGCGTACCACGCCCCGTCGGCCTTACTCACCAGCCGATTCATGCCGCGGGCCCGCGCCCGACGACGTGGGTCCTCGCGATTTTCAGTCGGGGTAAAATGCCCTTTCGGATGTTTCGAAGAGAGGGTGCTAAAAGCCAAGGAGCCAGGGCGGTACGCCTGCGTGGGGCTGGAGCTCCACTGCGCGGGCTGCTGCCTCGCGCAAACCTCGTGTGCGCGTCTGCTGTCGGGTTTCAGATGCAGCCAGCGCTGGGATATACGGCGGCCTGCCAGTGTGTTAGAGTGCCGGCATGCAATGCGCATACAATGGCAGCTAGAAGTCACGCAATGCGGTGGTCACAGGTCTGAGCTCCGGTGTGGGGGGGTGGGGGGGGGACCCATACGAGCCTACACATGTATCGGGAATTGGGGGGCGAATCTGTCCGCGTGGATCTCCAGGCCTCCAGGCTGCGTATTCCGAATTCGCGGGTGGACTTGGCGGCACTTTTACGTTAACCGTTGGTGCCGTTTTAATATATTGGGTGATTATTACTGGCTGTGTGTGGGACACCCTGCGATCGAGCTGCTTTGCTCCTCCGCCGCGAGGGACTGCGCTGCGGCAGCGAATTGGGGTACAGCGCATTTCGGGGTTGTGCTCCGCGGGCGGAGGTGCGCCTGCACCGCGGGACGGCGTGACATGGATGTGCTGAGACGGGCGGGGGTTCGTGTATCGCGCTAGCACGATGCTCTCGAGCGAGTGCACGATCATGATCATGCAATTAATGGTGCGACGCAGGGACGTCTCGACTAAAAATAATTTCCGGCGAATATAGCAGGTGCAGTGATTCGTGCAGCGGTTCGTACTTTCGCGATGCGGGTCACCAGCGAGCTATTCTCGGGTCATCGCACTTATAGTCAGCACGCGAGCATGAGAGAAAGAGTCGTTATTATAAATCGGGTTCAGCTTCGAACCCGAATCATCCAGCGCACGCACCGCCGATCTACCTTCGAACTTGTCCACCACCACGCCGACGGGGAGTTATTTGCGGGCCAACGAACCCAGCCGACTACGCATGTAGGGCCTGTTCGGCAAACAGAACGATTCCGAATATTCATGCGAATTCACTCGTCGAACAAACAGGCCCTAGTTAGTAAGCTATGTACACGCAAGCTCGCGTAGGTGTCTCCCCCAACCGCCACCGCACCACCAGCGCCGAGCACGCCCACTGCAGCAAGCCAAGCCCGGCCCCGGCACACGCCAATCCTCCTGCTCAATCAGGCACTGCCCGGCCGCATTCAGAGCACGCACGGCTGATCACCCGATGCTTGCCACACAGATCAGCACAAGCTGCTCGACGAACCCGTGCCCGGCAGATCGCGACAGGCCCTACCTAAATGCGGCTCGTCTTGGTAAGGCGCGTACGAAACGGAGTGCGAAATGGAGGCATGGAAGTGGCGTCGTTGGCTAGGGGCCAAGGACCGGAGGGCTTGGTCAGCTGGGGCCGTGGAGCACTGTTGGGCTTCTGGTGCGGCCGGGGGAGGCTGGACGGATGCGGCAGGTGTTGTGGTCTTCGGATATCCATGTTCCCTCGCGCGGTGGTCATCGGCCAGTCCCCTGCGCGAGCGCTTCACACTCTCCAGCTTACTTTTGAGCGAGGCGGTGCGGTCGTTTCTGATGCGGCTTCGGGTGGCATGACTTGCACGTGCGCCGCGTTTGTTGGAAGTTGGCGGTGCAGCCCGACACGAGAGAGAAGTGGGGGGGATAAGGATAGTGGCGTGCCGAGAATCAGAAGGCGTCCGCGTCAGGTCCTAGTCCCGCCACCGCCTCGCGCGTCGTGGCTTCCAAGTTGGCCACGGCACATTGACGTGCGCGATACCCACCATGGGAGACTCGAACTGCGAACGGCGGCACGCGCCACCCCGAGCATTCAGATACAGCGCAGGCGTGGGGCTTCGCCGCACATCCCTGTCAGCGCACACGCGCAAAAAGAAGCGCAAGTCTCGGGTGTGGCGCATCAACTGCGTCCGAAGAACCAGGGACAGACGGGCCGCTCAACGCCCACTGGGCTCTACGTGGTACGTGGTTCGAATATGCGCGTCGCAAGCGGCTTGAAGAGCGTCGACTGCGGGAAGCTGCACGCCCAACGCGACGGAGGTGGACATTAACGCATTCGAATGCGCCGCAGCGTAAACGGCAGTGGCGCGCGCGACGTAGACGCAGGGAACGTCCCCCGGGCCTATCGTGCATCAGCTCCGAGAAGCTGCAACGCGTCACCCGCGCTCGCCGAACGATGCGCATCGACGGGACATGGACATGGACATTGGCATTCGAATACGCCATCGCCATAGCGAACGGCGGTGGCGTCCGCGACGCGACGCGACGTGGACCAAAGGACGTCCCCCGGGGCCATCATGCATCAACTCCGAGAAGTCGCCCAACGCGCCGTTCGAACGCTGCGATAGGCATTCGCATTCGGACACGCCCATCGTAAAACGGCAGGTGCGGGCGGAGCGGAGGAAGGGACGCTTTGGTTCCCCTCGAGCGCATCACCGGCACCCCCGAGAGACAAGACAGCGTGTTGGCGCGAAACGGACGCGCCAATCGTGTTTCTGCGCGGTCCGGGTGGCCTTAATGGACAGCGAGGTAGACCAGGACACGTCCCCAGGGTTCAATATTCAACATTCAATAGTAAACTTTCAGACGCGGATTCGCGTGTGGCGGGCCGGGCCCAGCCTGGGGGGGAGGGAAGAGCGGGAGCGTCCACTGGCGACGACAGCCCACCAACGACATTCGAAGTGGCCGAACCCTAGTGTGCACGCGCGTCGAGTCTCGGACGCGACTCCGAATTCGCTCCTGCCTGCGACTTCGCAGGCCGGCGGTCCCGGTCTCGTGTCATGCAATCGCGAACGAAGAGCTCGACGCCATCCCCCGGGGGCCATCACGCACCAACTCCGAGAAGTAGCCCAACGCGCCGTCGCAAACGGCAGGTGCGCGCGAAGCGGAGGAAGGGGGACGCTTGGGTCCCCGCGGGGCCCACCCACCACCCACCACGCATACAGCTCCGAGCGAGACGAGACGTGGAGACACAGACGCGCCTTCGAATTTCGAGCTCGCACACGCACTCCACAGGCCGGCGGTCCAGGTATATCTACATATACGCAGTGCATACGTCGCCGCGTCAGCCCGCGAGCACGCCGCAAGCCCGGTTCTGGCGTACGACGAGAAGAGCTCTCGCGACGTCCCCCCACCCCCCCCGGCGCTGCGATGCGACACGCTGGCGTAAAACGGATACGTACCGACCATACGTTCTCCGCGGGCCCGGGCAGCGCGCGTCGGACGATTGGCATGCAGGCCCAATTGTGGAGGTCATCGCCACGCGCCCGAGGATTCGATGGTAATTATGTGCGGAGGGCCAGGCCCGTATAGTAGGGAGGAAGAGCGGTGCTAGCCAGCAGCGTCTGCTCGGGGTACATTGACAAATCTGAGACGGATCTCCCACACGCACCACACAAGAACACAAGAATGAGCCCTGCAGCGTCCGCGCAGAGTCTCGGACACTAGCGCAAAGCGTCACGCATCGCGCATTACACATCCGCACGGCCGAGGCATATATCACACTCGCTCAGCACTGTACGTCAACGGCGCCTTCGCACACGAAGCTCGAGCTGGCGAAGCCCAATGTGACAAGTGCGACGAGCGTCCGCGGCAGGACCGCCGGGGCTGGGTGCGGCGAGGCCCGGGGGAGAACGCGACGAGCTGCGTCGACATTCAATATAATATCCCAACGCAGAACGCAGAAGCCGCAGCGGGCGGGGACGGAAATGCGAAGGTACCCAGGTGCAGGAGGAAGGGGGAATCGGGGAATTCGTATTCTTGCTCGGAGAGCAAGCTCTCCCGACCCAAAAGTGAAAGTGTCCTTTTTACACAGTTGTTGTGCATTATTTGTTTTGTGGCAATTCTGTCCGCTCCCGTCTCCGAGCAAGTTCCGCCGCCGCCTGGCGGCCTTTCGAGTTAGCGCATCGGGATGGAAACCGAGGTTCCAGCAGCAGCAAGACCCACACATAGCGCGATTGTGCGATCGTACGGGCCAGGGCGCGCTGGGCTCGTTCGCGGGAGCGGGGCGGCGCGGTCTGGCCATGGGTTTTTCTGCCGGCAGTTCAGGCCTCAGGACGAGAGCGGTGCGTATTGGGTTATAAAGCGCATAGGTGTAGTAATCATAATCGGATTCGATGCGTCCGCTCGAAAGGAGGATCGTGCGCTGCGTAGACGCCTGCAGCTGTGACGTGGAACGGCGATCGGTCCTTGGGAGGGGATTGGATTTCAGACGATGAAGCTGGCCGGCGAGGTCGCAAGCTGGCCAGGGAGACGACTCTGAGAGATGGAGACTAGGCAGGCGTGTGTGTGCGCCCCCGGGACACACGTGCGAGACACGCAGCGGCGCCTGCAAGGGTGTGCGCGCGCCTGACTGTTGCGGTGCGCGATTTCATCATCATCACAGAGGCGCGAATTGTGGTGCAGACGGCGAGGCTTGGGCGCGGGCGTCGTGCTGCTGCGCCTGGTGGCCCACGCGGTGTGTGACGCGAAAAAGAACTTGTTCCCGCGGAGACAAGGGGGCGCAGCGCGAAGGGGCAATCGGGGGACGGACGTGGGGGCCTCGGAGGAGAAGATCGTGGGAGGAGGTAGTTCTGACCGGAGCGGGCAGGAGGGGCCCGAGACTCACAAGCTTAGGGGACCCAGGAGGAGGGAACGCGAACCGGGGGTTCCTAGCCGCATCTGGATAAGGATGAGATTGCGTGACGTGACGATGTGTGACGTGGGTGTGACAGAAGCGCGCAAGGAGCCGGGGCTAATTTGGTAGCCTTGAGCGCCGCCGGGCGTGCCGGGGGTGGCCACTCGACCGTCCGTCCGTGCTTATAACCCGCTCCCCCCACAAGCCGTCCGACTTAAATACGAGCCACCACCCCAGAGCCCAGCACCAACCCACCCACTCCACACCTCGCGTCCACAACACACCATGCAGTCTGTGTCCACAGCCGCGCCCTCGCCCCGTTCCGTGACCACGGCGGGCTGCCACCCACCATCGAGCCCGGCGCCGTCCCACATCTCCGCGGACGCGCCCCACCCGCAGAGCCACAGCTCGCCGCAGTGCTGCCACTGCGGCTGGCGCGGCGCGCACGCGCCGACGTGTCCGTTCAAGTGAGCGCGCGCGCCCCGCCCGTCCCGTCGTCGCCTCTTCGCTCCTATCATCGTATCGTGCGTCCGTTCACCGCTGTGCTTTTTACCGCCGCTGACCCCAGCTGCAGTTGTTTTACCACCATCTCTCGCGATCTGTTCGTCATGCTTTCATCGCACGCAGCAATGTATCACCACCACTTAGTGCACGCCGGCGCCGGCCTACTACTTATTCTATTCGTCTATTCGCATCGCACGCGGTCCGTGCTGTAGGATTTCCCGAGGAGCAGGAGGGCGGGGAGGGTATCTAGTTGTAATGTGTAGGAGGGCGGAGGAAGGAGAGAGAGAGAGAGAGACCGCGGTTGTACATACCCATACCCATGTATCGCATGCTCCGTAGCGCACCCACCACCATAATCCACGTCTCGTCCACCGCGTCATATATCAGTGCCCGGGATGAAGCCGACGCTGCGTCAGGAGGTCGGCGGGGGGAGGAAGCAAGGCGGGGGCAATCTAATCTGATGCGCAGCTGTCAGCAGGCACATCATGACGTCGCTCGCCCAACGCTGTTTCCCCGCATTCTCCGATCACGTCACTCTCCTCCTCCGCAACCACCGACGCCCGCCGCCCTGCTCGCCCACGCCGTAAACGAGAGTCGTCGCCCGCCAAGGTGGTTCGTATGACATCCACGCTCCGCATCACGAGCTCCGGCGCGACGGCGCATCGATAATCGCACCCACCCCCGCCTCAGCTTCCCGCTCCGCTCTCCGTTCTCCGCGCGTCGTCATAGCGACCCCGCGCCCAACGCTATCACAAATCCTCCGAGACAATTGTTCTGCGCCCGCGTCAACTGACGCTCGCCAGTGGGGGGTGATCTCTGCGCCGACGGGCCCCGGGCCCGCTGCGTCTGCGTGCAAACTTTTGCCTATTCCGTTATGCGGCGGTTCCCCCGTCTCTCTTCTCTCTTCTGTGCTCTCCCCACAGGTGCCGGTGCACGCGCGTACACGCAGCAGGAGGCTCGGGATACAGCACCAGCTGACCGCCCCCGCGCGCCTCACGTGTGCGTGCCTGCATGACGAGCTTAGTGAGTAGAACCAGGACGTCGGGCGGGGCGCGGAGATGGCCTGTCGATTGCGCGTAGCTGGAGGAACCCCGGTACACGATACCCAATACCCAATACACAACACACAATACACGGTAGATCTGACACCGCGTCGCGCGCCACACGTGAACCCGCCAAGAGCAAGAAGACCGCCCTCTGAAGTCAATTCAAACGGACCACGACGCGTCCGCACCCCCCACACCCCCGCATTCGAAGTCGCACCCAAGCGCCAGTGTCTCTATCCTGGCTCGCTCGCCGGGCGAGCCCCCAGCGCGAGGCGGGAAGAACCGCGCTCGTTCGACTCACGATACCTGCCTTTCCGGGCGCAAAAGCGCGCTGCGATCAGAGTGCGTTGCGCTTTGTGAAGCTTTGCGTGCCTGCATACAACGAGCTAGTAATAGAACCAGGACGTCGGGCGGGGCGCGGAGATGGGACCTGTCGATTGCGCGTAGGTGCAGGTGCGTGCGAGGACCGCCAATACACAATACACAATACACAATACACGATACACGATACACGGTACACAATACATGGTAGATCTGACACCGCGTCGCGCGGCGACACCTGCCAGCACTGGCTGAGGAGCACCCGCGCACCCACACGTGAACCCGCCAAGAGCAAGAAGACCGCCCTCTGAAGTCAATTCAAACGGACCACGACGCGTCCGTACCCCCCACACACCCGCGCCTTACTTCCTCACACTCGAAGGCGCACCAAAACGCCAGTATCTCTATCCTGACTCGCTCACCTGGTCACAGAACCGGGCGAGCCCCCTGCGCGAGGCGGAAAAGAACCGCGCTCGTTCGACTCACGATACCTGCCTTTCCGGGCGCAGGTGCGTCGCGATCAGAGTGCGATAATGCCCTGTGCTTCCCACTGTGGTGGCCAAGCGTGCACACCGCAGCGTTCACGCATGGCCTCCAGCTTCCCGGGTAAGCTTAAAGCAGCGCTGCCGCTGGAAAAATCGGCCGGGCAAGCTGGGGGGGGGCGAACATTATCTATTCTAACCCATCCGCACGATTCACCAGGTCGAGCATGGACGTGCGCGGGGTCGTGCGCATGTACGCAGGTACGCAAGCTTGAGTAAAAAAATTCACTTGCCATGGCTGTCTGCCTGGAACCCGTTCGCGACTCGGAGAGGGCACGCGCCGAGGTGATCCCTCCATTCTCCCACTGGTGCTCTATACCAGGACGCCGACCGCGGCTGCCGCACGGGCCAACGCATCGTGGTAGCCCCGGATTGTGCTCTATATGTATAAGCTGGGCACACGACAGGCGGCGAGACACACGGATTATCCCTCAGGCGCAGCCCCCCGCCGCTCGAAGATTGCAATCAGCTCACCCTCACCGTCCTGCGTGCTCTCACGGCGCATACGCGCTCCGAAACACCCCACTCGCGATTGCACAACAACCCAGGATGTAGGACTCGCGTTCGCGCGCGCTTCGTCGCCTTCGTAGATGCGTCCCCTTCCCGCGAGCTCGAGAGAAGCGAAGCGAAGCGCCGCGGCGTTATCCCACCAACCCGGCCGAACGCGCGCGAAGCGGCGAAGGACTTCGCGCCCTCCCTCCCCGCTTGTTCGTTCATCCTCCCCGCTCCCGCGCGTGCCCAAGCTAGCGCGCCGTATCGTGCAGCCCCCCCCCTCCCGCTGGTTCCCCGCGATACGATGCTCGAGTCAGAGCGGAATACACGTCGCCGGTGCGCACTGCGCTTCTGTCTCTACCCGGGGCCGTCCATGATCCTACGTCCTCTCCGTCGCGCTCGGTATATCCTTGGGCTTGCGCTTCCCTCGAAGGCGCCTCCAGGGCGCGCGGAAATACCGGTGTTCGAGTTGCGCGCGCGCGCGGAAAACGCAAGCTGCGTCCGAGTCTCCGTCCGAAGGCGAAGGTCGTTCGGTTGGCCCGACGAAGGCCGGCGTGCTCAGGGTGGGTGCTCCCTGGACCCACTGTGCCCTTGGGATCATTACGATAATAATGAATTCATTGAGAGGAAGGAAGGAAGGGAAGGAAGGGAAGGACGATGAGTTATTTTTTTTTGGTATCGCGGTGGGAGCCGAGCGCTCGCTATGGGCACGCGCGCCCGCCGCGCTGGCGCGCCGCTCCACCAGCTGCGCGACGCTGGTGTTGCCGACGCTGGCTGGCTCCACAGCGTCGCCTGCTTCGCCGTCGTGACACGCACGAGCTCGATCGAAGGGTCGTTTGGTTCGTGTTCGTATGTTCGTGACAAGTGAGAAGCAGGCTTTCTGCCACCGAAGGACGCGCGGAGTGTCCACCGAGCAGCAGCGGCCGTGCGAGATCCGGGGTGCGAAGTGTAGATGGGGCGCCCCGCACCCGCTGGTTGTCGATGGGCACCCCGAGTAAGTACCGCTGTGGAGCCCGAGGACAGACGTCGGGAGTCGTTGTACCCGCACGTGGTAGCTCTACTCCGGGACAGATAGCGAGAGATTGAGTTGGTCAAGAGGCGCGAGGAGACGTTCGTGATTCTGCCGGACGACATCTGGGAGGCGGGTGCGTCTTGAGATCGAGAGGTGAGGCAGAACCCAGTTTGACGAAGTATAACGAGAAAGACAAATCGCGAAAGTTTAGGTATGTCATAGACGTGCGCGTCCGTAATCGTGATACACCCCGGTGGGTGGCACCTGGGGCAGGCTACATGCATGAAGATAATTAGCGCGGGGATCTGGGGTGCGGGTGGGTCTTGAGCCTATCCAGAGTTCAGACAGAACTCACGAATGCACATAAGACGGCGTCGGAGGTGCCAAACTGTAGCGTCGTACCGTCAATTTTGACAACGTATCGCGACACCGACACCGACACACGGAAGGATTGTTTAGACAAAATGAATGAGATTTGATAACGATGTCGAACACATGGTAAATATACTCCTAGACAAATAGCAAGACATTGGGTTGGTCATGGGCAGGAATAAGGAAGACGTACTGTACGTGATCCCGCCACACCTGCGTTGGGTTACATGCCTGGAGATAGTAGGCGCGGGAATCTAGAGTGCGCGGGCGCGTCTTGCGTCTATCTAGTGTTTAGGCAGAATTCACAAGGGCCGATGCACAGAAGAGGCGTCGGAGCTGGCAACTGTACATCACAACGTCGATTTCTACACCGTATCGCGGGACGACACCGACGCCGACCCACCGGGAAGGACCATTTAGACAAAATGAATAGCTGAATGGACGATCAAACGAGATCACGCGAGCGCGATCTCGACACCCCTCATCCGGGTGTTGCGGTAGCGGGTGGTTACGGTCGCGGTGCATAGTGTTCGAACCACAAGTTCTACTCCACCTGACACGAACGGGGTCAGGTTCGAGGTCCGGGTCAACTTACCTTTTACTGGTGTGGTCCACGGACCGAAGTCATGGGTTGCGGCGGTAGTGCACTGACAACGCACCCCCGTTTGTGCGCCGACCACGGCGCAGTCAGACGAGCGCGCTGTGGCGCGGGGCCAACTCAAAATCGACGCTGGCTGCTGCTACCTCCGTGCTTCTGTGGGGCTCACCTCCGCCCTTCGCGGCGAAGCGGAGGTGTGGCACGGCCACAGTGACGTTTCTGAGATAACGCGTAGGTCAGAGACGCTGGGTGATTGGTACTGGTTCGGTGCCGCACCGTATCAGGACTGTGCCTTGCAGCGCCATCTGTTGTGCGTGATGCACTTCCTTTCAGCCGTCGTTTAGGACTGTGACAGACAAGACAGCCCCCCCTGCAAGGACGCGTTCCCGCTGCCAGACAAGCTCGTCGTCATCGATGGGAAGCATTCACTCACCGAAGCGAGTGTCTCTGGACCAGTTGCAACCGCAGGATCGTATCGATAAGAGGTTCAACGAGGCAACTCACTGTAACTCACTGTAGCTCACTGTGAGTCGTACCGTACGTACTTCGACGAGGACGCTCTCCGCCACCGTCCACGAGTCCGAGCGCAGGATCCCGCGAACGATATGGCGCAATCCGCACAAAGCGCCCCGTGATCCAGTGCGTGACGGCACACACATTCAAAACGCGAACTTCGAGGGATGCCGCAGTCGAATTCAGAACGTCGGAAGCTCTGGAAGCATGCGCTGGCGATCAGAGCACGATCCATGGAAGAGACGTATCGGGCGACTGCCATGTCGATTCGGGAACACATCGACCTCGACCTCGACGCGCAGGCGCCAGCGAGATCGTCGTGCGCGCATCCGGCAGGTATGCGCTCATGTTCCGCGCGCCCCGTGGGAGGAGAAAGAGGAGACGGCGGGTCGTTGGCCCCACGCGCCTCTCGTTGTTACGTTCTGGTTTGTCTGGAGAAGACGAGAAGACGCACCGCTTCTTCCCCGCATCGATGCACGTGGGATGCTGGCCGCTGGCCGGGGAAGTCAGAAGAGTAATCGTCGTATGGATACTCCATGCGTAGGCGTACGTGGTTGTGGGAACATGCACGACGTGTGGGACGATGAGCGCAAGAGCTCAGTCTGTACGTCGGCGTGAGCGACCGACAGGTGAGATAACGATGGGCGTAGACAGCAAGGCACGATCGGCGAGCAAGGTCGGGAGAGTGCGCAGAAGGTGTGACGTCAATCCTGACGGTAACGCGGCGAGCTGCGGCATAGCCATATCAGCGCGTCTGCATCTGACTCGCTGCTGTCACAACACAAGAGGTCATTCGATGGACACACCCTCAACTCCCACGCGTCCCGTATCATCCACTATGTCCGTCTTGGGTTTGGGCTTAGACTTGCTTTAATTTGGTTCCGTCACCGCGATACCGATCCGGGCACCAACGCACTGCAGCTGAGGGCACACATGATCCTCTTGCTCGCTGCCTTTCCGCTTGTAAGCGAAAAGCTACCGAAGACATTGAACCTGAACTTGCGAGGGGAAGACACCCTCGTCGAACAACCTCAACACACGACGTGTATGCAAGTGTTCTGCCGAATCAGATATTGTCTGCATCCGGGCTTCGCCTGTGTGAATTGAGTAGACGAAGAAGAAACTAGAGCAGGTGGAATTAGGACAGACGTATCATACAGCGGCTATTGGTACAATGTGCCGAGAAATCAATTGAGCTTCACAGTGCCATCGAGAATATACATCACGCCATTGCATGCCTGCAACAGCGAGGATCAGATACCGAAGGTTAAACGAAATGCACCGACGCACCTCCTTCATACCCAGCAGCGGTACGCCACCGCTTAATCGCACGCGTTCCCAGTCAGGCTTGTTCACATCGCCGCTGACCTGCTCGAACGCTACCGACTTATCGGCGAGAAGGGTGTCAAATGGTTCTGCGGACAAAAGCGATATGGGCGACCGCTGCACGAAGGAGGGGCATAAATTGAGCCTCGGCAGGCGGTGAGCACGGCAAAAGGAACTGGCTCACTGGGATGATGTGCGCAGACACCCAGCGCTGCACGTTGTTCTTCGCTATTGCGTCGAACTCTTCCTCAGAGATAATGGTCCCATCCTCGACCTTCGCAGGATCCTGATGTCTGATCGCACGTAACGGAACACACGTCAACACCAGTCCACAGGCGCATAGAAGGGTATTACTCACGGTTTCCGTGCTAGGGCCATGACGGCCTTGTTCGTGGGCACGAGAAGAGTAATTTGGGCGTGCTCGTCCACGAAGAGCTCGCTGATCCGTGTCTCGCGCGCGTACGTGTAGAATATGGACGTGGAGGACTCGATCGTGAGCAGGTCGGCGAGCGTCGGTTGCGCATTCGTCTGCGGGGTGTACACTTCGCCTGCATCGGCGGATTGTGATGCTGATGAACCGGGGAGAACCATTTGGTCCTCGGTGGAAGCTGAGATGAGCAGTGGGAGGATGAGGAGAGAGAGAAGATGGAAGCGCATGTTGGATTGGTACACAGACTGCACTGAACGACGAGGAGGGCTCGTAGTGGGACCGTGGGAGGATCGCAGGAGCATCCAAAATAGGAAATGTTTTAACGACTTTGTGGTGACACCAAGCTCGAGTAAGTACTGTACTGCTCGAGTCCGGAACGTCTCTCTGTACGTCGGCGTCAACCCCAAACGTTACTGCCTGGAGGTAAATTCTCGAGGGCTTTTTTCAGAGAAAATCAGAGAAGTCCTTCGTTGCCCAGGCACGCCGTGACGTCTTTCAGTGATTGGAGACTTACCAATCTGCTTGCCATGATACTACATAGATATCATTGATAGCAACTCCCACTGTCACCTTCCTCCCGCTCATACTTCACGGCGAGACACCATGAATATTTTCTACGCAGGATCCGAAGGGTGTCTAGGAGCTCAAACGGTCACCTCTGAACTTTGAAGGCTCCGGAGTAACGTCGGAACTACTATCCGCCCACTTCGCGACTTCTTTCTTTGACTTGTGGGGAGCGGCGCTGACACAAGATGATGACCGATTAAGAAGTGAGTCGGAACGCGAAGAGCCGGATCGCTGCTGATACACCAGCGAAGGAGAGGGCACTGACTAAGGCGGGGATTTCTCAGCTTTATATCTCTCAGCGAGCAGCGCAAAGGCATTTCTCCCGAAGGTACTCGCCCCACTTACCCTTCAGCCCCTCTCTATTCAGAACACACGCACATCGCAGACATGTCCGTTGTCAAAATGGAATACGAGGACAAGGGCATGCCCTTTCGACGCCTCGGGAACAGCGGCCTGCGTGTCCCCGTTTTTTCGTTCGGTGGATGTGCGTATCTGCATTGCAGCAGCTCTTCTCGATTACCGGGCTTATGAATGTGTCAATGACTCTCTTTTACAGGGCTCACGCTCGGTGAGGACGTTATTGGTGACCCCGTCAAGGTGCGCAGATCGTCTGCCAGGAATAATTCGAGGATCCTGAGGTAGCGCACAGGATATCATGAAAGTTGCATTCGAGAACGGCGTCAACATGTATCTATCTTCTATAGCACTTTTATTTCCTCTCAGGAGCTAATATGCGATGCGGGCAGGTTCGACACCGCTGAAGGATACGGTGCAGGAAACTCGGAGGTTGAAATGTGCGTCAATTGTACTGACCAGCGCTTTTTGTCGGATTGAATGTGCATATCTACAGGGGTCGAGTGATCAAGGAGCTTGGTCTCAGACGGACGGACCTGATCATCACCACCAAGATCTTCTTCGGCACACGTAAGAACTCCCCGAACGACACGGGCCTGTCGAGAAAACAGTAAGCCTGCAATCCAAATCCAAGCATTTGGGGGAGCAGAACTGAGTATTTTGTGCAGCATCATTGAGGGCGCGAAATTATCGCTGCAGCGTCTGCAGCTAGACTATGTTGACGTCCTCTTTGCACATCGTCCGGACCCCAGCGGTATGTCGCAGCTGATTTGCCCTGCCGATTTCCCTGTAATTATGACGCGACTCTCGTGCAGTTCCGATGGAGGAGGTCGTCCGTGCCTTCAACTTCGTGATCGACCAGGGTTGGGTATGTTCCGCTACCTTGAGTCCTCTGTAGCGCGCGAGCTAAGTGCTCGTATGCAGGCGTTCTACTGGGCTACCTCGGAATGGTCTGCGTTCCAAGTCGAGGAAGCAATGCGTGCGTAGCATTCTAGCTGTGTTGTGCAACGCAGATCTGAGCATCGTTTGCATTTGTTAGACGTTGCGGACAAGCTTGGTTTGGTGGCTCCCATTGCTGACCAGGCCGAGAAGCAGTACGTACGCCACCTTGATGTTCTGCCTTCTTCTCACCGTTACTTTTTGTAGCATGTTCCACCGTGAGCGTGTAGACAAGGAGTACCTGTAAGTACACCTTCACATTAGCTGTGTGCACTGTTCTAATAATCATTTCGCAGTCCTCTGTTCGAGAAGTACCAATACGGCACGACCATCTGGTCCGCACTCGCTGGCGGCATGCTTACTGGCAAGGTATGAACTCTTACGGGATAGCGAGTCTGTAAGAGCCACTGACGCACTCGTATTGCAGTACAACAACGGCGTGCCCTCAGACTCGCGGTTCGCGAAGCATGGCGAGTTCTACGGGTGGTTCCTCAACCAGCCCGAGGAGGCGCAGCGACGGATCACTAAAGTCAAGGCGCTCACTGAGCTCGCGGAGAAGGGTGCGCCTTTTCCCACATTCCTGCATTCCATGAAGCGGACTGATGATACCGGCGTGCAGAGCTCGGCTGCACGATGACGCAACTCGCGCTCGCGTGGGTGGCGGTGAGCCCGAACACGAGCACGGTCATCCTTGGCGCGACCAAGCCCGCGCAGGTGCTGGAGAACCTCAAGGCGATCCAGGTCATCCCGAAGCTCACCCCTGCGGTGCTCGACCGCATCGAAGCAATCTTGGAGTCGAAGCCCGCTGAAGAGGTGCGTAGCGTTGTTTTCTGCGCGTGATTTTTTCGCGCGGTCGCTGATTTTTTTTGGTGTAGCCTTTATGGGGTCGCCCGGTGTTGGACAAGTTTGGGAGACAGACGCAGTACTGAGACGTCTAGATTTAGAGGAGGCGATCGTTGTGGGGTTCTTTGCCCAAGTGTTGGGGTAGAAGTGGCTAGATATGTATCATAAAATGAGTTCTCATGAACTGCAATAGATCGATGGCGGTTGAGTTCGCGCTATAACGCCTCGGAGATACGTTGAGCAAAAAGAGGTTTACATCCGATTGCGATGGTCGTGATGCGGGCCAGCAGTGTGCATGGGGGCAAGGGGGTACGAAGTTTGAAATAGCTATAGTACTTTGAACGGGGATCAAAGTCGAAGGAAAGTACTAGTCATACTTTCCCGGGAATAGCAGGATCTGTTCCAATTTCCTACCGCAGAACTCGCTTCCCCACTGCTAGCGTGACAGTGCGATGTCGGACCCCGTTAGCCTGTACGGCCTTCACCTCGATTACGAGTTCGAACGTCCTGCGGCCGCACTGTACTTACCAAAATTGTAAAAAAACGTTATGGTGAGAACTTTGCAACGCAAATTTGTGCTGTGCATTGCCAGTGTAGTCCAGCTTAGCACTGACATTTCAGGCGAGCTTGAATCTTGCTCTCAGATCGTTGTCGATCCAACAGTAAGTCTCTTGAGACGGTCGCGTCAGTATTTGTGTTCTGACTGTATTCATATTTAAACTGCAGCTGTGCTCCGGGTAAAATAGCCATTAGATATCCTCAACAGTCGGCCGGTGGCGACTCTGCGGATCGGGTATAATTTACAATACAATCCTTTCTGTCGAGCTCCTACGTGAAATCGGGCCGAGCATAATGTCAGATCTTCATCTCCCGTTGCTCCTACGATTTAACGGGCAGAGTTCATGGTGAGGAATTGAAGACGGACTTGGAGGGTGTTCCTTCACGCTCTCATCCCACGTTGTGGAAGAGACTCTTCAGCAGACCTCATTCCCGATTCGTGGTCTCAGCCGCGGTACGACCCTTTGTTGTACCATCGTAGGTCATTGGCCTGTTCATTCGGCGCTCACGCTCACGCAGCAGGATACTAGAGAAGATCACGAACATGAAGACAGCCGTTGTTTACGGTGTCTGAGGTATGATGGTGGTTGTGTCCAGGGTCTGAGTGTTGCGACAATTAGGTTTGCCATGTACCGCTGGCTGCCTCAGGACGCCAGTTAATGCAGACATGATGCCCGAACGCCTGGCTGGGGAGCCAATGCCTTTTCTCACATTGTCCAGAGATAGCAGAAGACTGCCACAGCATCACGGCGGAGAAGATGCGGTGAGATTCGTCATCCTTCTTCTGGTCGTATCTCATTCGTTCCGACGATAAACATTGCCTTGCGCGTTGGCTATGCTAACGCTTCTGGGGCGTTCTCCCGCGAGTCCCTTGATGGAGGATATCTGCGTGGTGTGGATCTGTCTGATACCTTTCGTCATGGCATTGATTGGTATCTGCCAGATGTCGCGATGGATCCGACCTGTGACACCCACGACACCACCGCTAGGCTTCTGGGTAAGAAGTGCCTGATGGTTGTATAGCGCCAAGCTTGGTAACATCCCGGTCTAAGGTCACGATAAAGACACTGCGCTGCTTCCTATACCGCATCCATGGGTATGGTGGCTGGTTTCTTCGCCAGATCAACGGCCACGTCAAAACAGCATCGCCGATAGTGCTGCGCGGCTCCACTGACTCTCGTTATGCGTGAGATATTTGGATTCGGACTGCGGCAAGCATATCTGGTGAAGTACCACATTACTCTGCCGCGCTATAACGTTTGCTTGTCAATCGTTCTTGCGGCCTGCTGACCCCTGTCACAGGTCGCCTATACTCATGTCTACTGGCCAATCATCACGGGTCAATACGATCCAACCGGAAATGGTTCCCGCATCTCGGAACGTGGCGACATAGGTTTGGATCAGCGACTCGCGAACTCATGTGATTCTACAGTCAGTTACACGGCCTACGCCCTCAGAAGCTATGATACATGGCGCAAGCCGACAAGGTTCGAACAGCGTGTGCAAGGGGTATTGGCAGAGAATTGGAATCCGGTGTATGAAGTTCCCTTCTTTTGGGATGGGGACAAAGAACGCGCCGCGTCAACAGAACACCGGCTGAACTTCGTAATTCTGCAACTCTGTTCTTGCTTCATCGTGCCATAGGGAACTCATTTCATCTCTAGCAAGTCCTGCTGCCGAGTCGGCCGTCAGTGTTCAGTTTCTGACGCTGCACGACCAGAAAAGTGGGAGCGCTGGAGAATAAGCGCAGACAATTTAATGGACCTCTCCGTGGTATCACCGTAGAATACAACACGAGGTAGAGAAGAATCCGTGCAATCACGGAGACATTGTTGATACTGTGAGTGGTATCTTACGACACTGCACCACTCAACTTCTTTCAGGCAATTTCGATGAAGCCGCTATGGTCGCTCTCTTGCCACCACCATCGGCGTTTCGAACCTATGGCCTTCTCACGAAACATGGCGCGTTGAAGGACTTGCATTATATTACACGGTCAACCACGCTATTGAGTTTATAGAGCGGACAAGTGGAAGATGACCTTGTATCCGCTGTGGCAATTCCCACGTAGCAACTTCGAGTGTCTCTAGTAGTGACGGCGTCATCTGGAAGCCTTAACTTGGGTTCTTCCCCATCTCCTGTACATCCATATGAGGCAGCAGAGACGATGATAAAGATTTTATGTGGGACAAATGGAACATAGATGTCCACAATTGCGACCACTGTGAACAGAAGAAACCCGTCTTCTTGCTGGGCCTTGCTTGTAGGTGGAAGACGAAGCCTGAATTTTCACAGCCGTGTAGCTGCGAACCTTCCAACGCGGTTGCGGTCCAAGATCAACGCTGGGTTGAACCTGTGGTTTCCGGTACCACTTGAAGACAGATAAATTGGATCCGCAAAGTATAATTCCTGGTACTCTATCTATCGATTTGTCGCAGGGCGTTGTTCGGTACTAGTAGAATTAAGAATCTATTCAAAAGTCGGTATAAGGCCGAACGGCGTGCTGGGTGTTCGTTCGCAAGAGATATATCCAGCAGAGAGGTATGGACGTCAAGTTTCTTTCTCTAGGCCCGAAACATCCGGACAAAATTTGGAATTTTTTGCCTGCGGATGAGATCAGACCTTCGCCCAATTTTTGGCCTACTGACTGCAGTCTGCATCAGGCCTTTCGCCCCCTAAGTATATTTGAAGGCAGGGCGCTTCTGAGAAGCGGCCGCTGGTCGGCCCCCGCCGGCCACCAGGGGTCTCTATGATGAGATCAGGCATATATATAAGGTCTCAAAATTCCCAAAATTCGTCCGGACGATTCATCAGCTCTCTCCACCTGTCAGGGGTCCTCCAATTGTGCTTGTCAAAGTAGCGCTCAGCGCCGCGGTCACGTAGACGTTTCGTCCGCGGCATCATCAATCCATGTACACTGTACAGTACGCAGTCAACGTCCAACGTAAGTTTCACATTCCTCAAATGTCCCAGGGTTATTTGCTCCTCGAGAGCTTATTACTACGTCTCCCATACTACAAGGCCAGATCAGGAGGGGGGCAAGCGGCGACGTCGGAGCCTCTCAATATACCAGAGAGGATGTACGGCAGTGTTTCCATCTTCCTACAATACTAACTAAAAGCCTCCTTCTATTACAGTGCTCTTTTCTAGTACAGAAATAATCTACTGAGGATTCCACATTTGTCAGTAACCTGAGCAGGTCAGCGGGACATGGGAGTGAGCTACTCGTTCAGCGCAGAGTGAGTAGCTTCATTCTCGCAGTATCAAAGTCATATTCTCACTGACGTTCTCCCTACGATCTCAGGCTCTATGAGGGCGCATACCGTGCATTCCGAGAGTTTGTTCCTCTGTCACAAGATCGGAAACCGTTGTCGTGGAGTACACTTCCATATGCATTCGCCTACTTCATCCCATTCCTCTTCATGGGATACCTCGTGCGCCGGGCGAACACACATCTGATTAGACTACTTCTCCTGCCAACTGTGATTGGATTGACTCTACGCTGCAGCTACGGGTACAAGCTCATGAACCCGGTATACTTCATCCTCGATTGGGCCCGAAGTGCGCCGTCCTATTCGCTTCCCAGATTCACGATTACTAACTTGAAGTTGCACGCTCCAGCATTGGTCGCTCTAGTGATCATATCGAAGGCGCTGGACTTCGCGTTCGCGCAGAATGGCAGGTTCAAAGTTGGGGAGAAGCGGCTCCGTGGGATCAACGAGCCTCTCCCGAAGTCAGATCCTGACAACGAAGCCATGCATGAACCCACAGACGCGTTCGCCCGCCTTCCGCCGTGGCTCTCTGACGCGCTAGAAGTCTCACTCGCCGTGCGCGGAATTGGCTGGGACTTCGGGCAAGGCACGTACCTGCCCCAGAGCCGGCGGCCCCGGGAGCGCGGGCCGTTCCTTAGGGCCACTGCGGCATCGTTGCTGCTGAACCTTCTGTACCTCGATCTGAGCACCTCTGTCGTCGAATCGGTGCCTGGGGTGGGGAGTGTCTCTGGAGGGTCAATATTCCTGCCTTACCTCCCACTCCCCTTGCGCTATACGGTCTCGACGATTGTGCACCTGTGTGCGGGCATCATGGTCATGTCCGGGCTGGAAGCTGGGGACGATTTGCTCACCCTGCTCTTTGTCGGCGTGCTGGGCCAGCCACCCTCAGAGTGGCGGCCCATCCAGGAGAACCCGTGGGCGGCGCAGTCACTGCACGAACTGTGGGCGAAGCGGTGGCACCAACTTCTGCGACGCACGTTTATGGTCTTCGGCGGTTTCCTGGGACAGTGGGTTGCGGGCGACCTCGGACTCGTCATAGGCGTCTTCGTTGCCTCGGGCCTATACCACGAAGTTGGCCTGCAGACCGCGGACAGCCGTGTCACGCTGTTCTTCGTGCTGCAGGGTGTCGGCGTCTTGTGTGAGACTGCCTGGAAGAAGCTGACGGGAAGGCGCGTAGGCGGCCTCGCGGGGCGGGTGTGGACTTATCTGTTTGTTGTGGGTCTTGGGCAGATGACAAGTGAGTGCCACACAGTTTCTCTGATGGTTTTCTCTGACTCCGCACTCGTCGCAGCGGATGCCTGGTGTGGAAGAGGGCTGGGTGGTGCGGTACTCATCATACCCGAGTGGATGAGTGTGTTTCGAACGTTTTTGGGCCCTGCTTTTGCTTGGATTACACAAACATTACTGCAGTACAATCATGCATAGATTTTTGGATACCAGTAAAATAATATCTTGTTGAAGTTATTGAGGAAAAACGGTCCAACCCGAAAATACGGAAGACCTTACAACCATTTTTTTGCAATCGTAGACATACCTAAGATTAGGGTTATGGAAGGTTAGGGTTTCTATCCACGTCGCGTACTAAACAAACTGAGCGCTACAGCCAAGTCCATCGTTCTAAACTTCCGAGTCTCATCCCTCCTTCAGTCAGAAGCCCGCCAATTTTGTCCTGGAAATTTTGGGAGAAAACGGAGTATACGACAGGAGGCATTACTCGATTTTCAGTTTCTCTGATCACCACGAACAGTATCTGGTCAGTTCTTCGCATTTGTCCATTTCGTGAAACCAGAATGTTTGTGAGTGTCTGGGAATGCTGACGAAGAGCTTATAACTAGGACGCTGTACGGTATCGTGTTTGTAGCAAATAATGGTGCGTGTTATGTTCGCTCGTCTGGCTCATCCAAGTTCACGCCGTCAAACAGGTTGTCCTAGCTGCTTCAATATGCACAAAAGGCGGCAAAGGTACGTTCTTTGGCAAGTTCTCGTTCAGTTCATCGCAACATCGCTGCAGCTGTCATCTCGCGGCAATTCCGTGACATGAGCAAAGCTCGCATCGAATCGCTCCTCGCCTCCTTCCCAAAGCTGATCCCGACAAACACTCAGCACACGTCCGTCGAGACTGCGGACGTGCGCTACGTATACCAGCCGCTCGAGGATCTCTACATACTGCTCATCACCAACAAGGCGTCCAACATCTTGCAGGACATCGAGACGCTGCACCTCTTCTCCCGCGTCGTCTCGGACATGTGCCGGAGCGCAGAGCAGCGCGAGATCCTGAAGAATGCGTTCGAGCTCCTCGGCGCGTTCGATGAGATCGTCAGCCTCGGGTACCGCGAGCAGGTCAACCTAATGCAGGTCCGGAACGTGCTCGAGATGGAGAGTCACGAGGAGAAGATCCAAGAGATCATCGCCAGGGTGCGTCTGATTCCCGCTACTGTCCTAACTTTCACTTGAACCCGCGTGAAATAGAACAAAGAGGCGGAGGCGAAGGAGGAGCTCAAGCGCCGCGCAAAGCAGCTGGAAATGCAACGTCGGGAGCAGCAGAAGCGCACCGCAGCAGGCGGTCCCTCGGGAGGCGGATACCTCAGCGGCGGCATGACAGGCTACTCTCCAGTCCCGCAACGATTCGACGCCCCCGCTTCCTCGCCTATTCGCACCGCATCCCCTGCGCCGTCTACGCTGCGCCCGCCAGCGTTCAAGGGCAGCGGCATGAAGCTGGGGAGCAAAAAGACGAAGCAGTCGGAATTGATGGACGCGTTGGCAGGAGAGACTTTACTCTCGGAAGACATGTCGACGCCCGGAACGCCTGCACAATCGAATACACCCGAGCCGATCGTGCAGAAGAACGAGCGAGGCAGTTTGCCCGCTGTCAATGCAGAGAGGTACGCGTCCCGGTAACAACACGATCGGCTTTCTTGACACTGTTCTTAGCGTGCATGTTATCATCCGAGAACAGATCAATCTCGAGCTCATGCGCGAGGGCGGTCTCAACAACCTGGAGCTTACAGGCGACATGAATCTCCACATCACCGACCCCGCCCTGGCCCGCGTCAAACTCTCTCTCGCTCCGGCTCCATCGTCCTTTGGGCCCGAGCTACAGTTCAAGCAGCATCCCAATGTTGGAAAGTTCGCCGCGAACAGAGAACGCGTCGTCGCCCTCAAGGACCCCGCGCGTTCGTTTCCTGTGGGGCAGTCGCTCGCCGTGCTGCGGTGGCGATACTCCGGCAAAGACGAGTCCTACCTGCCTTTATCGAGTGAGCACCTCGATCTCTACCGGTGAATGTGGCTGATGTCCCGACGACCAGTCAACTGCTGGCCTACGACGGGCAATGACGGCACATGCGAAGTGAACATCGAATACGAACTCGAGACTGAGGGCGTCACTTTGCACGACGTGGTCATCTCCATCCCCCTCCCGTACGCCCGTCCGATGCTGCCTGATTCATGCTAATACTTAGGACCACGCACTCGTTCCGCAGCGACGGCTCATACCCAACGGTCACCTCGCACGCCGGCGATTGGGCTCTCGATCCGAACAGCCACTCGCTGAACTGGATGGTCCCGCACGTGAACGCTGACGAGCGATCTGGCTCACTCGAGTTCACCGTTGGCGGCGACGACCCTGGCGCGTTCTTCCCCGTGCGTGTACATTTCGTCGGCGAGGGCAGCGTGGCGGGTGTGCACCTCGCGGCGGTTGCGCGCGTGGACAACGGTGAGGACGTCGTGTATTCGGAGGATGCTACTGTCACTGTCGATAATTATACGGTCGTTTAAAACTCGATGGTGGGTATTTGTTATGTATATATGTAGATGAACGCATCATGATTGCAGGATAAAGTGCTGGGAATTGAGCTGTATGGAACGTGGAAATTGGAAAGCCTGAAGGTATGTGCCGTATTTGTCAGGTATGTCCGAAACGCATAGTCGACAGAGAAAAGTCCGTCCATCCTGCACGTGCTGCTACTGCAGAAACACAACGTCCTACAACAGAACGAATCTCACACCCCGTCCTTCACGGCTAAGTTGTTCATCTGTTCCACAATGTCCGGTGAGGGGTTCGCAGAGCTCGCCCTCCTCGGGCGCGTTGGCGGCAGAGCGCTCAACCGCTGCAAGCCGCGCCCGTTCATCGAGACCGCGTGCGCATACCCCATCGGGCGCGGGGAAACGTCCTGGTCGAAGTACTCGTCAGGCGTGCGCGGAGACTGGTGGCCGACCGAGCTCGGAGGCGTGGCACCGAGGGAGTACGCGAGTGGAGGTGTAGGCATGAGCGCGATTGAGGGCAATATAGACGGGCTCCTGTTCATGCCGCGCGCCATTGCGAGCGCGGATCTGTTTGCGTTGCGCGGTGTGGGGATCTTTGTGTGCTCTGGATCGAGCAGCAGTTGGAACGCGAGCAGGCACATGAAGGCGTCGTTCCCCGAGTTGTGCATCGTGCACTGCACGTCGACGCCGAGCGACTGGAGGAGGTTCGTGAGGGACAGCAGCGAACCTGGCTCGCGCGGCTTGCCCGAGGAGCCTTGCATTATCCCGCGGTGCCCTGTTGTGAAGAGCCGGCGCTCGTACGCGGCGGTGTCGATGATGAGCACGTTGTGCGGCAGTTCTTATAGGAAGGACAGAGATTAAAAGGTGGGACAGCGAGTAGCAAACAATGAACGGCATACTGATTTTCATCTCCTCCAGACGGCGCAGATCTCCACTGATCCCGTGTGCGACGAGCACGAGGGTGTTAGGCAGAGTCTCCGAATCCGGGCTGGCGAGACTGCTACAGACATGCGCAGGCGTTGAACGATAATACTACCTGAAAGAGGAAAAGCCAGACCTGATCACGGCTTGAAGCAACTGAGGTAACTTAGCCTTTGGCACTACTTGGCTCTCACCAAACTAGCGAAACTCTGGTTAGTATGTCAAATATCATCATCGGTCGTCAAAGACCCGTACCGCGTACTAGTGAAACACAGTCAGCAGCACGAGCTCGATAGACGCTTCAGCTACGCACCGCCCAAGGGAAGTTAGGCCGGTACCTGTTGTGAACCTTGTCCACATATTCGGCGACGATGTAGTGTCCACGCCTGATGGGTGTGCATCACGTCAGAGATTGGCGGATCGATCTCAAAAAGCCAACGTACCTGTAATTTGGTTCGGGGTCAGGCGGCCACGTACCGACACTAGAGGACATCCGGATATATAGGTTCAACGCATGACATCGGCACAAATGGCACAGAGACACTGACGCATCAAGATGCCCACACCGGACCGCAGCATAGCCAACTTCCAGACAAGACGACGTGTTCCGCTCGGACCACTCGAAGTCGATGGCGAGGAATGTTTTGTCCTTCGCGTCCCAGAGGTCGCGGACGCCCTTGGGCTCGCCGTTGCGTATGCGCACTTTCAGCGCGGCAAGGACCGCAGAGGGGAGCGTCGCGTGCAGTTTCTTGTACGTCGCATAGTCGGAGACCGTGCGGAGGTGCCTCTGGGCAGTCTCGAACGGGCTGACGCGCAGTATGTTGTCTACCAAGGGAAGAGTTTCGCCGAACCTGTTCTGTCATTGAGAAAAGATCCTGTCCGATTAGACTGACACGATACGCACCTCGTCTTGATCATCTTGATGAAAGCGCCCACGGATGTCATCCGAGTAACGATATGAGCTCTGCCAGTCCAGCTGTCCGTGACAGTGATGACTGGCCAGGCAAAAGTGAGGAATGCCTCGAATGATTGAAAGAATATTCCCCACGACCGCTCATACCTGATGTTTCATGAGTGCATCGAGTTATCCACCGACTCAAATTTACGTAGCCATTAAGCTTACCATGGGACGTTGTGCAGCTGAAAGTGACCCATGTACGCAGAGTAGACCTGTTTCGAAGGAGAGTTCATCCTCCAGTCCAGGAGCATGACGACAGTGACGAACAGACTGCAGGTCGCACTCCCATCCTCGAGGATCAGCCAGGTTGAAATCCGACATTTTGAACGAGTCCTACGAGTCCTTGATCCACAATTCCAGGGAAACGGTTCACAGAACGCTCAGACAGAAGCGGTCTGGTGTAGTCAGCCACCCTAGGACTGCCTGCTGAATGACGATTTGGCACCACGAGCGAGATACGGTGAGGAGGACAGGTCCAGACGTTTACGAAGCTCTATCGGCCGAGGAATAACCAGCGACAATCCCCTCCGACTCAGGAGTAAGACAAAGAAAGGTTGATGGGCCTGCATTGTACGGCGGACCTCTCTTCATCGGCATGGAAAACGCCATGGTGGCACGAAGTGAGCCGAGCCCTGCTTACAGTGCGATCATGATGCTTCGTGGCTCCGCGCCCCGGGAATGGAACCACAACGTGCACACATGCTCAAGACAGCACGGTATAGGATTGCAATGCAAGAAGTACACATGAGACGGGCTTAGGCTACATCGAGGACTACGTGAATGCAGGGAGAAGAGGACTGACTACAATCAATTGTAATATGCAGCAGCGCGGCTGCTCCGGAACCAGCGAATACTGTTACCAATTGCTTCAGTAGCTTCTGGCGCCTAGAAGGATTCAAACGAAGATTAGCACTTCGCACGCAAGACTGCGAATGTGGAGACGAAGGGCTCAGAGACTTGAATGGTTCCGAAAGGAAACACACCCATAGTGCAAGCACGTCGATGATTTGCAGAAGTTTTACATCATAAAAAGTACAACTGCGAAGACAACTCACCTGCATTCATACTAACCCATGGGCAACAAGTGCAGTGTAGACGATAGCGGCGTAGAAGTAACATGGTTCCCAGGAGGCCATGACACGAGGATGTCTATAGGAAATAGGTTAGATATAAATAAATGACGGCGACGGCAGAATGTTCAGTCAAGATAACGCATTCTTCTCATGACCCGTATGTATAGGGCATCGAAGTGAGCTGAGTTAATACGAATAGTTCTCATCAGAGAAAGGTGGAGAGGATACCATACTCACTGGATATCCCCAGCGGCCCCACGCTTGGTGCACCACTTCAAAAAGCATGCAAATGTTACTCCATTGAAGTCTATCAGAGATTATCAGGGCGTTATCAGACATCCGCTCGCCGCTCGCTGCAATTGGCGCCAAGACAAGAGAACGGCGTCAGAATCCGAGACATAGATAGCCTCTTCAGTCATCAAAAAAGCTTGCATTGATTGTGTAGATCGCCATGAAAGTTGACGCATACACCACAGACAAGATGAGCATTACACAGATACACCACCGATTTTGCAAAGGAGAACAGACGGGAGACAAGAAGAGGTTGGTCTCAGACTCAGAGACGAAGAAAATCCTGAGCTCACGTGAGCGCGACTTTGCCTGCCCTAACGTCAGCCGCTACTGTACAGTCTTTTCCCAGGCTGTATGCGACTGGCACTTTCCACCTCTGATTCGTACACGCTAACGACTGCTCGAAGATGCAGATCTTCGTCAAGACCCTCACCGGGAAGACGATCACCCTCGAGGTGGAGTCTTCCGACACCATCGACAATGTCAAGGCCAAGATCCAGGACAAGGAGGGGTGCGTGCGGTCGTGAATTAAGGGATGTGTTTACCTGATATCTGTTTAGCATTCCACCAGACCAGCAGCGCCTCATCTTCGCCGGCAAGCAGCTGGAGGATGGCCGCACCTTGAGCGACTACAACATCCAGAAGGAGTCAACTCTTCACTTGGTCCTCCGGTATGTGCCGCGAATTTGCATGTATGAACGCTTCTGACTAAGTGTTGCATTGTAGTCTCCGTGGTGGTATCATTGAGCCCTCGCTCAAGGTACTCGCCTCAAAGTACAACTGCGACAAGCAAATCTGCCGCAAGTGTTACGCCCGCCTTCCTCCTCGTGCCACGAACTGCCGCAAGCGGGGGTGTGGTCACTCTTCACAGCTCCGCCCGTAAGCTTCATTCTACGCTTCGTATGTTAGGGTTTCTGATGCATGTTATATGGGTCTATAGCAAGAAGAAGCTGAAGTAGTGGTTTTTGCTTCTTGCTTGTGTTGGAACCATGTTCTGTTGGTTCGGGAGAGCTTCCTATATGTATCACGTACAGAGCCATATGCAACGTATAAGTTTCCATGCTGGTGCGATCTGAACGTTACTGAAATCCTTGAAGGCCGCTCTGCAGCTGCAAGGTAGTCAAACCTAGCCTTGTAAGTATTGTCGTTTTGACTCAAAGTATGTTGCAGGAAATGAGACGTGGCTATGTCATGCGTGATGCATAGGCTTGATTTATAGATGACGACGATAGTGATCTTGCTTCTGGATGCTGGTTCCCATAGAGGTGCGTCTAATGTGCTATCCTTGGGCCTTTGCTCTGGATTACGTTAAGCGTTACTCGGAGTCGCAGTTTCCTCGATGTCTCATTCAAATCTGGACGAGAGACATAAGTTTTTGATCGGTTTACCGCCAATCTGCAAGCGTGCTAAGCCCCGCAGGCTGACATCTGTGGAGGGATGTTGCAATTACCAGCCTTCATGGTGTTCACCTACCACCATCGACTGCCCGTTATCTGATCGTCTACCTTCAAGTCTCCAACCGCCTATCACTCGTTATGAGCATGTTCATGGGTGCTCTTCCCATTGAGCTAATTGACTATGCCGACGATATCTCGCTGGACGACCTCGCAGTGATCTTGTCCGTGGAATTGTCGTCTGCAAGCCATACGGTCCCGGTCCCGGTTGATCTCGTCTCTTCGCGCGTCGCAGACAGTATTTTAAGTACCACGGCGTCGACCATAGTGATCCCCATCACGTTGGCGGCTGTCCCTGTCGGCCGCACCGGCAAGGCCAGCGCGCCAGATCCGCTCAATGCACTCGCTCTTTCGTGCACTTCCTCTGCAGCTACACGTTCTCCTGCTTCATGCGGTATCCGCGCGTCCATTCATGCTCCCGATTCTAAGCGTGCGGTGAATGCAACAGCGCCGTCCAGCGCCAAGGAGCTTAAGAAATCCAAGCCCCACAATCCACTGGCCCCTGCTGGTTCCGCGACGAAGGGCGCTCCCTCTGGTGCCGAGGTGGACTTCGTGGAACAGTACTTCGGCAAGCTGTACGGGCACGGTCGGTCCTCCGGAACCTCGGCGTCTATCCACGCGCCTTCCGCGTCTCAGAATCGCTCGTACCCCTCCTCTCTTGGACATCCCATCTACACGCCATCCTCCATCTCTGCCATTACCGACGATCTTCACGGAATGACCGCCAAAATGCCTGCGGAGACAAAGGCCGATTTTGCGGCTGAGGCGTCCGCGCCTGCGAGCGCTCCCGCAGATGGCGAGGTCGCTGTGGTGGATGTTGACATCGTCACAAAAAAGTTTTCCTGTTTTTCGTTGTCCGATCGGCCCAGCATCCCTGGTGATTGTCTTTTCCAAAGGAGCATCTGCTGGTCAATTCATGCCCCGAAGAGCAGCATCGCTCGTGACGAGCTCCCGAAGACGTCTTCGAAGGAGGGGAAAGAGCTGACCGAGCGCTTTGGCGAAACAAAGCTGGTGCACGCCTGCAAGCACACTGGTACTCCAGGGATCGCTGCCTCTATTCGTCTACTGTCTACCACTCTCGGCGAACAGTCGACTTTGGAGGGCTTGTCTGCACCGTCTACTTATGTCCTCGAGCACGCTTCTTTCACTGTTGAGAAGGACCAACCGGCCTCAGTCTCGACCAACACTTCATCGGAGGCTGCGACGATGCGCCAGACTGCAGGCAAGCCTAGCACTTCGACCAACACCCTCATCCGAACGGGTGGTGAGAACTTCTTGCTCGACATTGCAGACGCTTACTTGGACCAGCTGTACGACAGTGCTACGCGGGGCATCTCTTCGTCAATGCACGCACCCTTCAACGCCAACCGTTTTTCTGCGAGCGGCCTTGGTGCATCGATCCACGCTCCTGTAGCTAGCACCTTGTCTTCTCCGTATTCTAGAGAGCTGCCTTCATCGATCCATGCTCCTGCGCGATCTGCTTTGGCTTCCACCCCTGTCACTACCTCCGTGACAGTTCGTCCCGTTCCGCCATCTCCTCAGACTCCCTCTCCTCCTTCTGGGCGCTCTTCTGGTTGTTACAAGTCCGCTACATTTCTATCCAGCATTTCAGCCGACTTCAAGCGGCGCGCGTCCCCGCAGCGCCCTTGTGTACCTCCTTCCTCTGGTCCTGTGCGCGGGCCTTTACGTCCTACTAAGTTGAACCCGCAATTGTCTCGACCACCTGTGCGGCGTACGAACCTGCCGATGAAGGTGAAGAACAGTGGGAAGGAGAACCGCGATGGCACAGTACATAATGGGCAGGGGATGACAAGGAACGAGACCCGGGTTGCAACTAGGCGCGTTTGCGCATGAGCAAAGGGATGATTACCATACAACCTGCGATTTTTCTTTTCATGATTGAGGTTACTAAAGGTATATTAGCCTCGTGCTTCCACATCTCTACATTAAAGTGATCTTTGAATATGTTGGTTCTGTAGATTATACATACCGCCCGCAGATGTAAACACCTGTCTGGTATCCACGTGTTTCCGTATTTGGCAAGTGTAGTTGTGAGGATCACAAGGGCCGCAACACAGGAAGCATTACCACTTTTATCCATTGGAAATAACCTGGCAAAAAGCATGGAAATCAATAATATATTTTCAGAGGAAAAACCTCGAGAAAAAAGTGAGAAAAGAACAAAACATTCTCACAGTTTTTCCCTTGGAAATAAGTTGCCTACCATATCAGGCAACTGGACATGCCAGGACATGCCAAAACCCGGACAAAACTACCATATTTGGCGACCAACTTATTTCCAGTGGAAAAACTGCGGAAATGCTTTGTTCTTTTACACGTTTTTTCCTCATGTTTTTCCCGCAGTATAACTTTGTTGATTTCCACGCATTTTTCCAAGTTATTTCCTCGGGAAAAAAGGAGTTATGCGTCCTGTGCAAGCACCACAAGGATGGCCACGGTCTCGACGTGCATGCGCACTCCAAGGCAGCAGATGCTGCTCGCGTTGCGCTTTGGGTCGACGAGTACCAAGGTGTTAATCATTCACAGTTCCCAGGAATATTCCTCCTCCTCCTCCTCCTCCGATCACTGCCGACTCAGATCAACAGATCTGCGATGAGAGCGTCGTGTACACGAGATGAGTGCATAGGCAGCTGTACTCGTTCTTACTTGGCGAGGTTACTGACCATTCGCCAGGAAGTCCGTAATACTACGTATACATTGGTGACCTACTAGTTACAGTAACACCGCAAGCGATAGTACAACAAAAGAATATTACTTCGGGTCTCTCAAGTGATTTAAATCCGTATATTCGTTCATACTTCTAGAGCGGTTCACTCCTTGACGACCTTCGTGTTCTAAATGAAAGGTCAAGTTAGAGAGCCTCGAATCTAAGTGCACTGGGTAATCAGAGAACCACCGTACCTTGCCGCTATCGAACGGCTCCAAGCCTGCACCGACACGGGGACCGGCAATGAGCGAACTCCAGTCAAGGAGTTCAAATGTCGATTCGCCGCGGAGCGCCTGTGCAGACTGCTGGGCACGAGCGGTCAGAAGATGGCGGCGGGCGGCGTCCTACCGTAGAGAACACGTCAGCACTCTATGGAGCCCATTACAAAGATCTGAACTCACAACAGCAGGCATTGGCGAGTTGAGCTCCGTCGCCAACCGCGTGATGTGAACCGCGTCCTTGAGGCCGCCGTCGACTGCGAAGCCGGTCGAGCCGTCAAAGTCGTCGTTCATCATCCGGTTGCCGTAGTTGATCCATCTGTGGATACAATTTATATTCGTCTAATAAGAGGACAATCGTACCTCCAACGTACGAAGGAGCAGGGAACATGTCCTTGACGAACTCGTACGCAGTGCCCGAGCCGATGCCCGCCTTGTCGGCGAGCGTAAATGCTTCCGCAAGTATTTCGAGTGTGCCCAGGATCATCGAGTTACCGATCAGCTTAAACGTGGGTGCTGGAAGTAAATGTGAACGCTGAATATGTAGGAATGTCACACTGGCAAGTACCTTTCTCGATGTTGCCGCCTAAGTCCATCGCCTTCTTGCCCACCGCGGGCACGAGCAGGTGAGCGACCTCCTTCTTCGACCGGTAGTCGCCCGCTAGAATGCAGACCAGCTGTGCGCGATCGGCCGCGGCGGGCGCACCAAACACGGGGCAGGTGACGAAGTGCGTGAGTGGGATGCTTGAGATAAGACTATCCAGTTCGCCTGCAGCGACGAGTCGGCGAGCGATGCACGGAGTAATACGACGGCCAGACACGCACCTGCGACGGCCGGATAGATCGTGCTCATGTCCACGACGATCTTGTTCTTCGTCGGCGGAGATTTCTATAACGCGAACAGGTCCAGCGTTCAGATTTCCCCGCACACGCACACCATCCAGAACACGCACCTGGAGAGCCGCGGCGAACTGCTCGTATATGGTCTTGACAACGGCGTCCGTCGCGAGAATGGTGATCACGATGTCGCACTCGAGCACGAGCTGCTCAGGCGACTCGGCAATTTCCACCTTACTCGCGCCCAGAAGCTTCTGCAGCTCCTGGGACTTACTCGCCGAGCGGTTGTACACCAGCAGCGGGGACGTACTGGGCAGTGACCCACGATATTTGGCCAGGTTGCGCGCCATGTGGAAGCCCATGGATCCAAGGCCACACCAGCCGATGTTCAGCAACTGCGGGCCCGGGGTCGCTGGGCGCGAGAAAGGAATGGGGACGGACATATCTGGCGGATGTTGGAGGGTAGGAAGAAGACTGCAAGCAATATGCTCACACCTCTTTTATAATATGTTGGCGTGGGGAGGCCCGTCTGTTCTTCGAAGCAGATTTGGAGCAGATACACAGTAATCTATTGGAAGGACCCCTGCACCTCCGGTCTGTCGGGATATTTAGTGACGAATGTATACCTCAGACGGCCCCGTTCACACTGGTACTCGGGGCCTGTAAGTAAGATCTTGGGACGATGACTGAACATTCTACACATTTTTTTGGATACTCACGGGTTGAAAATAGAGCGGGAAGAACACGAGGATGCTATTGCACGTAGACGGAGAAGAGAGAAATGCACTTGCAGGGGTCCTCCGTCGCTCTCCCGTCGCTCCACGTGAGTAGGTAGCACGTGCCTCGGACGCAAAGGTAACACAACCCCTAAGTTAGGGTTAAAGTGGTCACAACGCATCCCGGACGTCCCAAAATAGCAGTTGCAACTGGTTACGTGCAGGACAGCAGGTGTAGCGTGTAACCAGCGGTCTGCGTCTATAACCTCACCCCCGACGTCGCCATGGCCATGCAGCAGGCCTATGCGCACACAAACAAAGGAACTTTGGTTCCGGGACAGATGATTGCTGTCAACAAATATACAGTGCAGGTTGAGCGCTACCTCAGCCAGGGTGCGCAGTGTTCGTTCATTGACCCGTATTCCGGTTGACCGTGTGTCATCCCAGGGGGTTTCGCACATGTATATCTCGTTAGGACTGCCACGCCGGTGTACAACACCACGCATCATGTGCTCAAGCGAATCGCCGTGCCGAATGAAGCAATGCTCACCGAGGTGAAGAAGGAAGTGGATATCATGGTGCGTCATTGTCATTCTCAACACAATTCGTGCGTGTTTATTGATTTCTGTAGAGGATACTCAAAGGTCATCCTAATATTGTCTTCCTCATAGATGCAGCTTGGCATCGCCTCCCTGACGGCAGTTTCGAGGTGTTCATCTTCATGGAGTATTGCGCTGGCGGTGGCATTATCGATATGATGAACCGTCGCCTGAGGGAGCGTCTCACAGAGCCTGAGATACTGACAATATTCGTTGACGTCTGCGAGGGTCTTGCAGCTATGCACGCGCTCAAACCACCGCTCCTCCATCGCGATCTCAAGGTCGAGAACATCCTTCAGTCCTCCGCGAGTTCGTACAAATTATGCGACTTCGGGAGCGCGACACCTGTGCAGAAGGTGCCTGCTAACTCTCAGGAGATCAGGATGCTTGAGGCTGATCTTAATCGGCATACTACGCTGCAATACCGCGCGCCCGAGATGGTGGACGTCTATCTCAGGCGACCGATCGACGAGAAGAGCGACGTATGGGCGCTTGGCGTATTGCTTTATAAATTATGCTACTATACGACCCCTTTTGAGGAGCATGGTCCCCTTGCTATTCTCAACGTTCAGTACAAGATACCTCCATACCCCGTGTACTCCGGCCAGATGAACGCATTGATAGGTGAGCACGGTATCCTTAAACTTTCCGCGTGGTTAACGATGTTCCTTATTAGCCTCCATGCTCCGCGAATTTGGCACACAGCGCCCGTCCGTGTTCGAGATACTCAACCATGTCCATAAGCTCCGTGGTACGAAGTCGCGCTTCACGTACAACATTCCGTCCAGAGAGCAGCCATTGTCGCCTCGCTCTATGCAAGCCCCTCCCCTGCAGGCTATATCCCAGAACATTGCATCGCCCTCTCAACCGCATGCGAATGCCTTGGACGACCTTGTAACGTTCAAGTCTCAGCAACCCCTCCCACTGTCTCCAAGTAAGAACGCAGGGACTGAAGCGCGGGACAGAGTACTTGAAGCGATTGCACCTATGCGCCGGGGACGACCTCCACCATCTGCCTCACCAGTCGTACCGACCCCGCCTGCCAGTCCGAAGAAAGGCAAGTTTGAGCTGGACATGAAGTTCAGCGCAGAGGAGGATCGTGCATGGCGAGGTGTTCGCGGTCACAAGTCGGGCCTGGCGAGCGTGGGCATGACCAATGTGAACCTCAATGCGACTCCAGGCACTGATGCATGGGGATTGGAACCTCGGATCGCGTTGAAGAAGGCGCCAGAATTGGAGGCCTTTGACAACGATTTCTCTGGGTTCGGGAAGAGCTTTGGTGACTATTTCGAGCCTGCAGGGTCACCACCAGTGCCTCTTACTGCACAACCTGTGTCAATTCCCCAGCCTGCGCCATCGCCAAAACCACCATCTGCGTCGCCACAGACTAGCCGCTTTCAGCCAGCTCGGAGCACGAAGGACGCCTTCGAGGGACTCGGTCTTACCGCGCAGCTACCACCGCAGACGCTTGGAGAGGCACGCAAGAGCCGGACGGGGCTCGCAAGTTTTGGGCTTTCCTCTAGCTTGAGCGCCAATCTACCCGCGACTCAGTATCTTGGCAGCGGGCCGGGGACGAGCAACACGTCGTATCGCCCGCCGAGCGCACACTCGCCCGTACCGTCGCCTTTCCTTCAGCAGCCACAGTCGCAGACGCTTTCACCAGATCCCCAACCTACACAATCCTGGCGCCAGCACGTGAGGGCTCCTTCGTCGTTCATGAGCCGAGGGCTCACACCGGAGGAGCGGTTCCCCTCAGTGGAAGACTTAGATCGGACGTTCGCGCCCCCACCGGCTGCGGTGTCCAGTGTAGGCGATAAGATCCCTATGGCGCATGCGCAGACGCAGCCCTCCGCTGCTAATTGGCAGCCATCGAGGGCGAGTGTTCCCGGACATGTCCGCGCGACTACAGATGCGCTACTGGGCGATTCTGGACTGAACGTAACGAGAGCAGGCAAGGGCAGGTACGACGGCGTCCGCTCGCAGCACGTCACGGGCACTGCAATGCGCGAGTCGCGAATAGCTGCGCGGCAGTCGATGCTGGGCCGCCCCGTCGAGCATAGCAGGCAGCCGGAGAGGGAGAGGGAAGCAGTCGCGCCCAGGAGCGGAGCAGGACTGACCAGCAGACCGTCGATCGCACGTCGCGAGAAGAGCTCAGTGTCTGCGAAGACGTTGGACACCGCCGATCTTTCGTCTGTCCGCGGCGACCCCAGCCTAAAGCCCTCTACACCCACGCCAGTGCTCCCACCCCGCCCACAGCCGAGTCCACGCAAGGAGCCGCGTGACTGGCTCACAGGTGCCGACGACGATGAGCTGCCTCCACGCACTCCGGCGCAACAGTTCCAGCCTGTCCTGCGCGGTTCCCCGAGCAAGCGCGCATCATTCATCGAGCGCAGTCCCATTGAGCTGGCAATGCCGCTTGAAGCGGAGAACGTGCCAGAGCCATCGTATCACCCTCGTCCTCGGAAGCAGAGCAAGCCGGAGAAGTCTGCTGGGGGAACTGGGAAGTGGGACTTGGAGAAGGAGGTGGAGGCTCAGATGGAGAAGGACCGTGAGAGGGAGAGGGCGAGGACGAAAGAGCCCAAATTGTCAAGGTCGCCTCGGCGGCCGACCAAGGCCTCTGTCACGCGGACGGGCACCGGTGGAAATATTGGTGCTCTGGGATTGCAGCTTCCGCCAGTCGACACGAATGTTGCTGCTGGGGTGACGCCGTCGCCGAATGGCCTGACAGAGAACTGGAGTCCCGTGGCGCCCTCGCCAAAACCGCTTTCGAAGGCATCACTATCCTCGTCGAGTGAAGAGGGACCGGAGGATATCAACGGCTTCGTGCCGAGGGGCGGTTCTCCAGAGAAAACAGAAGAAATGAGGAAGGTCCATGAGGAAAGGCTAACAGGATCAAGCCGACGCAGACCGAAGAGCAAGGGTCGGCAGAGCTCGGTGCACGACTTGGTGGACCTTTGGGGTGGCGGCGTCGCTGGGGAGAAAGAGGAGGACCAGGAGAATACCAGTGGTTCTACTTCAAAGCAAACCGACAAGCGCAAATCGGTGATCATGCCCGCGGCCGGTGCAAAGCCGCCTTTCCTTGCCAAACCACGGTCAGAGTCGCCTCAGCCACTGGTGGACACGACAACTGCTCTGGGCCGTATTCATCTACCTAAATCGACGAGCCCACATCGCCGCCAACCCTCTGCGCTACCCGTCAGCTTCGCGCTCGCCGCACCGGTTTCAGCACCAATGGCAGGTCGCTCCCGCCCACAGTCCATGTTCCTCACCTCACCTTCAAAGTCACTCACCTCACCTTCCAAGCCACTCGCCTCACCTTCCAAGCCACTAACCTCACCTTTCAAGCCCTTTGCTTCACCTTCCAAGCCATCGTTAGTGGAAGGCGTTGCTTCCTCTTCCTCCTCTGCGCAGCAGACACTCTCTCCACCCGCAACGCCCAGTGCCAAACGCTCCATGAGACGGAGTTCGATATCGGATATGGTACAGCTCTACGAGGCCATAGGCAGCAACCAGACACGCGGAACCAGTGCAGGCACAGGTCCGCCTGCCCCTACTGTTGCGTCGGGGCCGCCAAATGTCAACGTCGCGACGAAGCCAGCTGCGAATGATACTGGCTCGACGATACCTTCACCTTCCGCTGCAGCTACTCGCTTCCCCAAGATCTCATCAGATACTTCTCCAGTAATCTCTAAGGTCAACCTGGCTGTCCCAGATATCTCTGGCGGTATTGGTGCAGGACGGGAAGCCGTGAGAAGCAGACCTTCGTCAACGGGGTTGCCCTCGCGTACTTCCCCTACCTGGCATTTGGAGACTCCCTATATGAAATCAGAAACCTCCAACACAGGTACACGTACAGAGGCAGTCAACGGTTTGCCGTCAAGGAGGTCTCCTCTGCAGTTTCCCAGACCACTTGCAGAAGAGCCTTCTGATACTGGCGTGGAACCGCCGCTGGCTTCACCCTTCCCTGAGCGGAAAGCGACAATACCAACTGCTACGGAGAATGCGGTGTCACCCGGCCTGCGTTCACCCTCTCCGGAACGACCATACCAGGGTGTGTCGAAACTCATTGACCGTTGGAACCGTGCTGTGGATGATACCTCTGGAGCGAATGCCAGCGGACCGAGACGCGGAGGCTTTCCTGCGCGGCGCGCGGGCGTTGTAGGCGGAGACTCGGGTAGGGGAGGATCATGAGTACGATGATTTATGCAGTTACAATTGACATCTGTTGGTATTCTGTACGGAAATGACTGTGTATATACGAAAGACAGGATGTACGGTGCGGCGAGGCGCATCATGACGGGTGTCGGCGTGGAGGGCCTGCTCTTCACTTGGACATAACTAACTACGACGGGCAATTTCGCAGTTATGGTCGACCCAACAGCTCTCGCGCGACGTCTTTGCCCTTGCCCAGCTGCCAGGCATCGCCGTTGTCCGGGTAGGCATTCCACTTGACGATATCTGTGTCGCCAGACAAACCAAGCTGCATGGCAGCCACGTCGGCACGTGCAATGTTCGACTCGGAGGGGTGGATGAATATGCTCTCGGGTTTAGACTTGGAGCGGGGCCGGCCTGTCGTATTTACTGGAGGAGGGTAAGATTCGCGCCGCGTCGGCGGCTCGTAGCAGTCAGAGAGAAGCGGCTCCTTCACATTCTCGGGGCTATGTGTGTCATTCAGCTGAATTGGGCAGTATGCAAGAACCTGGATGCATACTCGGGAGGATGGGCAGCAGGCGTGTTCAGATACTCGATAACGAACTGACCAGCTGATAGAGAGGTGGCCTGTATACGACAGCAACTGTCGGTGAGCACTCGCAGGTGAGAACCGCAGAAAATCTTACTGTAATTATAATTAGACTGGTGAGACGCACGAAGTCGAGTCAGTCTGAGCAATACACGCCGGGTCCGGGTCCTTACCCAAGGTTGAACGTCATTGCAATAAGCATGTACAACCTACACGACAATCGTGAGACTGAGTGTAGACGTAACGTCAGGAAATGCACACACAATCTGTCAAAGGTGACCACCCAGTACAAACATGTACGCCATACGAGAATACGGAGGCGCGAGCCTGAGCGGCACGATCGTGACGGGTCCCAGCGGTTCGATAGGCCATACGTCAAGAGTCTGAAGAAGCACGATAACCACCGCGTATTAGCGTTTAGGTTAAGTACGACATACCGCTCGGTGAGACATATGAACACTGTGAGGATTGATGCAAGAATGAACGTCCAGGCAGAATCGAGCTGCAGATGTCGGAAGAGGACATGTTCGCCGAGGAGAGAGAGGTGGAGATGGTTCTCCCAGGCGTCCGACATCTTCATGACAGACAGTTGGCGAGACAATATAAAGACTTGAAGTTATTTCGGACGTGACCAGCAACCAGTGAACTTGGATAGTAGGAGAGAATGAACAGGAAAGATGGTGGCCCAGGAGATTGCAACTATGTAGTATTCCGCTGCTGGTTCAACTTCACGGTGGAGTTGATCTCGAGCTCGCATGAAAGTGATCTAGCCGCCGGTTACCGTACGCGTTGCGACGCCATTGACATGCGCAGGTCTGTTATCTATCTCTGAAACAACATACGGTTGAGTTGTCCACCTGTCTCGTTATGCTCTGGGGGAAAAACGCAAGTGTTTACGGGAGGAGTGGCACCAAGGGTCTAGTAGCGCTGGAGGATTGCCAGACTGTGACTCGGACGAGCCAGTACCATAGCCGGCGGGTGCATTTCTAGCACTTATACATTCTTGTTTTCGATCGTAATGACCTTGCTGATAAGTATATTCGGTGAGTAGGATTCGCAAAAAAAGCAGCAGTCGCAACGCCCAAGACAGGGATCTACAACTAATACTTCTATGTAGAGCCAGGCATTGGCGTGTAACGTCGAAAATTTGCTAATCACCTCCGTTTCTCTTGTCTACCGGTCGACCAATGGTACCACGCACGATGTATAGAGATAGCCAGTCACCGCGTTCTCCTGCCATAACCTTAATGGACTGGGACGTGCAGAACTCTGCAATGCCATATCATCCACTTAAAGGCCCGCAGGCCCACGACATGATCTGGTGCCAAATGCACAATACATTTGTTGCAAAATAGAGATTGTAATACGACCCTCAAATGTAAGTTCGAACAGTGTCGGTCCAATTACTTGGAAGAGACTGATTGCCGTGAGAGCAGGCACGAGGGTCCGAGCTTCTAGGCGGAGTGATTTATCTGTGCCACAATATAGAAAAATCAGCAGGAAAGGGTGAGCGTTGCATTCTCTCCTCCCTAAGCGAATTTCCTTAGACATGTCTTCTACCATCCCATTCTCCCGGCCCGCTTCGCCTGGCCGTCAGTCTCAAAGTCGGCTGGTATGGCCTTGGACCGACGGGCTTCTTCATGGCCCGAAACCTGGCCAAGCACCACGGGTCGCTAATCGGTGCATCGCCACAGCTCGTGTATAACCGCTCTGCACGCAAGTCGCAGAGTCTCCAGAAACCGTTTAGAGCGGAAAACGTCCAGATCGCCCACTCCTGAGCAACCTGTGCTCGATTGCGACATTGTGTGCACCAGTCTTACCAACGATGCTGTCGTCCAGAGTGTCTTCTCACAGTTTATTACCGCGCTCGAGCTGAGTATCCATCACGTTCGTCGCGGCGAGACGCCCAACGTCGTACCGGTATAGCGATCACTACCTGAGAAAAGGAAATCTTCGTCAAGATGAGCACTGTCTACCCGTCCGTCTCAGGTGCGTTATTCGCATGTCTTCCCAAGTGTCCGGGTTTGACCATTCCCGCAGGTGAAATCGAGGCGCCGATAACCCATATTCCTCTCACGATTTTTGCCACTTGCCCTGTTTTTGGCCCACCCCCCCGCCGCCGATAGCGCCACACTCGTGTGTGCACTCAGGCTGGCTGGAGAGCATAGGTTTAAGAAGGAGATGGCCCACTCAACTTGACGTAGGTCGCCGCCCGCCACAGTCTCTTAACCTCCCGAGCCCAGCAATCTGCGCATAAACTCCGAAGCGAGCCGATGTCTGACATCTTCGACTGGAGCTCTCTCGCCGGCGGTCCTCGCGTCGCCGCCGGTTCAGTACTGTTCGATAGCAGCAAGGTCCGCCCGTTCTGATGGTCTCTCTATACGCTAATCTAACCGCCAACAAACCAAACAGAATTCAAAGGTTGTCAAGCCTGAGGAATAACTCGGAATGGATTTGAACTTAGGACATCTCCTGAGAAATAGACCTCCTGGATTTGTCTCAAATGTCTGACCTGCTTCTCCAATCCTGAATTTTGTGGAGGGTACGCTTTAGGAAAGAGATGACGATGCCGTTGACTGAAAAGCGTCAAGCCTTTCCACTCTTTCAACTTGAACCAATGATCGATCGAGATGCACGCCCACCCCCTTTTGGTAACCTTAGAGTTCAACCATTGAACGAGTGCGTTGTCCTTGGACGTCGAGTGCTCGTCAAAGAGCCTCGAAAGAACATTCCATTCGCCCTCACAGATGTTCCATAAACCTCGAGTTGGTACCGCGGGACGTAGATGGATTGGACCAGTGAGCTCCGCAGAATATTTACTTTTTCACCTGAGTCATAGGCTAACAGCGCACAATCTCGCCCTACATGGTGCAAGAAGACAGTTCGTTTCGCAGCTGTTTGCAAAACTATAGGCCCCAGAAAAAATTCAGACCATAAGTTACAAAGTTTGGAACGATCTCGCCGCCAAAGTCCGCACACCTCTCTCCGAACACTCAGAGAGTGAGAGCTCACCAATCTTTATGTTATTTTGCGATCCAATGCGCTTTCTCATCAGGGGACTATAGTAGGTTTGAGAACAGCTCATGGATATGGCTAATGTGGCGATACTTGTTCTTGAGGATCTGGGCATGAATATTGACATGCACATCCTCAGCCTGTTCCTCAAGAGTCTCTTCACCGAAGCTCCGACTCGTGAGTAGGGAGAACGTCAAACTCCCGGCTCAAAAGACGAAGAAATACATCAGTCGTTCTGGAATTGAGCGTATAATTCGAGAAATAATATATTGCTATCAGAGCGCCGGGAAAGCGGAATGTAGGCGTACAAATGCAAAATGCAACGATGCTGTATGGATCAAATCTGATATGCTGCTGCAAATACTATGCTAGGGCGATAGGTCATCAATCGAGTCGTATATGCGTGAGACGTTGCTGGGTTTTGTGATTTTTATGTCGTAAGCCATGAAAACTGAAGACTGCTTCACATCAGTGCTTATAGCAAATCAGGTGCAAAGATTCTCACCATACACTGTGACTATCTCACAACAACCACACCGTCGCTCTTCGTTGGCCGATGCCGCGTGCTCCGCTTCTCCTCTCCGGATCCCAACGACAACCCAAGCGCGTTCACCTGCTTCACTGGAGGGACGAAACCCGATACTAATGATGTACCGCGCATACGCTGTTCTTCAAGCTCCTCCGCGCGCAGGCGCTCATAGTTCCGCGAACCCGAATCCAAACTCCCCTTGCGCGGTGACGACGAGCACGACGCTGATCGCCGCGACTTTACTTCTACTGGGCTCGGCATCGCCGCGAAATACGGCGCACCGTACGGTTGCGTACGTGGGACACCTTCCCTCTCGCGCGGTGTCCGTGGGCGCGGGCTCTGGAGGATGCTCGTCTGGATGTTAAGGTTGATATTGAGGTACGCGGGGAGCGAGAGTCGTTTTGATGATGATCGCCGTGGAGGGGATGCAGGTATGGAAGCCTCCGAATTTACTTCGGGGTGCTCCTTTGCTGTTGCTGTGAGTGCTACACGTTAGTACATTCATTGTGAGGATTTGGGACAATACTCACGCAATACGGATACGGTCTTGGAGCGCAGAGGCTTCAGTCGGAACGGGTTGACGAACGTAGTACGATACGACTCCCCCGGCGGGTTCTGTGTATTCCTCTGCGCCTGCTCGGCAAGCTTCTGCGTCGCTGTCGACGATCCAGGATCCGAACCTGCGCGCTGCTTATCTGCTGCTGGCGGTCTGCGAGACTTGCGAAACATGTTCATGTTTACAGAGGTCGGAAGTCGCAGTGGCATTTGGGGTCGACGCGGAGAGACAGACAGTGACGACGCGGGAGAGGACTCTGCACGACTGCACGAGACGCCGGCTTTCTTGCTCTCGGTGGTGCGCGGGAGCGGTGGCGACAAGCGTGACGGCGACGATCGCGAGACCAGTGTCGACGAGCTAACAGAGCGGGTGGGAGATGATGGAGCGCATAGTGTCCGGTCTGAGAGAGCGCGGGAGGGTGCAGGCCCAGACTCGCGCGGGGATGCGGCATCGGAGAAGGAGACGTGCTGACATTCATCCGCGGTGCGTGCCCGCTGCTCGACGTAGGCTTGCATATGCGTCGCTGTGGCAGCCTTGTTAATTTGTGCACGCAAGGCCTCTTGCGAGAGGACAGGAGCCTTCAGCTTTAACACGCCCAAGAGGTAATCGACTGCAAACATCAGGATACTCTGTGCCACATGAGCTACCGTACCATTAGCAAGTTTGACACTCACCAGGGCGAACCAGGTGGAACTGAGCAGGAAGAGTGCTACAGCCACCAGTGGGTGTGACGAACTCGGCGAGGCGATTCCGTTCATTATCATTGAGTTCTTGTTGGTGCAGAGAGGAAACCGCTGGTATATATGTGTTGTCGGATCTCGGAGACGGAAGATGGATGTCGGGAAGGAGACAGATTGGGCTGCACCGCTCACCGTCAGCCGCTCAGAGAGCGGATGTGTTGTGAAGGCGCGCCACCAGTCTAAGTTGCAATGGCCTCTTTAGAGGCACATTTTGTGCGGATAAAAAAGAACGAATGTCGGGCCACAGAACAGCTACACGCCCGAGGCGCACAATAGTGCGGGAGAAGAGAATAAAAGACAAGAATCTGACCATCGTCTGACCACGCCGAATTTACGGGCGTCTCCGGTGAGGTAATCACTCTGACGTCCCCGCCGTCTCAAATTTCAGGCCGCACGGTAAGAGATGTGCATGCATACGGCCAAAATGCAAGGCTACAGCAGAGGTGCCCCAGTGAGAAAAGGCGGAAGAAAACAGGCAATGACGCTTCGGGTGCGGAACCCTTGGCAGCGCCAATCCGCCAAGGGTTGGACACGCGAGTGCCACGTGCCCACGTGCGGAAATTTCTTCTAGCAGTCGAAGGCAAGTCGAAGGATGATAAGTGTCAAAATTTCAATATTCAACCTTACTGTAGGATATCTGCCTTATTCAGAGGAGTGTTCGACATGTGCTTGGGTCGAAGATCCTATTCGTGGAGGCAGAGTGAGAGTGAGAGTTATGGAGGTCACGGAATCAAATCTTACGTCATCCACCACGAGGCTACTAACCCCACCAAGTTCAACCGTGACGGACATGTTAGCTTCCAGACTGAAAAAGCTGGATAAGGTTGCAACCTCATTCAAACAAAAGATCAACCAACAGACAGTAATTTAGAAATTTCTTGCTGTTTCTCTGCCGGTGACGCTATCGTCATATCACCAGGTCCTACTGGCAAACTTGTGTTGCCAGTGCGCAGTCCAACCGTTCACGAAGATATATTAGCCATGTCCTATATATACTATCAGCGGCCCACTAATGCAACTTCTGCACAGTTCTGCCACCCATTTGTCCACCCATTGCTGGAACCTCAGGCTCTCGGACTTTTTGTAGATCGAAAGTTTCATGTCAAAGCTTATTTCCACAATTGTTTTGAAGCAAATGAGCCAACATTTGAGGGTAGTTGAGAGCAAATAATCATCGAGATGCAATTGCAATTTCAGTTTCTCCAACGGGGCAGCCGGCTTGTCAAATATTCTGGGCAGCTCTCCAGCGATTCTCGTCTCCCGAATTCCATACTCCCAGAATTCTGTACCGGAGAAATTGATAGCGCATCCAATTACTGGAGAAAGCACTACTGAAAATTTCCCGGAGAGATTTGGTCAAAGGGGGTGTCTACCGAAGCTGAACTAGCTTTGCAATCTGGTCTGATGAGCATTGATTCACCTCTTTCCTGTTGCCCATGGTCATTATCAAAATTCATAGTCATGTTCTGCAAGTCAATGGGTATTCACGACGATTTATTTACCATTTTGGGGAAGGAGGTGACACAGTTAGTGTAGCTGCATTACTGTACTGGTTACATTGGGCCACTCAAAGTAAGTCAGTAAACATCACTAAAATGCACGGGCAGCGTATTCAGACATCGTCGGATGCTTCACTATGCAAACACCGCGGCCGGAATGGTAGGTGCTTATGGGGGTATGAGACGAGATTTCGTGATAGAAGATTCGCGAATCGCCACCTGAATTGGAGCGTGGATCCATGCATACGTATTACGGTGTCTATCAGACGAATTCGAAGTAGTAGTAGTTCGATCATCATCGGCGCCACCACACGCCTCGCACCATGGAGACTTGGAGTGAACGCCACTGCTCCGTTATCAATGTGCCATCTATCCAATCTATTCTAAGTCCATCATTAGGTAGCTCCCAAACAAAAGTACAGTACTGCGCAGGGGAACAAGCGCACTTGCGGTAAGTACTGTAGCAAAGGACGGTGAAGTAAGGCTAGTTAGGTTTGATAAATACGTACTCGTCTTGGTCGCGCATGCAAAACCAAGAGTCTATCAGTAAGCGTATGTTTAAGTATAAAGTCTATGGGATTCTTGGACCAGACCGGAGGGGATCGTCGTAGAGGGACTGGTATCTACGGTCGTCGAGAAACGTGCTTCGACGTGGAGTCTATGGTTCAGGGTAGGGAGTGCTCTAACATAGTCTATGCCGCGGTGCGTGATCAGCGGGCGTTCAGGCTACAGGCATGAGCTACCATCCAATGCGAGGGAGTATCCCGCTCTGCATGAGTCGACTCGGCAGCTACCTGCAACGCAGGAGACGCCCAATGCCCCAGGAATCGCAGTGCAGTCAAACCTAAGTCGAAAAGCACGGTCAGCGCCGCTCGTACTATACTAGCGGACACACTCACTTCGTATCAAGACTGCTGCAACCGCCACAAGAGACGAGATCGGCACTGAAGTCCACGCACTCGAATCCATCCTCAAGCCACTCAGCCAACGACGTTGGGATTGACGCCAGCGAGCTGCTCGATGAGATGGGGCAGGCGGTCATGGATGATGGGCAGAGGTGGTTCACGAGAGACTCCTGCTCGGGAATACTGCGGCGGGCGGCGCCAGATGGCTGCGGCGAGCGGGCTTGATGGCGGGGTACCGCCGATGGTGCGGACCTGCGCGCGACGCCGGACGGGGCTGGGCTCGCCGTTGTGGGAGACGAGAGGAGGACGAGGACGGCGAGGATGATGACAGAGAAGAAGGAACGCATCTCTGGCAATGAGCGCCGACTACGTGGGGCCTCGGAGGTCGAAGAATTCAAGGGAACTCAAACTCATCGAGCTAGAAGTAGGAGCCGCTGTGGCGTGGCTGCGCAACCTGGAACAAACAAGAAGATGGAAAAAGATCTGCCACGTTCCTCCCGTGTTTTGTGATTTCGGTGATGACGCAGCGGACAAGCAACTCCGCCTAGTAGATAGCGAAGCACTCGCCAAAATTATTAGCGTCGTTGCTCCACTTGTAAGCGATGTCTTCACAGAAATGGAACATACCCATCTATCCTTCCAGCAGAAGACATAATTTGTGCGGGATATCGTCCGCACACTGTCGTGCTAGCTGCAGAGGGCCCGGGAGTTGGCCGCCGTATTCATTACTCCGAGTCGGAGGCAGTACTTGTGTTCGAAGATAGACGCCATCGCCATCGAATCTCGATCAGCTTGGGCGCTCATTGCAACGTGTTGCTTGGTATCCCAAATTCAGTATCTCACTTCCAAATGCACGTACCATACTCATGACTGACTAGCGCAGAACAAAGCAGTGGAATCTGCTGAGATGGCGACAAGGTGTTGAGTGCTGCAATTGTCCAGGGTTGATAGTGTAGATAAGAACTACCGAAATTGCGCAAAACCTACTTTATCAGACGCGTAATTTTGCCGGAGTTCGAGACACGCGCTAGCGCGGCGGAAGTTTACGACGCCCTGCTAGTAGCATGCTGTTCGTCTGCAAATGAGTATCTCAGAGGCTCCGGCGGCCGCGATGTTCACAAACATCCTGCAGGGCAAGCCAGACGCGGATATGCACCACGGTATGCAGTGGGAATGACTCTCCAGAGACACATCCGGAGGAGCAGCATCGCGGCATGCAATTCTGAGTTAGTGAATGCACTGACCGATGGCATCTGGTCAATGGCGAGTCTGCCAGCTGCAGCTCTCAGACACCAATTCGGATGGAATCAATGCCTGCGGGAAAATGCGAGATCGGTCAGCTAGAACATACAGAGAAGGATACCGATCCTCGGATGGATTCAGTCATCGTACCTACGTCGAATGCACGCAGATATCAACAGAGGGGCTGACCAACGAATATTCGAAGTTGTGGCGAATGCAATGAGACCTCTAAGGGGCATGTCGAGACGATACGGGATGGCGAAGGAACCACATCTTTGGATACAGCAGAGACAAGGTTGACGTGCACAACCCAGCGTGGGTGACTCTCGAATTGCGTATGCTGTCAGCCAGTATGTTCGAGAACTTCAGGGAGGCTTCACCTAATTTAGGGAATGTCCGGGAAGACCTGGTCAACTTCCGAAAAGGTCAGTCACAAACCGCAAATGAAGCGACCGACGTCTGGAAACTGAATTTCCGTCAAACTACTGGCAGCCAACTTGCATTCCTCGCACAACAACAATCCATAAATCCATACAACAAGAGAAACTCAACGATTATCATATCCGTTCAACAACCGCATTCCCGAATGAATCAACCACCTCGCTCTGGAGAGCGCCTCTCCTGAGGTAGTTCTAAAGCCTTCTTCTCTCTCCACTCGCATCCCTCTTTGTACTCACATGACCTATTATTGCTCATCAACCGTCAATGAGACAGGAAAATAAGATGTATGACTCACCAACAGCGCCCCGTGTCCTCGATTTCCACGCCGTGCGGCGGTCGCTCGCCGTGCCACCACTGCAGGACACCGGTCAAGTACCCATCCAACAGGTCATTGTCCATAACAAACTCCCTCGAGCCGAGGATGTGCGCTTTCTCATGAAGCTCGGCCCCTGAGATGGGCGTCTTTTCGCCATCGCTGGTCTCGTTCTCGCCATCCACCGATGTACCCTCCGCACCACTGTCGGTGTCAACAGCGGTGCCCTCCACGGTGTCGTTGACGGCAACATCTAAAACGGTAGACTCTGCAGCGGTATCAATATGAGGGACCGCCTCAGCGGCAGGTTCCCTACGGCGCTTGGAAGAGTTCGATGAGAGAATTTCCTCTAGAAGTGTCAATAATGGCTTTCCCCCGTGCAGGTCACGTTGAAGGGGATCCGGCTGCGCCCTCGTAGCAACGTCCGGTGACCGACCTGGTTGTGTCAGGATGCCCATGTCGCAGTCCGCTGCACGCCCTCCGTCGACGGAGTCCTTCAAGCTCTCGGCGATGGCCCGAGCCAGCGCATCATCGCCGCCTTCGAAAAGGATAGGGGTCTGATTCAAACTCGCTTGCAACGCTGGCGCAAGGTCCGCGTCTACTTTCCGTTCTTTCTCTTTGCCACCACGTCCTCCCTTGCCCTTCTTGCTACCCTGCAACCTGTAGATTAGCTCCATCGTACTGTCGACGCCGTTAACGTCCAGCGCCTCCACGGTGTGCATCCAGAGCGCAGTGAGGTCATCAAGACAGCTGATGATAGGCGCATTACTATGCCCACTCGCATACTCAGCATCGAGCAGCAAACTGGCCCCTTGCATAAATATTTCTGAGAATGGGCGCATGGGATCCAAGCCAAATTTCTCCCATAGCAAAGCGAAGTCAAGTGGCTGGACGGCGAGAACGCCCGGGACTGCTGGTGAAGCAACCATGTTGCTGAGAAGTCGGTGGTATATCATGAGCTGCAGACGCGATTGCAGTGCATCATGCTCCGACGGGAGGGTTGGCGAGCGGCGCGTCTTGGTATCTGAAAGATGGAGGGTGAACGACGGTGTTTCATTCGCAACCTGCACATTGGCGCTGGAATCCTCTGCTCGCCCACTCGTAGCTTGTGAGATTTGGAAAAACGTGGAGATTTGAGCTTGCGACAGCGAAGGTGTCCTGCGACTGTGCCTCTTCTTGGACTTCGAAGGAGTCGACGGAGAGCAGCGTTGATTTGGACTGCGAAGCGGGGTCCCATTGTTTGCCTCCGCGCCGATAGGCCTTCGGACAATTTCGTCCTGTGGATACTGTGAGAGATAAGAAAAAAATGCCTGCAGAATACACTTACAACGATACCAATAACGGGCTCGCCGTGGATGACACCGAAAACATCCATCTCACGCTGTAGGATACGTCGGGAGCTTGCACGCATAAAAAGGAATGGACTTACACAGAATCCTTTCTCCATGAGATCATGTAAGCACAAGATCATGTTCATCGTCCTGGCAACACCAATGTAAAGCATGAAGAGAGGCAGACCGAAGGAAAACTACTTACCGCAGAGCCCAGCGTTCTTCCCGCGTTTTCGTTGCAATTTGAATTTCCTCCGGTCGAATTTCGCGCTCCAGGGCCTTGTGTATTGACTATCCGGAGATGCAACGACCTTTCACACAACTGGCGTACAACAGGCGTACCTTGCCTTTTTGCATAGTGTTATCCCGTTTCTTCGCCGTGTTCTGATTGACTTTGATGGTCTTGCCTTGGGCAGTGACGAATGACGCTGGCCTATCCTGCAGTTTTTTCTTTCGCCCTTGCCGAAGCCCATAGTCGTATTGGACTTCGCACCTTCAACACAACGTTCAGGGAGATTCGTTCATACTGTAGCTGCATACACACCAAGCAGGACCGACCAGGTCTGTCACTGACAGCCAAGGGCGCCTCCTGAACTGCTCAAAAGGACTCGTCGGTGCGCTCTGTGCCTTATTCGCGATTCCCTTCACAGAACAATAGTCAGCGATGCCCTCTACCTCGATGGCGACACGAGGACCTCCGCTGGGGGCGCCGGCGAGGCAGAGCACGTCGATGTGTGCAAAATCTTCCGCTGAGAACTCTGAAAAGTCGTACGCTTCGTATTCGTCGGGCTCGTGGGGTGGCCCGCTTTGTTGGGACTCTGTCTGTGTGGACGGCGCAAGGAGCAGATCCAGCGCACACAACTCGGCATCGTCGAACTCCTTGAGGTCGTATACATCGTATTCGTCAACATCTTCTGTTTTCGACATGCTATGTCAGATTATGGTGAGAAAGGAGAACCAAGTCCATAACTAGTGTACAGGGGCCGAGCGCCGAGGGTTGAACTTAGACTGGCAGACGCGATCACGTGTGGCACGGACGGCAGTCACACTCAGACTGAAATTGCACAACGGTTGTCACAAAGGAATACCAGCTGTGGAGATGCTGGGGCGGTACAAGTAACAAGATCCACTCCGACAAGTACAGACGGCAGATACTACTTTCCCGAGATGTTGCTGTGCATTGGATCAACGGTGCAAAGAACGACCATTTTACGGACTGCAAGCAGCTGAGCATGTTAATTGAACGAGGTACGGTGATCACTGGTATTCCTCTGACTCACTCTTGACGATTCCATTCAGGCAGTCATACCGTCGTTCTGCAGAAGTGCGAGCATTGCTTCCAACACAGGGTTGTTCGATCCGACATTCAATGTTGTACCCTCTTCAATGCACCGCTTAAGCCGCACATCCAATAATAGCCTGCAATAGTCGGATTTCCAGCGATATGAATGAACGGTCTTCAACAATAAGGCAACACGTACCGCAATTGGTTGACAAGGACGCCAATGCGAGGCCACGCCTTCAGCTTGATCCAGGAATCCCTGCTTCCTACGGTTAACCCGCCGCCGATGTGATTCACCGTGACAGGTCCACCGAACAAGAGCAAGCCATATAGCGAAACCTAATTGGTGAAGGCATCAATGAGGTTCTCTATCTGGTGAGTTTTACGCCAACCTCCGTCACATCTCGCAGAAAGACCTTCGTTGTCAGTTGCTTCTGGAAGTATGCAATGAATGGCACACGCCATGCTGTCTCCCCAAACATCATGGATGCCGGATGAAGGAACACGCGTCCGTCTCGCAGATCATAGATACGGAATTCGCGTGCGCTGTTGTCACGCTGCACCGTGCCTGCTTGCACTTTGTCAAATTTAATAGCAGAATTTGGCAATACGACACGAGCGATCCGGGGCCAAAGTCCACCGAGGATCACGCCTTTGAGAAGGTTCTCGTTCGTGCTATTGGTATTCAACGTTGAGTCCGAGGGCGTTGCACCGAAAGGAATGAACCCTAGATCGGAAAGTGCGAAAACAAAATCCTGCCGGAGCGAACTGATCTCCCGTATTGTTGAAGGGGATATGAAGTTCTATAGTTTTGAACGCATTGGCTTTCCGATAAATGTGAAAAGCGAAGGAAAAACACACTTCCTCGCAGAACGATCTGAGCGCGCTCTGCGACTTTCCTACAGAACGTAGGCGCATGCATTCATCGTATGCAGTCATGTCGGTGAGGAGGTCGCTATTCCCTCTTGCGAACCGCGCTCGCGCACTACAGTCGTGCATTCAGCGAACTTGACAAGGCCCAACAGGTCAAAAACATACCGGCTAGCTTCTTCTCGTTTCTCCATGGGGCTCACAAATAATGGTTTACCAGATAAACATGCCGCAATGGTCAGTATGGGACCCAAGCATTGAAAGATCGTGCCCAGGATGAGCATCTATCATCATATGAGAGGGGAGAACACATAATGCCAATGATTCCAAACCTTTCCGAGCCGCAAGTCAACAGGAAGCATTGCCTGAGAACCGTGATTATGAAAATTGATATGGAACCAGGATGAAACTGAACGCAAACCATTTGTCGACCCAGAGGCGTCAGCTCGCCGTGCGGTGTAGTGGCAGCTAAATCCTCGAGGATTGACAGGGCGTCATCCATGGCGGCGATGTTCGGCGGATCGATAGCTCGAGACAGGAATTTCTCCAGCAATAAATGAGCAACGAACTTATCGGTCCATCACAAGGCGTACCTTCACATCATGGTGGACAATCTTCACTGTCAGCGCAATGCTTTCAAGAGGCACTCTCTGAATTTCAGGAATAGGGAATGTGGCGAGTTTCTTCTCCTGTGCTGCTGTGTAAAGTTTGTAGCAAACTCCAGGCTGTGTGCGACCGGCTCTTCCACGCCGTTGTCGCGCAGCTGCACGTGTAACCCACTGTTCTGCAAGCTTCGTCAATCCCGTCTCCGGGTCGTAATGCGTTTCCTTCACTTTGCCTGAGTCGATGACATAGATCACGTCGTCGATGGTAATGGACGTCTGCACAACAAAATCAATAATATTCAACTACTGGTACTAAAGAAAACTTACTTCAGCGACATTTGTAGCTGCGATTATTTTCCATCCTGAGGTACGTTTGAAGACAAGCCGCTGCTCATCGTTCGATAGATTGGCATGAAGAGGCAGGACGCGCGCTCCACCGACAGCACGTAATTTATCAATGCACTGTCGAATCTCCTGCACACCGGGGAGGAATATTAAGATGCCACCCGACTTCTCAGCTGTTGAGACTATGTGCTTCACGAGGGCTGCAATCAGCTGACCAGAGATCGTTACCGGCAAAAATCGATATGGAATACACTGTAGAACTTACCTCATAATCGATCCTGTCAGATCGACTAATGCTTTGGATGGCGCGTAAGCACTCTTCATCAAGACCTTTCTTTACTAGCTCGTCCGTCAGCTCCCCCTCATCCAGCTTCTTCGGTGTCCTTGAAGTAGGCATGCGATAGCTGAGCGATGGTAAGAAATCTTCTATATATTTGTCCTCGACTGGATGCGTGAACCCAGGGATGGTGAGTAGAGGTGCATTATCGAAGTATCGCATAAAAGTCTCGTGATTGATGGTAGCAGACATGAGAATGACTTTCAGATCGTGCCGTGTCTTGAGTAATTCCTTCAGCTCGAGCAGGAGGAAATCCCCGTCGACTGATCGTTCATGCACCTGAAGCATAGAATTATCAGATTTTCCGCCTTCCATAAATCGTTACTGCTGTGTACCTCGTCGACAATGACGTGAGTGATAGCTTCTAGTCTGTCTCCGGATCCCAGGCGTCTCAGCACGACCCCAGTGGTACAAAACAACAATTTGGTTCGCTTGTCCTGCTTACTCTCACCACGAATGGCGTACCCGACCGACCCGTCGTTCAATCTCTCGGCTGAGACACGACTAGCGACACCAATTGCAGACAGCCTACGTGGCTGCGTCACAATTATAGATGTTTTCGATCCATGGCCAGTCATCACGAGTGAATCAAGTATGAACTGAGGGACTAAGAATGGATATCAGCGGAGGCCAAGATTTGAGAGACATTGGGCATACGCTGCGTTGTCTTCCCACATCCTGCAGATTCCAAGTGTTAGTTTGCTATTGCACTGTCTGATGAAGATACTGACCAGTTTCTCCCACCACGACAACACATTTGTTACGCTCAAGAAGCTTGAGAAAACGACCTCTGGAAGCGAATGCGGGCAACTTCTGTCTAGTGGAAAGAACCGAGGCATATTCGTCACTACGACGGACTGCCTCAAAGTCCTCCTTCACGCGGACATCAGTACGATCATCCTGCTGGCGACCACGCAGTTCCGTTCTGCCGCGTACAGGTGTTGCAGGGGAAACGTCAGTGGGTCCACTTTCTAGAGTGCCCACAACCTGCGGCATAAGATACTGCAACACAACGGACATCTCTGGGGGGCCGTTGTCTTCGATTGCTGCCCATTCTTCCTCGAGTAAGCGTACTGCAGACATGAAAACACTTTCACCCGGCTCAATAAGTGTATTCGCTTTGAAGGCAAGCAGTAGCTTTGAGACAAGATGGAGTCGAACGTAGGCTGCTATCGAAGTCGATGTGATGTACATGGGAGGAGGCGTGCCATGTGTAGGTAATGTGCGCTGGGCTGAGACGATAACATTCAGGCGCATAGGAGCAACCGGCAGCGGAATGACAAGTTGAGAGGACTCAGAGAAATATGCTCCAAACGAGTTCAGCTCGTCTTCATCAAGTGCTTCCATGTCACCTTCCGCATCTGGTGTCGCAACGGCTTCCGCGTCTTCTCCGATGAGCCTAAAGTTTAGAGCACGAAGCAAGAGTGCCCAGCTCTTTGCCGAACCTTCTTCGGACAGACATTCCTTTACCACATGTGCAGGCCACCCACACTCCTTCACAGCTCTGTCTTCTATCCATCTCTTCTTCAGATCCTCGGTCCCAGAGTGTGTTGAGGTCACGAAAGGGTTAGACGAGTTCACGGATGGGAGGAACCGCTGCGGAAGATCGCACTCGGGTACCTGTAGGATTAGATATTCGATACACGCCTGCACAGGTGAAAGTCTCCGCCAAAGACTCGATATTAGTGGTGATGGATCAGAGAACGCAGCGAGAGCCTTGCGAGCTTGAGCAATCGTGAATCCCAGATGATTCAGTTGCTGCAAAACGTGCTGAGCATCTGTGGAAGAAAGAACAAGTGTTTCAGCACCCGCTTCCGGGTACAGCAATATTGCCTTGATAGAAGCTCAGTAATCTAAGGATAACAAACCGAGTACGAACTCACCTTCTTGACGGCTTCCTCCACAAAGCTCCGCATCGCAGCAGCCATCTTAACCTCAGGAGCATTTGCAAACTCGGTAGAAGCGCGTACTCCACCAAAACTTTGAGCCTGTTGACTAGATTCCTCTTTCTTCTGTGCAACCTTGGCCTGTCGTTCGGCTACAACTTTGCGAGCCGCAAAAGGATCCGCGTCATACATCCATTTCTGATGTTCAGGCGCATTTTTGTGCTCCGCAGCTAGTTCATTCCAGTACTCACGGGGGCCAGCAGGAAGAACGCGGTTCAGCTGAATCCCGTTGCAGAACTGGCCAATTGCAAATATGTCCATCAGTGTGCTTTGAGTACAACAAGACATACGAACTCGATATAATGCATAAGTCGCACCCCAATGACGAGCCTCGAGTGCTGAAGGGGATATGTACGCGGGATGAGGCTCCAGATGCACAGATTCCTTCTCAGAGGTCTTCTTGTTGGTCATACTCAGTGTCACCGCGAACGACCAACCATTCCCTTGCTTACGCTATACATACGAGAATTATTGAGAGGCAGAAAACACAGGACGTTGTTGTGCTCACAGCATCCACGATCGGCTTGTCCCAGCCGTTCTTCAGACATCTACGACGAGCAGTTAGTCACAGTCAAAGTCCAGATCGAAAAGAATTGGTCTCTCGATGTCGCAAAAATGCGGGCCAGCGTTGTGATGTGGAGAAAAATGTCTCGTCGACAGACCACGCTGGGGCACCGCCTGTAGAGAACAATACTGTAAAACATGTCGGCTGCACCTCTCGTGAAGTAAGCTCAAAGGATATTTGGAACCTGGAGGAAATAAGGGTCTCTCCTCCGCACCTGATGTCTTAACAACATCTGTCGGCTTGGATGACTTTGACGAATTTCCCGCATTGCCAGATTTCACAATGCCTCTCTTCGGAGGCATCAACGAACGAGAACTCCGGGTGGGGTGGAATGGGTGTATACTGTACCATTTCGATCTATTTGACACCTGGTGTGATGCGTGACAGCGTGGGACTAAAAGGTAAAGCCATTTCTAACTTACTACAAAGTTGTAACGCTTATATCGTAGGCCGTTATGCTGAGTCAGCGTTCTGGTAAACAGACGGTAATCAAGATACTTTGCCACCACTAGCTTCGACTCTCCTGGAGTCAGTCTACCACGTCTGTTCTTGCCATGTCGGATGATATCTACAACCTCGAATTCCTCTCCCTTGTTGCTAAAATCACACAAGAGATAGACAATCACACTGGTATTAACGACAAGACTCTTGCGGAATTCGTCATTTCCCTCCATGAAGAGTCGAAGACCTTACCGGAATTCAAGAAGAAACTGAAGGATGTCGGCGCAAGCTTTCCCGATTCTTTTGTAGAGAATGTAGACCGCCTCATTCTCAGCATGCACCCGAAGCACAAGAAGCGGCCGGCGGCGAATGGGAAGGAGAATGAGGACGGTGGATTGGATGAGATAGACAAGCGGAAGCGGCTGTTCCCTGGTCTGGCTCTGAAAGACCAAGAATGGCAGCCGAGCGTCACGAAAGACGTTTTGATGAAGGAGGTCGACGATATGATGTCGCAATTCGAGGGTGCGGCGAAGAAGGTGCGACAAAGACCCATAGAGGAGGAGGAACGTTCCCCGAAGAGACGACGGAGATCACGTTCACCCCCTCCTCGGCGCCGTAGTGTGAGCCCACCGCGTGGCCGTGAAGATAGACTGGGCAGGTACGGTGATCGGGGACGAAAGTCGTTGGACGAGCGACCTGTGCTGTACAAAATCTACAGTGGTCGTGTTGCGGGGATTAAGGATTTTGGAGCGTTCGTTCAACTGGAAGGTGTTACAGGTCGAGTTGAAGGTGCGTATTCATAGATAATTCTGTTGCTCCTGAGCCGTTGACTTTGGCATAGGTATGGTACATGTCTCCAACATTCAGCAAGGGGCGCGTGCGAACTCGGCCTCCGACCTGCTGAGCCGTGGACAGCAGGTTAAAGTGAAGGTCATGAGCGTTGCAGGAAGTCGGGTCGGTTTGTCGATGAAAGACGTCGACCAAGCCACTGGCCGAGATCTTACCCCACATTTACGCATTAAGTCAGAGGCCGAGCTTGCAGAAGAGGAGCGACTACAAGCTGCTCGCGGCGCGAATGCTGTTCCTCTCAACTCCCGCGGCGTGAAGGACGATGTTGTGGTGCGCTCTGCGAAGCGGTTGACCTCACCGGAGCGGTGGGAGATTAAACAACTCATTTCTTCTGGTGCCATTGACGCCTCAGAATACCCCGATCTAGACGAGGACTTCAGTAACCCCATGGCTCGTGCAGAAGTTGAGGAAGAGTTGGACGTTGAGATACGGGAAGAAGAGCCACCATTCCTAGCAGGACAGACGAAGAAGACGCTCGATTTGAGTCCAGTCAAGATCGTCAAAGCGCCTGATGGGTCATTGAACAGGGCTGCGTTGGCTGGCGCTTCCCTCGCGAAGGAGCGAAGGGAGTTGCGGCAGCAGGAGGCGAACGAGCAGGCGGACTCAGAAGCTCGCGACTTCAGCGCCCCATGGCTTGACCCTATGTCAAAAGAGTCGGACAAGATTTTCGCACAAGATCTCCGAGGAAATCTTCGGGGACAGAAAGCGGGAGAGCAGCCGAAGTGGAAGGAGGCTACATTCAATAAGGCGACCACATTTGGAGAGATTACGTCGCTTAGCATCCAGGACCAACGTAAAAGTTTGCCCATCTACAAGCTGCGGGATTCGCTCTTACAGGCCATCAGAGAGGTGTGTGCTCACAATTATCTTCATTGAATTGTATACTTATATGTCTTTAGCACGAAATCTTGATTGTTGTCGGTGACACAGGCTCAGGCAAGACCACGCAGATGACGCAATACCTCGCCGAGGATGGATTTGCAGACCATGGCAAGATTGCATGCACTCAGCCTCGACGTGTAGCTGCCATGTCCGTCGCAAAGCGTGTTGCGGAAGAAGTCGGTTGCCGGTTAGGGCAGGAAGTCGGATATACGATTCGTTTCGAGGACTGCACAAGTCCAGAGACTCGAATCAAATATATGACTGATGGTATGCTTCAGCGGGAGTCACTGATAGACCCTGATCTCAGCGCATACTCTGTCATCATGCTGGATGAGGCGCACGAGCGAACCATTGCTACCGATGTCCTTTTCGGTTTGTTGAAGAGTACGTAACTCTCCATCCTTCCATAATTGTGCAATCAACTGACTCTTCATGTAGAGGCGATCAAGCGTCGTCCAGACTTGAAGCTCATCGTCACATCGGCCACTCTTGATGCGGAGAAGTTCTCGAAGTACTTCTACGGTTGTCCTATCTTCACTATCCCTGGTCGCACATATCCGGTCGAAGTCCTTTATACCAAGGAACCGGAGACAGATTACCTCGATGCGTCCCTGATCACCGTCATGCAGATTCATTTGTCGGAGCCGCCCGGTGACGTCCTCTTGTTCCTTACCGGCCAAGAGGAGATCGACACGGCGTGCGAAATCTTGTACGAGCGTATGAAGGCTCTAGGACCGAAGGTCCCTGAGCTCATGATCCTCCCCATCTATTCTGCCCTCCCCTCAGAAGTCCAGTCGAGAGTATTTGAGCCCACTCCTCCAGGTGCCCGAAAAGTTGTCGTGGCGACGAACGTGGCAGAGACGAGTTTGACAATACCTGGTATCTACTACGTCATTGACCCCGGTTTCTCGAAACAGAACGCGTATGACCCGAGGTTGGGTATGGATTCGCTTATCGTCATGCCCATCTCGCAAGCGCAAGCCCGACAACGTGCCGGCCGTGCTGGTCGTACCGGTCCCGGGAAGTGCTATCGTCTATATACCGAGGCCGCCTTCCGTAACGAGATGCTGCCCAACTCCATTCCCGACATTCAGCGTACGAATCTGGCTCACACCATTTTGATGTTAAAGGCGATGGGCATTAACGATCTGCTCAGTTTCGACTTTATGGACCCGCCGCCCGCACAAACCATGCTTACTGCTCTGGAGTCGCTCTATGCCCTCTCCGCACTGGACGACGAGGGTCTATTGACGAGATTGGGACGCAAGATGGCCGACTTCCCGATGGAGCCCCCTCTGGCAAAGATGTTGATCACTTCTGTGGACCTCGGGTGCTCGGAGGAGATCCTGTCGATTGTGGCGATGCTGTCCGTACAGAGTGTTTTCTACCGTCCCAAAGAGAAGCAGGGCCAGGCGGATTCCAAGAAGGCCAAGTTCCATCAACCGGAAGGAGACCATCTGACATTACTCACCGTCTACAATGGCTGGAAAGCGAGTAACTTCTCCAATCCATGGTGTTACGAGAATTTCATTCAGGCTCGGAGTATGCGCAGAGCGCAGGATGTGCGGAAGCAGTTGCTGGGTATCATGGATCGGTATGTTCATAATCCTTTCAGTGATTTGCTTCGAGCTGACTTGAGCCTTGCAGCTACAAGCATGACATCCTCTCATGCGGAAAGGATTACAACCGCGTTCGCAGAGCAATCTGCTCCGGTTTCTTCCGTAATGCAGCGAAGAAGGACCCACAGGAGGGCTATAAGACGCTTGTTGAGGGCACGCCCGTTTACATTCATCCGTCGTCCGCACTCTTCAACCGCAATCCCGAGTGGTGCATCTACCACGAACTCATCTTGACCACTCGCGAGTACTGTCACAACGTCACCGCCATTGAGCCCAAGTGGCTGGTGGAGGTGGCACCGCAGTTCTTCAAGGTTGCGGACGCGAACAAGATCAGTAAGCGGAAGAAGCAGGAGAAGATCGAGCCGCTCTACAATAAGGTATGTTTCACCTGTCCTGAATTGTTAGCAAGAGGCTCACTGCTCTTTGCAGTACGAGAAGCCGGACGAATGGCGGTTATCGAAGGTCAAGCGCAGTGCTCGTTCAGTGAGTGGTTTTGTTATTATCTCATTTTCCGCGGATTCTAATGACTTCCGCAGAGTCAAACATTTGGTTAATTATCGCTGTGTATCTGCTATGGACAACGTTGTATTACTAATGTACATGTTTTGTGTTACATGTTTCTTCCTCCTCCTCCTTGTGCTGTTGCTATTGTAGCCTAATGAACAGTACTACGCGACGCTGAATTGCATGGATTGGTCGATGCCCCTACACGGTACGAGTTCCAAGACTCGAAAATCTGAAGTCTGCAAGGACCGCGGGGTGATATGAACTCGGCCGAAGATGAGCTTGCGGGTAGTGTTTGTCGCATGCCACAAAGCAGTGACAATAGTCGAGCGCTGTAATCCACTTCTACAAGTGTAAGGTTAACGTGAGAATTGGAACTTGCGAGATGCGTCACTCACGGAATACTGATTCTCAACCGACAAACCTCATCGCATCCGCATTCACGTAGTACTTCGCTACCTCTCCTGTCTTCGTTGGTGGCGCGTTTGAATCGGGTACGAGCATGAACGTTTGTGCAAAGACGCGCGGCTGGCCGTCTATCGATTTGGCAGGCGTAGAAACAGGATTTCCAGCAGGGCCACGTCCGTGCACGACTGTGCCTGAAACGGTGACGAGGAGTGATGGCGGCTGGCTTCCTGTGCATAGAAAACCGAGGTTATGTCAGAGGCAAGATCATCACGGACGAATGCCTGGAGCGCGGTGGTGTGTCTAAAGATGTTGACATTCTGAGAACCTCCTGAAGACTAGTAGGACATTCGTAAAGGAGGCTAGAGCTCGGAATCTATCGCGTCGAGCAAACCCGCCAAGATTCAAGAAGTACAGAACTCAATCGTCAGGCTGGTCTCCAGAATTTCCATGGCATGTATGGGCCTCACAACTTGTAATCATGAGAAAGTTCACCAACATCTGACTGACCTGGGATTGGATGACAGTCGAACGACTGTACGTCGTGTTTCGTGGGAGGCATAGCGATGATGAGCTTCCGAACACCTTCGGAGCCTTGGAATGGCGTCCCATTCCATGTCATCGCAGAGGTCGAGCGGTAGAAGTTAGGAATGTCCTCGATGCGAGTTGCAGAGTCGTATGTCGAGTAGTAGAGACGAGTGAAATGATCTGCAGCTCGTGTGGCGAGTTCGATGCTAGTTACGACGCGTGAGCTCAACTGTACGTATTGAATATCCATACTACTACTTACTCGTTCTGCGTGAGTTTCGACATGGCAAGAGAGAATATGTCACAAGAACATGTGAGTTGATATAGTTGATAGAGATGGTGGTAAGGATGGTGCAGTGAACGAAACTGCGGCCGGGCGGGCACTGTGTCACAGCCACACAATGTCACGAGATGTGACACGTCAAGTTTCAGCGGCCTCCATTTGGGTCTTCTGATAGACTCGATAAAATTAGGAGGTCGCTTTCACCATAGGAGGTAAGGATTATACATATAATTGCGTGAAACTCGCGGATTTTTCTCATCTATTTGGCCCGCACAAACAAACCTATATCAGGGAGGTTGTCGGCCGAGCGGGGGGCTCGGGGCTCTCCTCTATGAGCCAGGTCTGGCCTTCCCGACTTTCAGAGCTTCCGAGAATAAATAAATATTAGCTTTCCTGGTTGCTTCCTACTTTGAGGTTCTGGTATCGAGAACGAAGATGATCTTAGGTAGAACTCGATCACGAGTGCCAAGTTTTCTCCTTCCGTTTAAGGCATTATTTGTCCCCGCCAAATAACGCGATTTTTTGGTGAGTTTCACGCAATTATGCAAAGCGCTGTACAATGAACGGTGAGTGATGTTACAAAGCGTGTATTCTACTTGATCTATCTGCTTGTTCAGCCTTGCTGAGCACAGTTCTTCCAGTCAGGCAACTGCAGAGCGTCGGATTACATCTGGTCGGCGCTCCAAATTCGCGTGCATCTCGGTACCCATGCTAGCATACCAGGTCTCCGGTCCCTGTTGTCAAACAACATGTAACTCTGCGGTCTGCTGATCGACGAGAGCATAACGTAACATACCTTCCTATTCTTTAGCCTGAGCTTTCTGATTCTCCTGGAAATCCACTCTGCTGACGTTGATCCGGTATCATATCCTTCTGGTGGCGCTCTCGCGACAGCGTTTGCTATTGTCTCGCTCTTATCGGCCAATGCGCGGAGTACCACCGAATTCCTTGGTCGAGTGAAGAAGCTGATAGAGTATCTCTCGAACTGTGATTGGGCTCCTGGAGGTGGCCTTGAACAGATCATGGTCAGTCTCGACATATGTTCCGCGATGAGATTCATCTCACATGACGCGATGGATATTTGACCGCAGGATTCCAGCGCTGAATATCGCTAGTGCATCTCCAACATTGCACACAGCATGGTCGGCCAGAGGCTTCACAACGTAACGGATCAGTGGTCGACTCATCATAGCCTGACTGATTAGTGGAACGTACCTTGATGTACAACCATTTCTGTGAATCTGGCGGCAAGACTTGCAGGCCTCCCAAACGATTGTGCAGGAACGTCTGTACAGCAATACCATCAGTCCGATGACTCAACAGAATATCACGGTCTACGTACGATTGTGCCGAAGTCGGTGTGTGCACCGACACCGGTTGTCGTCTGGTTCGGCGGAGTCTTAATGCACCGAGCTTCGCTGCCGCAGGGTTCGGCGGTGGAATGTAGCTTGGCAATCTCACCGCGCGGCAAACCGAGCTGCCTCTCGAAAACAGCAAGCAGCGTGTTGTTAACCTCCATCGACTTCCGCACGAAGGGCGTAATGGTGCCTGTCATGCGGGTGTTGACTGTAGCCGGATATGTGCGATATATCGGCCGTGGCCAGGAGAGCGCGTCGTCCTGTGCGATGTTCAAGAATTCGACGTTATCACGGGTGCCATCGACGTCTGTCGCGATTGTGCCTCGTGCCTTGTATCTATTCTGCTCTTTGGTAAAACTGACATATATAGGAATATCACGAAGATCATACCCGAAGGAATCACCGTTGTCTCCCTGCTCATACTTCAATTTCTCCGACAGAGAAAGGCCCAGTGTTTCAGCGCCCATATCGAACATTCGGTTGACTTCCTCTTCGACTCCGTGGTTCTTCAAACTGAGAGTAAACATCAGTTGAGTATCCCTTTTTCCAGCAGTGCCCATATGCTTACTACCAGAAACCCAGCTTCGTCGCTGCTACCCATAGATGATCGATCTCGGCTCTGTCCCCCATCTTGATGAGGGCATAGTCAATGACCAGTAGAGGGGCAGTAGCGACGTCGTCCGGGAACGGTGCAGTAGTGGTGACACTAGGCATAGCTCGGATGGGGCAGAATGGACCGCCACATAACAATTGGTGGCCCTTTTATCATGGTCAGCTTTGCCTGCGCCTGTTCGTCATGATGGCCATGACCCAGCATAGGTACGCTATCCCTAACGGAGGCAAGCTAGTGCACCGCCTTTACTGAAGCAGGGAGTTTAACCCTACGGCCGGTGTTGCCGGAGGCTTCCACCGAACTTATTGCTACTTGACATACACGATTTTCTGCCATCGGCCCCGTCTTACTGCGATGGCAATTCGCTTGCGTTACCTTCAAATGGCCATGGCGCTTCGTCGATTTCCGACTGAATGGAATGATCGTGTAACACTTCATCCCACTACTACAACGCGGAAATGTTAGCGCGTGTCCGCGTCGAAATCTCGTATGGTACATTACTAGTAGCGCGCTCGGGCTGAGATCGATCTCCCCGATCGGAAGCAATCAACGTACTTGCAAACGAGGCATGCCCTTTACTCCGTTCTTGCTCTCCAGTAAGTCCTACGTATCTCACGAATAGACCAATTTTGCAAAAGCCGAAACATCGTTGACGATAGTGTACGTATCTCTAGGGTGTGTCCAAGCATGGCGTCTGATATTGACACCGGAGGTGATGCAACCTAAGGTAGTTGTTGACTAACTACTTTCGGAGATATTCGTTCTCACCGCGAGCGTGCTGCCCAGAAGATTGTCACTTCAAATAGGCTTATCAGCTCGCTCCAGCGCTCTACTTCGCCGGTGATGTTCGACCTTCCTGCCGCTGACTCTCGTCGACTGCGGGCATCATCATCATCATCACCATCACCATCGACAGGTCTCACCTCTAGGCATAGCGCCGTCAAGTCCATATGGGCGTTCCATTTGCAGATGCGGCCTGCACATGTGCACAGGACCCGCATACTTTCTCCGAATCCCGACCGGTACCGGCCAGAAAACTTGACTAAGGAGCTCATCCCCGCGTCAATGACTTCTTGCATTGACGCTTGTAGGAGTTCATGTGATCTGGCATACCGCAGCGTAAGCACAAGGACCTTGAATACGTTGTGAGACCGTACCAGCACATGAAAAAACTGATATTCTTGTCGAAGCAGCTCTGCTAAGGGATTGTAGAGATCGTGGCCCAGATGTGATACATATCAAGTGAGCTGTATGAGGTTGCCGAACTGGTAGACGAGCCGCCGTTGATAACCGGAACTTTATAAGTATACAGTGTATACTTACGTCGGTCTCTCAAGAACCGCGCTCATCGGATTTGAGGAATGAGCGATAGGACCCCCCATAATTCGCTTAGAGCTCCGAGATAAGCTCGCGGCCTACTGGCCATTTTCGGGGATGGATGGCATCTAACCTCGGGAGGCCGAAAATGCGCCCAGCCAGGACACGTAGCCATTCTGGTCCAACATCGGCTCAAAACGCAAATGTTCCTTCCGGAAGGTTGTGAATTTCCCCCAAAGTATCAGTATATTGACCAATTTTTCCCTCGGCTCCCGAGGACCCATGTTTCGGGAGTGCTGGATCGGACCTTTTGACAACGGGCCCGAATCCGGGATGGTTTACACGTAAGATTTTCCGGGTTTTCAAGGATTTTTGGGGATCGGGCATTGAAGCTTGCGCCTGCGGCGGGCGCATTTTCAGGGGCATGGCATCGGAGCTCTTAGGGAATTATGGGGGGTCCTGGAGCGACGCCTGCGCTGAATACAGGATCCGAATCGATACAAGTGTACAGACTCACCCATAAATCTCTATAAATTCTACCTCCCCATGCAAGCTAGACACCAGCGACCAAGACCCGGAGAAATTATAGCACCTTGAAAATCTGCAGAGGCGCGATGTCCTTGGGCAGGGGGTTCTGGACAGCGGGAAGTGAGGAGGAGACTCGGATAGTGAGATGAATATATTAAGCATATTACTATGCCAGGAAGCACCGCTCCTGGCATGCCGATGTGAAAGTATACCAGACTGATGAAAGGCAAGACGGCGTATGCGGTCGCAGCGGTGTACTACGCGCTTCGATCACGTGCTGGGAGAGACCTTCCTCATCAAGGAAGTGAGTGAGTATGGTCCTCGTCTTACAACTGTATGTTCGCTTTCGTTCTAACTGCCTTCCGTTCCTTCTCTATCTAGGCGAACCTGTCTGGAGCGACGTGCTGCCAAAAAGTTATTTGTTAGCCTCAAGGACCCGCTCGGTCACAGTTTCGTGGGAATCATCCGACGTCGGTACTTGGGCTATCTGACTTGACATTGATTCCGGTCTGCCGCCTGAACCTTCAACTGGGAGAGGAACCTGCTTCACTCGGGAAGGATATCCCGCTCTTTTTTCTTGCGCTGATGTGGGAACGGACTCTCCAAGATCTCATCCGAGGCTTACGGGCGAACAAGAAGGATGAGAGCAAATTCATCTCACATGCAATTGATGAGATCAGGCAGGAGGTCAAGAGCAAGGATATGGAATTGAAGGCAGGCGCTGTACTCAAACTCACATATGTCAGTGTTACCGAATCATATTACCAGTGGTCCTGATGATTCTGTACGCAGCTAGACATGATGGGATATGACATGAGTTGGGCATCATTTCATGTCGTGGAGGTCATGTCTTCTTCCAAAATCCACCTCAAGACTATCGGGTACTTAGCGGCCACTCAATCCTTCCGGCAAGACACGGATGTCCTGATGCTTACTACTAACCTGCTGAAGAAGGTCAGCGCGATATAACATGTGTGCCGTCTAATGCTTAATGCGGAGATCTTCAGGACTTGGGCTCAAGACCGGAAGATGTCGCTGTCACTCTGAATGGTCTTTCTCACATAGTCACACCAGATTTGGCTCGGGACCTATCTCGCGATCTGATAGCCATGCTAAATCATTCTCGACCACATATCCGCAAGCGTGCGGTTATCGCGTTGTACAAAGTTTTCGTACATTACCCTGAAGTAATTCCTCAAGGCATGGGCAGATTGAAGGAACGGCTTGAGGACCCTGATCCTGGTGCGAACGTTGCTAAACCACTGCGCTTGTCGCCAACTGACCACTATACACTCAGGCGTCGTTGCAGCTACTGTCAATGTTCTCTGCGAGCTGGTACAGCAGAATCCTAAGGACTATCTAACATTAGCACCGCCATTATTCCATCTACTAACCACGTCATCGAATAATTGGATGCTAATAAAGATCATCAAACTCGTGAGTTTATGTCAAGCATTTTTTTGCCAAGCGCAGTGATATACCTTGAATATAGTTTGGTACACTTGCTCCGTATGAACCACGGTTGGTGAGGAAATTGCAACCGCCAATCACCGATCTCATTTCGACAACCCCTGCCATCTCGCTGTTGTACGAGTGCGTCCGTACTTGCATCATAGGTGGCATACTCCAAGGTACCACAGGCAATGCCCTCGCCCGGACGTGCGTCACGAAGTTGGCTTCTTTCCTTGAAGACCCAGATCAGAATTGTGAGCGAAACACTGATTTCAGTGACTTGTGCAATGTTGATGTCACGGTAGTGAAGTACATCGCACTTCTTGCGATGGTCAATATTGTGCCCACACATCCGGAGCTCGTTGCGGAATATCAGGATATGATAGTGTCCAGCGTCGATGACCAGGATATCAGCATACGCATGCGCGCTTTGGATCTCCTGTCAGCAATGGTTCGTATTCATCCACTATCGGGTTCTACCCTTACACCGACAACCCGCGTGTCAGGCTGGCCGAAACAATCTCCAAACGATCGTCCAGCAGTTACTCTCCCATCTTGTGCGGTCAGATTCGTCAGCACTGCCGTCTGCCACACAATCCCTCTCCCAGAATACTTCTTCTACAAACCCAAAACCTGCGAATGCTCCATCCCAGTCATCCGCGTACCGCCTGACTCTGGCACAGCGGATACTATCTCTATGTTCAAAAGACACATATGATAATGTGGTCGACTTCGAGTGGTATCTATCCGTTCTAGTAGATCTCGCTTATATCGCCGATGTCGAAGTGGGTGCTGAGATTCGAGATCAGCTTGTCGACGTCACGAGCCGCGTGCGGGCAGCAAGGCGGTTTGCAGTCCAGCTGATGGTCAAGCTATTAACCGACGATAGCTTTCTGCTGAATGCTCAAGAAGAGGGAAGCTGTGCAGAGGTGTTGTGGGCTGCAGCCTTCATATGTGGGGAGTATTGCGGGTGAGTTCTACTCCACCAGGACTGAGATCGGCTTAGTCTGATCATTTGCGAAGGGAGCTTGCCGAACCACAGAAGCTGTTGACGTATCTGCTTCAACCCAATATCAATGTTCTTGACCCAGAGACTATCGCTGTTTACTTGCAGGCTGCTTTGAAGGTATTCGGATACTGGGCGGCAGAGCTGGCTGGCAGATGGGATAATGACGATCTGCCGAAGGTCAAAAGCCTCGTCGAGATGGTAGAAGAACGTGTGACGGAGTTTGCAGCAAGTTCGGACATTGAAGTGCAAGAACGGGTATGTCCTTTACTTATTTCTCACTTCTGATGCTGGGGGTATCTGATCTTTCTCGTAGGCAGCGAACATTCTCCAGCTGTTCACCTTCGTTCGGGCGGATTTGAACGCTTATAAGCCCAAGCCAGACAACAGCCTCGGGCTCGGGGAGTCAAGTACATCGATCTTCGACCCGATCGTATCTACGGAACCCAACTTCCCGAAGAGTCTCTTCCTCATCCGTCCCCTCTTTGACACCTACGAGCTCAACGCCGTTGCACCCAATGCGCAAGCGAGCGTCCCTGTTCCTGAAGGCCTGGATCTCGATGCGTGGATCATCCCTCCGCCAAAGCAGGTCTTGAATGACATTGACGAGGCAGATGGACAAATCACTGAGCCAAGACACAAGAAGAGCAGAAAGGGCAAGGGCAAGGACACCGGAAGCAGTAAGGTCAGGGGCAAGAAGAAGGCAGAACAGGCGGAGAATGGCACAATTGCAAAGCCGGAGGTGGAGACTGCGGAGAGTAGGGCGGAGCGCGAGCGCGTATGTGCACGATGTCGATCTAGTGGGCTCGTCCTTGCTAATATTATCTCAGCGCAAGCAGGAACGGTTAGAGCGGATGCGTGACGACCCGTACTATCTGATTGACGACCGGCCGTCATCGACGAAACCTACAGTCGAAGATGTGGACTCAATACCAGTGGTCAGGCTCGACGACATGCCGCCACTCCCAGGGTGTAAGCCACCCATATCATCCCTCGTCCTCTTTCGCCGATGCTCAGTCACGGACTTAATAGCGTCTTCGCAAGCGCCCAGTCTACTCAGCACGCCTTCCCAGACTACGCCGCAAACGTTTGTTATTGACAAGACAGGTGAAATGCCCGAGGGAGCGCTTCAGCCAGCGGCCGCCGCTGGTACGCCATCAGATGGGTTTTCGCCAGCACCGGTAGGGAATGGTGCGGCAGCGTTGGTTACCTCGTCATACTTCCCGCCGTACGAGGTCGAAGACGAAATACCGCGCACAGATACTCCGCCACCGATCAAGGTTACTCGGGCGAAGAAAAAGGGTACGAGTGGCGGGAAGAAGAAACGGACACACAAAGTTGATAGTGCCAGCCCTCACGTAGAGTAATGTTGCGACGATCACAGGAATGTATTGGACTATCTGTACGCTGCTCGTGATCCTATGGTATACATTGGGACAGGATATGCTGCTGTGAAATGACGAAACAAGAAAACACTCAAGATACATGCAAGCGTGATTACTGAGCTGCTAGATAGATAGATGGAAGTGATTTGGGGAGGGGGATCAAATGTTCGGGTTGTGCATGAAAAGTATGTGGGAAAGGAAGTGGCAAAACCACCGGATCCCATACATTTTATGGGTCCTCCACGTGTTCGACCGAATCCACGATCTCGTTGATCAATTCCATGGTCACTCCAGGAATGATACGTTCAGCATCTGTGAATGCACGCTGCAGGGCGCTGAGAGCCACTCGCGCCTCTTGGGTGGAAACACGAGGGAACAACTGCGTGGACGATGAGTTCTTTCGCGCCGTCAAAACGATCACGAATACTACTCACGGTCGCGATAGCGGGCAGGACGACTGAGTCGAGCATCGTCGTGTCCGGCAACTCGTCCTCTGTCACACCATTGGATGCGGCCATTGGGGCAAGTGCTGGCTCGGTAATATCGTAGGCGTCGTCGTACTCGTCCGACGGCTCGCGCGACAGACTTATGCTGCCCCCATGCCGGATCGTCGCCTGCTGGTCAGCTTTCTTGGGCGTCGGCGGAGCAGATGGCGGGAGAGGCGGGAGATCACCCTTGAAGTTAATGGATGCTGTCTGTGAGGAAGATCCCGACGCCGAGATATCTCGTCGAGTGCGCGCAAAGGACGAGCCGGATCCACTGGAGTCGTCCGAGGGGGTCGCTCCGTTGATCTCCCACGTAAGCGGGGGACCGGACACCTGCACAGGATTGGGCTGCGCTCGGCCGATGGTGGCAGCGTGACGGACAGTGCCGAAGTCCCACAGGTCTTCTGGATCATGCCCGGCGGACCTTTGAAACAGGGTCGTCAGTGGAAGGTGGGACTGCGCGCTGTATGTACGTACAGATCTTCGACGTGGCTCCGTTCCTCCTCTTCGACTCTCTCGCCGCCTTCGGCTTTCCACCGTTCGTGCCGTTCGATCAGCTCTGTCAGGTAGCTGGTCTTCTTCGCCATTCTGACGAACTTGTGCCTCAGCAATTCACGAGCGGTCGGACGCTGATGTATGGGAAACCGAGGGTTAGCAATTCTGTGTCATCGAGGTGACAACCTTACGTCTCGGGGATCACGTTGTAAGCAGTACGACACGAACTCCCGGAAAGATTTGGAATAAGGGCCTTCCAAAGTTGGGGGAGGATTCTTGGGAATCAGAAAGAGTACCTGATATAATGCGTGAACTTCAACTGATACCTTCCGCTAGGTCTTCGTAGACCTACTTTCATGGGATGCAACTCTGCGTAGGGTGGTTCGCCCCTTGCCAACTCGATAGCTGTGATCCCCAAGCTCCAGATATCCGCCTTGTGGTCGTATCCACTCTGCTTGATGACCTCTGGCGACATCCAGTACGGCGTGCCGACGAACGTATTCTTCTTCGCTGAAAGCGTGCCGGACAATTGCCCAGAGACGCCAAAATCCGCCAACTTAACGTCGCCGTTGGCGGAAAGGAGGATATTAGCGGCTAGAAGAATTGACACAGGGTATCAAACATCAGCGGAACTGCATCGAAGAGGTCGCTCACCCTTGATGTCTCGGTGGAGCTTCCCCTCCGTATGCAGATAATCCAAACCCTTCAACAGCTCCCTAACGATGATCGCGATATATTCTTCACGAAACACACCTGGCTTCATCTATGACAGCCGAACGAGATAAATGTCAGACGGTGGGTGGCGAGTAGAGTCATCCTACCAGATCTGAGCATGAACCACCGGAACAATATCTGTAAATACAATAAGAACTGTCATCGAAGAGGCGATGAGAGACCTACTCCATGACAATCCATAGGTGTGAGCCTTTGAGAAACGAGCCATGATATTTCGTAACATAGGGCGAATCCAATTGCGACAAGATTTGGATCTCCTGTTGGATGTCCTCAATTTCGTCTTCGGCACTCTCAAGGTCTATAATTTTGATGGCGACGGTCTTCTGCGTCCGTTTGTCGAACCTATCAGTCCCCAGTGAATATGAACAGTGATTTATCTCAACGTTAGAACCAAACGGACCCCTTATACACCTCTCCGAACGAGCCTTTGCCTAAGTGTCGGGAGAGTCATCACCACTCAGCCGAGGAGGGGTGGAAATGGAAAAGCACGAACCAATTCTGTCCTGCTTAACATAGAATAACTCCGGATCTTGGCGGTGTGCATCCTGCGAGCCGAGCAGAATCAATCGACATGTTCTACCACGACCAGTAGCGCATAATCTTACCATCACTTCAAGTCTCCAGGTACGGACAATACGTTATGGATAGGATGGTCGTGCGAGGTCGTGAACGAGCGAGTTTAGATATTGAACGGGCGTAGTCGAACTTCGCTGCGGCAAGATATTAATGACAATTCGTTGGAGAAATGCAAACTAAAAGCAGAGACAACAGATATGACACAGCAAAGATACGAATGAAAGTTGTGGGATAACTCTGGAAAGATAACTGTCGCTGCCAGTGTCAGCCGCGGCAGCTGCATTCCATATCGCTGCCATATCGCTTTCCTTTTTCGGAAGGGCAATCCTCAGACAGGACCCCGGGGATCTCCGTCTTCTCAGAATGGGGAGGTAGCACTCATTGGCTGGCACACGACCTTCTGCAGTGCAGAGCTTCCGGGGGCCCATGCAGTACAGGAGCCTTTCTTCGACACAACCATCTCCAAAAGGTGCATCTGCGTGTTGATACGCGTCTTTTCTCACTTAAATTCGCGCCTATACTCTCACAATATCCATCTGTCTGAAATGAGAACACGAAAACGCCGCTATTCTGATCATGACACGTCTGAGCCTTCAAGCAGAACAAAGCGCCGCACGCCACAGCGCTCTGAGGTCATTACCATTAGCGATGATGAAGAGGAGCCTCTCGAATCCGTGCTGGCAAAAATCAAAGCTCAAGAAGAAAGCGAAGCTCTCGCCAGGAAGCTGCAGCAAGACTGGGCCGACAATGCACAACCCGCCCCTTCTGCGGGAACATCCTCGAACGCTGACCGTGGTCACGATGAAGAGGTCATAGATCTTACCCGGGAAGACGATGAGGCCCTCGCAAAGCGTCTGGCAAAGGAATGGGAGGCACTCGACGAGGTTCCCCAACAGGTAACTGGTCCTTCGAAGGGGAAGAGGAAAGCGTATGAAGTTGAAGAAGATCACGATGTTACGCCGGACAAGAAGCTCGAACGCTATCATGAATTATTCATAGGAACAAAACGGTGTCAGTGTGGAGAAGAACTTTCCTCACCCCGCGGTCATGTACGTGGTCGAATCCCGTCCAAAGGTGCAGATGCTGTCTAACGTCAACTCGTGCCAGGTAACGTATTCTACCCAGATGCCACCTCCTAGTCTGCTGCGGCTCCTTCATATCCCTTGCAAGAAATGTAGGACCAACCACTGCCGTGGATGTCTAACTGCGGTTACATGTCCGCTTTCTTGCAAGGGAGAAGGCAAGGACGGCGCAGATACTTGTCCTGCCTTGACGTGTTGCGCCGAGGTCCGCGCGATCGCGCTCTTCGAAGCGCTGGGCGGCTTTGATAGACAGTATCTCAGTGAGCGTGCAACGTCTGACAGCCGTGCAAAGGAAGCAGCTGCCAAGTACCGCAGCACGCAAGTGAATTCTGTAGGCCCCGGAGGAACTGGCTATGGCACGGGTGCTGACTTCACCGACCTTTGGCATTCTCGAGGACTCGGAAAGGGCCGTGGAAGGGGAGGTGCAGGCTTCACCTCCACAGAGGCCCATGCTTCCCGAATAGACGAATTGGCTGCGCATTGGGACGAGATTGTCGTCCGCGCGTTAACGACAATAACTCAATTTCTTCCATCTCAATACTCCGATGCGGCTCAGATCTACGATATGCTTCCGCATGCTTCAACAGAGGCCCTACTTTCTCTGTCTCAGCTTCCTGATTTACTCGGCGACCTGTTACGGAACGACTCTGTCACAGACTGGATTTCTCGCATTGACGTCTATCATGCAATGTTGGCACTATTGAGGCGAATGGCAGACTGCGAACTGACGATTGAGGTGCGCTGGTTATTGTGCGATGCTGCGTTACCGGTAGATTTCAAGCTGACTTCGGACAGGTTCTCATCGGCCAACGGTGGGAAATAGAGAAGAGCTGCGGGTTGGAAGAATGGATGTGGGGTGACGCAGAGATTGTCTGGGAGAAAGCCAAAGACTCGCAACTCGTCAAAGCCCCTCCTCTGTACGTACACTTCAAGAAGCTCACCAAACAGTGCGAGACGTTTCTGGCGGGGGCCTCCAGCATGTTCGAAGACGGCGCTGGCCAAGACGCTGGGGATGTGACGGACACCATGGTGAAGGCGACATCACTCTGCGGTGATATTATCGTCGCGCGGGACGACATCGAACGCGCCATGACGCTCCTGGGGAAGGCCCCTTCCACCGTCCTCCAGAAGGCTGACGACATGTCGCAGGAGGACTCCAAGAGGCGCAAAGGTAAAGCACCAGATCCCTCGATCGCTCTCGAGAGGACATATGCCCAGGAGTGTGAACGTCTAGCGTTCCGCTACGTCACGCTTTCGCAACCATCGTCCAACGGCGATGGGTTCAGCTACCCCGAATTCAGGTATGCGAAAGAGCTTGCGGTCACCGCCTCGTCCACCAGAAACCCGAAGGACAGGCTGCATCTCATCAAAGAGCTTGCTGTGATGGCGACCAGTCTACCGGTTGGCGTATGGGTTCGTGTCGATGAGGTGCGAAATGATGCTATGTGAGTAGATTGCCTCCTTCCGGGAAGTTGCACCTTTAATCTCCGGCTTTTTTTTAGCAAGATAATGATTGCCGGCCCTGAAGGTACACCCTACGCTGGTGGACTATTCGAATTTGACTGCTACATTCCGCTCAATTATCCGAACGCACCTCCCTTGATGCATCTTCGCACAACCGGCGGAGGCAGGGTGCGCTTCAACCCGAATCTGTACAACAACGGCAAGGTTTGCTTGTCGCTACTTGGGACGTGGGCCGGACGGTACAGTGTCGCTTATTTTATCTGGTGTTCCAAAGTAATGCTGCCTTTAATACAGCCCAGAGGAACAATGGTCTCCAAAGTCTACACTCCTGCAAGTCGTGGTCTCGATTCAGAGTATGATCTTGATCGATCTGCCGTATTTCAACGAGTACGTGAATATTAATTCGACATTCCATTGCGAACTTTCATGCAGTTTCCAGGCCTGGGTATGGTAAGGCGGACGCGAAGGATCACAACAGTATTGCGTACAATCGCAACATCTATGTGCAGACCGTTCGTTGGGCTATGGTCGAGTGGATGAAGGACGAGTACAAAAACGGTATCTGGGCGGTGAGACCTTTACTGAGCTCTATCAGTCGGACATATCTAATGTGTATCGAGTGTAGGAAGTCATAACTGCACATTTCTGCACACGACACCCCAAGATACTGAAGTGGTGAGCAATGCCCAGTCGCCCCTTCTCTCAATGATTCTCATATCGAGCGTGCACAGCATCCAAGAGTGGGCGAAGGATGAACCTCGGATCCGCAAGTACACCGAGGGGGGCACCATACCGTACGACGGACCGGCCTTCATCGTGCCACCGCCATATCCCAGCCTGCCTTCGGGCTCGTCTGTTGTCGCTAGCGGCATTTACCCTGCCGCGCCTTACAATAGCATTTTACCCGTGCCATCAACCGCTTCGCAGCATGGCAAAGACCTTTTGCAGGAATATGATCGGGGTATAGAGCAAATACAGGGTTGGAAGCATGGACAAGAGTAACTAGGGTGCTACGACGTCATAATGTCAGCAAGGGAGCATAATCACAATCTATCGGTGATGTGATGCAGTTATATGTGGTACAGAGATTGTCTTGGATCAGTCTACAATTCAAACTACTTTTCGGTGTTCCTGTAAGCAAAAGGAATTAGGGTAAAGGTTGAGCGAGAGGAAAGGGACGAACGGGAGTGTGAGTTGTCTCGTGGTCGACATGGACAAATGCCCGTCCTACGTTAGGCAATACTTCGAGCTTGTCTTGCAGCTGCTGGCTAATGTCGTGCGCCTTCCATAGCGGAGTATTCCCGTCCATGACAACGTCAATCTCGACATAGTAATCCTATGGTGCAACGTCAGCAAACAGCGTAAAGCATCAGCCAGCTCGTGAGAAAGAATAGGACCTACTGGACCGCTCTGCAGACGGATAGTGTCAGTACACCAACGTAGGATGAGACTTGCATGCTAACGTGATATGCCCGCACGGTGTCGACTTTGTCGATCTCGTCGCTGAACGTCATCGTTTTGTAGACCAGTAGCTGCATGAAATCGTGCGGTGCGGACTTGCCCGCTAGCAACTCGAATTCTCTGTAAACCTCACGGCCCCATGCGAGGATGACGCCGACACCGATCTAGTGCGGCGGTGAGGTGCTATCCTCCTGTGGGGAAAATATAACACACGATGATAGCGCCCACGGGATCCAGATCTGGGGGGTGCAGAATACATGAAATAACGAAGAGAATTTGAAAGAAAAGGCGTACACCATCGCAGCCTGCTTCCACCTGCAGACATGAGGAGACCTGCGTGAAAACAAAATCAGGCACGCCGTATCTGCAGGAGAGGTTCTATCCTTACCAAAGCCGTTGACAAATAGATCGTTGCGGTGGTCTTCCCACAGTACCTGGACTTGGCTCGATGCCTTGCGCACGGACATGCAGTACAAGAAGAGCACAAACTTCACACCTAATGAGTAACTAGTCAACGGAAGGCGGATATGAAGAGAACGCATCATACCTAGAGCAGCTCCAACCGCTACAAGCGAAGGTATATGAAATTCATTCGTGTCATTTTTGCTTGAATGAGTGACGATTGTCTGTACGGACTCCACTATTACTACAAGGTTAGCGGCGCCCATTCTAAAGAGAAAAAATCAGATCAGAAGATGAACGCTATCGGAGGGTACACACAAGAAACCTAGAGAAGAGTGTTAGCTTGAAGAACACGCAGTCGCGGAAATACTGTGTAGATACCGTAGACAACATTGCCAATCGTCTCCAGTCTAGAGCCACCGACCGGCCACTTGTTGACGTCCAATTCTGCTGCCTTCTTATGCAGCCAGAATAACATCACATTGCTTCCGAAGTCGAATACCGAATCAACCCCTGTAGCAATAAGGGAGAGCGAGCCTGACGAGAAGGCGCCATACACTGAAATTTATGACATTAGGGCTACTAGAAACAACTCGATTACTTTACGTACGTTGCAAAATGCACAGAATGAGATTGGCTACCAGGCTTGCCCATATCGCAATTTTGACCTACGTGTCGTCGTCCGTTAACCTGCAGCCATAGTAAGGATCTGGGATCTTACGGGTAATCGTGCAGCCTGCTCTTCGCTTTTAGCTTCTTCGGTATGCTCATCCATCGTCTTGAGCAAGTACGTGATGAGCTGCAAATTTGTCAGCTTCTGCAATACCCAACTGAAGCAGACGTACATTATTTTGCTTTCGTTGATATCTCTCTACTTTCTTACCCGCATTCCGTCGTAAAACGGCCAGCTCCTCCTCGGTTTTGATACCATTACGCAACGAGAAAGGATCTGGATGCTGATGCGCGGGTACTCGTTCGACGTCGTTGCTATTTCTGGACCTATAGAGAAGATCGGGTACCACACCGTCGGTGTTCTACAAAGGTCTAGAAATCATATGACCGACACATTTTGCCATTGCTCTACTCACAGCTGTATCAGGCTGTAATACTCCGGCACGCGTAGACAGGGTGTAATGCTCGGTATTTTTCACGGGTACCATGAGGGAAACCATTCGTCGTTCGAGAGGCTGAACGCGGGAGTCTCAGGCTCTCAGGTCGAAGAATTTGCGTGTGGGCCGAGAGAGCGGTACGTAGTTGGTGACGTACCGATCGTCCGGTTCGTCTGTGATGCAGATAGTCAGAACAACTTCAAGTGCGCATATATCTTTCCTTACACTTCTGAAGGACGACGGGGGAAGCTGAGACGATGGACGAGCGAAACTACGCTTCAAGTTGCGGGGGAGTAAGCATGAAAGCTTGGCGCCAAGCTATGGGGGTCACAGCTTTGGCTCATCTTAATTCTTATCAGATAACAGATGGAGCACAGCACATGTACAGCCTGAGGCCTGAGTACATACTGTGCTGCTGTCTTCGTCATCTTCCACGACCACCATGGCATTTTCTGGAAGTGATGTGTCCATGTCAAGTCTAGCTCCCCTTTTCTTGCTGTTGGCAATATTGCTGTGACTATCGATTTACTATCTCTGCTCGATGATAATATGCTGAACTGGCTTATCTGTTCAGCTTTGCGGCATTAGGGTGGTGCTTCCTCTCGTCTTGCATCGGCAGACCTTTCCTGGCGTCATTATCAGAATTCTGGGACATGCTTATGGCGAGCGCACGGTCAGGGAGTGGGTCAACACCATGGAGAAACGGGAGGAGGTGGGATGGTCAGGACGATCTCTTTGAGTTGGAGTACCGAGGTAGGAGCGGGGCAGGCTGACTTTTGTGCAAAGGACTTGTTTGCATCCACAACCCGATGCTATCATTATCTGCTTTCAACCCCCCTGCATGCTCTGAGCCCGGTGGACGAAGATGCTTCGCTTCGTCCACGGCTGCAGCCGTTCCCAGTTTTTGCCTGATGCCGTGGGCCAGTCGCCTTTGCCTTTAATTCTGCTAATGCGCGCTGTACGGGCCGCGGCAAATTCAATGACACTGCGTGAGGCCGCCGCCTCGCTTCGCCACACCTTACTCTGGCAACATTATTATACTCAGGACCGGTAATGTTTTCTATCCTTAGCAACGGCGGACCATCGGAGATGCAGCCCCATCCGCGAGTCATTCCCAAGCCGAGATTTTGGGATCAACGAGATTTCTCCTGTGTGGCGGCGGCACACTTAGCGATCGACACAGTAGAGGAACTATCTTCGGAAACGTTCGTCAGGATGCCGTTGCAGCTCAGTTCTTCGAGTGTCTTATATTCGCAGGGTGCACGTACATACCGAGCTGGGACCGAGGTTATTCGATTCCTCGCGTACCAGTTCTTGGGCCTGCGTTCGCGCTAGTGAGGGAGCGGCGTCCACGCCGCAGTACAAATCCCGACTGCGACAGCTTGAGCGCGATCGATCTAGCGCTGTGGTCTGGTGGCTAACGGTCACGTGCGGGAACGCGTCCCCGCAGCCCATAGAGTCAGACGCGTCTCGACTCTCGACATGGCGTAGATTCGCACCCACATATTGATTCAAAAAATGCTCCAAAATGCAAGGATTCTAGATCACGAACTGTAAGCGGGGCGAATCTTGTTGTTCTACTCGCAGCGGCGCTATATTTGCCTTGTACACATGGGTTGGCTAGCGCATGGTGCGCATTTCGAGGCTGACCATCTTCGATCGGTACTATGCGACTCTCTCACTGTCAGCACCGAAGCTCCTATGCTGCCTGATGTATAAAAGGCGGTCCTCTTCGTCTCTCTTGTCCTCAGTTCTCTACCTTTGACCACTACGATCTCTTGACGAGAACGCCTGTGCCTACTGCTATCGTCGTGCTATCTATCTGCTATCGCTCTACACGATCATCATGAGACTCACTCCTTCTTCCTCTCTTATTCTCGCGACCCTTGCGATCTCCTCGTCGTCGTCGAGTTTGGCAGCTCCCGCCCCCGAACCGCACCATGGGTTCCACGACCACCACGACATGATCTCGAGTTCGTCCACTATGAAGACGGCCGGAAGACGTGATTCCATGCACGTTCACATGCAGGGGCGGGATCCACTTGGTAAGATCTCGGTTTATGTTTCATGTCTATCGTCGCTCACACATCGGTCTACCCACAGGGATCAACCAGCACTACGACACGAGGCAGCTGGGTCAGCTGGATAGTATCATCAGCACCCTTGGGGGATTGCCTCTCGTGGGTCCGACGCTGGAGACGATCCTCACCCCGGTCTTGTCCGCGCTCGGTCTCAGTGTCAGTGTAACAAAGGAAAACGTCCTCGATGTGTTGTCCTCCCTCGCTCCCCAGCAGCTCTCTCAGGTTCAAGAGGCGCTGTCCCAGGCGACCAGCACCTTGTTAGCCACCGTCCCCACCTCCATTCCTGGGTCGTCTTCCAATCATACTGCGCGCGACGGGCCTGACATGACCTATTCCTACTCGGTCAGCTCTTCCGACACCGCGAGCTCATCCTCTGCACAGCCGACGTTCACCTACGATGGGATGGCAGCGGATGCCGCGACCTCCAGCGCCGCTGCCGCTCCTTCCGGTGCTCCCGCTGGCCTCCCTGTTAGCCCTCCGATCAACCCTCCGATCAACCCTTTCGCGGCTGGCGCGAACCCTTTGTCGCCATCTCTTCCTTCCAACCCTCCCAATACCCCAGTGGCTCCCCCAGCCGCTCCCCACCCTGAAGACATGCGCGCCCGCGCTGTTCCCCCCGGTGCGCCCGCGCCCCCTGCGGGTGCACCCCAGCCCCCCGCGGGTGCGCCTCAGCCCCCCGTAGGTGCACCCCAGCCTCCCGCTGGCGCACCCCGGCCACCTGTGAGCCCTCCTGTTTCACCGCCGACGAACGGTGGCCCGCCTCCGGCTCCCGCCCCTCCTGCTCCTGCGGCAGCCGCAAAGGACGTCGCTAGCTCTTCTAGCGACCCTGCGGCGTCGACGACCGTGGCGACGGTGACGGTAACGGCGACGGCGACTGGTGCCTAGCCCTCAGGTGTTTTCGCTTCTACTTCTGGTTGATTTTACGATCCTTATTCTACGATTGCGACGCCTCGATATCCATGATACATACTATGTTATAATGACCGACTTTTTATAGTACTTTTGATACCTTCGCCATTAATATCCTTACCGATAATACCAATACCTTATTGCCTTTAATGCACTTGGTCGTGTTCAAAGTTCTGCTAGTAAGAACATCCGAAGTAGACATAAAAGAAGGTGTGAACTTGCACACGACAAACAAACGACAGCAAGGACTCGTTAAATGCAAAGGACAGCAGAAAGCATTGCTAAACGCACGACAAAGTGAGGATCAAGTCAATGACGGTATACATCCTGCATCATGGAACCACAAACCAAAAAGAGACGATGAAATGTAGGGGATCGAGGGTGTCACCGTATCATGAATCGGAAGCCGTCGCCTGTAGTCGGGCTGCTCTCGTTCGTAACCCCCATTTCACCAGTACCCAGTCTGCAAAGGCGAATTGCCCGCCCAAGCGGATGATGTTCTCCTTGATCACTGCCCACTCTTCTTCCATCCCGCACAGATCATCAAGCACATCTTCCGCATCAAAACCCAGGTCGGAGAACATGGCAACAAGATACGCATGTCGGTCCGACGACGATAAGGTATTCACAAAAGATTCCACAACACCTCTCGGCGGAGGCTTTGCATTTACATCCTCATCAATGTTACGGGAGGAATGCGACGATACCTTTGCCGCCCGAGCTCGCAGTCTCTTCTTGAGGTGGATCCAATCTGCGAATCTGCCTCTCTTGATGACCATCTTGTTGACTGGATCCCACTCGTCTTCCGTGCAACTGAGCGCGTTGAGCAGCGCATCGGAATCAAATCCTAGGTCAGACAGCACGTCTGCAAGGCACGCTAGGCGTGCGGACCGCGATTTAGGCTGAACTACAGGCGGTGAACTCTGACGTCCTGATTTGCTCGTACTGTCGCGGCTTCTGGGTAACAAGAGAGATGCGGCGCCTATCGTTTCCAGCTGATCTGTGTGGTGCGAACGGTCCAGAGGAGGGGACGTTGTGTCGAGGTCGGGAGGATGGGAAAGACTCGACAGATACACAGGTTCTACCTCTGTAGAATGATGTGCTAGGGCAGCAGTTGGGCTATGGAGAACGCGTGCATGGGGCTCAGATGTAGCGTCCGACACGGGGGAGTCATCATCCAATTCTTCCGGCCATTCGAGGTGGAATTGCTCTAAATCCATAATATCTAGTTCTTCGGTCAATTCTGCAGCCCTGCTCTCCGCATGGTTCAGATCGCGTTCCGTTGTACCATCTTCCTGGGGAAGGTCTGGCAGAGTAACGTCTTCCGCGTGTCCTTCCACATCTTCCTCGTTTTGACAAACACTCGCCTCTGTGAGAAAGCTTAAAGGTCAACCCCAAGATATAAGACACCGAAATTGTACTGCAGGCATACGGTCAGATGTAGCTTCATCGTCTTCGAGGTCATCTCGCTCTAGGTTCATGTCGACGTCCTCCGTATCAGCTTCGTTCCGCTGCACGCAACTAGACGTGGGCGCATCTCTTATACGCCCCTTCTCTTGTTTCCTTCTGTCTTGTTCGGTTCGTCCCACGCACCGCGTTTGACGCAGAGACAAGTATTTGGACGTACAACTTCTGATAGCATGTCGCTAGATATGGCACCCAGCATCGTTTGAACAGCTAAACATGACAACTGAATTGAATGGGTAACTTACCTGGAGGCTGCGCGGATAGCGGCTTGCAAAGTCGCAACTTGGACAATGAAAGAGCTCGTCGTCACCATTTCGAACCACCTGTACGATATTCTTCGGATTGTCGAGAAACTTCACCGCACAAGATCGCTGGTGGACACTGGTGTAATGGTGTTTATAAGAACGAACTTTCATCTTGCAAACTGAACAGCGTTCCAGCAGTGCAGATCTGATAAACGCATATTAGAAAGTCCGATTATTCTGTCAAAGAGTCTGATAATAATGTCTTACGGACGCGTCATTATGTATATCTCAAGTTTGTTTCCAGGTAGGACTGGACAATGGTTGACTTGAGAGAAGTTTCAAGTGAGCCTCGACAGCAACAGACGGAGGTGTACCAAAGATAACTAAACTGCGGATTTAATGACTACGAGACTACAGAATGAAGCTTGAAGATGGAAGTGCATAGAACTCTAGTCAGTGGATTAACGTCACCAATGGGGCCAAGTTTCGGCGTATCCGGTTAGAGCGGTTTTCGGAGGGCGAGCGCCGGCGTCTGCATCAAAGTATGAATCAGACATCTCCACATCAGGTAAGTGTTCAAGATGCGACTACTACGAAAGATGCTGGAAAGATCCATAGAATCCAGAATGCGCATTCAACCAGTGGGGATCATACATCTTGGAAAGTGTCTCGAGACTGAACTTGCCAAGACAGTATTTCAATGGAATCCCTCTTAGGCCCAAAGAATACTTCCGCCTATACAATTCAGAGTCACAACACACGACAAATGGAAGATATATACAAACAAAGCAACATCATTCAGTACATAGACCAAATTGAAAGCAGTACAAACGAGATGTCAGATACGAGAGCAGGTACAGCATACAACAAACTTCCCCATGCAAAGGCAACGTTAAGTATACAACATTGGGTCCATGGATTCAACGGAGATGATGAACCTAAAGAAATATGAGACAGCTCGCGAACTGACATTATCCACGAGCACGCGATCTGTTCAGTCGCCCCAATCTCCTCCGCAATCCCCACTTGACCAGCACCCAATCTGCGAACCCGAACTGCCCACCATTTTCATATATTTTGTCCTTAATGGTGATCCATTCGACGTCTTCTTTTAGCCTGCACAAGGCATCTAGCAAGTCTTCACGGTCAAAGCCAAGGTCCGATAACGCCGTGGAAAGGTACGCGTGCCGGTCTGAAGTTGATAACCCCTTAATAAAGGACGCCGCACTGTCACATTTCTTGCCCAGCTCATCTTCGTCGACGTCAAGGGAGAAGCGTGCGAGTTGCTCGGAGCGAGACTGCAAGCCGAGGCTGAGAATACACCAGTCTGCAAACCTGCCTCTCCGGAGGACCTCTGCTTTGACTTTGCACCATTCGTCCTCCGTGCAACTGAGCGCGTCGAGCAGCACATCGGTGTCGAAGCCGAGACCAGACAGTATGTCTGCGAGGAATGACACGCCTGGGGAAGACGACAATCCTGCCACGAAGGATTGAGCTGGAGACGGCTGAGAGGTCTCCACTTTTATCGAAATGTCCGAGCTGATGCTACAATAAGAAAGACTTCTGGGTATAGAAGATACATGAGGACCGGAACCTGATGCCGCAGCCGTGGCAGATGGTAGACGGTCAGCGAAAGACGGCTGTTCAGTCCCGCGCGATGAACGCCCTATGATAAGAGATGGGGTGCGGGAGATTGGGCTAAAAGCTAATGAACGCCTGGATTGTATGGATGAGCGAGATCCTGTAGATGGATCCACTGTTTTCAACACTGAAGGTGTTGCCCGCATATAGTCAGCAGGGGAGAGGGCGGGACTGCTTAGCGGGGGCGTGGGCTGTTGTACATGAGAGGATTCATTCCGGACAGTGTCACATTCGCGATCGGTGCTTGCGCAAATCTGATCGGACGGTAGATCATCACCCGAAACGTGCAGAGCTTCTGTATCCACGATGACACGATCAGAGGATGTACAAGCTTCGCAGGGGTTAGTCTGGTCCGTCTGCTGAGGAGTGTCCGTGACGGGGCTGAGAGTTTTGTGGTTGGATGAAGCAGACGGTAAGCTCAATGTCGCGGGTGGTGGCGGGGATTTTGAGTCGTGATATTGCGAAGCACTTGACTGCCTTTCGGGACTCCCCTGTGAAACGATCTGACATTCCTGATTGGGACCTGGTCCGGAATATATCTCCTCCTCCTCCTCGTACATCGTCTTCTGGCGTGAGCTCCCACCCTCAGTATCCGCGTGCATTTCATCTTCAACGTCTACGTCCATTTCAGCTATATCAGATTCCATACCACAAATTAGGGAATAATGAGCTGGGAACTAAGACCAACATCCGAAATTTGCTCACGCTGTTGGTTCATCTCATCCAGTGTATCACTATCAGTTGGTTCTGTCTTCAACATTCCATCGACCTCGTGCATTTCGAAGTCGTCTACTTGGGAGTCACTAGGCTTCCGAATATACAGGAACTGTATTTCTTCCTCCGAGTTTTTCTCAGCAGCCGGACGGCGCAAACCAGGGAGCCGTATCCGCAAGGGAAGCATGACAAATGTGCAAGAAGCAGCATGACGCTGTTGCATTGAACATTGAGGGTTGATTTTCTGAATCTAAAGTCGAGTAGACTTCATCGCCTACCTGCAGAGACCTTGGGGAGGCATGCTTGTATACACATCCGAGGCAATGGAATAGATTATCTCTGCTATCCCGCACTATCTTCACTTGGATCTTTGGATCACTTGCATATCTGACCTTGCAAATAAGACGATGAATAGAGCTGTAATGCGATCGGAGAGAGGTGGTCTGTCTCTTGCAAATCGGACAGACTCCGGATGCTGGCCTGATCAGAACAGCATCAAGACAGGCGCTTGCTCGATGCAAGAGCAAGCTCCTCACCATATGTCCAAATTCGTGGGTTTGAGTGGCATGTACGGCGCCGACGTGGTTCGGACTGAGATTGGCTGATTGAGTCCGCATTCCGCGTGAGACGCTGTCTCAAGTTCTCCCACTCACAGGCACTGGCAGCTGGCTGTCGGTGTCCTCGGGGACTGCCGCTTGATCCCAGATCCAGAAATTCAGATCGGCGCATCCCGGCGCCTACCAGTATGTACAGTTGAGGCGGGTAAGTCCATCTTGAAGTGACAGCTGCATTGTTGTGCTCAACTTAAACATGTACGAGGAGAAGTGCGCAAGGCGCCTTCGAGGTCATCCTCTCTTATTCCTGGTAAAGATTTCTACACGCCGCAATACTTGTGATATCGATGTTTGCGTCCCCAAACCAGTGCAAGCGCATTTCAAGTTGATCTCCGTACGAAGTTGAGACTCACGAAGAATCATATCCGGAGAGTACTCCCACGAGACGTACCTTTTGTAGGAATTACAGGAGACGAAACTGCGGAGCACGTAAGAATGAACACACGTAGAAGCTCAAGCGCTCAAGCGGAGCGATCAGCGAGCACCTTGTGGATGTTCCGGCGCAGAATACAACGTTTCTCTTCTATGAAATGAGGTTACAGGGCCTTGTGCAAGGATAGGTATTCATACAGTACGGATTGCTTCTTCAGTTGCCTGCGATCTTAATTACCAACTTCCCAATTGTCTTCCCGCTCCGTGTCGTCAGATCGGTTTGTGCTTCCTGTACGCCCTCAGTCGTGAATGGATACTCCTTGAAGATGTTGATTTTGACCACCCCTGTTGCGATGAGGCTGAAGAGTTCCGATCCGTAGTGAAGCGCTTCTTCGGGGGTGTATGTGTAGTTCATCAACCTGTTGTCAGAGGAAAAATTGTCGATACACATCCAAAACAGGCGAGGGAATAACAAGGACTGACGTGGGGCGGAGTAAAGCTAGGTTCTTCTCCACCAACTTGAGAGGTGGAATAGGTTCCACTGGCCCCGAGGCGGCACCGACCACCACGATAGTCGCTTTGCGTCTCGCAAGCTTGAAGTCGTTCAGGAACCTGATGGCGCATCAGGCCAAGGCTGGCACGCAGCGCGAGAGAGTACGCACGTATCTTTACCGACACCATCGTAGACGACATGTACGCCCTCGCCGTTGGTGATCTCCAGCACGCGCTCGACAGTGTTCTCTGTGGGGTATAGAATGACGTGGTCGGCGCCGTGCGCTTTTGCGACTGCTGCCTTCTCCGGTGTGGATGTAGTCCCTATCACGATCGCGCCGCGTTGCTTCGCCAGCTGGCTGAAAATGAGACCCAGACCTCCTGCGATTGTGTGAATAAAGACGTAGTCGCCCTTCTTCACATTGTACGCCTCCGTAACGAAGGTCAAAGCAGTGAGCCCTGTAGGCAACATATTTACCACGGACAAAATGAGAAATGCCAAAGCACGCACCTTGGAGCAGAGCAGCTGCTGCAGTCTTTAAAGAGACAGACTCGGGCACAGAATAGACCTTTGCCCAGGGAACAGACGCGTATTCCCCATGCACGCCAAATTGCAGCTAGAGCGATTCACACTTGTCAAAGCGGTACGATACACGGTATTGATTGTTTCGACTTACCAACGCTACCTTATCGCCAACCTTGAACCCGCGCTTCTTGTATTGCTCGTCTGCGAGAACCTTCTCATCCGTAGGCAGCCCAACGATGGTACCCGATGCCTCCATGCCCAAAGTCTGGGGGAACGATTTGATAGGGTAGATTCCCTTCCTACGACCCGCTCCATGTAATTGTACGACCAGGCTGCCAACTCTAACCCGTCGACTCACCGGTGATATGTATCAATGAAGTTAACACCTGCATATGCTACCTGCACATATTGTAAACATAACTACAGCAGAGGTCAACACCTCGCATGTACCCACCTTCACAATCACATCGCCCGGGGCCGCAGCGGGGAAGGGTACCGTCTTCACCTGCAAGACATCGATGTCCCCATTCTTGTCGATCGCAATCGACCGGATGGTTTTGGGAAAGTCGGACATGCTGCTAGAGTATCCCTGCTGAACGTCGGTGCGGATATGTGGTGGAAGACCTGTGCAGTGCGGATAGCTGCTGTTTGACGTCTGGTAGCTGTCGCCCCAGTTCGCAGGATAGTCGATGGTATCATCGGCTGAGCGAGCCGGAGCGGTGCACCTTTAGTCTAGTTTCTTCCTGTTCCCGTCGTCGTACATTCCGGGAGCTGGAGATTGGTCAGAAATGTCACCACTCTTGCAACATTTCTATCGCCAGTGGTACTATCGGCCCTTCAGAGATGGCCGTGTGAAGTTGGAACGAGCGAGGCCTACTAGTGAGGGACCAGCGACGTTGACTGTGAACATGCCTTATAATAGAATTATTCGACGAGCGTTTCAGCGGCGAGAGAAGAAATATCGGACGTCTTGATGCGAGCTGTCCTAGTCTCCCGTGGGCAGACTGATTGTCACTCTGCTTCTGTCAACGTTCGTACCTCAGGATACCCGTGTCGAGTCGGACAGCTGTCCACACTCTGATGCAACTAACGGGAGCACAACAACACCAACTTGGAATATTTCTGTTGGCGCTGTAGACGTCTCTTCTACAATATTTCTAGAGCTACAATGAAAGAAAGATAGGCATACAGGTGATCGGGAATTAGATACGCGACTCTGTTCACTTCAACGCGGAAAAGGCCTCGGTTAGCATCTCGTACACAAACAGAATCTGCTCGTCCTTCTGCACCATCCCGGGTCTCTGCTCCCGGAGAGAATCAATTTCCTGCGCGACAAGATCTTCATGGAGTTCCTCGGGAAGGGGCCCGAGGGGTGACGGCGGGAGAGGTGGTGGGGTGGACATCTCCCCCGACGACAACGACGTGACAGGCGAAAGAAGACCCTGCGCGCGAAGAAGAGAGGAAACCGCGATGAATGCACCTGTTCTGCCGATTCCCGCTGAGCAGTTTACCATTATGGGCGGGTCAGGATCGAGTTCGTTTCTCAACGACTCGGGTTCCCAAGAGAGGTCGCGGTTGGTCTGGTCGACGAGGCGCGTGAAGCGAAGCAGACCTATGCGGTCCTCCTCATTGGGTACACCGTGGTCTGGCCAGGAACCATACAGCATGTGCTGGAAGACCACAGGCTCAACGTCCTGAGGTAGGACCGGCTGGACGGAGACTGTGCTCTGAACACAGTGCGCTTCATCGATTGACGTGATTTTGAGTAGGGTGACCTTTATCGACGTAGCGGCGCACCCTGGCTCGGGGGACATGACCCAGGACTGCCCTTCCAAGGGCGGGAAATAGACGTGCGCCTTCAGCATGCCACTTTCGATGTTACGGGTGAGCTGTACCACCGTGCGTACTCGACTCGTATTCGACTCGGCACCAGGAAGATTGTGCAAGGTATCAGGTGGACGAGTAACAGGTTGCAAAATAACGCTGAGAAAGGCGTGTGCGGTGTGGGGAAGGGGTGCCTGAGTAGCGATCCACCACTTTCCTCCAAAAAGCTCGCGCACCCAATTGCCATTCAAATACCGTCCGTCTGAAGGCGAGCTGTCCCCATCCTCTACGATACCACGCGGAACGGTTATACGCGTACGATCGTACGACCCTACGTCTGCGTAGCGGTTGGCGCGCTGGTTATCCGGGTGGACGCTCGCAGAGATAGAGTAGTGATCGACATGCTCGGATTTATGGGTTACGAGGGCGCCGAGATGTGAGAGGCGATGGGCGAGAGACGGATCGGATTTATGGCGGGAGGCACTGCGTGCGCTCGCACGAATCTGCTCGCGTTGCGCCAATGTTCGGAGAACGGTCGTGATATGCAGGGAAGAACGAGACAGTCTGAGCCATTCTGGCACTGAGGACGGTTCGGCATTAGTGGTCATGATTCCTTGGGTAGTCATGAATCTCAGAAAGGGTATTTCACCGAACCGCATGGGGAAATCTTCGAGAGATGGTCGAACAAAGTCAAGAGAGCGCGTAGCTTTCGAGTCACATGCACCCACGAGCGCTAACCAGGCGCCTACTTCTTTCCGTTTCTCCTCGCAATGGACAGCAAGTTCAGAAGCCTGCTAACATCCGAGACGAGAATTAAGTTGGTATATATATTATGGATGTGGTGTTACATGCCCTAATGCCACGGTAGAGTCAGCTCGACGTTGGATAACTCCGTCGGTAAGAAATGCCTCACCGACGGGGATCCAGAAACCTGTTGGACGTCGCAGCAAGTGAGACAATAACGTTTTAGGTGTAAGTTGAAGATATCTCACAATTGAATTGCTTTCTGTTGCCAGGGGACACCGCAGTCCATCCAGCTCTCCTTCCCTTCACCAGTGATTCCGAGGAAAATTGCACTTACCTTTCAAGGCGGCTTCGTTGGGACAAGGTGTTCAGTTCAAGTCCTACCTAGTCAGATAGGATTGGAGAAACCAAAGTGGCAGAGCTATTCCCAGATATTCCCGGAGGACGTTAATCGCAGACAGAATTTTGATCTTCCTGTTGAGCTACTGCAGAACGGCGTAGAGAGTTTGAAGCTAGTCTTCGAGGAGAGTTCCGATTTCTTTGGTAGAATTACTGTGTATGATTTACAGCTCGAGGGAGAATGTTTGTAATCCCGAAGAAATAGGTGGCACATTATTGTAAGTCATAAACTCACATTTTTTGACGTGGTTGGATAGGACCCCCCGTAACTCGCTTAGAGCTCCGATCCCGCCGGAGGCCATTTTCGGGGGTTAGGTCATTTTCGGGGGTTTCGCACTCAAGCTCCCGGCCTCCCGGCCGGTTTCGGGGAAAAATGGGATCGAACATCTGCGGTGAGAAATGGGTTTCCGCCGGGTTCAAAACGAATTTTCGCCGGAAGTTGAGGGTCTCCAGGAAATTTTCTCTCAGGAATAAAAAGTATTAGCGCAGCTGATATGAATTCTTCCGAGTGAGTGATTGGGGGAAGAGATATTATTCAAGGGACGACCTGCAAGAGGTCCCTCCTTATATACTACACCAGTAGACTAGTCCAGAACATACTACATAGTTCTCGTAGCTACTGTATCCTTCGATGCTGAATAAGATATCGGGGAATATCGCCCGACTACCTGGATGCTCCGGATTGCCTAATAAGGTCATCCCGAAGCCTCCAACAAAAAGCTCACCTTGTCTTCCGCTGAGGACAACCGCAAGGCTCGCACAAACCTGCAGCCAGCACCGAACGAAAAGCGACCACCATTTTTCGGGGGTTTCGCACTGAACTTCTAGCCGAAGGGGACAATTTCGGGGATGTCCTGCACATAAGTTGTACCGGTTTTTGGACCATTTTCGGGGGTCCGAGATCGGAGGTTTGGCCTGCGGCGGGTCCAATTTCGGGGATTCAGGCATCGGGGCTCATAGGGAATTGCGGGGGGTCCTGGTTGGATGCATGGCGGGTGCGGTCACTTGACCGTGTCATTGTAATTCAGCTGCAGCTGCAGGTTGAGCGCGCTTTGCGCCCTCGACGCCCATCGCAACCTCAACGTTCCTCACCTCACGCTGATTTCTCCAAAATTCCCTTACAAAGGGTAGCAGAAAGTGTGTATGTAAAGTAGACAAACAATAATTCGATGGGCCCGCAGATACCAGTGTTTCAAAATCAAATACAAGGAAGTCCCTTGGATGTCCTCTACACTTCACTTCCTGGGCAACGTCGATGCAGAGAGTGCGCGAAGGGAGCGATATGGATTTTTTGTGCTTGAAATAGCAGCACTGGAGACGGTACAGCACATTGTAGGGGATACGGACACGATGGGCACGTCAGACTCGCAGAAGGCAGCCAAGTCCCCGTCCCTACATGCCCAGAGCTTTAGCAGACTACAGCGGGGCAAATCAGATGGCGCATTCATAATTCATTCCCCAGCGTGCCGCTGTGAACAACTAGACGCTGATACTCGGGATGGGAGGCAGCGTTCTCAGCGACCATTACGAACACACGCTGTAGTCCCCGGGCCCAAAAAATCTATGCAGTTTGGCAAAACAACAAGGAAACTCTGGATGAGGGGGTTTGCATCAGAAAAAACAAACCAAGAAACCTAAAGAAGGTGAAAACTCACCGTGCAGCTGAGGTTCCTTGTTGCGGCATCCCGTGGTCAGTCAGTGATTCGGCGAGACTTAAATAATGACGTACTTTACATCAAAACCTCCAATGCGGTGCCAATATACGCCCCGGTATCTCTGGAAAATGTCCCATCAGGTCTAAGTAGTCGCGTAGACCAAGATCATGCCAATTTCTGCTGGTAACATGCAGGTCAGAGGACAGGTGCTATATCTATCGCCATAGCTTAACTAAGTATATTATATGTCGCAGCGTGGAATATATTACTGACCACGATTTTGGGGTGAATTCCTAGTAATTGAACGCTTAGGAAATTCAATAGCATTCTGGTAGATTCTCACCGTACACCTTTTGGCGCGAGGTAGTGAAAATCGGAGTGATTCTCAACTTAAGTTCATCCACTGAGGAAATACGGCGGGGCTCTTTATATAGCCATCTCATGGCATACAAACCACGTGAATTTTACAGCGGACACATTGTCTGCGGCAAAATGTACGTGGGTTTGCATACGATCCGCGATCGCGCGAGGGTCTGCAATAGCGCATCAGTCACCGAACAACGTGTAATGCGAAATTTACTGCACCCGTAGTACCAGACGACAGGCCGACCTTACCGGAGAACGTAGGAACATACGAGACGAGGCGTAAAGATTCGGGTTTGAAGGCTATGCTTAGAAGGTTGACGTGCGACGTGGAATGTAAGCTCGCATGAATGCTTGAGAGGTCCGTTGGACGTGTCAGTACTGGCATCATCACGGACAACTTGACATAGTCTTGGCAGACACGCCGGCCATAAGGCTGGCAGCAGCGCTAGCGGTATGGTTCGTCATGTCCGCTCTCCGCAGAAAAGGCAGGGTATCTACTGCACGACTTTGTCAGCTCTAGACAGTGGAAGGTGACTACAGCGGAGCGCCGTCACAATAACAACAACTCACTACTTCGAGAAATTGACAAGTGCTTGCCTGTTTGAGGCTCTCTATAACATGGAACGACTGTCTTCCTTGTCTAGAGGCTGATCTATGAGCCTAGCTGCATCCACGCGTGCTTGCTTTGTATCTCCGTATTCAAGACACCTCTCCGTAATTTATGGCCTGCCGTGATCACTCCCGAGAAGAATAGCAAATGAAATCCTCCCGAGAAAGAGCAAGCCGTGCAGTTAATGAACCACACAGACAGCAACGTCCGCCATACGAGGGGCCCTGTGCTTGCAGTCGACGGCAAATGCCGCGAAGCTCCAAAAGAGGTCGTATACGTATTGACATATTGATTGTCCATTGCTGTGGTAATTTGTAGGCCGTTTGTGTGGAAAATCCTGTGTTGTAGGACTCTCCGTGATTGATGTACAGTATGTCGAGAGCAACTGAGAAAGCCAGAAGTGTTGACTGTTGCGCAGCGAAAGCAGTGTGCCACTGGCTGATTGCGAGTTGGCTGCGCCTTCCTCGACCTCGATCGCCAAGTATATCCTGCACCCCGCCTCTCCTTTTGTTCTGTCGCTTACGCTCTTTGCCCAAACCTCATGTCCTTCGTACTCGTACCGCCGACCCCCAGTCCAGAAAGCAGCGTACACCATCCAGTATCTCTGCTGTCAGCGACGACGTCGGTCCCCGAGTTGGAACTACCAGACGACCCCGACCGCGAGCGCAGCTCGTCCGAAACTACCATAGTCACTATCTATTCGATGTACGAAGAAGACACACGCAGCTGGTCTGCCTCCCGACATCATTCGAAAGACCTCGACGTCGACGTTACCATCGCTAGCCGCGACTCCTTTAGGGACTCCCTCCGGAACTCCTTCATGCAGTCCACCGTCGCAACCATCGAGGACAGCGCATTCTACGACTCCACTGCCGACTGGCCGCGCGCGAGCAAGCGCGTTAGCATGGACAAGTCTAGACAGTCGGTCCTGTCCAATGGGTCGGTACAGCTGGCGTACTCAGACAGCCGACCCTCGTCCGCCAATGGCAGCCACCGCCATACCGTCAGCCATTCGCCCGAGGGAGAGCTCAGGGCAGGGCTGAGTAGGCCGTCGTTGCAGAATTACAGGTCGGCGCTGTCTCACGACGATGGAAAGTCCGTGTCTGCATTGAGCCAGTCGCCCGACCCCGCACAAAGCAGACCGAATTCGCGCGCCCGCGCGAACGGAATTTCCCTGCCCCGGCCGGATGGTGCTTCACATAGCCGCAAGTCCTCTGTAGACGTCTCACTCGCGCCAAGTAGACCAGCGTCACGGAATCGCAGGTCGGCTGAAAAGTCTCGACCTAATTCACCTCCACCATCGCAAGGTACACTATCCCCGCCGCTTCCACCGCAGTCGCTACTGCAAGTGCCCTACCCCCCGGAATCCTCCCCACCGCAAATACGAAGCTCTCCCGCGGCGAGTGAGCATTCACTCGTGCCATCAGATGGGGAAGACCCGGATGGATTCCACGTGCGGAGTACGTACGCGGACCTGGAGATATGTGGAGTGAAGGGCGACGGGTACGAAGAGGGTGTGGAGCGGACGCGTGCACGAGTGGGCGGGAGTCGCGCGAGCGAGCTGCGTGCACTTGCGGCGCTCGGTGACGGTCTGGAGAAGACACGCGAGCTTACGGAGACGCAGATCCGCATGCTCGCAAGCCTTGACCGGTATGGTTTCTACGTCATGCCATCACACGACCGCATCTTGCTGCTGCCCGTTGCACCCCTGCTGAAGCCGCTTGCGCACGTCGTGACGTTTCCCCCGAATGCGCCTGCCAGCGCGCCGCTACTGCACGCACTGCCAGCCGTCTCACCGCCAATAAGGGAGTTGTTGCGCACCGAGAAATGGAGCAGGATGCTCGAGGCACGATCGCGCGACCAAGGTGGAAACATCGATTCGTGGGGCATTTGCGCGTCGAAGGAGCACAAGCTGCGTGAGCGCACGTTTAAAGGTATCCCAGACTGTTGGCGGAGTGCTGCATGGGAGACCTTCATTTGCCGATTTTCCAAGACCAACAAGGCTGGCTTGCGGAAGTTGATGAATGACTACCAAACAGCTCTTGAACAGCCTTCGACCTACGATGTGCAGATCGACCTGGACGTGCCACGGACCATTAGCGGCCATGTAATGTTCCGAACAAGGTATGGCCAAGGGTACGTGGTTTCTATGTGATAAATCGCGCCAGATGTTGAGGTTTCGTACAGCCAGCGGTCACTGTTTCACGTCTTGCACTGCCTATCGCTCAGATGTGATGCATGCGGGTATTGCCAGGGTATGGGTCCCATCGCGGCAACACTCCTCTGCTATTTTGAGCCTGAGCGGGCGTACGCTGCTCTGGTCCTCTTGCATGACGCTTACACCATGCACACAATATTCAGCCCAGGGTTTCCCGGGTTGCTCGAGGCGATATACGTCCAGGAACGGCTCACGGAGCAGATGCTTCCTTCGGTGTACGCCGCGTTCAAGAAGCACATGATTTCCACGACATCGTACGCCACGAAATGGTACATCACTCTCTTCGCCAACTCAGTGCCGTTCCAAACCCAGCTGCGCCTGTGGGATGCGTTCCTGCTTGAGGGTTACGATATTTTCGTTGTGATCGCGGTCGCGATCGTGTGGGTCTATAGGGGTACGTGTTTCGCATTAATGGTACTCCTCTGCTGGTAGCTAGCGCGCCGTCTGACGGGCATATTTTCACCAGATCATATTACTTCGGAAGCAGCCAGCTTTGAGACCGTGTTGTCATTGCTCTCTTCATTCTTCGTCCCCGAGGACGAGAACGCGCTACTGGCCTGGATCGAGAAGGTAATATCCGACAAGAAGTTGCGGTCGAGCATGCGACAGTGGCGGGCAGACTGGAACCGGCTCGTCGCAGCCGGACAGCACTCGCAGGCGCTGCTATAGCGTCGCTGCGGCGTGTTGGGCCGTCTCGCATACACGCACACGCATTCTCGCAATCCACGGGTGTACGTTTGATTCCGTCTTGCTTTCACTCTTGGCTTTCGAGTCTGCTGTGTCTCCACGAACATTCTCTGTTGCCACTTTTCTGTCTCTGTCACTCTCTGCAGTACTTAGGTTTTCTTGCATCGCATCACATCGCACTGCACCGCGTACGTCGGATGCTAATTACCAGTCCGTAGTATAGTTATCCCACGTCAATTGTCTTTCGCAATGTATCCCACCTGCCATCCGGATATCGTCGGTATAAAATCCGAGTCATGCCAATAAGCCGCAGAAGTCCATGAGCATGCGTGTGGGTAAAAAGTATTGTCTATCTGTCTACGAGTCAGTAGAACAGCCATTTAGATGATCTCAGGGCCATTGATGTGAGATGTTGCGCCAGACTTGCTGAGTTAGACTAGCTGGACGAACTCTCACAAACTGGCAATTCCATTGCAAAGATTGGCATGTCACGTAAAATTTAGAGGCCTCTCAGTGGCAACCTCGAGACTGGACAGCAATCCTAGGAAGTGGCTAGAGAGTAGACACTCTGCTTCGACCTTCGTGCCTCAGGAGTGGCGTTCAAATAGTGTTCTGCCCACAACGAATGCTAGATCTAGAAGGGGGGAACAATATTTGTGGCTGGATAACATCGATATCTCGACAAAGTTGCATGTCGAGATCTGTCCGAGCGACCTTCATCCCAGAAAGGCAGGTCGGGTGGAACGAAATGGTAACACCGCGTTCCGGAATGATGTGAAGACCCCATATGGACGTGTTCTTGTGCCCTCTATAGACGTGCTCTTGTACTCCATATAGACATCGTTCCCCTGCTCAGCTTCCTGGGTCTTGATGGACGCGAGATATATAACAAGTCTGCCCTCGCCAGAGATCCCATCAGGTCTCTACCTGTCCTCGACCACCCACCCGACGCAGAACTCCAGGTTCTCGTGTTTAAGCTGCACGAAGATCCACATACCCGGCGCTCTCTCATAAATCATCCTCCTTTCTCGGACCTACCACGCCCACCCATACACGATGGCTTACGACTATCCTTCCACGCAGCCATCATCCCCTATTACGGGCTTTTTTCCTGTCGGGCCCGCGGCTCCAAACGCGTTTACGTCGTTCCACCAGTCACCGCGTGATACCCATGCGATGTACGAGGCAGCCTCGCAGGGATTCACTAAACAAGCTCCCGCGCGGGGTGGCGCGCAGAGCAAGGGGCAGAGTGGACAAGGCGCGGGTTCACTGAAGAAGCTCATGTGCTTCAAGTGACGGAGTGGGGGTACTGCGGCAGCTCGCCGTGGCGGCGTCTTGGTAGACGTCTTCGAAGGAGTGCGCACTCACACCCAGCGCACTTCCTCCCATCAAGCCGAGGGTGTTGACCGCTTCATGCCCAGGAACGATTCGACGAATATACCACATTCCTATTCACTTCTTGCCGACAAGGACTCATTTCCTCCACATCAGCTCTTGACATCCCAACTAGAGCCTGTACATTCCGCACAGCAAACTGTTCACACTATCCCACTGTATCGATACTTCTACTTATTACGCTCGGTCTACATTCGCACGCGTCGTCACGGTTACGTGCTATAATATCGCAGAATTTGTTTGTACTATCTCATCAATTCATTGGGTCTCAGTAGCTGGCAACACTTCGTGACGTTAGAAACGCGTTGGAACTTTTGCAGCGACCAGAGTCAACAGTTGTAGGTATCATGATTATTTGGGTGGCCGTATCGACTATCTATCATATCACATAAGAACTAGTACAACAGGGCGTACGCCCACTTACAGCAACAACAGCGATATAACTCACAGAAAAAGAGAGAAGAACCAAAACGAGCCAAGACATCATCACAACCTGTAGTGTCACCTGCGCGCCTTCAACCCCTCGCAGGACCAACCATTGCATCAAGGTCAAACCCCGGCCCAACAGTTCCTCCCGAATGACGGTATCCCACTGGTCCTTCGCCGCATACAGCGCCTCAAGGTCCTCGACATCGCGCAAGCCCCATGCGTAGAAGAGTGCCGCGTGCCGCAAGAGCGGACGCTTCAGCCCGTTCAAGAACGCGCATATGGGATTGCCCCAGCCAATGCAGGGCGGGAGCGTGGGAGCTGGAGAACCGGACGCACGATCTTCCCCAACGCGCCTCGGTAGAGCCGAAAGACGCGATTTAAGGCCTGCGCGCAGGACGGGCCATTGAGCGAGGTCCCCGCCGTGCTGCGTGCGGAGGTGCACATATAAGACAGACCACTCGTCCTCCGACATCGCACAGAGCGCGTCCAGGTCAGCTCCGCTACGGCACCCGAATGAGTGGAATGCAGGCTCAAGGAAGGAGAGATCCGTCGCGAGGCTGCGCAAGAACAGATAGACAGGGCCGAGAATGCCTAGCTGCGAAGGTGAAGCTGTAGCATGGGAGGACTGAGCCGAGGAGGCGGAGTCCGTCGTCGCGTTAATACTCAATGTCGAAGGACATGCTGTCTCGTTCTGATTAGACATCGGGAGCGGTAAAGAGTATGGTTCCAGAGATCCGCCTTCGAAATGCGCAGAATCTACAGAGCCAGAACGCCCTGTAACAGTGGACAGGGAGAGGTTGACAGGCGACATGTGAGACATCGGAGGTGAAATCGGTGAATTTCCTACGGGAGGTAGGAGAAGGTCGTTGGAGACTGGTGTCCGGGCCCCTGAATTTTCCCCAGACGTCTCTTTCGTATGCAACGGCAAGAATACCGGGTCAATTAGTGAAATATCAGATGAGGTTGACCGGTGCAGATCAACTCCGCGCGGAACGTTGACATCCATGCTGGTACGATCCGCCAGAGACAAATGGTGCGACGAAGGGCTCGACTGAAGGTTTTCTTGAAGTTCATCATCACTGTCTGGGTACTGAAGAGAAGGAACAGAGGACATTTCGCGATCGTTCAGGTCGGGCAGTGCAAGATCAGGAGACAAAGAACGCAAGCCTGAGAATGAGACACTAGGGTTGAACGAAACCGAGGACGTGATGGCGACAGGGTTGTACTCACAGTCCATTTCCACCTCGAGCTCCTCAGTGTCGATATTGGATTCCTGTGTAACTGTGGCATGCTGCCTGTGCGTATCCACTTCGTCCTTAGTGCTTCCATCGGAATCCTTGTCCAGAGCGCCATCAAGTGATTTCCTGCTGGTCGTAGCCTCATTCGGGAAGAGATTATTGATTTGTTGAATGAGATCAATACCCGTTAGAACCGTAGATGTCCCGATGACTGCACTTGATCGTGGAGTTTGTGAGTACCTGAGAGTAGAACCATTGTAGTAGCGCCAGCTTCTTTCCTGAGCCTTGGATGTCGACCTGCATGTCGACCTTGTATTATTGCTCCTAAGTTCTTCGTAATCAGGTACTTACGTCAACGTGATATATGGCGGAAAGTACAATTGCAGATGACTCGTGGATGTTGACGCCGGGGGGTGGCAAGCCGACGACAGACTCGCATGCTCCTAATTATCCGTGAACTTGGAAAAACAGCGGTAAGTCGAGACTCACTTCCAAACAGCCTGGATCTTGGTATGCCCTGTGGCACCGCGGACAGTGAAATCGACCGGTGAGGGGAGTTTTGTAGACATATTGTGCGAACACAAGGTCGGGAAAGACGACCTTGCAGAATATACTGCCTGTATCAGGGTATCGGCGGTTGTGACGTTCCTTGCAGGAGGAGCAGAAGACATGGGCTACAGGCCGGCCACCGGCACTTGCCCGTCGAGAACCCACCGACATGTAATTAGAAGCCATGGCGCTGAAATCTGCCGCCAATACATATATAGTCAGTTGGGTAAAGAGCGGTCAGGAAGTCATGCGGAGATACCTGCAAGACAATGCACGAACAGTCATTCGGAGAAACGACGGCGGGCGAACGGATTGAAACGGCGAGCAGGGCTTGTGCTATCTGTCAATGGTAGTAAAGCCTCATTCAGTTAAAGGAATTTGTGCTGGCACATATATTGAACCTAAAAGATCTCAGTGAAACCCGGATAACATGACGGGCACAGCCTGATATCGGTCGACCACTGTGACTGCTCGGAGACAAGTTGTGGTTCTTTGTGGGTGTTTACGCTATATGGGAATCTCTGTCACAAGCGTGACATAACCTGTGTCGCGGGGGCTGCAATTTGCACGATCAACTCATTTCGTATCTAGGACGGCTCGTCTGCATAACAATCTGAAATTCGCCGCGACAAAAGTTCGCAATTTCGCCTCGTTTGAGAGAATCCCGAACACTCCTGAATGTAAGATGTTACAACACCAGGTAATTTCCTTCACACGCTTGTTGCTTATCAAAATTTCTGCATTCAGCTACGCACCATTGAATATATATAGTGTCCAACCTCAAAAGTGATTGCGATGGGCCCCTCGCGGTATGTTCATCCTTCATCGACGACGTGTGGAAGTAATCCAATGTTCCTCTTGACAGTCGTCGTCATATAACCCGTACCAAGCGCGCATTGATGCGATCGATGCGCTCCCAGAACTACTCCGTGAGAGATATCTCGCAGTGGTTAGCTTGCGGCGAGTCGACCGTTGGCAAGGTTTTGCGAAATGACTATGGGGATAGCCTTGAAGAGGACGTGGACCATCTGGATGGGCGGGCCGGCGATATCACCAATGTCGACAACATGTCCGAGGATTCGATTGCAAGAACACTTGCAACGCTCAAAGACGAGGATGAAGACCTCGAATATGTCGAGGATGCGACTAGCACCCGCGATGATGAGAGTGATAATCACCCATCCATCTCAACGGCAGCCCAAGGTGCTCGGAAGTCGGCGAGATTGCGGGGACAGAAGGCCCCTTGTGAGATTTTTAATTACTTGTGCTACTTCCTGCTCTGAGCAACCACCTAGATATTCGCACATCCCTCTCTCCCGATATATGTCTCCGTGCTCAACGAGCTCTCCCTCGAATGGTTGCTCAGACAGAGCTGCGATTCTCCTCTGAGTTAACGGCACTTCCGGATGAAGAATCTGTTGGTGTTCACAGGTCGATGGGATCTGCAAGTCCACCGCTGCAGCCAGCTCTGCCAGTGAATGCTGTGGGACATAGTTCTGGACCTTCAGCCTCAACAAATACACTGCAAGAGGTGGTACCGTGTACACACCTACCTCCCATTTCTCAGCGGCAGTCGCAAACACTGTCTTTCAATACACGAAATCAACCACATGTTTTGGATGCAACAACTACCAATATACATCCTCGACTACCGGGATCCTTGTTAGATAACAGGTTGCCTATTCATCAAACTCGGACTAGATCTCCTGCTCCCGCACAGCCGTTGAATTCAACCGTTACTTCCTCACGGTTTGCACAGCAGACTGGATTCAGGTGAGACCACATTGACTAGATAATTCTTATCAGATACTCAATGGCTGATCTTCAGCCGGTCCATCCCCAATGTAGCATCCTGGCATGTGAGCCCTTTTGTGAAGAGGTTTCTTGAGACCATGAAGCCTCCCCTTACACATCACACCAAAATTTTTGCAACAGTAGGAATCACAACACAGGCCCATATTCAGACTTTGGCATTGATGAAGCGTGAGGCACTCTGTGAGCTGCAGCAAGAGCTGTTTGGTAAAGGACTGACATTTATGGAATTTCTCCTCGTACTGCATGCTTTGAAAATGGTACATGATGAACTTGTTTCTCAGATGTCTTCGTCCACACAGTCTTCTTCAATCCCTCAGACAGTTGCTGCCTTTCTTGGTGGACTGCATCCATCTCTACTACAGCATGTACATGTTTTCCACAGTCTTGGCATCTGCGACAAGCACCTAGAGTCTCTACTGATACTGGACCCAGAACTGTACGGTATGTTCATCATAGAATTGCGTAAGAGAGGATTGACTTTTATGGAGTGTCTCATGATAAAACATGCATGTAACTCTAGAAAGTTTACTGTATAATGAAGGTGTTCCTAGCTCGATTACCATCCATGCTTTATTTGCCTACATGCTACATGGTTCATACTCCATTCAAAGCAGTCACAAGTCCATTTCCTCCAGTCGTGTTATGTTTTGATATTCCTGCTGACCTCTCCATGTCTCTTAGGTATCATATGTCAGACCACATCCAGTGTTTGCAAGATCGGCTAAAATCAGGTTGGTCCCACGTAAAAGCCCACTTTTGCCTCTTCCTTGTAACAGTGAGGGCAATTTTGCTTATTGGATACGGTCTTCCACAGTAAACATATGATCATTCAGTTTGGCTCCACTCCTAGGAGTGTCCCGTGTTCCCCCTGGTGTCGCCCGCTACGTCCGCCAAAACTTTCGGATAGCTTAATACCTGGATTGCACGACAGGAGACACGTCGCGGAACGTCGTGTGAACACAAGAGCAGCCCCGCCCTCTGCCTCTAAATCGAATAACGCCGTGACACTTCCCTATTGTGACGCTCCACATGCAGCCCGCATAACGATCCTCGCGCGGACACCACGCACCCATGCGCCATGCACGAGGTGCCTGCGCTGAAGGCGTTGCGCACACAGCAGACGTATCGGCGTTCTTTGTGGAACGTCATGGGCTCCGTTCGCACTGCGATGGTGGAAATAGCTGGTGCGGTATGTGTGATATGCTCACGGACGCTCGCTGAGTTCGCGGGCATTCCGATCTGCCGTAGTGGAAGATATCCATTCACGACGCTGCACGCCGATCTTCTCCCTCATTAAGAACTCCAACGATAATCCCATTGCGTTGCCTCTTCAACGAGCTCAGTTGGAAGTGATGACGAGGAAAACGTTGCTGCTTGGTCGTGCTGCTTGAACAAGGCATACTTTGTAGTGGAGGAACAGCGACAGGCAAGTATGTCTGCCTCACCTTGTCCATCAATCTAGTAACGGACTACTAGTATCGCCTCGGCTCGAAACCGATCGTCATTGGGTCCCGTCGTGTTGTCAACTTCCGCTCATCGCCGTAAATATCTCTGACGTTGTTCAACTACCAAGGTAGGACCTTGATTACTAGGCTTGCTTGCTCTATCCTAAAGTGTGCGACGGTCCGTTACCGGGTGGCGACCACATGTTGAACTGCACTCGACTTACAGCCCTCATCGAGAACCTCTAAACGACAGAGACGACGGATACCGCCACGGCCTATGTCGTAAAAGCGACGGAGAATACCTGCAGGAGAACCAATCATCGGCGGCACCGCGGGAGCGGCAACGTGCTGAAGTCCGTGGGTGAGCGCGGCTGCCATTTCCTTCCATCTTCTTGGTCAACTCGACGTATTGGCTCACGGGCAGCTGCTGACAGAACAGGTCAAGATACATGCATATTTGAAGAGGTTAGCCGTTATTGGGAGCTGCTCATTTCCTCATCTGCCTTAAATTGCAAGAGGATCTGTGCCCAACCGGCAGACATTTTTACAGACATTCCATAATGTCCATATCCGGGTCCACCGCTGCGTCTGAACCCCCAGCAGGGCACCCTTCGACTCCGACCGCTGCGTCGTCTGTCAAAACGCTCTCTGTTGAGCCCTCGGACTCCCATGTACAATTCACGAAGGATTTCGGCTTTCTACCCATCCCACGTCGCTTGCGCTATGAGCCCGAACATTCTATACATTTTGGGCTCCTTTTGAACGCGACGTTTGGCCTAGGGGGCACATTTCGTGAGTCTCTGTCATCCGTCCGAGGAGCGTGGTCGTTGATCATGTGCAGTTGTCGCAAACGTTTATTGGTGCCAGCCAATCCTCAGTATGTCCTTCTGCATTTGCTAGATTTTACAACGTCTGTTGTTTCTGCCAACCATAACGCAGCTGGGCGAGCCCACTGGTCGCGTAGCTTTGTCATAGCTGTCGGCGAATCCACTGACATCCTTCACAAGTTTCCTGTTGCTATTAAATTCTGTCCTTTTCGAACTACCTGACTTTACGAAATGTAGTCCAACTTTCGGATTCGTTCAATGTCACATACGACGACGTCTCGCGAATTCCAACCTTGATTCAGGCTGGGTGGGCATCTTTCCGTGTACTCGCTGTCCATACTAATGATCTGACAGCTACGCCGTCGGCATGCTCACGATATCCATCCTAGGCGACCTAGTGCGCCGACGGCCTCTCTTGCTACTGCTTGTCGTCATATCCGCTTCGCTGACTATCGGACTCGCGTTCACTAAGAGCTTGATCACGTTTGAGGTGCTCAGCTTCTTCATCGGCGCTGCCAGCATTACGCCACAAATCCTCGTATCGCTCGCCGCAGATCTCGCGCCGCCCGAACGGCGCGCGTCTGCGCTCTCAATCGTCCTCTCGGGTTTGCTCTTCGGTGTACTCCTCGCTCGGGTCATCGCGGGAATCATCACCCAGTCCGTGTCGTGGCGCGTAGTATATTATTTGGCCATAGGCCTACAATTCGGCGTAGCGCTCCTGCTCTACCTTGTGCTGCCAGACTATCCTGCTCACAACAAGGGTGCGACATACTTCGGCATCCTTTTCAGCCTGGCCAGGTTCCTAATCACAGAGCCACTGCTCGTGCAGGCGACGATCATTAACTTCCTAGCGAGTGCGTGCTTCAGCAATTTCTGGGTGCGTCAGGGCAGAACATCCGGATTCATTAATGTTGCTCATGCATGCACTTAGGTCACGCTGACGTTCCTCCTTGGCGGACCACCATACAACTACTCCACACTCGTCATCGGCCTCTTCGGGTTGGTGGGCATGTTCGGTGTTGCGATGGCACCGGTCATCGGGTGGCTCATCGACGGGCTGATCGCGTGGTTCGCCGCAGGCATTGCAGTGCTCGCATTTCTTGTTTTCCAGGCCATCGCCGTCGGCGCAGACGGCGTGAACATTGCTGCTATCGTCATTGTCTGCTTCGGGATCGACGTCTTCCGCCAGATGATCCAAGTCTCGCTTATGAGCGCCGTCTTCGGGCTCGACGTCAATGCGCGATCACGGCTAAATGCCATTCTCATCATCGCGGTGCGGCCTCCCGCGCACGGCGCTTCTCTTTCGCCTCACTGACTACTTGTATGCCAGTACCTTCTCGGCATGGTGATGGGCACCTCGGTGGGTACACGGGTGTTCGATGAGTACGGATGGCGGCCGTCCGCCGCGCTCTCGCTCGGGTGGACGGGGCTCATGCTCTTCGTGATGCTCCTCCGTGGCCCTCATGTCCCGCGACGCACGTGGTTCGGGTACATGGGCGGTATCGAGATCCGCAAAAAGAAGCTCGCTGTGCGTGCACACCGTGCGGAGGAGGGCGCCGCCACGAGTGAGGCCGTGCTACGCGAAGAGATGCAAGAAAAGGGCAGCTCTCGTATGAGTATCGAGAGCGAGGGCGAGGTGACGGAGAAGGTGCGAATGGCAGAAGGGTGTATGGGGAGTGAGGTAATTCAGAGCGACAATGACTCCGCACAGATGGTGTAGTGATATTGATGGAATTTCGTGACTATTATTTAGAAGACACTCCGGTGCGTGTTTTGCGGACGCTCCCCGACGATCTCAGTACATGAAACACGTAGTATATATTATTTATCGTAAATTTGAGCAGAGGATATCGTATGCAACGTTCCGCTCGAACTGCAACGCGTCTGACATGGTGACTGCTACGGGTGAGTGGAGAAATGGCTAAACGCTTTTCTGCTCGATTTTGCTTACACTAAGTACTAGCCTGCAGGCACGCAGAAGTAAGATTGCGAGGCCGTGTAAATTCACTGAAATCAGGAACTAACCATTTGCACCTTCCGACCCCAGTAAGTAGTAAGAGGGGACCTCCTGAGCCGTGAGGCGATGCTAAAACTTACTGCTATGGTGGCTAGAAGCGCGAACCGTGATATAGCCCAAATGTTCAAATCTTTGTACCATTTTTTACTCACTTTGGTATGTACCTCAAACCAACGGCGAGAATTATTACCGTACAATCACAACACGCATAGCCAAGTATTTCTCAGGGAAATACCCTGAGAAGATTCATAAAGTAAAGCACGAGAAAAAACTTTGAAGAAACCATAATGAATTTTCGTGGGAAATACTGTGATTGTCCAATCAGCAGCTTAGAATCACATTTGTTTTTGGAAATTATTCTTTATTCTTTTTTCATAGTTTTTCTGTTTACTTTAACCCTTTTCCGCAAAAATACTGGGCTATGCTTCTTGTGAATTTGTCCTTATTTGTTCGACGGATGCTCGCTGTGGCCCACCGAGGCTCACGCTACTCGGTGTGTCCGCCGTTCCAACTTTCAACATACCGAGAAACATTCTGCTCACCATAAGCCAGGATGCCCAGAAGACCACCCAACATCGTTCTGCCGACGGCACCAGCGACACCATACTCTCTGGCCATCCTCTCCGAGTATACCCACACCCTGGATTCACTCCCGCTTGACCTCTCCCGCAATTTCGCCGACCTTCGCGAGCTCGATGCCGTACTTTCGTTGTCTATGTCTATGCTTACGAACAAGATCACTCAGTTGACGAGCATGATTGAAAACAATACCGCCTCGAAGGTAGAGCGGCTTCAGCTTCTCATGAATATCGCAGAAGAGGCGCATCGTCTGAAGCTGGGCGGAGAAGACAAGATACGCGTTGCGTGCTACGCTGCCGATGGGCTACGTGGACATAGAGCTCATATGCGAATGCTCCTGGCACACATGCCCGATGTCGAATATGATAGCCTTGCGGACCGGCTTGGGCGCAGGACGGTGTTCCCACACGTTGCTACGCGCACGTACTACCCGCTGGGTATGACCGAGGGAGGAAGGAGGCAGAGACGAGGTGCTGTTGGAAGCTTGTTGACGGGCGCGGCGGTAGAAGCAACCCCCAATAAGAGGAAGAGAGTCAATGGCAGGGACGAGGATCTTGATGTCTCAAAGTCACCAAGGAAGGAAAGGGCAGCCGATAATTCACGGCAGCGGAATACTGTCAGAACTAAGAGGCATGTTGACCTATTTCTCGATGCATGTTTCGGTTAATGTTCATTGCATGAGATGTAGGACGGAGCGAGCTGCGTCCCCTGCAGAATCTACGTTGTCGGTGGCCTCGCACATGCCCCAATCCTTCCATCTGGCCATGCAGTCTCATACCACGAATTCACGTCAGAACGGGCATGGTCGAGCACCAAGCACGGCATCAGCATCCAATAGCAGACGTGCTCGCGCTTCACGCACGACTCCGGATGCTCTAGCTGCTCAGCTAGACTCTGCCGCATCACGCAGGGATGTCTTCAATGCGCCCCCTTCGTCTTCCGCTTCGCATCCTTCACTCCCTATTCCATATGCGCCGAACGAGTTGAATGCCCACGGCCTAAGCGCCACGCACTTGCCGAATAGCGTGTCGGAGTGGGCTCATGGGCAATTGGAGGGCCCCGGCATGCCTGTTGCACGGAACTTTGTGAGTACCACGTCTGTGGTCGCGGAAACTGTAGATGCTGGGGCAGGGGCTGGTGTAGAGGTGGACGGGGATCCTGACGATGGCAAGACGTACTGTTTCTGCGACGGCGTTAGTTACGGTGACATGATTGCATGTGACGACAAGAACTGTGAACGGGAGTGGGTAAGTGTTGACACGGCGCGGGCTGAGTTTCTGACGGATGCTGATCACGTTTCGGCAGTTTCACCTACCATGTATTGGACTCACCGTTCCACCAGATGGAACATGGTATTGCGATGCTTGCCGCGCGAAACGGAATAAGCAACGAGGCGGCCGTGGAGGGAAAAAAAGAACTGGTGGGGCTCGCGCGGGCGCACGCAATACATCATGATCTTTATGTGTTCTTGTGCCTTATCCATATTCCAGTATGTTTTCGTTTCCTACACGACAGTCGTGCACACTAGTAATATCGTGTAGGATTCGGTGTGCTATGTATTGCCTTTGTATTTATATGTATATTCTTCACTTCATATTCGAAGCCTCATCTTGTTTTTCCCTGGATGGTCGGCTATGCGTGTCACTCTTAAATATGATGAGAAAGCAAGTTGAAGCCGGTGAACGTTTGAACATCGTAAAGTGACAACTTGAGGCGGTTGCGTTGAAATGTCACGTGTAGATGTGCTACACATCGCTCAAGTGGGCGAGTGCTCCCTGACTACCTACTTACGACTCCCCGCCATCGTCTCTCAGGCCGCAGGTTTCTCGTCGCCTTGCGTTATGGCCAACGACTTACCCAGCGCGCTGCTCAGCTTCCCTCAGGAGATCCTGTTGCACATCTGTATGCTTTGTACGCGACTCAATACAACTTTCAGTACTTACCCAGAGTCGGGAACAGTGTCATTTCTCGATTTACCGGATCTCGCTAGTCTTGCACAAGTGTCCCCACTCTTTGCTGTTCTTACAGATGATCCTGTGTTGCACCATAAGCGCATTTACGTCGTTGCACCTTCACGCGTATCGCACTCGTTGTTCGGACAGAGTTCGGCTGGTGTTCCATTCCGGCCGACAGTTGCAGACCTAGTGCACCGAGGAATCATGCGCGGTCTTGGAATTGAGCGAAGATGGAGGGACGGGCTTTATTTCTATTCCTCGCATGTAGGTCTCTTGTACTCCCTGTTCCCGTCACTTTCGTCGTCGTTGATGTATGTTACAGATGGTAACACAATACGAGAACTCCCTTCGCTTGCAACGCACCCATGCTGCAGATGTTGTCGCACATACGCTGCGTAGGCGGACTTCTGCCGCCCTCTCACGCGTATATTCTGTACGGGTGCTGCCGGACGAAGCGCTTGCCTTCCCATCTTTGATTTCACCGTCGTTGATACCTGCCATGCGACGGCTGAAGTGGTCTGTCCAGAAGGACCAGCTTGCACGCTTCGTGAAAGACCGAAGTGACATGGCCCGTAATGGTGGTATCGTCTCGTGGCTCGAAGGCCGTGGCAAGACAGTTATGCGCAGAGAAAACGAACGTGTGCGGCTCGCGGTATGCCCTGGCATCAGGGGTATGGTGCGTTTCTACGAGGATTTGGGGTGATAATGTTCCTCGTGTGTTGTGCTTTTAGCTGTATTATGTTCGTCATTTTGGTATAGTTTGTATCAGTGTATACGGAGACCTTTTGCGGTGAGTTATACCCACATGATTGTACTAGGGAAAGGCCGCCTGCCTTCGGCGGAGTGTACTCGGTGAGTACTTAGGCCTTAGGTCTGGCATGCAACTACTGGATTTTTAAGAACCAGGACTATTTTACTCTCAGCTTGTTTTGCTGCAGTACGGTGACGTTAGTAATCCCTTTTGTTGTTCCAATTCCTCCGCCCACCGATACCCTCTTCAAATTGAGACTGGAGGTTTCAAACATGGTACCTCGTTTGATCGTACCCCCAGAGAATGACCCAAAGAGCGACCGGAATCAGTCGGATGAAGCCGAGTGAATAAAAAGAGGCCTAAGCTTCAATTTAGAGGATGGGCGAGACCTTGCAAGTAATCAGGGAGTCTTTGTTACTACCACAATAATGTCCTCGGCGGAACTCCAACTAACCTCGGAAATGTAGCGGGCATGCATATGTACAAGACGTACCGCTAGGGCTAGGGTATGTGAATGCATACTTCACCGCTCCCTTGAGCAGGAATGACGCGTCCCTGTAAGCAACCGTCTTGCACTAACTGGATCTCTGAGCCAACGGTGTAAGCAGCAACGACTTACAAAAGGTCGCGTTGGGCGCATCAAATCATGACGAAGGCTTGCGTGTTGGTGGCAGAGGCGGAGGAACAAATGTACGACAGTAGAGCAGGAACTCATTGCATCGAGTCCTTGTCACGGAAGCCGTGATCTGCATTCCGTGGCATAGCACAACATGCAACTGAGACACTGTGGAAACCTAGCAACGCAATACAAAGAGGAATGCCAAAAAACTTCGCAAACGTAGACCTATACAGTCAGCGCGCCAGGGGCGTAACCGCTGAAACTCAGTGATCTCGTCCTGTAGAGCTGGTGCATGTCCACAGTGGTCGAGCTGAACGAGTGTGCAAAGGAGGGTTCGCGATGCAGATGGAGGGAGACTCACACATATCAATATACGACATTCACATGTACTAGAGTGGAAGTGACTCACAGAGAAGATGCATTGCTCGACGTTGTGATGGCTATACAAACACTCACTCCTGGGAGAGGATTATTGGCAAAGACAATGGACTCATTGCAACGCAGGTGCTTTGGTCACAACGCGCACGGGACGCAAGTAGTTGATATAACAGATCATCTATATCGTCAGGAGGAGCCTCTTCGGGCGTCCAATAAACAGGCTCTCCAGTGACAAAACCAAGACGAAGAGAAACAGCGCAAGGAACGACGGCAATTGCATCCTGAGATTTGCCGCCGTCGGCCAACTTCATCTCACCCAAGAGGCCCGAGCATTTCCGGTTGCCCGCTGCAAAAAAGGGTCATGGGAAAACCGATGATACGTCTCGAAGTTCACGGCCATCATCAACAAAGCAAGATGGACAGGGCACTTAGTGCAAATCGCCACATAAGTCGCCATCGCAGGCTGTGGAAGGCTTGTCCTAATTGAACTCGAAGCCCCAGAAATCTCCCAACATCTGCACAGTCAGGTACGTAACAATAGACGAGTCACACGTATTCACCTACAACGTATCGCATCGCGGAAGCTATCACGGCGGTCCGTGAACAGCTTTCCGGAGAGAACTAAACCTCATTGCGATGTGTTTGATATCTGTGCAGCCAGGTACAGAGAAGGAACTAAAGTCACACGCAAGCAGTCGCCCACAACGTATCGCACCGCCGAAGTTATCATCACGGAACGTGGAAATTTTCCAGAACGAGCGGTGAGGCCCTAGAATCCATCGCCTCGTTGAGCGGGTGATGTATTCTATCCGTGGAGTGACACACGAAGTCCCGTAGAGGCCACAAGTCCAAACAGGGCTGCCGTCTGGATGGAGATCGTACCAGAAGCTCAGAGAGCGCGCAAACACTTCCCGTAGATGCTGAAGGAGAGGTGACTCACTGACTCCCACGAAGAACTGCAGGAAAGGGTGTCTAAAGAGATGCAAATGGTACACCTGCGCCGTCAGCTGGATGGAACCGAGGCTGCTTCTAACCTAGGTCGGACGACGATGATGCAGGCCAGCTGACATCCGAGAGTCGGTCATCAGCTCGTCCTTGTGTGGGGCTTTGTGGGTGCACGGTCGAGAGAGCGGCTAGATAAGTTCGAGCGGGTACTTTCGCAGAATTTGCTCTCGAGGGGAGTCACGGGAAGTCGTTCAGCTTGCCGTCGCCCGCATGTTGTGGGAGAGCGCTGCGCAGTTGCAACACCGAACTGATTGTCAGTTCAAACGGGGAAGGTGACGACGACATCATAAACAAGATCAATGACTCCAGCACACCAGGATAGGTTAGCATGAAACGCGAGTCCGGGAAACGCTCGGAAAGATTGCACCGTTTAGCCCAGACCAAAATGAGGGGCGACAAGCTGTACGTTACACCCACAGAAAAAAGAAAGTGCCGCTGTTGTCAACGGCTAGCGCCACGAGACCGACATCCCGGGGCGGCGCTCCATCATCTTGGATTGTCTTAGGTAGTTGCAAAAAATAACCGAGCGTCCTAGAGGTGTACTTGAGATGGTTTATGACCACAAGTCACGGAGTAGAACGGCACAAATAGGCGCCGGAATTTCGTTCTATCGCGATCGATACGTGGATTCGATACTAGTAGCCGGGTTCTCAGCGATCCCCTTCTTCGCGTTGAATTCTGCGTACCCCTCCGCTCAAGCATACTAGTACAGGACCCCCGACAATTGGGGAGGATCCCTGAGCCGATTTCGGACAAATTTTGGATATTTGGGAGCGCCATCCCTGATTTTTCACGGACAAATCAGGGGGTCAACCTGTGGATGGCCTGAGGTTTTTCACGGACAGATGTACCGGACATCATGGATGCCTGATCCCCCTCCGGACAAAGTTCTACTCCGGCCAGAGGCCGGCATCAGGATGGAAGGGGGCTCTGGCAGGCTCAGGCTTACCACCTTCAAAGGGCTGTCTAGATGCTGTCTAGTCGGCCTCGGAAACAGACATGCCGCTTCCAAGTTCATAGTTGACAACCTTGCATAAGTGTCTTCCTGATGACAACTCACTAAGAACAGTAGAAAGTAACTTGCAATGTCACTTTCATAGTAATCTTGAATTCTATCTCCTCCGAGCATGGCCGCAAAAGTTAGTTATACTATTTTCATTCACTTGATACCAAATTTCTCCTGATTCCTGTCCTCAACAACATGCACTTTGCTAACAGGAAAGACATGCTTGATGAGAGTTACAATGAATTAGCTTATCCTTTATTCTCGCAGCTCGGAAGGCTGTTTTGAAAATTGGAGCCTCCCGAGGCCTGGTTTGTGAATACGGACAAAAATTACAACATCCTGAGGCCTGAGGCCTGATCCGGGAGCCCGGACATTTCTGCAATGAACGCATGCCTGGTCCAAAACCCGGACAAATTTGACCTCCAAGGGCCGGAGGCCTGGTTTTTTGCGGACATTTCACGCCAAAAACCGGCTTCTACCAACGGACATTTTTGGTTCCTCAGGATCAGGCATTTCCGCCAACTGTCGGGGGTCCTACTAGTACGCACAGGCTCGGATTGTACCTACGTATTATCCGTTGACTGTCGCAGTCCCGTGAGGCACCCACTGATTATCGCCACGCGACCGTGACGCAGCCTGCTCCGAGCTTGCTGAGCTTCTTTACTTCGGCATCGTCAAAAATCGGGTGGCCCACCGGAGGTATCCAGCGCAGGAGACTAGCACTCAGCACAACACGGCGAATACACCATGATTCAAGTGAGTTGTGTGTGCTTTATTATGTAGCTCGGCTACAGAGCACTTAGGAATCCAGACATAGACCATAGTGACAACGGTAGCCGACGCCAGGACCTACAAGAAGTACTAGTCCACGCGCGTTGCGCAATACAGTCTGATCGGTGCCGTAAAACTGTATGATTGTGGTACGTAATCACAAACGCCAGACTTATAATGTCCCAGGACCTGGTTACGTTCCAGTATCGCAAATGTTTGCCCCTCGCTCCAATGTCGTCCAGATGCTAGTATGTTTTTTTTGGCTCTTAGCTTACGATTCATTAATCTCTTTATACAGACAGCCCGACGCACAGCTGTGAGACGTCATCACATGGCGACAGGTATGTTGCAGCTTTGCTGACGAGTCGGAGTATTTGTGACAGGTACAAACATTGAGCAGATTCCCTTCTTGCGAAAGATAGTCATGCCGCTCGATCGTTATTTTTTGAACAGCGCTTGGAACGTGATAGCTGTCGGGCGTATGCTGGAGGTACGATTCGTTTACCTGTTTGGTCGATCTATGGCTCATTTCAGACAGTACAAATTGTCCCTGTTCAGGGAGATATGACTCGTTTGATGGCCAACATAGACACAGGCGCGCTCGCGTACGCTGCTGCCCATGCAATCTGTACCACATCCATTCCCCGCCTCACCTTCTTGGATGTCGGTTCATATAACAGAATTTTTCTGCTCTCCTTTCCCAACGGCGAGCAGGTGGTCGCTCGGGTTCCGTTTCCACAGAATCTCATACAGGACAAGATTTCTTCGGAAATCGCCACAATGACCTTCGCCCGTTACTATTGTAACATCCCTTGCCCAAGGGTCCTTGGCTGGTCATCCACCCCCTCCAATCCTGTAGGATCGCCCTATATTTTGATGGACCATGCGCCCGGCATTCCTCCCTTTGCTAAGTTTTACAAAGAAACTCAAGATCGTCGTTTGAAGATACTGGACAGCCTAGCTAAGCTTCATGCTTGCTTCGCACGTCCGCTTCCATTTTCGCAGTTTGGGAGCATCTATTTTGCTCTAGATGTGATCGCCAGAAACCGTGGCGACATAGACCTCAGTGATCCTTCGATGTACCGCATCGGGCCATATCTTCGTGGACCGACTAGCGATATGGATATTGGAGGCCGCCTGGTTTATTCTGCGGAGTCGTCTTCCAACATCGTTCACTTTTGGAAAGGTTGTCTGTCTCAGGAGCGTGCAGCTGTGCTCTCTCGGTGGGGTACGGATAAGAATACAATGATCACGCCTCCTGATCATCCATATCCACGTCTCGGAAGCAGAACATTCACTCTGGGCGATTTTCTGGAGATATCGTCGACATTGCAGACCATCATCTCCCGTATCACGCTTCCGAGGGATCCGGCACTGCTGGCACCTTGTCTAGTCTCGACGGACTATGCTTTCCGGAACATCTTCGTTGACGTGAATACACTGGAAGTCACATCCTTCCTCGATTGGGATGATGTATCGGTGATGCCGTTTGTACTTTGCACAAGATTCCCTGAGGACATATCGTGGTCTTACGGTGCCCCGCCATCATGGGCCCAGACCGGACGCTTCGATTTTGTTCCTAATGATGATCCTCCTCTCCCCGGGGAGGAGTATCAGGGAGAAATTGAGCGACAGCAGCAGCGGGCGTATTACAAGGACCGTCTGAAGGAGTATGACCATCGCTTCACAGATAAGCTCTGGGATATGCGCAAGGAGCCTCTCAAGATACAGGAAGTGGTCACTCATGGCTGGGTCTATTGGCTCGCACGTTCAAGGTGGATATCTTCGCATAGGTCTGATTGAAGTATGAAGGACCGTTACACGAAATGCGATCCTATTGAGTTGCCTATTGTGGAACGGTTCAGCGCCGCGCCGACATGTCATCGATCACGACGTGTCATTCATGCTTCATCAACTGCTGGCCCTTGAATATTTGAATATTGAATTCCAAAGATGCATGACTCGTGAACTCACCGCTTTGCTGTATCCTGTGATGTACTAGGGTTTTATCGCAATGTTAGTGCATGCAGCGAAGTTGCCATCCCATCACAGAACGTCGATTGTGCATTACGGAGGTGGGTCGTTCAGTCCCTGTAGGGCAGTGCACATCGTTGCAGTAAGATCTGATGTCGGGCATAGACCCTATCTATCTGGCTTGTAGACGTCATATCCACTTCAGTCGTCGAAAACGTTCAAGCTTTGCACTTTTGTTCATGAACGGAGACTCTAGTTCCTGGGCCTTTACCCGCGGCGGGCATGTGGGTGGTTGCGCAGACCATTTACAATGAATCAGATTCAGAACAAGATGCGCTCACAAGGAGAGATCGTGAGACAACACCACCTGGTGTATTAAAAACATCGTTTGAGGGTCTATGACCGCCGTCTCACGGAGCATTTGTGGGATACGTGGAAGGAGGTACAGGTTATTGTCACCCCATGGACGTGTATTGGCTAGCATATCCGAGGTGGATTAAGTCCCAGATATAAGGTCCTGCACTACGGTTTGTGCGTACTTTTATTGCTGACTCGAAAGCTAGAGAAAATCGCAGAGCGATAAGTACGGTCTGTCTTTGGTAACCTACTGTGCCCGAGATTGCATGCTCGACAGACGCGTCTTCAAACCATCTTTCACAACTAGCCATTCCAACATACTGAGACTATTCCTCGACATCTCATCCTTTACCGCATCCCAGTGTTCCTCGAGCATACACAGCACGTCGAGATCCGCGAGATCCCGCAGGCCGCACTTATGGAAGAGAGAGATATGCTGACAAAGAGGTCGCTTCAGACCGCCCAACCACATGCTGACAGCATCGTTTGCTCCTGTGATGCCCGTGTCAGATGGAACGGGGGGAAACTGGGAGGGCAGAGATGCTCTGCGGGCCTCAAGGCCAGTCTTGATTATCAGCCAGCGGAGAAGCTCCACCTTATGGTCCTGCGCGAGATAGTCGCGCAGGACGGCCCAATCATCGACCGGGTCCATCAAGCACAATGCGTCGAGATCTTCTGCTGTCTTGCACCCGAAGGCTTCGAACGCAAGAGAGAGCTCGTTCGCCAAATTACGAGTGAGCTTGGCTAAGAACGAGCTGATGGCGGAAACCTCGTCCCGCTGGGGTAGATTTTCGCAGCGGTCAGGACGAGATGTCGTTCCTTCCCGTCGGTTGTGCTCCACTATACCAGATATGCGTGGTGATGCAGCAAGATTTCGCGGTAGCTCGAGCCTTTGTTTCGCCATGGCAGGAGATTTGGGAGGCGCGCCGAGCGGCAACGAGGAGTTTGGTTGCTCACGGTCTGAAACATCGACAACTCTGGAGGATGGCCGATATGCCAAACTGGGTGGCAGATCATTGAGATTATCGTCACGACTCTCGGGCCACTGCAGAGATGGGACGGGCGACACTTTAGGGCTGCGTCCCCTTTCCGTCAATTCTGGTGATGGTAAAAATGCTTGGTCTTAAAATATAACAGAGGAAGTCAAGAAGATGGATGCGATGAGGAGTCACAACCATGCTCACGTGGTGCGCTTGCCTGCTCTGCGTCCCTGAGAGATTCTTCGTTGGGAGCATCAAAGTGAGCAGCAGGACCCATCCTTGAATTTTCGTGCATCTCGTCTGTTCTCGCTTTGGCTCCATTACGTTCCTCATCAGCCATTTCGTGATCAGGCGTAGTGACTACAGGAACATGTTGAGCCAGAGCAACCCCCCGCCTTTTATGTTTGGGATGGTGCCCCCTGCGTTCATTCTTTGCTCGTTTTCTGCGGCTGCGGGAAAGATACGGGTTCAATAAGAGGGGTAACGCCATGTAAGTGGGATCACCAACTAGGGGTTGTACGATGAGTCTGAATCATCCTCATTGTCTGCGTTGGAAGTCACGATTAGGGGCATGAACTCCATTACAGGTGCCCTACCTGAAGCTTCGAGCCTGAAGAATGCCTTGCAAGTCTTACGCACGTGCGCCTGGAGGGAAAATTAGCGATGAACGCTACGGGTAGCTGGGTTATGCCTCGCCTGAATAACTGGAGCTACCCGGTAGGACGCATTGCAGGCGGGACAGTGGAAGCATTTGCTTTGTTCATTTCTGTAGATGTCCTGGGAGGCTGAAGCGCCAGGAATCTTGATCTTGCATTTGTTCTGATGAAACCTTCGATGATACACCAGGTCTGCATGGTATTCGTGGCAAATATTGCAAACGCCAGGCATGCTGCTGCAATTTCAGTCCACCCTGCCAGAGATTTCGGATGCGAGTGACGTGGGTGTAGGGGACGAAGGCGGGAAATAGGGGCTCTGTGCAACGCGTGCATTTTCAAGCTATGATATCAAGGGGGTCTGGGACTTTGCGTGATGACCTTTGGGAGCGAGATTCACAATAAAATCCTATAAATCATCTCGAGCACAGCAGTAGTTCTCCGGATCTTGAAAGCCAGCTGCAGCGGCGACTTCAAGTGTCTCAAAAGAGGAAGCATGCCCATTTCAGGAAAATCCCGACCTTTCGGGAATGTGCGCTTCGCTGGCGTACCACCGCCATCTGACGTTTCTCGCAAAACAACATCCCAACACTTGGTATCGTCTCTTTCAAAGATAAATAGCAACACTGCAAATGAAAGAAAGATGCGGTTGTGCGGGAAGTGACTGAAAGGACCGTCGGTCTCGCAGACGACCCGTTGCAGCAGTCTACACGATTAGGTACGCGCTCAGGACCTCTCTCCTACCTGAAGCTGTTCATGGAAGCTATTCGTAATTATCTGCAGCTCGTAGAACCGACGTATGGAGAATTGCTGGACCGGAATTGGGCCTTCTGGTTCAACGACATGGGAGCTATAAACGAGGGACGCGCACGCAAACAATGAGTACTGAGAATAAGGATGCGGTCAGCCTGTGTCAAGGAGGGATGGAGACAGTGTGCAGAACATCGACAACCAGGACGCTGTCAAATGGCAGTAGAGGGCGTCCGACCTGTTCTATCGAACTATCCCTTGGTCAAGGAGCTGAGGTGCCAGAAATCACGACTTTCCGTCGGGGAACCAAGGCATGCACTGTATGCATTGTAGGACCCACTCAACGGATGACGCTTTATTGCGAGGTTGCACTGCATTCTGCAGCATCTCGGTAGGAGATGCGGCCATCTCACTTCTATTATGCACGCCTTAGACTTCCTTCCAGCTATGCTTTGTGGGTCCAAATTTTGCATGATCTGTCGGCCTCATCGACTTGGTATTCACTCGGGTGCTGCATATTAGGTGAGTGCATCATGGCATGTCGCGCTCAACACAACATCTCTGTGTACACATATTCATCGACTCAATGAGTATCGTACAGGTGTCTTTCATCTTTTCCAGTAGCTCAGCCCATGACTTTGATCTCCACAGTGCCCCGCCGAATTTTCAACTTCAACCCCTGAACCTTTTGGACATTAACCCAGGTATTATTGGGTCGAGGCCTCTCTCGAGGGATTCTAATGATGCATCCGCTCTTATTAGTACGAAAGTTCTCAAACTGCATCACCTTCGCCTCCGTATCACACCGTACTCTGCGCACAGCTGTCGCATAATGGTCTCCCGACTGAAGCTAGGTAAGTCTGATGCCTTCTCGAGCAGGTACTCTGCCATTGGTTCTTAAGCCTCTCTTGCTGGTCACTGACATTGCTTTTTTGCGCAGAAGGAGCGCCTTCATTACCGGAGTCGTCCGGATGGCAAATGGAAGCATGAAACCCGCGGAATCCCAGAGGAAGTAGTCGACATCCTTGTATTTCTCAAGCATCCCAACCTGGCGCCGTAATACAGGAGAGTGCTCATACTGAGGTTTATCGATGCCGATTGAGGTGACGTTGATTTTGCCATCTGGACCTGTCGGGATACCTCCCACAGCAGTTCCGTTATGGTCTTTTGATGCAACCTGCTTGCCGTAATTCCACTTGTGGGTTGGCCAATCAGCCTTTTGACATTCTCTGTGACGCTCTAAGTGAAGACTGCTCACAGATTATGTCGAAAGATGGCACTCACCGTGAACAATAGTGAACATTGAAGTTGAGCCTTGCTTTGCAAACACTGCATGTTGCGCAAATCCTTGATTCCTTTTGCTAGAACTCTCGCCACGATTATATCCTCCTCCATGCTGCTGATTATTAGGTCTATCTTCTGGTTTCGCTTCACGATATTATGTATTACAGACATAGTGGCTTGGACCAGGGACCATCCTGTGCAAGAGACACCGGTGAGAGCCATGCAAAAGTATTTACTTGATACTTACCAATGAATTCGTTTCGCACTAACGTTATGTAGTCATAGGCAGACTTTTCCTCGGCCGACCTCGGTTGGTCACAGTGATCCGACATCTCCATCTTCACGGTCTCCATCTCCAGCACAATTGTCCACTTCCTCGCCACAACTGTCATTCGCAGGACATCAATTTCGTTCTTCGTCATCGCCCTCTTAGCTATTGTCATATTCGGGATCACAATCACCGTATTCAGGAGCACAAGCTGCATCATCATTATCGTCCACCTCTCATTCATCATCTTCGTCTGGGTAACGCAACAGCAGCCAGTGGAGCAATGGGTACTTCACCTCTCGCGACTGCAGCAAGTTCTCGATCGTTCGCTGCACAACGGTGACCTCACCCGTAAATTGACAATGCCAATTGGGGTATTGTGGACGGTGTTGTAGGCAGAATTGTTGTCTTAGCAGTGCTACACTTAATACTCCCATTGTGGTACCACTGCCAGAAGGTATCAGACACTTGGCTGGATCCTTACGTTGATCAGGAAGACAGCGGTGAACGTACGCCAGCCAAATCGATCTGTCCGGTATGGGAACTTAATGTCCTTGCACATGGGACCTTAACGTTCACGTGGAATGTGCAGGTTACTCCAGCAGTTTCAGTTAGTAAAAGTAAACTCGACGTTCGGCCTAATCTTGAGTCCGGAATACAGATCGTGAGGTCAATGCCGAGCGGTGGCTCGTCGTTGATCGCCTCACCAAGCCTTCATGGCACATGGAGTTGCATGTTACCCTTGCCCGGTACCCCATCGTCATAGACATATCTGAAACTGTTGAAGGAGCAGCAGGCACAGTTCGGCCCTTGCTGCCTACCATGATCTCTTCACCTTTATCTTCACTTCTGATAACGGAGACCTCGAGGAAGCGGTTTTCATTGATTTAAGAAAGTTTGTTGGGTACACCTAAGGATGATGAGGATGCTTCATCTTGGCCAAAGCCGTTGGATCCCTATCCTCATCCCTTAGCATCCGCGTTCCGGGCACCCTCACTTGAGGAAACCGATATCCACTTGAACCACTTCCATTGGAGAAAGTGCAAAAAAGGAAGGTTTTGAACCCGACCCGGATTGAACGGATGACCTTGAGGAATCCCTCTAAAGGAATGCTTACGTAAGCCCCCCCTGGAATCTCACGCGCTACCGCTGCGCCACAGGTCCTCTGTTTGTACTCTCTTAAGTATCACCATGAGAGGAGACATTTTAGACGATATACGCAAAAGTATTGACACGAGAGCAGTACAATATCATCTTATCATGGGTGCCATAAAATCTCCATAACAATGGTTGGAGCTGCCAGCGAAGGCGAACGTAAGCTCAGTAGCTTGTCGAACAGCCGGCCAATACGATTGATACTAGTAGCTGAGCGCTGAGGCCTGAGGACTTGAATATTCGGTGGTATAGAATTAAGAAATGGTATGAACAGTGGAAACAATTTACATATACTTATTGACGACCCGGGGGTTCAGACCCAACCTCACGCCCTACCACTGCGCCACAGTATAAGCAGTGCTCCGACTGCTATTGGTCACGACAAAGATTCAGAGAATACAGTAGCAAATATCTGGACGACACGTCTGAGCACTGCACTCGTACAACCCTGCAGAGTCAACGCACCTCATCTGCGATGGTGTAGAGAAGATGTTGGTTGAGACGTCGGTTCTGCAGCACCGCGAATATTCTCCGCGCACCGCGTCGGGCATTCGACCGTCCAATCATATTGGCAACCAAGTCTAGATAGACGTCAGATCCTCGTCCATACCTACTTTTGCGTGAATCGCACCTGGCATCAACGCAGATAGTTTGCGATTGGCTTCGTCTCTGGTGTGCAGTTTCTCCTCTGCCGACCGCGGTATGCCTGCGGGCTTGAGCTGTCCACCAGCCCAGAACCCGTCTCGGAACATATTGATGAAGGTCATGAGATGCGGTTGGTCTAGAGTCGACTTTATTGTTTCTCGTATTTTTCTGGGGACGCAATATGTCAAGCGCACCACCGTCGAAGCGCGTATCACTCACCGCTCAATGGTCCCGCCAAGCACCTGCTGCAGGATGATGACAATTGCCTGTCTCCGCAACCAATTGTTCTTCTTGTCCAGCTCGAACACGGCCAGTACCAGGTCGCAGATAGGCGAAGAGAACATGGAACTACTCGTCTCGCCTTCTAGCGGCTTCAAGTCCCCAGAGAGCTGCAGGATCGCCTCTTCGGAAGTCGACTTTCCAGTTGCCTTCAGAGCTTGCGCAACGAGATCCTCGTCATGTACCCCTGTCCCAACAATTCCGGCAAACTCGGCCGCTTGGGTAGTGAGACGCTGGATCATGACATCCAACATAGATGGGCCAAAGAACATGTCATCGATACTCTCAGCAACGGAGTGGTACATTGTGCGGACAAGGTCCTTCCCCGGAAAAGCGGTCGGAGACTTTGAGCTCTGAGATGCAGAATCCGAAGCTATGAAGGGCGAATCACGCGACAAGAAGACTCGCAGCTCGTCACTCTCGCACACCGCGGCGATCGCTATGAGGCTCTACGAGGCAAATTAGCTTATTGCTGTGCCAAGAAGAAAGCTTACGTACCTGCATATATTTCTCCAGAGCAATACGTCGAGTATCGATAAAACTTCCAGAGAGAGAGGTAACCAGGCGTTTTCCCGGAAAGTCGAGGTTCCGCACCAGAGCATAGCGCTCTCGCAGCTTGTTGTGCATACTGAGGAACTCGCTATAACGCCGAGCGACAACCCATCCGGACGTAAAGCTACCGTCCTGCGCGAGCTGCTGGATCTCAATGAGATAACGGACGACAGACTTGCTGTCTTCTTCGCTCATGGTGGAATTGACGATGGCTACTTTGGTTCGGTCAGAGAGTAGGCGATTGGCAGATTCCTGCTGCTCGTACTGGGTCTTCTGGAATGTCAGCTCGCGTAGCTCCCGTGTGAGTGTCGATTTTGACCGGCGTAGAAGACGGAGCTCTTGCGCATCCCCAGTCAATTCGGCCTTCTTGATCAGGGAGTCCAGCATGAAATCTTGCGACTGCGAGTTCGCAATCTTGCTCGCCAATCGTGCGATCTCATGAGAGAGATGTAAATCACCAGGGCCAGCAAGCTGGAAAGATCCATGCGGTTTCTCGTTATCATCATCCGGCCTGTCCTCCTCATCGTCGATGTCGTCGTCGAAGACTCTCCTCCGCTTTCCGTCCTCAGATATACGGCTTACATTCATTCCGGAACCCTGTAGGCTGAGAGCATCAGCTGAGCCTCTACCTTGAGGTTCGTCATGCTGATTATCCAAAGCAATGATATCCGTCAAAGCCGCCTGGATCGCCTCTATCCGTTGAGCCTCCTCATTGAGCCCTGGCAGACTCCCTTCTTCGGGTTCGTCGAAGAGTGGAGCACGAGAGCTCGACGGCGAAGGGGAGTCGTGAACAGGAGACACGAGTAATTCTAGATTTGTAGCCGAAGATCGAGGTAGAGAGTCCTCAGGTCCCATCAGTAGAGAGGGTGCAGAACGTGCAGGGTGATGGGTCGACGTCAGCAACGGCGACGATTCCGACCGCGCCAGACCTGTACGAGACCTATCTCGCACAGATCTCCATGGCGCTTGTGCGATCTCAGACGAGGTCCTCGAGAGTGGCGGTTGATCGTCGCTCTTCAATCCGTTGGCTTCGATGTCGCCAATGACACGGAACCACAGTTCTGACCGCTGAAAATCCTCGAAATCCTGCTCCATGTCTTGCTCGACTTGTCTCTGCGCGAGTAGCACGCTCCGACGCACCTTCCTTTCAGCAGTCGGAGTCGGGGCTTCCGTATCGATCCCAAAGGAGCGTATGGTATTGACGTGTTTCTGGGAGATGAACGCCAAGGCGGGATCAAGATTGGCATTCGAAAAATACAGCTCATTCATCATCGAAATATCTTCTTTGAGTGTTGCAGATGGCGAAGGGTCCAGAACTGCATCGTCCTCATCAGAACTCCCCGAGTCGACAGACTCCAGAGGGTTCTTGAAACTTTCCACTGTAAGCCAAAACTGCACCAGTAAAGAACGATGCCGACGATCCATGAACTCCATAAAATACGAGAGCGAGCTGGGGTTCGTGAGGATGTCGCGCAGAGCTAAGCGAGAAGTCGTCCTGTCCGCGTCTTGATAGACAGACTGTCGCTGTAGATACAATCGCGTAAGTTGTAGGCTTCTTTAAACGCTTGCCGCCTTACCGTGTCAGATTCGCCGCCGAGCACCACGATTCTTTTCTCGACTCTGCGCTTGGCCGTGTAAAGTCTGTCGAGAAATGCTACTATATCCTCCGTTTTCTGTCCGTTTATCCAGTCCTCGTTCTCATGATTCGCTAGATACGCAAATTAATATCATCTTCGCTCATTTGCTTTCTTGCAGAACTCACCAAGCAACGTTCTAGTTCGCCTGATTTCACCCATGACATCGTTCTTTAGTCTTCGGGCATCCAGCAAGGAAGAACAACGATTAATACTCCTGAGGAAGGATTCAAACTGGCGCGGGTCTGTGCGGATCGTAATCGTTTCTGTGGTCGATGGACCACGACCCGGGACACGGCTGTGTGGACGAGGAAGCTGCGCCTCCAAGATATTCCGTACTTTCGATACCAGTTTCCTGCAGGACAGTACAGCGGACATGAACATATATCATATCACTTCAATCGGTAGACATACTGCTGGCGGATGGCAGCTCCCGCCTAAAAAGTATAAGAGAATGAAACCGAGGTGCTCGAAGTTGCACTCACAATCTGGTCGATTGAACGGTTCCAATAGTCGGGGTCCGCAAGCATGTCCATGACAGGATAGAACACGCTACATGCGAGGATCTCTCTGACAACTACTTTGATAGCGTGACTGCGGGCTTCTTTTTCTGGCAGTATTGAAGGAAGGGCTTTGTCTATGAGACCCCGCAAATGATTCTCCTCTGTCTGTCTTGTAAAGGTTGACGAAAGATTGTCAACGGCAGGATGTAGCTTTCCTCCTCCTCTGCCGGCATAACGGCTCGCCAATAATAAGTCCAGCTCCTCAGATTGTGTCAACCTACGTTCAAGGCCTGCCCCGCGAAGCGCTACTTCTGATTGTCGAAACTGCTCGATGTGAGCCGTGACCTTGGGCAATATTCGTCTAACGATGAATGCAGGAAGGTCCAACGTAGCCAGTCTCGCCAATAGCTGTTCTATTGAACTGTGTAGAATTGAAGATACGGCGGTAGGAAACGACGGTGACGACGACAACTCCTTGTACCAGACCAACACGAAATCTCTCACAATCATGATTAGTATATCATTTAGCGCGGATGATATAGCAGGTGACTCCGGGTAGAGAGGTGCCAGAGATTGTGGAGACTTGTAGGTCCACTGCGACCGTGTCAATACGGCTTGCCAGGCCGCGGGGGTAGAAAACGCGAGTGGTCGCGCGGCAGCTGGAAGAGCATTGTGTACGGCAGGTCTGGTGGCGTCCAGTGCGTATCCAAAGAGCAGGTTCAATCCTAAGAATGTAACAGCTGCGAGAAGAGCAAAAACAGGCAAGAGGAGTATGATTGTCACCGGTGAGGACAGAACGCGAATAGCAGCAGGCCACACCAGACCGAGCAGAAGCACGATCACCGCCGTCTGCTTACTGAACACTAGCTTGCTGAGCATAGTAGACATAATATTTGTAGTATATTCGTCACCGCACCATCTGCCAGACTGGCTCAGCTCAGCTTGATTGCATTATTGGATCGGGAACGCACGACTGGTATGCAAGAGAGATGTCAGACGCCCATGCCGCAGTGGACGCGTGATGTGGGATTGCGTGACAAGGAATGACTTTGTGACTTTGTGTAACACATGCCCGAACGTCCGGGAACCGAAGGTCATCCGACAGAGCCGACTTCATCATCAGGCTTATACCGCACCCGAGTTCAGGCTGTTCAGCTGGCATCTTAACATCTTGAGTTCTTGGGCGGTTTGAGCTTTGATGGCATCTCAGAAGGCGCACGGTCGACCGCTGTCGACAGCGGAGGGTTTTGTTCTGGGTGGGATGGCTGCCTGTGTCGCGGTACGTTACCGCAGATACAGCCCTCGCGGCGATCTGACTCATAGTCGGATTCGGTAGGTCACCTTCTCCAACCCACCAGACGTCGCGAAAACGCGTCTTCAATTACAGGGTGAACTGGCCAAGGATGGCGGCATCAAAGTGTACAAGAACACGCTCGACGTCGTCCTGAAGACATGGCAGCATGAAGGCATCCGAGGTGTTCAGAGAGGTTTGGCACCAGCTGTGAGCCGGTTGTTCATATTCCTCCGATTCTGTTTTGACTGTGTTTGGGGCCAGTATGTTTATCAGGTAAGTTGCTGAACTGCAGCATGCACATTGCCGGACTTACTGCAAACTAGATACTTTTAAATGGCTCTCGCCTTGGTGAGTCGCTATGTTACCTTCTGACGCGGCGCAGGACTAAGGATATCTTTCCTCAGGCTTCTACGAACCTATTAGATATTGGACTAATGTTTCCCTGGGAATATCGCCTTCTCACCAAGTCCCCTTCACCTCCGTATTTGCGGGGGCAGTAAGCGGTGCTATTGGTGGTAAGACGTCTCCGCGTGCAGCCTCCCAGTATCCTACATGACAGTTTTATAGCTAGTTTGGGGAGCCCACTCTTCCTCGTGAAAGCGCGAATGCAGGTCTGTACACGTCCAGTGATGTGCAAGGGGCGTCTCACTCACCTGTTGTCAGGCTTATTCTCCAGCACTACCTGTTGGTGCTCAGCACTATTACAAAAGTTCTTGGGATGCACTTGCTACTATATTTCGCGTGGAGGGTGTCCGAGGACTGTGGCGTGGGATAGATGCCGCCATCCTGCGCACGTCTATGGGTTCATCGGTCTGTTCCGTTAGCAGCACCGTAGTTGTGATTTCTTATCCCATTTTTCCAGGTACAACTGCCAACGTATAACTGGACCAAGAATCACCTTGTGCAGAGCGGAATTATGCCGGCTGACAGTGTATGGACATTTCTGTTGAGTAGCACCGTATCCGGCGTGTGTGTTGTGAGTTCTTCCACCCTATCCAAGCAAATGAGAGAGATTGATTGTGAGTACAGCTCGCGGCGATGCAGCCTGCTGATACCGTAAGTTAGTCTACCCGTCTGGAGAACATTCACGTGAATTCGTTTCCTTTAGGCACTTACAAGAATGTACAATCAGCCAACGAAGCTCCTACCGGATGGCAGACACGTCGGCGTGCTGTACAAGAATCCTATAGATTGTCTCTGGAAGACGCTGAAGACCGAGGGTCCCCTGGGCTGGTACAAAGGTAGCTTTCCCAGCAGTATCTCTCTGCCGACGTCTCATGTTGTAAAAGGTTCTGTTGCGCATTTCTTCCGCATCGCGCCTCACACGTGAGCTGTTCCCCTACATCTCTTTGGTTGAGATGCTGACGCGCGATATTCAGCATCATTACCTTGACCGCCAACGATATCATTATTAAGTTCTATAGAAGACTGCGCGATGGAGATCTAGAGCCGTAGCACTGTCAAAGAGTTATCAGATTCGCCGCTGCTCGTCCCTCATTTGCATCCGGAGCGTTAGCATGGACTACGTCCACCTAGATCTCGCAGCGACGATGTTTGCATCGTAGTAATGACCTACTGGTACTCACATAGATCTTGCTAATGATGGAATATATTCGATCACTCTACGCTGTCACGACGCTTGCGCCTTCATTTCGTCTTCAACTGCTGCTGTTCCGCTTTCTGTACTGCCTCCGGTAGGTAGAGGCGCACTGGAGTCTTCTGGAGTCTGCGACAGACTGGCAACTTCTGGCCTTGTGGGCAGTGGTGTTGAACGGGAACCGGTGTGTTCCTCCTCCAACTTAGCCTTCTTCGCCTTACGACGATGAGCCAAGACTGAAGAGGCGGAGGGATTATCGTAGCTATTTGCATATATGAGTGCACGTATCGGTGCAGACCATTGGACGGTACGTACACTTTGATAGCATGTAAGATGAACCCCCCCGAGCCGGACGTGTTCATCATCGGATGTGTACGACCGGGGAGAACCTGCAAATTCTCGTCAACATCAGAGACGATTAGAAAATGGGATCCAGACCGTACCTGGTATTGTCGTAGCCAAAGTTCCGACACGGCAGCACCCAGATATTCTGGATGTTCCCGCAACCTCGACTGCAAATCGGAAAGGATCTATGGCACAATACGTCAACGGACGATCTCTCAAAGTGAAAAAAAAGGGAACGTACTTGTATGTGGGGACTATGAACCACAATTGAAGCAGATCCCGCGAGATACGGAGACAGCTTCTCCAATATTGAGTAGGGATCGTACTCGCTCGCCACTACTAGACTGAAACGCTGTTAGCTTTGGAGTGAGGCTTGACGGCCATAACACCCACCCGTCAAACTCGCCTGTGAAAAGCTCTTCTCTAGTCTGCATCAGCGATGCGGAGACTAGCTTGCGCTTGTTCAATCGTGACTTCTGGCCATCCGATTTGAATTTTCCCGAAGCTGGTTCGGCAGGCGCCACTACTATTGATGAAAGTGAGCACCATGGTTAAAGCTGAAGTACTCTGCATGCTTACTAGGAGCATACTCTTCGTCAGCGGTCGCCCAATTCAGCGACGATAGGACAGATGCAACAGTGTCCTTTTTGAAGTTCATCTGCACCGTGACCGGATATGCGGGGGGTGAGTCAATATCGCATATTGTGATCAACCGTCCATTCCCTGGAATATTGAATTTATGGTCAAGTACCAGTAATGGGTGGAACGACTTACCACCCAGACGCTCCAAAATTCCGGCAACAACGACGCCGGAGGCATCATCTACGGCGAGGTAGCGACCACCTGGCCTAATGTTTGCGAGATTCAAAATTTGAGATAGGGCATCCGGACGGATGTCGCGTAAACGGTTTTGGTCCTTATTGAACCAATATTCACAGACGTTGAACAAAGTCGGATCAATGACCGTGAAAGACTTAGAGTATCTAGTAACGTAATAAAATTATAACATATGAGCAGAGTGTATCGCACACTCACTTTGCTTCCTTGCGCTTCTTGTACTTCTCTTTGCTGTATTCGGTCTTGAGAGAGTAATTTGCGTGCTGCTCGATCTGCTTTTTGATGATTTCCTACGGTCTCAAAGTTCAGAAATAGAGAACCCAAGAGGACAGGGATTAACCGCACTGATGCATGCACACCAGACTTTTTCAAGGCCTCTATCTCCTCCAATGTGAGAGGCTGTACAAACTGTCCGTCGTTTATGAGCTCGTTTGTGGCATCGGTATCCTCTGAAGACGTGTTAGATATCACAGCCACGCATTCACAGAGAGATATCCTACCTACTTCCTGCATCGTGCGAGGGGGGATAACCTTCAGCTTCTTGTCCACAATGTCGTAGGTCAACCCGAACGGCTGGCCAATCAGTTCGTTAGAATGAAACGAGCCAAATTTTCCTAGGGTTACAGTACTTTTCACAGAGATGAGAGCTAATAAATGACGAGTTAAATCATGTCGCACGAGTCTTTTTCCAGCTTTAGTGTCTTTATTTCGCTGCTAGGTAGCCTGAGGAGAACGGTGTTACCGGCCTGGATAGTCTCCTCCCTTATGCCACGGACAGAAATCGTTGATGACCCTTCGCCAAGGTCCATTGTCGATATGGAAAACCTTGGACAGCGAAGTCCAGCAGAATGAATTCAGTGGATAATGGAGAGATCTCAGGCTCCCAAATTGGGACGTTCTACTCGACGCCCGCTCCCCGCGGCCCCGGGCCGCGGCCTAGTCAAAGCTTGCATTCATGAGCGAGCCAGAGTCCGACATTCAGCTCGACGCGATATTGAAGAAATCTCAGGAAAAATCATGGAAATCTCTGTTACCTGACGAACTAAACACAGTGATCGGCTCTTTCCTTCCCTCTCACCCTCTGACTCTCCGTTCCAAGGCCTACATCGTGCTCTCAGCAGTATGCCAACGGATACGAAAGGACTCCTCCTCTCCGTTCAGCAAAGAACACATTGATGCCTCCACGGATTTGATTCATAGAGCCTTTGAACTCGCAATAGTGACCCGTCTCGCTGACACTGAGGAGAACAAGGTATTCGAAGGCCTGTCGTTCCTAGCGGCGCTGTTCGAGGTAGATTGGCAGTCCGCGTCGTCAATCTTCCAAGATGAAGCGATCCTTGAGTCCCTGACGGACTGTATGGATATCTTCGCCTCTTCCCTTCAGATGTCGCGCTCTGTCGCGCATCTCTTAGCGCAGGCCAGTGGACACAAGGCATGTCGCGCGCTCATATCCTCTCAGCATTTGGCATGGCTTTCTACTCAATCCCGTCAGGCGAGCGATAGCACTCTCCGCGCTGCTGCTGCTGTCGCTCTGGTGAAGCTCTCACGGGGGATGGGGTCAGATGCCGCGGAGGTTGGCTCCGCTGAAAAAGCCGCTATGTTGATCAGTGATGAGGAACTCGTGAAACTAATGAAGGGCTTGGTTGTGGATGAGAGCAATCCGTCTTCTGTTTCGGATGCAGTCGAAGGGCTGGCCTACTCAAGCACCGATCCTACCGTCAAGGAACTACTGTCGAACGACTCCTCCTTCCTTTCTCGCCTGTTTGCCTTCATTCCTCGCCGCAAAGGCTCTTCCACTGTGGCTGAAGATATGGGGATGTCGCCTGTTTTCGGTGCAGTGGTCATTATCTCAAATCTCTGTGCATATCGACCTCGATTGACAGAAGAAGAGGCGCAAATGGCTAAGCTACGACGCATGGCAAAGGCATCGCCGGGCTCTTCCAGTACCCACCAGGAAGCCGAGAATAATCCCCTGGACGATGACGACCATGTCAGAAAGCGCGGCAGAAAATTAATGCAGTGCGGCGTGATGGACGCGTTGACGGCAGCCATTCGAGCCACGGACAGCCGTGCCGTCAGGCTCGCTGTGGGGAAAGCTGTCCTCAGTCTTGTAGAAGACAAGGATAATCGCGGAAAAGTCCTGCAGACTGGTGGCGCCAAGGCGCTCATGACTATCATCCATAGCATCTTGCCGGCAGCAGGCCCATCATCGCAGTCAAAGAAGCTCCCACCGATGGAGGCTTCGGACATCGAGCCCATACAAGCTCTAGCGAAACTCGCGATTACTGCATCCCCAGTTCAAGTCTTCGGGCCGAACGAAGGAGCTCTCTACGATGCCATCCGTCCGCTATCTCTCATGCTCCTGCACCCCACCTCCAACCTTTTGCAACGATTTGAAGCACTGATGGCTCTGACCAATCTGTCATCTCAGAGCGCCGAAGTCTCCAGTCGGATCGCGCGAACGGACGGGCTCCTGAACGGCGTCGAGCTCTTAATGCTAGAGGAACATGTCCTCGTCAGACGTGCGGCGACGGAGCTGATATGCAATCTCGTCGCTGGGTGCGAGGAGGTGTTCAATAGGTACGGAGCGAAGTCGTCGAAGTCAAAATTGCAGGTGCTTTTAGCCCTGTGTGACGTCGACGACACACCGACACGGCTCGCCGCCTCGGGCGCGCTCGCAACGGTCACATCGTCTCCGGATGCCTGTCAGGCACTGCTCGACCTGCAAAACGAACGCCATCGCGTATTGCCGATTCTGGGCCAGCTGGTTGATCCCACCATTGTCAGTACGGATGACAATGAATCTGAGGATGCAGACATTGAAGCCAAGGCCGATCCCGGTCTCGTACATCGCGGAGCAGTGTGCGTCCGCAACTTTTTTCTTGCCATCGAGGATTCTGCCGCACACAAACAGCTCGCAACCGAAGCGGAGCGTGTAGGATTGGTGCGAGCACTGGTCGGAGTGGTTAAGACGTACTCAGCCAGCGGGAACAATGCGTTGTTGAGACCGACTGCGGAGGCATTGAGGTGGTTGATAGAAGGTGGAATGCAGATAGCTGCTTGATAAATGGTCTGTCAATATTAATACTCGCACCGAAGTTGGAAGACTAGGATGTACCAATGGATCGGATACATTTTTTTTTGGGAGTAAGCGTAACGACGCACGGAGCAGCTGCGTTCGGACAGCTCCCCGGATCGGATATTTCTAAGGTGCATCGTATCTCCCCCTAAATTTCCTCGTATCATCCAAATATCCAGGTGCGACTTTGCCGCAAAGAGATTGAAGCAATTGACTATATGCTACTAGGCCACTTATCCTTTCAACGTCTCACGGAGAGGCATGTCGGTACTCACGAATCACATATAGAAGGAACCTGATGAGATAACACGATCCCCTTCACTGCTTCTCCCCTCTTAGGAACACATTCGTTCCTGCCTCCGAACCATAGCAAATCTTCTGAGCAGGTCATCAACCTGGGCCCTGAGCACCCTATACTGTCCGAATCTGTCCGGACCGCTGCCGTCCTGGGACACCCAGAGAAGATGTCGAGCGGCTGGGTGGCACAAGTGTGGCACAGAACGCAGAGAGGAATGTTGCCCCAGTGTCCGGGTCTACTATGGGAGAATTGGCGACACGGAACCTCACTGGCTTCGAATCGAAGGTGTAGAGGGTATTATAATAGACGCGACCTTACTCAAGTTTCCGCCGTCATCTGCGCAATGTCATTCGCTAACTGGATCATCATGTCATACCGTTCGTCAGACAGAAGCTCTATAGCCAACATTCCACCGGCGCGTAGTCATTCATCCGGGTAGGGAGACGGGCAATAGCAGCAGGCTCCAAGTCAGAAGTGCTGGCGGTGTATGTGTAGAGACACAAACGAATGCCCAGGGCACTGATGGCGTGAAGGACGGAGATTTCGACAAGATTGCGCAAGATAAAGAACCGCACATGCATCTGATCGTCTGCCATTCCTGGAGTGGCATCACCCTCGAGATATGCAGCTGGTTTGACCTCGAGGAAGAAGACCGGATGCTGCGCTCGTTGTATGACAGTGGAGCCTGCCATCCCTCGGGGTTGCTTTTACGCTGCGAAGAGACAAGTGCTTCGACTCCAGGAAGAGATAGTTTAGGAGGGCGTTGTGCAGTCCACAGAGGAGGGATTCATCGATGGCATTCTGTGCGCCACCTGGAATAGATTCGAATGCGTCGACGATGTGGCTGAGTTACTGTCGATAACGAACGGTTAGATAGAAAGAGGACGGCGCTATTACATAGGTAGGCCCGGCACCTGAACGGGCCGTCCGCGGCCCGGTCATTCAGTGTAACCTCAGGGCTCCAAAGGCTCCAGCTCGTCCGTCCGTACCGTCTTTCTTGCTGCCGTCTCGATATTCTCGACTTCATCATGAGATGCAGTTTCAAGGAATGGCGTGTATGTTTCGGACGGGACAAGGGACCCGTCGGGATTCTCGAAGACGCCTTCCAGCTCTTCCGATAGCTCTCATCGTGGCCACCCTTCCAATGTCATGTGTCTATGTATGGACCACAACATCCGAAGCATGCATGTCGCACGATTGAGAGTTCGAGCGGTTCGGACCGTAGCAATCACTTGACGACTCCGTCGTAGGGCACAGACGAGTTCTCGGATTTTCCCTGAATCCGTATCTATCACCTGTTGTGTTCCACGGTATATTCGCCCTTTAACGCCTCAATCACTCTGGCTTTATAACTTCAGATCCCACCCACTAGAACCACTCGCTGATCCTTCCCGCGTTGTCGCACAATGCCTGCCCCGACCTTCGCTGCATTATCCTTGACAGAATTAATCGCAATCCGTGCTCGTAAGTGTTCTCATTGGAGCTGTCATCGGGTGGTCACTGGGTACTCTTCTTTCAGGGGATCAGCCTACAGATGTCGCGTTCTACACTGGTATAGATGAGCCAGGAAGCCCTCTGAGATCTCTCACGTACGCATCTCGTCAACTTGACTGCCAATTCTAGAAGTCACACTACCGACGTGAATTCAGATATTCTCAAGTCCAGCGAGGCGTGGACCGCCTTTGCACGTATTATGCAGCACTGAATCTGGTGCCGCCCTCGGCAGCGGAAGGCTCTCGCCCCCAACGATCGATCGCTGTTTTCACATCTACCGCCATAGATGAATCTCTGTTAGAAATTGCACTTGCTAAGCTCACGTTGGCGCCGCTCCTTCTATCTGTCAATAATTCTGTCCCCGCCGTAGCGCATCTTTGCAAGCTCACCAAGGCCACTCATCTCATTTATGGGTCCAAATTCCCAGCAGAAGCCAAAGAAGCCCAGAGAATTCTGGCTGAGGAGGGATATCCGCTGGAGATCATTGCGGAACGGCGTTTTCCGCTGTGGGGACCTGGAGGAGTCGATGAAGCTAACATAAAGCCTTACCCTGCCGTGTTAACTCCTCAAGAAGAGTACAAACGAACCGCTGTGATCCTTCATTCTTCAGGATCTGTAAGCATTTGCTCGTATTTTGCTCACCAGTAACTCAGTCGCGTTGGCTCGTGTTCGTTAGACCGGCTTCCCCAAACCTGTATTTATCACTCACAAGGGTCTGATCGCGAACTTGCATGGCTACGTTCCGAGGGTGCCAGGATTTAGCGCTCTTCCCGTATACCACGGCTTCGGCCATTACAGCGTGTACGTTTATCTCTGATTTTTATCTGGTACTACTGACATAAATGTATTCACGGCCTCGCATAGATTCCGCTGCTGCTATAATGCCGTGCCGTTCACGCTGATTCCACCGCATCTGCCCTTGACCTCTGCGAACATCTGCAGGATAATCAAGGCTTCTCCCGCGCGTTGCAGACAATGCTTTGCTGTCCCATACGTGATCAAGGTTCGCCATTCAGTTTGATTGAATATAAGTACGTGGAAGTGACCGTCGTCGTAGCTTCTCGGAGAAACCGAAGAAGGAACTCGAGCACTGGCGGATTTCGATATTGTTGTATTCTCTGGCGCTGCCTTGCCTGTACGTGTGGCCGTCCGCTTTCTTCACGAAATCTCGCTGAGAGGCAATATTTTGTAGGATGATCTTGGGGAAAGGCTCACGGCTGCCGGTGTGAATCTCGTCAGCATATACGGGACGACAGAGGTATGAAACTCCGATATCGTTGTGCGTTCTGCGATTGAGCGTTGCATCACACCCTAGACGGGTTCCCTGCTGCATTCCAAGAGAGACTACGCAAATGACAAGTCTTGGAACTGGGTCCGAGCAGAGGGACTGATCTTAGATTACCTGAAGATGGAGGAACGCGGTTCGAACACGTACGAGACCGTTGTCAAGGAGGGCTGGCCTGCCAAGATCCAAACAAATCGCCCTGACGGGTCGTATGCGACGAAAGATCTTTTTGTCCGACACAAGGAACACCATAACTGGTACAAGTATGTGGGACGGTTGGACGATACTCTCGTGCAGGTGCTGGGCGAGAAAACAAACCCAGGTATGCACAACAAACTGATGCTGAGCGTTGTCACTGAGAGTCCTCGTTCGTCCTAGTCCCGATTGAGCTTGCTATCCGGGGCAATAGTCCCTATGTAGAGGAGGCCATTGTCTTTGGGGAGGGACGGCCGCAAGTTGGGTGTTTGATCCTGCCGTCTGAGTTCGGCAAGGAATTGTCGAAGGACCGCGTCGCCTTCTTGGAGAAGATTTGGCCTGTAATAGAGGACGCAAACGCGCAGGCGCCGACGCACTCTCGCTTACTTCCTGAGATGGTGCACATTCTAGAGTAGGCCGGTGTTTTATTCGTCTGGTAGAGTCGGTGGTCTAACTCCTCAACCTCGTTTAGCCATGGGACACAGGCCAGTATATTTGTACCAGTGGCGAATATCTCGTGTCTTAAGCTCTTCTGCAGATACCTGTTGCCACGAAGATGACTATTCTTAGACCTGCATGCTACGCGAAGTTCAAGGATATCATAGGTATGCAAATATGTTAACCATCATACGTCAGCCTCTAACGATTGGGTTACACCCGATTGTAAGATTCGGTCTACGACCGCTTCGAGAATGGTACTGGGTCGACAAAGCTCGATCTTTCTAAAGCAGAGCTGCAGGAATTCATCTACAAAGCCATTGTCCAGACGTTTGGCGCATCGAAAGCCACGAAACTCACCAAGTCCACTGACTTGTTTGCTTTTGGCGTGGATTCTCTTCAGGCAACAAGAATTCGCAACATTTGTCAGAAGGAATTGGAACTCAATGGACATACGCTAGTCCAAAATGGTGCCTATTTCTTTTTTATTCTGATATCGGGTGAACTAATCGAAGGAGCTGAATAAGTTGTGTATGAGAACCCTTCCATTGAAAAGTCCGTGATGCCGTTCTACCTGAATGTAGCCGAATCGCGAGCTGAGATGCACTCGACAGGCTGTCCGATTACATTATGGCTGTACGAGCTGGGGGTGATGCTGCGAAGTCGGATGAACAGCAGCAAGCTACGATGTTGATTATGGTGGACAAGTGGAGCTCAAAATTCGACGTCAAGACGATGCCTGCATCGAATGGAGTTGAGACCGAGGCAGGTCCACAGGCGGTGGTATGTCACGCGCACTCAGCATTCATTATGCTTAACCTCCGCTCAATTTCGCGCATGAAAACTTTCAGGTACTTACTGGTGCTACTGGTTCTCTCGGCGCACATATTCTCCAGCAACTGGTGTCTCTGCCGAATGTTACTAAGGTCGTCTGTCTCTCCCGTGCAAATTCTCACGCAGAATCACTCGAGCGTCTACGTCATTCTCTGGACCTACGCAGACTCAGTTTGATGCAGGAACAGTGGATTAAAGTGGAGTCATTCGCTGCCAACATTAACGAAGATAAGCTGGGATTGACTGAAGACGAGTATGCGAGTATACTCACTCAAGCGACCACCGTCGTTCATGTCAGTGTATTTGTGTCATCCGCTCTACTAGTGCTGACCCGACCGGAACCCCCTAGAATGCATGGCCCGTGAATTTCAATCTAAGTGTTGACTCCTTCGACGAGCACGTCGGCGGGGCAGTCAACTTGATAAACCTGTGTCTGCGTTCCACGAAGAGCCCTCTGCCTTCCTTCTATTTCAGCTCTTCTATTGCTACCCGAACTGGGTCCCTCGATCTGGTGTGCACGGAAGATTTCTCAGCTTCCCCGTCCACCGCCAATGGTACGGGATATGGCAGGAGCAAGTGGATCGTGGAGAAGGTGTGTGAGCGTGCAGGGAAGCAGACACCTGTGCACGTAGGAGTCCTACGTATCGGCCAACTTGCTGGAGACACGAAGAGGTAAATAGTCGACTAGTTTGGGTCTCACATTCCACTGATACGGAAGCTCGATAGCGGCGTTTGGAATGAGACCGAAGCGTGGCCCTTGATGTTCAAAGCGGTAAAGACAACTGGTGCTCTTCCCCGGATTAGTGAGGTTCGCACCTTCACCCATTGTTCGGCGAGTCAGTGTTCAGTGACTTGTTACAGCGGCCTTCTTGGCTCCCGGTGGATATGGCGGCCAGCGGCATAGTTGAAATTGTCACGCAACCTCAATCGCCCAAAGCTGCCGTGTATCACATCTTGAACCACAAGCTGACCACTTGGGACACCGTGCTCGCAGGCCTGAAGCAAGCGGGCGTGCGGTTTGACGTTGTAGATAGTGCCGAATGGCTGAATCGTCTTGCCAAATCGGATTCCGACGTCCAGACCAACCCGGCAGTGAAGTTGCTGGTGCGTAAATTCGTCCTAGCTGCAATGTTTGCGATGTGGTAATTCTGACGATGTCTTCATGACCGCAGGCGTACTACCGTGAACGGTTTGGCAAGTTGAGCGACCGCCCTCCAATCCAGTTCAGCATCGACGGCACGAGCCAGGTTTCCCCAAGCATAGCGGCGTGTAAACCTGTCTCAGAAGAGCTGATCGGTAGATGGGTGCAACATTGGCGTGAAGTGGGCTTCCTGGAAGTCTAATTGAACGAAGGTTCCTCCATTTGGTGACGGCCACTGTCTGATGCGTCTTACGGACGACAGTTGAAGCGTTAATTCCCAAAGATGTCTGTACTGTTATTTACTGCTTATGGATTGACAGAGGGATGTTTCTATGTGCGATATTCCGCGAGCGCACTGGTGTGAAAGCCAAAGGTGTGAAAGGTGTTGAGATCCGAGGCACGCATGTAAGTAAACCGTAAAGTCAGTCGTCGAGATGGTTGCACGACTAGGCATTCCGGGAAATGATTTTAGGACCAATCATAAACGACATATGACGGAGTAAGTTGGGTATAAAGCCCATCCATCACAGGATGGACATAGAGCACAAAAAACTTCGGCACGCGGTTGAACGCGTGCACATAGCTGTCAAATTACTTCGAATAACAACGCATCACATCGCGCAAACTCCGAGTAATCGCGTACCCTCATGCACAGAATAGATCAAACCAACTGAGAATGCTCCGCGCGCTTGTCTCCTTTGCCCACTCTGCGGACCACCGACGTCAGACATCAACTGAGCAGAACCAAGAATCACGTACTGGCAACAGGTTCGCGCAAATTTCCCCACATCGCAAACCCGTGCGCGACGCCAGAAAAGACTTGCACATGGTAAGTCGTCTTGTTCTCGACAAGTATGTCTACTGCCCTCCGACGTTTCTCGCTCGGGAACGCGTAGTCATCCTCTGGGTTCAGAAATGTTGTCAAAAACTAGGACACGGAGGCATAGTATCGCGTACCCGAGCACGACAGCAGCAACGGCTCTGTGTAACAATTGGTTGAGTATATCTGGGTTTTCAGGAAGGACACGTACTCCTTGCGCGCCGGAAATGCTCTTCGTCGAGGAATACGGGGTGGGCAAAAGCTCCTGCATCAAGTTAAATAAGGTCACTCATTCTGCAGCAGGGATGAGGGCACTACCTGCAGAGATCCAGTCATATGCGACGCAATCCAGCACGAACGGTGCGCCAAAGCAATATCCTACCATGACATTTGAGTGAGGTGCATGCTGACCATAGCGACCAGACGCACCAGCAGCGACCCATTTCGTGTCCGGAGTACCTGCAGAACGGTGAGGTGAGCGTTAGTGGAACATTCATTGTTAGTAGTCCCACCATATTGCTCCTTAACCGCCTCGAGCCAACGGGGCACCATCTCGTTGGCTTGCGCGACCTTGGGCTCGACCCACTCGCTGACTTGGAAGCCAGGCTTGCTAACGTGCTTGCCGATCGAATCGCCGACGAAGTAATCCAGAGCGAGGACAAGGTAGCCTGTGCGGACTAAACTTAGCATTGCCGGCGCCCCGAATACGTAGCGCGCGCGCGCACCGTTGGACGCCCAGTAGTCCATGACCAGCTGTGCATTCAAGAACATCGGGCCATAGACGTCCGAAAAGTATAGGATGATCTTCTTGGTGTCTTCGGCATCGGTCGGACACGCGATATATGTGTCGATCCCGGCTATCTTCTCGACAGTCCCACGAGCACTACCAGTATGCTCGACGGTCTTAATGCAGCACGTACTGGATGGAGCAGCTAGGACTACCATTCTGGCAATGCACTGGGGATAGAGGGCAGAGACAGAGAGTATTGGAGAGGGATAACGACGAGGCACAAAGACTGGTAGTTGATCAAGCTTTTAAGTCCACTCCATAGGAGCCCTAGTCTGGGCCTGAAGATCCCAAGTCTCTATCTCGCGACGTATGAAGAAAGAGAATTGACCTGGGTGGCCGGTGATAGCTCATACTGCAGGTAGCTTCCTCGCTATGTGCGGAGAAGCTGAACATCAGTCTGCTGCACTGACTGCGTCAGTGCACAAATTTGTGAGTGGAACCAGAAGCTTAAGGAACATAGGCTTTTACCGGCTGACAGTGGAGCGATTGCGAAGAATCCGCACCAGGACCGGGGTAAGAAGGGATTGTGACACAAGATGCACAAGATAGAAGGGAGGACGGTGGATTTAGTTTGTTTGCTGTAAGACGAGACTCATTGGCTAGATCCGGAAGAACATACGGTCGGTCTGCTGCGGTGATAGCTCTTGCGGTGAGGAAGAAGGAGCCAGAATTTGCACGGTTGACACGATGAGTCACTAGAAGCCCACTTTCAACGAACTAAGACGTAGTGCACTATAAGCAATGGCACGCATGCAACCCTACGTCAGTCATACAGCAGAGGGTCTACCTCACCTTACTGCGGTGTTGACCTCCACCTTGCCGTGCATCACAAATGGGGTGACCAAATTCCTATGAGCCTCATCACGCCTCATCGGTCAATTCGCCAATTTCCATGGCTATTACAAGCAAGTAGAAGCGGCTTACGCTCCCCGAGTCGATAGATAACTCTTGGACGCAATGTGCTTGCTTAACTGGTAATACAGTTCACACCGGATCGTGCAGGCTGCATCGCAATTGCACTTCGTCCACAGCAATGGATTGCCGCGCAACCTTTCCTAAGTGGGATACGGGCATTCATAGGCTTCCATCGTACCTAAGGACCTGGCCGTCCAGATCTGGTACTCTGTATGAAGTCTGACAAGACCATTCAGCGAAGAACAGTCTTCAGCTGATAGTGACATACCAAATTTGCGCACAGTCACTCTTATTTGGCAGTTTTTGAGATCATAGCCTATTACCTGGCTGGTATCTAGGTTTTCCATGCGGCACTTCACCGACACCATTTGAATGCGTTCAGTGCGCACATATGACGAGAACCCAGGAACAATGCGGGGAGATGTTGTAGATACGAACGTTAGAAAATATCAGGAGCGCCGCGTTTGACACTATGTCGTCACGGTCGTGGTGGTACAGTTGACGTCGACAAGCGCGGGAGTGATGCGCGTGGCACGTGATAGCGTCGCGTCGCGTCGACCTACACTGGGAGGGACCTGTGAGACGACCGCAACAAAGAACACTACAGCATCGCAGAGTACGTCGTCTGTCTGAGCACTTAGCCTGAAAGATCTCCACGATGAGGATATAAATACCGAATCAACGTGCTCAACAATTAATGTGACTTCAATGCATGATTTACAGGCTGGACGTCACTGATATATATGAGCAAGAAGCCCGCACAATTGCTAGAAATATGCGGACTGTTAATTGATAAATAGGTCAAACCAACTGAGGATGCCCTCCGCGCTCTTCTCCTTCGCCCACCCTACAGAAGAGTCAACTAGGCTACCAGTCAGCTTGAGAGTGGAAGATGCCACGCACTCGCGATGGGGTCGTTCACGTTCCCTCGCAAAGCAAAACCGTGAGTAACACCAGAAAAGACTTGGACATGATATTTTGTCTTATTCTCGACAAGGATATCTACGGCTCGGCGGCGATTCATAGCGGGGAATGTGTGATCTATCTCTGCGTGCAGACATCTATGAGAAACTTCGCATTCTATGGTCTAAAATGTCATTTGTTACCTGCACATGACAGCAACAAAGGCTCTGCAGGCATGGTCAGCCCAGCGTGCGACACGAATGGACGGAAAACCACACGTACTCTTCGCGCGACGGAAGTGGCCTTCATCGAGGTAGGCAGGGTGTGCGAGAGCTCCTGGGTCGCGTTTGCAAGATGTTTCACGTTCGCCTAAGACATGAGAACAACGTAAATTTACCTGCAGAGATCCAGTCGGATGCAACGCAGTCCATTACAAATGGGGCACCAAAGCAGTACCCTGCAAAGCTTCATGAAGCTAGGATATACGGCGGAGAGCCAGTATTGACATACCGACGGTGACCCACTTCGTGTTCGTGGAATCTACACGTGAAGGTCAGCAACGGACGAAGAGTACTCGTAAAGCGCATGTACCGTATTGCTCCCTCACGGCCTTGAGCCAAGGAGGGATCATCAGGACGGCTTTCTCCATCTTGGGTTTGGCCCAGTCTCTCATAATGAACCCCGGCGTCCCGACATACTTACCGGCCGCGTCGCCTTCGAAGTAGTCCGGGGCGAGTACGAGATAGCCTGAGGAGGTGGAGTATCATTAGTGCCGCGAACAAGTATCGGCGCGGCGCACCGTTGGATGCCCAGTAATCCATGATGAGCTGCGAATTCAAAAATATGGGGCCGTAGACGTCCGCGAAAAACAGGATGATCTTCCTCGAATCTTGAGGATCGGCTGTGCCTACGATGTAAGTATCGATACCCGCGATCTTCTCTATGGTCCCGCGAGCAGTGCCAGTGTGCTCGACCGTCTTGATGCAACAATTGCTAGGCGCTGTAGCCAGGGTTGCCATGGTTCCGAGTCCACAGCACACCAGCTGGAAGGCGGGAGATGGAGAAGGGGTCACAACGTAGCACTGTTGTGGGCATTGGCCTTAAAAAAAGCTCCATACGCATACGGACCGAGCGGTGGCTATATCGCATCTCGTGGTCAGAATGATCAAACCGATATAGATGAGCGGAAATGGGGAACAACAGCTTATGTAGCTCACGTTCACAAAACGCTGGGAAGGCAAGGAAAGGATGTCGCATTAACAGACGAGTAACAACATTAGGTAAGTGAGAATGCACGAGATCATAAGAACGGGTACACTATACCAACTGACAGAAGAGAGCGATAGATACACGCCATGGTAGAAATACACTGTATGTTACAATACAAGCGAAGATGCGGGTGCTGCCTTCAGATTCAATGATACAAGTCGGTGGGGGTGATGTCACGCTTGGTTAGGTTTGGGTTAATGGTTTCTGAGATGACAGATGGTCCAGCGAGAAGGGGTTGTGGCTGGCAGGACCCGTTCGTTGAGCCGCGAGACGCCCAGCCTGAGTGTATCCGAACCTAGTTTACCGTCAGCAGGTCAATCCGTGCAGCAGCAATGCGCAAGACATACCGGAGCATTCCGGCGTTGCCGAAAGTATCCGAACCGTCGTCGCCACGAGCAGCGAACAGGTCTGCCAGGTTCGCATGGGTCTGATCGGCCCGCATACGCTGACCGGTCGACTGAGGCTGTGAAGGTGCAGGGGGGGCGCTGGCAGCCGTCTCCCGGTTGACATATGTACCTTGAAGATTGAAAGACATGGGACTGCTCGTCTGCTGTGGTTGGAGAGGGGGGGCGGATGCCGACGGGCCGTGAGCAAATGGATTGTTCGATCTGAACGATATAAATAATGATGACCTAGTAACCAGTCAATACAATGTCACATACCCAATAGCAGTTGGTTGGGCCACCAACGGCTGCTGCTGCTGTTGGAGTAATTGCTGTTGACGTAACCACTCTTCTTGCTGGGCCTGGGCCTGCTGTTGAAGGATCCACTCAACCTACCAGGTCGTTAGCTTTAGAACCCTTTCTACATAGAACATACTTACTTGCATCGCTTCCTCCTGGGCCTGTTGTTGCCACGGGTTGAACGACGAAAATTGTGGCTGTATTGAAGTAAATTGAGGCTGCATCGCGGTAAACTGAGGCTGCACGGAGGTGAACTGGGGCTGCAACGACGTATATTGAGGCTGCAAGGACGTCATCTGCGGTTGAAAGGCCGTATACTGAGGTTGAACGTTGGACGTATACTGCAATGGCAGCGACGCATCGATCAGCTGCCCTTCGACAGTAGGAGGCCTACCATCATGTTAGCGCCGAGCAGAACATTACCTTGGAATATACTCACAACTGGTTCTGCACGTCAAACAACGCTGCAGAGTTCGCGCCCGCGAGCGCCTTCGCCATGCGCTCTTCTTCCGCCTGGCTCAGCTTGATGGCCCGTTGTATGTCCTTCTCCTCCGCGGTCGCGCGCTCCTGTGCAACGCTCCGCTTGCTCTCCTCAAGCGCCCTGTGTAAATCCTCGTCTTCCTTGTGCCTATGGCCAGCCACAGGCGTCAGGCTCCGGCTCCTGCTGTTGCTTCGGTCATCCCAGTCGTCATCATCATCAGCCGAACGCCGACCACGCATGCGCTGGTACATCTGCGCTCGATTTCGCCGCTCCTGCTGCATCAGCTTGTCGTCCATCAGCAGGTTCGTGATGTCCTTCGCCTTCTGCCGCACGTTCTGGCCTTGGTCCTTGTCGTCCTCGTCCACGTACTGGAACTCCCGCAGGGTCTTGATTACGTATAGGTTGTTGCGGAAGTACATGATCACGTTTTCCGACCCGGAGTGCAGTAGATAGTCGAGAAGCACGAGAGACTGCACATCGGCGGAGATGAGTGGGTGAGGCTCAGCAAGCGGACACTGAGCGCACCTTGAAGACGTGTCGCCAGTACTTGCCCTTGTCATTCAGCCGCTTGTCCATCACCTCCATGATCTCAACAAAATCGACACTGTAAGAGGTTCCGCAATGAGCCACCGTGACCAGAGGTCATAGTATGAATAACATAAAATTTTCAGGACGGAGTGCCGAGAAGCACTCCCTACCCGTCGTCAGAATGTGACAACCAACCGCAACGCTTATGTCGCGACTCAGCAAAGCCACACGGAATAGCTCACACGTTCTGCATTCGCTGAGAAACACATGGTTGCCACCGGTCGCATACAGAAAACTTCCACGAAGCTACGATAGCAAACATAGCTCGTCGGGGAAGCAGATGCAAAATTGCTTCGCAGGTGCATAGAACGAAAATACTCACGGGTTATACGTCAACTGAGCAATTTCGTGCATGGCCCTGCCAGAGGGCGGCCACGGGTCGTTCGATGTCACATCTCTGACCTTTGTCTGCGTGTGTGAGTATCCATGGGTGTAGTTCTTAACCACCCGAAGCGTTCCCTTTCCAAAATGCTGAAAGGCCATCGAAGAAAGAGTGAAGGAGATGGGGAGGAGTGGTCCTATAGAAGCCGGGTCAATAATCTAGGTGTGACGCCGGCCCCGACTGCGCAGCCGCCGAATTCCTGTCTCCGCCGATGTTTACCAAATGTTTCCGCCACTATGACGGGCTGCACAAAAAGAGCGACCCACTCACAAAACGTATCCTTTTGCATATTCTGATTGGAGATGTCGCAGTGGCTGAAGGGATCTGTCAATTAGAGTCTGAGTGCGAGTCGCACAGCTGCCACCACGTCTTTTCAGGTAATTCGTGATTCGTGATTCGTGATGACATCCAACAGCACATGTAATGATTCAACCACGTGATCAAGCGCCAACCTCGCGTCACAAACCGAGAACGTTCGTGTCGCGCTCCGTCGTCTGAATTCTCGACTGCTCAGAGGCGCACAGCAAGCTGGACTTGCGACCTAATAATTCGACCGAAGTCATTCGGCAGGACTTCTCTTCCCGTCTACTGGTTTCACAATGAGATTTCGTGTCGTTCTGTTCATCGCTGGAATCTGTCCACTGGTCTCTGCTGCAACACTTTCTGGGAACCGAAGGCGTCTCTCCGTTGTCTCAGCTCACGGAGAGAGACGAGGGCTGGGCGACATCTTCGGAGGCTTTGAACCTGATACTCCAGAAGGCGACGGGACGTCGGAACAAGTCTCCACAAACAGCATCGCTACGAAGACAGATGGCAATCCGTTCGCTATGTTCAGCCCATTCGGAACGACGACAGATACTTCGACCACAAGGAAGGATGCAGCATCAACCACCAGCATAACTTCCAGCAGCAAATCTTCCTCTACTACGACACCTCCGCCGTCCACTACCGCTCAGGCGACATACTCTACGCCAACCCCTACCGCAACCAATGCTCCCTCTACGCCCTCCTCTTCGTCAAGCACCTCCACAACCTGGAAAGTCATTGGCGTCGCAGTCATCGCCGTGGGCGCGGTCGCAGCTATACTACTTGTGACGATGTCCTTTGACCACTGGTGGGGCTTTGTGCGTGACGTCGTCTGCCGCAGGCGTCCCCGCGAGGGTGCCGAGGAGTTCGTGCCGGACTGGGAGAAGGCGAGCTGGGACGTACGCTTCCCCGCGGACCGCCAGCGGTACCCGTCGTTTGCGTCGCTGCCCGATGCACTCGCGCAGCGGAGAGTAATGTCGGGGGCGGGCCCGGCGGAGGATTCCGCGGGAATAGTTCCTGAGGTGTATGCGCATGGTGCGTCAAGTCCGCTGGAGAAGATGGTGTCACCTGGTCCGTTCCGCCGAGTTAGACCCGATCCGTCCCCGACAGCGACCAGTAACCCTTTCAGCCCGCACCTGAGATCAACCTCTTGCAACCGTTCCAGCCGGCATCCGAGACCAACCTCCGGCAACCATGCCAGCCCGCGCCCACGACCACCGCCTCGTACTTCAATGGATATCACGTCTCCCACGCCTACAGACGCACCCGTCGCTCCGGCGGACGCGTACGACGGGATCGAAAAGAACGAGCAGTGACAACGAGCGACTCACAGACAGACGATGCTGGACACCGTAACATGTATTCGTTCCTCGCCTGTAGCGCTAGTCCCCGCCCACAACTTTGTATCATGCCCCTTGTATATGTTTTGTCTTTCTCGCATCCTACACATCCAGCTTAAGGCGGCGGCGCCTCTTTTGGCGTTCCTTCCGCGAGGCGAGCGGCATCCTCCTTTGAGGGAGGCAGTATCTTCTCGAGCTGGTTGGACATGAGAATGCCTGCTAGAGCGAAGGCGGTGATACCCAATGAGATGTGCAAGCGAGTTCGCGCGGGTAGAACTGCGTAGACGAGATTTTCAGCATTTCTGACAAGTCGTTCAAGCGTTGGCGACCTGCTCACCTGCGTAGGACTGCCAGAGTGACCGTTCTTGCACCGGTACGGTGCGGAATGAAGCGGGACGTGGATTATCCCCTGGAGCTGGTGTATTGGCTGGCTGGGAGCTCCTCCCTGACTTTGGGTTCGTCAGCAATTTCTGGGCCATAGCTTGAAAGCAGAACGAAGGGGACTTGTACACACAGCCGTCTTTACGAAAAAGGTTAGGGTTACTTTGCAGCACCTTTGGCGGGTTTCCCATATATAGATCCGGGTTGAACCTCCGCCAGTGGCAATTGACTTACTATGCCAGACCGCTCAGTCGGCGCACCCCTAATCGGCACTTTCAGGGTTTCCACCAATCGTTGGGCTTGGCTGTGGGCGCCTGGTCTCGCGTAAGGCAGTCTCCTTATAGTGGTAGGGTTGGCCGGAAATTAAATAAATTAAATGAAATTAATTCGAGCGAGCGAGAAGGTATTCACTCTGTATCTTTGTGTGATGCCCAGCATGTCCTCAACTCCTGCGCAAAGTGCCTTGGTGTATGAATATCGGGTTTCATGCCACTTACACATAATTCATGATGATTTTCCAGAGTTATATTCAAATCATGCAGTACAGTCAGACATAGGAACACAACTGCAGGGATGACTCTTCTTGTGAGGCAACTAATGAAGCTTAGGTCCTGTAAATTTTACACATTCACGGCATGCAGAAATCCTTTAAATTTTCTGCTCGCCCTTCGGGCGAGAGTGTATGTCCCTCTTGTAGCACAATAAAACTTTGGCCCAGTGCAGTTGCATTCACTGTAGCCATCTGAATGCACTGAGTTTCTCCTGCAACCTTAAAAATTTTCCATGATATCACAAGGACTGCCAGTTGTAATTTTTACTGGCAGGACATGCATTGAATATGAGAAAAGTCCCAGTGTGCAGGTTTGGCTGCACATAAGTGTTATCATGGTTGTGGTCCTCATCTGGAACTGTACATAGGCAGTATTTTTTCATGTTTAGAGAGCATATAGAGCACTCAGTTATGGACACTAATTTTTATTAAAACATGCCGCAGAGTGTGTAATTTGAATAGCTGTAGTGCAGTGCCCAACCTTAGGTATGTGCTTACATCAGAAATGCCATTTGGGGCAGGTTGCCTGCCGCATTGAGTGGGCACATGACGCGGGGCCGCCCGCGCCGGTAGGTTAGGTTTTTCAAACTCCGCTAGGACCTAACTCCCCTACCACTTGGTCTCGTACCCAGACGGTTATCTCATCGCACCCTATCACCGCAGATAACACGTCTGGGGCAGTTTGATAGAGCCCTCCTACCTTACAGTTAGCGCCCGTTAGCCGCTCGAGAAGCCTCGCTTACGTGCTTCTTTAATTATGTGCCTTCCCACTCATTGAGCGCGATTTTTGATCTCTATGCCCAGTTTACATGTATTTTTTGAGGAGATTTGACAGGAGTGAGTTCCTGAGAACCTCTGAAGCTTTTCTGAGATGGCCCGCATACTCTGAGCTCGTGCTGACACAAAGGAGCACCGGAAATGCATTAAGCCAGCTACTTTGAGTGAAAATGTCAAGGAATCTGGCTGAAAATATGCTCGGGCTCTTCCTGTGGTGCTAAAATGTTTCTAGAGGCATTTACAGCATTACTATACAGTGTTCATGCTAGTTCTGAGATGTGCATGCCTACAATAGCTTGATCTTCAATGAAGGAGGACATTCAAGCTTCGCAACAGTTGCCTGATTTGGCACAGACCTAGCCCATGGTCTGTCGCTTACATCAGCAAAAGTCAAATTTGCTTATGGCGCCTTCTCAGTCCTTTTTGGTCTTAAATAATGCCGCCAATGCCACCAAGACACAAAAGCAAAGATAAGTCAGGGAAAGGGGCAAAAGGGTGCATTTCGAGCAGTTGCGACATCGACGCGGTAAGCAGGTTAAGGATATACAGCTAGACAAGAAATACCTAAGACCGGGCAGATACATAAGTGCAAGAATTAGTCTTTAAGGAGTACAAGTAGTGTACAAAGGACTGTAATATAGACACTAAGATAGAAGCTCAAACGCATGGTGGTCGGCATACTTATTAAGGTAAAATGCTCGGAAGACATCAAGAGAATGATGATCCTCAAGTCTCACCGGCACATGCTCGTTTCCAAATACAGGAATAAGATGGGCAGCACGAAGAATAGAATCTAATGGGATGACTGACATAGGGTATGCACTGACATCGCCGTCTGACCTTGGTTTGACAATCCACATTCCTGTCTCATCGTCCACTGCATCTCCCACTCGATCAAACCAGTGGACCAGCGCGCAACGGTATTGAATGCCATTGAAAATGAAGCCGAAAAACAGCTGTACTCTGGCAACATCCGGCATGTCTTGATTCGGCCATAATCCATCGAGACTCTGAAATTGCGAATTCACGAGAACACAATCGAAATGAGGGCAACGTTTACGCCACTGTTGTTACAACGCTCCCCACTTGTGGCGCGTCTTTTCTTTTTCTTTTCCTTGTTCTCTTTACGTTACCAGACCACGTGATCCAACACGTGACTCATCGGAGCGCAACCTCCGATTCTTTACCCAGATGCCCAGAACCCCTAGTCTAGGGTTACACCGGATCCAACTCCGGACCTTCTTCTTATCGCGCATGCAAGACGTGCATGTACGCCTCATCTTTACCTCGTTCTGATACACGACTCGTTATCCCCATTAGTACTGATTATCTCTCATGACCTTACTCAGCTTTCTCATACATATTACTTCCTCGCTGTTACCTTGCCCAGATATCGTTTCACCTTATCTAGCCAATGAACGATCTCGCATTACTGCGTAGTACTGCGGATACCTTTTGTATAAGTAGACGACCTTGTCGAGCGGGATCCCCATCTCGACCTGGTTACCATTAAACCAGCTTTTCACTTGCCTTTGACTGAGATCGACCGTCAGTAGCAGACAGCTACTACGAGTCATAAGAACGAACTCTGAATCGACCTTCAGTGCGAGGACATCGCCAGAAGTGTCACTTGAACGGACTTGTGTCTTAGACTAAGACCTTGTCTCGTGACGACTCGACTAGACGCTCGTGTTTCGCTACCGCGTAACATTAGGTCGAGATCTTATTACTCTCTGTGACTTCCTAGAGTCTAACAACGAACTACCGACCGGACCGAACCTTGAAGACTGAACGATACACCCGATTCGATTGCTAAAGCACCGTTTGAGATTACTCTGTAATCGAGGTAGCTGAAGGGATAGACTGATCACTCATCTTCGGAGAGGGGTCTGTCCGAGAGACCAATAGGCCGAGGAGGCTGAGGTAATCACTCGAGCAATCAGCAAATAGGTGTATCAGTTTGAAGACAGAAGACACTCTACAGGCTTGTTAGCCGACGACGAACGAACCCACTTAGTTAAGGACGGTGTGCAGTCTACGTGTAGACATAGGCCACACAGAAGAATTTATCCACGCTGGATTTTAACTACATCAACCCGACCGCTCTTCCAGAGCAGTACCGCGAGCACCTCCCATCCCAAGCGGAGTGGAGCACAGAACGAAACGCACATTTCATAGGAGGAAGGCCTGTATTCATCAGGCCAGACAATCACAACTTCGACTACTCCCCAGAGGAATTTGAAAGGACACTTCCCCATAATCTTGGTGGAATAGTGCTCCAGCACATCGCAGACAGCGGTATAATGACCTCCTATCCAGGAGAAAGACCAGACGCCCCTTGGAACCCCCCTGCCCAGAATCCTGTACCCCAACCGACTCTTGCACCAATCGTACCCGATTACATACCACCGATGGCTACAGTTACCATGGATGAAGGACGTCACCATGCTAGCCAGAAGGAACTTGGTTTTAGAAAACCCGAGACCTTCAACGGTTCAGACCGTTCGAAGCTTAGGGAATTTATAAACCAATGCAAGAACTACATGGCCGGAAATAGCCATGTCTACCAGGAGGACAATCAGAAGATCGCATTCGTGCTATCGCACATGCAAGGAGGAACAGCAGGATCATGGGCACAGAGCTTCATAGAAACGGAACTCACCAATGATGACTTCCTTTCTTATGGGAGTTGGAGAGACTTCATTGCAAGTGTGAACAAAGCATTTGGCGATGAAAATATTGAAGAAACCGCTCGTACCTTGCTGCGTAACATCAAGCAAGGAACTCGTACTGCGGACGACTACATTGCTGAATTCCGATCGCTTGAATCCAAGGCGAAACTAGAAGATGCCGGAAATATCGAGTATTTCAAGTGGGGACTTAACGACCCACTCCAACAAAGGATATATGGGATGGAAAGCATGCCCAAGACACTTGACAAGTGGTACGAATACGCCTCGCGGTTTGATAACCAATGGAGATCTGCTCAGATCTTCAAGCGAGGAGCCACTACGATGACGCGAGGAAAGGGCCGATCTGTCCATCGTCCCTACTACTCGGCTTCTGCAAAGGATCCAAACGCGATGGATGTTGATCGTGTCAATATCTCGCGATTATCCCCAGACGAGCGACAGAAGAGAATGAAAGAAGGATTATGTTTCCTATGCGGAAAGAAGGGCCATATAGCCAACGACAGACAATTTCACCCCCAGTCTGGAAGTTTCACCCGTGCTAGAACGATACAGCCCGGGTTAGACACAGACACGATCACATGGATCAAGAAGATGCGAGAAGACCTCGCACAGAAGAAGGAGACGTTGAGGGAAGAAACCAGAGAGGAACAGATCGCCTATGTGCGAAACGTCTTCAACGACATGACTGACGAAGAACGAACCCAATTGGGTTTTTGAGACGACGGCCACTAGTAATGCATGGACCGTCGCATCTTACCGTATCTCCCCTCGTTATTTGTAACACTAGCGGAAATTCAATCACTGTGAATATTTCGTTGGGAGAGAAGGAAGACGTTACAACAGAAGCCTTGATCGATTCCGGTGCAGCCGAAATGTTCATGAACATTCGTTTTGCGGAAGAAAACGATTTCATCAGGTGGGAATTACCGAAACCGATTACAGTCATGAATGCAGATGGCACACCAAATCAAATGGGTACCATTACTCATTGCACCTGGAAGATGATGAAAATTGGAGGAAGGAAGACACTTACTCGTTTCCTCTTGACCGGCATTGGCAAAGAAAACATACTTCTCGGCATGCCGTGGCTTAAACGCCTCAATCCGATGATCAACTGGGAAACCGGTGACTTTTGGTTTGGTAAAGATGCCAAATGGCCACCGAAACCCACCGTCGAAGATGCACCAGATGAAGAAGTTTCGATTTTCAAGGGAGATGGACTCCCAGAGCTAATCACCACCGAAACTTCCCCTACCTCATTTGGGCATTCGGAATCTATCAGAGAAATCATGACCGATAACACTGAGCGTGGCGAGTTACCCGCAGTGCGGAATGATACCGAACTAGATGACCTACCATCAGAATCCCCTATGGATCAGCTCGATGATGACGATCTAGTTATATCCTATATCGCAGGAGAGCCAGTCATTGGGATATTTGAACCCATCAGGAAGGAGTCACCTTTGACGAATGAAGAGACTGAAACCGCAGTCTTCACCATACGAAGAGGCCCCGCCATTGGAAGAATGACACACAGTACTCGATCCCCATTATTCTGTAACGCACAGAATACGGTCTTTTACAAACCATCCGGTAAATCACAAGAATTGGCACAACAGGCACACAAAGAAGCATCAGCTGTAGACAAACCCAAAACTGTCGAGGAGTTGGTCCCCAACTACCTCCACGATTTGAAGTCCGTCTTTGAAAAGAAAGCAGCTGAACGCTTTCCAGAAACCAGGCCGTGGGACCACGCCATTGACTTGAAACCCGATTTTATTCCACGCGACTGTAAAGTCTATCCGTTATTGCTCAAAGAACAAGGAGCGATGGATGACTTCCTGGAAGAAAATCTGCGAAAAGGATACATCCGACCGTCGAAATCTCCCATGGCTTCACCATTTTTCTTCGTAGGAAAGAAAGACGGAGCACTACGTCCTTGTCAGGATTACCGATACCTGAATGAAGGGACGGTGAAAAACGCCTATCCTCTTCCGCTCATCTCTGACCTTATGGATCAATTCAAAGGCGCATCGATCTTTACGAAAATGGATTTACGCTCCGAATATAACAATGTCAGAATCAAAGATGGTGACCAATGGAAGGGCGCATTTAAGACAAATCGCGGACTTTTTGAACCTATGGTCATGTTCTTTAGACTCTGCAACTCCCCGGCGACTTTCCAAATGATGATGAACGCACTCTTCAAGGACATGATCGATGAGGGATGGATAGTCATTTACATGGATGATATCCTCATCTTCTCAAACGATTTGGAAGAACATCACGTTCGAACCCGACACGTACTCCAACGACTCAAAGACAACGACTTATTCCTTAAACCGGAAAAGTGTTTCTTTGATGTTAAAGAAGTCGAATTTCTAGGCATGATCATTCGAGAAAACTACATTGGCATGGACCCTATCAAACTTAAAGGAATTGCAGAATGGCCTGAACCAAGCACGGTAAAAGGTGTTCGCTCTTTCCTAGGGTTTGGAAACTTCTATCGGAAGTTTATTGCCAACTTCTCGGATATTGCCAAACCATTGACGAATCTTACGCGCACTGCCGCTGGATCTCCACCTTTTGAATGGACGACAGGATGTCAGACAGCTTTCGACACGTTAAAACAACGATTCAGTACCGCCCCAGTACTGTTACTGCCTGACAAGGCAAAACCCTTTATTGTTGAATCCGACGCTTCCAAGTTTGCTACGGGTGCAGTTTTACGCCAAGCCGACATCAATGGAGACCTCCATCCTTGTGCCTACATTTCACAGACGCTCAATCCAGCTGAACGAAACTACGAAATCTACGACCGCGAACTCCTCGGAATCATTCGAGCCCTCACTGAATGGCGCCATTATCTTGAAGGCTCTCCCCATCCCGTCGAAGTTCGCAGTGATCACAAGAACCTCACGTACTTCCGTACAGCTCAGAAGTTAAACCGCCGACAAGCACGATGGAGTCTCAAATTATCACAATTTGATCTTCACCTCATCCATGTCCCTGGCACTCAGATGATCCAATCTGATGCGCTATCTCGTCGTAACGGACTCGATGACAGTGAAAGTGACAACGAAGATCGCGTTCTTTTACCCAACACACTATTCGTGCGATCCATTTCCCCGACACTATTCGATGAAATCAGGAATCACGCAGCAAAAGACCTCATTGTTCACGAAGCCCTCGAAGCGATTGCGCACAAAGGGCCATTCCCCATGAAATCATCGCTTTCCGACTGGGAAGTTCGCGATGGTGTCATCCTTTACAAGGGAAAGATCTACGTTCCACCATCTGAAACTCTTCGTCGTGACCTCGTTCGACTACATCACGACTCCCCTGCCATGGGTCACCCTGGAAAGTTCAACACTCTTGAACTGTTACGTCGTGAATTCTGGTGGCCCGGCATGTATACATTTGTCTACAATTATGTTGAAGGCTGTGCCGCCTGTCAACAAATGAAACCGAACACTCATCCAACGCGTATTCCTTTGGAACCAATTCCCGCCGACCCACACGCATTACCATTTTCCTGTTGCACCACCGATTTTATTACCGACCTTCCCATTTCCAATGGTTTTGATTCAATTATGGTCGTAGTAGACCATGACCTTACGAAGGGGGTGATTCTTACGCCCTGCCTCAAAACGATCACAGCCGAAGGAACAGCCAAGATTTTTCATGACAAAGTATACTCGCGATTTGGATTACCCGACCGAATCATCTCGGATAGAGGACCTCAATACGCATCTAAGGTCTTCCAAGAGTTAAATCGACTACTCCAGATCAGATCATCAATGAGCACAGCTTATCACCCTCAGACGGACGGAGAAACTGAGCGAGTCAACCAGGAGCTGGAAATCTATCTTCGACTCTATTGCGGAAACAACCCTGAAACATGGGCCGACCGCCTGCCAGACCTCGAGTTTTGTCATAACACAAGGGAACACTCAGCACGGAAGATGAGCCCATTCCGTATCATGATGGGATACGAACCACGTGGACTCCCTTCCGTATTTCCGTCCACGAACATTCCATCGGTTGAATCCAGGCTTGACATGTTGCAGAAGATAAGACTAGAAGCACTAGCCATGCACGAGTTAGCCCGACAACAAATGGCGGACCGAGTCAGACAAGGATCGCCGAAGTTTACACTAGGACAGAAGGTCTGGCTAGACTCGAGGAACCTGAAGGTCAATTATGCCTCGCGCAAGATAGCACCAAAGCGTGAGGGGCCATTCGAAATTGTCGAAGTCATCGGACCGGCCAACTATCGTCTCAAACTCCTGAAGACCTGGCGAGTTCATTCCGTATTCCACGCCGCCCTTCTATCTCCTTATCGCGAAAACGACATACATGGTCCGAATTACATGAACCCACCACCTGATGTCGTTGATAACGAGGAAGAGTACGAAGTCGAAGCCATCCTGAATCACAAGATGTACCGAGGTCATCTGAGGTACTTAGTCAAGTGGAAGGGATATTCTTCAGCAGAAAACTCGTGGGAACCTACCCACAATTTACAGAATGCCAAGCGAATCCTCGATGCATATAAAAGGACCAGGGGAATCCAGTAGAGGAGAAGAAACCCGGAATGACTACCACGACGGTTTTCCTCGTCATCTTCCTAATCGTCCTCCACTGCACAACCCTCGCCTTTCTTTGGATCATCCACCGAATCCTTATCAGACGACTTGTCGAACACACACTCTTCACGCGAGACAGCCCGCACGCTAACGGCTGGGGTGATCAGAACGATGCCTGGAACTGATCAGGCAGTTCTTATCTCTGTGGGAATACTCTTTATCGTCCAATGGATTTTCATCTATTTGATTATTACCCGGATCCACGACATTCTATTTCACATCACAGATAACCGCGACCCCCTTAACGACCAAAAGGTATAAAAGGAGGAGAAAACGACATATCATCAATGCCCACTTCCGCTATAGACGACCTTGTTCACAATATACTCGCTGAAGTCGCCTCCACAATTATGAGCATACCCGCATCGCCTACGCTTGTCAATGGAGTACCCTCTCGAGCACAGACACCCTTTATCCGCACCTCATCGCCCTCACCTTCTATCGAACTCAGTCACGCATCGGACGAACAAGAATTTGCCACACGTCTGATCTCGGCTATCCGTGTTCCTGTCGACTTCACAGATATCCTCGTCGCCTTACGAAATCGCCCGCAAGATCGACAAGCGGTGGTTTCCATGCAACGAGCATTAGAAATGGTCGAGTGGATGCAGACGGCCAGACAAGAGCTCATCGCAGCAGAAGAAAGGACGAGTAGAGCCCAGACCAGAGTCGACCAAGTCTGGTCGTTGATGCGCAGTACGGTCACTCGTACAGCACAGGAGATTTGGAGGGAGCATGGGGACGAAGACATCGGACACATCCTCGGATACACCACTAATGGAATACCCGCATCCACTCCTCGCTCGTCGCCAGAACCAATTCCCGTTCGACCTCGCCCTCCTCGTTCGCACGTACCCAGTGGACGATCTTCATTATCCCAACCATCTTTCTCGACTGCATCCACTTCCTCGCGTCGCGGTCATCCCTACAGGAACGGACGTATCCCCGAACAAGGATCACGAACCAGCCGGCGGACATGCTACAGATGTGGAGGAGATCATTATGTTCGCGACTGCCCCCGACGACGATGAAGATCACAATATTTCTTGTGGGACAAGAAACGTTAGACGGGAGCTGATGTTACAACGCTCCCCACTTGTGGCGCGTCTTTTCTTTTTCTTTTCCTTGTTCCCTTTACGTTACCAGACCACGTGATCCAACACGTGACTCATCGGAGCGCAACCTCCGATTCTTTACCCAGATGCCCAGAACCCCTAGTCTAGGGTTACACCGGATCCAACTCCGGACCTTCTTCTTATCGCGCATGCAAGACGTGCATGTACGCCTCATCTTTACCTCGTTCTGATACACGACTCGTTATCCCCATTAGTACTGATTATCTCTCATGACCTTACTCAGCTTTCTCATACATATTACTTCCTCGCTGTTACCTTGCCCAGATATCGTTTCACCTTATCTAGCCAATGAACGATCTCGCATTACTGCGTAGTACTGCGGATACCTTTTGTATAAGTAGACGACCTTGTCGAGCGGGATCCCCATCTCGACCTGGTTACCATTAAACCAGCTTTTCACTTGCCTTTGACTGAGATCGACCGTCAGTAGCAGACAGCTACTACGAGTCATAAGAACGAACTCTGAATCGACCTTCAGTGCGAGGACATCGCCAGAAGTGTCACTTGAACGGACTTGTGTCTTAGACTAAGACCTTGTCTCGTGACGACTCGACTAGACGCTCGTGTTTCGCTACCGCGTAACAACTGTGGGGTTGCTCGAATATGTTCGCATCGCATCCCGCCGGTGCCACTGGGATCACTTGGAGCGAAATACGTTGCAGCGGCGGAATAGTAGACATTGACCTTTCCATGGAATGTCGGGCATTGACCAAGGGGTACCTCAGAAGCGGGAAGGAGGGCACGCCAAGGCCTTAACTGACTGTACAGGAATCGCCGGATGAGTTCCGGTAGAATTGGCTGGTGGATGTGGAATGATAAACGCACGACATCCTTTGGATATTTGCGCTCTGAACGGTAAATTAGAGAACTAGCTTTGAGGCGTGGGTAACACAGAACATACGAATTGTAGCTGCCATGTCGACATAGGCACGAACTTGGGGTCCTGCTATAGGCAGCCCTTCGTGAAGTGCTGTGTTGTCGTTCTCGTTCACAATACGTTCCACAGGATTCGAACGTGATTCTGGAGCATGCTCGTTCGCAGGTCTAGGGTCATCCGCATTCGCTGGTAATCCATCGTCAGGAAGTACATCGCCATCCCTCGCATTGTCCGAATCTGTAGAAATACTTAAGATCAGTACATTACAATACATAAATTACGATAGCGTACCATGCAAGGACTGTACCGCACAAGGCAAGTCCAGCATATGGCGACTTGTGAAGTCAACGCGCGCTGCCGCAAGCTTGTCAAGGCGTTGATTGGTTAGCAGCATCTGCTTGATAGCTTCGAATCGACTCAATCGCCTCCAGGGCTCTTTGACGGCCTTGATGTGTTTGGACTCTGTGATGGAAGAACAAAGACCGTTCGGAGCTGCGAACTCCCATACAAGCCACTTGTAATGTTGTAAGGAATGTTGTCGGGGAAGATTAAATCCACTGACGCGGACTCCAGACGTCTCGAAAATGCTCCTGTAGTGATGAAAGCGCTCCAGCACACCTTCGAGATCTTGTAATGTCTTCTCCGTGTGGACGTTGCGCCGAGCCATATAACAAAACTCTAGGAAGGCTCGCAACGTGCGCATCATATCCTCGGGAATATACCCGGCTAGCGCAGGAAGGTACACCTAAAGCTTATGGTTGAGTTTACTTCCCCATGCATGCCAGCGGACATGAAACGAACCTTCATCAGGGCCTTTGAGTCGTCACCTGTCCACTGTTTGAAGCCGCGCCCTTCATGAAAGTTTTGTAACCCAGAAAAGGGAGGAACAACTGCGATTCTAGTAAACATTTCGTATCAGATCAGATGATGTGCAACGATATAGCTCAGACTTACCAGCGGTCAATGTCCGCTAAGACGACTGCAGCCTGTTGTTTCCCGTGCGTGATCACAAGGTATTGTTCTACCCAGTCAACCAAATGGTCTTTGAATGTGCCTTTGATGAGTTGATGGAGCAGATCTGGCGATAGCAGCTCATGAATGTCTGCCCTAGGGAAGTCATTTGTAAAGGGCTGCAAAGCGAGCATTAGCATGGATTCATCAGAGAAGTGATGGACAATAAATGTGAAAAGAATGCAGCTATACGACAAGGAAATATGAATGAGCGATCCATTGCAATCTTCGCAATGTTGTATTTGTTCAAGTTGTCCATGTAACTGATGACCTTGCCATTGTCGTCATGCAACTCGCCGGTGTACCCCTCCACAGGCGTCCTCTGCGAATGCCTCGCCCTGGCACCCACGTGTGGTGGTGAAGTGTACGGGACACTCACAGGTGGGGACGACGACCTGCAGTAAGCACGCTCAGTGAAGTGCAGCAAGCCGACGTCCATCAGGTCTGCACGGCGGTCAGGATACCGTCTTAGTTGCACCGGTATGTTGCATGCTCGTGCGATATCTCGCGCGGCCAGAAGTCGCGCTTGGAGCGGACTGGCGAGCGGGTTGGCGAGCGGGCTTGAATGCTCGCGGATCTTCACCTGACTGGGCATGCGAGCCAAATGGGAAAGGGTGCGGGGCAGCACCAGAATGTTAGTGGGCTGTGATGCGAGGTGAGTGTAGGGGTACCCATGCTCATTAGAGGTTGGGGGTGTGGGCTCCATCGCATCTTTGTGCAACTGGATTACATATGAATAGCCATATTATGACATAAATAAGGGACAGGTCGCACCTTGTAAAGATGAGCCGTGAGTCGACAGAACTGGAGCCGCGCCGCTGGTCGTGGTAGAGTTGGTGGAGGAATCGGATGAGATCGGATTCTTATCGGGGGTGCCTGTCCAGGGGAACTGCATTCCATGTGAGCACAACACCACTGTGAAATCTTCAGGCACTTACCCATTCCCTTGCATCAGCATTAACCGGTTAGTAAGAAGACCGCTAGGGTTGATGATGGGCACTTCCGCTTCTTGCTGCTCCTTTTTGATGTTCTTGTTCGACAGCTCGTGCACTTGCTTTTCCAGAACCGCCATCTAGATGAGAAAACCGGGTGATGAGTGTACCGAGATAAAAATATTACAAGTATGCGCACAGTGTCTGCGAGTTTTGTATCCTGTACGGCATGCCATAGAAGTCGTTGAGACCATGCTGCCACGAGAGTTCCTCCACGATATCTGCATGAAGCAGATCGAAGCAGATGTACAACGCCGCCGCGAAGCACTCCTTGTTGCCGATGTCGACGAAGTAGGAGAGAAGATCCTCTGCGACTTCTGTCGAGTTGGACATGGCTGCCGTAATCATTGTGTCCTTGTAGAGCTTGTCGGCCTTGGACAACGTAATCGACTCCTCCTACCGCGCATTTTTCTACATATTGAATATGTTAATGACTGAACTGTTATGATACAAGCGACGAGTTCGTACCTTGTAAAGGTGGGCCGCAAGTCGATGGAACTCCAACAGTTCGTGCTTCTCTAAGACATGCGCAAGTTTAATGTTGTTGAAGTTGTCAAAGCCGTCGATAGAGTCCCGCAATGTCATGTAGTCTTCCTCCTCGATGAGCAAGTTGTTGTACGCATCATTGACGGCCTCGATGTTCAGCTGTTAAAACCCGTTAGACTAAGTTCATCACACCCTTTAGCATTGAATAACTCACATGTTGCACAGCGATAAGATATGAGCGGACGAGGGGGATGTAGTCCATCTGGCTGAACATCCTCACGACGCGGACATGGTCAATACGAGGAATCAAGACGGTCAGCAGATCTGTTAGGAGAGTCGGTTGTTCTTGCAGATAGTTCTCACCGAGATAGATGAGCGTCGTTACAAGCCGGGCCCAATTGGAGATACTTGTGAAGAGCAACTTCGCCGCCTGGTAAAGTTCGTCCTCGAAACACTTCTCTCCGACCTCAAGAATGTCGGCAACATTCGTCATAGCCAAGAAGTCCTCCATATCGTGCAGACGATCGGTCTTCGCATAGGCATACGCCAACTCCGTGTCGATCTTAGGCTCGCGCAGAGTCTTGCGCGCCATTTGGAGGTACTTGGTGAGGTCGTCGTGCTTACCTGCGTGACTAGCAATCTCGATGACTTTGGCGTAGTTCGAGGGATCCTCAGCCTTGATGTACGAATCTGCAAATATTCATCTGGGATTAGCACCTGAAATGTTCAGACCCGGATTGACTCACCGATGGCATCCTTGATTTGCAGACCGTCGAGCTGTGCCTTCGCCAGCCTGCTCCACACCTTGGGCCTGTTGACTTTGATGGCATATTCGACATCGCAGTCCAGGGAGACGATATGCTCGACGAGCGCGTTGATGGCCATGGCGTGCTGCTCATACTTCTTGTATATGAGGAATGCCTCCTCGTACAGGCCATGGTCAGTCGCAATCTTGGCAATCTCAGCGATATCGTAGTTCTTGAGCTTGTCAATGTATCCAACGACTTTTTGTCTGCGCGAATGGCTGTCAACACCATCAAGTTCTGGAGGTTGCGATTGTCGCTGAATGGTGAAGGCTCGAGGATGAGCTTCTCGAGCAGCTCGATCAACTCAATGGGAAGGTCTGCCATCAAGAACACCTTCCCAGTTACGAACACATCATCGGGGTCTGTGGACTCAGGAAGGGCGGTCGCAATGATCTAGTTGTAGTGAAGTCAGTAGGGAGATCAGACGAAAACAACGCAGAAATCTCACCTGATCCGTCAGCTGACGACGATGCATGTTGTCCTGTCCAAGAGCACGAACGCGGGTGTGGGGGGAGCCCGTGTGGGCATGCATATATGCGAAAGTGGGGAAACGCACCTGGGTGATGACGATGAGGTTGGCCCATCTGTTGTCGACGCCGGTGGAGTCGAAGGTTCCCTCGGCGATGGAGACGCGGGGGTTATGTACGAACTTTGCGAAGACGTCGCGCATGCCTTCGGACGGCTTGAGGGCGCGGAGCTGGTTCACGGAGTGGGACCAGTCTGGGTGGGCGAGGAGCGCACGGGTGAAGATGCCGGTGCCCGCACCGATCCTAGTAAAGCTGAGCAGTCAGAGAAGCGAGGATGGGGCAAGTAAACTCACTCGACAGTGTTGAGTGGGGCAGAGGCTGCAAGGGCATTGCGGATGTGGGAGAGGGTGGCAGGCTGGTACGAGGGCCAAGCACTGGGGCTGTGGAATGAGAACAGGGAAGCGAGCGCTCGGAGTGACTGACCGACAATAGAGCTCGTTCGTTCCCGTACCGAAGCCGACCTTGGCGATGTTGTGTACTGGGTGCTCTGCAGTGGCAAGCATGGGCACGAGGAGATGGGGGACTGACAGATCATATTACAGCCCGTGTTAGATGTCGTGCAATCTGCCGTGGATGATGACGGGAAGAATATTTGGCTGCTGCGGGGCCGACAGCCCGCATCTCACGAGAATGTCTTTTCTCTCTCTCCTCCATCTCTTTTCCCCACCATGGATGCCCCCATCTCCTTCTCCGTTGCCTCTGGTCACCACATCTCCACCTTCTCCCTCACCACCACCTTCCTCCTCGTCTCCCACACTGGCGACAGTGAGTTCATCCACCCGCCCTTGCGCTCCCCAACTCACCCTTCTCCAGAGAAATGGCCGCAGATTGAGACTGACTTGCGCCCATAGGTCCAGATCACGACACTTGATGGGATAGCGAGCTTGTTGCTTGAACATCGAGTTGTCATTCATGATGGCAATGAGCTCGTCGTCGCATGGACCCTTCGCGTACACAATGTAGGCGAGGTATGGATCTCTGGCCTCACAGAATTTGCCGACGACCAGCGGCTCGTACAACTGAACAGTCACATTTTAACAAGGGGTAGCGGTAAGGAATGAATGAACTTACATTGTCCTCCTTCAAGAACGTCTCGGGATTGTTGTTCGAGTCAATATAGATCTTTGCGAGCGCGTTGTACACAGCAGGGTCTTGGTTTCCCGCCTGCACGTGTGCCTCCAACCATGGAAGGATTGACTTCAGCCTGTTCATTTTCTCTACCTCGTTCACGAGTTCATCGATGGGGAAGTTGCCAGGGACAGAAGCAAGCAACGACTTGATGATTGTCTCATCACAGTCGACATCCAAGAGACCCCCAATGACCTGCGGCGTCCTGACCAAGTTGACGCATTGAACATAAACCTCAATAAAGCTGGTGAGACCATTCTGATACAGGTACAGCACAAGGTCATGGACGAAGTTGAACCGGTCGCAGACGATGATGAGGGGTAGCTGGTCCGAAAGCTTGGCCTCCTTCAGGAAGTTCTTGACTTTCTCCAGGTTGTAGTAGTTGCTCTCACGACAGATGCATTCAACCTCACGAATCTGGCCTGTACGAGTGGCCGCCTGGATGTGAATCTCGGGATCCTAGCTAAGATTGACGATGGAACTGAAGTAGTAGTATAGGTCTGGTCGTAGAGCGTCAGCGTCCAATAAAATGATATGTATAGAACGAGATCACCTTCGAATGACTTAAACTTCTCAAACAACTTGATGAGCTTGACAGGGCCAAGGATATCCGAGTACTTCGTAGCGATCTGGACAACAACCTGCAGGTTCTGCCAAATGTTGATACGAAGTATCTCTCCCATGCAAGCCAATGACTGCTCAGTAGTAAGGCGACTGAAGTAGCTGACGAGCCACTAATGGACGAGTGAGTAACAAGCGCAACAAAAAGTGAGACACGGCAAATACTCATATCGATCTGGAACACGTTCGCATGCACGATGACGCTTGATGTTCCCCAAGTCCTCGTAGTGCTCGAGAGCCTGCAGACAAAAATATGAGTAAGAGCAATCAATCGCCATGAAAGTCTACAAACTCACTGCAGTAAACCAGCCTTCTCGCAAAGGTTGGCAATTCGTGGACGGTCGTAGTGCGTGAACATCTCATTACCGATAATGGCATCCGCGACTTGAGGGGCGTGAATCAGGTTCATCTCCAGCAGACGAGTCTGGAGATGAGCCTGCTCAGGCTTGTTCTCCTTCAGCACGTCGAGTAAGAACAACGTCGCGGGCTGGATCATGTTTTGCGACATGAAGATGTCCACCACCTGAAGAGGGAACGAGCTCAGTAATAGAACGCTTGAAGTAGACAGAAAACTCACCCACTCGACATCCATGAGCGGACCTGAGTCATCGTTGACGAGCTGCGCAGAGAACTCAGCACCCTTCTCGGGGTTGGTTCACATGACGTGTTGGAGCAGGCTGACAAAGTTCGGGGTGTATCCAACCTTCTTCGCATAAAGGACGATCTTGTCCATCTGTCCCATCTCCGCAAAGCACACAATGACCTTATTTGGCACATTCGCTCTGAGATAGACACTCAACGCGAGGGTCATGTCGTGAAGTCGGACAATATCGCCAAGTTCCTCGCTACATGTAAGGTACGTGTAGCATGTCAGACATTGCCATATCTGAATGCACGGTCATACGAACCTTGTTCTCTAGCCACTTCTCAAGGAGCCGCTTCCTGCCTTGTTGCAAGACTGGACGAGCAAGTTCGAGTGACTCCAGGTGGTTCAGTTCACCTTTCTCGAGAAGAATACCAAAGTACTGGAGAACGGGAAAAAGACCGCCAGGAGGTGCTGGCACATGCTTGAACGCCTCGATGACTTGCACAGTGCGAAGAATACCCTGGAAATTATAATATGAGAACATATCTGGATATCACTCTGAGAACGATGTACTCGCGGTGAATTCGCAGCGACCTTCGCCGCTTCGCCGAACTGACCGGTCCGGAAGAGCTGCTGATATTGCTTAATGTACAGGTCATCTGCACCCGGAAGATTGGCGCTGCTAGCCATCTTGAATGCGAGTTCCGTGTTATTAATCGTCGTGAGGATGTATAGTATAATTGTCTGCTCATCGATGTTGACACTGAGCACCTGGCCCTTCTTGTTGACGCCAATGATACCGTTCGTCGCCTCATGTTAAGTGGTTACAAAGATGGTCTCCCCAGAGATACGGTTCATGTAGATGCAGGCACCAGACTCCAGGTCGTAGAGGTGGATGAAACCACACTTCGTCACTAGGTATACGATACCGACTGTGCTTCTTCGACACTTGCATAGCCACGGGGAAGTCGTTCGTCGCCTCTGGAGGGAAATAGACATCGACAACTTTCTTTATGAAGGGTGGATCCGGTACTGTGTGGTCAATTTCGACAATGTGCAGCTGGATGCACTGAGTCATCAAAAGTACCACGGAGTAAGATGTATATTACTGACCTTCACTCCTGTGGCTGTCCGGACAGAGAACGTAAACAGTTTCGTGGGCTTATGGTGTCTGTCCATCTTGAGCTCGGCAAACGCAGCAGCATGATCCTCAATCGGCTGGCTGACCCCGTGCTCTCTGCTGAAAAGTTGTACCAAGCCTTTGACCTTGAATGCTGAGGGGTTGCTTGTGTTTCCTGAAATGCCAACCAACACAAGCCATTTCTCATCTGCCGATACGTGGTAGTTGATGATCTGCACGCCAACGAGAGTCGGGTGACAGTCGAAGATCTTCTGTGGGGCTGACATCACATCTGCAACAGACCAGTGGTACACGCTGGTACTTATTCTCGTTCTGCTCAGCTAATAGACATGAGTATGATTCAGTGTGAAGTGATGACCGCAATGGACGGGGACCTACAAGTAATTCATTGCATTGCCCATCTCTTCCTCTCGTCTCCGGTGATTGGACCCTGGAAGAACGTGTTGAGGATAGAGTGCTTGCACATCTGGTCACCTGGAGCTCGTGTTGGACTTGCGTGGCTGAATGTAGAGGAGATAAAAGGGACACCATGTGCCAGTGCTAAATGTGCTGCAGGCGAGTCAGGTGGTAGTGGGACGATGAGGGAAAGGTTGGGGTTTGCTGTGGTGGAGGTGGGGAAGGGCGGTAGAGTGACATTTTCTGGCGTGAGGCCTGGGTTGAGAAGCGCAACGACTTTTTGGATGGTGCGTGAATTCTGCAAGAAAGGCGTGTTTCAGGGTGAAGGACAGTGCGAGATGAGGGTCGAAGATCTTCAGCGGGGGCGACATCGCATCCGCGATGGACTAGTGGTACACGCCTGTGTCTGTGACCATGCCAATTGTCGAGTTCGAAATCCACTTCCAGAAGATGACTTCCTCGTTGTTGTGACTTCGCTTTCTGCTTCGTGTCCATGTTGAAACTTTGGAGTGTCAGACTGGCTGTATGAGCGCAAGCATATCAGCCAACACTCTAATATGTTGATGACTGGTTGACATACCTGAAATGAGATGAACACACACCGTGGCACGCTGAGGTTAGAAAATTGAAGACGCTTGCAGAATGCGATCCGTAGTAGCAGGAAGTGGGGTGTCCATGTGTGCGCCCTCGCATCTGATGCACATGGGCACGAGCGGGGTGGTGACGACCTGATCGGGCCCCTGCACGCCGGACTAACATGAGCCCCCAGTGAGCCTGGTGGACGAGGCGAACCTGGCGCGGCTCGAGTGCGTGCCGATCTTCTTCTTCTCGGGCAGTGAGAACATGGTGTATGCGCTGAGCGCGATGGACGTGTCGTATATGATGCTGCAGAATGCGTTTGTTGGGGGCCGGTATGAGCGAGACGTGTTTGATGGGCTTGGGCATCTGGACCATTGGATGGGCGAGCGCGGGGCGAGAGTGGTTTGGCCGAGGGTGAGGTGAAGGTTTGTGGGAAGTAGACAACGTGACAGAAAGGAATCAAAAGGGAAATGGTATCAAGTGAATGGATGAAACAAAAGCAAAAAGAGAGAATTTTAAGCAACTAATGAAAGTCTTACCACGATGTCAACAATGCCGTACTCGTCCCAAAGGACGCCGACCCCAAATTCTTCAAGAAGGGCGTCCGTATGCTCACGTGAGCGTGGTCCACTCCCAGGACTGTCTAGATTGTCACTACGTGCAGTACACCTGCACGATTGGCGAGATACTTAGCAATAGTAATCAGACCAGTCGAAGGACTTACTTTGGGCACCATCCTTGCACAATGCAGGCAAGGAGGGCTTGTTCTGGGTAGTCAGCAATGTACGGCCCCAATCTATATATGACTCATCGAAAATGACCATCTCCACAACGAGTGACTTCGGGAGTTGTCATAGCGGGCTTAAGACCCTGCAAAATGTGGGATAATGATGTATGGAAGAGCTGTCGGCGGAATTTGCGGAACTTGATATCATCCTTGTATTCGCGATCGGCTTAGTGTACAATCTCATAATCAGAAGCATGTTCGCAGCAAGTAAACTTGTCACTTACTTTTGGGTATAGCGAGAAACCCAACCAGTGTGACTGCATTGCGATGTGCACAACGCACACTGTTGTGTACACCGCCTATTGACATGTACAACGGATAGTACTCATTCTGTCCCATTGCGACAGAGACCGTTGTCTTATCGTTGCCTAAAATGATCGGTACGAATGCGGCACCGTGCATGTTTGGATCGTTTGCAATCAAATCCTACAAAGTATGAGTCGCGCGTGCACAAATGAACAGAACAAAGACATACCGCCTGTCTCCATGCCCAATCACCGGACATGAAATCCTTCAAATGGCGTTCACCGTTATAGAACTCACGAAATGGGCTGTAATCGATCTCATCGTTGAAGTCCGGATTTGCGAGCATATTCTTCGCAATTTCATGTGGATCCCGGAACAAGACCTCATACTCGGCAACCATCCATGGAGGCACGTCATTGTCCGGCAATGGTCCACGATAACACATCTTGGATGACTGCCATGGGACATCGCCGTGAGAGATTGCATCTATAGTCTGATATAGGTCTTTCGCGTTGGCGAAGGGAGGATTTTCGCCATGTTTCATAAGGCTCGCAGCCCATAAATCGAGGAGGATGTTTATATTCCCGGCAGACATTTGCTCTCGAGTGTAAAGAAACTCAGCAAGTTCGAACTCAACGCGATCGCGGAATGGTGACCAGTCATTAGCGGCAGGACCTTCTTGAGGTGCTGGAGGAGTATCCGGTGGTAAGGAGTTCCCTTGCTCGTCACAAGGTGTGCCTGTTTTCATTAGATTAGCTGCACATATTGACATTCAAATGGATGTACCATTGATGAACAGATGGTATTCCCGAGTCGACTCGACAGGATCAGCTTCAAAATGTTCATGATCTGCCGGGTCGTGTGGTGGGATGTCGTCATCATCAGATACGCTGTTGCCTTCGAAACTCGTGGAAGAGTCATCATTGAAGTCGGCACCAGGTGCGAAGCCCATGGGGAACGCGTCTGAGATGTAGTCTGTACTACGGTTGTGTGAACTGGTATCGTCCGAGTTGTCAGCGAGTACTCCAGGGCTCAAAGAACTTGACTCGTCTTGAAGGTGGTCAAGATCGTGCAAGGCTTCGAGAATGGGGGACTCTATGAAGTCAAATTCGAACTGAAGATCATCAACGTCACTGTGAGCATTATTGCTATGCTCTGCTAGAATGCCATTAGCATTCAGCTCCAGCGCGAAGAATTTTGGATTGCTTACGATCAGTACTTTTGGCCGCACTCCGAGGTGAAGCATTGCCATCCTCCTGGGCTGCATTTCTGACTGCATTATCCTTGGCCATAGGCTGCGCGGGTCGTGCATGATATGTGCGTTCATGCTTCATAAGGCCGGACTGGTTTCGAAACCACCTATTACATCCCGGGTTCCTGCAGGGATGTCTGAGAACCTTGTGCTTGATACGGGCTTGCAATTTCTGTATCGAAAAAGCCATTATGTGAATATTTGAGGTTTCCAATGGAGGATGGAGTTGTAGCCGCAGATAGCTTGCCTTGTGTTCAATTTGTAGGGAGAGAAATAGAAATTTTACATTCAATCTACCGTAAATGATTTCGCGGTCAGTAATTGGTGCCGAATGGCACAAACTTGAACTTCGCCGAAACGTAAGTCTCCGCTAGACGCTCGTATCCGTGGTGGTCACTCTTTGGTTCAATGCACCCCAACGCTTTTTTCCCATCCTCCACCATCACTCTATGGCGAAGAACAGCACACGTCCCATCAGACTTCGCGCAGCTCCGAAGTCTGAGCATTCTTTGGAACCTGCTGGCGAGCCTCCTGGTGGTCTTCCTGTCGATCAGCTTCCTCCACAGACAAGACGTAAGCGACGTACTCAAGATGACATCAACACCCAGGAAGCTGCAGGTGGCGCTTCGATGGAAAATAATCCTCCACCTGCTAAATGCATACGACATGCTTCTGACACTGTCGTTGGCTCAGCCGACAAACATGCAGTGGACGATGTCCCCCAGTCTACACGACGCACACGTCAGCATCCCGCGGCTGAACTTGTCAGTGCACCTACGGTAGAGGAAAACCCTCAACCCCAAAAGCAAACCCGACGTGTCACAAAGCCACCTGTCAAGGTGGCTGCTAGAGACGCAGCCCAAGTACCCACGCCGCCAAAATGCAAGCGATGCACTGCTGCTGAAGTCCAGGCCGAGAAGGATGCAAAAGCAGCTGCAAAGAAAGAGCGCGAGGATGGAGAGGCAGAGGCACGAAGGCGCATAGCTCAGGTCGAAGATGATTTGGTGAGAGCAGGGAACAAGATCGAACGGGAGAGAGTTACGCGGCCAACTTCGCAGAGACAAGGTACGTGATATATTGATTGCATGTGCACAGCCAATCTTCAAGACCTGATAGGACTGTCAGAGCTTCCTTCAGAGGATGAGACGGCTGACGATAGATCATCACTCACCGAGTACACTGAATCAGGTCTGACTGACAACGAACAGCCAAAGAAAAGAGCCCGAAAGAAGGGAGTTCGTGCAGACATAGTCAACGCTCGTCAAACGCCGTCGACTGCTGCTGCTGGTGAGTGGGCAGCAGGCGCTGCTGATGTTCTCGATAAGGCAACTCAGGATGCTAAGTACGTACACACCACCACGACTTTTGCCACAGTCCAACATGTTTCTGCATCCCTATAGGAATCCAAACTTCGGGCTTGGAGAAGTCAAGGACTGGAAGAGGAATCTTCCCGCATGATGGGGCTCTGCTACTGGAGCTCGTGGCACCACTCAAAGGACGCGAGCCTCAAATGCTCCGGTTGGACAATTGGCAGCCTCAACTAGCACAATCGATGAGCAAAAATCTCAGTATCTCCAGATTCAAACTGCCCAATTTGCGAGTGACGATGAGGCAGTTGAGCGCTTTGATGCATTGTCGAGTCCGGAGAAAGGTCGTGACAAAAGATTGATGAATGCAGTAAGTTTACTTAACCCGAGTGCGAAGAATACAGGCTAAACGGCGAACTGTCACTCTGTACTTTTGCAGAGCTTGGTTGAGGTTGATAAAGTTGATCCAGACGAGACACCGCGACCACTACGTAGGACTTCTGCGAAACAGGTTCGTCATTACTATGTGTCAGCTACTCACATTTTTTTGGTGATTCACTACTCATTTGAACAGGTGTTGGTCAAAACCGAAGATGGATCGCAGCCTGAATTTCACATGGAGTCTACAGTCAAGCCCTCTATTCAGGCCGTAGGTGCATCAAGGCAGCAAGTGAAGACCGTGCGCACTACAGAAAATGTATATACGGTGACGTGTTCTTCTCATTTTGGAACGTGTTGATCTGAAGTCCGCAATGTCAGACTATTGTCAAGGTTGAAGAATCGGAGCAGGAGGGCAATCTCGACCCGAAGACTAAGCCTGCGAAGGGAAAGAAGAAGAACGTTGACCTTCCCATGGGCGCAAAAGCAGGACAACGTTGGCTACATGTATTTTTGCCAACATTGATGAAATACATGGGAACACTTGATAACCCGTGGGTAATTGGCGATGCTGAGCTTGTTGACGCTCTACAGATAATCTGGAACACTGTCTATCCCCGTCTCGAATACGAAGTCCGCCCTGACAACGATTGTGCAGTTTTCAATGTGGTACGTCCCCTTGCTTGATTTAATGACAGACTGACTAACTTTTGCGCGACATTCTAGGCGGGACAGCGCATTTACGATTGGCGCTGCGGATTTGGATCAACTGCAGCTGCAGTTGTCGAACTGTACCTTCAGAAGCATCAATACGATACAGAAGCCAAACGACGTGATGCCGCTATTGACTTGGTGCAGAATATGCGCTTTGCGTATGATGACGCTGAAGGAGATGATTATCAGGTAAAATCGGAGTTTGTGCTAAGTCCATGCAGTTACTCATTCTACTCGCAGACCTTCAAGGGCCTTTTCCGCGGTGAACTGGTCGCACGAACACTCATCTATCACTATCAGAAAATGAAGGGTGCCATTAATGTTCCAACACTCTATGGCGAAGACGGAGATCGGCGTGAAGTTGGGGCGGTTGGTATATCCGCTGCGGCGGTAAGTATTGTAACTTTTTTATTGCATTGTGATTGTATCTCTGATTTTGTTCTAGGTTGAGCGCATACTCGTGTTTTGGCAGACGGGAGCTATCAGGCTCGTCAATGGCCGACCTTTCATCCTGAAGACGCAGAACCCGACAACAGGTGTTGAAAGTACTTGGGCGACGCAGTTCAGTGCTGATAACTACGGCAAAAACACAGCTGACTTCGTCCAGTCCGCCGTGGATTCACTTTCGGAAAAGAAGTTTGTTAAGCTTATGTCAAAGGTTGAGCAGTACACCAAGCCGTCGTCATGGTCCTTAGGTCTCCATCACGATCTGATTGAAATTTCCGATGATGAAGACTTAAACGTCAATCACCGCAAACGACTGATTGACGCTGAGGTGGATTCTGACTAGCAATTACGCCCAGGTGAGTTTATCCTTCATACGTAGTTGTGCCAATTTACATTGGATTATAACTTCAGGTTGCTTTGTCCATGAACTAGGATGCGTGCAAACGTCAGGTTGACGGTCAACTTTCGTGAACATTTCAAGCTGTCGCTGGCATCCGTGATGCCTATCCATTCAATTCGGGACTTTCTTTGATCTAGCTATTGGTTTTCTTCAAGGCTCGGGTCGTAGTGATCACCTTCGCCTTCGCGCCTCTCCCTTTCGTTTATCGCTCACATCGCCCTCTCGTTCATCGCTCACATCGCCGTTTCATTCGTTGCTTACGTTGTTGCTCACGTTGTTCTCGCTTGCGTTCATTTGCATTGCCCCTTCGTTCGTTGCTGACATTATTTCTCGATTCTCTACTTAATCTCTTCTGACAAGTTCACACTTTCTTGGTTTCTAATTACTCGCCTTTAATCATACTTACCATTCTTATCCGTGGATTGCCCACCTTACTCTACTTTTGCTCCCGGAGAGTCTTTGATGCTTTGTTGGCTTAAACTTTCTTATATTGCTTTCAGCCCCTTCAATAAAACCTACTTTTTTCACTTTTGTGACTTGGAAACCTCTCGGCAAGAAACTTCAGAGCACGAAGAGGAATAAGTAACCTCCAGAAAAATGGAGAGGGGATCTTCACGGGGCGATCCAGACAAACACAAGTACGTATAAGACCGGAAAAGGACAGCACAAGCAGAACATAAGACCAAGGATCGCCTTAAAACTCCTTGAGCAAGGCAAACGGACCAGAGCCGTCAAATCTTCTTGTCTCGTCTTGATCTCCTTATTAAGACGGTCAAGACGCGATAAGGAAATTTGACTTTTGCTGATGTATCCGGCGCTTAACGGGCGCTAACTGTAAGGTAGGAGGGCTCTATCAAACTGCCCCAGACGTGTTATCTGCGGTGGTAGGGTGCGATGAGATAACCGTCTGGGTACGAGACCACTACCACTATAAGGAGACTCCCTCGCGTAACACATATTTTTTGCCTATATATGGTGCGAGTAGGGAGGTGCGCCGACTGAACGGTATGGCATAGTATGCCGGAAGAATGTGCGACCGGATATTGGCGACTCCGCCTCGCGGATGGAGCAGATCTTGTGTTTCCATAATTAACTTCGGCCCGCGATCGGCAAACAACCCTTCCGTCCTAATTTAGAAGTCATTTTTAAGAATAAAAGCTGGGGCTGACAGAGTGGTCAGCCACACGAACCGTAGTACTTATGGCTGTCTCATCGAAGCTATCACTCTCACCGCTCTCTGCAGTTCCCGCACATCTTCATTGCGCCGCTCATCTTCACCCATTACCCAACTTGCAATCAACAATGAGGTGATGTGACATGCTCGACATTAGTCATCATTGCACTCACACACTTACAGTTCCCAAACTCCTTCACCGACAAATTCTGACTCGTCAACGCTGACGCCAGGTGATTTCTTCTCACGTTCACCACTTACATGCAACACTAATCTAATCTACAGGCTCATGATACATCGCCAATCTACACAAGTCAGTCTCCACTATGGAGACCGAGCTTGTGTCCCACCATCTCTGCCTGGATACTATTGAGGAGATGTTGGCCGACTTGCAGGCAGGGCTGTGCAACATAGGGCTGAGGCTAGGTGAGCTGGAGGAGGCACAGAAGACAGGCTTAGAGTCACTGCGGAACGACATAGATTTGAAGATAGCCATGACGGTGATCCTAGATTCAGAGTCTGCGGTGAGAGATCGCTTCACTTATCAGTGATGACATTCCGCTTATGCTTCCATACATCTCAGTGCTCCGCCAGTTTAGTCCCAGTATTTCCTAATTTGGCTGTGGTATTCTTTTGTCCTTCACGATGTGACCGTAGGGTATAGTATAGTGAGGGACTCACTATACTATACCCTACGGTCACATTGGCACTCCTCCCCTACAAGTCGGCACCCCAGCATACCTCCCCCATTTCCAGTCCCCTTGCTTACCTTCTTCATACATATTCATACTGGCATATCTCAAACAATTGTGAATATGAACGACGGCGGACGGTCCAGTACTGGATGAGTTCTGTTTTCGGCGAAAATCCATGTTTTATCACGCTTTGTCACGATGTTGTCACGCCGACGTGCAAAATGGGTGATTATGTCACCGGTGACATAACGCGTTACTGCCGACTTGAGGTAGGGCCCGCTTTTCCGTTACACCACTGCTCTCGCGAATCCGACTCGTCCAAACCACCACAAGTAGCCTGACTATCATGTTCACAGGTCTAGTATGCTGCCCACAGCACTCCCCATCCCACCACTGACCTCCATTACTCTCAGATTGAGCACCTCGGGACGGTCGCATCTATCGAGCACGATGGTGGAGGATGCATGCTCGCCGTTGCAGACGCATCGCCTATCCTGGGAGACTGCCATGTCGGCGACTCCATCGCGGTGAACGGCGCATGCCTCACCGTGACGGCGTTCGACGCACAGGCGCGCGGCGGGTGGTTCACGGTATGGCTCGCGAACGAGACGCTAGAGCGGACGGATCTCGGTGCGTGGCTTGCCTCTATGCTGGTGCGGTGCGGGTGCTCATTGAAGTAGGCGAGCGGAAGGTGGGTGATCAGGTTAATTTAGAGCGCGCGATGGGCGCGCATGTGCGGTTTGGAGGGCATTTCGTGCAGGTGTGTCTTTTCAGTGTTTGCGGTGGTGGTGATCTAACCGAAAGCACCTTGCGGGCAGGCGCATGTGGATGGCACAGCAACACTGGTTGACCGTACGCCTGACGGCGACTCGCTGCGCCTGCTGTTTCAACTTCCCGAGCCGACATCGTCGCGGCCATCCTTACTTCCTTACCTTATACCGAAGGGCTATGTCGCGATTGATGGCGCGTCGCTCACGCTGACAATGGTCGACGACGTGCAGCGCACCTTCGGCGTCATGCTCATCAAGCACACACAGGAGAAGATCACGCTGAGCAAGAAGGCGCTCGGTGCGAAGGTAAACATCGAGGTGGACATGCTGGGCAAGTTCGTGGAGAAGAGTGTGCAGGCTGCGTTATCGGGCGGAGGCACTTCAAATTTGCGAGCGATGGTGGAGAAGGTTGTAGAGGATGTCCTCGTCAAAAAGGGAGTTGTATGATCACTGCAAGTACTGTACCTATAGCTGCACTGACTTACTGCTTGAATATACCGCACACGCTACCAGACTGTAGATTATATTCTTCTGTACGAGAGATTATGTAAGCATCTAGACAACCCGCTTGCTCGCCGAGTCTACCAAACTGGCAAACTCCCCACCGTCAGCTGTTGTGTTCAGAACTCTTGTCTCCAACGACGGAGACTATTATATCCCATATACCTCGCGTCAGATGTCTGTATGAACTTATGGAAAGTCATTATAAGCCAAAGGTTCGTTTTGTTACACACCGTCGGCCGTGCGGAGCGCTGAGACCGTCCAGGTTACCTCCAAGCTCGAATATGACAGAGTTCGTCCTGTATCACCATCCAAACTCCAACAACCACAGTTGGGGCCGTCACCGTCGTTACCCATCGCACGCCCGAAGGCTAAGGTGACGAGTAGTGCTACAGTTATAAGCCGAAGAACGAATAGCTCCACGCGCCCGCCAAGTGCTTTGCCCTCTCCACGCGCACCGTCCCCGTTCAAACAAGACCACGCTCCACATGCATCGGTAGTATTTCCAGTGAAGGCGCGACTGACGACAAATGTTCGGGCGAACGGAATACGCTCGGCGTCGCCGGGTACAGATTCGAGGCAGCATGCATTGACCACAGTGTCTACCGAGACGCAGCCAAGGCGTAAAGCGCGCAACGGCAGTATTTCCTCGCATGTTTCGCACATCCCATCACCCGCGAACTCCACTGCGCCCTCCCCATCGCACTCGCCCACATCCTCGAGAGTCGGGGTGTCCTCGGAAGAGAACGGCTCCCCGCACGCGGGTGTCACCCTCGGTGTCGTGCGCGTCAAGTCCAAGATATCCAGGCTCACCGAGCCCGGCCTGCCCTCGTCGCCCTCGTCGCCACCCCTCGCGCACCGCTCCGCACGCCCCGCCTCCGCCTCGAACATCTCACTGTCCCCGCCTTTGCCACCCGCGAACGGTTATTCGGGCACCCCCTCCCATGCCCATCAACGCTTCGCGACGACGCGCGAGAGCGCCTCGCAGCGCGTGCACGCCTTCCAGCCGTTTCCGGCGAACGATGATCTCGTAGTCAAGTACGGCGGGTACACGGTGCCCACGAAGCTAGACCCCGCAGAGATTCCGCTACCGCCCCAGTCCCCACCCATGTCAACGCTCTCGTTCTCTTCGCGCTCGTCCGCTTCACGTTCATCTGTATCGTGCGAAACTCAGGCGACAGACACGAGCCGGAATACGGCGCCGGCGTCTGCGCTCAAGGAACCTACCTGTGGTGCGGTCTCGACGTCCTCCCAGGCAGTGTTTCTCGCCGCGGCAGCATCTACTCCCTCCCCAAGCGAGGGCGGCTTCGACGATGACGACGTGGATGATCACGTTCCCTCCGCCAACTCGGAGGATATAGACCCCGATCGCAAGATGAAGGCGGAAGCCAAGTCGAATCGGAAGGTACGCTAGCGCTCCCGCACGAATATCGCATATTAGGACTAAATCGCATGCGCGAATTCGGCAGATTGCAGACCTGGAGATTACGACCCGTTCCCTGCTTGCTATCAACTTATCCCTGGAGGCCACGAAGCATCGTCAAGCGAAGGAGATTCGCGACCTCAAGCGCAAGCTCCGCGAATCGCGTCTCATCCTCCCACCGCCCGCGTATCACGCGGTCAAGTCCTCACTCACGCATGATGACACTGCTGAGGACGACGTGGAGACGGGCACAGACGCTGGCTCGGAGGATGAGGATGAGCAAGCGCTACTTGAAGGGCACGACGATGAGCCGTACCGCCGCGTGAAGGTTATCCTTGACTCCCTGCTCGACGAGTGTGCGCGCGCACTCGCATCGACACCCGCGGATTTTGCCGAGGGTGGACGCAGCGGTGCGAAGGTACTCAGCGCCGACGAGGTACGCTCATGGCGTGGTGACGACACTGAGACGCGCTCGCTCGCGGACAGGAGCGCGTTGGGTGAGCCTTCGTTACCATCGCGCATTGCGGTCCCCGACAGCGACGACGACATGGGCAGCGAGAGCGAAGTTGAGGCGTCGCTGCTCGAGTCCGACAGCAGAGCCACCTCGCCACTGCCCCCGATTACGGTTACTCCCTCACCATAGATTTCGTACTTTTTTCTCGCATGCTTTCGACGATCGATCCTCGCATTTTGATGTAGTTTATTGGAGTGATATACCCACGCAATCGCCCGTCCGCGCATCAGCACGCCCACGCATCATCACTGTCCGAGTCTTATAATCATGTGTACATGTTGCATCTAACTACTACTTAGCACGGGTGTATACACGTCCTATGTCCTTAATTACCCTGCCTTCATCGGGGTATTACATTCTTACATGCATCGATCCTCTAGGGATACAACTATCACTCATCGTGCGCCATTTTCTGCGCGCGTTTAGCCAGCTGGGAGGAAGTATCAGAACCTTGCAACTACTTCAGGGCAAACGGATGCTCACCGCTGCTGCTAGGTCCAACTGTCCCCCGACCGCGGCAGGTTTGACCGCTCCGCCGACTTTGGGCCTCGGAGGCGCAGCGCCAGGACGAGATGCCATAGGAACGGGTGGTTTACCGGGAACCTTGGGCGCGCCAGGCTTGCTGGCTATGGGTGGTGGACCAGGCTTCGGTTTCACTGCCAATGGAGGTGGCTTATGTGCCAAAGAGCTCGTCGGCCGAGAGCTTGCAGGCGTCGAATCGTGTAAAGTGCCGTTCATTCCTTCGGACGTCGCCCTCTTCCATGGTGCTGCGGAGCCGTTTGCAGGTGCCATGCCCGGAAATACGGCCACTGGTCTGGCAGAAGGATCTGCAGATATTGACTTGAAACCCACTTTCGGTGCCGTCGACGTAGCAGAAGGCACGCGACGGTGAACTGGCGGCGGCGGAGGAGGAGGGGGAGGAGGAACTGCCTTCGGAACCAGCTCAAGGTAGTTATTGGGTGCCCAGCCTTCTGCGCCATCTTTCTTTACCAACCACCAACCACTATCTCCCATCTCGACCACCTCGACAATGTCGTCTTTCTTCAGGGTCATCTCACCTTCTTGGCCCTCGAAAGCATACTTAGCCCGGTACAGTTCGACGTCAGGTCCTGAAGATGGGGGAGGTGGTGGTGGCGGTGGTGGCGGAGGCGCAACCGTCCTGCCAGGAGGTGCACGAGATACCTTCGCAGTCGGTGTTAATGTGGACGCTGGGGTATGCGGTTTGGCAGCGGCAGCTGTCGGCCTGCCAGGTAGCGGCTGCGTAGTAGGCCTAGATCTTGACGATGATGGTTTCTGTCATCATGACGTGAGTGGTGGTTTACACGGGTCGTAAGACAAGCCTACATCTGACGGTCCACCTTTCCGTAGCAACTTTCCTTGTGCGATCGGACGCACAACGCCTACCTTTCGCTTCGCTGGCGGGCGCGATAGGCTGCTGGGTGGCTCACCAGAAGGGACATGCACAGTATGACTCTTGTACTGGTCGTTCCTAGGGACAGTCTCATCCTTGACGAACTTCACCTGTGCCTTCTTGTCCTTCTTCTTGTTATAATCGATGCTAACACGATCATCAACGCGCGTATGTGTAGCAGCAAATTATGCACATACATTGGTCCTATGACCAGACTAATACTGGCTTGCGTCAATTGCATCAGGTGAGTTGTAAGTTCTGTCTTGAAGACACAGCTAATGAGGGGATCCCCTTCCTCGGTAATTCCGCAGTTCAACGCCTGTTCAGATGGTTTCAGTAACGACATTGCAACGCTGATGACAGACCCACCATCCAGTCATCTCTTAGATTAGACATAGCGATACTCTTGATTGTGACCAGGGGAATTTTGCGCTCCAGGATCATATGCATACGACCTTCCTTCTCTGTGGCCATGACAATGTGTATAGCCTTCTGTGTCTATTACGTGAAAGCAAGGAGGTCAGGTGGTGCAAGCCACGGAGAATGGTGTGCGTACCACGATGAGGAATCGTGTACTAAGTTTGCTGGAACGCATTGCCTTCGACACAAGGATCTGCACCTTGGAGCTGAAAACTACATTCTCGTCTATAACACCATTAATATTCCATGGCTGACAATTGGCAGTCAATATACCCACAAGCAATGCCACAAGCAGCCAGAAGCTCTTCGCCCAACGCGCTTTTGCCATTGAGATCGAGATAGTCGCCCATAAACCGCCGGTAGCTAATGAGACTGAAGCGCCGCCGCTCCTTCCTGCCAGCAAGAATTTGGTGGCCATAGTCGCGAATCTTGGCGTACTCAATGCCTTCCTTGTTGTTTTTCCAAAAGCGCTGAATCCGCCGGGCGCACTCGTGCTTGTAGCGCATGTAGTTCCGCCATGCACGTTGTATGCGGCCGGCCATATTGTGCCAATATCGGTCTCTCATCGTTTCTAGCGCAAAGAGCTGGGGCAAGTCAGATAGAGACATCGGATACATCAATATAACTATTCACCGTCTCGGGATTCTTGATGAATGCCTTCGTCACACCCATCTGCCATTCCTCCTTCGCGATGCCGGTGTCGATGAGGATCTTCTCGCAACCTGACTTCGCATCTCCCTGCCATGTGTATTCACCGGCGTACGAGGTGGCAGGAGAGAGCAGGTAAAACCGCTCAATCATCTTCTCGAACGTATTCCTGTACGCAAATCCAGCTCGACGAATGCGAATGTTCTCTTGTAAACCCAAGTACTTGACCTGATGTAAAACCGCCTTGATATCGTACTCAGTGGAGCTGCGGTTCTGATTCGGCTTGATTGTTCGGATGTACGAAGGCTGTGCGCGCATTAAGTTCTCAACGAGGGCAGCAGCGGATGACTACGAACACGATGAGTATCACATACTTTGTAGATGTCAGTGTACCCACCTTGATCCTATCTCCAGCGGTCGGTGGTCTCTTCTTGCTGTTCGGGTCTGGCCGATCAGGAAACAGACCTCGGAGGAACTGATTGCTGCTACCAGCAACCAGGTCCAGTAAGTCTTTGACGAGCACATCCTTGTTCTTGTCCGTCATGCCGGCAACGTTGTACATCACGTCACCGGCGTAGTGCTTGACGAGGAACTGCGCACCGCGAGACTCGAAGTGGGGGTTGCTCGACAAGCTCGCCATGCGCTGCACGAAGCTGTTGTCTGCCGCGCTGGGGTCGGCGTGTGCTGTCGCACAAGCGTCATTTAGTGCAGCGAAGATGCCTGGCGGGCGTTTCTCCTCGATCAAGTCGCACACGATCTTGTTGTTGAAGTACTGAATAGGCGTCCACTTGATTTGTTCACGAACATACTCCTCCTGCTCCGTCTTCAGTGTCAGCTCGATGAAGATCTGCTGCAGCTTCTCGTTTACGTAGTTGATACATAGTTGCTCGAATGAGTTGTCCTGAGAATGATCAACAAGACATCGTTGAAGATAAGCTGTACACACCGACCTCAAAAATCTCAAAGCCAAAGATATCCTGCCTCACGTACGGACGATCAGTAACGAAAGCAGTCAATGGCAATTGTACTGACCAAAATACCGATCAATTGTGCAGTGGTGGACCGTGGTTTCATGGAGACGTTGATCTTGGACACAATCCACTCGAATAGGTTGTTATAAATTGCCTTCGCTAAGGCATCGCGTCCGGCACTAGCCTGTGCAGGATTAAGGGGAACATCGTATACAGATCCCCGTCGCCCACCGCGCTGCGTCTCCATTATTCTGATCGTCATTACCTTCTGCATGAGTGCACCGTCCACGTCCATCAAGTACGCGATGAAGTCGGTAACGCTAGTATCTGCCACCTTAGCGTTACCATCATCCATCTCCTCGTACTGGACATTCCCAAGCCATAAAATGACCGCCAACATCCGAAAAATCTCGCTTTGCTCAAGGTGGCTTAGCCCGATAATTTGCATTGCTCGCTGCAACCATGTTAGTAAATGCGGAAGAGGAAAGAAGGGTTTCCACCAACAATGGTCTCACTGAAGTCCTGCAGGTCATCGATGCCCTGGACTTCGAGACAGTTGCTGATACTTGTGTAAGCATAGGCTTCCGGCGTCTGCAGGCCGTACATTTCTGCGCCGTGATCAGATATGAAATGTACACGCCATAAAGAGCCTCGCTGACCTCGCTGCTCGTCCGAGGCACCTTTCGTGAACTGGTAGAATATGTGGAAATTGCGCTCGTTCTCCACCTGACCAACTACGCGTCCCTTCTCCAAAAGGTAGTTGGTGATTTGGGCCCCGATAGGCTCCCCTTGGTCATTGAACATGATTTCAAGGTATTTGCCCTGTCACTTCATGAGTAACACAGCTAGAGATGGACATGTTCACGTACATGTCGACTGGAGTTGTTATTGCGAAGCGTCTTCGCACATCCAAAGCTCTCTAGTAGCGGGTTTGTGGCGAGCACCATGTCCTTGATCTCCTGGATGCTGCCGCCCTGGCCTCCAGAAACGGCGGCGATGTACTGCATTATGCGCTTCGCCGCCTCCGTCTTACCCGCCCCCGATTCGCCGGAAATAATCACGCACTGGTTATCGTGGTACGCGTTCATGTTGTAGTATGCAGACTCTGCAATTCCGAATACATGCGGCGGCATCTCGAGCCTGTTCTTGCCCTTATACCGCTGTAAAACCTCGTCAGTGTAGATACCCGTCTCTGGCGCACAGTTTAGGCAACGATACAGACAGTCAATAAAATGACACACCTCTGAATGGATTCACAGAAATTAAGACGGCTCCGATGTACGTGTAGATGTCGCCATTCAGCCAACGCTTCTCGAGGTTTTCGGTGATGGTCTCGTTTGTGATTGCGGTGAGTAAGGTCATGTCAGACACACCGACTTGCTTCTTCTTGAAACCCTCCTTCCAGTCCGCCTGCAGAGATTGTGGATTGGCATCTCCGTATCCTGCAACTCACGTATCCATACCTTCGCCACCTTCGTTGGCTTGCTGCCGCCCTTTTTGGGTGCAGCCGCGACCTTCTTGCCAGCCTTCTTAGACGGCGCCTACATAAAGAATGAATGAAGGTATCACCAGACATGGTTTGCTATTGAACTGACCATCACGAAGTCACAATATCAGGATCGGACAGCCTGAGGATTATATCGTTCTGAGCGGTGACACCGTGTTTAGTAGTTGTATGCGCAAGCAATGGCGACCGCTTGCTAAGCCTTCCTTCTTGAGATCGACTGAAAGTCCGGGTCTAAAGCAGATGGAAGTAAATAGCTAGAAAGATTGTGTATGTCTCGGTTTCAGTGACCTGATAAGCTAACTGCCGCGTCGCTGCTCCGCGCGTCTATCGGGTTATGAGATCTCTCATACGGGATTCTAGTTTTCACATCGAAACAAACTTCAAACGCGAGGCGTGCACATGTACAGCTTGGGATCGAGTAAAAGAGTGGAGTGGAATTGTAAAACATGTTGGTACTATCAGAGTCTGAGCAGTAAAATACCTCTAGATTAAGTCGGCCGCCTAAATGTCTGGTGGTATACCAGAAACTGAGACAATCCAGTTAGTCAACGGAAACAATGCTCTCGGGATACACGATCAGCTCTTGCTAGGCGACAAGAAAGTGCCACCACAGCTCGCGATTGGAGAAGCAAACTGCCCAAAGGGGTGGTATGGGCTGTACCAGACCGTGCGTTGCACACGGCTAAACCACCTGCGTCTTGTTGTCCCAGTCTGTCGTCGCCCTCGTGTCATCGGCCATCTTATGCGACTCGACGTGGACCAGTAGTTCTGGAGCCTGATACAATTTCAGCAGTATGATCATATGTTGTATAGCGTGTGTTCACGCACCTGTCGGTCACGCAGCACACGCGAGCTGAAGGCACTCTGCTCAGCAGATGATGCGCCATAGCTATGTGTCTCTCGCGCGTTGAGCGAAGACATGATACTGTTTGCATACAATCGAGGAAGGATGAACGAGAGTGCAAAGTGTGCAAAACCCAGTTAAAATTGAAAAACGACAGCGTCTCACAACGGACCTATGTAATTTGGCGCGGTCTCCACCAAGTAGAGCAGTAGCTCGACAGTAGCTACCGCAGAGGTTAGAAGCCCTGTAATCATAGATTTCAGATGGACAAGAAGATACAACGATGAGCATTCGTACCGTTCTGTATGGTATCTGCAAAGTAGAAATTGCATAAAAACTCTTAGAATATGTGCTGATGGCGCTTACTCCGAATAATCTCATCCACAATTTTATCCGTTTTCGTCCAGCCCGACTTGTGGCCACGCAGGTACCAAAATATGGAAGCAGTTATGATGAGATCCCCAACTACAGCGCACACCATCCACACGATGACCGTTGCCTTCGGAGACGGGACTTTCTCGACACTGAAGTCAAGTCCATAGAAGCCCGCCGCGACGCCAGTTCCTGTTCAACGATGGCAGTCAGCATTGGTCGTTGAGAGGTGATGATCGACCGCTTCTTGCGGGTGACGCGCGGGCCGGTTGTTGAGATCGACGAATCGTCGCCCACCTCTAATATGAAAAGGATGCTCGCCGTACCGTTTGCATAACCTAAGGTGCCTTGACCGTGTTCGCTGGCGCCGTCAACCGTGTCTTCTTTTGTGGTGCCGGTGAACAGCGATGACATCGAACTGCATTACGTCGACATCGGTGTTCTGCCCCCGTCCTCTTCGGTTCCCTACTCTTCGCCGTGCATGGCATGGGGTTCAACGTTCAACAGCCGTACGTCGAGAACATCTTCAAAAACTCACGATCTCGTCCACGATGCATGATCATTGGTTGCCGAAGGAACCTGGAACGCGTTTGATAATCGACCCAACCATGCTTACCACCCGTACTACAGTACTAGTTCGCAATGCACCCTATGTGGGTCATCTCCTACTGGAAATACGGCTCCCTGTCGAAGCGCGATCCGAAGCTCCTCTCCCACATCGTCCCGTCGGTGCATCGCCGGCCGATGATTTACGGCATGTCCTAGGAGGAGATCGCAGAGGTCGTCGATGGTCCTCGCCCGAGACACACAGTTTCTTCATCGCCATCCGGCAAGCACAAGCCAAAGACCGTAAGACGTGGTTTGACCGGGAACTCAGGGAGCCGCTCCCTGCACATGAAGACCTCGCCGCCGACTGCTCAGGGTCGCTCACCATTCCTGCACGTTGCGCGATGGCGGTATGAACTTCAAGATAATCCTGCCAGTGGGTGCAAATCACTGTGTGAGTAGCCTATCGTATAGTCTACGAAGCTGCCAAGATTTACGTAAAGTAGATGCGTTGTCTGTAGTTGCAATATTTGGGATGACCCGGAGAAGGCGCTGCAGGCGTACCTTGAGCCTTCCTCTGGAGCTCGACCGTCTGTCATCTTGCATTCCGAATGTAAATTGACTGAGATGAGAGCGTCGTGTCTAAACTGCCTGGATCGAAACACTTAGTTGATTTCGACTAATCTCTCTCGCACGATGTGCCGGAGATGTAAGTCAAACGTTTTCACTAGCAGACACGACACGGACACGTGTACGCGTAAAAGCGCTTTAGACCGCACCTCCCGCCACAATCTCCGCTGGGGTCGATGAAGTCAGAAATGTATCCGCGAGCATGAAGCCCACATGGAAATAAATGGCTAACAAGGCGATCAAATAATCGATCCACACCATGTGTCTCGACGGCCGTACCACTGCACCATATTACGGTCACTGGGGAGCAACCTGTCCATTTTTGCTAATCTTTAATTCGGCGACATAATGCTGCCGTTTCTCGAGATCTGCACACATGCTTAACGATTAGAAACGCGGAAGTAAGCAAACTAACACACCATGCGCCCACATCGCAGCACCAATGCGGTTCGAGATGGAGAACACAAGCCCCACCAGTGGTAGGCGCTCCAGAAGAGCGGCGGCGAATCCAAACGCTGAGGATTAGTTTTTGAATAAAGCAAATATTATAGGTACTGTCTGAGTAAATGCGCACCTCTGTAGTCCCACTTGCGCTCTTCTATGAAGACGGACACTTGCGTCGTTGTCATCCCCTTAGCTTGGAAGTACTTTGGGAAGGAAGTATGATTTAGTCCGTAGTCGATGCACGAAGGGCAAACTCACTGGCCGGTGAAGATACCGCGCTGTCCCCAATGCTCGGAGCCAAGCGGATACAAGAATACCAACCAAAGGCACGAAGTCAAAGGGATATAACCCGACTGGAGTAACAGTTAAGAGTAAAGTTGCACACGCAATAAATGCACGTACTCTTGACCACTATCTTGCCCAAGCCACCGCCGAAGAACTTTCCCCAGCCACTACCGCCCACGTGTGGGGGAACGTCCCACTCCTCGACATACGGTTGCCAAAACTCGGACCCTTTGCCTCGCGATTCGATGGTCTGGTTGTACGCGCGTTCGCGGGCGATACGGAGGTTGTGGGAGAGGCACCAGGTCAGGATCACCGTAATCTGAGAGGACAGAAACATGACGGTTGCATCTAGAGAAATGTCGTCGCTCATGGTAAATAACGCTGCAAGGAGGAGACATACATGTTGGTAGATCGAACGGAACGCCGAATCCAAAGACTGATTCCTTTGATAGTCCCGTAACTCGAGGAGAACTGCAGTGGTCATGTAGCTAGCGTCAGTTTGAGAATGAAGAAATAGACACCGACTTTATAAGGAAGATCTCAACGAATTTACGTTGCATCTTAAACGTCGTCGTCGCCTACATACAAGGAGTTTTCCGTTAAACTTGGTGACATCGTGAGGACACTTGCAAAACTAACCCATACGAGTCCGATGGTCAAGCCCCTGACTGCACCATGTTCACATTTTTTCCAGGCCGGACCGTATAGCTTCTTGTCTGTGAATAGCCTGTATACGCCGACGACGACATAGGCCGGAGGAAATTGGAGGCGTACATTCGCCCTGCGTAGATTGTCTGGAACATTGTGGGTGAAAGGTCTCGGAACGGTAACGTCTTCGCCGAAGTCGCCCGGGAGAGTGGGTGTGGTCGCCATGGTCAAGTTGATTGCAGACGCCCATATTCCACGCAAGGATACAGAATAATTACGATGCACTCTAGGGTACTCTACAGCTCCTCAGATACGTATGTATGTCATGTACAAGCCAAATGCAGCAAGTCCGAGACCACTTCCTCCTGCGAAACTTCACTACGTCTTCTTCCTCTTGTACGGGCGCTTGGCTGGCGCAGCGGCAATCGTGGTGCTGGTCGGCGTCGATGACCGTGAAGCTTTATCTGCCTTCTGCACCTCTTCAATGCTCCGCTTCTACGCTGTCAATGAGTAGGGTGAAATGAAACCAAAGGTCTGGCAACATACCTTGCCCTTTGTCGGGGCTTTCGTCTTGACCTCCTCGGCCTGCTTCGTCTCCGCCTCCTTTTCGATCATACCCAGGAGCGTGTTACACCTCCTCTGTAACTCCTGCGGACTCCGACTCTTGAAGAACCAGTCAAAGCGGAAGACGGGGAACTCAGTGATATCCTTCTTGATTCTCTCGTAAACGTCCTCGGCACGCATCCCGTAGTGGTTTAGCCGACACAAAAGATACCGGTCCTCTTCCTCTGAATACACCTTGCCTTTAGTCGTAGGATAGTTGAGTTCCAGCTCTTGCATGGGGTATCGTACGGAAGCAATCTTCTTCGCAAGTAGTGCCTCAAGGTTGGATCGCTTGTTGCGCTTCGCTTCGCCTTCCTCTATACGAGCCTTGATACGCGGATATTCTGAGAAGACATGTTAGTTATGCCCGAAGGGAATCTCACGGAGTAACTCATACCTACGAGCTCCTTCCACTTCTTCCGAAAGACGGGGTAATATCGAGCAACATCATCACCTGTCTTGTCCTGAATTTCGGAAGCGAGCAGGTCATAGTCGTCCGTCCTAATAAATGGTTGATCATTAGGTTGTCGCAACGCGCTCAGAAATTAATGAGAGTCACCATCCATAAGTCTCAAGTGCGCGTATGAACTGCTGGAAGTCTCGCCTGCTCCAATCCTCGAAGCCTTGGGTTATAAGGGCTTCCTTTTTCTGCATCTGCTCCTCGGTGAGAGGTTCAGCTGTGAGTAGACAAGCGTTAGAGAATGTTGACTGCACAAGAGCACCCATCACTCACCACTGTCGATGAAATCTTGCGCAGCCTGCCGCTCCTCTTCAAGCTTTTCCGGTGTATCTTCCGGTCCTGCTGGTTCTCGAAGAGTGGCAGGGATCTCATTGAGTTTCTATTGCTTCATCAACAACTGGCAATAAACTTAACGTCATCGATTGCTGACCTTGTGTGCAGCAAGTTCTTGCTCTTGAAGCTCCGCAAGAAGCGGAGGGAAGAACTGGAAGTCTTGCCTAACAATGGTCATTCGAACAGGCGCTTCACGTCAACCAACGCAACTCACAGTTGGATCTGCTTCGGCGCACGAGGGACCTTCGGCGCCTTCTCCGTCTTGGAGGGGCCCGCACGCATTGTCTCCTTGAAGTAGCTATCGACGGAGTAATTGAGCTTCCGCTCGCGCTTGGACAAAGCCAGCGGGTTAAACTGCAATATTTTTCGTTGGCCTGTCCGGAAATCTTCGCCCTCCCACTGCTGCACAGACGCCTCGGACTTGAAGTTGCTCAGATCTTCGAAGGTGAGCCCCTCATACTTGCTGTTTAGCTCGTTAGTCCGCTCTTCGCCGCGTTGAATGATGGCGTCGATGTCGTCGTTGATGAGCAGGCTGCTGAACCACAGGTGTAGGTAACAGAGCTGACATTGGTGGCAAAAGCACACTCACTCTTCTGTCGCGTTCACGATATTCTCGGCGCCGTGTGAGATCATTTCCAACAGTTCTTCCTTGTTAGCCGCTGTAAATTGTTAGGATGTCTGAGCGGCGACTGTCAACTGGTGGAGACAAACCTTTGGTGTTCTGTGTCCGTCCTTGCTGAATGACCAGCTGGTCCAGACGCAGCTTCTGTGCAGCACGCTCCAACATGCGCTCCTCCACACTGCCCTCCGTGATGAAGCGGAAGACGTAGACCTGCTTCATCTGGCCGATGCGGTGAGCACGGTCCATAGCCTGCAAGTCGGCTTGTGGATTCCTGAATTATAACGCATGAGAATGCCATCCAAAATGCATACAATGTGTTCCCTTACCAGTCACTATCGTACAATACGACAATGTCTGCTGTAGTCAAGTTGATACCGAGACCTCCAGCGCGAGTCGTCAGGAGGAAAATGAACTTCTCGCTGTCCGGTTTGTTGTACTCGTCGATAGCAACGATCCGGTCCTCATGAGCGGTTCCACCGTCAATACGGCAATACTCTGCGCAACGGCATCCACACCGTGTCAGCCAAAAGTGTGACTATGAACACAAGATATTCTCCACGCACTGTACCCTCGGAACAGACAATAATCTTCCAATATATCAAGCATGCGGCTCATCTGGCTGAAAATCAGAACGCGGGAACCCTTCGCTTTCATAGAGTTCAGGAGTTTATCAAGGATAACCATCTTGCCGCAGTTATTGATGAGATGCTCGTCAGTGGTATACGGAGGACCAGGTTCCTACATTCAAGGTGAATAAGAGGCAGTGCCATTGAAATAGAGTTTTAAAGGCTTACTGCGCCATCGAAGAGGTAAGGATGACAAGTCACTTTACGAAGCTACATGCCTGGTAAGCGAAGGAGGATCCACGTCAGTCATTGTGCTACGCGCACCTGCATGACCATGTTCATCAACCGCGTTTTGCCTTCCTTTTTCCCGGTCAAGCCTAGTGTGGATGTGAGGCGTGCAGCGCAACATGCGAGTAGAGGACGAACCGTTGACAGCGTCAATGTCCTTCTCCAAGACAGAGCGGTACCATTTGCGCTGCATCTCTGTAAGACCGACGTAGATGTTGATCTCCTGCTCTGCAGACACGGTCAATTGTCCAGCAGTATCACATCACAACACGGCACTTACTGGGAAGCAAGTTCTTCTCCACGTCACTCTTAACTCGTCTCAACAGGAAAGGACGCAATATCTTGTGCAATGCCTCGACCACTTTTTTGCTCTTCTCATCATCATTGTCTGCCTCTGCAGAGTCCTTGTGGAGGAAGCTCTCCAGGTCAGCATAGTCCGAAAAGATTTCTGGACAGATGAAATTGAGAAGCGCAAACAGCTCCTTCATATTGTTCTGCAGTGGTGTACCGGTAATTAACAAGCGACCACGGGATATGAATGACCGGACAATCTGCGATAGGATAGAGTCGACATTTTTGATGCGATGAGCCTCATCAATGATGATGTACTCAAACGAGAATTTCTTGAGTGCCGACTTCTCGATGAGACATATTTCATAGGAGGTGATGAGGACATCGAAGTCCTGGGGGATCAGCCGGTTCGCAATGAGCTCTGCACGCTCATCCTTGGTACCTGTCAGTACGACGGTATTGACGTCCGGCGTCCATCTTGCGAACTCGCGGGACCAATTCTGCAGCGTTGACTTTGGAACCACAATGAGATGGAGCCCAGGAATATGTTTGTAATGCTTCAAATACGAGAGGAAGGAGATAGTTTGGAGTGTTTTGCCCAAACCCTGGATGACATAGCTATTAGATGAGTGTTCACCTTCGGTGAAAATTATTGGAATGTACCATTTCGTCAGCCAATATGCCATTCAGCCCGTTATGGTGCAATGAAACCATCCAGTTCAGCCCTTGCAACTGGTACGACCTCATTTCGCCGTGAATGACTGCAAACTAGTCAGTAGTATGATTAAACAGAAGGCTAGACGGCACTGACAGCTCGGTGATTCTTCGAAGACAAAAGGTTGATCGTCCCCCTCCGCTGCAAGCTCGCCATCCTTCAACAACTCCTCGTCCTCCTCCTTTTCTGACTTGCGATGACGAGCACTATTGTCCCTACATACAGAGTGGTCTGTCAGAACAGCAGAGGACCGGCGTGGTGTGGCGTACGCACACAGCCTTTTTGCGTCCCCTACCCTTGGGCTTCGGCTGGGCGTCGAGCATCGCGGCGTACTGAGGATCACGGGCTTTCTGTGGGATATCACAGATGAAGAAATACGCGTCCATTAACCAAATTCACAACGCACCTTGATATCCACGAAATGCTTGAACAACTCTGTTTGACCAAGCAAATACGAGTATCGCTTGACGGCGTCGGTGATCTTGGGTATCGTGCTAAGCCACACAAGGGCAACCACGTAGCATAATACAGAACTCACTTTGGCTTTGTCCATCTCTTCTCTCTTCACTTGTAATTTGCCCTCGGCAGCCTTCCGGGTTTCCTTCTTCTGCTGACGTGCCGCAGTTGCCTGCATTTTTGCCAGCTTGGAAGGTGAAGGCTGTCCCTTGTCCGCCTACCATGTTTAAACGCGCGTTTCACTGCTTAGTCGCGTCCAATGGAAAGGCAAGAGCCCACTGCATACCTTACTGCTTTCATCCTCCTGATCACTGCGCAGCTCGTCTACTTCTATCTCGCTCGTGAGCTCCTCATACTCACTTTCTACACCTTCGCTCTCCTCGATAGAGAAACAGTATATCAGAATGAGCCAGTCGGGGGATATGATCGTACCAGCTCACCTGGCGCGATACTATGTTACTGGGGACGACGTCACTGAGAACGTCCTCCTCCATGAGTACTTCTAAGGCCTGATAGAGAAAAGAAAGGTGTCAGAAGTATGGTAAAAATGAGGAAGGTGGCCACAACATACGCTCATGTCGTGGTTTGGATGCAAGAGAAGTCAGGCGCGTCCGCCACTCAAACGCGGTTATTACCAAATACTGCGAAAGTAATAATAATTATAACAATAGTTTATTTGGAACTCATGGGCAAAACGTAATCTTTGAAACGGTTACATTTACACCAGTGATCAAACCAGAAACGCGTACTAATATAAGTACAATCATTAGGCTGGAGGATCGTGGACCGGCTACTGACATCGGAGAATTTGCATTGATCTGGTTTGACCTTTATCAGGCCCTGTAAGGCCTTACAAGCCTTGCCAGACGTGAAAGATGCACCAGGCTGGTAGATGACCTGATAAGCAGTAGTAAAACTATCTACTGATTTTCCAGAGCTACAAGGCTGGCAATTTTTCACCAATCTGGTACATATGATGGATGCTTGTGAGCTCGAGTACGGCCACATGCACCGCCACCACAAATAGAAAACACCAAATATATTTCAGTAGAGTCGTACATAGCACTCACAAAGAACGCCGAGAGCACTACATTTGCCGAGGATCATGACCGGGTATGGATATGCAATACCTGAGGCGTGTTGGCGAGGCGGACAAATGGGTGTATTGGCGATAGCCATGCAGTAGACCCTCGTGTACAAGCATGCACGTTCAGCATAGAGGTCGCGACGGGAGACTCACACGGAGTGTCCCAATAGGTGTCGGACGGGTCCGCACATGGTGGCTCAACCCAGTTTGTATCTTCGCAACGCACGAGAGCGACGAAAACAGCACCAACCTTGCGCCTTCGGATCCAGCCACACCATTCACACCATCACGAGAATCCGATGCAATGTCTCAAAATTATTGGCATTCATGTAGCGTACCATGACTCGCCCGAGCTTCTTCGCCGCGGAGTCCCGGAGACCCTGGAGGTTGCATTACCAGACACATCTAGGCTCCACGAGAATAAGGTGCACCACAATATGCACAATCCATGGAAATTTCTGCACACATAACTGTCAGTAAGAAGTCAAATCCCCCAACATTGACATGGTGTACACCATGGAGCAAAGCCAGCTCGAGGATGACAACAGTACGCATAAGAGTCTCCGCATAGCGACACAGAATTAAAACTGTGGAGCAAACAGCTCGAGAGTTTCAGAGAAAGATAACGGGGTGCTCCATGGTGAGAGGGAGAGGCAAGGGAGATCGTATCGATATTGATGTTGAAAAGCGAACGTGGACCATGTGCTAGTTTAGGGCGGGCTGACGAAGACTTCAACTTCGTAATCCGGGATCCGGAAAGCCGATGAAACAAGACTTGTCCAGCCTAACAAGCCATGCGCAAGAACGTCGGAAGTCTATCAAGACTTACCAGATAGCGCCAAGGATCGTGGAGGTTCGTAAGATGTGACAAGCTATCATCAGCTTCGGTCACAGTGGTGTGACTCTGGTCAGCGCTACCAGGTAAAACCAGATCACGCCCAATTTCCCGATGGAAGTACAAAGTACTACCTTGACCGCACTCGGGTCCGGAGTACCTCCTTGTATTGGCGATCTGGCTCTTCAATGGACCCCCCGTGTTCTGCAGAGACTGAAGGACGAGAGCACGACGAGAGGAGTGGCAGCAGTGAGTTCCTCTTCAAGCAATTACTTCCAGCAGACCGCCCAGCATAATATCCCTCCTCAGCCAGAATTCTCTTCGCTTCCGCTGGGAATTTACTGTAGACCCATAAACGTGATGAGCAGCCTTCGTGAGCTTGCAAGGATGTACTACGGCGGAGCCAGAGTTGTTGACAGATAGCAACGGCGGCGCCAACGTGAGCTATTTAGCAATTTGAAGTGCGATTTATAAGAGAGATTCATCTATATATATGGTGGTAGATGCTCGGACTCGGAGGTGGTAGTCTCCCGAAGGCAGATCTATGGTAGACACTCTGCTTCAACCTTCGTGCCTCAGGATATCCGTGTCTGCGGCGAGGTCACTGTGGCGCTTATGTATATGAGGCGCCTATTCCTCCCTCTCGCTTAGACGGCCACGCACTAGTGGTTTGACGCTTTCGCTCCTGCGGCGTTCATGAAGGACAATATATGTCTGAGAGCTCTAAGCTAGTAAGTTACACACGTGTCTCTGGCCCAGTGCTAAGAATCTTGTGCTTGAACCTCCATCTCGTAGTAGAGCTGGCAGGATCGCCTGTCGTGATGTCTGGGAGTCTGATTCCTGGTCTTGTCCGAAGGTTATTCCTTGTAGAGTCAAAATATATCGCTGGTCGGTCTCATTCATAAATTCCAGTGCAGAACTGACGCTTGCATTGGACTTGACAATATGATCGCACCGAAGGGCTTTGTCAGTTACGCTCAGGCCGCTGGAGGTGGCTGTGGACAGTCCTCGTTGTGCCTTAACCCGCCGCATCGCACCATGCTGTCGGTCTCAAGCTCGCTTCCTTGCATCCTGCTGTTTCCGCGTGGTGCGTCTCCGTCGCAAGCTGGCGTCCTGTCAAGTAGCTCTGGTTACCTTATCGGAACAACAATGACAATGGAACTAAGCACCGACTCCGTTATGACCTATCACGCTGTGACGCAGTTCTTTGCGCGTGGTATAAATTGTCCAGTTTCCAATCGTTGGCCAACGTCAACATCCTCCCTTGTCTTCATCCAACTTCCATCTTCGAGCGCCGCTGTTTTCTCATCAGACCTTGTCACCCCATGACTCGCAGTTCTTTTACTAGGTCTCGCCGACAATTTCAACCCAGGCTGCTGGCCTCTCCGCCGCCACCCGATAGTGGGAGCATCACTTTACCGCCAAATACACTAGAGCTCGCCCATGTTAGCGGGATGCAGACTGTTACTCCGCCTCCATCGCCTAAACTCTTGCCACCGTCATCCTCGTGTAGACCTCGGCATCGGGCCTATCAGTACTGGGGATATCTGGAGCCACTCAACGTAGGCACACCATACCGAAACTGGTATTTTAGCAGAACGAAGACATCGTATAGGATTGGTAGTGGGAACACCATGGACCTTCAAGTTACGACAGCAGGCTCTATCAGTATGTTCTCTAAATTCTATTAGCTGACGGTGGCAGGATCTGAGTGCGTGTCATTCGCAGTTTTTCACCACACCACGATATCGTGGAACAAAACCGACGACGATGGGGCGGTGCAGGTGGTGGGCTACTCCGGCCATCACGGTGAGCCTTACGGTACTTACGTGAGTGTTACACCTCATCGTCCTTTCTTTGCTCTACTTTCGCTACGTGGCTGCTAGTATGTACTTTACCAGTCAACACTGACATGACTACTCTCGGAATCTATTCAGATCAACGACCAACGGATCCCAGACAACACACCAACTACGCTATGTCACGGGGACCGTCTCACATTTGGAACCATAGGAGTCATGAGCGCTGACGAAGATTTGCGTAAGTATTTCTCCCATTCTGTTGTTCTGAAGGCTTTGTTATGTTCACATCTTATTCATGTTGCAACAAACAGGGTTCGTCTGGCTTCAATGCACTCATAACGGTTGGCTCGACCACTACTACCAGCAGGATTCCGGACACTTTGGTATGAATCTCGATGAGTTGAATAATTTCTACGACTTTCCTGGTGCGTATACCGGTGCCTACCAACGCAACGACAATCCCCAGGAGGATCCCGATGAATATCATCCCAAGAAATATCCTGTTGGATATCGTGCCAAAACCCCCGAATGTCTCGATGACTATCACTTCGACGACACTGATGAGTCTACTCCCAGTGACCCATTGGCGTTTGCCGGGTGGTAATATGCATTGGCAAAGTTATATTCACGGACCTTGCTGTATTTGTATCACCCTCACTTCATAATGTCCTACGGGTCAATGTATTGTTAGCCCGTGCTCCACGTATAATTACCTCTAATATCGTCTCCATTCAAACATGCCCTCGATCCAGCGCGTGCGTGGTACTCGAGAACCCAGAGCGAGGCGAGTGTGCTTCTTTGAAACGCCCTTTATCAGCAACGTCAAGGGAGAAAGAATCGAGCCTGAGAATCAGCTTTACGCAGCGAGCGCTGCGTTGTATTCTTGCCGTGAGTCTCTGGGTGCAGGCGCCCCTATCGTCTTGTTCACCATGACCAGCGCAGCGAAGAAAAGTCGGAAACTACGAGCCCTCATCCAGCTTCTCAACGATGCCTCAGAAGTAGTTATCACCGAATGGGAAGCACAAGACCTCAAGAATGCAAAAGATGAAGGCCGGACAAACGACGAGGGTCTCGTTCCGTCGGCGGCGCTGTACGAAGCCCGCCGCACCATCGTTGGCGCCTGCGGGATGTGCAGTGACCTCGTGCAAGAACCGGGGAGCCGCCTTATGGAGGTCTCGAACCAATACTACATTTCGCGTGCGCTGTACGTCGCAGCGGAGGCGCGCGTTGCAAACATTCTAGCTGACGGTGACCCTACTACGACCGGCGTCCCGATCGAGGACATCAGTGCGAAGGTCAACATACAGGCACACAAACTCCGTGAGTTAGTCGCAGATTTGGGAGACGTGGTCGAAAATAGACCTGACAAACGAGCTAGTACGGGTCTTGCGCGTCCTCTGTTCAGTGCATATCTTCGCAGAAGTTCGAGACCGTCACTTCGCAAACAACCCCACAAGCCAGTACTTGTGCAGAGAGCCATTGAGGTGCTGGGTACTGCTTCAGTAGGTCTTTTCCACACTTACAAGTTGCAACGATGAGTGTGATGATCTTTATAGTGGCACAGAGCTATATGCCGCGTCGACCAAATTGCCTGCAGTGCTTTTCGACCCCGTCAAGACACATTCGTTTTCTCCGCGCGAGACGGCATTCCAGGAGTCGAAGGGAACTGCCAAGACGTTCTGGGAGTATCTCGAGGAAGGAGAAGAGCAACCAGATGGCACAGTGAAGCCACGACGCATGGTCGAGATATTCAACCTTGCGATGGTTGGAGGTGGGAGAACACATTCAGCCTCCCTATATGCTGGTGAAAATACACAAAAAATCATCGATAATCTATGCTTACCCGTCTTGACAGACTTCCCATGGGAAGCCCTCGGTGAATGCACGATTGTTGACGTTGGAGGCGGAGTGGGTAGGTGTGCATCCCATTGCGACTGTTGAAACGAAGTCAACAGATGCATTATATTCCAATAGGCGGCATGAGCCTCGATCTGGCGAAGCGATTTCCGAAACTGCGCTTCATTGTGCAAGACGTCCCTGCAGTCATTCGGCAGGCCGAAGCAGTCTGGCTGCGAGGATGCCCTGGAGCCATCGAGACCAAAAGGACCCAGCTCATGGGACACGACTTCTTCACGGCACAACCTGTGAAGGGAGCAGACGTATACCTTATGCGAAGTATCCTGTACGTGACTTACTCCTCCAATGGTGTTAGGCTCCACACAGCTCACCGCACGCACACAGGCATGACTGGCCAGACGACGAATGTGTCGCCATCCTGACGGAGCTGCGCAAAGCGATGGCGCCGCACTCGCGAATCCTGTCCACGGATCAGGCGATCAACACGACAGTGGGCTCGCCCCACCTCAAGCGTGCGCCGGCACCACTTCCCGCGAACTATGGCTATGCCCACCAGATGGCGGGAATACGTGACATGAACATGATGACGATGTTCAACGGTATGGAACGCACGCCACAAGACTTCAGCGCCTTAGCTGAGCGAGCGGGACTGAGGGTGGTCAAGGTGTGGGAAGGTCGTGGATTGTACGCCATCACGGAAATGGGATGGACTGACCGATGAAAGCAAGCTACAGAAATAAGAGACTGTGGAGTGACAATATTACAAGAATTCCATGTTGTAGAACAGTGTTCCAGAGATCCCCATTGGAAGCCTACAATGCCTTGGAGCCGAGTCTAGAGGAGGTATGTTCATGGGTATGCGACTCCTGCCTCACGCATTAGGTCCGCTACTTCCACGTCTGAGTGATATCAAACCAAGATGAATTAGCTCGCCTCACATAAAAATATATAACTCACGATCCTCTGTGTGATGCATCCGCGATGCAAACAGACATTTTTCGCCTTCTGAAGTATTCGTGAATAACATGTCAATTTATGGTAACAAGAGTGAGAGGTGTACGTACGTGGTCCGAAAATGAAATCACCGCCTAACTGCGAAATGTTTCCTTGCTTGCCGATACGCGTCGGGTTTTTGATTGGCCCATCCTGATCATGAGGGTTTGTCAGTTCCTGCCCTCTACAAGATGTGGAAACTTGCAGCGTGATTGGCCGCGCTTACCCAGATGCTCTTCAAGGCATTTTGGAGAAAGCCCTTAGTGATGTAGCTCCGCTTCGTCTGCCTACTAGGTGTGCGCTCGAGGGACTGAATAAGGTCGAAAATATGATACAGCGTGCGGGCGGGATCCGCGTATACGTCGCCCTCGAAGCCAGTGGTCACTGGTTATAAGATTTAGGTGCACAGCAGTCAGCCTAAGTTAACGAGGCTTCGTCAGAAGTCCTTGCAACAGCTCCATCTCCATTCATTCTAGAAGGAAGTACTGCAAGGATGGGGAAGGGAGATCGTAGAAGTAGGGAACTCCAACACGTACATCCCCAATCGCAATGCCACCCACTTACCGCAGTAGTTCGCAATGAGTCGCCAATCACCGCAACCGATGAGTACTATCCGTGCACCAGCCCATTCCAAGGCCTCCTTTCGCACCGATGCAAGTTGTGAAACATATTGCTAGAGAGTCTCAAGTTTTCGAACGCACGATTATGTGAGAGGAAAATTACCTGGCAGCTCTACACCAGGTCAACATCAGAATGGAAGAATCGCGCAAGTGAGGCTCAAGTAGTCACGTACACCACAGAAAAAGTGTCCTAAATGAAGCGAGATGCACAATATAAAAGAAAGCAGGGGAGTTCGAGTCAGCGCGTGCTTATCGTCTCAGACGGAGACTCAATAGGAGACTGATACAACACGAATGAAAATCAGAATTGTCTTCTGTTCCCGAAAAATGTTCTTAAAGTTGAGCTTGTTGCCCTCAGCGTCATAGACCGGTAGCGTGGTGGCTTTTTTGAGAGTTTGTCTGTCTGGAAGAGACGGAAGAGAGGGCCTTGTGGCGTCCATGGTCACCGATGGTCACGCCGAAGGTCGTGGTTCAAGTTGGCGTGCTGGGCGCCTATATCGCAAGACACCTTGCGCCCTGTTCCCGAAAACGGAACAGCCTGGTGGCTCAGCTGCAAGACGACTTAGGAGGGTGAACTAGGAGACAGGGGCAGGTAGGTACCTTCGCAGTTAAGTACATGGCCTAGACAAGTACTAATGTGCTACGGAATGGAAATGGGAGGGGCATCTCAGGTCTCCTCCCATCACTCAGGCTGATACTAGGTGAGTACACCCGGCGAGTCGCAACCTCCTTCTCCTGTTCTCGTACTGACAAGAAAATGAACCGCTAGTGCAAGAAGGTGCCGTGCTCTCCTAATCCTGTACACCTCCAACTTCAGAGGACAGTGGCCAGAGGTTAGACGCAACAAACGTAGGACTACTATATCATGGCTTCTCGGGCTGTAGAGACATATCCGGTCGATTCTCGAGAGGCCAGAGATGCCCTCAACATATGCAGGAAGTGTCAGTCAATTTGCCGAATGTTGTCATACTCCAGTTAATTCCTCAGACATCCTTGCCTCTACCAGGTGGCAAAGCCAGAGGCCCTAACGTGAATTTATCAGTGTGCGCAGGGTGCAAGCGATGGTATTATTGTGTAAGAGATCAGCGGTGCTATTTGTGACAGTGCTCTGACATTGATTTCACTTTCAGAGTCGCGAATGCCAGAAGTCAGACTGGCCTGAACATAAGGAGCAGTGTCGCGCGGCAAATTATTGGTACGAAATTCTAACTAAGCGTGACGATGCCTTGCTAGCCAGGGAGCGCACGTCGGACAAAGCGCCGGAAGCTCTGCCCTCGCAAGTGGCGGATCGCAAGTTGCGGACGAAGTGGCGGCGTGGCAGACACTTCATGCCATCGCTTCACGTAGCATCGACGAATGCGTTCCGTGTCGGGGCTGACCTCCTTCCCCGCGGCTGGGAAGACAATGTCTTTATGGTCAGGATCGACTGTCTGCCTAATCCATTGCCCACGTCCCGTCCTTGGTCCCGCTTTACCGTCGTGGACGCCAAAATAGTCCCGTTCACGTGGTATGCATCACTGATGGGGTCCAAGCACTACGAGAAGTTCTTGAAGGACCGCAAGGATGCGGTGGAGGCGGGAAAGGCTGCAGGATACACTGGCGCCATCCATATTATTCTGAATGCCGTGTATCATGGGAACATACCGATGAGCTTTTCCCTACCGTTCGATGCGAGAACGGCGGCGGGCGTTGAGCAGATCGATGATTGGTTCGACTTGCTGAAAACGGCCGTCGAAGTAATTTGTGGACGCAAAACGTTGGACACTCTTCCTGGCTCGTCTTCCTCCAATCAATTAGCAGAGAAACAAGGAGATCATATCCGGAGATGAAGTAATTCACGCTTGTATTGTCTTGTTTTTATCGACCAGTAACGTCAGGTCCACCGTAACAAAGACGCGAATGTACTGGTACCCCCAGACTACTACTCGGAGCTTCCAACAGAGTATAACCTTGGATGTGACTTCGGGTTCGAGTCGACTAATGACCAGATAGTAATTTTTTGCCCCACGGGTCGAGGTCAGTCAGCTCGAAGTCAAACCAATCAGCTCGTCTTCCCTGTCCTTTGACATGAGCGAGGACGCATTGCCGAAGGTGGTCTCGCAGCAGGGCATCTGAAGGGCGGTACTTTGCTCCCACATTCATGTTGATCCAGAGTGAGCGTCCGTGCAGCTTGCCGTGGCTAGTAAAGTCAATGACTTGATATTCGTCCTAGCGGAAGAAGGTCGACTCAGGGCACGTCGTTAGACGTTAGAGCGCAGCCTTACTCACGTCCGGGTTGATTCCAAAGTCATAGTTGTTAAACATGTCGTGGATGTCAGTCCGAAGCAGCACGCCGTTCTGTATGGAGTTGATTCCGTCAGGGCCTTGGGAGGCGATAGATGCATCGTCCTGTATTTTGTCCTTGAATCTTTTCTCATCCCACTTAACCCAACAACGACCACCGAAGCAGTGAGCCAGTTTTCTGGAGGCGTAACAAAGGAAGCACTCACCGTGTCCTTATGCACAACAGGGAAGATATGCGAGGCATGAAATGTGGCATAGTCTCCATGTTGCACGGGTATACCGGTTACACAGCAGCGATTGTCTCGAGCGCGAACGCGGTCCCTGAAGTATTCAGCCTATGCGAATAACCCTGAAAGTTTAGCGACTCTGCAGAGATATTTGAGACGCACTTCAGTGACAGGGGTTGCTTCCATAGTCAGCGGTCGTGGCCGATGGCTCTCGCGAAGCAGACTAACAGGGATGGGACGTGCATCTGGCAGAGGTACAGCACGGAAGTCAAATTTTCTGTGAAATTTGACAGCATTAAGTCGAGCCCAACCTTCTGAACAAATAGCATAATTTCCGAAGGGTAACGTGCCGTCATCCTCGTGGTCTAATGGCTCTCCTATCGGGTCCCCCTCCTTATCTGCGGGAAAGAGAGCCCAGGGAATATCGATGTCCAGAATCATATTCAACCAGGAGAAAAATAACGACACAGACACCGCGCCATGTTGATACAGTCCTTTCAGATAGGAGTTCTTAGTCATGAAAACAATACCCGGAGGACAGCCACTTTACCTGCGACATTAACGGGTGGAGTGGCATGAGCATCCCATACATAAATGTTCCTTGGTAAGAAATGCATATTGTTGCGTCCCTTTAGTTGACCCTCTTGGTGTATCGGTTTGTGGAGGGCTTCAAGTTTTTGGCCCCCTTAAGGAGACAAAGTTGTGTCGCAGTCCAAACGACCTGCGGTAAAGAAGTGTCCGTCAGATGTCCGTCAGCTACGTCGTGAGGGCGGTCAGAGACGACTACAAGGACATGCCTAATTAATGGACCGTCAGATGAATGTCCAGGAGGTTGAAGGACAACGTTACGCTAATTCCATTTCTAGGTATTCCCCTGTCCTCGCGCCGAGTCTTGCTGTCACTCGAGAGGCAGCACGATTCGCGGGATCTTATAGTAGGAACACCCCGGTCATCTTCGCGAGCCGGCGAACTTGGGGCATAGCGTCGGTTAGACTTGGTAAATACTATATAACGTCTATTGATTCGATTTGTAGGAGCTGGCTGCTGAAGATCTCAGATCAATGTGATCGCGCGGTCGGCGCTAAATTTGAGCTCGTCGTCGCATCTTCAATCATGGCGTTGTCCAGAAGGATATACTAGCTTGAATTTCGTGGTGCTGTACTCAGAAATCTGTTCGGCGATATTGTGGCAGCTAATTAAATCGCTCGTCGCCTGTCCATCTTCCAGCTTGAGCCTTGCACGACGATTCTGTCCATCGCCCGAAACACTCTCCAGAGCTGTATAGTCTATTATGCAGTCACTTCGCTCCAGAAGACCTTCCGAGTCATCTCCGAAGTCACAGCAACGCGGGAACAAGCTCATTCGACCATCGCAGCGCGACCTCGCGCGCAAGACGACCCGCGTCGATGACAAAATCAGGAAGCGCATGTCCATGCGCTATGCCGATATTTCCTCTCCGACGAGTGTGGATGGTGTCCCTCCAGTGCCGAGTCTGCCTATTGGGACATCCCTGCCGATGCCCGGGCATGGCGAGGAGGATGGCGTAATCGTCAGTGCGACCACTCCTGCAGAGGATTCGCGCGTGGTGGAGCTGAGGTTGTTGGACAATGACGAGTTTGATGCCGATGCTTGTGCGTAGAGTTTTGATGTGAACATGCCAGTGGAGTGACTCGCTGTTGCAGTTCTCAAGCTGAAGTTGGCGAACTCAACGGAAGCGGAACTGAAGACGCTGCAGTCGTCTTTGCAGTCGCAGAAGCAAGCTGTCGCGGTGGACCTGCAGCATGACGTGTTCAAGAAGTGAGTCCTTGACCTGTGCGAGTGCGAGTCGAAGCTGACGCTGTGCAGCTATGAGGAGTTTGTGCAGGTTTCCAAGGAAGTCAGCGTATTAGAGAACGAGATGCTCGAATTCAAGGAGTGCTTGGCGGACTGGAAGAGTATGCCTTCTCTTCTGCACATCGAGGAATCCGCCTCAGTCGCAGGTACGCCGGTAAAGCTCCTGCTTGTAGCCTGGTACTGAGTCTAGTAGATCGCCGCCGCAACGTCCGATCCTCTGTTGCGGATCTGCGTGTACTATACGCGAATCAAATGCAGACGCTTCATACGCAGATTGAGGGATCGAACAAGTTCGTGCCCACCACTGCCGGGCGTCACGTTATCACAGAGTTGGACAACGTTCTGTCGCTCAATCCTGCGACGTATAAGGTCGACCATACTACCCGCTTCGTCGTACTCGACGATGCTGTCCTTGTGGCACGAAGACGGAGGAGGCGGAACAACGCCGAGAGCGATAAGCTGGTTGCGGAGAGGTGCTGGCCGTTGAATGAGATGCTCGTGTTGGATACGAAGGACACTGCCAGTAGGTACTCTGCTTTTCATTTCTTGCAATAGCCTGATGAAAGCAGCTATGTCGAACGTGTTCAAGATTCGCCACGGGAAGGAGACCCATGTCTACCGCACTGAGGCACCAGGTGATAAGCGACATCTCTTGCAACAGTTCCGTCAAGTTGCAGAAGAGCTCTCCGCGAAGAGACGGAAGGAACGTGAGGGCGAACATTTACGGCGGAAGAGCTTATGGGGGGGTGACGTAAGCCTTCGTGTATACGCATCTCTATGTCGCCCCTGACCATTAAATGTAGCGAAATTCAGTCGCATTCGATGCAGCACCGTCGCCTCCGCCATGGATGGCGGAAATGATGGCCCAAGAAATGGGCTCAACTGCAAAGGAAAAGGCCGAGCGTGATGCACGTTGGATCTCCGACTTCTCGGATGATCTCACTGTAGCCATTTCGTTGCGAGAGTGGGATCAGGCAGTATCACTGGTTGAGCAAGGTCTGTTGATTGCACCCTACTCAAGGATTGGGAGACCTGACAGGTCGTTAACAGGCGAAGCAAATCTTCCTACCATGCCCTCACTTGCAGTCAAACTTAACCCGCTTAAAGCGTCGCTCACGGCTGCACTTCTGCAGTCGCTATCGATGCCTACCAACCGCAAAACGATGGTCGTGAGCATCATCTCTCTTCTAGTTCGACTCAAAGCAGGCGCAGCCGCGCGAAATACCTTCCTCGCAGTGCGAGCAGACTTGCTTCGCAAGCGGGTACGAATGATACGATTCGAGGGGCACATCCCGTTGTATATCAGTGACTTGGCCATCGTCGTGTTCACCGGGATTAAGCACACGGCAGATTGGTTCCTGGCGAGTTTCCGGGAGAATGAAGTGGCGAGTTGTGAGTACATGATGAGATTTGCAGGTTTTGTTGATTTAACACAGCTTTTTTGTAATTCTCTCTCGTAGGCTTCGTGGAATGGGCACGGAAGCAGATGGAGGTGTACGCAGAGATGTTCCGGAAACAAGTCTACAGTACCGATGTAGACCAGGAGACGATCGAGGAAGCGATAAAAATCACGCACATCCAGAGCAGGAAGGCAAGGGCACGTTTTGTATCTCATATGCAACATCTCACCCAGCTATGCAGCTCCTCGAAGAATACGGCATAGACTTCCGGTTCCTCCTCGACCGAATCCTGATCGAGAAGCCCAAAGATACCTTACCACCGCCAACTTTCCGTTCGCATCCAGAGAAGGAACCCGAGCGCACGCGCGTGCGCGCCTCGACGCCCCTGCGTGCCCGCTCCCCTGCTTACCCATCCGTCCCACCGCTACGCTCGCCCGTTCCCCCTGTTCCCCCGCTTCCGGAGATCGCACCGCTCTCACACACGCCCCGCATTGTCTCCCCTACGCCCCGTGCCGCGTCTGCTGTTTCTACCCGCTCGGCAACGCCTACGCCGCGCACGAGAGGCAGTGCGGCACCCCCACCGCGATCGCGGGACCGCCCGGGCAGCGCGACCGGACATCGTCCGCCGCCTGTCGCTATCCCCAGGAGGGAAGGGATGATCTAGGCCGTTGCGCTGCCGTGTTTCTGCGGGACGGCCACGTTCTGTAGCTGAGCGTTGTAACTTTTTGTTTGAAGTGTATGTCACTGTTGCCTACCGTCACATTATGGAAGATTTGTTGCATTCGGAGAACGGGTCGATGGATGTTTGTCTGGGAAGCTCCACCACTCCTATTTGGGCCCAAGTCTGGTAAAATACGAATCATTGGGATGTTAGGTAGGCATGTATGTGCTCGTTCGAGCAATCTATAGATTCTGGGAATATTGGCGCGGCGCCGCCATCCACATCAATCCATCTACACACCTCCCCCGCCAGCCCACGTCTTTACACGCACCCAGTCACCTACGTGCAACACGCCCTCCCCGCCATACACAGCGTTGCAACCGAAGCAACTCTGGTTCATGCGCGCCGGGTCCTTCCCAGTCCGGAACTTCATCAGCACCTTGAACGGCACTGCGGCGTCGCGCACGCCTGTTGCGATGTCCACATTCGGTAGCTAGATCCGATGCAGAATCGGCAATGCTGGAAAGAACTGGTGGAGGCAGATCTGCGTACCAGACAGCGCGTACACTTCGACACGAGGGTGATTGTTTGTTGAGGAGGAGCGGACGCCGGGTCAAGTGCGCGGTCCGGGCTCACGACGATTTCCCGCCACATGTCCTCTGCGAAGGGGACACCAGCACCCTTGAGCACGATATTCGGGCGGAATCTGGAGGAGATTGAGTCGCAGGGGCTCTGGCAGGGCCGAATGCGTACCGCTCCATAGGCAGCTCGCCATCGCGCCAGCGCGCATGATCGAGTCCACCGATGTGCACCTCCTCTGGACTCTTGACAGCCGCGGTGTGAATGCGCTCCTGCAATCGCTGCAGGCTTTCCTCGCTCGCGATGAGGAGCGGGAAACCGTCCTGTCGGTGGAGGTAAACGCGATACTACGGGGAGGTGGTGAGGAAGGGTGGGCACCTGGAACAGCGTCGTCGCTTGTAAACCGGGAACCCCAAGTGTTGGTGCGCATTCGCGGGGCTGAGGACCTTTCATGACCAGGTGCACTGGGCGCCCGAAATATGTTGACAAGATGGTAGACGGCGATAGTGTGGAAGGAGGGAGAGATTGGCAGATGTATCCGTCAATGATGGTTCCCCAGAGCGAGTTTTCGATACTGCAGATCAACACATAAAGTTATGGTCACTTCACGGTGCATCAAATTCGTCGATAGCATCCTCCAAGGAGGATGCACATAAGATATCTGATATAACGGAATGGTACACACATTTTCCAGTTCTTCAGAACATCAGATGTTGGGTTGAGCGGTACAGAGAAGGTTTCGCATCCATATCCATCAGGAAAGGAAATGACAAGCTCTCCGCCAAGCGGCGATGAAAAGTCAGGGACAACACGCGGAATAATGAGGACCATCTAACACCAGATGCGTGAATCGTAGCAAGGCGGCACGAGGAGCCGTGATAATAGTAAGCACCCCACCTTCCCAAACTCCCTCGCTGTGATTACAGCATTGCTGCCTGCATCAACGATACACCATTTCCTGTCGTTCTATGTGCACAGCCGCGATTCCATCAGCTCGGTCAAGCGATATAGGCGAAGAGATCATGCAAGATGAAGAATATTGACCGGGCAGACCGCATGCGACGACGGAGTTTGCCCGAGAGATGGTTCTTCATCACGAAGGACCTTCACGCCGCACTACAAATACACGTTACTTCAATGCCCTGAGGAGTATACCGCGCCTCTTGGAGAGACGTGCCGCGACAACTCTTGTATAAATGCATAAGCACCGATGGGTGGAATCTCGACATAGACCCACTTTTATGGGATGCACCAAAATCTTTGAAACATGGATGTCGCCCAAGGGGAAAGGTACTGCCATCTCGAGCTCGTGCTCATCTTGCGCTCGAGTTCTTTTATCAAGAGACTCATCGACAGAGGTTGTCACGTCTTTCGCTGAGCCAGAAGGTTCAAGCTTATAGTGCTTCCTCCATGGAAACCCTCCAGAGATGTATATCACGGAGACCAGCAACAATAAGGCTGTCGAAGACCAGAAAAAAGGCCGATCGAGCGCGAGTCCTTGCAGCATGGTAGCTTTAACAGTTGCTTGCTCTCCAATACACCTTCCAGATTGGCATCGGACTTCGTCAAATAATTCTTTCTTGAGAGGCAAATTCCCACTTAACTAAGCAAAATCCCGGGTTAATATGCCGGTAGGCTTCAACACTATCGGTATACTCCCAAATAACCTGAAGGTGGCCGAGACAGCTGCAAGCAAGGCGACCCTCCGAAAAGATCACATAAGGGAACCCGATGCAGACCGCTACCACTATACGAGAAAACGAGTAGATGATAATACAGCTCAGGTACGTAAGAGTTACCTCGTCGGCGGACTGCCGAAGTGCCACTGCCACCGTGACTGAGCGCGACTCGGAATAGGGGGATTGCACGTGCTATTGACGCGTCGGCCGGGACGCGTCGCAAGACCTGAGTCCATTCACTTCCAAGTCTAGGAGAGGTCTAGGAGGTCGATGAGAATATCATAATTCAATTACGCCCACCTTCCAAGCCTCTTATAAACCAACCATGTCAGCTTGCAGCGTTCAACGAACTCCCCATCGAAATAACCGTCCTTGCACATTACAGCCTACCACAAATTAGCAAACAGGATGACCATCCTTATCACCGGCGCAGCGGGCAGAACGTCAGGCTATGTGATCCGTGCGATCCTCCAGGTCACTTCCTTCAGCGAGTCGCACATCCGCCTTCTCGTGCACTCGCAGGACACCATCCAGCAGCTTCGCGCACACTACCCCCAGCTACCACCATCTGCGATCGTCACCGGAGACTACCTTGAAGCAAGCACGCTCCCGCCCGTCTTCGAGGGCGTGGACGTCGTTTTCTACAACGCGCCCGCGTTCCACCCCCAAGAGACCGCGATGGGCATAGCAGTCATCGACGCAGCCAAGGCCGCGGGCGTGAAGCACTTCGTTTATTGCAGCGTGCTCTTCCCTATCCTCACTAAGCTCCTGAACCACAAGGTCAAGTGCCGGTATGTTCCTGACCTTCGTGTTTCCGTGCATCAGGGATGTTAGAACTTACGTATGCAGCGTCGAGGAATACCTGATCGAGTCTCGTCTGAACTACACCATCCTTGAGGTCAACTGTCTTCATTCATCCTTCAGTACACTCACTCACAAAATTTGACTTAATATCTGTAGCCGACTCACTTTATGCAGAATGTCGATCTCAAACACGTCCAAGAGACCGGGTTACTGCCGGCGGAGTACTCTCCGGATGTTCTGCAGGGTTACCTCGACCTGCCCGATCTTGCCGCCGTCGCACGAACGATCCTCCTCGACCCAGCACCACACAACCGCGCGCGTTACGAGCTAGTCGGCCAGAACTGCACGTTCGAGGATGTCGCGAAGGAAATATCCAAACACACGGGCAAAAAGATCATCTGCACGCCCATCGCTCGGGAAGCGATTGTGAGCACAGTGAAGTACGGCCAGTATGCGCAGGAGGCGCTCGACAGGATGTTGTATTATTACGACACGAGGTCGGTGGGAACGCCTCACTCGGACGTGGTAACTCACTGATGAGTATTTCCAGGGGCATTCCGGGGAACAACAATGTATTGCACTGGCTGTTGGGCCATGAGCCGACAACGTGGGCAGCTCTGTTACGCCGCGACCTCAAACATAACGTGTAGCGTCAAATTCCGACGAATGTCAATGGCCGTGAGAAGTCGGGTCAGTCTCCTGTATTTGTACCAGGTCGACGGAGTGTACATTGTATCGCGCATCGTGTCACATTTACTAGCATCTGAATACTGCGGTGAGTGAGACTGCATAATATGTACTCAAGTAATGCATATGGCTGCAGATCAACAGCTTCTTTCCGGTCTCTCGAGGACGAGGGGAGACACCAGTCTGAACAGCCTTGGAGACTTGTATGAACAAGGGAATTGAAGGCACGGAGACTGTTGGCTGAGACTGCCATGTGCATGTCGGAGTGCAATGGACATAGCAGAAAACTTGGAGCTTGAGCGTGAACGCAGAGGTCATGCGCTTAGTGATTCTCGAAAAGGTGGCGAATCCGTAGCACGACGTATTCTGTGCCGGTTCGGACTGGAAACTGCATAGGGACCGGAGCGAGTCAATGGGACCGGTCAGCCTCTCACCGAGGTGTTTCGAGTCGCATCAGCACGTATGACGAGTGAAAAGGTGAACGTTTGATTGGCTTCGTTGGATAAATCTGTACAACCTAAGAAAGAACAACTGTAAACTGCAATTAGAAACTGAGCGACGACAAAAATCAAGAAGGGAATCCACTGGCAGTCTGCCGTAGCCAGCTGAGACCTGCAAGCTTGAAGGATGCGGTGTAAGTCAACTAGACAACGACGAGTGACGACTCAGACGTACCGTGTTCTAATCAATTCGGTACATCTTGTGGGCCAGGAGGAAAGACGACTTAGTCACAGTTATCTAGGAACGTCTGTCTTCTTTGTCGTGACTAGAGGCTGATTCATGAGCGTAACAGTGATTTTGGAAGGAGATGATCAAAGGCATCGAATCAGTCAGCGCTCGAAGTTGAAACGGCCGCCCGCCAAAATGACAGTCCACGTATACCTCGGCAGAACTCAGTCAGACGTGAGCTTACTCATGCATCGATTTCTCTGTATATAAGTAAGGCGGACTACGTCCTGGTGGCCTCCTAGCTTATCTATATTCAACGAACGAGCTGAGTCTCCGGTTGAGGGAGCGAACATAAAATGCGCGTACTCATCCTCGGGTAGGTCATGAATTGTCCATTCCCGCTGCTAACCGTTGACGTTCAATTGCAGTGCCTCAGGTTTCATTGGCTTTCCAGCTGCGCAGGCCTTCGTCCGTGCAGGGCACATAGTGTACGGTGTAACTCGTTCTCAGGAGAAGGCGAAACAACTTGCTGGAGAGGAGAGTACGTATCATCACCTACTCCGATTTCGATTTAACTGCTCACTTCACCATCCAGTCATCCCAATCGTTGCCGAGGTGGCCGACCGTACCAAATGGCTCCCCCTCGTCGCGACACTTGACGCGATTGTCGATGCCCTCGGTGGCTCTGACCTCCAGAAAATCTGCTCGGATAACTTCAACGAGACGGTGGCTGCCGCGCGGGAGCTCCGCCCTGCCCATGCCCCGAAGCTGGGGTACATCTATACGTCTGGCGCCTGGGTGCATGGCGACAACCGCACGGATATCATCACCGACACAACCCCGATCGCATCGTCCATCGAGCTGACGAGTTGGCGCCCGGCAGTAGAGCAGGTGATTGCAACTAGCTCCGCCGTAAACGGCCTCGTCATCCGCCCGTCTCTCCTCTACGGACGCTCCGGATCGCTCCTCGCGCTTATGTTCAAGAGCGCATACGAGGGCAAGGCGAAGTGGTTCGGCACACCTGGCGGGAGGTTCTCGTTGATCCACCAGGATGATCTAGCTACGATGTTCGTGCTTGCCGCCGAGAAGTCGTCCATCCTGGGTGGCACGATCTTCGATGCTGCCAACGACTTTTCGGAGAGCGTGGATGAGATTCTGCAGAAGCTCGTGCAGATATCAGGAGCGAGTGGATATGAGTACCTACAGCCCACCAACCGTGAGTGTGATTTCGCAAGTTGCCATCAACTCGTGCTTTGGATTGACCTGTCACGTTGTCTCTGCAGTATTCCAAGTTGCTCTCGGTACTTCCTCGTCTCTGCGTCCTTATCTAGCTCGGTCTTTACTGGGGTGGCAACCTTGCAAGGCTGGTTTAATTGACCACCTTGATATCTACTACAATGCGTGGAAAGCGAGTGAGGGACTCTAGTTGCGGGTGTTTATGGCATTCTCATAAGTGTTGTAAATGTTTTTGAATAGATCGAGTGCACAAAAAATCACTAAGAGAAAAAGCAAAAATATAGTGTATAAAATTGATTTCGGACTTCACGCCACAGTCACAAGGCGCATTCCACCTTTTTTCCTGGGAAAAAATCTGGGGAAAACGACAAAGTAAGTCTCCGGGAAATATCTGGGAAAAACTGTGAGAAAACAATAGTGTAAATCCTGGGGAAAAACCGTGACCCAGAAAAAGCAACAGATTTCTCGGAGAAAAAACCTTTGTTTCCAAATCGGGATTTCTGCAACATCAGGAAAAGTCAACTCTTGGCTCCCTTATTGCCTTGATTAAGGAGGTCTGCTTCCCTATTTGGCCAATTAAGGTGAATAAGGAATAATAATAATGAGGATCTCCTTAAAATTTCCTTAATCAAGGGAATAATCTGGGTAAGCAAGGGTTGACTTTTGCTGATGAAGAGATACGCAGAAATCCCGATTTGGAAACAAAGGTTTTGTCTCCGAGAAATCTGTTGCTTTTTCTGGGTCACGGTTTTTCCCCAGGATTTACACTATTGTTTTCTCACAGTTTTTCCTGGATATTTCCCGGAGACTTACTTTGTCGTTTTCCCCAGGTTTTTCCCCAGGAAAAAAGGTGGAATGCGCCTTGTGAGTGTAACGCGTCAAAAATGGGCGCTTGTTAGACGCGTCCGATCATGTGACACGCGTAGTACTCAGCAGCTCGTTTTGGAAAGCTAGAGCCTATCACAAAAAAGGCGCGGAACTTGTAATGCCGTTATATTGCAATAGAATGCCATTAGAATGGATAAAATCATCAGAATGACCGAAATGGATAAAATAACAATCTGTCTTAACAATGAAATGTCAGAAGTTGAATAGAATGCCAATAAAATCAGCTAGTGTATTGGTTGCAACGGGCGGAAGTATATTGCTGCTTAAAATGTCCAGAAGGCTTGTGGCTGCTTGCTGCAATTTTCTCCATGCCTCACATGCTCAGAGGATACAGCATAAGATAATGGGGACAAAACATATATATTGCATGGGTATAAAGTACAAGGGTGTGGGTCTTCGCGCTGTGGTCATACACGCAACAAGTCAAAAATCCGTATGGGAACTGATGGTGGTGGCAAGTAATGCGTGATTGCTGCGAGTCTGAAGTTGCTAGGGTGCGCGTGTCGGGGATGCCAAGCCAGACGATAGCCTCTTCGGGGCCAGATCTAGGTACTGCCTGACCATCGTGGTCTCAAGCACCGGAGGTGCACTACATATAGTTGGTGATACTTCGGAGTGCGTCGGCGAGTGACGGAACACCGTCGGTGGGAGAGAACCTGTAGGCGGCACAGGATCGCCGCCGGCGCCGGCGAGCATCGCGTGGAAAGGCGGGTGTTCTTCGCGGCGGACTAGGTCCTGCGGTGGTTCGAACTCTGCGGCGGGAGATGCAAGGACCTGTACATGTCAACGTCCCTCCCACTGATGGTGTGCGTACGAGGGAAGTGATGGCGGAGACAATGACTGTGCTGGGTACATCGGCGAGTGCTGCATGTGAGCAGCGAGTGGTAGCACCGCGAATCTAGCAGCCAGTGTATGGAACATTGAGGATGAACTTCGCATGGAACACCAGACGAGTGGCTTCTTCGAGTTGGTGTCTAGGTACCATGTGACTGACTGTCGTGGTCTCAGGTCCGAGGAGGCGCAATAAGTGGTGAGTTGTCGCAATGCCTGTTGGGGGCACAATCTCACTGGCTACGGTAGCGAGCGTCGCCAGGAGAGTATGTAAGTCTTCGATTGGGATCCACCAGAGGGGAGCACCGCAGAACCATGGCCAGTGCGCGGGAAGTTGATGATGAGCTTTACACAGAACGCGCTGCCTGTGAGTGTGATCCTAATGTTCAATGAGGAAGTGTTCTTGCTTCTGACATTGCGACGTTCCAATAGGGCTTTCAGCACTGAGCCGCCGCCACGCAAGAACGCAAGACATTTGCAGAAGCCCAATTCATGCCAGCCAGCATAGAAGGCAGAGCCCGTGTTACAGTCGTCGAGCAACCAGAGAAACAAGGCAGGACAGCAGCCCAGGCCATGAGCGTGCAGAGGACTCGGATGAAGTTGCGGGGCCATCGCGCGAGAGGCAGAGCACAAAACATAGCAAACTTGATGGATAATTTTTTGAAGATTGACATGTAAACTCTCTCGGAATGAAAAAGTCCGAATGGAGAGGACAAATGGACGATGATGGCGGGAATTGAGTTCAAGGCGGGGAGCATGCATATGGACGACGGCAAGATATGTTGTGGATTTGCAACTGTACAGTTTTCGGAAGTGGCCGGGTGTTCAACCCAAGGCACGACGCTCAGATGCAGGAAGGACGAGAAGGTTTTGGAGAGTTGTATAGCAATCTCAAGGAGATCCGAAGGTGAATGTAATGAGAGTGCGAGGCCCTTGGAAGGCTAAAATCTGGGCATCCATTGGAAGGTGTGACATTATTTGTTATGTTGTAACACGATCAGAATCTTCTTGCGCTCCGGTTACAATCCGGTTACAATAGATATAATTATTGGGTCACACAAAATGGATAAAATCTGGCGGCGCTTAATTTTGTGATTGATTCGACCTAATGCGATATGGATATGTTACACCTGTCGAACACGATGTACCATAATATCATATCGGTTCTGGCGATCAACTTGTCCTCCATTCTTGAGGCAATGCAAAGGTCTCAAAGAGGAGCATGCGCGGGAGTTCCGTTACCTGATTTGATTTAGCGTAACATGCGCTCCGCGCTATGAACGTGGTCAAGGCATAAGTTGTCGACGACATAGGACGTACGAGGGATCACTCTGTGATTGCCTCGGAGTTGAAGAACGTTCGTTACCTACGAAACGTTTGCGAAATGCAGGTCGGTCTCACAATTTGACGCATTGGTTAAAAAAATCGACCGAATGAGTGCGATGGAAAAACTCCGGTTCAACCGCCATCGCAATATACCTGAGCCTCCTGAATCTTACAAAGATAGATTGAGGCAGCGTATCGGACACGATGAAGAGCAGCTTATTGATGGCAAAGAGTCTCGAGATGGACAAGTGTGGGTTGGACTGGTATCAGCATCGCAAGAGAGAAGGATTCTCACTCGAGCATCGCCTTCTCGCGGCAGTTGCGACGCTCTGGGTACGGTCTCTATTGATCTTCCAGTGAGTCGCGAGTCCCTGGAGGCCCTGCAGTTCGTGGCTACAGCGCCACAAGGCCCCATACAAAGTAAGCATGCACAAATACGACACAAGCGCATCCACCCACTTGCGGGCTCAACGTTCAACGTTCACATTCCTCGTCACAGGGAGTGAATCCGCGACAGATTATGCCACATAGTCCCGCAAGTCAGGGACATCTCCCAAAGAATTCCGTTCGGTCATCGACTGCAAAGGATAGCTCAGAAAACAAGGCTGCTAATGATCTACTCACAGCAGGGCATCCGGAGACTGCGGACGAAGATAGCCCATTCGCAGCCCTCGAACTTCCTATCTTCATGATGTGATATATGAAGGAGATCACACTGGAATTTTGTTGTCGCAGAATGTTAAGATCTTCGAGCGACATCCCCAAACTATTGAAATATCGACAACGCTTGGAAGTTGGTATATGGCACTATGCCAGCGGTCTCGCCAGGCCGGCCATTCTCCACTCCAGAAAACTGGTTGACAGGTTCAATGCACCGAATGTCAGAGAGCATATAATTGCACGCCTCGTTCAACGCAATTCCGACGCGGATAGTGAGACTTTGCATTGTAAGCAGGAATTTTACTCGGAAAGAAGGCAGTCAATAATACTAACCTCCCTACTGTCCGCGTTGCTTTTGGATAGAGGGCGCACCGTACGCAAGAGTCACCTAGTCCGATGTTTGTCGACACTTTGGTGCGATGTTTACGGAAGATCGTGATGGTAGGAGTAGACCAATATACGAAGTCTCACTGCCATAGACAAGGGAAATCGGCAGATACGAGAATGAAAAAGGTCACTCCCTGCAGGTCAATTATCGGGCTAGGCGAGACAGGTCACATACTCTCCAGGTGGTTTTGTAGCGGTTAAATACGAATACAACAATCTGAATAGCCTTACACCATTTCTACACTCTTCTGGAAGTAACAGCCTACCCTGTTCTCAGGATGAGGTGTACCCCGCTATCGGTACTGACGACATCACTGATCTCGCCAATTTTCAGGGAATAGGTGGCATCCTCGAACGGTTTCTGCATCTGACCCTGCATCGAACACCGAGCATCAGGACTGCCTCGGTATTCAAACGTAGACATGTACGGGTAACTTACAGGTTTAAATAATCCGAGGTCACCGCCGTTCGAATGCGAGGAACAGTCAGAGTGCTCTCGGGCAAGCTCCGCGAACTTCTGCGGTGAGCCGTTGATCTCCGATGCATACTGCTTCAAAATATCGATAGCCTCCTCCTTTGAACGCGTGATGTTTTGCTGCAGGGAACGCACGCGTGAACCAAGATAAGCCATACGAATCAGATCATATCAGCGCGACGCACCTCCTTCCAGCTGCTGGGCCTCCGGCTTCCGCGATGTTTCACAAGCAGGTGGCTCGCGCGAACTTGTGCGGGCCTATCTCCCGCCCCGCCACCAAGCAGATACTCCTTTGCGCCAGGTAGAGAATGGATCTCCTCCTGTGTTAGCTCGAGCGGTGCCTCCCATGTCGACTGATTGGTTTGAGAGTTGTAAAAATACGGCACTCCCCGCGAGGTTGAGACTCGGACTTCCCAAGGTAAGGCCTGAAAAATAGTTCTATTAGAGTACACAAATTAAAGGGCGAAGAAGACATGCCATTTGCTTTACACTGTTCGACTTGCAGGTTCGAGTTGAGTACGGCTCATGGGAGGATACATCTTTGAGTCGGGGCCGGGCCGTCTCCAAGATACGATCAGATGAGCGCACGTGCAAGATCGAAGCGGCTTACGGAGATGTTTCTCAAATCCTGCCAGAGAGGAAGGGGATGCATCTGAAAGATCACAGAGTAGTTGCATGTCTTTTGACTGACCACAGAACCTCTTGGGAAGGACTATAACACCAGTAATTAATGCATGACTTGCCTGTATCAGACAGTTTATCAAGGTCTGCTAGATTCCAGTGTCAGAAAATAACATTGCACATGTCCTAGGTCTATTCCTGACCAGAAAAAATGTTTCTGAAATGAGAAAAGCTCTCAGAAAGGTCAATTTATGGTGGATACACAAACTCATTTAAGGACCACTGGACCCCCTCCCTCCCTAACCTCCGGTCTCGGAATTCTCCGGCTGGGCCCTCTTGATGGGGGCTGCCGACTTACAGGATCCGCCGAGTGAGTGGTGAACCGGTGACACATAGTACTGATAGTGTTGAAGCCTACCGGCATCGTAATTCGGTATTTCGCTTAGTTACGTGGGAATTTTTACCTCTCAAGAAAGAATTGTTTGACGAAGTCCGATTTGACCTAATAATGCGACATGGATATGTTGCACCTGTCGAACACGAGGTACCATAATATCATATCGGTTCAGGCGATCAACTTGTCCTCCATTCTTAAAAAGAAAAGCACGCGCGGGAATTCCGTTACCTGATTTGATTTGGCGTCATGAATTTGAGGTTCTCTTGTTTGATTTTTTTGACCAATGCGTCAAATTGTGAGACCGACCTGCATTTCGCAAACGTTTCGTACGTAACCAATGTTCTTCAACTCCGAGGCAATCACAGAGTGATCCCTCGTACGTCCTATGCCGTCGACCACCTATGCCTTGTCTAACCACGTTCATAGCGTGGAGCGCATGTTACAATTTCTTAAGGCGATTCATATGGACCGAATGAGTGCGGTGGAAAAACTCCGGTTCGACCGCCGTCGCAATATACCTGAGCCTCCTGAATCTTACAAAGATAGATTGAGGCAGCGTATCGGACACGATGAAGAGCAGCTTATCGATGGCAAAGAGCTCGAATATGGAGTATGTCTCGAGATGTTGGACTGGTATCAGCAATATTGCAAGAGAGAAGGATTCTTACCCAAGCATCTCAAAGAGGCGCCTTCTCGCGGCAGTCGTGACGCTCTGGGTACGGTCTCTATTGATCTTCCAGTGAGTCGCGAGTCCCTGGAGGTCCTGCAGTTCGTGGCTACAGCGCCGCCCAAGGCCCCATGCAAATTAAGCATGCACAGACACGACAGAAGCGCATCCATCCACTTGCGAGCTCAACGTTCACACTCCTCGTCGCAGGGAGTGAATCCGCAACAGATTATGCCACATAGTTCCGCAAGTCAGGGACACCTCCCAAAGAATTCCATTCGGTCATCGACTGCAAAGGATAGCTCAGAAAATAAGGCTGCTAATGATCTACTCACAGCAGGGCATTCAGAGACTGTGGACGAAGACAACCTATTCGTAGCCCTCGAACTTCCTATCTTCATGATGGGATACATGAAGGAGATCGCCGACAGAGTAATGGCAACGCACCAGCATAGATTTTGCTCCACTTCAGCGGCAATGTTTCTGGAGGCGATCGGCAAATCCCAGTTTCCGGTCTTCAGTGGACTCGTGGATGGCCCGAGGGTATCGCTTGCCGCTTGGAGTAAAGAAGGTATGAGTGTTTATCAGTTAAGACAAATATCTAACTGGCCCACTGGATTTGTTGTCGCAGAATGTTGAGATCTTCGGGCGACATCCCCAAACTATTGAAATTTCGACAACACTTGGTATTATGGCACTGCCAACGTTCTCGCCAGGCCGGACATTCTCCACTCCAGAAAACGGGTTGACAGGTTCAATGCACCGAATGTTAGAGAGCATATAATTGCACGGCTCGCACAATGCAATTCCGAGGCGGATGGTGATTCTTTGCATTGTAAGCAGAAATGTTACTCGTAAAGAAGGCAGTCAATAGTACGAACCTCCCTGCTGTCCGCGTTGCTTTTGGATAGAGGGCGCACCGTACGCAAGAGTCACCTAGTCCGATGTTTGTCGACACTTTGGTGCGATGTTTACGGAAGATCGTGATGGTAGGAGTAGACCAATATACGAAGTATCACTGCCATAGACAAGGGAAATCGGCAGATACGAGAATGAACTGCAGGCCAATTATCGGGCTAGGCGAGACAGGTCACATACTCTCCAGGTGGTTTTGTAGCGGTTAAATACGAATACAACAATCTGAATAGCCTTACACCATTTCTACACTCTTCTGGAAGTAACAGCCTACCCTGTTCTCAGGATGAGGTGTACCCCGCTATCGGTACTGACGACATCACTGATCTCGCCAATTTTCAGGGAATAGGTGGCATCCTCGAACGGTTTCTGCATCTGACCCTGTATCGAACACCGAGCATCAGGACTGCCTCGGTGTTCAAACGTAGACATGTACGGGTGACTTACAGGTTTAAACAATCCGAGGTCACCGCCGTTCGAATGCGAGGAATCGTCAGAGTGCTCTCGGGAAAGCTCCGCGAACTTCTGCGGTGAGCCGTTGATCTCCGATGCATACTGCTTCAAAATATCGATAGCCTCCTCCTTTGAACGCGTGATGTTTTGCTGCAGGGAACGCACGCGTGAACCAAGATAAGCCATACGAATCAGATCATATCAGCGCGACGCACCTCCTTCCAGCTGCTGGGCCTCCGGCTTCCGCGATGTTTCACAAGCAGGTGGCTCGCGCGAACTTGTGCGGGCCTATCTCCCGCCCCGCCACCAAGCCGGTACTCCTTTGCGCCAGGTAGAGAATGGATCTCCTCCTGTGTTAGCTCGAGCGGTGCCTCCCATGTCGACTGATTTGTTTGAGAGTTGTAAAAATACGGCACTCCCCGCGAGGTTGAGACTCGGACTTCCCAAGGTAAGGCCTGAAAAATAGTTCTATTAGATTACACACATTAAAGGGCGAAGAAGACATGCCATTACTTTACACTGTTCGACTTGCAGGTTCGAGTTGACTCGGAGTACGGCTCATGGGAATTTGGGTCGGGGTGCCCGGGCCGTCTCCAAGATACGATTCGTTTTTAGCCTCCAATGAGCCACTACCCTCGAAGTTGTGCATATGCATAGTGTCTCTTGAAGATGAAGTTAACTTTCAATAGTGAAGGCTCACTTTTTCTCCATTTTCTGAGGTCAAACCCGAGTCTCCTACGCACAATATAGCGTTGTTACCATGATGTCTCGTTGGAGATACCGTCGTAACAGCAAAATGCTAGTACTATCCTAGCTTGGTCCTAGCCAAGGATTCTTCCACATGTTCTTCACCACTCCAACAATCATCACAGTCACCAAAATTACGCTTGTGTCACTCTGTCCTCCACCGCCGAAGTAATTCATGCTTCGAGTTCCTCAACAACCTGCATGCAGCACTCCCCGTGAGAGCGGAGAGTCATTCCGCGGTCACCATGTTTTTTCATCTATGTTCGTAGCATGTGCAGTGAAAAGCGGGTAAGAAGCAGCCTCCTCTAGCTGGTGCACGAACTATAAGAGCTGCGAGCTTCCATTCACACATCCACATCTATCGTTGTCCCATCTAGACATATCATTGATCCTCATTGCCATCACGGCATTGGTGAGCAATCCAACCCGTCCATATCGTCCGATACTCAGTTTTCCGCAGACTATGTTATTGGTGTGGCTCTCGCTGTCATTACTTTGTACAGGCCCGCCAGACTCTTCGCCCGCCGCTCGCTCAAGGCCTGCCCTCACCCGTCTTCCTATCCTGTATGAGAGCTTCTGCGGTGTAGAGGCGGCACTGAAAATCCTTTGCATCATTTCTCATCAGGAAATACGCTCGCGCTCAATCATCTCAGGATTGGCAATTTAGAGTTCCAGTGTCAATACTATCACATCAACGTTGTTCGAAGATGGCGTTTCTCGTGAGTATCGAACTCTGACTGCGTACCTCCTGCGTTTTAATTTTGCTGTTTCTATGCCGTTTAAGGTACTGGAGGTGCTCTCGAGATCGTCAAGTTCACGATTTTTTCGAGAAGCCTGACATCCAGCGCGGGGCTCGTGACGCCTATGGTCAGAAACATGCCCCTCGGGATGCAGATGCGGCCCTGCGTGTGACTGTCCTCCATCCGAGGAAAGAGTGAGTGGGTCACGGAAAGAATCAGCGCAATCACACGATGTCGACCTCCGCAGTTGGTGTGGTCTCGTGTCGCGGTGTGATCTATTTTCTGCCATCTTGACGTCGATTTGTGCCGGGTTCGAGGTGAGTGGCATCCAGAATAGCAGTTACATGTAGTGAGGTACCTCGAGAGCAAGGTCACTTCGAGGTAACCAAGCAACCCAATTCGGCCTATCTGGAGGTCGGGAAGCAGTCTAAGGTAAGTAAATATAGACACTGCAATTGGTTCCGGATATTGGACTGGGCCGCGCGAGGGCATCGGTTGACATCTCGTTTTCCTTAGTGCGAAGTAACGTCCCTCGAGCTGGGAACCTTTCTGTAAAGGTTGATTTGAGGACATAGTGACAGAGTGGTGGTATGACCGAGATAACGATCTTCGTACCAAGCGTATCTGCGCACACCGCATAACGTTCTGACTCAGTGGATGGCAATTGGTATGTCATTTCAAACCGCTCTGATTTCTGTGGATCCAGACATTTACAATGTACGAAAGGCTTTTGAACAGCTTACAACAGGTTTAAGTGCGAGGCGAGAAAGCGTCGGCCGACCAATGCCCAACTTGGAGTCAGCCTGTCTAGGGTTTCTTAACAATCGAAAACGAGATACGAGAATAATCAGCTGTCCTGATTCTCAGGAAGATTGCTGATCCTATACTGGTCTCATACTTAGTCACGGGCCGTGAGAGCGGAGACCTGTTTCCCAGCGCTGCCATGATCCAGTATCTATGCTTGTGACGTGCGCAGCTAAAGGGGGCCACGCAAAAGAAGCCTTCACTTCCACTCGACATCAGCTGGCCGAGCCAATTCACACGTATCGCTTCCATTGAGACAGCCCAGTAATCGCCGTTGCTGTATTAAGTCGGCAAGGTAAGCACCCCAAATTCATGCCTCAAATATCTGACACTCAGTGTCTCGCGGAACATGTCCAACACCCTTATACTCTACGGCGCCATAAGCGCTGCACTGATTGCTTTTGCTGTCTACAGATTCACGACCCACCGTTCGCTGAAGTACATCAGAGGTCCCCCTTCATCGAGCTTTATCTTTGGTACGGAAGTTTCTGTACTTACCCTGGGTACGATGTTGACTGAAGGTTTTGTCGTTAGGAAATAGCGTCATTTCTAGTCACCAGCAAGAAGTGGGCGACCTCGAGTTCCAGTATGTGAAAGAGTATGGAACGGTCTGGCGCCAGGCCGGTTGCTGGGGGGTCAGCTGAACGGCTTCAGGCTTGTGATGCATTACTGACCATCCTTGTAGAGGGATAGCCTAGTCGTTGCAGATCCAAAAGTACGTGTTTGTGTAGCGTGTGAGACCGCTTGCCCGACACAGGATACAGGCGATCCAACACATCACGTATAAGGCGGGATACAACTACCCGAAGTCGCTGATCTCGCGATACATCTCGAGGCAAGTCGCCGGAGACGGTATCTTGATCGCAGATAGTTTGTGCCATTACCCGAATACCCCTACCTGAATCGTGATAACTGAATAGGTCAGGATCATCCGCGACACCGCAAGATCATGAACCCGGCTTTCACAGCTGGTCAGCTGCGGACATTTATGCCTTTATTCCGTCGACTCTCCACTAAGGTAAAATGCTCCCACCAGTGATAAGCAACGTTTTACTGATTTACCTTTCAGTTTACGCAGAAATGGAAGGATGTTCTGCGCTCTGCTACCACCGAAACGGAGCAGGTCCTGAACGTTCACGCCTGGCTGGCTAGATTGACGCTGGACATTATCGGGGAAGGTATGTGACGACTTCCGAAGTGAGCGCCTTGCTAATCCTACGCAGCGGCGTTTGACTACCAATGCGGCGCACTCGACGACGAGGAGAGTGAGGTGATGGATGCGTACAAGAACATGTTGTAAGTCTGCTGCACGCCTCTTGAATGCATCTGACGCTCACCACTATCACCAGTGCTGATTCGCTGCTCTATCCAACCAAGCCAACGATCCTGTTCCGCTCCATCTGGAAGTACATCCCGGAGCACCTCCTCCGCCTCATCAACTATATCCCCACGCGCGAGTACTCGCGGTTCCGTCGGTCGCTTACCACTATCAATTGGTTCGCAAAGCAGGTCATTGACGAGAAGACAGAGGCGTGCCTTGCGGGCAAGGCGGAGAACAAGAAGGATATCATGAGCATTCTCGGTGCGTTGGGCGCTGAGGAGGCAGATTCTCACTCACGCATGTCTATGCAGTGAAAGCGAATGCGTCGGAAGATTCGAGGACTCGGCTGAAGGAATCTGAAATGCCCGCCCAGATGGCCACTTTCCTCCTTGCTGGTGCGCACTTTGTCTTTCCTTTATTCCTCGTGCTTGCTCGAGCTTACCTTTCGGTGTTATTGTTGTAGGGCACGAAACGACATCGTCCACTCTCACCTGGCTACTCTGGGAACTCGCCAAGAACATGGACTACCAGCGGAAAATGCGAGATGAGATTACTGCCGTTCGCGCGCGAATGACTGCCCGAGGAGACTCCGACTTCTCCATCGTCGACCTGGACTCGATGACATACGTGCTCGCGGCTATGAAGGTTAGTGCGCCACTTAACACAATCACTCTTCCTCGTGCTTATATATTCCACTCAAGGAGACGCTCCGTTACCACCCGATCGTTTATTCACTTGTGCGCGAGGCAGCCCGCGACGATGTGATTCCACTCTCGATGCCTATCACGTCAGTGGATGGAGAGGTAATTTCTCACATTCCCGTCAGTAAGGGCCAGGAAGTGGCGTTCTCCATCGCGGTGTACAACCGGTAGGTCTCGTTTATGCGGCAAGGCAATTCGATTAGGTTGACAATGTCGCCAGGTTGCCTGAAGTGTGGGGCGCGGACGCAGACAAGTGGAACCCCGACCGCTTCTTGGAGATAGACCAGTCCAAACAGACTACGGTGGGCGTGTGGTCGAACTTGTGCGTCACATCCATTCTATTAGTTGGTTCGTGTATCAAATTGAATTATTGCTTGCAGAATGTCATTCAGTGAGGAGTTTGTACATTGAATCATGATGCGGAAGTAACTGAATTCCACAGGTGCCGGAGTCCGAGGGTGCATCGGGTACGTCACTTCTATCAGAGTGAGCTATCCCCTCGAATTAATCTCGTGTTCGTACGTCTTCAGGTGGCGTTTCTCGTGCGTTCTGAACACACTTTCATTTTGGTCCTAAAACCCTGACTTTTCGATGCTCGCAGGATTTTGGAGATGCAAACCATACTTGTCGAGCTACTCGAGAACTTTAAGTTCTCCATTCCCTCCTACAAGCCAGACATTCAACGCATCCCCTCAGGGCTGATGGCGCCGATGGTCCGCGATAAGATGCACCTTGGGACGCAGATGCCTTTGCGCGTGGTTGTTCTTCATCCTGAGGATGAGTAGACAAATCGCAGAGAAGCATGCACTCTGCGGGCCGCCTTCTCAGGTTGTGTTCCTTTTTCTGTCGTTTCGCACGTCAGTTAATTTGCGCAGGTATATCTCGAGTAATGCCCCTTTCAATTTGTTTTGTTGTTGTACGAATTATGCTTTAGTGTACTATGACAAAAATTATAGGGAGTCGTCGACTGCGATCAGGAATAACACGCTCACCGCATGCACGTGTATGCACAGTTCTATCTTATGGTGAGCTATGTTGGATAAGCCGGACTGCAAAATACATCGATTACGTCGTCCCGCTCCTTGTAAAGGGGACGCCGCGTATGGATCGTCGTGCAACATGCCGAATGAACGCCGATTTCAGAGTCTTGTCTCAAGCATTCATCGCTACCTAGAATTTTTATGGAACTAGCACGAGTCGCTGGCACGCACGAGAATGAATGAGTTCAAGCTCGATAACTAGCCGTCAAGCATTTCATCGGAGAGCACAGTGCCAAGCGTCGATTAGCTAAACGAGCGAGTTTGGGCGCTAAACGTGGATTGCGTAACTTGTGGCTGCTCGTCATGTCCTCCGAATCACCATCGTCCACAGACATACAAATAAACGTCAAGGGTATGTTTCACTTTTCCTCTTCACCTTCTACTCAAGCAATTCCGATCTGCAGGACCCAGTGAGCTCAAACTTCAGATAACGATATCAACAGACAAGACCGTCCTCGAGCTCAAGCAGGCTATCGCGGAGAAGTCTGATGTTCCCGCAGACCGCCAGAGGCTCATCTACTCCGGTATGTCTTCCTTACATATAATTTTTTTTGGACACTGACATTTTACTAGGACGAGTGCTGAAAGTACGTTTGCACACGATCTCTCACTTCACGCCGATTGACGGTGCACAGGACGAAGATGCGTTATCGACATACAAGATCCAATCCGCACACACGATTCACATGGTCAAGGGAGCTGCCCGCTCTGCTGCGTCCTCATCCCAAGCGTCCGCGTCACAACCCCTTCCCAACATGCAGGCTGGCCAGAATCCACACGACCCGCTCACGCAGCTGAATAGTCACATGGGTTATGGACTTATGGCCGGTTTAAACCCGTTCGCCGAGCTGGGCGTTAACCCGAACGACCCTAACATGGTGCAGATAACTTCGACTTGTAATCTGGAGCAGCACTGACAGGTTACCCGAAGATGCAAACCATGATGAACTCGCCGCAGTTCCTCCAACAAATGTCCAGCATCATGTCAAACCCTGCTGTCCTTGACCAGATTATCGCCTCGAATCCGCAGCTCGCTGCAATGGGCCCGCAGGTCCGTGAAGTGTTCCAAAGCGAGCGCTTTCGACAGATGATGTATGTCATCCCAAGCATCTTACCTCGTCGCTAACTCGCCCACCGCAGGTCGAACCCAGAGACGCTCCGCATGATGCTGCAAATGTCCTCCATGATGCGCGACGCAGGGCTCGGCCCAGGGAGCCCCGGAAGCGGCTTCCCCGCCCCCGGCCTACCCTCCACCGCGCGACAGCAGGCGCCCGCACCAGGCGCAGGCGCAGGTGCTGCGGCACCGCCGCCGCAACCTTTCTTCAACCCGTTCTTCCCTCCAGCCGCACCGGCGCCGTCAGGTAGCACGCCAGCAGCGCCCGGAGCGGGCGGAGCTCCGCCAGCTCCGGGCGCGGGCATGTTTGACCCCGCCCTTATGCAGCAGATGCTCGCGGCGATGGGCGGTGACCCATATGGTTATGGTGGATTCGGTGGCCTCGGCGGCATGGGTGTGCCCCCTGCAACCTCCGCAGCTCCTGTGGACGCTAGGCCGCCCGAAGAGCGGTTTCAAGTACAGCTGCAGGTTTGTTTGTTTTTCTCTACGTCAATTGTCCCGTGACAAATGCTAAGCTTGGGTGCGTGTAGCAATTGCAAGATATGGGATTCACGAACGCGTCGCAAAACGTGCGCGCACTGCTCGCTACGGGTGGAAATGTGAACTCCGCGATCGAGTACATTCTCAACGGCGGTGGGTTGTGAGGAGGCCCAGACGGATGTTGGGAAAGAAGTCACCGAAGCAAGGTTGTGTATATGTTTCTTGTTAGACTAATTGAGAGATGTGTCGATTTTCGGACAATCATGCTGCTGTAGTCGAGCGAGATAGCTGACACGTCGATCGCCTGCTTGAGTGTTGAACCATGAGGTGTCTTTTCGGGAGTCCTTTGACCAAGCGCAACGTGGACGAAGAGTCGCGGAAATTTGAGAGGTATGCCTACTAGAAGGTCTAGGCGATCCGTTCCGCAACAATTGCCGCCGAAGATTAATTCACGTCCGATTCTGATTCTGAGTCGATTCTGGATGCAAAATCGTCGTCAGAATCGGTGCTCGGAGAAACTCTGAATCGCCCCAGAATCGCCAACTTTGACTCCCCCTATTTCTTCCAGGATTTCGGTCAAACCTTCACGTCGATCCTCTACCACACTCTGCTAGAGCGAGATTGGCTCTATCTAGTACCAACCAGAACTTCCGGAGCAAAGCGAATGTACCAAAAAACAACGCAACGGCACGGTTCTATTGAAATAGCTGTCAGTGTCTCCCTTATCCTCGTCGTTCATGTCTGACCGTATTCTCGCGTCTTTTTCAGACCGTCGGCAGGAGGACACACTTTACCTCATCTTGAGGAGCGCACTGCTAAGTAGGAGACCTGAAAACTTGTGAAGCGACGTTGTTATAGACACAGAACTACTATCGAAGAGATGTGCAACCCTTCTTAAGACATTTTGGCAGGAACGTCGCAGAGGAGCCGCGAGGAACCAAAGGTACAGTAGTAGTACTAGCTGCGGCATCATAGCAGCGGCGACGAGGTGACGCAGTGACTTTATCTAATGTAACGCGACGCGTCGGAATTTGCAACGTCTCGCTCTAAATATAAATTCTCCAACGTTACTAGATAGATTCTACAACACTCCTTAGAGGTATCGACTGAATACTACGCTCCATCTTAACATTCCATGCATCTCCGTCATTTCGAAAATTCCAGTATATACGTCCACTTCACCTTCCGAGGCGCCTTCGTCACCAAACACTACTGGCCTTCAGTTACTGAACTGGACGATTCGGATGTCTGAATTGGCTGTGTTGTAGCATCTCCGGATTCCTCCTTCTCGGATTTGGGAGGCACAGGTTGTTTCCACTGCAGCTTGCTATCAGGCTTCTCGAAGTCGCGATCGTTGAGTCGTTTGATGAGAAGAGGTTTGGACACCTCATTAAAAGTATCCACGAGATCCTTTGAATAAACGATAGCAAGTCTGGCTAGGACGCTGGCAAACTGGAAGGCTCCCAATGCCGTAGAGATGTCCATAGTACGAGTCTGCCGCTCGAAAATTTCTATGAACTAACGATGGTAAGCCGATCAGCAAGTACATAGCAATTAGACTGAATGCAGCTCACTCCATCATTACTCCAACCAGCCGCGAGTGCTACCCTCGGGCCATTAGTGAGTCCACTGAAAACAGGCTTTTTGGTCAGCCCCAGCACATCAAGAAATGTCACCGCCGACGCGCAAGCCAGCCTGTGCTGATTTTCTCCCTTGCCGATATCTGTATCCTGCTTCTTGTATTCCATCAGAAACACGGGTAGTTCCAGAACTGAGACAGGATTCTTGACTTTCGCATTTTTCCTCTGTCCCGCCGTCAGCACCTTGAGTCGCTTGGACATGACGTCAAGATTCTCGTCGAGATATGCACGTGCCTCTGCATTTTCATACAGGCGGTCGGTATCACAGACGGAGCTCGCGGCAATGGCATAATCGCGAGTCGGTAGCGAGTCAGTATTCGGAGGGTTTGCAGGAGGAGGAAGTTTCTCGGTGGAGTGTGGGATGCCCGGATTCGAAGGTAAAGCCTGGTTTGGGTCATCTACCTCCGGCACTGTTTCTAGGGCCGGAGCGGACGAATATAGTCGTTGCTGCAAGGGAATCGCCGGAGCTGCTCCAGATGAAGTACCATCAGGCATATCAAGGGATTCCTTGGATTCGTGCATGCCCACTATGTATGGGGCTTTTGGCGATCCTGTGGCCACCAACTGCACGGCCGCGAGAGACTCCCGTCTCACTGGAAGATCAATCGAGACCGTCCCGAGAGCGTCGCAAATGGCTCGATAAGGATCTTCTTTGAGACGCTCCAATGCGTATCCATCCCAGTTTCGACGCTCCAGCCAATCGTTCCCATGGGTTTGAAGCTGGAGGTGTGCCTTCCGCTCCAGGTTGCGAGCTTCTCTAAGGAGATCTTCATTGCGTCCAATCCGTTGCCTTAGCATCTTCTCATAAGTTTCGCCAGGGTTGAGCCCACCACCGATGATGTGGAGATATAAGTCTCCCGCAGACCCTTCGTCCATACCAACGGCCTTGGGTAAATATATCATGCGTTCCGTTCTGTGCACTTCAATTAGATAGAGTGTAGGTCAATTGATGATTAGAACTTACGATGGAATAACCCTGTCGTCATCAGGGAGTTGAAGCCTTGGCGCATCACTCGAGCGACCGCTTCGAGAATACAGGCTGATTGTTCCATTTAACGCATTGGTGAAGAAGTCAAAGATAAGGGAATCGAAATCATGACGCCAAACGGACTCCGATGGAGGAATCACTGAACGGGCCTTCCTTTGCGCCCGCTTCGCCACGGCAAGAATCAGAGATAGACTTCCCTCCAGCAGTGGAAGGACCTCTGCGGGTACGTCCTGCGGCACTACGGCACTGAGTTCATGATGTTTCTGCGCTTGTGCAAACAACTCTCGTCGAAATGGTTCAAGGGAGGGATCAACCGAGGGTATATCACTCTGCCCCTCGTCAGCAGGCGATGATGAAAAGAAGATGAGTTGCTCACAAGTGTTTTCCAATGCGACGGCCACGCGTCTCCTGCATGAATCTCATACAACGAAAAGATGACGGAGTTTTTACACAGTGCAGAGAGTATAACGTGTCTATCGAATAGATAGCCATGCAAAAGAAGGCTGTTTCCCACTTTCGCAGCTGCAGCGGCGAATCTAAGAATGTATGAGAGAACATAGCGGGTGCAGATAACATGCCGCTTACGAAGAACATGACATCGGCTTGTAGGCAGACTTCTTTGAGCCCTGACTCTTGCCTTCCTGTCTGTATGCAGGTGAGTATCGAAAATGATGAAGAGTCTGATGCTCACTTGGATTCCTCTTCTTCTGGAATTGCAATCATCCTATATTGCAATCAGACATTGTCAAAAAAATTGATCAGAAACTCACGGCAGGCTCGAAGGCGTAGAATCTGTAGATCTGGAGGAGCCCATTGAAGGAACAGACAACGAGTCCATTGACCCCTTCTTTCTGCAGAACGAGCAAAGGTCACACACAGCAAGGATACAATGACCAATATTCGTACCTTGCCTCTTGTGCAGTCTTCTTAGGATCCGCCGTCGCAGTCTTCTTAGAGTCGGTCATCGTGCTTGTGTATCAAATTTAACCTGAGGGACGATGGACGGGGGCACTGGCAGAATGCACTTACGTTGCAGGGTATTTGTAGGCAAGGCCTTCTGCCCACGCTTCAATCCAGTCACGCTGGCCCTCAGACGAGTCAGCGGAATTAACGTCTTCTTGTGTATCCAGACGCCACATAGAGACGGAACCGTCCCGTATTTCCTCCGCGACCACCGTGACCGTAGCTTCTGAAACGCCACATGTTTTCGCCACTAGTCCTTGCAAGGCCAACGCAGCATGACACAGTGCAAACGCCCCATCAAGCAAGGCCAGATCCAGGGACCCGTCTCGCCCTAAGGAACCAAGATGTACACGAGGCTGCGACGAATCATAAATGAGTAAAGGACAGGGACACAGTCTAGTCATGTATATCCTCACCAATGAGTCTTCTTTGTCGGCATCCTCGTCCAACCATCCGATGTAGAAAGAGATGGAGGTATCATACTTGGAAAACCCGACACCAACGACAGGCTCGGAAATCTTCCACACATGTCGCTGGTAGAGAATCGCCATCATCACGAGGGGTAGATCGTCTTCCTCCGCAACGCACATGAACGGTAGAGGGACCCGTTTGGGCAGCGCTCTGGAAGGCGGATACACGAGGACGTGTGCATTCAACTCCGCCGGTGATGGGGGGTCATACAGCGACTCCGAGTCACTATCGCTTTCCTCAATGAGAACGGGCTTCGCGCAACGGGAGAGAAATGTCGACATAGACATAGGTGAAGCGACCGAAACCGGCCGAGGAGGTTCGGACGGTTCACGGGGTTCATCCTCACCTAACTCCATGTCCGGGTTGTGCGACCCTGCGTCAGAGTCGGCCTCGTCAGTATCAGGATCGTTCGCCATTGCATCAGATCCGTCCGCATTGGAGTTATCGTCGGGAATCTCCGCGAAAACAGACATCAAAAGCGGTACCTGGATGGAATTGGACATGAATCTCGTAGGTACGTTCAGCCCGCCGGCACGATAGCGTGGTAAGGCGACTAAAACGTTTTCACTTCACAAAACACGATGATCAGTTGAAAGGTGGGACAATTCCGAGGGATGCTTACTCTATGGAAAAATCTGCTGTCACGGAGGACATCACGTTGGATATCATGACAATCAGGAATGATTCCTTCGGATTGGCGCTGCCACAGAGACTATCGGATGACATGACATTCCGCAACCTGGCGCAATCACTGAGAAGGGTCCCGAACATGCCCCGTAATTGCTGATCGAAGACCGCGTCCTCGAGTGAGCCAGCATGCGATTTGAACGTGTTTTGCAATTCCTCCAGCAGGGGTTCCGTTCGAGGATCAACGGCAGGATAGGGGCCCTGTGTATGGAGCACTTAGATCACAGAAAACCAGACGATATAGTAGGGATGTATTTACCGTCGTTACCCAAGGTGGAACCCGTCGAGAATCTGTGAGTAGTCCGCCACATAGTTCACGCACGTTGGGCGGCCATTTCTGGCCATCGTCGACGAATTTGTGCCATGCGATGTCTTCTTTCAGGATATGAAGATATTGCTTGAGGGGATCCATCGAGTCCAGAATGAGAAAAACCAGTTATCGCATATTGGTGCTCATGATCAGAAGGGACCTTTTAACGCCATGGCAGCAGCGGGCGCTACGTCGCCGTTCGATCGAGATCTTACGCAGCCACAAAGAACAACAACTCGGAAGCGCTGGCCCCACGCTGGTGCACGTGTAGCTGCGTACTGACATTGTAGAATAAAAAACAATGTATAAAGCCTGAACTTGTGACTTCAACCCTGAAGCATGTAGGAACCAAGTTAGTGATGCCAAAAAAATCTAGTATTGCAACACTATCTCTGCAGATCAGCGTGGTGCTCTACATACTACATAAGAGACTAGTCGCAGCTGAGTGATCAGGCATATCGTTGATCCTGCAGGTGATAGTGCCCCACTATACTGCGACTGGCATCGATGCTTAACGTAAGGAGTCTCATTCGGTACACGACTGTGCCATAATCGATTACCACCTTCAGCATGCAAAATGCTGATGAATCCGAACAGGAAACATCATCCACGAAGAGTCGCTCTGACTCTAGCAGCCTCCCGAAAGAGTCTAGGTTGCGCCGGAACACTTAGCTGCAGGTCGCTAATGCTTCCATTGAGGCACATGCCAGGACGCGTAAGCTAGTGATTCGAAGAATAGTAGTGAGCGGCGCACCTAGTACTAAGACGGAGCTTCGAATGCTTCGTGTCCACATCACTGGGAATACAATGGGTAGAGCCAATACGGAACCAGCGGATCGATCCATGGTTCTGAGTTAATTGGCATTGATCCTTGCGACAATAGCACGATATTCCTACTATCCCAGGAAGAAGTTCGCCACGACAAGTAGAGGAACCCGGTGATATGGCACAAAACGGAGAACCTTGTCCAGAACTATGACATGAGGCAAACATGGGGACGTTAGCTCGGCAGTTAACACGCGTACGTTCCTGAAATTTCGAGTCAACGGCGACAGCTGTCTGGCGATATCACAGCATGCACCTGGAAGCGCTGCAAGACAGAACTTGCGCGCAGATGATAGTACGATACGCCCATGTAGTAAGCACTGCGTTGGCGAAGATTGAAAGAGTGAAACAGCTGGCAAAAGCCCAACGGAAGTCATGGTGCTGAGAGATACACGCGGTCAGAATGAAATGAGATCGAAGGTGGCAGAAGATCGTAAACGGCTTAAGCTTGCATTGCAGGGTACGTACCTATGAGGCGCTTCAGTCCATCGAACGTAAGGAAAAACCCGCAAAGTAACAATGTCATTTCGCAACAGCATATCGTGTAGAAGTACATCATAAGCGATTAAGTAAGAGAAGGAGACAAGGGGTTAATACCGCAGTGTGGAAGAAGCCACGTCACGCCCAGCACGAGACCGAGTGCCGTACGAAGGAAGTATCCGGTACCTAGTCTAACTGACGACGAGTCCGTAGATAAAGGAGAGTGGAGAGTAAAAAAACGAGGTCGTAGAAGTAGAAACGGGTGGGAGGACGGGGAAAGGGATAAGGATAAGAAGAAGTCATAGAACAACTTGAAGAGAGGAAGAAACGAGTCGGCTTCGGGATCTGAAGTTCGGGATCTGAAGAGCGGATGGCATTTAAGCATTGAGGGAGGGGGAGAGGTTAGCCTTGAGACCGTGCTCCAACATGCGCTTGAGGAGGAAGTTGATGGAGGTAAGGTAGGTGCAGTCGGACTCTTCAGTAACTCCAGCGCCGCCAGTGAGCAAGCCGGCAAACCTGCCCTTGCCATCGACGACAGCCGAGCCAGAGTCGCAAGGCCTGGAGAAGGCACCAGACTTGTAGTTGCGAGGCAAGACGGCGACCTCCTTCGACATCTGACCGGGCTGGCCCTTGAAGTAGACCCTGGTGAACGAACGGATGGCGTTGAGGCGTCCGACGGTGAGGTCGGAGGCGTAGCCGCGCTTGATGACCATAATGCACGGGTCGTTGTCGTGGTCGAGGGTCTTCGGGCTAGACTTCCACATCTCCTCGTCCGAGATGGTGCCGTACGACTCGAGGAGACGGCTTCCCGGATACTCGAACGAAGGCGGGTTGGCGGAGTGGGGAATCATCCAGGCCGTGAACTTGTCGACGGGGATGGTGGTGCCGAGGTCGATGACGTTTCCGACGAAGTTGGTCAAGTCGACTTTGGAATCGTCGATCTCAATCACCGCCCAGTCCTCCGTGAACCCTTCCTCCCCGACGTCGAGACCGATGGGGGGAGACAGAACGATGTAGCCGAGGACACGGTTCTCCCGCTTCTTCCAGTCTCTGGAGTCGTCCGCGAGGAACTTCTCGAGGGCTCCGATCGCCTTCCTCGCCTCCTCCAACTGGGGCAGGACTTGATTCCGCTCCGCCTCAGCGTCCTCCTCATCCAGCTGCTCAGCAATCTCCAACCGCCTCTCGAGCTGCTTGATGATGATATGCTTGCTGCCGATCTCGGACTCGATGGCCGTGATATGCTTCTCGATAGCGGCGTCGCCAAACAGCAAGACGTTCCTGCGGCGCTGGCTGGAGTCGCGGTGCTGGTAGAGCTCGTTGGAACCCTTATCAGTGTGGAAGACGACGTGTCTGGCCGTGACGAGGTAGATCTTGCCGGGTTTGCGAGGGTCCGAGATGAAGAATCCGCCAGTTCCCTCGATGGATGGGGTAACTTCGGCGCAAATGGGGAGACCGAGGGCAGTGGAGAAAGGCTCTCGGGCCCGGGCGGTGGCGTTGGAGGTGGGGACTAATCGCTCAACTCTTTCGTCAAGTGAGTTCCGTTTCTCCTTTGCTGCTTCCCCTATCTCAATTTCTCCTTTCGTGTTCTCTTTCCCCAGTGTCTAGCACCACCACTTTGTCACCACTCGTGTTGCTATGGCCACCACTAACGACCCCAACTCTCTTCCCACTATTCGCGCCAGCTTGTCCGGCTACACTGTCCCTGCTGCAGTTCCAACTGCTCCATACCCTCCTTTGCCTGTCGAGGCCAAGTGCTTCTACTATGGCATACCCTCTCAGCCCCCTTTGGTCGCTCGCTCCAGCGCCAATGTCTGGGTCAAGCCGATGGGCCCTGAAGCATACTTTATTTGTAAGGAGTCTAGTCCTATTGGTTTGCACCCTCTCTGAGAGATCTGGGAGGCCACGGTCAGTCCCACCATGGTTGACTATTTGGACTCCAAGGGGGTGAAGTGTATGAGTCTGGACCCAGTTCGCATTGTACATCTTGGGACCGGCGGAGCAGATAACCTCCGACTTGCAAATTTCGATGTGGACATCATCAATATCGTGAGCGGAAAGGATACTCTTGCAGTGAGTCGTGACCTCGATGCCATCCTCGGCAGAGAGGGAGCCAGGGACAACTCCTATCCATATGATAACGGGAGGGGAAGACTCGCCAGCATACCCCATGCGAACTGGGTCCAGACTCGTACATTTCACCCCCTTGGAGTCCAAATAGTCAACCATGGTGGGACTGACTGTGGCCTCCCAGATCTCTCAGAGAGGGTGCAAACCGATAGGACTAGACTCCTTGGGATCAAAGTATGCTTCGGGGCCCGTCGGCTTGACCCAGATGTTGGCGCTGGAGCGAGCGACCAAAGGGGGCTGAGAGGGTATGTCGTAGTAGAAGTACTTGGCCTCGACAGGCGAAGGAGGGTATGGAGCAGTCGGAACTGCGGACAAGCTGGCGCGAATAGTGGGAAAAGAGTTGGGGTCGTTAGTGGTGGCCATAGCAACACGAGTGGTGACAAAGTGGTGGTGCTAGACACTGGGGAAAGAGAACACAAAAGGAGAAATTGAGATAGGGGAAGCAGCAAAGGAGAAACGGAACTCACTTGATGAAAGAGTGGAGCGGTTTGATAACAGCACTGAGAACTCGGTAAACACAGCGCAGAGAGTCGACATAGGAAGCTGTACCCGCACCTTGTATGGTTATGCGCGAGCTACTCGCCCTTCCTTGCCCCATTGTGGGGATAACCGCCAGTGAATATACGGAGACAGAACTGTCCCCCTCATAATGCGACTGAACCGTCGCCTGGATATCTGGGAGACGTCTCCTGCCTTCCTCATTCGGCGATAATGTTTGTGGAACATGTGCACCAAATTCTCTAGTCCCGTCTCCCCTTACAGTGTGTTGCATAAAAATGTGCAGGTCGTGACTCCCAGAGATTTGTTTGGTCCGCACAAATATAACCTAATGTAGTAAAGAGAAACTTTCCTTTGTGACCACGTCACGCTGGCTCTCATGGCCGCACCTCGTCTCTCCCAACAGCTGAAGGAGCGCATTGCTTTTTGGCGCGAGGTCGAGCATCATGAAATCCAGGACATCGTCGAACTAGCTGGTTGCAAAGAGCGTGCAATTTACAATGTCCTGCGTACATATCATGAATTTGGTACTGTGCAGAATCCGATGGTTTGTGCGAGAGGTCGACCTCGTCTTCTGAAAACTGGTGATATGAACTATTTGTCCTCACTGCTACATGCCAATCCTATGCTCTACCTCGATGAAATCCAGGAGCAGCTCATATATACCCGTCACAGAGATGTCTCCCTTTCCACTATCTGTCGTGCACTCCAGCACCTGGCACTGACCCATAAAACTGTCTCGAGAGCATCTGCAGAGAGGAATGAGGAGCTGCAGGCAATTTGGCGAGCAGAATATGGGGACATCCCCATGGAATATTTTGTCTGGCTTGATGAATCGAGTGCGGATGATCTCACCAATCAGCGGAAGGAAGGATGGAGTACGCTTGGACGAGCATTATCAGGAAAACCCCACTTTTCCTTAAAAGGACACTTAAATAACTTAAATGGACTTATGGTCCTTATTTAAGGACATAAGGACAAAAGGGGCCTAAGGCATATTCCCTGAGTGTCTGGAATTTGACTTATTTGAACACTTATGGCCTTAAATAAGGATTCCCAGACCTCAAAGTCTAAATAAGTCCACAAGAAAAAGTTGGGTTTTCCTGATGATGTGTGTGACGGGCTACATTTCTGCATGGGCAGCGGTACTCAATCCTTCCGGCGCTCTCAGTGGATGGCATAGTCACATGTGACATCTTTGAAGGCTCAGTCAACAAGGATAGGTTTATCACATTTGTCGAGCATGAGCTTGTAAGTTGCATGTTGTGTTCCACATGATATATTTGTGATTGACCTATGGCAGGCTCCTAAGCTTACACCTTATCCTGGTCCCCGCAGTGTTGTTGTGATGGACAACTGTGCCATACATCATGATGAAGAAATTCGACACATTGTGGTGGATGAGTGTGGTAGTGCAGAGCAGGGGTATACCCCTGGGTACTTTGAGGCATACCCCTACCCTTACCCTCCAAGGGTACATACCCTTCACCAGGGGTAAGGGTATGGGTAAGGGTACCAAACCCTGAGGGTATACCCCTCAATATGTGCCTTACTTGAGGAAATAGCATCATAGACATTAAGTTCAAGGCTTGTAATAACCTTCTTTTCTCTTTGAAGCTTCTGTAGACATAGTTTAAGGCTATATCTAGGGTGTACTTAGGCTTTAATCACCATACAATTACTGCTTACATTATATATACTATATGTAGTGATACCCTCCAGGGGTACAAGGGTCTGAAAGCTCATACCCCTACCCTTACCCTCCAATACCCTTACCCCTTACCCTTGAGGGTTATGCATACCTCTGCTCTGCACTAGAGTGCGGTATGTTGGTGTGGCATGCCCGAATATTTTACATTGACTTTGAGTAACAGATGCACGTTTGATCTACTTGCCACCGTATTCTCCAGATTTCAACCCAATGGAACAAACCTTTCACTCCATAAAAGCATGGTTGCGACGTCACAAAGCTGTAGCTGTGTCGCCCGAGACTCGTCCTTGGCTCATTCATCAGGCTATGTTGGCAGTCTCTCTGGAGGATGCAGTAGCATGGATTATAAATTGTGGTTATTCATAGGCTAGCTAAAGGTGTATGGATATGAAAGGATATTAAATGGCTATACAGCTTTGCAAGAGACACATGTTACGCAAAAGTGAGATTTGTGAAAGAATCTGTCAGTAAGCATTACCAATTGGGTACCATCATGACACTGTTCAAATGGTACTCTTCCTCTTCTCCTCCAGATGAGCATTCTATTCTTTGCAGAACACCTGCAGCTTCACGACATGCCCCTCGACAGCGCCAGTAAGCTCGGAGATATGGAAAGTGGGTATCTCCGGTATAATGTCCGGCGTAAGCTCGAGTCGTGACAGAAGACCTTCCTGTTCCAACATATCAATATTTTTCATAGCCGCAAAGGCTGCGAGACAGGTATGAAGTTCCTGTCCAACGGCAGGAGCTGGAGAAAGTGAATGGTGACCTGCAGCTTGAGAAGGAGCCATCTGCTCAGCAGTTACAGTGGATGATGACGGCAAACCACCTTGGCAATTGGCCAGCATGGTGATGAGCGAAAGCATTGCCGTCATAAGCAACATTAACAGGTCAATTGACATGGATGCAGTATGAGGACCCGTGTGGCCACGAGGCTTGATAGCGAGAAGACGGTCATCACGCACCCCATCAAACTCAATTGTGTTCAGCGGCTCATGCTTGGTGGAATCATGTGCACGCTATGTGGTTAATATGAGCAATGTGCATCACCAATCAGAACGGCACCACTCACTATGGCACTGGCCCAAATCTTGAGCTTGCGCATATTGAGTCCAATATGCTCACCAGAAGGCGCAATGTAACAGTACCCAGGTTCATCGTGTTCACCAAGATGCTGCTGACATGGCCATCTTTGCTTGAGTTGGAGGATGATGCCGCCATCAAGTTGCGACTCCTCGCTGAAGCCCTCGGCTCTGGGAACCTGAGATGCAACATTAGTCAAAGACCAAAGAATATGATGGCTGGTGCTTACCTTAGTTCCATAGAGAAGCTCGTCGTCATTTACTGCATCCTGCATGGCTACTGCAGCCTATAGAAGTAATATGAGCAGAGTTCATCGCATGGAGCAACAAGGTGACTTACACGCTTGCGGGTGCAGAAACCCTCCATGCTGTCAAGGTCAAGCTCCACACTGACAGTACAGCTCTTCTTGTTCTTGTGCAGCAGTGTCTCGAGCGTAATCGAAAAATCGCGATCATTCTCAGTTGATGCAGCACTGGTCTTGCCGCCCCTAAGTCTTGTTAAGCAAATCACGTGCAGGAGAGGATGATGTGGCTTACCTTGAACCCGTGAACCACAGCTTGAAGATTGGGCCTGAATGAACACTGGGAGAGTATTGATCTGCAAGGTCATGAACACCAAGAATCTTCGTGATGAACATCGTGCGAGATATGCCCTCAAGGATAATGTAATCAAACTTCAAGGTCTTGATCTTTTCAGTGATGGCTTAGCACCACGGCCAAGTGGTTTAACGGGCACGGAGTAGTTGACTGCAACTGACACAAGGTGGCCAGCATGATCAAGTGCTATCCAATAGAGAAATTAGCAAGTACATGAGGCGAATTAGGAAAGCGCATGACTTATGAGTGACATTGGCTTCCTGCGGCTGCACGGCAGGTGCAGCTGCACCAGGATTGCCAACTTGGAATTGCTCCGCATGTGGAGGCTCGCCACCTTCCTGTACTGATGCAAGAGGATGCTCAACCTGTGCTAAAGCAGCATGTAGTGGTGCGATGGGCATGTCAGCATGCACCGGGACTGGAGGAGCTATGGTGACAAGTTGTACAGGGGCAGGAGCAATGACCGCCATGGCTTCGGCCTGCGTGAGCACCCCAGCAGAAGGAGCCACTGCAGCTTGCAGAGGATATCTCTATTCAAGTGTCACAGATAATGTTAGACTGCATTCCATCATACAGAGAAAACTATATACATATCCTGTAGCACTGTTACTGAACTGTGCAGGTTGAAAATTGCCAAATGCACCTGTAAGTGCAGCCCGGTGTGTCACCTCAATTTCCATGTGATTGTAGTAGAATCGTGGTGGGTTCACACTGCCATCTGGTTGCATAAATGGTCAGCAAAAACCTCGCAAACTGAGCCATATTACTTGTACCGATCCAAGCTGGATCCTTCACCCACCCAGCTGAAGGTGGAGGAGGACGAACAGAACTGTTCTCCTTGTTGGAGGATGGGTCCACGTGCACAAAGTGAAACATCTGTGGAGAAGACAAGTGTTCATTGAGCTAAGAAGATGAGGAAGGAATGTCAGACATTGCGAGAAAGAACTGCACTGGAGGAAACCTACTGTGTCCCACAGCTTATATGTGGTTTCTCGGAGACCCCCAATCTCAAGATGCATGCTCTAGACCATGTAGTGAGCATTACCATCAATGAGCTGGGTATGAATTTGAGGAGTAACGAAGAGTCCGAGCAGAGAGAAGCTGGCGGCATCAGCGTAATTGAGAGTAGCTGCTTTGCAAAAGAGGCCGACTCACCAATGTCACAATTAGGATTCGTCATGGCAAATTTCCTTGACTACCGAGGCGGTGATGAGAGTGCTGCTTCCACAGTGCCACGAGTGTGGAGGCGGGTCAAACCATATGCAAAGCATAGAGGAAGACTCGCGAGGAGACCTACAAAATTAAGATCAGCCCAGCATAGAAATGAGGCAGTGTGTACCTCCCATACACTGAAGATGAGCCCTCTGTAGCCCCTTGGTTGACAGAAAGAAACCACATACATTCTACTGCACACTGCATTGGTAGCTGTGGTTGACTTAGCAAGCCTTCAAGCGTGACACGCAGACAGTGACTCTCAGTCACCTCACTGCCACGTCCTTGTGTCCGCTCCTGCACAGTGGAGTGGGACTCATTCCTAGAGTGTTAGTTTTTGTTGCCTTGGGGCCATTAGTACTTCACGCTTTTTGCGCTTCGTCATCGGTAGCTATTCTGTCCGATTTTTGGGTGCATTTTTTGTACTGTAGGATCTCACCTTCTTGCTGACATTTATATCCAGCATTCACAAGACGCATAGCTGAGTATTTCTCAGGGAAAAACCCTGAAAAAATTCATAAAGTAAAGCACAAGAAAAGTTTTTGAAGAAACCATAATAAAGTTTTGTGGGAAATACTGTGATTGTCCAATCAGCAGCTTAGAATCACAGTTTTTTTTGGAAATTATTCTTTATTCCTTTTTCATAGTTTTTCTGTGGGCTTTACTTTAACCCTTTTTCGCAAAAAAATACTGGGCTATACTTCTTGTGATTGTTAACTATAGCTTTTAATCTCACATTGTGTTCGGACTTCTCGTACATGAGCACTGTATCAATTGCCTTTGCACATTTGTTGCTTTCCTTTGCTCTGTGCCTCAATCACATTGCATATCTTTCATTGAATTCTCAGTCTCTTTATTATTCATATTGCTCCCTGCATTATCCTATTCCTTGTAGATTAGAGTTATTATCCAACATCCTACATTGCACTAATGCCAGCAGACCGAAGAAGTTTGTATCCATCTTTGATACTCTCAGTAAACCTGCTGAGTCTTCTTTTGCATCCAGGTACTCTTCACTGCCGGAAAGGTTATTAGAACAAAAATGGCAATGCCCCTAGCCTAAGAGGGCACACGTGTCTGTATAGAAAATGCAAGGTCAGTTTGTGTTTGCATTGCAACGGTCTCTTAATAAGGATGTCTGCACAGTCTTCCACTGTTGTGATACCCACCACCACTACGAGCCCATTGCGACCATTGGAGAACTCGCACATTTCTCTTCCCGAGTCTCAGGATCTATCTTCAATTATTCTGACATCACATTTTTCTCAATCTCCTGTACCAATTGAGCCTGATCTGAGCATCATACTTCTGGATACTGTGTCAGCCACACTCAACGAGATTTCTGCATCTGCTCTCAATCCGGTGGCCATACTTGACTCTGACATGACACCGATGTTTGTTACACCTCCCTCGCATGACTTCAGAGTTATGCCTGCATCTACCAGATCAGCGTTGCTCCATTTGGATGCATCATCTGTTACACTGGAGTGTACCACTAAGTCTGAGTGTCAGATTGTCGAGCATGCACAAAGTTAAAGACTAAGTGCAGCGAGTCGTGAAGAGTCTTCACACTGAGGCTAAGTGAAAAGCCCATGTATTGAAGTAAAAGTAACCAGATCAAGACCGGTGTTCCAGTCGATGATGTGCCAGTAATACTAAGTAAATGAGTACCCTTGTGGTGAGGGATGAGTCAGTATACATCTAGGCTATGACATCATAGTCTAGTAATGTCCGAATTGAGTTGAGAAGTGTCTGGACTGGAAGTCTCGGAGTAGTACACATAAAAGTACAATGTAATCAAAGGGAAAAAAATGTAGGTACGACAGCATACCGTTGTAACACCATCTGCAGTGGCAGTGCCAGAGGCAGCTGAATTAGGTGTCACACCTCCGCTTACTCCACCAATCATAGTGAACATGGGCACAGAGCTCATGTTTGCTGTTTTACTGCAGTGCGATTCGGTGACCATGAGTATAACCACCTTGAATAGCGTGAATGGTGTGCAAGGCCTGGTAAATGTACAAGCACCTGTCAGTAAGCCCAATGACTTCATGGACTTCATGAATGTTGATGAGCACATATTTGATTTTTGGTCAGTTTCATCTGCAAGTGCATTCATACCATTTGAGTATTGTGACGGTAGACCGTCCAACCTGGGTGGTCAACCAAGTTGGTTATGCACCACATCTCTCGCTGCTCCTGGTAATGTGATGTATTTTATCCTGAATATCAACTTATTTACAAGCACTTCCATAGATTCGTACAACACAGATACCAAGTTGCAATCTCAGACTCAACCTCTGCAGACACAGATTCACGAGACATTATGCACACCACACATTAGCATGACCAATCATCTTTCTGTTTTGAAATTGACCGATGAGAGTATCGCGGAGCTCATCATAGCTGTGGATGCTAACCAAGCTGTGCTAGATGCTCTCCTTAGTTTGGTAATGCAATCAACACAGAGTGAGAGCCAGTTGGCTGCCAGTGGTGCTCATGCTATTGACCCTTCTGATATGGTAATGACAGAGTGAGAGACCCTTGTTGAGCCATCTGTAAGTGTGCTTATGATTCTGCTGCGCTCAAATCCACTGATTATATTGGTTATTGTAGCTCAATGTTACAACTCAAGATACAACTCAGATTCTCTGCAAGACACTTAGGGGATCACTTCACTGAGTAATAGGTAAACACCTTGTCATAGCTCACAGCTCTAGTGCTAACTAGTGCAGAGCAAGGGTGTACCCTCAGGTGTCCCAAGGTGTACCCATACCCGTACCCGTGCGGGTATCATACCCTTGCCCATGGGTATGGGTATCCTGCGGGTTTTACGGGTTTCCACGGGTTTATGTACCCTGAGGGTAGATCTGTGGACCTTTGGTGCATTCAACATAGTATAGAGCTATCTAATCCCAAAGAATGTTATCCCACCCATCCTCAAGGCCATCATTATCCTCTTGAGCCTCAGGGAGAGAGACAACAGCCAAGACATCAGGGAGAGAGACAACAGCCAAGACATCAGGGAGAGAGACAACAGCCAAGACATCAGGGAGAGAGACAACAGCCAAGACATCAGGGAGAGAGACAACAGCCAAGACATCAGGGAGAGAGACAACAGCCAAGACATCAGGGAGAGAGACAACAGCCAAGACATCAGGGAGAGAGACAACAGCCAAGACATCAGGGAGAGAGACAACAGCCAAGACATCAGGGAGAGAGACAACAGCCAAGACATCAGGGAGAGAGACAACAGCCAAGACATCAGGGAGAGAGACAACAGCCAAGACATCAGGGAGAGAGACAACAGCCAAGACATCAGGGAGAGAGACAACAGCCAAGACATCAGGGAGAGAGACAACAGCCAAGACATCAGTATCATGTACAAACCCCAGTCGGCTCCACTCCGCAAGACACAGAAGAGCACGGATAGACTCTGCGGAGAGACCATTTTGCAGATGTGGTAACAATATGCGCCCCTTGCTGAAGATGCGCTCAACGTCAACAGATGTGGCTGCAGATAAGTGCATCAGTGGGTTGTAATGCAATCGGAGATCAGGAGACACCTACCGGGAATGGTAAGATAACTCATGGCCATCCGCGATAGATGAGGGAACTCCTTGTGCCGCGCGTACCACCAGCCAAGTGCGTCACCGTCGACACACTCCGTGTCAGCATCGAGATAGCATTTGAGCTCATCACGATTGTCTTCGCCCTTGGAGACATTCGTGTTCAGGAGGTTGTCGAACATGTTGCTAGATGGCTGAGGGGATGGCGACAGAATGTGTTGTGTGTGCATTCGAAATCAGCAACAATTACAAACAATGGGGATGGACTTACTGTGTGTTCCGATTGCTTCATCTGAGTAGGCTTGACATTCACCGCACATTGCGCATAAGCACGGTCATACTCTTCGCGGACCAGTGCCCTCGCTGTCGTGATCCATTCCGCCTGCCAACTGGCATTCCGGAAGTACTGCAGTTTGTGGGAGGGGTGTAGCACTGTCGTTGTATTGTAGTTAGTGTATAATGTTGAAAGCTACCAATTGGAAACTCACCCATTGCGATGTGGTACACGTTGGAAAGATCAGTCTTGTTGTAGTAGCGATTCAGCATCTTCTTCACCATCCCGAGGGCAGCACGGATACAGGGCTCATAGTCGGAGTCGAGAGAGTCATTCATCAGCTTCTCGTCGATGATATCCATGGCCGGAATGATCATGGGTAAGCTAGGTGTGTCGTGCAAGAAGTACAAGGTTGCGTCGTTGAAGAGCTGGTGGCGGGCGTGAGGAGGAGGCGTGGTGATAGTCACATGTGACTCACCTTAAGGACATCACACAGCTGTTTCGCTATCTCCCATTCATCGTCGTCCATCTCATATCTTCACAGCTCCATCGCTCTGTCTCCTGTCATCTCATCGACTGCCAGCCAGTACTTCAGTGCAAATTCCAACATCCGGAAGGTCGAGTTCCATTGCGTGACAACATCCCAAGGCATCTTTCTCTCTGCCAGCTCCAAGTCTGCCAGCACCTTCAACCAAGCCGGCAAGAGCTTCGTTGATGAGTGTATGATCGCAGACGCGATCTTACGCAACTGTGCAAAGGCAGTCAAGCCAAGGTGAGTGCACAACATATCTGATATGGAATTCACCATAACAAGAACGAGCTTAACAGGCTGCACGCTTGCATCAAGCACTGCGCGATCCTCCATGGACATCCCCTCGCGTTCATCCTGGAGGCCCTCAATATCATCCAGTGGCTCCCTCTCCTCACCTCCTTCTCCCACTCCGAGTTCCAAATCCTTTGCCAGCTCGTGAAGAGCATTTTCAGCGTCATCGAGTGCCGCATCAGCTTCATTCTGTGGGACGTCGAACTGGTGCAGCAGGCCTTTGGCCATGAGATTAATGATGTGGTCGAAACATCGCGCACGGTTTGCCTGGCCTTGGAACGACTCGATCAACTCGGTGAGCTCGTCGATTATGATATCATTTGGCGACGCATTGTCCGCGGTGATGCCGAGCATCTAACCCTCTGGTGAGTAATTCCTCGCAATTTGAGTGCCTCGGTGAATATTGACATACCTTTATAGCAATTTTGAAATCATCCACCATCTTCGCAAATGCAGTGGCAAGGTTGATGCCACTATGGGAGTCTGCGACTTTGACAACATCAAGGACCATTCGGAGTGGCACACCCTTATGCTGCAAGTGGACCGTGAACATGACGATTGCCTTATGGTTCAGTGAGGTCCAAGCATCGGTGGCGAAGCTCAACTCGCCATCGTACTCCTGCAGGTGAGTGTCAGACTTACCCCTTCTTGCATACTGATCACTGACCTGCAGCATCTTCGCGATGCGTGCCCGACAGCACGCGAATACTTTGTGCACATCTCGTGCTACCGTCCAGCGCAAGGGGATCCAATATTCTGGCCGACCCGTTTTCATCAAAGACTGGTATGCACGATCCTCAACGATCGTGAATGGGCGAAGGCTTTCCGAGACCCAGTGCACAATCTCCGCCCTGGCATACTGCATTCAGCCACTAACAGACCCGACTGGCATTCACTGGAACTCACCGGGTCTCGGTGCATGTGTGCTGGCATGCAGAGTAAGTTATCTTCCCTTTCCCTTTGCGCTCGAATGCCGCGGTGATATCTTCTGACCATCTGAACTTCTCAACAGATGGGTGCGCATCGGCTGCCGTGTTCATCTCATCAGCCGCTGCCAAAGCCTCCTCACCCCAGCACTTCCGGATATGTCTATGCATGTTCCCCATCGACGTTCGATCTCCTTTATCAAGCCATCGCTTCACCTTCATCTTGCAGCCGCGGTTTGCGCAACAAAAAACATGTCCACGTACGCCCACCTTATCTGTCTCAATAGTGACTTCAGGCTTATAGAAAGCATAGGCTGTCGCTGTCCAGTCTTTCTGCATCTCGCCTGTTTGCGTGCTTGGTAAGTCATCTTCAGTCATGATATTATCATAAGTTACTCACTCAGCTCTTCCTCAGGTGTCACCAATTCCTTCTTCTTTGCCCGGACCTTCTCCGTGGCCTCATTATCAGACTCGAAGATCTCAACAACATCATTGTCATCGTCTGCATCCTCAATATGCGCACGTCGGTTGCATTTCGGTGGTTCAACATCATCATCATCATCTGCGTCCTCAACACACGCGCGATGATCGCGTTTTGGTGGTTCGACATCCTTGGGGCGCAATCTCCGGTCGGGCGCAGATGGAGCTGCACCGGGATCCTGGCTGTTGATGCACTGCTTCTTCCTTTATGTGTTCTTTGATTGACTTCCACGATGTTTCGGCATGATGGTGATGGTACCATTGCTCGGGTTTCTTTCGCCTTTATGTAGTCAATCTATATGCAGTATGTAGCTTATAAAATAAGGTTTTAGGCCATGTGCACTTGTGCGGCAGATCAGGCAAAGTCTAAGGCTAATTAGTGCCTACGGGTATGTGGCGGGTATTAAGAGTCAGCAGACTGTGACCCCTACCTGTACCCGTGGATACCCTTACCCATGACCCTCACGGGTTGTCATAACCCTTGCTCTGCACTAGTGCTAACAAGTTCTGAAAGCAGCTCATCTGAACCTGATGCAGATAAGAGTGGTGATAAAGGTGATACTGACATGCAGATCAGTGACGATACTGTTCCGATGATGAAAGTACGGCCACGAAGTGAGTGTAAGTGCAGCACTTGTCATGTTTGCTATTAACTGACTAAAATATTTACTGTAGAAAGGGACAATGTTGACCCGTTGGATACCCTTACCTTTATTACAGACTCTTAGAAGCATTGGAAGACACATAGCAAGCAGACAAAGTCTATATTGAAATGCGTGAGTGTGATTGCATTCAATAGTGACTTTCATTCATATTTTATGTTATTTTGCTAGATCAAAACACTCAATACTTTAACATGCCCTCACATAATGCTCTACATCTCATGGTAAGCATACCTTCCTTTCTTAAGACCTTGCTTACTGGTGTTCCAGACCTGAGTCAGTGCTATCGAAAAATGGTGGTGCCCTAACATTTATCTCATCAAACCTCAAGAACATGATAGGTGATTGCTTCCTTGAGCAGCTATATGATAAGGTAATGGATCATATGCATGAGCAAACTTACAACTCCCATGCTATACTCGAGACAAATTTGGAGGTACAATGTACAAAAAAAGTCAAGGAGCATGCTGAGCAGGAATTCGAGAGAGAACATGCAGAGTGGGAGCAAGAACACGCAGAACACATAGCTCTCAAATGTTGATATGATAATTTGTGCCAAGGAACAAGTCAGGGCTAGGTTTTGGTGTTAGGTTACATACATATATATGTAGGGTCAACTTATTAATACATTTACATATTATTCATGCGTCGTGAAGCTATCCAGTTCCATATGTCAAGGAATGCCTTTGTGTATACAGTGGCATGTTCATAACTCATGAAACTCATCATCTTTCAGGTTCATTATATTCTCTTATTTTCGCACTCTGCTGTGCTTGTATTCACAGCTCTTATCCATTTATCAAACCTCATCGCATTACTTGCAAAACAGGCCTGTCCACAGTGAGTATGGTTATATGCATGCATCTCATCAATGAGAAACTGTGTGTTAGAGAAGTACTGTACTTCACGAACAAGGCAGTATAGTGCGAGTTGGCATGCGAAGTTGTATACAATGATGTCTGTGGCACAGGAAAATGTGTGCATATAGCAGAAAAGACATTGTTCCGTCCTTCAGCAATAGATATTGAGTGGAATCCAAGGCAGATAGAATGTGTACCCCATAGTACAAGAATGCCACCGGTCAAGTTGTTCCATGAGTATGTTTTATAAAATTTGTTGCAGTCGCCCATTTCTTCGGCATTCAAGTCCAGTGGCTGAGCATTATAACACAATTTTGGATAAGTACACTTAGTTTGCACTGCAGGCAGACCATAGCATGTCCCAGTTTCATTCCAAGGCTTCTAAGGCAAAGTTTCAGAGATGGGAGCTGGATCATGTTGTGTAAGTTGTGTATAAACATCTTGTGCTCAGGTGACAATCTAAGCCTGCTGAATCTCTCTCAGTATTATTGTTCCATCTGCAAGATGTGCATTCAGCACTATCCCGAAGGCTGGACACACAGCTTGAAGCCATGCAGGTGTATGGCCTGACATTGCCAATGTGTACAATGGTTCTATTGCATTGTAAGGAACGAGCTGCAGCACTATGTCTGGAGCTGCAACCTGTTAACTACTGTCAGAATATGCTTAATCATTCACTTAGATATCATACTTGCCTGACATAATTGCTCTTGATAAGCCTTCTGACACTGCAATGGCACCATTATCCTTACTGAAAGCCATATAAGCTCAGAGACCTCTCGATAACTCTGTGTAACCTTTGACAAGTCTGGCAGGTCAGGGGGAACATGAGTTGCAGTAATATCCAGAAATTTGTTCACAATGCTGCACATGTCTTTCTGAATGATTGCAGGCAAAGCGCGAACCTTCTATAAGGAAATGGACTTGATCTGCTCACTTGATGTTGAAGGTGTGCAGATTAGCAATCCAGCACCTACGGAAAGGTCCAGAAAAGGTCCGTAGGATTAGGATTGGTAAGGACAATGTCTCGAGAATGGTCTGATAGTTTCTAGTCTTTTATTTTACAGTATATAAGGAGCTGAACAGGCTCCTAGGTATCTAACAAACTTTTATCCTCTTCTACTCATATGTAACGTGCCGCTGTTGTATTGCAGGGCACAAGTACTAAGCGGTACTTGTGCCCTAATCTTATCTAATCTCATTGTATATTATGTAATTGTTATGTACTGTTTGTACGCACTCTGCGTGTATCGAGCGCGCGTTGGTGTGTTGAAGTCAGAGACTTAACACACCACGATCTTGATACACGCACGACGCTCCAGAATAGAGCTTGGTGCACTGTATCTGAGGTTCGGTGTGATAAGGCCTCGCCCCTCATTACACTTTTTACAGTCCATTTCGCCCTGCGAAAAATTCTATTCGACAGCGAAGACCCCCATCAAGAAATCAAGAACCTTAACTTGCTACCCAATGGCAAGTCAAGGCCCCAAAAACACACGGATAACATGCTCCCAGTCAAGACAGGCAGAGCACGTGGCTCTGGCAGATGTGGCCGAGAGCGTACCCAATGATGGCGTGCACGTGGACACTGGCACACCAGCCCCAGAAATAATGGACTGTGGGCAAGAACTGGCATCACCAGCCTCACGATCCCCTACACTGTCATACGTCGAACCCTCACGCTCAACACGAGGAGGCTGAACGGACGAGCAGCGGTGGGAATCCACCTCTGGCTGTAACGTCAGAATGCCAGTGAGATTTACTGGATCTCATCAGGCCAGCGAAGAAATAGAAACAACGAGAATGGGAAGGACACCATGACATCCTTCACATTACTCGCAGAGATTTCTGTCCCCGGCCCTGCCAGTGCAACCGACATCTTCCTTAGCGGACGAAATATGTCGCGCTGAGGATAGAGCCCCAGGAAGCACTGCAAGCACAAGTTCGTTTGAACGCGTGCGCAGAGAGAGAGCCCGAGAGGCACTCCAGTGGGCTCGAGAAGAAGCGAACTGCGAACTCGATGAACTACAAGAAAAAACAAGAACACAAGATGCAGGCCATTCGTGAGGCACACGAACGGACCCGCCACGTGCAGAACGAGCGGTTTGAAAGAATAATGGACGAACTCGAAAATTCCTCAGGAGACGAAGTTGACCCAATGGACCAACCTGTCCCCTCAGGAATGAGGAACTCCATCGAGGAGATAGCAGTAGAGCGAGGATTATACCCCTCAGAGGTCGAGGACCCGATGGCAGGTGCTCCTGATATAATTATCGAGAGCGTGTATCATCAGTTGGCCCGACCGCAGCAAGAGGGAGAGCCGGATGAGGAATACAATTGAAGGGTGTTAATATACACCAGATACTTGGACCAGATGGCCTCAGAGTCCGAAAGGGCATTGAGGGCATTTGGAGTACAACTGCCAGTATCATCGACACCTCGCACGACGTGGGGATTACTCCAATCTGGAACAGCTCCAGTAGCAGCTCCTGAAGGTGACCCTGGAAGTGATGATTCAAACGACTCCAGTTCATACCCCAGAGATGATGGGAACGACTTCAACCATTTCAGAAGAAATGGTCGAAGGCTCGCAACACCACCCCAGGGACACCGACCTGGAGGACAACGGCTACCGCGATCCAATGGATTGACTCTGCTGCCACTGCCTCCTTGACCAATGTGACCTGCAGGACCTGGATACCCCCATGGGCTGCAAGGGCAGCCCATAGTGGGAACAAACACACGATCTGCAGGACCGACATACGGTCCTGCAGTGAATGCAACGACGACTACGCAACAGCCCAACATTGCTCGGAACATAACATTCCAATCGGGAGTGACACAGCCAAACCCAGCAGTCACTACCGCAGTGAACCGACCCCCTCGATTCCCGGGAATGAATACAACAGCTGCACCAGGTACGCACACAGGCCACGTGACCATACAATGATCGCATGGCCCAGGAGTGATACCTCCAGATACGTCTCCCGCAATTAAGAGGATCCATACAATGGTGGACGAGATGGTATCAAGAGATCCCATCGATGAACCACCAGCATACCTTAGAGTCACCAAGATGCCTCCACCGCCGCAATACGATGGGAAGGACGATCTTGATGCATTCAAGGTCTGGCTACAGAAATTGCTGGAATACTTCAAGACTCTCCGCATCAGTGGCGATGCCATGAATGCAGATCGCCTGCGGATATTGGGGCAAAGTCTTAAAGATAATGCCACCAACTGGTTCTTTCTGAACATGCAGTCACCGAACTGCGAAGTACGACAATGGTACTTCGAGGATGCGGTGATGCACCTCCACCGACGATTCCTACACAAGGACTCGGAGCTGATAGCATCTGAGAAGTACGACAAGGCGACATACAGCTTATCATGCAGAGGTGTGAGTGAGCTATACAACAGGCTATTACACCATGCAGATCGCATAGTGCAATACCCAACGGAATATGCATTCCGGAAGAGGTTTATGGATGTGTTACTGCTACCGATGGTAGAAGTAATGCATCTAGCCCACCTACTATCGCCTGAGAAACACACCATCGATGCACTGTATCAATCAGTGTTGGTGATCGAACAGGGCAACGGATGGCTGGACCAATACTGTACATACAAGGACTGCTGACAGCCTCAGAAGACCGGGGACCATATGGGGACCCAGAGTTCAAGTAAGGCCGTGTCATTCCTCGCGCCGATGATATCATCGACAGGAGATACATGACCTAGCTACTGCCCACAAGGACAAGGACGAGGAGGGGCACACTCAGGACATGCATGGCAGGCCGGTAATGCTGGCCATAGAATGACGAACCCACGCGATGGACAATGTCATAGGGGCGGTCATCCTACTACAAACCTGGCAGTCTCGGGATTGAGACCACCAGCGAATAACAAGGCGACGAACGCAAATGTCACTTGTTATTCTTGCGGCAGCAAGGGCCACTTCTCGACAGACCTGACGTGCCCAAACTACAGTAAACCTTGGCCAGCGCGACTACGCGCACAATGTGTAGTCGATGACCACTCTGAGGATGAGGAACAGGCAAACCAAGAACTGGCAGAACCGGAGGCTACAGTTCAGGAGCCGGCTCCACAAGAGATGACTCCTGAAACTGACGGAAATGAAGGGCCCTACCAGAATGACACAGGATACCAGACATATCCTGAGGCGGACTGGGCCCCAGAGGGATCACAGTACTCATTGGCAGATGAGCGTGAACCCCCATCTGGAGATGATGGCTGGAATGATGACTACGATGTTCACCTGAGATCAATGAGATTTGGCGCCATGCATCAACACAAGCCTGGAAAGTGTATGCAGACTGTACACCTCCACGCTAGTGAACACACAACAGATGCACGATCCTCGAGGAATGCATGGCTGTACGACTCATGCGTACAACGCCTGACTGATCCAGCCATGCAGCCTCAGCAAAACCCGCAGACACAACGAACACTATGTGCAGAGGTCTTGATCAATGGGATCAAGACCTATACACTATTCGACTTGGGATGCACAACGGACTCCATTTCTCCGGAAATGGCGTACATCTCGAAGGCGGACCGAATCGACCTGGACGACCAAATAGGTCTCCAACTGGGCACCAAGGGAAGCAGGATGCACATCAATTATGGTGCACGACCCACAATCTCCATAGGCCCAGTAAAGGCACAACACTACCTAGATGTCATCGATATCGATAGATACGATGCTGTACTAGGCACAGTGTTCATGCATAAATATAGCGTGGTCCTCGACTTCGAGAACTGCACCATATCGATCCAACAGCAAAAAATACCGACCTACGTGGAAGTGGACGAGGCCACAATCATTGTGAATTGCAAGGATATGTTGTACTCACACTACCGCGTGCACAACAATGTCAGTACCGTTACCGCCATCACCTCGGACAACCCGCAATAGGACCCCACAATGAGACCAATGGCCACAAAGCCACCCCAGTCTCATGGTGCGAAACCGGGGACAGTCCTAAGAGGGGAGGGGAATGACGGAAATGTCAAGGCGAAAGAAAAATCAACCATGAGAAACAGGAAACAGCCCAAAAAGGACTGTTTCCCTGACATCTCGGAGAAGTTCGCACCGACTAGACACTCAATGGACGAACCACGATGGGACCAGTTCGGTCAGCCAAACCCATTAGGTCTAAATGACTTAATGGCGTTCGCACTGAATGAACATCATAAAGACGAAGAAATTTGCACCACGCTTGTAGAACCCTCAGACGCAACAGCATCCGAGGAGAAACTACAAGAATGCCGAAAAGCCTGAATTGAGAAGACGAGGGACATAATGTGTCCCCCGCCCCCAATCCTTCCACCATTCCGTGAGATCAACCATCGAATACCACTCATCAATGACGATGAGCAGTATCGACTGTGATTACTGAGATGTGCTGATGTAATGAAGCCATTGCTCCTAACGAAGATCCAACGATACCAGGACGCTGGCTGGTGGGAGTCCAAGCAGGCTCCCCAGGCAGTGCCCATGATATGCATTATGAAGAAGAGTGGAAAATTACAGACGGTTGTCGATGCGCGTAAACGCAACGACAACACCATAAAGGATGTAACTCCATTCCCGGACCAGGACCAGATACGCATGGACATGTCTCGTGCCAAATACCGGTCGAAGATTGACTTGTCCGATGCGTATAAACAAATACGGGTGGCAGCGGAGGACGTCTGGAAAACAGTGTTCTCCACCCCATACGGTACATTCGTAAGTCACATCATGCAACAAGGCGATTGCAATGCCCCAGCGACATTCCAAAGCCTCATGACATTGATATTCCATGACTGCATTGGACGATATGTTCATGTATACCTCGACGACATATTCGTGTTCTCCGATACAATCGAAGAACACGAACGTCACCTGGAAATCGTATTCCGTAAGCTGAGGGAGGCAAAGCTCTACCTCAGTGAGATGAAGTGTGACCTATATTCATGGAGCATGGACTGCCTAAGTCATCTAATTGATGACCGAGGACTCCATGCAGACTCAGACAAGATGAGCCGTATTCGCGAATGGCGAATACCTCGATCTTACAAAGAAGTACAATGCTTCCTAGGGCTCGTGAACTACCTAGGACACTTCATGCCCGACATGACAGCGTACACCTCACCATTGTCGGACATGGCTCACAACGACCGAGCATTTGTGTGGCGCCCAATGCACACCAAATGCTTTGAAATGATCAAAGCTTTGGCATGCAAGGCACCCATCCTGAAGCCAATCGACCCACGTCAACCAGAACCCATCTAGGTAATATCCGATGCATCGTTATATGGTGTTGGAGTGATGTATGGACAGGGACCAGACTGGCGAACCTGTTGCCTGGCTGGCTTCCTGTCGAAGAAATTCACGAGTGTGCAACATGCTTATAAGACATATGAGCACGAGGCACTTGCGATACTGGAAGCTCTCCTCAAATGGGAGGACAAACTACTTGGCCGACCGATAATGATCGCGACCGACCATCAGGCATTGAAGTACTTCGAAGGTGTAACCAATCCAACAAATTGACAGATTCGTTGGAATGAGTACATGTCTCGATTTCAATACAAAATCCAGTACGTAGAAGGCGCGACCAATAAGGTTGCGGACTGTCTATCGAGGTACTATGAGAACGACAATGCGGATGAATTCACACCCATCCAGGAATATGCGAACACAGATGCTCATCTAGACCCTGAGTGGGATGACCTACCCTCCAACCGTATTGCTGAGCTGCACGCTGGAACGATCCAGCGCTCAGCACAACTGCCCAAGGATGTGCAGGAGTCAAGGGATCAGGAGGCCAGCGAAATGGCCTCTCACCTGCCCCTAATAACGCCAACCCCAGGCGCAAAGGACGAGGATCCAATGATTGCCGAATTATACACCAACGGACCTCCACTGAAGGCCCATTTGGAACAGGATACCCCATTCCTGGCCGCAGTCCAAAAGGGCTATGGTGAGGACCCATTATTTAGGAAGATCGTTGAATCCCCAACAGAATTCAGCACCTTCGTAATCTGGGACAAGACAATATATACAAAAAACTGCCAGGATGAAGAAGTTATCTGCATCCCGAGGGTCCTGTACCGTCATCGAATGATGACCGAGATCATCATTGATAGAGGGCACACGACCATAGGACACTACAGCCCACAGAAGACGTTGGAATACATCCGACAGTGGTTCTGGTGGCCTAGGATCAGACGCGACATCGAAAAATTCTGCGTGACGTGCGGGGCCTGCCAAACGGCAAAGCCTCGCAATCACTTGCAAGCGGGACTACTTCATTCCTTGCCAATTCCATGGTTTTCGTGGAATTCGATAGCAATGGACTTTGTCAGTCCATTTCCGCGATTAAAGGGATATGACTACCTATGGGTAGTCATATACCGCCTTACATCAATGGTACATCTGGTCCCCGTGAATACAACAAGCATGGCCTCGGACATAGCTGAGCTCTATGTCCAAGAAATTGTGCGACTGCATGGGATGCCTGAGTCCATCGTCTCAGACCGGGACTCGAAGTTCACGTCAAAATTTTGGTGTGAACTATATCGACTCCTGGGTGCGAAGCTACTTATGTCGACATCGTTCTATCCGCAAACCGACAGGCTGTGTGAGCGGACCATCCGATCGGTATCCCAAATCCTACGGTCAATCGTGTCTCCCAATCAATTAGATTGGATAGACAAGATCCCGATGATTGAGTTCGCATTGAACTCAGCCACGAGCGCAACCACAGGATTTGCCTCATTTGAACTTAATTATGGATACTTGCCGCGAATGATTGGAGGCCTGCACGGAACCACGAAATTCGTGGGCGTGCAGAAATTTGCCCAACGAGCATTGGCCAACCTCGAGATAGCGCACAATGCCATCATCAAGAGCCATACACACCAAACATTCCAAGCCAATAAACTATGGCAGGAGGAGCCGGAGTTTACGACTGGATCGAAGGTGTATCTATCCACGCAGAACCTCGCACTACCTAAAGGTCGTGCGAGGAAGCTGATGCCCAAATTTATTGAACCATATGAGATCACCGACGTTCATGTGGCAACCTCTAACTACACGTTAGAGTTGCCGCAAGAACTGAAGGATCGGCGTATCCTACCTACATTCCACGTTTCGCTACTCCGATGACACAAGTCCAATGACGACGTGTTGTTTCCGCACTGTGAGGCAAAGTCATACTACGACTTTGGCAATGATGCAGAAACGGAATGGCTAGTGGATGAAATTGTAGGCCATCACTGGAATGGCAATAAGATCGAATTCCATGTGCAATGGACACTAGGCGACCATACATGGGAGCCATATGCCCACTGCAAGGAATTGGCCGCGCTCGACAAGTACTTCACACTAATGGGTGTGAAGGACTGGAGAGCGCTGCCGCGCAAGACCGCACCACCTGTGAAACGCAAGAAAAAATAACCACAAGTGGAGGACCGGACGTGTATAACATCAAAGGATGTACGCATCGTGTCCATGTGACAGATCACGTGAGATGCCGGCACTTGCCCATGTAACTACACGTGTGGCAAGGTCACCGCTCCCACACTCCTACCACCATGTTCCAACCAACCTTGCCAATGGAAACTGACGATGACGAGGCAACAACAAGCTGCCCCGCCACACAACAGCAAGGCTGACCAAGGTCGACATCCCCGTGGCTCCAATTCGGAACCACGGTGATGCCACAGGCCCTACTGCAACCACCACCGCCACTGATCGCGATACGATCAATGGCAGCCCCAGTGATCGCAACTACATCGACAACGACAGCACCAACGGGTGCTGGGAATGCAGCAATAATGCTGCCACCACCGCCGATCCTGACAGTGGTGAAACGGTGGGTCTCCTTTGGGACCCACCAGTTCATGCTATATCACACGGAGGCATGCACCGTGTGCTACAGCTACCTCCAACACATCGCGATGGCATGCAACATGGCCCCCTACCAGGAAGCCCACACAGATGCACTCAATGCCGAGCAGCACCTGTTCTGGGAGCACTTCCAGACCTACACGGCCTTGGAAGGGGGAGGACATGGTGATGTTCCCACGCAGCAATGCAACACGGAGCTGCAAGCACAACTCTGTGCGGCGGAAACAGAAGCAACCACACAGCGATGACAGGTCGACGACCTACTAAGGGAGCATGAACGCCTCCTCAGGCAGATCGCGTCAAGTTCCTGACCTCAATCGCCCCCGGACTATCACGGGTGACTGAGCGGGGCTCCACGGAGATAACCATCTCCACTGGAATATCTACCTCCCCCGAGGGAGTGAAGGTATTCCCCCCCATTAATGAACAGCAGCTCACGCCAGTACTCACCACCATCGAATGCGAGTGGATCATGATGTCGATCCCTGGCATGATACTCGACCGGGGGAGCACAGTGGTATGCACCCTATGCCGCGGCGAGTAGGCCGAGCTCGGCCACACACCACACTCCAGGAATGCCCCCGCCACTGAGACACATGCCCCCAGGGCCACCACCAAGGAGTGGTGCCCCTGGACCGCCGACTGGTCCTACCTCAGGACCGCTGGCTGGCTATGTTCCGCGACCTCCAGTTGGTCCCGCTCCTGCCCCTGTAAAGTCGCGTGCGCAGCGGGCCTACGAGCACCTCGACAACGACGAGTCGGAGTCGGAGCTGTCCACAACAGATGGCGACAATGAGCCCGATGTCGCCGAGGTCCAGCAGCTCAACAAGCAGCGCCAGAGGAACCGCGGCCCGACGAACTTGCCCAGGCAAGGAGCATTGAGGAGCAATGACAAAGGGAAGACAGTGCCACAGCCATCGGACACTGATAATGATGTCTCACCGGCCCCGCACAACTGGCCTGATACGTTCCCCCTACCGGTCAACACGCAACTGTGGAGGGCGACTGAGTGGTACAACTTTGTACCCTGATACGTCCGCGACTCGCAGCGCATCATCGATGCAGCCCACGGTGGCGACGATGGCACGTGCACCCAGGCGACCAACCTCATCCGGCAGATGCAGCAAGATGAACGCTTGACTGCATCCCACGGCATGATGAACCTGCTCATATCGTGGCGACGTCACAGCAGCTCCGGAGTGATACACCCGCCAATGGTTCCGCCTCCCCGCCGGATGACCAACCCCACCAGCTTGTCGACATTCGACGAGTGGGTGGCGTGGTACGCACAGAACCCGAGACAGGTTCACTGGGCCATCAGGCACTTGAACAATGACCGCTCGGAGGCCCCACTACACCAGGACCTGGAGGTAATGTGGCTTGCACGTCGTATGGCCCCCATCATCCCACTCGGTGTACCAGCGACAGCCCGCAATGTGTTCATTGAGCACACTGCAGAGCTGTTCTCCATCCCCAGACTGTACACGTGAATTGTACAGGTCAGGCGTTACCCCATGAAAAACAACAACGAGCCGGCCCCATTTCCCTGCTCATCTGCCCAAAACTCGTCCATATACGATGTCGCGCGATGGTACGCTGCCCGCGGATTCCATCCCATGCGGATTGGATTCCTTGAGGAGTTCCACTGTCGACACCGCAACTACATCCTCGGATGGGTTCTCGAAGATGTGACCCCATTCGAGGGACACTTCCCGGCGGACCTTTGTGATGGATGCGCTCGGCCGGTACTCTCGACCCACGAGTTGTTATCACTCGTTGACGAGGACATGGCGATGCAGCTGCCAGACCCCGAACCACCCACACCCGGTGCTGGCAACGCCCCTGCTGGCAGCAGTCAGCTGGGCCCCAACCCCAGAGCGACCCCCGAGGCTGGTGACCCTGACCACGACATGGGCGACCACTAGCTCACGCTGGCATGCCCCCCATTGACATGCCGCTGTGGGCCACGGCTGGGGATGTGATGCGTACCCTCTGTGTGCCCGCAACCCGCCTGTGTGTTCTGGCCATGTCTGTTGTCACCTTCACCTGTCGCCTTGCCTCGTCCTACCATACTGCCTTGCATTGCCACCTGTGTCACCCATTCGATGGCGCAGTCAGTGTTATGGTCCCGTGGAACGTGTCCAGTGGGGGAGGGTGTAACATGCCGCTGTTGTATTGCAGGGCACAAGTACCAAGTGGTACTTGTGCCCTAATCTTATCTAATCTCATTGTGTATTATGTAATTGTTGTGTACTGTTTGTATGCACTCTGCATGTATCGAGCGCGCGTCAGTGTGTTGAAGTCAGAGACTTAACACATCACAACCTTGATACACGCACAACGCTCCAGAATAGAGCTTGGTGCACTGTATTTGAGGTTCGGTGTGATAAGACCTCGCCCCCCATTACACCATAGCCCGAGATGCAGTTGCCTACACTTGACTGGTCAGTGAATGTTGGTGGTCTGACCACCAATGTTAGTTTTGAACAGTGTGTTGTAAGACTAACACCATCAGCAATAATTATGCTGGGAGATGGACCACATGTTGGACAGTGTATCTCACTATCAATGCACTGCAAGTGAATAAAAGCAAACTATACTCGTACAAATGTTTCATCTAAGCAGAAATACATCTCCGAGAAATTATTCTCATAGCTGCATCACATGATAATGCAGAATGCGGAAAAAGGTGTCTCCGATGCAGTAAAAGCACTTGTGAATGCATTCAACAACTCATGCATAAACAGGTACATGTTGTTCCAATTGAAGATATCAAGGCTCACAAGGTCAGGGCCAATGGAATGGCAATGATGGTGACATTCTGGGCAGGGAAGGACATCAATTGTTGCTTCAGATCTGCTAGTAAAACTGAAAAGCACTGCTTGCTGGACACGAATAGCTGACAGCAGTAGTGCTGCATTCATCTAACAACACTCCACAGCAGCATTAAGATAACCTATCGAGACCAAAGTGCGATGTCACGCACCAAAAGTGTTTGACTTGTGAACATGTAACCACTGGTGTAGCGCTTGACGAAGAAGTCATGTGACTAAGACGGAACCCCAGAACGTTGGCCGAGTGTGTCACCTGATGCTCACATTATGCTATTGGATGGGAAAAACTCGGAAAGTGCTTTCTCCCTACTTCTCTCTGCTCGCTTTATGCTATTGGACATGGAGGTCCCAAGAATTTTATCTTCCCTGTTTCTCCCTGCTCACTTTATGCTATTGGACATGAAGATCCTAAGACATTTTTCCTTCCTACTTTCTCCTTTGATCACATGATGTTCTTATTTTGCTATTGGCCAGTTTGCCATGTAACACTACTATGTAATGGTCACAATGAATGACACCTGAGGGGTATAAAAGGACCCTCGAGGTGCCTCGACCCTCAGTCTTCTCTCTCCACTTATAACCTCTATAAGTGAAGAGTTCTCCCTCTGCTTGTAGCTTACCCTACAAGTGATAAACTAAAAGAATAAAAGTTTGTTCCACTCCTCCCTGTAACTTGTTACTCATAATTAAAAGGATCCCGACAAAGTCAGTTCAGCGCAGGCAGTGAGTTGTTCTGAACACAACTACTGCACTCCATCTTTGTCAGTTATGAAAGATAATCTTTTCTATCAATAAGTAGCAAATTTTCATGAGAATCACTACTTTTAAGTAGACTTATTTGTAGGTGCATAGATTAACTCAGAATAATCTTAATATAATATTTCAGATAATCTTTCAGATAATCTTCTGGATAATCTGAGAATAATCTGAAGATTAGCAACAAAATACAATTTTAACTTTGACACCAGCCAGGATTGAACCCCAGACCTTAGGTTGATTTTATAGCATATAATTCCAAGTGACACTTAGACCACTTGACCATTAGGCCATACATCACAACTATCTTATATTAAATTAGACATCTTTTTCTTGAAAAAGACTTAGCCAAATTCTGTCTATTAGAAAAGAGTAAGTAAAAGACACTTGACTTTTATCATAGATAGACAAGACTTATAGACAAACAGTACTCTGCATCTTATTATAGTCTTGTTCTACAGCTTATAGTTTTTGTAAACTATCATGCAGTACCATAAAGTATCTTAATATAGTCATCTATAATATATAACAAGTTATTGAGAGACAGTATTTTATTTGTTCATTTTAGGCTTATACTCTAGAGTCTATTATATGATAGACTGAGCACTTATATATACAAGATCTTTATAGCTATCTTCTAATTGTATAGCAAAGTTCTGTTTTGCTGAAGTAACTGTAGAAACATATATTCTATTAATTACATATTGTACTACATTATATGAAGGCTGCAAGCATTAGAAAAGACTATAAGACTCAGAGTAATGTTTGTTTATAAGTCTTGTCTATCTATGATAAATGTCAAGTGTCTTTTACTTACTCTTTTCTAATAGACAGAATTTGGCTAAGTCTTTTTCAAGAAAAAGATGTCTAATTTAATATAAGATAGTTGTGATGTATGGCCTAATGGTCAAGTGGTCTAAAGTGTCACTTGGAATTATATGCTATAAAATCAACCTAAGGTCTGGGGTTCAATCCTGGCTGGTGTCAAAGTTAAAATTGTATTTTGTTGCTAATCTTCAGATTATTCTCAGATTATCCAGAAGATTATCTGAAAGATTATCTGAAATATTATATTAAGATTATCCTGAGTTAATCTATACACCTACAAATAAGTCTACTTAAAAGTAGTGATTCTCATGAAAATTTGCTACTTATTGATAGAAAAGATTATCTTTCATAACTGACATCACTGTGCACTCTCGTATAGTTTCTTTTGGGTAGTCTAGCACACAGTTGCTAGATACTCAAACTGTTCTTGGAAAGTTCTCAGAAAGCACACAGGAAAGTTATCGGCCAGGCACATCATTTAGGACATGCGCTCTCGGTAAGCCCTGCACACGATTGTAGGCACCCGGATAAGAAGATGAAGAAGACTCAGAAAGCCCTGCACTGGTTGTAGGCCTCGTATAAGAAAACCCGTTAAGCCCTGCACTGACTGTAGGCATCGTATCAGAAGACGGAACGCAAGCCCTTGCACACGGTTGCTAGGCATCCCCCCCTACACTCTCCCATCTGTATTGTGCAGACTACCATCCCGACTTCAGACAACAAACCACACGTATAACTTAGGCATCCTCAACCCACTATCATAAATTTGATATCAACGAACAACTGTGATAGCCTGGCATACTTTCCCTTTTGCCACGCCCAGTGAACCACAGCGAAGTACCACTCACTTGACCAGGAGTCAAAAGCTCCTCCGGCCAAGGCCTGTGTGTACCCCGAGTCAACAGCAAGTTCGAAGAAGTTGCATGAGGTGCAGTATACAAAGCCTCATGTGGAAATGAGCACCAGCACGAAGGAGGAATAGGCAGTGGGAAACACATTCATGCTTGCCATCATGATGGTGAGCAGCTACCATTACTATGAGGGCACTTTCCCCATCAGGAGGTTCATTGCCATCAACATTGACAATGAGAGTGTGTGACTCTGATATGAAATCAGCCGTAATAGCAAAACTAATCACATGAGGCTTGTGCTTGCAACAATCCAAATAACGACATGATTGGCAATGCCAGCGACCATCTCGCTGTAATGCTATAATAACCCTCTTGCTGGATTCATAACATCCGGTTGAAGAAACACAGGAGAATACATACATGTACTTGAATGGAGTTGAATGAAGGAAGATGGCAGGAGGAAGTGACGAAGGTGCAATAATTGGGAAAGAGCTGATCTCGAGGAAATGAGTGGATAGGACATGGTGATGGATGCACATATGACGAGCCTTCCACTATGAGCATGTACACATGATATCTACTTGATCAGGCCCATGCAGGAGTCGGATAAAATGGCAGTACACTCCATCCTCTGACTCTGATGTAGCACATGGTGCATGGTGAACTGAGGTAAGCACTACATCAACTGCAGGATCTAGACTGTAGCATTCTACAGCGGCCGCATATGCATCCTGAGCACCACCTTTAACTGCTAGAGGTGATGCAACAAATGTATCAGTATAACGTGGCATCCCGATGGAGGCTGGATGGTGTTGTTGGGACAATGGGGGGTGGTCAACAGAAAGAGGCTCAAGACTGTGTCGGCATGAGTTCACTTCTTGCACGCAGTTGATGCACTATCCATGTGCGGGAGCTTGCTGCCGCTATAACGTGGGTCACTGCTTATTTGGGACATGCACATAACTAAGCGACTCTCACTGCAACAAAGTTCAGACTCTCCAGAGGGCACCTGTGAAGACATGGTCAGTATATCAAAAGAAGTACGAAAAAAGGAGGGCAGCAAAGAGGAAAAGATGAACAGGAAGTGTCATGTCCAGCGACATCAGAAAATGAGCAAACAGGACAGGGTGTGAATTGTACTCCTGATATTAGAGAACAACTAGTAAATACACTAGTACTATAAGATGAACCAGTCTATATCTTATCTATATTCTAGATAATCACATATAATGCCCTAGGACGTGTGTTAGTACTATAATGAGTCAGTCATCTGAGAAGCCCTTAGCTACAATATACTACAAGTTATGTTGAAGCTAAGAGCTAGGTCTGAAGGGTACCCCAAGTGACTAGAAACATCCTTTGTCTTATGTTTAACTCAGTCACCACTTTTGTGATGAGCAGAATTTGTCTAAGTCCTTTCAGCAAAATTTACTATATATATTATATATGAGTATAAATGGTTAAGCTCATATGGAGTAGTAGTCTAGAGTTTCTTAGTCATGTGACTTTCTCCTGAGGTTGAGAGTTCAATCCTGGCTGAGTGCAAGTTGTTAAATTAATTTTGGCTTTGGATAATTCTTTGAATAATCTTTAGCATTATCCTCTGGATTATCCCTTTGGATTATCTTCAGATTAGCTTAGAATATTTCAAAGAGATAATCCTCATGTTTGAATTATCCACATGGCCTGCTTATTAAACCCGGATTTCAGCCTTAATTGTAACTTATAAGCACTAAAGATTATTTTTTATAACTGACAATGATGTAACTGCATGCATATGTGTGAGAAAAGTAACCATAAGTACACACCACAAAAAGGAGGTCAAACTCACGGTACTTATCAGTCTTGCCTCAGCTCACACAACACAAGTTGACTGGGCATAAAAGCATTAGTAGTACTGTTGATACGCTCCCTGCAACTCTGGCCTCTGAAAAACACATTTTCCAGCGATCTTTCAGACCTCACCACTTTATGCCTTAGCTTCCGAGAGGCATTCAACTCTTTCACGACACTCTGCGGACTTTTGTGACTTCGCATGGCCTCGTTCGACTTCGCTGGACTTCTCATGACTTCTCTTCAAGATTTGACATTCTTTCATCACTCATACACCACTCTTGTGTCTCCCCGCTGTCGAGTATCACTTACCCGTTGCCCTTTGGTCTCATCCGATGTGCTCTGGCCAATTTCCTTCTAAGTCCATACTTCCTCGACATTGCACTGCCTCTCTGAATGTCACGCTAACTCGCTGGTTCATCACACTGACTTATCGGTGTCGCTTGATGGTCGCACCCCCTTGTTTTGCAAATCTCATCCCCTTTATCATTTCACCTTGCCCTTCAAGACCTTTACCTTTGTGCTGGACCAGAGATGCTGTTTGAGTCTTCCGTGTGGTTCAGGACAAGTAACATATGTTTTTCTTTGCTTTTCCTCTACTTTATCATTCTTTTCCATCGCTAACATATGACGTTCACCTCCCCACTCACTTTACCTATTTTTCCATTGGTCCTAGACCATTGCGACTCTTTCCGATGTCAGGATCCATTGTCTGACATTTCGCGACTTCTGCATTTTCTCTCCCTATTTCTCCCTCTATAAATACCTGCTGTATCTACATCAATTATCATCGAAGACCAGTAGGAGACTCCCCCCTTTACTTCAGATCACTGAGAACCTGTGTTTACTGTGATAGCGACTTTGAACTGCAATATACCCCACTGCGACATAGCGACATAGTGACACTGCGATATAGCAAGACTGCATACTGCATTTAGAGACTGCAACTGCAACTGCAATAGTGATAGTGAACTGCGACACTGCAATAGCAACATAGCAATATACCACCTGTGTTAGTCTTACTGCGACTTTTGCATTAGACTGATTGCGACTTTGTTGAGACGATGAATACTGTGTTTCCCCATAGTGTTTCTTTCCCACAGATAGTTCCTTTCCCCTTTGCGATTTAGTTCATCTTCACTTACGAGTTTGGCGATCTCATTGCAACTTTAGTTTCTCTTCACCGGCTTTTGCGACTTTGTCATAGATTATCGCTTGACTTTGCATTCCCATTGGTTGCATCCTCCTTAGGCTTTGGTCAAGGTTCTGGGACCCACTTGCATCATTTTACAGTCGCATTGCCCTTCCTTCTCACACAGAGTACCCTTCTTATTTGTTTAGTTAGGTTTAGGTGTTTGTGTCAGGTGTGCAGTCATCACCGTTGCTTAGGCAACACTGCACCTGGATAACTTGACAGGACTTGCTCACTGCAGATGAGACTTGACATATAATTGACCTCAGCAATTGTCACAGTAGTCAGGTTAAAGTGAGATTGAGGTCTCTGCTTTACCTAATGGTCTGGCAGGATGGTGTTACACTGCTACCACAAATCACAAAGACTGTAAGGAGGAATGGTACATTGCACCCGAATCGAGAAGCACTCACACCGAAAGTGAGCAAAAACTGCAAAATCCTAGTGTAAGCCGAAGGCTGCCTTACGGAGGGCTGGATAGATTGTGAAGCAATCAGAGGAAAGTAAATGCCAATGTCAAAATACAGCACAGGATATAGACAGTCGAGGCAAACATGGGCAGTGTAAAGGAGGAAGGCGAGCAGGGTTAAGCTCAAAGACAGAAGAAAAGAGAAGGAAGATGGCCAAAACAACAGCTAGGTTGTAGACGGAGACCAGAAAAAGGTGAGCTTGATGGGGGCAGCATTTAGCTGCACGATGACGTCAAATGGGAGGATGATGACGAGGGAGGTTCATTCATAAGAGGAGACAGGACTAGAGAATTTGGTTCATGTGACTGGACGCATCTAGTGTGCCCGGCACCGATCAGTCTGAAATTATTTGCATGAAAGCTATGTTTTGCCAAATATCAATGTGCCAAATTACTAGATTTTACAACATGCCTTAAAGGCACTACTGAGTAAATACTATGCTCCAACATTTGACAAGTTTGTTTCTGAGTGATGAGTGAGCTCGCAAGCCGAAGAGGGTTAGGGTTTGTCGGTCAAGTACTTATGCCATGCTTTCATATTTGTATTCCTTACACTATTGCCTCATCCTCACTCATCTCTTGGGGTCAAATGTGCTCATTCTTGGTTGAAACATCTACTGTGCTACTGGTAATTTCAATATACATCTCCATTGTGCCTAGTATATACATTCATATGAGCTGCCTTCATCATCAAATACCACTGGCCTTACTGAACTGGAGTCTCTTCCATTTCAGATGTCCAAACTGGCTGTCCTGTAGCATCTTCGGATTCCCCTCTCTTGGATTTGGGAGGCACAGGTTGTTTCCACTGCAGCTTGCAGTCAGGCTTCTCGAACTCCCGATCATTGAGTTTTTTGATCAGAAGAGGTTTGGACACCTCATCAAAAGTATCCACAAGATCTTTCGAATAAACGATAGCAAGTCTGGCTAGGACGCTGGCAAACTGGAAGGCTCCCAACGCCGTAGAGATGTCCATGGTACGAGTCTGCCGCTCGAAAATTTCTATGAACTAACGATGGCAAGCCGATCAGCAAGTACAAAGCAATCAGACTGAACGCAGCTCACTCCATCGCTACTCCAAGCAGCCGCAAGTGCCACCCTCGGGCCATTAGTAAGTCCACTGAAAACAGGCTTTTTGGTCAGCCCCAGCACGTCAAGAAATGTCGCTGCCGATGCGCAAGCCAGCCTGTGCTGATTTTCTCCCTTGCCAATATCTGTATCCTGCTTCTTGTATTCCATCATAAACACGGGTAGTTCTAGAACTGAGACAGGATTCTTGACTTTCGCATTTTTCCTCTGTCCCGCCGTCAGCACCTCGAGTCGCTTGGACATGACCTCAAGATTCTCGTCGAGATATGCACGTGCCTCTGCATTTTCGTACAGGCGGTCGGTATCACAGACGGAGCTCGCGGCAATGGCATAATCGCGAGTCGGTAGCGAGTTAGTATTCGGAGGGTTTACAGGAGGAGGAAGTATCCCGGTGGAGTGTGGGATGCCCGGATTCGAAGGTAAAGCCTGGTTTGGGTCATCAACCTCCGGCACTGTTTCTAGGGCCGGAGCGGACGAATATAGTTGTTGCCGCAAGTGAATCATCGGAGCTGCTCCAGATGAAGTGTCGTCAGGCATATCAAGGGATTCCTTGGATTCGTGCATGCCCACTACGTATGGGGCTTTTGGCGATCCTGTGGCCACCAACTGCGCGGCCGCGAGAGACTCCCGTCTCACTGGAAGATCAATCGAGACCGTCCCGAGAGCGTCGCAAATGGCTCGATATGGATCTTCTTTGAGACGCTCCAATGCGTATCCATTCATCCTGCGACGTTCCAACCAATCAGTTGCATGATATATATTCTGGACATATGCCTTCCGCTCCAGGTCGCCAGCTTCTCTAAGGAGACCCTCATTGGGTCCGATCCGCTGCTTCAGCATCTCATTATCAGTTTCATCGGAGTTGGGCCCACTACGAAGAATGTAGAAATATAAGTTTCGCGCAGACCGTTGGTCCATACCAACGGCCTTGGGTAAATATATCATGCGCTCCGTTCTGTGCGCTCCAATTAGATAGAGTGAAGGTCAATGATGACTAAAACCTACGACAGAATGATGCTCTTGTCATCAGGAAGTTGACGCATTGGTGCATCACTCGACAGACTGCTCCGAGAATACAGGCTGATTGTTCCATTTAATGCATTCGTACGAGGCGTGGATTCCTTGTCTTCGTATGCGCCCATATATGGGGCTTTGGGCGGTGCTGTGGCCACCAACTGCACGGCCGCGAGAGACTCCCGTCTCACTGGAAGGTCAATCGAGACTGTCCCGAGAGCATCGCAAGTAGCCCGATAAGGATCTTCTTTGAGACGCTCAGATGCATATCCATCCCACTTTCGACGCTGCCGCCAATCCTGCGCATGAGTTAGAATCTGGAACTGTGCATTCTGCTCTAGGTCACGGGCTTCAAGGAGATCTTCATTGCGTCCAATCCGTTGCCTTAGCATCTTCTCATAAGTTTCGCCGGAGCTGAGCCCACTACCGATGTGGAGAAATAAGTCTCCCGCAGACCTTTGGTCCATACCAACGGCCTTGGGTAAATATATCATGCGTTCCGTTCTGTGCACTTCAATTAGATGGAATGTAGGTCAATGATGACGAGAACCTACGATGGAATGACCCTGTCGTCATCAGGAAGTTGAAGCTTTGGCGCGTCACTCGAGCAGCTGCCTGGAGAATACAGGCTGTTTGCTCCATTTAACGCATTAGTGAAGAAGTCAAAGATAAGAGAATCGAAATCGTGACGCCAAACGGACTCCGATGGAGGAATCACTGATCGGGCCTTCCCCTGCGCCCGTTTCGCCACAGCAAGAATCAGAGGTAAGCTTCCCTCTAACAGCGGAAGGACCTCTACGGGTACGTCCCGCGGTGCTACAGCGCTGAGTTCACGATGTTGCTGTGCCTGTGCAAACAACTCTTGTCGGAACGGTTCAAGGGAGGGATCAACCGAGGGCATATCATTCTGTTGCTCATTAGCATGCTACAATGAAGACAAGGAAAGGTGTTGCTTACGAGTGTTTTCCAATGCAATGGCCATACATCTCCTGCATAAATTTCATACAATGAAAAAATGACGGGGTTGCGACATAGTGCAGAGAGTACGACGCGTCTATCGAATAGATAGTCATGCATAAGTGCACCTTTCCCCTTCTTAGCAGCTTCAGCGGCGAATCTAATGCTATCTGTGAGGACATAGCAGGAGTAGATGATATGTCGCTTACGAAGAACATGACATCGGCTTGTACACTGATTTCTTTGAGCCTTGACTCTCGCCTTTCTGTCTACGTGCAGGTTAGCATCAAAAAACGATGGAGACTCTGATACTCACTCCAACTCCACCTCTTCTGGAATTGCAATCACCCTATATTGCAATCAGACACCGATGCCACGAAAATTGATGAGAAACTCACGACAGGCTCGAAGGCTTAGAATCTGTAGAATTGGAAGACCCTATCGAAGGGCCAGACGAGTCCGAGGTCCCCTCCTTTCTGCAGAACGACGAGTAAAGGTCAAGCGCAGCAAGATCACGACATCCAATGTTCATACCTCGCTTTTCGTGCAGTCTTCTTAGAATCGATCATTGCGCTGGTGTATCAAATTCCACTTAAGATATGATGGATGGGAGGACTGGCAGAATGCACTTACGTTGCGGGGTATTTGTAGGCAAGACCTCCTACCCACGCTTCAATCCTGTCATACTGGCCCTCAGGCGAGTCAACAGAATGAACACCTTCTTCCGTGTCCAGACGCCACATAGAAATAGAATCGTCCTGTATTTCCTCCGCAACCAGCGTGACCGCAGCTTCTGCAGCGCTGCATGTTCTCGCCACTAATCCTTGCAACGCCAACGCAGCATGGCACAGTGCAAACGCCCCCTCAAGTGAGGCCAGATCCAGGGACCCATCTCGCCCTAAGGAACCAATATGTACACGAGGCTGTGGAGAACCAAAAATGAGCAAAAGATATTTACACAGTTGAGTCATGTATGTCCTCACTAACGAGCCCTCTTTGTCCACATTCTCATCCAACCATCCGATGTAGAAAGAAATGGTGGTATGATATTTGGAAAACCTGACACCGACGACAGGCTCGTGAATCTTCCATACATGTCGCTGGCAGAGAATCGCCATCATCACGAGAGGTAGATCATCTTCCTCCGCAACGCACAGAAATGGCAGAGGGCATCGCTTGGGCAGTTCCCTCGATGGCGGATACACGAGGATGTGTGCGTTCAACTCCGCCGGTGGAGGGGGGTCGTACACCGATTCTGAGTCACTATCGCTTTCCTCTATGAGAACGGGCTTCGCGCATAGGGAGAGAAATGTCGACATGGACATTGGTGAAGTGACCGAAACCGGCCGAGATGGTTCAGATGGTTCACTAGATTCGTCCTCATGTTGCTCCGCGTCCGGGTTGGGCGACTCTGCCTCAGAGTCGGCCTCGTCAGTATCAGGATCGTTCACCATTGCATCAGATCCGTCCGCATTAGAGTTGTCGTCGGGGATCTCCGCAAAAACAGACATCAAAAGCGGTACCTGGATGGAATTCGACATGAATCTCGTAGGTACGTTCAGCCCGCCGCCACGATAGCGTGGCAAGGCGACCAAAACGTTTTCACTTCACAAAACACGATGATCAGTTGAAAGATAGCACACTGCCAAGGGATGCTTACTCTATGGAAAAATCTGCTGTCACGGAGGACATCACGTTGGATATCATGACAATCAGGAATGATTCCTTCGGATTGGCGCTGCCACAGAGACTATCGGATGAAATGACATTCCGCAACCTGGCGCAATCACTGAGAAGGGTCCCGAACATGCCCTGTAATTGCTGATCGAAGACCGCATCTTCGAGTGAGCCAGCATGCGATTTGAACGTGTTTTGCAATTCCTCCAGCAGGGGTTCCGTTCGAGGATCAACGGCAGGATAGGGACCCTGTGTATGGAGCATTTAGAGCACAGAAAACCAGGCGATATAGTAAGGATGTATTTACCGCCGTTACCCAAGGTGGAACCCGTCGAGAATCTGTGAGTAGTCCGCCACATAGCTCACGCACGTTGAGCGGCCATTTCTGGCCATCGTCGACGAATTTGTGCCATGCGATATCTTTTTTCAGGATATGAAGATATTGCTTGAGGGGATCCATCGAGTCCAGAATGAGAAAAACCAGCTGTCATATATTGGTTTTCGCGGTGAAAACGAACAGTTTTAACGCCACAGGCGCTACGTCGCCGCGCGATCGAGATCTGATGCAGCCACATAGAACTCAGAGGCGCTGGCCGCATGCTCGTGCAAACGTAGCTACGGACATCGTGTAAAAACAAACAATTGTATAAAACCCAAAGTTGTGAGTTCGACCCTGAAAACCGCATAAATCCTAGTGACGCCAAAAAATTGAATATTGCAACACCAGCTCTCCAGATGAGCATAGTTAGAGACTGCTAATGCTTCCGGGAAGACGTTCGTCACGGCAAGCCGAGAAACGCTGTGATATGGAACAAGAGGGTGACTAGGGCCAGAGGTCCTGAGACATACATAACAAAACCAGGGGGGTGTTAGCACAGCAGATAACGGCCGCGCATCTGTTTCTCGGTCAGACGGCGAACTCAGGCAGATAATCTCGGCAAGGCAGACTTTTCTCCGTAGGAACGATGCTCAGGGATCAACACTAGCGACCAGCCGATAGCGCCGATATGCAAGATCGACGGACGAACGTACGAAGGAGCTTGTACTATGTGAGCCCCAACAAGCCCGACGAGCACAGTAGCCATCAGTTGCCGAGCTTGCAGTACAGATGGTCCAGCACGAAGTTAGTGCAGACGAGGTCTCCCACGCGTCATCCCCCGACCTGATCACCCGCGGGGAGAATTTCCTCCGCTATGTCAGAGTAGTGAACAACGTGAAAGTTATAATTCTGTCAATGGGACCTACCTGATGCTATCGTGAGATCGCGGTACTGTTGTCGTTAGACGATGTAGCTCACCCCAGCAGAAGGAAGTCCAAGGAACTAGGCCATGAACATTCACGATAACGGTGAGGGTTTGGATTCCATCTACCTGAAGATCTTCAGGAAAAGTAACGACGTCTAAGCACCGCACGTCGTGAACTTTGATTGTTTGGTGTCATTACTCGCTGAACGAAGGAGGTATATCAGATCTCGAAGCGGTCGCATAGACCGAGTCAAGCCCTCATGCATCATGATGGGCCATCGGCAACCTCGTCCAGGAGCCACGCGCAGGGGTGGAACTCATTCGGACAAAAATCGGATGAATTTGCAGGAAAAACTGTACTCACTTGCGAGGACATACTGGTGCCATGTCTGTAAGGTTGGTAGATCCACGCCGATAATATTGTCCCATATCAGACTGGCCCCCAGCAGACTTCAGAAATTGTGGACAAAGCGGAGACAGAGGTTGAAGCTTAGTTGAAGCTTGGTCTTGGTCACACAATTCTCTCCAGTGGGAGCCCACATATGACACGAGGACCAGTCACCACCGGTCACCCCCATCCTCTCTCCAATGGATACCACCTTTCCTACACGAGGGCGTCCTGGAATTGCTTGACGTCCCAAGATAAGAAGCTCTAAAATAACGACTTTTGCGCCATGTCGTAGAAGTCGAAGTACCTCGAAGAGGCGTTTCGACATCGACTTATTAATTTGGTATGTATGTCCACGGACAACGCACTCCGCTCTAGTATCACTATCTCCTCTCGGCCGTCGAGCTTGTTCAGCTCAGCACTATGTGCTCTGGAACCGAACCGGGCGAGACTGAGGCAGCTGATGAATCGATGACGTATCGTAGCCAAGTACTGGCCTGCGCAATCATTACAAAAGTATCATCTCTTGCTCCGGACGTTTGAGCCATCTCGCTTTCCAGGGTCTCCGTCGTACAAAAGGAAGTAAGTCGGTTTGCTTCCGGTGTATCGCTTCGGACGTTACATGGATTCGTGCACAGAACATGACTATCCTCATCACCGGAGCAGCAGGCAGAACATCTACTTTCGTCGTCAGAGAGCTCTTGCAGAGTTCATCTGTCGCTCCGCAGAATCTCCGCCTTCTCGTCCATTCTTCCAACGCTGTGGAGAAAGTGAGGGCGCAGTATCCCCAGATCCCGGAGTCCTCCTTCGTCGTTGGGGATTATCTGGAAGCCAACACCCTCCCGCCCGCATTTGAGGGTGTGGATATCGTCTTCCACAATGCACCAACGTTCCATCCGTTGGAGACGGCAATGGGTATTGCAGTCATCAATGCAGCGAAGACGGCGGGCGTGCAGCATTTCGTGTACTGCAGCGTGCTGTTCCCAATCTTGACGAAGCTGCTGAATCACAAGGTCAAGCGCGAGTGAGTCTTTGTCAGATGGTAATGATAACTTTATGGGAAATTGACGTGCTTCCAGTGTCGAGGAATATCTGATAGAGTCTGGGCTTAACTACACCATCCTCGAGGTGTGTCCCTTGTCGGATTAATGCCATCACGACTATATATTCACAGCCATCTCCCAGCCCACCTCACTCATGCAGAACTTCAACTTGAATCAAGTGCGGGAAAGCTCCACGGTTATTGCTATGTACTCCCCGAAAGTACTGCAGGGCTTCCTGGATCTTCAAGACCTCGCTGAAGTCGCGCGTCTTGTCATTCTCGACCCCGTGCCCCACAATCGTGCTCGGTACGAGCTCACCGGGCAGAACTGCACGTTGGAGGATATCACGAAGGAGATCTCTACCCGTTTGGGCAGGCAGGTTGTCTGTAAGCCAGTCTCGAGGGAAGAGGTTCTTCTTCCGAAGAGCACGTTGCAGCATGCTGAGCTGCTGAGTGATCTCGCCGTGGAGGGGATGGATAGGATGTTGTATTATTATGATAAGAGGTAAGCTTCAACGTTTGGGATCGCCAAGTGATACGACATGCCTGATATCTGCCCTCAGGGGAATTCCTGGTAACTATAATGTCTTGCGATGGTTACTTGGGCGAGAGCCTACGACGTGGGCCGACTTGCTTCGCCGCGACATCCAGTGTAATGAGAACGGTATCTGAGTGAAGGACAATCCTATTCTTGTTGTACGGCTGTGTTTCCGCGTGGTGTGTACGATTTAAACATGTAGCATGGCGTTTTCTTGTCAAATTCTTCGACAGTGTATGCACCCTGACTTGCTGAAGCTTTCACGACGCCCGGTGGACGGTACGCCACCATCTGCGGATGGAATCAGTACCCAGGAGAAAAGACTATTAAGTGCGTACATCCAACAAAACTACATCGAGGAACAATACTACGCTATATTAGAGCACGAGCAAGTACGACAAAGAGTGGAAGATCCAATGATAGAAAAAGGAATGGTCATCGACATGCTTCCGTAGGCGAAGCCATTGTCGTCAGGTTGTGTCCATTGGCACCGACGCATCTGTACAGTTCCCCTGGCCTGCGCTGTCCGCCTGTCCAGCGCCGTTCATTTCTTCGGCACCGTTCATCAGGTCTGCGTTATTATTCACCCAGTCGGCCATCCAGTCAGGCATCTCTTCGTCAGGCAACCGGTTTACGCCGTTCATCCTGCTTGGCCTGTTCGAAGATTCTGCGCGATCAGTCCCATTTTCCCAGTGCGAAGACTCTGGGCCATCCAACGCGCTTGGCCAAATCGAACAGCCCGCTTCTTTCGTCGCATCTGGGTCGCGCGAGGACTCCGCTCCCTTAGTCCCGTTTGCACAGTGCGAGAACTCTGGGCCGTCCAGCGCGCTGGGCCAATACGAACAACCTGCTTCTTTTGTCGCGTCTGGCTCGCGCGAGGACTGCGCGCCCTGAGTCCCGCTTGGCCAGTACGAACACCCTGCTTCGGTAGTCCCGCCTGGCCCACCAGCACCACTTGACCTGCCATGTGAAGGCCCCGGGCTATATTCCCAGTCTCCCTCATTTGCAGACCCTGGCCCTACATCTCTCGTCTCATGTGCCTTACGGGAATACGGTCTGTCGAAGATGTCGGTGTCGGGGTATTCGAAGACATAGAAATCTTGTTCGGCCTCGACTGCGAATACCATATCAGCATCATTACCGCACGCCCAGAGACGACTCAGAGCAGAGCCCATTCCACTTACATGCGGGCGATTCAGCGAAATCTAGTACATGCACCATCATAGCATTCCCCTCGGCGATGCACAGCCTGCCGATGGTCTCATCCCACGCAAGAGCGCCCACAGTCCGCAGTTCCTCCACCTCGCGCGGCACCGCGAATTTGGCGGCGAGGAGCGGCTTGCACGGGTTCTGCGCCGCGGCCGCAGCCGCGGCGGGTGAGCCGCTCCTCGGATCGGAGAGGCAGTGGAACTCGAGAATGCGTGGGGCCTCCTCGCGCTGGTCCTCCAGGCGCACGAAGTATGCGATGGCACGGTAGGCACCCGGGAGCACGCGCGCTTCAACGTCGCTCGACCACGGGAGCCGCGTCACTGCGGCGTGGTGCAGCGGGTATGCGGCGAGCTTGTGGGCGTAGGGCAGGCCGGACGGCTTAGTTGATGTCGGGGCCGGGGCCGACGAGCGCCAGCGCCAGGGGAGCCATGCGAACCAGCCACCGGCGGCGGTCTGTGCGGGCTTTGTAATCTTTTCAGGCCTAAGCATGGGTTCCTTGTGGTCCGGGTAGATGGTGAGGCGTATGAGGCGTTTGCCTTTCGCTGCACGTCCGAAGATCGATATGGGAGGGCGCGCAGCTCCCTTTCGACGGCCGCGTGAGAGGGGTATGATGCACTGATTCGTGGAGACGGCGTCGTCCGAGATCTTAATGCTTTCTGGGAACATGTCGCACACACCGATGCCCTCGGTGTGACTGCACTCCTCCTCGCGCTCCACATCGCCGGACGGGAGGACATTGAAGTATTCAACGAGAAGGTGTCGTTTACCGTGGTCTACTCTGCGTACCACAAGAACTTGATTTCTCGTAGAGACGAGGCGAAACGCGACAATGGAGTGTGCCTACGACGTCCACATTAGCACGCTGCGGCAATTCTCATCATAGGATATGCACACCTCGATGGGTGCCTTGGTGCCGGGTTTGCAGATCAGCGTCGCTGCCGCGCCGTCGTTCAGGTTCTTAAAGGTGATGCTGTTAGAGCCCCTGCTGATTGCTACATAGGGTGCGTCAAAGATCTCGTCAAGGGACGGTGTTCCAAGCGGACTGGCGGTACGAATGGCGATCAGTCGGCGAAACGGACGAGACTGAGTCCACGTGTGTTGCAAGAATTCGTCCGTCCCGGAGGTAAGGCTCGGATCTGCGAGAATCTCGAGAGACGTGAGGGAAACGTACAGTACGACGCACTCATACTCGGTTGACAGTCCTTGGCTGCTTTCGTTCTCGACGTTGCCGTCCGAGTCATTCCCGCTAGGCATATTCAGCGCTCAAAACCACCGCGAAGAGCGAAACGCAGACTTACCCCCTCTCGAAGTCTCCTTTATCCTCGTGGACGTAAGCGACGACTATCCCCTTCCTTCCTCTCACGGTCATGTATTTCGCCTGCAGATTATAAGCCTTCGTTACGGTCCGCATCTTCGCCCGAGGCACTGCACCAGTTCCCCGGTCGTCCATACTAAAGACAACGATAGAATAGTGGACACGCATCTCGTCGGCAACTGACGCGACGAGATAATGTCCTCCTGGCAGGATAGTCATCGACAGAACATCATGGTACGCATCGAAGTCCCATTGATACATGCAGCTCAACTTGTTGTGCTTCCAGGACCAGTCAAGGGAGACTGCGCGCAGAAGTAGATGTTCGGCCTCCGCGCCGATCATATACTGGAGCGAGTGGTTCGCCGTCGGTGGCAGAGGAGGGAGGGCGACGTCGGCCCAACGGAGGAGCCGTTTCCAGACGGCTGGACGATGAGTGAGATAATAATAAAGCCTGCTGACCTGTCGACCGCGTTGGATAATCATTCAGCGGCAGAATAGCGGGCAAAGAACGTACCAGCCGCAAGCGCAGGATGGCGATGACATCTAGGTATATGAAGACTTGGTCGACAAGTATTTCGTCGGACAACCTATCGAGGTAGCACGGTCGCCCGTTCTTCGTAGCGGTGAGACGCTTCAGGAGAAAGTCATAACATTTGAATACGAGCGGCATCCTTCAGCGTGACCAGCACGAAAGGCTCTATTAGAACTTTGAGGATAAGAGGGACGGCGATCTCCTATTAGTACCATCATGAACCACAGAGTTTGTACATGTTTTCGTCTGTGGGCGGCCTCTGCGCCCTTGTAATTTTATCAATTCGATATATATGGAGGGTGCAAGTGACTTCCAACTCGGAATGGCTTTCGCCTTGTTTTGCAGCATGCAGCCTTGACGTTCGTTCGGGCCAAACTACCAGAACTGCCATACGAGGCAGTTGCCTTCACCTCCAATCGGGCGGATACAATCGAAATGCGATCGCGCATATGATTCATACGTACAGCACGGGATTCTGAGTCCGATACGATAACTCTTCTACACAGTGAAAAAAAAGGAAGGTATGTAATGAGTGCTAGTAAGGAGTGCTTCTAGCAGCGTAGGTCCTGCGTTGATATTCATGTGGTATTCATAGGAACGTTTATTACCGGGAGCAACTCTGATCGAGGCATCAAGGGGACTCCGAAGAGTCAGGGTCGTGGGCATGCTCCCGCAGTGCTGTTTGAACCAGGGCAGCGGAGGATCAATAACATCATTCAGTCACAGTGGCACCAGTAAAACAGGCCTACTCACGACAACGGCAATGCTGCAAAGTCAAGAACCTGCACCATTCCCGTCCTTGCGTCGGCAATGCACAGTCGGCCAGTGGTCTCGTCCCACGCTAGTGCGCTGACAGAAGCGAGATTTGCAACCTTGGCGGGAATTACGAGCTGCGTGGTCATCATCCGCGCCGTTTCACCACTATTGTCCTCCAAGTCGCCGCCGTCGTGTGCAGCCTGCTTAGAGGTGCTCTCCGGATCGAAGTCACGAAGTCTCATGTACCGGAGGATGTGCGGTGACGCGTCCGGATCATTCTTGTCTATGAGATAGACTACCGGGCGGCAAGACGCAGGAAGCACGCCTACATGTTCATCCTCCCAGGACAATTGCTGCAGCTGCGCTCCGTCCTGCAGTGGATATACTTCGGTGGAGAAGCTAGGTCTACGGGCGAGATCAAAGGAAGGTGAAGTGGGAGCAGCAGCAAGGCCGTGTTCCTTACGCTGAGGGAAGATCCTGAGGTACGCGAGACTTCCTTCATCAGTCGTGCGTATAAAAACTGAGATGGGAGTGGATAATATCGACTGTGAGAGCCCGTTTCTCGCGTAGGAATCGTTATCGGAGATCTTGACACTGGCCACGTCCTTGCAGTACAGATATATGGAGTCAGTGTGAGCGCGTGGCCCTCCTGGCTCAGAGAGGACGTCGAAGTACTCGATGGCGAGTGCAGGGCTTCCGCGCTCAATCTTAATTTTGCGCACCACCAGAACTTGATTTCTCTCAGAAACAAGGTGAATCGCCTCTATGGAGTGCGCCTGGGGTGTATAACTCGCACTCAACATCGACGCACAGAGAAAGATTTTCTCTGAAGAAGGGGCTTACTTCATCAGAACCAAGGACGGTGGGAACGCATGTCAGAACGGACGCATTTCCGCCGTCTAGATTCTTGAACACGATGTTGCTGCAGTCCTCGCTGACTGCAACGTACGGAGAGCCAAAGATCTCACCGAGTGAAGGTGCTCCGATCGGTTTCCTTGACATGACCGTCGCCAGGTTTTGGAAAGGGCGAGGACGAGTGGACGCGTACAGCAGATACTCCCGGGAGCCCGGGACAACGCGTGCGCGTATGAGGGCTTCCAAAGAAGAGAGAGAAACGTGAAGTAACACGCATTCATATTTGAATGGGCTTTTAGGTTTGGCCCCACCGTTAGTGTCGCGCTTCGAAGCATCAAAGCTAAGCATTTATGTTCAGCATTGCGCATACATCGGTTGGGACATACTTACCACTTCCACGATTCATTCCCTCTCATTTCACGGTCGAAAGCGACGACTATGCCACTCTCTCCATGAACGGTCATATATTTCGCTCGGAGATTGTAAGCCTTCGTCAATGTCAGTGTTTTCGCCAAGGGAACAGCTCCGAGTGACGTGCGATCCACGGAGAAGACGACAACTGCATAATTGAGGCCCGCATCGTCGGTAACGGATGCAACGAGATAGCGTGCTCCGGGTAGTAGGACCATAGCTAAGACGTGGTGGAACGCTTGAAAGTCCCATTGAGATATGAAACGCGGCCCACTGCTCTTCCAGCATTTATCGAGAGAGACGGCGCGAACAAGGACTTTTTCGGCTTCTGAACTGCCGAGGTGATTAAATGAGTATGAGGTAGATAGAAGTAAACGAGGAAGGGGAATTGTAGCACGACGCAAGAGCCTTTTCCACATTGCCCGGTGATAAGTGAGAAGATTGTAGTGCTTGCTGACCTATACAACGTGTTGGCATGTAAAATAATCCAACAAAATTAGAATGAGACTCACTCGCCGTAAGTGTAAGATGTCAAATACATCCAGGTAGAGGAACACTTGATCGACCAGTATGTCTTCGGATAACCTATCAATATAGCACTCGGTCGCGGTAAGACGGTTTAGGATCGAGCTCGGGCCTCTCAAAGTACGAGGCATGGTTGAACGTGATCGGCACAAACAGAGCTATAGGATGTGATGAGGAAAGGCGAGAGAACAGGATGGCCCGGGAAGCCCTGCAGCTTTGTGGAGGGCCCAAAGTTTGCACATATTTTTCCCTGTGGGCGATCATGGCCTTGTAAGTGGCAAGGTTACATTTTGACGGGTAGCAACCTTGAGTCTGAATATCTGTGGAAACGTATCCTCCTATGGATTTCGTTTTCAACGAACGACAAGAACTTCCATATAAGTAAGTCGGTGGACACGAGGCAGACAACTGATAAGCGCCCATCATTTGTCGACGACAACAATATTTGAACACACCTTAGCTACTGCATACCACCCCAGGTGATGCTAGCTACGGACTTTGTTCTTGGTGGTGGCAATCGCACATAATCACCAAGCACGAGAAAGGCACCAAATAGCCAGCAGGGTCCGGGAGGTGGGGATACGTATTATTCCGAGTTACTCATGCAGAAGTTCGGTGAAGCAATGAGTGCGTGTCCTGAGAGACAATGAAGTTTTTCAACAAAATCAGTTGCCTGCATGCACGACCGGCCTGGATTCTAGATGTAATTTAAGTCACAATCCACAGAGCGCATGTCGTTCGCATGCCTTCGCTATCCTCTGCTGCGATACGAGGGACTCTTGAATCAGGGTCTGCTCGAAAACTGTCTGATTTCACCTTTGTGCATTCCAGGAAACGGCTTACTATTACCTCGGATGGTGGCTCTGCACCAAGCGAGACCTAGCGCAGCCAAGGTACAGTGCGCGCGATATGGTTTCCCAGATGGCCAGTATCGCTAGTGGCAGAGCTTGTCTGTACTAAGGCACCGTATTCGTGTTAACTTCACCATCTGTTCTCCTCGGCGCGTTCCTGCTCCTCCGTGCTTACGCCAAACTTATTTTCCATCATGTCTCAAGTTCGTGTTCGTGCAGAATTGCTGTGGCAGCCTGGGTACGCGCGCGTACCTCTCTCTACTACGATCCCGAGTCCGCTCCCGTACTACATACATCCCATCCCTGGATTTAGGCCTGGCGGACGCCGACGGCGCATTGACCTCTTCACTACGCAATTCCACAATATATTTACACAGGAAGCGATAGGTGTGATCGCTGGTCAACAGGTCGATCGCCAAGGCATCTTTGATGGCCAGACACTGATATCCTGAGGAACGAAGGTTGAAGCAGAGTGTCAGTCTGCCTTTGGGAGACTACTTTGATGCACCTCTTGGTGTATAGAAGAGCTGTGATTCGAACATCGTTGAATTTATTTCACAGGAGGCTCCTATCCGCGGAGCAACCTAATCATAAACAGGTATGTGTACCGATGTTTCAGACATTCGATGTTCGCAGATGATCGCTCTCGGTCAGAATCCAATATCATTTGCTTGGACCGAGAAGGGAACTAGCAGCCTAGTGGAATTGAATGCTACTGCCTCGCCAGTACCTAATTTCCTCGTCTGCATGGTCCCATAACTTCGGAAATTTTCAATCCCAATGTTCAAGAACACAATGCTACCTGCCACATCGTGGCTCCACCGCTCTTACTACTGACCGATTTATTCCATATCCTCATCACATCCTCCACCATCTCTGTCGGAGCGCACACGAATGAAGTAGACATGGTTTACTAGATTGCTGTACTCGCTGTGCACTAAACCTACGTCGAGAAACATTACGACGAGATATGCGACGAGACTGGATAGTTATACTTGCTGTGTAAACATCACTTGGAGATATGCGGTAAGAGAGCGACGGGAAAGCACCACGATGGTATGCAAAAGAGTGGCTGCGAGTGCAAGAAAAAGGGCTATGGCGGGTCTAACTGATCCATCCCTCCGTCCTCTTCAGGTGGAAGCTCGGGAAGAGGTGCCAAGATGACGTCAGGGTCGGGATCGAGATACACGGGAACAGGCCACCGCACTGTCCCCTCGCTCGTTTCCTCTGGCATGAACATCAGTATCATTGAAACTAGCGAAAACATCTCACTCACCCGACAGCGGCCACGCCGCGAAGTCCAGGACATTCACCATTAGAGAGCCTTCGCCGGCGATGCAGAGGCGGCCGATCGTCTCATCCCATGCAAGAGCAGTGACCGACTTCATATCCTTGACGCTGTTAGGAACGAAGGTTTGCGACACAATGTCATCCCGGTGGTCATTGGTACCTTCCGGAGGATCCTTCCAGCGACTCAGGGGATCGAAGTAGCGATAGAAATCAACAATAGGCGGGGCGTCCCTCCTGTAACCCTGTGGCGTTGTGTACACGATGGAGCGGTACGATCCCGCCAGGACGCGAAATTCTAAATCCTCGCCCTGACAGCTCCGGGTTACGATCCTGTTGACCTCCGTCAGCGGATACGTGTATGCTCCGTACGTCTGCTCGTGGCTCAGAGGTCCAGAGGAAGGAGAAGGAAGAGGTACGTCCTGGTTGCGCACAGGGAATATTGTAAGGCGTTTGAGCACCGACCCGCCCTTCGTGCACATGAAGACGGAGATGGGACGCGGTGCGTACGCTTCTGGACGGCCGTATAGACTCGGTACGACGCTGTTGTCTTCTCTCGGAGGGATACCGTGGTCAGAGATCTTCACGTACATGGCATCCGTGTTACGAATGCGTATAGCGCTGGTGAAAGTGGCATGAACCTCAGCCTTCTCGTCGCCCGGAGGGATAACGTCGTAATATTCGAGGGTGACCATGGGTACCCCTTGGCTAACCTTGCGTGCCACAAGAACTTTGTTTCCTGCGGAGATGAGTCGGATTGCAGCGATAGAATGTTCCTGTGATGTACCAGTGAGTGTTAATTCACATCAAGCGAATATGCATACCTCAATGGGGCCTTCGAGGGTCGCGTCGCAATGCAGCGTGGTAGCCGGACCACCGTCCAACTTCTTGAAAACAATCTTGTTGCGGTCCTTGGCAACCGCCAGATACGGTGAACCAAAGATCTCGTCAAGAGACGGAATCCCGAGCGGACTCCGGGTTTGGACAGTCGCCAGGGGGCGGAACGGTGCAGGCTGAGCCTTCGCATGTCGCAAGTAGTCTTCGGAGCCGGGCACGATCCGCGAGTCTCCCAGAATTTCCAAAGAAGAGAGCGGTACATGAAGACAAACACATTCATATTTGATTGGCACTGGCGGATCGATCTCGTGGTCGGCGCTGTACTGAGATATGTCGACGCTGCAGAAGAAGCATTTATTAAGTGGATGCACCATACGAATGTCACGCAACCTACCCGCTCCACATATCCTTGAAGCGTCTGTAATTCCTGCGGATATATGCCACAACTATTCCGCGTTCGTCTCCGATGGTCATGTATTTTGCTTGCACGTGGTAAGCCTTGGTGATTGTGTCAGTTCTTGCGACAACCCAGGCTCCTGCCAGGGTGGAGTCCACCACAAAGATGATGAGCGAATATTGACTTCGCGCATTGTTTGTGACAGATGCAACGATGTAATGTCCTCCAGGAAGCATAGCCATTGAGAGAATATGGTGGTGAGCATAAAACTCCCAAGAGAACATGTAATCCAGGTTGCCGCTCTTCCAGCGCTCTTCGAGAGAGACACCACGCAAAACTACACGTTCTGCCTCCAAGCCGTTGATGTTCTGAAGTGAGTAACGTGATGTCGGAGGTAAAAGGGGGAGAGGGACCTCGGCATTTTGCAAGAATCGTTTCCAGATGGCTGTATGATGAGTGAGGTAGTAGTAGAGCTTGTTGACCTGCAGCACAGATTTGACATCAGCGGACTTCACAGTGGATGACCTACTCACCAGTCGCAAGCGCAAGATGTCAAACACGTCCAGGTATATGAAGATTTGATCAACAAGCGTGTCGTGGGACAAGTTCGAGATGTAACAAGGTCTACCGTTAGGAGGAGCAGTTAAACGGGAAATGAGGAAGTCCAGCGACTTGAGACTCAAAGGAAAGCGCATTTTTCAGTGTGGCTGGCACACGTTCTGCAAGGAACTTGAGGGGTAAGAGGAATCGCCAACCGGGAGCTGAACCTCAACTTGAAGAGTTTGGATGCGTTTTCCTCGGTCGGTCACTGTCCTTGTACTCTAACGAGATTGGAAGCGTGAGAACACGCCTAAACCATCTCATCGTTTGTATTCTGTGCGGGTCCTTGTGCACACAACGATTACCTTATCCGGCGGTGTACGACAAGCGCCCACATTGAACGCACTTTGTACTTTTGAAGTCGCGAATCGGTGTCCACTGAGGCTCCACACAGCCCGCTTGTACATCGCGAGCAGGTAGGGAAGTAGGTGGGTAGGATACCGGCTTTGGTCCGTTCAAGAATGCGGGATAATCGGTAATTTCGCAGTTGGAGTTTCAAGCTCTGTTGGTTGCTACAACGTACTCACCGGGTACCGGGTAAGGCACAAGGACCATCTCACTCAAAGTGGTGGACTCGAGTCGCGGGAAGTTCCTGAGATGAAGCGTATAATATTCAGCAAGTGCAATATGCAGTGAGGACAAACGATACATCATGCATGGCATAAGAAATACAGATGTGATTGCGTCAGAAGCACTGGAACGACGAAACAGTAAAAAAGGTGTGTGCGAGAGCGCACGACGATCTATCCGTCTTGTAAAGTTTCCGGATTAAATCTATGGACAGTCTCAATCGCCTCGCAGTCCCTACGAGCGAAGACGAGCTGGATACGCATCATCAGTACTGCATTTGACTAGCGCAAAATGTTCTCACCATGTATGGATTGGCGGTAGAGCTGGTAGTATCCGTAAGGACCTCGTCTTTCGAGACGATGCTCACGTCCGAGTCATTGTATTTGAACCATTTGTCGGGATTATCGGGTAAGTGGCGGGAATAAAGGAAGTAGTGGCCCCACGACGGAGAAGAGCCGCGGTGGATAAAGACGGTGGTAAGTTCGTACGCGGCAGACGTGTCATTCTTCCAGACATCTTCTAGCTGGGCCTTGAGCTGCACGGCATTATTTCGCTCGCTGTCGATTTGAGCCGTGACGGAACTCTGTTCATTTCGCAACCTCGTTGCTAGGTCTTCATCAACCTCTGGTAACTGTAGAATGTCCTGTGCTGCTAGGAAGTCTGCGACGCTTCCCAGAGCGGGAGCAAACGGTGCATGCTACCATGCGTTTAGTTACTATATAACCTACGTAACGAAACCAACCTGCTCACCTTGTCCTGAGTCAATCTCTGAAGCCGATCTCGCGATGCTGTTAAGCTCGCTTCAATAGCTTTGGCCCGAACCTTCTTCTCTGGGTCTGCACTTTCCAAGAAGCGATCCATATAGATCGTCTCGCCAAACTTGACATAGGCTTGTGATTTGTAAGCCTGTTGCGTTTCGCGATCGAATTGAGCTCGCTATGGCCAAGTAGCGTCAGTGAGCTATGCAGCAAAGTGGCAATTGTTCTAAGCACCGTACCTGCAACTGGATCTGCAACAGTGGAGGGACGTCTACAAGAGACACTGCCATCCTCTTCTTCTGCCCATCCAGCTCTACAACGTCGTCGAAATATCTGCTCAATCCGTCATACAGGTCAAACCCGTCTCCCGAGACGTTGATGTGCAAATGCGAGAAAAGATCCTCCTTCTCATGGATGGACGACTTGTGCCGCGTGTCGTCGGATGGATTCAGCGGCGTCAAACGTTGCCTTTTCTTGCCGTAGAATAACCTGCAGGGCACCACGAAGTCAAGATTCGCTAAACAGACATAACCGCGAAAGGTACGCAACCGTTTGACGATACTTGTCTTGTCCTCCTCCGCATTGGCCATTTCCTGGAAGTCCAACAAAGCGGTCTCGATCTGGAATATACAGTTATCCATGCACTCCGATACATCATGCTGTCGACCTGTATCTGCATTAATGTCCATGACTCGACTACTTGAGGACTGAAGGGCACACCAAACATCATCACGGAGTCGTCTACTGGGCGTGGTTTCCGAGGAGGTAAAGGCGGGGCCTTAGGACCAGCGAACGGTTCAGTTTCATCCCGCATCTCGACATCGCCAGTCTGTTCAGGCGGCTGGAGCTTCGAAGACGATGCTACGGATTCATATGGTTGTGTCAGCATCCGCGGATCCACCGTGGTAGGAGAGTGGACCGGAGAGTCCACCGTCTGTGGACTGAGCGAAGAGGCATCGACGTCCATGCTCGAGGCTGTATCGCGAGGGCGCTTGCCCAGGATACTGTCCGAGCAGGTGAGAGGAGGCGGTGAATTTGACGACCGGTCGTACGTCGAGCGCGGTCCTGGGGCATCCTCGACAAGAGTGGCGTCTGTATCGTTCGAGGAGTCGGTGCCCGTCCGTTCATGATCCTGATCATCCTCTTCCTCGTCTTGCGAAGTTACGAGTGCGAGCTTCGCGAGATCGATTGTCGGAGTCACCGCAGGTACTTCGCAATACTCCAGATTCCAGAATAAGTCCGCCAGCTGGCCCACGACTGCACAACGTGACGATAAGCAAGTAAGATAAGGGCAAAGCTGACACAACTCACACTTCTTGGAGCGGAGAATCTCTCTCCGTGTCACCAATCTCCCTCCAACTCGGTGACGTTTCAGATCGTCGTCGGTTACCTTACTATCATCTAGCGATTTCACGTCAGTATTTACCAATGGCGTGATTGCGTCGCGTAGGTCCTTAATGGTATAAAAGTACTACGAATGGCAATTAACACATGTTCAAACCGAGTTATGATCAAACAAACCTGTAGCAGAGAGTTCAGATAGCAAGTGTTTCCAAGCTGATTGAGGCCGCGAGGCATCTCCGGCGCCGTACTTAATGTTGAATCGCCCGCTGCGTTGGAAGTAAGCGTCAGGGTGATTAATGGTGACAAACGACCCACGATCTCGACCAGTCGCAAGGAACTGGCGCAACCGCTCACTCTCAGTCACTTCCGCTATTACAGTCAACGCTTCGCGCATCCTGTCACCCTGGCTTGGCTGGTCTTCGACCTAAAGACAAGCACGGTGCCATGAGCATACGGAAGCACGTAGGCGATAAGAGCACCAACCCGCATATTGAACACGGTGAGAAGCATTGTTTCATCCATGTCCCTCGGCACCTCAAGTGTTGAATACGCAGCCTCGGGAGACATGCCGCTGCCGCGCTCCTCCTCCCACGCCTTCTGCAACACAGCACTGGCTCTATCATCCGCGATGATGTGCAACGCATCGTTGAGGTTCCTCCGGATCTCCACGGCTCTATCCCCTTCCTTCCACGCGCGCTTGCGCTTGTCTCGCCACGCCTCCAATACGAAGGTATCATCCACGTCCGCATCGAGCTCCATACCGAGCTCGTTTTCCTTTCCAAACCCGAGCGTCGCTCCGGCGTCGATGAAATCCTGGAGGGTATAGCGGTTGCGCTCGCGCTCCTCGAGAAGGAGGGACTGCAGCTCCGTCGTGACCCCTCCTCCAGAGTCGTGCATCGTAAGAACGATGTGAGACAGGTGAGTGTAATAGAACATCGTGTGCGCGGGATCACATCGGCATTGAGCAAGATACGCGAACGCCAGTAACTCTGTGAAACAGGACTCAGGGAGGAGTGTCGTGATGAAGCCTTGCAAGCTCACCCCACGAGTATGACGAAGGCGTCATGCCGAGCGCTCTCCACGATGGATCGAGCGCATCTACGCCAAGAAGACTATCATGGAGAAGGCCGCGAGGGACTAAGACGACATTGAGCTACGTAGATGAGGCCAAAATAAACACTCACTCTGGCTAACGTGGGCTCCAATTGCTGTTTGGTATTCCTCGCGGGCACTGCTGTCCACGTTCACATGCAAGGGCAGGGGTTTATATTCGCCGAGGCCGTCCTCTGGAGAACGCATGAGCGATACTTCAAGGAAGGACTCGAGAACGTACTTGATGACTTATTGTAGACGGCCAGCCATGCGCCAACCTCTATCCACGCCCGCAGTAGCTTGGCGCGGGTGTGCTTACCTTCGGGCGTCGACGGCTCTATCTCTGGCGGACTCAGCGCGATCTCCTCGGTTGGCGAGTCGTGCATTGTATGAGCGAGAAATTCGACCGCAGCGAACACGTCCTTGCTGTGCGAGATCAGGATGTGCGACACGAATCATAGAGACTACGCACATAGTCGCGTTCCAACCGATTTTGCTCTGGAAGCGCGGGCGCGTCACGGGAAGAATGCGTACCTCGCCTTTCCACAGCCGGTTCTCGATGATGCTGCAAACGGTCAACTCAGTTCGACAAACGACAGGTGGTAAACCTACGTGAGTACTGTCTCCCAGCCCGTCAGGACGCTCGCCTTCGGCGTTCGACCCAGGGTCGGATGCGCGAGCTTGTCCCTCGTCAACTCCTCCACAAGCGTGACCGGAATCACTCCTGGGATGACGTCCGACGACATGCAGTACATTGAACACTGGCAGCACACGTGCAAGTCCAATAGCACCTCGTCCTCGCCGTGGAACGGCGGATTCAACTTCCGCGCATCCACCGCGCGCTCGTAAGTATGCCAATGGTGGGTCGTGTTCGCCTGCCCGAACGGCTGCTCTCCGCCCACGCACCGGCTCGTCTTCTTCCGCCGCGCCATGTCCGGGAGCTCCAGCGGGCGCTCCAGCGGGGGCAGCACGCTCGACGAGCGCCACAGGATGAGCACCCACCCGTTGTGCTCGCGGCAGTAGTACGCGTGCGGGTGCGGGATCGCCGTGCGCACCTCGTCCGCGGTCGGCGCCTGCGGGCTCATGGTCATCGGCAGCGGCTGCGCGACGCTCACCGAGTACAGCGTGTGCTCCGGGTCGTGCAGTATGTCCGAGAGCACGGGGGGCAGCACGCCCGGGCCGGGACGCTCACACCGCGCGCGCAGCTCCGCGTCGAACCAGCGTAGTTCCTCGTCGTTGCTCCGGCCCTCGATGATGATCTTCCGAGCGGTGTTCGAGCTGCCCCAGTTAGAGCTTTCCCAGACTTGCTCGGTGGGTACCCACGTGTTTTGTTCTCCCCAACTGTCGTTCCCCCACGAAGTGCTGTCCGGTGCGGAGACCAGTTCCGGTATGGGCTCGTCGTCCTGCGGCTCGTTAAACGCATAGAACGTCGGTGGAGGGGAGCGATAAGGCACTTCGGAGACTACTGTGGGCGGGACGTAAGTCGTGCGCGACGATCCGTGCGGTTTGTCGTTTTTGTAGAAGTATGCCGCGGGGATGGGCTCGTGAATCTGCTTGTTGCCCGCGTCGTCAGGCATGGAAGGAAGAGGACGAGGTGGCTGGTCAGAGCGTTGAGGGGTATGAGGGGGGGCGTCGCTGGAAGTCATGACGAAGAATGCACACGAGTGGGGCTAATAGTGGGTCATGCAAACGTCGAGGTTCCAACTTCCAAGAACAACGCCGTCTAACGCCACTGTTCACGGTAAGATTTCGAAGACGATGATCAGCGTACAAGATTCGGAGTAAACATGCTAACTGAGATGGCGGCATACCAAATAATTTTCAGGAGATCCGACGCGCAGTACAAGTAACCATAGCGGGGGGTGCCAATGATGACCAAGACAGAGGACATCAGGAGGATAGCGAAGGATGAGGAAACGTCTGCGGCAAAACACAGAGACACAAAGTCACCAAGCTGTAGTACATGTGCAGCTATGCACTGCTCACCGAATGTTACGGCGAAGGGCGGACACGCAACATCAGAGATCACCAAGACGGAAGTAAGACCGAGTTCAAGTTGTACGATTCGAGGGTACGATCGGACGAATCGTAGTGAGCATTTGAATCGTCTGAAACACTGGATACGCACCGAGATATGGCGAGAGATGTTCCAAACAAAAGTGCAGGCGATATGGGCTCAAGTACAGCTCTTCGAGATGTTCGTTGTGCGCAGACGCGACGCGATTACCATATGTGGACCGTGCGGACAGATATTGTAAAGTTCCCACGCTTTATCAGAGACTGGGCATCGGCGGCAGGCCGAGCGCGCAGGGGCGCGGCACGGGCGACGTGCATGACCGCGACGTGTTCAACAGCGTAAAGCGCCTTCACGAACGAATACTCCGATTATTACGGGAAAGACACGCGCAAGATTGCATGACCATCGGCCGTGACTATTCCACTCAGACCACCCTCCCTCTTGAATATCTACAACGGGTTAGAAACCTGGCGGCACCGTATGCATGATCTGTTGTGGTCATCTGCGTGGTTTGCGCCTGGGATGATGCATCGATGATGGAGAGAGCCTTGGCATGTCGCACATGGTCGCAGGCGTTTGGTGCGCAGTCGGTACCGTCAGCCGTAGTTCCCGGTAGGAACCAGGCACCCCGCGGCTTCGCCAGATCTCATCCTGCGTGGCCGCCATGGCTGCGATAATAAATAGATTCATTTGTTTTTACGACGGGGTTCTGCGTTGTGGTACCGGTGTTTGCAGACGAGGCGGTGGACACGCAGCAGGAGAGTCATCGGTGGTCTGGCGGAAGATGGCGGAAGGAGATCTGTGATCAATTAACGATGACCTGTAGTTACCATATTGGGCGAGCGTGCCTTGGCCCGGGAAGCCGACGTGGTAAGCTGGAGGAAGATGAGAGCGCTCGCAAACAGCCTCTGCTCGACGCCCGCCATCATCGTGGATATCGCGTCCGTCCACTCGACGCTCAAGAACCCCTTGAGCCCGCGTTATGGCCATTGCAAAATGGATTTCCTTCGGTGCTGCACAGTCCTCGAGCCCTCCACCCCCACCCGCCCCCGTACATCCTCCCGTGGTCTCCGGTGCAGATGCAAAGCAGTTTGGCTTAGAGAATGTGAGTAGCACCACTGTTCCTCGTGTCTCTAGCTCACCACTCATCCTCGTAGTTTGGGAATACATGGTGCGTACACCTTACCATCCTCGTCGCATCCACCGAGTGCTGCGCGAACGAACTGGGGCACACAATGGACAGAGACCATTCAATTCGCGGCACTCAGTGTCCGAGGCAGTCTCTCATACACCCCGTCGATCCTGCTTTGCCCGGTGTGAACGAAGAACGGGTTGTAATCGTGACCGGACCGAGAGCAGCCGTGCATGGCGACGTGTAGAGCACATCCCCTGCCGCCTGAGCAAGGGCGGATACTGCACGAGACACTCGCTTTCCAACACCACCTGCGAGTGACGATGTCGCATTATGAAGTTGTCTTGCCCATTGTACCCCGCCGTTCGTTCGGCTATGCTAGGGTACTTACAGCGTGCCCGCCCAGCATCGGAAAGGTTTTCTCATGCAGGTCGCGTCTCCTCCCTTTCGCTGTCATGTACCGTGTCTGAACGGGGCGGTCACGACCGGACCGGAGCACGGCCATGGCGGACAGGCTGCTTTCTCAGCTTGCCTCCCTTTGTTAGCTGCATACTAACTCTAATTAATTCCCGCAGTTATGCCAACTCTGTCCTCCAAGCCCTCTACTTCTGCGGCCCGTTCCGCGAACTCCTAGAGCAATACCCCGATCCCTCCGTTCCCGATGTCCCCGCTCCCATTGTTGTCCCTACCCCCGCGCCGCCCCCACCGCCCGTGCACGTCGCCCCGCCCAGCGTGCCCCACCACTCGCGACGCAAGGTCGAACGCAAGTTCTCCATGTCAGAGACCTCCTCGCAGACACAGGTGACCCTTGTGAGCCCCCCCGTTCCCGCTGCCCTGCCAATCCCGCCCACGCCGCCGACGCTGCTGTCTGCTCTCCGGTCGCTCTTCCTTTACATCAGCAGAAACCCGGCTGACAGGGGCACAGTCGCCCCACGTGCGTTTATTGAGAAACTCCGAGAGGTTAATGAGCTCTTCCGCGGGTCCATGCACCAGGACGCGCACGAGTTCCTCAACTTCCTGCTCAACAGGATCGTCGAGGAGATGGACGACGACCGCAGGAGCGGACTCGTGAGCGGGAATGCTATCGGAAACGGGAACGGGCACGCGTACGCAAACGACACAAACCCGTCGGGCGAAGATCGTGAGTGTTTCGTTCTTCGCGTCACGAGTATCAATTTACGTTGCTTCGCCGGAAGTGTCGACATCCATCACCACGCTATCGTCCGTGCCGGCCCCGGCGACCACTTCGTCCGCGTCCACATCACATCCTTGGATGTACCACTCGACGTTCGTCCATCGGCTCTTTGAGGGCGTGCTCACGAGCGAGACGCGCTGCCTCACGTGCGAGACCGTGTCCTCCCGCGACGAGTCCTTCCTCGACCTGTCGATCGATATAGAGCAGAATTCGAGCGTCACGGCCTGTCTCCGCCAGTTCAGCGCCAGCGAGATGCTGTGCCAAAAGAACAAGTTCTTCTGCGACTCGTGTTGCGACCTGCAAGAGGCCGAGAAACGGTGCGTGGATCACGTGGGTAAGGGCGCCTGTCGTACTGACGCGCAGATAGCATGAAGATCAAGAAGCTTCCGAATGTGCTGGCGCTGCATCTTAAGCGCTTCAAGTACCAGGAGGATCTAGGCAAGTATATCAAGCTGACGTATCGCGTCGCGTTTCCTATGGAGCTTCGGCTGTTCAACACTGTGGATGATGCCGACGACCCGGACAGGCTGTACGAGCTTTTCGCGATCGTCGTCCACATCGGAAAGTGGGTGGTGACCGTAGATGACTTCTTCGGATAGCTAACCTGCTTCCTCCGCCCAGCGGCCCGCATCACGGACACTACGTGACGATCATCAAGGCGCACGGCGCCTGGATGCTCTTCGACGACGACAGCGTCGAGACGATCAAAGAGTCCGAGATTTCAAAGTACTTCGGCGAGTGCAACTGCGGGTCCGCGTACGTACTCTACTATCAGGCCGTTGACCTCGACATGGCCGCCCTTGGGATCCGGCCTCCCCCGCCTCCGGCACCTTCTTCGACGGACCTCGGCTCACCTGCAGGCAGGACCTTGAATCTGACGGCGGAGCACAGCGAGCTGGAGCCGGGCTCCCCTGCTCTTCCCCCAGGACTCACGGAGGAGCCTGAAGTCTCAGACAGCGGCGACTCCCCCGCCCCTGCGACGCCCACCCCTGTTGCCCACCTAAATTCATTCCTTAATACACAAACCCACCCCAGCGAAGTTCCCTCCTCGCCTTTGCCGCCCAACCCCAGTCTCCCCGTCCCACCAAACGCACCGAACTCCCCACCGGCGCCAACCGCGGCAGGCCCGCTGGGCGGACTCTTCAACACGCTGCGGCACTCGCAGTCTGCGCGCGCGCGCCCGGCGAGCAGCGCGGAGAACCGTCGGAGCCTGCTGGAGCCCCCCGTGCCCTTCTTGCACTCGCACCCACCCGTCTCGATGCGCCGTCCGGCTACGGCGCAGCCCATCGCGTCGACCGCGGACAAGGGCCACCACGCGCATGACCTCCCCTCTGCACCCGGGTCCCCAGTCACGATGCACGGCGTCGTGAACGGGCTCGGGATCGCACTGGGCAACCCTGCTCACCACCACAGCCACACCGTCAAAGACAAGGACAAGGATAAGGACAAAGACAAGGAACGGGAGAAGGACAAGTCGCCGGAGAAGAAGGCGAGCATGTGGTTCAAACGCAAGTCGTCGCGCGTGGACTTTGCGTTCGGCGGGTCGTCGTCGGAGCGCCCGCGCACCGCAGACAGCTCGGCGTGGTTCCACCCGTCACACAAGGACGCCGTCAGGACGGCGGACTCCGGCGTGTTCGGCCGCCCGCAGGCGTACCCGCTCTCGACGCCGTCCTCGCCGGTCTCGGGCGAGGCGACGCCGTTCTTCCCGCGCCCGGAGCACAAAAAGTCGTCGCCCGAGCTCGCGCGTGCGAAGGGCAGGGGGACCAGCCTGACTGGCTCGTCTGTGCTATCCAAGCTTCCCCCGCGGCCGTCGACGGCGGGCGCGACGATGTCGCGGTCACGGCCGATGTCTAGCTACGTCCCTCCTGTTCCCGCGTTACCTTCCTCGCCCGCCGTCAATGGCAGTGCGCTGCCTGCGGAGCATGGGAGCGTCAAGGGCAAGGAGCCCCAACGTTCCGCTGAGGACGCTGCTGCTGCTGCGCTGCGTATCCACCACTCGCCACTGTCCACTGCTCCAGCCGTTGCTCCGTCGTCGTCAACCGGCACGGCAAGCACCAGGAGTATGAGCACCAGCGTAGCGGATAGTCAGGCTCCTTCTTCGAAGCACCACTGGAGGCGGAAGCTGAGCCTCACGGCGCCCATGCTCGGTTTTGGCCGGAAGGACCGGGAGAAGGACAAAGACCGGCAGAGAGAGAAGGACCAGGTGCCGCCGACCTCCTTCGCGCGGTGACGCGTTGTATTTCCAGATGCCTCTCCACCTGCGCGCTAGACAGCCTTGACCTCTTTTTATCACCTTCGCTTTCATGCTTGTTTTTCCCCTTTTTTGGTTTGTGCTTCTGTACTCTGGGCCCGCGTGCGCGCCCCGTTGTCTGACGCAGCCGCGGACCGTTGGGGTACGTCGATGGCTATGGCTATGGACTCGATTGCATATACCTACACTCTGCTCCGCTATATCTACAGCACAATGTATATATTATTACCCGCATAATGAATATGTATTGCTTCGTCCGTCGTCATCCATATTCCGCTGTTCAATTCTGTGATCATGGTATCATAATGCCTGTACCCCCCTGACTTCTTGCCACAAGTCTCGTCCGCCTTACAGCACACTCAATTTCAAGAGTACACTGTTAGTATACAGCACGACAGCACTACGACATTAGAGGGTATACTCTACTTGGGAATAAGCACTACTCTCTAATCACCGGACTTACCTCTTGCTCTGGACGGACTCGTTTCAGGTGCCGGCTGTTCCTGCGAAGAAACGCACGACTCCGCAAAGGCTCTTCTGCCCCTCACGACCCACCAAATGCTCCTTCCACACCAGATGCCAAAATTCCACAGCCTATGGAACCCGAAGACGAGGTACTGCAGGCTGATGAGCGTGCCCGCGACGCAGGACATCACCAGCACCGCCGTGGGCCACCTCGTCCACGCCACGCCGAGGAGGAAGACCATCAGCGCAACCGCGGAGAGGAACATGAAGAGCGTGGGCAGCCTGCAGGTGAGGCAGAAGAAGAAGTACGAGTTGTACACGTCTGTCGCGAGTTTCTGTGGGCGACGTTCTGAGCAAGTTAGACTCGGGAGATGAAGAGTGCTGGTCCGCACCTGGAACTTAGTGGCGTTCGCGCCGCTGTATAGGAAGAGGAACCACGCGTCAAACACGATTCCAAGGCCTGCTGAGATGGCTCCAAACGCAACCACACGTTGCATGGCCCCGTCTGTGTCGAACAGCGTTCCGGGATTGAAGCCAAATACGGCTGCATCAATTCTGCATTACAGACGATAAGCACGGGAGGAACGATGATATCAAGGGAGAATCGGCGTACCCAGCTAGAGCCAGAAGCTGACGAGTCATCGATTGTCAGTCAATGATGTCGCCGCACTGAAGACATCACCTACCGATGCACCCACGACGTACCATTCGGTCAGCAGTCGCCCGAGGACTTTCTCAAAGTCACACTCTAGGGTCGCCTCTTGAAGCTCGCGGTACGGTGTAAATATGTCGAGAATGCTTTCCGCGAGGGACAGCGGAGTCTGCATACTAATCTGATCGACATAGCGGGGCAGCATCATTGACGAGAACCACCCTCCGCTCTCTTTGCTGTCATTGAACTCGAACGAGTTATCCTCGAACGAGTCGTCCTCTCTAAAAGAAGGGAAGTATTCCTCGTGTGGTGTCGATGGGCCCGACGACTCGCATGATACTGAGGTGCATGGGTCGTCATCTGAGCCAATTCGGTATCCCTGAATTCGCCGCCGTCGTCTTCTCCTGAGTTGGTTACCAACGTCGACGGAATCGGTCTTCAACTCTTCGTTGCACGCTTCCCCGCTCGGAGGGGCTTGATCCACGTCAAAATCTTGCGCCCAATCAGATTCCTGACTTACAAGTGTGCAACAATGTCACGTACCAGACGCGGCCTCAGAGTCGTCATCACTCACATTACTTGAGCTTGACGACGACGACGACGCATGTAATGCGGCGGAAGATGGTGGAGTAATTAGATACGACGGTGGATGGAGTCTGACTGTGAGTACTGCATAATGTAGCTGCCGCCCACGGACGGTCGGACTCTTTTTTTGCGGTCCCGGGCAGCTCAGACGCAGATCCAGATCTGCGGTGATGACATCATAAGAGGCTGAGGCATACAGACCCACGGCATCTGGGGACTCACTTGCACCAGGACTGTCCTGCTTTTTCAGAAGCTCTCCCAAAGATATATATACAGACCCAACGAGATGACGCTTCTTCCGATTTTTGCTTTTGCTGTGCGATTTATGCCATACGCGGATGTCGAGCTTAGACTCGATACCTACATCACGCCTTAGGACACACGCAGGCCGTCGTTAGTTTCACGCGGACATCAATCAGAACCGCAACGTAACACGACTCACAACAGCAATGGCATTTTGAGGTTTGGATTCTGTCCATCGGACCCGAGGATAGTCTCATGCGTCTGCTCGTTCCCCATCACGAAAACGGAGACGATAGGTCGCCATGACTTCTCCGGGCGTACAAACTGTAATCCTTTGGTGCAAACGACTTCCAACGCCGCTCAGTCAAAAGGACATATGATGCTGCGGAAAGCGCATACTGGTCAAATGCCAAGTGCTGTATCGGGAGAGGTCAGTCCAACTACGTGTGAGGGAAGGGCTGATTCATACTCAGAAGGATGCGATGCCTGCATTATACGGACGAGTCAGTCGAAATCTTGCCAACGAATATCCTATGCGTTCGCCGCAGTGGGATATTCTCCGGTACAGCCCGGCGAGACGATGAACCGGGCGCTTCGAACTTTAGGATAGTACGTCTTCGTGCGACGAGTACAGCACAACCAGAGTTGCAAAGGCAGCGGCCAGAGGAGACCACAATATTGAACGAGGGTCGCAAGCTCAGCTGGGCCTCATGAGTGGCAGCGGCGGTGCAGTGGGACCGAAAACAGGATGGGCGCTGGCAATCCGGTGTCAGGCGCTGGCGGTGTACAGTCACTGCCGCCAACGTCGGAGTCATATGAAGCTGCGTAACTCCAATACCTACTCCAAGTTCCAGAAGGCGTGATGCACAGATGCCCTTCAAGAAACCTCAGTATTGCCCTGAATTGCCTCAGGAACCGCCGTGCATGCTGCTAGGTATCAGTTGGGCAGTATTCTTAGGCGCTTATTTAATATTGTACGTCCATCGATGTCGTGACACGGTAAATCTTGTCTTTTTGTTTGCATCCGTGCTGACTACAACAGTGTCGCAGAAGATGTGGGTTTCGCTGCCAGCTTCAAGATCATCGTGATCATCATTTGTCTCCGCGAAGTGGCGTCGCACAAGTTGCCATCATGAACGATGGCCAGAATGGGCATCGTCGGGAGGCGCCTTTTGCTCGTTCAACAATGTAGTCTTTTGTCAAGATCTCACTGAACGCTTCAAGAACAATTGCAAAGATCTACTAGAATAAATATCCTGGTTTCCTCCTCCTTCAGATCTCGTCGGAATACAAGAATATGGCTGTCTTCAGAGTGTCCCCGCGGGCTACAAGATCAAGGTTGACATTGCACTTTGCCATCCACTCAAGCCTAGTGCCCCTTCTCGTCCGTCTCCTTCTTGGTTCTGTGCCGGTCACAGTAAACGATGGCACTTCCCCTCAAGTCCATGGACTTCCTTGTTACCCGTCATGACGTTGCTAATGACAAGCCATGTTACATTGACAAGCTATCTAACGACATACTTGTAGACGAAGTTTTTAAATACCTGGATGCATTTGACATCTTACGCCTACGACAGGTGTGTCGCTGATACTCGGTGCTGAATTTGCTCAATGTCTAACGTATACTACAGGTCAGCAGGCTGTATTATTATCTCACTCATCACTCCGCCATCTGGAAACGACTGTTACGAACTATCGACGTCCCCATCCCCCCTTTCCCTCCTTCTGCAAACTATTCACTCGAAAAACTCACCGGCTTTGAGGTCGAGCGCGCAGTCGTGCGTGCGGTATCGCTTGAACGGGACTGGAAAAAGGAAAAACCCGCGTACCGAATGTGGTGGAGTTTCTGCGCCCACCACGAAGTCCTCTCCATGGTCATGTTACCAGGAGGGCGTTATCTCATCGCTTCTGTGTCCGACAAGAAGCGGACGCGCTACTCAATCGTGCTCTTCGCCATGGACTCCGTGCTAGCAGGAGCCTTTGCCTTGGCAAAGACGAATACAATTACCGAAGCTTACAATCTTCAGGCAAGATACATGACTATTCAAGGCGAGCGCGGCATAGTTATCTCTTACGTTCGCAAACGCTGCAAAAAGAGGACAAAGAAAAGGTCTGTTTGTGTTAGAATTCCCGAAGATCTGTGCGCTAATTGTATGATTTTCAGTGCCAGTTCATCTGAGCACGGTGTTGACAAAGAAGAGCCTTCAATCAAATATCATGAATGTATCTCACTTCATGTCCAGCTCTCCTCACTTGATATTCTCGTAGACAGCCGGCTTGAACCTGGCTCAGAAGAATTCATCGAGTTTGCCAAAGCTCAGCCTCCCCCTTTCCAGATGCTCGCCATGGTTCGCGCGAGTGCTCCCTTGGGCGTGCCCTCCCTCGATAATATTTTTGGATCGCCGTACCTGGCGATCCCTCAGGGCAACAACAAAATCGTCTTCAAGAACCTGAATGGCGGCGCGGGGTCCACGTTGAACTGCGGACCTACTGCTGTTGCCCCCATCGAGGTGCGCCTCATTGTCAAGGCTCCGCTTTCTCCCGCGGTTGAAGTTGTGCTGATCCACACATTGCAGAAACATACCATACTTGCCATCCGCCTCGTCCCCGCAGGAAACAAAATTCTTGTGGCACGCAGGATCTGCCCGGACAATGCGGAGCCTCTGCTCAGCGTCGAATACTTCAATGTCATCATTTCGGGTAAAGTCTCAACCGAGGTCCATCAGTTCAATACGGACCAGATGTTCTCCTTCGATGCGAACGCAGAGATCGCCCAGATATCTGACCACGGCATCCCCCCGAGGGAGGACGACAGCGTCATGGGTGACCTGTACGACTGCCCGGAGGTATGCACGCCCCGCCCTATCTCGGTCTATTTCACCCTGAAGAGCGGACCGATCCTGCTACGCTTGACACTCTTTCCCAAACGCAAAACAGACGCACCTCCGGCGTCATCCCCAAAGGGCTCCCCCACCAGTCCCACATCGCCCACACAAACACTCTCACACGCACGCACGTACGGTGCATACAAGTACCCTCTGCCAGAACTCCGGATCTTGTCGTATCTATCCTGGGATTGCCATGGCATGGAAGTGCGCGTCCTGCCCGGGTCTTACCGTGCCATCGCGTACCTCGTAAAAAAGGGCAAAGATGGCGACGTCCCATCTGTCAGTCATTGCTTCCGGTACTACGACCCAGCAAGCCGCTCAGCAGACGCAGCAGCGAATGTAGACGAGTTGGACGCCGCAGCAGTAGAGGCGGTGGTGAACGGCCTGCAGCCGCCCAAGAGGGAAATCGTCAAGCAATTCCGTATCCCGCGCCGGGCCTTGAAGTCGGTCAGGGCGCTCGCATGGGACGAGAACATTGGCCGGCTGTGTATCGCAAGCGGAGATGGTACCTGCATTCAAGTCTTTGATTTTGCACATGCGTCGACAGTGGGTGAGTGGGCTGGCTGTCTCTGTTTAAGCGTCTGGGCAATGCTGATGTTCGTGTCAGAGCATACAGACGAGGGTATCGAACGCTGGCCTGTCCCTGTACATCTGGACCCGAATCCCGATGCGATCCTAACTCCTCGTCCGATGCTTCCAACCAAGACGGGCTTGGGAGAGTAAGGATGGTGAATGGGTGCTGTCCGCGAAGCAGATGTGATGCCAAAGGGCCGGCAGGCATGATAGCTGCCATGCAGCTATAATATCCGCCAAGGCTTTTTTGCCTTTCATTCGTCTCGCGTGCAGTTACGTTGTTTGACCTCAGGGGGCTTCGGTAGCTATCCCAGAGCATGCTCCTCAACGAATCCGTCACGTATTTTTTTCGGCTAATATGTTTCTGCGATATCTACTGAGACTTGGCGCGAATACGCTTCAAATATATTCTCATCAGCTGTCACGCTGAAGGTGATTTGGATTCCTCGAAAAGCAAAGAATACTCTGATCTCAGATATGATGTGGGTAGACGCGATCACGTGCACCGTACTAACGATCAAGTTGGGAAATACAAGCCGGGACCGCACGCTCTGCACCGACCATGCTGACAACTAAGGACCTTATACTTGAAATTGAAAACGAGCACGGTAGACTTGCTTGCGGACCTATTCGCACCTTATGCATGCCTCGTTGCATTGTTCTGTTCAGTCGCCGCTGCTATACCGGTCTACGGCAAGTTGCCTTTGCTCCAGATATTGTTTGAGAAAATATCATGTACTTGAAGGCAGCGGCATGCTTTGTACTTTCAACGATCCTAGGATACCTTCGATTATCTCTACTAGCGACGTGCTTCAACTATCTTCTGCTTCTCGTTTATTCTCTGAGATAGTTTCTCTCCATCATACGCGTCTGTGTGCATGCCAACTCTTCTAAGACGGGACCTCTTCCTTCAGCCAACCGTTGGCGGTGCACCCTTCCCTCCTAAATAGGATGCATGCCATTTGTGTACGGCGAGGTGAGGTATCTATAGAAATCCTATAGCAAGCCTGGTTCACTGTAATTTATACGTTAAATTCTTAACAGATGCTAATTACGGATCTCAAACATCCATCTCTATACAGTGGCAAGCCTATAGCCCTTTTTTGGATTGTCGTAGTCTTTCTCTGTGCACTAACTGAAATCTTAGTCTCGTTGTAAGAGCACATCTTCGCCTCTGCGATAACAGGGACATTGCTCACACCAACGATCAGGTGCACGACGACGGAGAGCTCTGTCGCTGCCAGAGCACGGAGAAGTCTAGCCCACCACTCGAGGATCCGGAGGTCCCGCTGCTCAAGAGGTAGAGCTCGTTGAGTATGGCTGCATTTGTAATGTGGGCAGAGAGCCCATCAAGTATGCACAAATACTTATGCTATTTAAGCTAGAGGCGCGACGGGATATATATTCCACAGGTACAGGAGGAACATCATGGAGGATGCGCCCCATTTCAAGGCCCCCGCGCGTCCTTTAAGCTATCTGCATCCCACACATAATCCTCTGTGTCTAATTCATCCTCCTCTTCAGCTTCCTCCTCTTCGTCTTCCTCCTCTTCCTCCCATTGCTTCTCTTCCCTCTTGGCTTCTTCCTCTCCTCCTTCGCCTACATCCGGACGCTTTCTCTGTGCCTCTCCAACCTGAGTCTTCCCGTTTCTTTGGCGCCTTTTCACCACGCCGTCGCCTAACAACTCCGCCAACTGATGATCTAGCCGCCATCGAAGAGTGACATCGTTTTCTATCCCCAGCGACTCGGAGTTGAGTTTCTCAACGAGCTTGTCCTTGATCTCTGGCGTGTTGAACTTCTCGTACAGCGTCTTCGCATGGAGCATTGCAAGGCGAGCCAGAACAGTTGCATAATGCCATGATCCTATAGCAACGGTGAGGTTTATCCGTTCTGCTTGACGCTCAAAGAGTTCAACTCGCTGCATAACATCAGTTCAAATAGCCATGGTTCGAAATGCGGCGACATACATTGTCATCTGTCCATGCGGCAGACAGATTGATTACTGGGCCATCCGTCGTCCCAGCGAAGACCGGATATTTGATGATACCAGCAGCCTCTAGGAATCTCAGCAAGGCAGCGGAGTACATCCTAGTCTGATTGTGACCCTTCGCGATGTCAGTGTGATCCTTCTTGTACTCGAGAGAGAAGACAGGGAGCTGCAGTATAGAAGCTGGCCCAACCTTCGGATTCTTTGCCTTCGACGATTGCCCAGATGTCAAACACTGACGGCGAGCATGCATTTTCCGCATCTCTTGTTTGAGTCGGTTGCCTGGAGATTCGTCGTATAGCTTGTCAGTCTTGCAGCCGGTCGCATTCGCAATATTGTAGTCAGTCGACTGGGCCTTTGACTTAACGGAAGATACGATGGGATCGGAACTCACGGACGGAGTCTTCTGGGACGCAGAGCTAGATGCAACGTTCCTCGAGCCCTCTCGCCGAAGGTCCAACACGCGTGCATGAGCTGCAGGGCCGTCTGCAGTCTGCGGCCGGTGGAAAGGGAAGTGCGATGCCACGTCTTTCTTGGCCTTTGGTTTGGCCACTGCGGCAAGCTGGAATTTATTGAGCAAGATCCGTTTCACGGGCAGATCAACTTGAAGGACACCGAGGCCATCACACTTTCCACGAAGGGGGGAGTCGGAGAAACGAGTTAGTAAGTCTTGGAGCGTTTGGCGTGATTCCCACCGCACAACATGAGCTTCAACCTGGTGTCTGTTCGTGGTCTCCTCTGCACGTTTTTCCTCGCTGAGCCGATACAGTTCGTCAAAGTATCTCTCGGGGACTTCTTGGACATGGCGGGAGTACCGAGCAGCATTCGTTCCATGGTAATCCAGAGCGAGACTCCTAGGCAATGCAATCATAGTCTCTATTCTGTTGAGTAATTGTTATCAGTATATATATTCAGCGGCACATGAAGGAGGTGACTTACGCGGCGACCCTGAGAGGTTGTAAGTCACGGACAACATTAGCTCTTTCAGTGAACAAACTGGGTTGACCGGCAATCGCGCTGGTAAAAAAGTCTCGGAATAAACAATCGAAGTCGGCACGCCACGACACCTCAGGGACTGGAATGACTGAAGCTGCGTATCTTTGCTGATACATCGTTGCCCTGAGAATAGTGGAGAAGTGACCTCTAAGCAAAGGAAGGATTTCTTCGGGGACGTCCGGCCAATCCATTCCGAGAGTGTCAACTTCATGCAGGAGCTCATCTTTGTAGGAGCTGAGGTATTCGTCTGCAAAAGGTAAATCACCCTAAACTGTGTCAGCGTATATTGGGAACTTAACAGAAAAGCTTCCGACTCACGACTGTCTTCCAGTTCTTGGGCCACATGGGCCCTAGGAATTCTTTGCATGTTTCTGCCACAACTGGATTGAACCAGATTGGACGAGGCGTGGCATGACGGTCAAACATATAATCGAACATAATATTACTTTGTTCATCTTTCGCGGCGTTTCCGGCAAATCTTCACATGAGTGGTGAATGGTGAGAGACGTGATCTATTACAGACTACGACACCTACTCAGAACATGACATAGCCTTTGTGGCTAGCATAAAAGGCTTGGCACGTGTTTCTCTGTTTGCGTCCTCGTTAAGCAAGGAATCAACGACGGCAAAGTGGGAATACTTGCAATTTCTGATCGCTTGACGTATCATGATGCACACTACAAGTGAATCATCAGCCAGGGTCAAGAAGCAAGCAGTAGAAATTTACTCTGTGGCGTTGCCGGGTAACTTCCGCTGCTGGCTCGATGTGGACTTCGCAGAACCGAGGGATCTGCAAGTTGACAGCATTAGAAGCATATCATGGAGGTAGTAGACTTACTTACCCTTGACGAGTCGCATTCTTAACTGGCTCTCGGGACCTACAATTCAGGATGTTAGAGTCATCACGACAGCAATGCGCAGTATAAATTACTCACTTCCCATGGCTTGAACCTTGAGACTTACTAGACATTTGGACAAGTGAAGTTATTGTGGTAAGGAGAATGGCTCGATAAGAGACGTACTCGTCCTCATATTTATACCCAAGCGCTTCCGTCCATGACAGAATTCTGTGGAAACAGTCTTCACCCGTGACAACAGAATCTGGGATCAAACTGGTATCAAGGCGCCACAATGGAACACAGTCTCGGCAGATATCCTCGACTAGATGTGGCACTGTTTCCTTGACGATCGTGGTGACTCTCGACAGTAAGCCTTGTAGGGTAAGGATAAATCGAGATAGTACTAATGCTTCATGAGGCAAAGCCAAATCAAGAAATGCATCTGGTCCCAGGCTGCCGATGTGGACTGGAAGCTGTAAAATATCGGTATTAATCAAAATGCCACAATAGAACACTGTATGAAATACTCACTAGGACGTTCTCCGAGGCTGCATCATTTTCTAACCACCCACAATAGAAATGTACGTATGTGCCCGTCTTTGAGTACGCCACACCTATGATCGGTACAGTGAGTGTCCATACTTGCCTTTGTCGGAGGATGCTGGTCATGACAACCGGGAAATCATCTTCCTCTGCCATGCATAGAATCGGCAGCAAGCACTGCTTAGGGATCTTCTGTGATGAAAGGTATGTCAAGATATGAGCGTTCAATTGTGCTGGGCACTGATTCTCGATTGTCTCCGAATCAGGGATTGAATCTTCTGTAGAATGCTAGACTGTTGTCCACGCCAAAAAGAAGCATAAATTTGACGAACGTAATGACCTAACAGTGTTTGGACCTGATGATTCGTCGTTAGGCTCGTTTGGTTGAACTGAGGTGGCATGATGTGATTGTTCTTCCAGTGACTCGGGATGAGATGCACTCCCTTGAGTAGCAATTGTCAGCGCTTCCTGCTTCTACGATGCTAGGGTATACAAAAGAACGTACGAAGAGATTGTGCTATACTCGGCTCCGCGACCGTAGATGACTCGTCCAACTCATCGATCGTTTCACTGTCATGTTGTGGTTCTGACAACTCCGTGACAACTGACATCAGCAAGGGGGCTCGGATGTCATTAGCAATATATCCAAATAGTGGACTCAGACGGGTGTTGGACAGGCGAGGTAATGCGACCTTAGCTCCTTCACTAGATAAACTTAACTCAGAAGCGGAGACTCAACATGAGGCACCTGGTTATGCTCACCTGATCACTAAATCTGGAGTATCAGGAGACATCGCATTGCGGACTGCAACCAAGAGAAATGACTCTTTTGAGTCAACATTACCGGAAACATTCTCGGTGGCAACGATGTTCCTCAGTCTGAAGCAGTCGCTTAGCGTAGTGCCGAACATCCTTCTGAACTGGGTCTCCAGCGTCGCGTCTGCTCCAATGATCATGTCCATTGATTTACCGCTGCCATGATCTGGATTGCGCAATTCGTCTAGCAACGGTTGAACCAGAGGATTGATGGGAGGGTGCGGTCCCTGGATTTCAGCAGTGAGCAATCCTGCCAGCATTAATGAACAAAATCAATAATTACGGTCTCCACCCAAGACGGGAGCACTCTACTCTGAAGTAGCAAGTTGCACAATGATTGCACATCAGAAGGCCACGATTCGTCTCTGCCCTCGCTATAGGCGTGGAAAATGAACTCATCTTTGAGCACATCGAGATACTGACAGTAAGGGTCCATCTGTGTAAAGTGCTAGGAAAAGAGAGATGGTACTTACTGAACGATGGAAACAAACCTTTTATGTTTAAGGATGCGGAGAAGCCGCGGCGATTGTTTGAGCTTACGTGCGTTCGATCGTGGAGCGCCGCCAACTTGAAAGTCCACACAAGGCACCACAATTTCATGATGGCACTTAAGACGCAGAAAACACATAAAAATCTGTAGTGGCTAGAGACAGAAAAAATAATCACCCGGCAAAAGAAAATACAGTATCCGAGTACCAGTACCTGAACGTCGAGCGCTGAGCATCGATACGAACAATAGGTAAATTCAACGTAACAGTAGTGTGCCGTTGATGTACTTTCCATTCAGACACGCAGTGCCTGCAGCGGCAACTGCGGTAATGACGCCCAAACATCTTCTCCCTCTTGCACTAACGTACCATTGATGTCTTTCGAATCTCCGGGAACCTCAGAGTACATTCGCGATAAGAAACAAACATAGAAGTCTGTGGAACTTTTAGAAAACAGTACCGCAGCACAGAAACTGAGGATTTGGTGAAACAATATGTACAGATGGCGACGGAGAACCTTCGCCGTTGAAGTCTTCGTCTGGCTCCGTTGCACCACTGAATTTTGAGACAGCTGCTTGGCGACATGACATCCACGTTTGTACAGAATTTGATGGGTGAACGAGAAGCGGTTACGGAAGGAAGAAGGTCTGGAAGATATCACTTCAGCATTGTATCCTTGCAGTTGCCGAGATGATTATTTGGCAGAACGTGAACATAACAAGGTGTGGCGGCGGGGCCTCCACGAGGCGCTCACCTCCCTCCATCGTGCATGCGCTCTTCATAAATACGACGTCGGCGCCGACTGAGCGCTACCTTCAGTCTGGACTGAATGTCCAGGGTATCAGAAAGTGATACGATCACGATTTAAGGACGATTGTACCTTTTAATGCCTTCGTGGAAGGCCACCTCGTCAGCGTTCTCGCCACTGAATATCGTTCCGTTACGCATATCCGTGTGCGCAGGGATGACAAAGTCTGAGTTTCTATGCGCCTTCACCGCTGCGATAGTGCACTCCACATATGTGTCCATGTCCACAATGTCTTTCCCCGACAGTTGGCCACAACGTTTCGCTTGGAAGGAGACATCAGTATTTCGGTCGTTCGCAGATCGAATACAATGACATACGGAATGCCTGATCATCGATATGGCATCCGGAGACACCTGTATCGTCCTCGTTCACCTCGTTCAATCACGGAAAGGTTCCACGAGCGTCAACTACATAAATGCTTTCTGAGTAGCCCAATGTCGTCACGCTGTCTCTGGTGGAAATCCATAAAAGCATCTCCGTCGAGCTGGCGAGTTGGCTCCGCAGTTGCTTGTTTTAATCTGACAGCTGATCGGAGATGCGTCCGCTGCAGTACTAGTGACCGTGACGGGGTTGCGCACTTTTGGCGCCTGTGAACTATAGATCAAGATCCCAGGCTTGGATACCTCTTTCTACGTGGATAACGCCGCTGACAAGTGCACGATTGAGGACCTGAGGGGCGACCAGCGTATTCCTCCTCTCTTTCATCTCGACGTAGATTGGTTCGGGGAACGATTCCATCGGTGGCAGCAGCTGCATGTGATAGACTCCGGGACGTCCACGCGGTACGATGTATCCCACTGGCGAAGGAAGAAGAACGTGTATAACTGTTCCGTGGATAGCGACTGAGATAACATACAGTACTTTGGGAGGACAACTCCCGAGCCACGACAGGTGACCACCGGTCAGTGAGATGATCCGTTTGAGTTCAGCGATTGGCATCCCTCTTAAGCTTGTGAGTTTCTTGGCGGATGTACTCCACCTGCAATTGTTTGACGGGCACAATTGGTCGGTTGTCATTCCGACTTTGAATTGACACGGGTAGGCGTATAATTTGAGGTGCTGGCTGTGGCTTCCGTACTTTGCTCTATTCATTATGAGTTCGCTCAAAATTTTCGACATTGCCGGGGGCTGAGATGAGGTCGTTGCCAGCACTGGCGTCAACTTGGCGTCCAGGTCGGTTCAGCGCTTACTGTGGACTTAGCGCTCACTGTTAGCGGGCCGGATGAACGACTTCTATTGAGTAGGCACGATACTCACACCGGAGATTGTTCACCTCTCTCTCTTCCTCACCACCATGTGCAGGCGCTCAAACTCAAAGCGTTCTTGCTCATTGTCTGACCGTCTATCTGCAAAGTCCGAGACTGCTCTGATCTATCGTGACTTCCACAGGCGCGTCCCATCGATATCGTTCTCATCTCGAGCTCGCGCATATCCATATCTACTGCAGCCGGACGTCTCTTGGGCCCGACCGCAGCGAGCTTGCCCAGTCCGGACACATTTCTCAGCAGAACTAGTGCCCCCGAGCCCACACCCTACTCAGCAACGTTGTGCAGGATGGGTCAGCTGATAACCGGGAGGGGGTGACAAAGCAGCGATGGGCCAGTTCTCAGACCTCATAAATTGGGGCACGGAACAGACATTCGGACAGGCTTGGCGTCCCACTGTCAACCAGACCAACATGTCGATTAATATTCCTCAGACTACACGCGAGTACCATCTCCCCAAGGTGCGCTTTACTGCAGTGGTGTGCACTCCGCCGCCTGACGGGACGGGCGAAGGTGGACGGGTACCATAACCTAGTCGTCCAAGAGGCGCCGTTGCCTGCCCCAAGGGCATTTGAAGTCCTCGTAAAGGTGCACGCCGTGTCCCTGCAGGTTCGTACCTCGCTCCATGCGCGTCAGCCCTACCGTCCCCGTGTTCACCTCCGCGTTCCGATACGTTAGTATCGCGACTTGATGGTCGCGACGAGCAAATATCCGCTCGGCCAGAAACCAAACGTCGTCCCATGCTCGGACATGGCGGGCGAGATCCTCGCCGTCGGCGAAGACGTGCGCACTTGGGCCGTTGGCGACCGTGTCTGTGCCAACTTCGCGGTGGACCACGTCTATGGCGAACTCACGGACGAGGCTAGGCTCTCCGCGCTTGGCGCGCCCATTGATGGTGTCTTGACGGAGTACAAGGTCCTTCCAGCGCACGTTAGTCGTCTGCTCGTCTTGCTCACCGATAGACGTGATTAACGAAACTTGCGCGGAGGACAGTGCCTCGTGCGCGTTCCGGAACACCTCTCCTACGAGGAGGGATCGACTCTGCCGTGCGCCTTTCTCTGATCTTCCTATATGCGCCTCCCAACTCCAGATGACACAGATGTGCAGGGCTCACTGCGTACAACGCGCTGCTGGGCCCCGTCCCGCTCAAGGGTGGTGACACGGTCCTCGTCCAAGGCACCGGCGGCGTCTCCATCTTCGGGCTCCAATTTGCGGTCGCGTCCGGCGCGACCGTCATCGCGACATCGTCCTCCGACGAGAAGCTCGAGATCGCGCGGCAGCTCGGCGCGGCGCACCTCATCAACTACCGGAAGACGCCGGACTGGGCGGACGAGGTGATGCGGATCGTACGTGGACCTCCTTGTGCGTGACGAATGACTAATGCGTGGAGTTTTGGCGCGGGCAGACGGGCGGTAAGGGCGTCAAGTATATCATCGAAGTCGGCGGGGCCGGGACGCTGATGCAGTCTGTACGCTCGATCGCGTATGGCGGGTGGATATGCGTCATCGGGTTCGTTGCGGGAGTGAGTCGTGCACCGCATCCGTGCCCGGTTCGTACTGAAGGCGGGACTTCCTCTTGCGCAGGGCGGCGACGTGAGCCAGCTGCCGACGGCCGTGCTGACGCGCTGCGCGATGCTCCGCGGGATCGTCGTCGGTCCGCGTGTTCAGTACGTCTGCCGCGCTTCCTGTTCTGTGCGAGTACTCATCTCCCGTAGGTTCGAGGCGATGAACGAGCTGATCAGCGCGAAAAAGCTCAAACCCGTCGTGGACAAGGTGTTTGCGTTCGAAGAGGCGAAGCAGGCGTACGCGTACCTGGAGAGTCAGAAGCACGTCGGGAAGGTCGTTATCAAGGTCTCGAAAGATTGAGCTGGGTGAGATGGCGATTCGGTCGACGAATGCGGTTACTTCATGCAACTTAGGACGTGAGTGTTCATTTTGATTCGGAGCAGGGAAGCGGTTCTGATTCTCCCACCGCTCCTCAGATGTTACTATGTCACCCTGTATTTTTGACGGTATTTACAGAAGTATGTAGAAGACAATACATTTATAGCGATCCGATGTGCCCATTGACAAGCAATGCACGAAGTCCTTTCAAATCAAACATACCACAGGATCTGTGCGAGTCTGGTGCAGCTCCCTCGAAACCAGCGAACTGCTCGATCGCTGCCTTCACGAAACCCGGCAGGTCTAATTTCCTCGTGAAGATGCCCACGTTCATTGTACGAACGGCGTCTTAACAGACTGCTACGGACTCTCGACCGACCCGATCGAAAAGCATAATCGCCGATGAGACATATAGAGAGATAGACGTTGCACGCCTCCGAAATGAGGACTCAAGACAGGAGACGGAGATAACGTGAAACTGATCCATGAATATAATACAACGTGAAGTCTGTGCTGAGACTACTGTACAGGTGGGAGGACACAACAAACCAACGTTGGATTAGTTGGTGAACAACGCCTCGTCGCCGTCGAGCGTGAGGGTGTCGATGCGCGGGGAGCCGCCCTCTTCGCGCACGCTGTGGAAAAATGAGTATAGTACGCGCGATGAGCTACCACGTTGCTTACGATGCAGCAGCAGTGACCTCAGCTTGAGTCCCTGAGTTCTTCTGAGCCCACGCAAAGCGCGTGACCGGCTAAAGTACGAATCAGCGCGACCGACGGTCAAGTAGTGGATTACAAACGCACATGACCGGGCTCTGTCGTATCCTGCGCCGAAAAAGTGGCGGTATCCGGGTTCCACTTCTTCTGCAGCGCGAGGATGCTCTCCTTCAAGCCCGCCTTGTCGACCTCGTTCCCGGCAACGACACCGGTGGCGTCCTTGGTGAACATGTTGTTGAAGCGGGTGCTGAAGAGGTCAATAGGCCCGGGGCCCATGCGCAGACCCAGCGGGCCAGGGTTCTTGAAGTGGATGTAGGGCGAGTTGAGGAGGGTGGTGAGATGCTCCTGGAGCCACTCGGGAGAGGCGGAAGAGGCCATGACGCTCGTGTTGGAGATGGTGGAGAACGTGGGCAGGGCGACGAGCGCGGTCTGTTGGGTGCGAGCGGGGATGGTGGAAGAGAGGAGGAGAGAGAGGAGCAGAAGGTGGCGGTTTACTTTGAAGGAGACCATGCTGAAGCAATACCGCCTTCGAGTGATGTCATCATCATCGTCGATCTCGATCTGTCCAGGCTCGGGCCGGCGCCACGGGCGCCTTCGTGCGGTTGATGTTGAACTTCAACGTTTCAACCTCTGAGTCTCCGCTTTGTCCACAATTTCTGAAGTCTGCTGGGGACCAGTCTGATATAGGATAATATTATCGGTGTAGATCTACCAACCTTCAGACATGGCACCAGTATGTCCTCGCATGAGTACAGTTCTTCCTGCAACTTCATCCGATTTTTGTCCGAATGAGTTCCACCCCTGGGCGTGGCTCCTGGACGAGATTGCCGATGGCCCATCGTGAGGGCTTGACTCGGTCTCTGCGACTCTGATATACCTCCGTCTTCGTTCAGCGAATGACACCAAACAATCAAAGTTCACGACATGCGGTGCTTAGACGTCGTTACTTTTCCTGAAGATATTTGTCAGGTGGATGGAGTCCAAACCCTCACCGTCATCGTCAATGTTCATGGCCTAGTTCCTTAGACTTCCTTCTGCTAGGGTGAGCCACATCGTCTAACGACACCACAGTACCGCGATCTCACGATAGCATCAGGCAGGTCCCATTGACAGAAGGATAACTTTCACGTTGTTCACTACTCTGACATAGCGGAGGAAATTCTCCCCGCGGGTGATCAGGTCGAGGGATGACGCGTGGGAGACCTCGTCTGCACTAACTTCGTGCTGGACCATCTGTACTGCAAGCTCAGGAACTGATGGCCACTGTGCTCGTCGGGCTCACATAGTACAGTCTCCTTCGTACGTTCGTCCGTCGATCTTGCATATCGGCGCTATCGGCTGGTCGCTAGTGTTGATCCCTGAGCATCGTTCCTACGGAGAAAAGCCTGCCTTGCCGAGATTATCTGCCTGAGATTGCCTAACTGAGAAACAGATGCGCGGCCGTTATCTGCTGTGCTAACACCCCCCTGGTTTTGTTATGTATGTCTCAGGACCTCTGGCCCTAGTCACCCTCTTGTTCCATATCACAGCGTTTCTCGGCTTGCCGTGACGAACGTCTTCCCGGAAGCATTAGCAATCTCTAACTATGCTCATCTGGAGAGCCGGTGTTGCAATATTCGATTTTTTGGCGTCACTAGGATTTATGCGGTTTTCAGGGTCGAACTCACAACTTTGGGTTTTATACAATTGTTTGTTTTTACACGATGTCCGTAGCTACGTTTGCACGAGCATGCGGCCAGCGCCTCTGAGTTCTATGTGGCTGCATCAGATCTCGATCGCGCGGCGACGTAGCGCCCGTTGCCGCCATGGCGTTAAAACTGTTCGTTTTCACCGCGAAAACCAATATATGACAGCTGGTTTTTCTCATTCTGGACTCGATGGATCCCCTCAAGCAATATCTTCATATCCTGAAAGAAGATATTGCATGGCACAAATTCGTCGACGATGGCCAGAAATGGCCGTCCAGCGTGCGTGAGCTATGTGGCGGACTACTCACAGCTCGACGGGTTCCACTCTGGGTAACGACGGTGAATACATCCTTACTATATCGCCTGGTTTTCTGTGCTCTAAATGCTCCATACACAGGGTCCCTATCCTGCCGTTGATCCTCGAACGGAACCCCTGCTGGAGGAATTGCAAAACACATTCAAATCGCATGCTGGCTCACTCGAGGATGCGGTCTTCGATCAGCAATTACGGGGCATGTTCGGGACCCTTCTCAGTGATTGCGCCAGGTTGCGGAATGTCATTTCATCCGATATTCTCTGTGGCAGCGCCAATCCGAAGGAATCATTCCTGATTGTCATGATATCCAACGTGATGTCCTCCGTGACAGCAGATTTTTCCATAGAGTAAGCATCCCTTGGCAGTGTGCTATCTTTCAACTGATCATCGTGTTTTGTGAAGTGAAAACGTTCTAGTCGCCTTGCCACGCTATCGTGGCGGCGGGCTGAACGTACCTACGAGATTCATGTCGAATTCCATCCAGGTACCGCTTTTGATGTCTGTTTTCGCGGAGATTCCCGACGATAACTCCAATATGGACGGATCTGATGCAATGGTGAACGATCCTGATACTGACGAGGCCGACTCTGACGAAGAGTCACCCAACCCGGACACGGAGGATGAATCTAGTGAACCATCCGAACCACCTCGGCCGGTTTCGGTCACTTCACCTATGTCTATGTCGACATTTCTCTCCCGTTGCGCGAAGCCCGTTCTCATTGAGGAAAGCGATAGTGACTCAGAGTCGGTGTACGACCCCCCTCCACCGGCGGAGTTGAACGCACACATCCTCGTGTATCCGCCATCGAGAGAACTGCCGAAGCGATGCCCTCTGCCGTTTCTGTGCGTTGCGGAGGAAGATGATCTACCTCTCGTGATGATGGCGATTCTCTACCAGCGACATGTGTGGAAGATTCACGAGCCTGTCGTTGGTGTCGGGTTTTCCAAGTATGATACCTCCATCTCTTTCTACATCGGATGGTTGGACGAGGATGCCGACAAAGAAGACTCATTGGTGAGGATATACATGACTAGACTGTGTCTCTGTCCTTTACTCATTTATGATTCGTCGCAGCCTCGTGTACATCTTGGTTCCTTAGGGCGAGACGGGTCCCTGGATCTGGCCTCGCTTGATGGAGCGTTTGCACTGTGTCATGCTGCGTTGGCCTTGCAAGGACTAGTGGCGAAAACATGTGGCGTTTCAGAAGCTACGGTCACGGTGGTCGCGGAGGAAATACGGGACGGTTCCGTCTCTATGTGGCGTCTGGATACACAAGAAGACGTTAATTCCGCTGACTCGTCTGAGGGCCAGCGTGACTGGATTGAAGCGTGGGCAGAAGGCCTTGCCTACAAATACCCTGCAACGTAAGTGCATTCTGCCAGTGCCCCCGTCCATCGTCCCTCAAGTTAAATTTGATACACAAGCACGATGACTGACTCTAAGAAGACTGCAACGGCGGATCCTAAGACTGCACAAAAGGCAAGGTACGAATATTTGGTCATTGTATCGTTGCTTCGCGTGACCTTTACTCGTTGTGCAGAAAGAAGGGTTCAACGGACTCGTTGTCTGTTCCTTCAATGGGCTCCTCCAGATCTACTGATTCTACGCCTTCGAGCCTGCCGTGAGTTTCTGAGCAATTTTTGTGACAATGTCTGATTGCAATATAGGATGATTGTCATTCCAGAAGAGGAGGAATCCAAGTGAGCATCAGACTCTTCATCATTTTCGATACTCACCTGAATACAGACAGGAAGGCAAGAGTCAGGGCTCAAAGAAATCTGCGTACAAACCGATGTCATGTTCTTCGTAAGCGGCGGCATGTTATCTGCACCTGCTAAGTTCTTACATTTATCCTTAGATTCGCCGCTGCAGCTGCGAAGGTGGGGAATAGCGCACTTATACATGGCTATCTATTCGATAGAGGCGTAGTACTCTCTGCACTGTGTAAAAACTCCGTCATCTTTTCGTTGTATGAGATTCATGCAGGAGACGCGTGGCCGTCGCACTGGAAAACACTTGTGAGCAACTCATCTTCTTTTCATCATCGCCTGCTGACAAGGGGCAGAGTGATATACCCTCGGTTGATCCCTCCCTTGAACCATTCCGACGAGAGTTGTTTGCACAAGCGCAGAAACATCATGAACTCAGTGCCGTAGTGCCGCGGGATGTACCCGCAGAGATCCTTCCACTGCTGGAGGGAAGTCTATCTCTGATTCTTGCCGTGGCGAAGCGGGCGCAAAGGAAGGCCCGTTCAGTGATTCCTCCATCGGAGTCCGTTTGGCGTCATGATTTCGATTCCCTTATCTTTGACTTCTTCACCAATGCGTTAAATGGAACAATCAGCCTGTATTCTCGAAGCGGTCGCTCGAGTGATGCGTCAAGGCTTCAACTCCCTGATGACGACAGGGTTATTCCATCGTAAGTTCTAATCATCAATTGACCTACACTCTATCTAATTGAAGTGCACAGAACAGAGCGCATGATATATTTACCCAAGGCCGTTGATATGGACGAAACGTCTGCGAGAAACCTATATTCCTACATTGGCGGTATGCTCTACCCCGGTGAGACTTATGTCGACATGCTGAGACAGCGGATCGGAAATGAAGATCTCCTTGGAAGAGCCCGTGACCTGGAGGAAATAGCACAGGTCCAGATTATAACTCATGAGCTCGATTGGTCGATATATCGCAGGAGGGATGGATACGCGTTGGAGCGTCTCAAAGAAGATCCTTATCGGGCTATTTGCGATGCTCTCGGGACAGTCTCGATTGACCTTCCAGTGAGACGGGAGTCTCTCGCGGCCGTGCAGTTGGTGGCCACAGGATCGCCCAAAGCCCCATATATGGGCGCATACGAAGACAATGAATCCATGCCTCGTACGAATGCATTAAATGGAACAATCAGCCTGTATTCTCGGAGCAGTCTGTCGAGTGATGCACCAAAGCTTCAACTCCCTGAGGACAACAGGGTCATTCTGTCGTAGGTTTTAGTCATCATTGACCTTCACTCTATCTAATTGAAGTGGACAGAACGGAGCGCATGATACATTTACCCAAGGCCATTGCTATGGACCAAAGGTCTGCGAGAAACTTATATTCCCACATTGTTGGTGGGCCCAACTCCGGTGAAACTTATGACGAGATGATGAGGCAGCGGATCGGATGCAACGAAGATCTCCTTGAACAAGCCCGTGACCTGGAGGAAATAGCACAGCACCAGATTCACAATCATGCGTTCGATTGGTCGAGATATCGCAGGAGGCATGGATACGCATTGGAGCGTCTCAAAGAAGATCCCTATCGGGCTATTTGCGACGCTCTCGGGACGGTCTCAATCGATCTTCCAGTGAGACGGGAGTTTCTCGAGGGCGTGCAGTTAGTGGCCACAGGATCATCAAAAGCCCCTTACATCGTGGGCTTGCACGAATCCAAGGAATCCCTTGATATGCCTATTTTATCTGGCGCAGCTCCGAATCAATTGCAGAAACGACTATATTCGTCCGCTCGGGCCCTAGAAACAGTGCCGGAGGTAGATGACCCAGACCAGGCTTTACCTTCGAATCTGGGCATCCCACACTCCACCGGGAAAGGTCTTCCTCCTCGAAACCCTCCGAAAACTGCCTCGCTACCGACTCGCGACTATGCCATTACCGCGAGCTCCGTCTGTGAAACCGATCATCTGTATGAAAATGCAGAGGCACGTGCATATCTCGACGAGAATCTTGAGGCCATATCCAAGCGACTCGAGGTGCTGACGGCAGGACAGAGAAAGAATGCAAAAGTCAAGAATCCTGTCTCAGTTCTGGAACTACCCGTGTTTATGATGGAATACAAGAAGCAGGATACAGATATTGGCAAGGGAGAAAATCAGCACAGGCTGGCTTGCGCGTCGGCAGCGACATTTCTTGACGTGCTGGGGCTGACCAAAAAGCCTGTTTTCAGTGGACTTACTAATGGCCCGAGGGTAGCACTTGCGGCTGCTTGGAGTAGCGATGGAGTGAGCTGCGTTCAGTCTGATTGCTTTGTCCTTGCTGATCGGCTTGCCATCGTTAGTTCATAGAAATTTTCGAGCGGCAGACTCGTACCATGGACATCTCTACGGCGTTGGGAGCCTTCCAGTTTGCCAGCGTCCTAGCCAGACTTGCTATCGTTTATTCAAAAGATCTTGTGGATACTTTTGATGAGATGTCTAAACCTCTTCTCATCAAACAACTCAATGATCGGGAGTTCGAGAAGCCTGACAGCAAGCTGCAGTGGAAACAACCTGTGCCTCCCAAATCCGAGAGAGGGGAATCCGAAGATGCTACGAGACAGCCAGTTTAGACATCCGAAACGGTAGAGACTCCAGTTCAGTAAAGCCAGTGGTATTTGATGACGAAGGTGGCTTATACTAGGCACAGCGGAGATGCATGCAAATCTTGCCAAATGTTGGAGCATAGTACTTACTAAGTAGTGCCTTTAAGGCCCATTGTAGAATCTAGTAATTTGGAGCATTGATGTTTGACAAAACATAGCTTTCGTGCAAATAACTTCAGACTACTGTAGCGAAACGACCTTAGGTTCAGTCACGGGTCACAGCCCTTGTGAACTGAACTCTTCTTCCTCCGCCAGATTGACAGTCCTGTCATGCCGATCACATGCGGAATTACAGTCCATTTACGGTCCCTCCTGCCTAATCCATCCACGCACGAGTCTCCGGCCAGCCTCGCTGAATGGAAGAAAACATGCGAGAGAACAATGCGCATGCTGCACGTGAAGGTTGGTGAGCTGCGATGCAGTAGATAAGGCCCCGGCAGGGCAGTGTGAGTGTAGAGAAATATATATGCAGTAAACTAGGTACAGAATAAATTAATGAGATCATAAACTAAACATATGCACGGCACCGCTGGCAGGAGGTAGTGCCGGGGCTTAGTGACGAGCCCAGCTGAGCCTGAGAGACCGGCACCCAACGTCCAGCTGAGCAGTTTTAGCGCTCATGCAGACTTTTCCTTCGAGTTAACTACCATCTCTCCCGCACATTGTTCTGCTTAGCATACTCCCAAAGCTAATCACTTCATTTACTTTACTACCTCGTTCTCTGTTATACTATGGTTTTTACATATGCCAACCTTGTTCTTCTGCCCAGCGGCCCTCAGCCCCAGCTCTCGCAGGCCCTGCAGCTCTTGCTACTACAGGCCCACCCCAGCAACTGCCAGATGTGACACCAATCCTCCTGGCTGAGTCGCTGCTTCCTGCTCCTAAGCCCACCATGGACACAGTGATGCTGGCAGCACTTTGCGCATGCATTACCTTCCTCGAAGCTTAACAGCCCATGCATGACGGCCCCCAGGAGCCCAGCACAGCCCCACCTGCTGCCCTGCTGGTTGCTGGACAAGCCAAAATTAAGCATGCCCATGCTGCTGCAGCTACAGTTTGTGATGAACGTGCCTGTGTTCTTCCACCCATTGTTCCCGGCTTTCACATGAGCCCCATGTCCCTGCATGAGTACCTTCTCATTTGTCTCCTCCCCTTCTACCATTCTTTTCCCTTCTGCTGTCATGTACTTCCCCTTCTCTCCTGCACAGTTTTTGTATTTTTTTCCAACTCACACACACACTTATTATGCAAAATTTTCCTTCGCACACGTTTTCTCGCCTGCACCTCAATTGGACCTATCACCGGCCTGATTGGTCCCCCCACCACACCTGCACTTCTCGTCCTTTCATTACTCGCTCGTACTCATGTTTGCTCGCTATGCAGCTGTGCCCCCGAAGGTAAATGATGCTGTGAAGCAAGGCCACTATGTGCCATACTCCGCCCTCACTGGTCCTGCCCGCTCTAAGGCTACTTGCGGTGAAGAGGACTTTGTTGCGAACTCAGCTGGTGGTTTCACCCTGCACGGTCTCGACTGCTCCTCAGAAAAAGCTATCATGCTGACTGATTAGCTTTCTGCCTCCAAAGCTATTGAAGGCCTCATTCATACCCATCATGGTGATGCATGTGCCAATGCACTCAAGAACCATCACCTTCATATGGAGGGCATTGTGCGATCCCACTCATGGGCTGTCACATTGGAATACGACATCCAGCAGTGCGAGCTTGCTGCTAGCCACCCTCAGCATGATCTCATGACTTTAGACATGACCGCACTTGCCTTCATCATAACCCATGCACTGGCGTGCATGAATGCTCCTTCTCCCCCTGTTAATGTTCTCTCGTCCCCCGCAAAGTGTCCATTCACCACCTCGGCTATGGCTTTCATGCAGCCCAAGAGGCCTTGTATCACATTAGAGCCGCCATGCTGCTTTCGCTGTGACCACATTGGCCACCTGCCTTCTGCATGCCATGCTGAGTGCACTGTCACAGAGCAGCCTGTTGCTGCTCTCACCGCTGGTGCACAAAGCCCTAATGCCTTTGCATGCACCAACGGGCGTGCCTATTGCTTTGCCTTTGCTCGCACCTTCTTCTGTCACTTCAGTGGGGAGTGTGCCAATGCCCATGCTTGCAGCATCTGTGCCAGCAGTGCCCACAGTGCTAGCACCTGTCTAGTTATCTGACTTAGACCCATGCTGCATCTCAACACTGCTAGACCCCAATCATGTCGAACATATGCTGTCTGAGTTGGGTCTTCTGAACTCGTGGTCTCACATTATGCATGGCCTACATCACAGTTTCGATGTAGGCATTCATGTGCTGCTTTCACACTCCTTTATCTTTCAAAACCATGCTTCTTCCAAGCTGGATCCCACATTTATCGACGAGTATATTGCCAGCAAACAGGCTGCTGGCTGCTACTCTCACACTTTCGATCCCAACGATCTCAAAGGCATCATCGGGTACTTTCATACATCTTCTTTGGGTCTGGTACCCAAACCCCACTCCGACAAGCTGCATTTGGTGCAGGACCTGTCTTACCCGCATGATGATATATGCCTACTGTAGTCATTAATTGAATTGTACTCATTGTCACATATTGTATTTTGTGCATGCAGCCCAATGTCTCATTGGTCAATGTAGATGTGAATTCTGATGATTTTCCCACCAAATGGAGCACATTTGATGAGGTCTCCAACATGATTCTTGCACTTCCACCTGGGGCCACTGCTGCCACATTCAATATCTCATCTGCCTATCGCATCACTCCTGTACATCCCAGCCAACAACATGCACTCTGCATTTGGTGGCATGGCAAGGTGTATATTGATCGTGCAGTTTGTTTCAGTCTGTCTTCCAGTGCCGGAGTTTTTGGCGCAGTTGCCGACATGCTTGTAGCCATTTATTGTGCCCGCGGCTATGGCCCCCTCAAGAAGTGGGTCGACGACTTCTTCGTTGTGCACCTCCCCGATTAGACCTGGACTGAAGCTGATTTTATTGGGCTCACCTCTCCACTTGGTGTCCCCTGGAGCATCACAAAGACCTGCCCCTTGGCAGAGTGTCAGTGCTTCACAGGTTTCAACTGGAATCTTGCCCACAAAACAGTTTCAGTTCCTTCCGACAAGCTACAGTGTATCCAGAACCTTGTTGACACTTGGCGCCATGCACATGTTGTTCCATGCAAATTCTCTCACCATGAGGCAGCATCTCTACATGGCAAGCTTGTGCATGCCTCATCCATCTTCCCCCTTATTCGGCCCTATCTTCGCTCTTGCTCACACTTTGCAGTCATATTCACCTCACATCGTGCTCAGCTGTGCCCCGCATCAGACCTCCTTGCTGACCTCGACTGAGTTCATGCTCTTCTTGCTCAGCTGCCAAATGAGCTTCCACTTCATGCACCTGTGCCCCTCAATCTTGGCTGGTGGGGTGACACCAGCTCTTCTTTTGGCATCAGTGTTATGGTCAGACCCTTCTGAGCCAGCATGAACATGGGCCAACAGTGTCACTGTTAGACCACATCAACAGTATGATATCAGCTGGGCCGAGGCCATGGTGGTAGAGCTTGGCCTGCTCTTGCTCCTCCACCATCACTATGCCCCCTCCACAGTGATGCAGCTTTTAGTGTGCTCCGACAACAATGGTGTTGTCCATGTGCTCAACTGTGGCCGTGCACGCAATTGCAAACCAAACATCATCATGAAACACATTCACACTCTGCTGGCACCACGCGGCCTCTCTTTGTCTGCAGTGCACATCACCAGTCATCAAAATGTCCCTAATGCACTATCTTGGGGTGACATCTCCACGTTTCTCACCACTGTGCCCATGGCAACTACACACAGCGACTGCTTGCTGTCACCGCACCTCACACACCTCTTAGTACCCTGGTAATGCCCACATGCAGTGTTCGCATGCTACCACCTCCCGCAGCTGGTGCACCTGCAGTGCATGAGGAACTCGGCACTCTAGTCTTGCACCTTTCACCCCTTCGTCCGAAATGTGCTGCTGATGAATGTATCTTCTAATGGCATGGCATTCGCACACCACCCCCTTCCACTATCTCACATCCCATTGTCCAGCATCTTGCTGATGCAGCTTCCCATGCATCCCTGCACAAATCCACCTTATTGGGCTATGGCTCTGGTCTTCGCAAATTCCACCTCTTTTGTGACATCTTCTCCTGAAGTTGATTGTCTACCAGCATCATTTGCCATACTGCACTCTTTCTGTTTGTAGGCTGCTGCTGATCCTGACACTGCAGAACTCACACTTGCAGATGGCACCCCCTTTGAGCCCGTATCCATAAAAGTGGCGGGCAAATACCTTGATGCAGTATGTCCCTGGCACATTGCCCAGGGCTGACCTCCACCACTGTCACCGGATGCTCACAATCACATCAACTGGTCACTGCATGGCCTCGAGAACATTCAATTACATTGCTGCACATGTCCACCTCGGCCTCCAGTGACTGTCCACATGCTTGCAGCACTGCGTGCTACACTAAACCTGACTGACCCCTTCGAAGCATGTATCTGGGCCATTACAGCTTGCACCTTCTGGGGACTCATGCATTTCAGTGAAGCCACTGTTAAGTCTTATCATGCCTTCGTGGGCCACCTTCACCTGAAATGCTGTGACATGTTGTTTGGCACTGACCTCAATGGACAGCCATATGCTCACCTCGACCTTCCATCAGCAAAGACTGCTAAATCTGGTAAGGTTCAGCACACTTTCCTCATCAAACAGGGCACCCTCTGCCCCCTTGAAGCCCTGCAGAATCTTGCCCGAGTTGTCCCTACTGGACCCGATGACCCTCTGTTCTCCTGGCATAATCACTGCCATTTTTGAGGCCTGGGGATATGGCACCTCATTTGGCCACTCCTTCTGTATTGGCAGTGCATCCTTCCTTCTCGCTCAGAAGGTTGACCTGAAAGTCGTACACTTGCTCAGGTGCTGGCGCTCGCTCGCATACCAGGTGTACATCTGTGCATTTGAACAAATTGCATCCCAACACATTGCAGGCATTGCGTTAAGTTCGGGACTATAGCCACCTTCATCTCCATGTTGGGCATATGGCAGGTCAGCTGCAAGATCACCTCGGAGGCTCAGACTTGGGTAAGTGGCCCAACCTTGCCCCGTGTTCTTAGCCAGCTATCGCTGGCCGCCTGCACAACATCCAATGCTAAGGTTTCGACATGGCACGAGCATGTTAGATGAGGCTGGATTAGTGACGGGCCCTACTGAGCCTAAGAGACCAGCGCCCAACATCCAGCTGAGTGGTTTTAGCACTCACACAGACTTTTCCTTTGAGTAGACTACCATCTCTCCTGCACGTTGTTCTGCTTAGCATACTCCCAAAGCTAATCACTTCATTTACTTTACTACCTCGTTCTCTGTTACCCACCTGCCCTACCCTCTGTTTTTTTCCCATAGCACATCTCTATACAGCCTGCCTATCTTGCTCTGCCTGTTTGTGACCTTAGTGGCAATCGCGCAGCAATCGACCCACCCACCCAGTGGCCTGACCTTGCCCTGCATCCTCAGCCAGCTATCGCTGGCCGCTGCCTGTCTAACATCTAATGCTAAGGTTTCGACATGGCACAAGTGCATTAGACGAGGCTGGATTGATGAGGACTCAGAGCTCGCCGAGGGGACGTAAATTTGTGGACTGTAAATCTGTCAGTCAGCTGCACGTTCGTGGGGGGCCGTGGCATGGTTCCCCATAAGAATTAGCCCCCACTCCAGCTTGCTTCAGGTCCCCAGATTTACAGTCCTGACGGGTGTGTTTACAGTCCAGCAGGGCGCTTGTGAGGCCTCCCCCTTTGGGCGATGCCAGAACACCTGACTTGTTCTCCCCGACCCTCCTTACTGGATGTGCCCCTCCTTCCTGGCCCTCCCTTGCCTGAAAAAAGGGCGGATATATTCAATGTGTGCACTGCATGCCCTCCCGCTGTGGTCTCTTTTTGCTGCTCTCTGTCGCACGCGCCTCGTGCCTCGCCCTTCATGTTGTGGCCTCTGGTTCACGGGGTCCTTCTTGGCACCATTCGGCAGGTTCAGCTCGCGCGTGACATTTCGAGGCTTAGGTGCCAGTGGACTGTCAATTTGGCGGCCATCAGCCTTTCTTCAAGGTACTTCGACTTCTATGACATGGTGCAAAAGTCATTATTTTAGAGCTTCTTATCTTGGGACATCAAACAATTCCAGGATGCCCTCGCGTAGGAAAGGTGGTATCCATTGGAGAGAGAATGGGGGTGACCAGTGACTGGTGGTGATGGGTCCTCGTGTCATATGTGGGCGGAGAGAATTGTGCGATACTGTACTATTTCGACCACTCTGGCGAGGGGTGTGACATGTGACCAAAAGTCCGGCGCCGCGGCGGACAGTTGAGAGAGGTGTGACACACCGACGCTGCGCAGGCGCCGGAAAATAGGGCTGGCGTGGCCAAGAAGGCTGTGACATCACCGTTAGGCCAAGGGCCGGTGACAGTGTGACATTCACCAAACTGTCGCGGATGACGCGCGTGACCGCCAATAGTACAATATGACTCAAGGGGTATGCACTGGCAGATTCCGAGACACAGGGTAGGGGGGGGGGGGGGGCTCTGAAGTCCTTAACTGAGAATTATTTTTACTTATGAAATGGGCGGCAGGAGGTAAGTAAGGGTCTCCTGCAGTAAAACCATACACTCAGTAGCTGAAAGGCATCTTTGATGATGGTCTACGGAGTGTTTGCGCAACTTGCAGGGGTGGGCTGCTCGGAGGTGGCGGTGGGCACGGGCGCTACCAGATGTGATGTCGGGTCACAACAATGACTAACAATGTGACCTGCATCACGTAAGCCTAGGATTACCATCTCTATATGGCAGGTGCCTTCTATATATGGACCGTGGAAAGTTCCCACGGGGGGGGGGAGGGGGTCCTGGGGGGGCTTAACCGGATTTTCTGACCCTGTGTCTAGAATCCGATTTATGCATGCCCCTTGATATGACTACCAAGACTAAGCTTCAACGTCAACCGTTGTCTCCACAATTTCTGAACTCTGCTGGGGGACAGTCTGACATGGGACAATATTATCGGTGTGGATCTACCAACCTTCAGATATAGCACCAGTATGTCCTCGCATGAGTACAGTTTTTCCTGCAAATTCATCCGATTTTTGTCCGAATGAGTTCCACCCCTGCGCGTGGCTCCTGGCCGTGGATGAGATTGCCGATGGCCCATCATGAGGGCTTGACGAGTCACTCGGTCTCTGCGACCGCCTCCAAATCTGATATACCTCCTCCTTCGTTCAGCGAATAATGACACCAAACAATCAAAGTTCACGACGTGCAGTGCTTAGACGTTGTTACATTTCCTGAAGATCTTCAGGTGGATGGAGTCCAAACCCTCACCGTTATCGTCAATGTTCATGGCCTAGTTCCCTGGACTTCCTTCTGCTGAGGTGAGCCACATCGTCTAACGACACCACAGTACCGCGATCTTACGATAGCATCAGGCAGGTCCCATTGACAGATGGATAACTTTCACGTTGTTCACTACTCTGACATAGCAGAGGAAATTCTCCCCGCGGGTGATCAGGTCGAGGGATGACGCGTGGGAGACCTCGTCTGCACTAACTTCGTGCTGGACCATCTGTACTGCAAGCTCAGGAAGTGATGGCTACTGTGCTCGTCGGGCTCGTCGGGCTCACATAGTACAGTCTCCTTCGTACGTTCGTCCGTCGATCTTGCATATCGGTGCTATCGGCTAGTCGCTAGTGTTGATCCCTGAGCATCATTCCTACGGAGAAAAGCCTGCCTTGCCGAGATTATCTGCCTGAGTTTGCCGTCCGAGAAACAGATGCACGGCCGTTATCTGCTGTGCTAACACCCCCCTGGTTTTGTTATGTATGTCTCATGACCTCTGGCCCTAGTCACCCTCTTGTTCCATATCACAGCGTTTTTCGGCTTGCCGTGACGAATGTCTTCCCGGAA